CCTCATGAAGCGGCAAACTCACCAAGTCCTTGTGTGAGTGGTACTGTTGGAGATGCACTCTCCCAGAGCGAGCCAACCATCTGCTCTCCTACTACTGGTTCAACAGGCACTAATGATAAATTGGCATTGAGCAAGGTGACAATATTATCATCTACTAGCCAGGTGGGGAACCATGAACACTACAAAGGAGTGGGCATAGTTGGGGGGTCATTGTACCCTCATGATAACCCAGTGCAGTCAGAACTGATTCCCAATCCTGGGAGAAGTTATGCATTGTGAGCCCTTGGAAGTACCACCTCCTCATGCTGCTCAATCACCCACAAGGATCAAGAGGGCTGAACTGAGGACAGCAAGTCCTCATTAAAGGTATGTGTCACTTTAGAAGAAGTCACTGATGAGGAAGACAACTTTAGTTATTTAAAGAGTTTACAGAACTCTCCAAAATCCAGCAAAGTCCCAACTAACCCAAGTGGGTGTCCACACTGAGGCGAAAGGGCAACCAGTTCAGTAACCATGGGAGCAGAGGCCTTGGGACCCATGGTGAATGACAACGAGGGGAAGACCCCGATGCAGTGAGCACCAGAGGAGTACCCTCAGGACTCCCAATGGCTGAAGCCCTTCAGAGCTGCCTGGACTTGATGAGCTATGAGACTCGCCAAAACTCCAGGAGAGAAGACATCACTTCTCAGGCAGTGGGTTCATCCTCGACAAAGAACAGAGGTGGATGACCAACTGGTTACTGACTTGGAAAGCCAAGTCGGAGAGTCCTATCTGAATGAATACAATAAGCTGGAACATATGGACCAACTTACTAAACCACCCCAGTATGTCCGTGGAGCAAGAGAACAGAACATCACAATCATCCTACAATTGGAAACCTTCAATACTATGGCCCATCACTCCATGAAGGCCCTGATCAACAGTGGCTATACAGGAAGCACTATTGATTGGCAGTGGACTCATGATCATGATATTACCATGCACAAAGCAGCTCACCTCACTCCGGTCTATAATGCAGATGGTACTCACAACAAGGATAGTGACATCACCGAGTTCACTGAGATCTGACTCAAGATCAGAGACCACAGTGAACAAATCGAACTAGCTCTTGTGGACTTGGGAACAACACCCATCTTTCTAGGCCATGACTGGCTATAAAGACATAACCCACTTATCGACTGGAATATGGGTTTGGTAATCTTGGTGCGCTGTGACTGCCGCAAGGTACTGTTCTGTCTTCTAGATGAAGATCCCAAACAACAGTGAGAGACTGAAGTTGAAGACAGGGACACTATTCTCGTCATAGACTTTGAGGAAGCCTTTCATGTATGGGCGATAGGACATAAAGCCAATGAATTGGCAGCCAAGGCCAATGAGGGAAAAGAAACAAAGTTGTTTGAGGAAATCATCCTCAAACACTATAGAGACTTCATCGACATTTTCACCAAGGTAAACTTCGATGAACTTCCCCCTTGCAAGCCTTGGGATCATGCTATTGAGCTCATACCCAATGCCAACACTAGTTTGGATTGCAAGGTATACCCCTTGAATCCAAAGGAACAAGAGGAATTGGACAAATTCCTTGATGAGAACTTGGTGACCAGTCGAATCTGACCCTCCAAGTCCCCAATGGCATCTCCCTTTTTCTTCATTAAGAAAAAGGATGGGAAACTGCAGCCAGTACAAGACTACCACAAACTTAATGAAATGACTATCAAGAATTGCTACTCTTTATCACTTATCTCAGATCTTATGGATAAGCTTAAAGGTGCAAAGTATTTCACTAAGCTGGATGTTTGCTGGGGATACAATAACATCCAGATCAAGGATGGGGATGAATTCAAGGCAGCATTCTGCACCAACCGAGAGCTCTATGAGCCTATGGTTATGTTCTTCAGGCTTACCAATTCGCTCGCCACATTCCAGTAGATGATGAATGATATCTTTAAAGATCTTATTGCTCCAGGATTAGTCACCATTTACTTGGATGACATCCTCATCTTCACAAAGGACAAGGCAGAATACCAAAAGGTGGTGTGGGAGGTCCTAAAGATTCTGTGCAAGAACAAATTGTTCTTGAAGGCAGAAAAATGTGAATTCAAGGTACTCGAGATGGAATACCTCAGAGTCATTATCAGTGAGGGATCCATTAAGATGGATCCTGTCAAGATCACTGGTATCATGGAGTGGCTGGAACCCTTCAAGAAACAGGAACTATAGTCATTCCTGGGGTTCATCAATTTCTATCAACAGTTCATCTGGCACTACAGCATGATCGTCAAGCCAATGATGAAACTCACTGGAAAGATCCCCTTGACCTGGGGGAAGGAACAAAAAGAGATGTTTGAGAAACTCAAATGCCAATTCACAATGGAAGTCATATTGGTGATGCCAAATGACTACAACAAGTTTTGCATGGAGGCAGACTCCAGTGAAGGAGCAATTGGTGCTGTCCTGTCACAGGAACAGGAAGGAAAATGGTGCCTGATCGCATTCTTGTCAAAATCTCTTTCCATGATAGAACAGAATTATGAGATTTACAACAAAGAACTACTTGCAATAATGATCACCTTGAAAGAATGGCAACATTATCTCATGGGTGCTCATCAAGATTTTGAAATTTGACATGCAGCAGAAGGCAGCTCTGCTACATCCAAACACTGTGCCATCTTGACCATGGGAACACATTTTGGTCAATATGGTCACTGGATTTTCAGAATCCAAAGGCTACAATGTGGTGTTAGTTATCATAGACCGATTCTCAAAATACATCATGCTGATTCCCTATACAAAGGAACTCTCATCAAGTGGGTGGGCCAAAATCCTATGTGACAAGATTATCTGCTGATTTGGGATAACCTCTTCTAAGGTCATTTCTGATTGAGGATCCCAATTCATCTTGAAATTTATCACCAAATTATATGTGATGATGAACATTCAAGAAAATCTGTCAACAGCTTACCACCTGCAGACAGATGGACAAATGGAGCAGATTAACCAAGAGCTCGAAAAATACCTTTGAGTCTTGTTAACCACAAACAGGACAATTAGAGTGAATGGCTGCAGTGGGCAGCATTCACTCACAACAACCGCCAACACTCTGCAACAGGCTTTTCCCTCATCAAACTTGTCTTTGGACATGATGGAGAAATTCATCCAACTGTGGTGAGGTCATCGGAAACACTATCAGTAACTGACTTCATCACTAGCCTTCAGAGAGTCCACAAGATAGTGGAAGAGTCTCTGCACAAGGCCGCTGAGGTTATGAGAAAGGCTTATGACAAACACACTCGTCCTGCATAGGAGTACCAACCGGGTGACAAAGTCTGGTTGGACTCAACCAACCTTCATCTTCCACAACTGACAAAAAAGCTACATGACAAATGTGTTGGACCCTTCAAGATAATCTCAAAGAAGAGGACCTCTGCCTATGAGCTGAGGCTACTGCCAGGTTGGAGAATCCACAACAAGTTCAATGAACGATACCTAACTCTGTACATCCCTCCAGAGTTTCTGAATCAGGAGAAACCACCGCCACCTGAGCTGGAGCTTATGGACAGTGAAGAAGAATATGAAGTAGAGGAACTACTTCAAAACCACAACCATATTATCGGTCAAGGATGCAACTAGAGGACCATAACAGAATATTTGGTCAAATGGAAAGGATATTCAGTGGAGGAAGCCACATGAGTCAAGAGAAGTGACCTTGCCAATGCTGAAGAACTTGTCAATCACTACAAGAACAAGGAAGACTGCATAGGAGATCACAATTTGTGACACTTGGAGAACCAGATGAGGGGATGTATAACCATATTATCTCCTGGCTTTTCAACCAAGAGCTCAACAGTCTTGCTAGATGAGCAGGGCTATTATTCATCAGACATGGATGAAGATGTCTTTGAAGATGAACACTTGGTGTCTCCTCTTATGACTCAAACTGACCCTAGCTCCTTCTCACAAGAATGGGGCATGTCTGCTTGGAGACAAACCAAGGACTACGAATGGGATATGGAATTTACTAACTCCCTTGACTCAGGGAGTGAGTATGTCTAATGACTGTCAGGACAACAGTCTTAGTCAGGGGGTATTATTACAATCTTACTCCTATTTTTCTTATCTTCTGGACCCACGATATTCCACTGGCACACCTCCTATCCATTTACCCAGTTGCTGTCACCCCGCTGATGACTCATCAACAGCTGCCACATTCTAGATGACCAATGTACTGCATGCGCCATCATGCTCCCCTTGATGGCATCATGCTTTTTAGTGGTTTAGCAATACAGACTGCTAGTCGAGGGTGGTTTATGGGATGAGGACTGTTCAGATGGAGTCCTGTGTCAATGCAGGTGATATGTGCTCTTTACTCTCATTTGTTGGGGACACACTTCTTTCAGTGTCCTCACTCCTCATTTGCTACAAAGTGCACTTCTCAATGCATGTGCCCCAGCAGATACTGTTATTAGTACAAGTCTAACATGTATTTAAGCTATGCTGTGGCTTTAGACCCTAGCTTTGGCTAAGGTTATATACTCCTAACTCTTACAAGCCTTTTGCTCTCGCTATCTACTTCTCTAATACTGAATCACTGAACGTGAGTGACAGGATAGAGAACATGCCTTGGTCCAGATTAGAGTTAGTGCTTAACAAGCAGTGATTACCTGGTGACCCATTGCTACTGAGGCAAGTTCTTCAATTGTTTTTGTGCATGATAAAGCCTTGGAAATGTTTGCCTCCATATGATTGAACTGCGCCTTTATCTTCTGGTCCTGCATATCCTCCATGAAGACCCAATATTGAGCTAGATAGACAAGAAGATGGCTACTCACAAGTCCTGTTGTATGGTATCATGTATTACTGACATCAGGGAATTGTAATCAGGAGCCAGTGATGCATTGAAAATAGTCTTAGTGCTCATCTTGATAGCCCTTTTTGTTGTTCTTGTTATGGAATAAGGCACTGCATAGCTGTGTGAGTTTGACTGCTCCTCTTTCTGAAACTCAGACTGCACATGCAACAGCCTCAGAAGATTCCTCTGAAAGTGAAGCAAGAGCAATGGTGGCATCATTGTCCTTGTTAGCAAGCAGCACCAGAGGTTCAATTTTGTTCTTTGCCCAGTATCTTGCACACTCATTGTATGCCTAGACCACAAAGTTCAGCTCTTTATGCATGCTACAGCCAGCCTAGAAGCAGAGATTCAGCTTGTGTTTGGCATCCTCAGAGAGATTTTCAAACTGCTCTTCACCTAGCTGTAGAGCCAATGCATCCATGCCAGCCTTTACTTGTGCATCTCTTTCAATGTCATTCAGTGTATCCCACATCTGAGCACTCCCTGCAGCTGCAATGTATTCAGTCTTTACATCCATCAAAATGCATAGTACATCATTGAGGTTCTGAGATAAAAGATGCTCCCAGCCAAGGTCTATCCATGATACATCATGCTTCCATGCTTGTATGAGTTGCACAGTCTTCTTCTGGTCATTTGCATGATCACCATTCATGCCTTTGAGAATATGAAGGAAATGAGATGTAGTGAATGTGATCTGGATGCGTTTTGTGAGTGATCATTCATTGAATAGGTGAGCAATGTTTGTGATTTTGGTTCTCCAGTTTTCAACCTGCACTTCACTTGTATGTGAGACAGTAGATCCCACTGAGAGAAGGCGATTTCAATGTGAAAGATGTTGTGATGGGTCTGCATAGTTGGAAACAAGCAAATTGACATACATGGACTCATAATTAGTTGCTTTATGTGATGTTGCATCATCACTAGCTGTTAAAGCTGAAGGCATGTTAGTATGAACAGCCATTAACTCACTGTATTGATGGCTAACCTTTTGCTGTGGCCATCTCATAGCCAATTTGAATCACTGCTGCTACACCTCCCTCTCTCAACACTCACATAACAGATGTCCAACTCATACACTCTTTGAGATCAGCCCCAGCAAATTTTGCAACAGCTTGAAGGAGCAGCCCAACAGATCCTTGATAGCAACCATGCTTGACAAACAGATGAGCCAAGTCCCAGGATGCTGGGGTGTAAGTACCTTTCTCCATCATTTTCCATATTGAATGCCACAATGCATTCTTTGTGATTCCTTGTGCTTTGTCCCTTGGTTTCTGAGAGCATGTCATCTTCAGAAACAGGGCTTTACTCTTCTTCCATGCATCTTTCAGCTTTGTATTCATCTCACCAATGATAATATTCCATTCCTCAATAGAAGCAGTCAGCCATTTGATCTCAGAGTGAAAACCAGTGTTCTCCTGATTTGTTCAGAGCAAAGACAGCTGTAAAGTATGTTTATCTGCCTTCAGTTGATCCCATAACTTTGTTGTTCACTGTAGAGAGTGCTGGCAACTCCTGAGCTTCTTATAGTAGATATCAAAGTGGTGAAGTTTCTCATCAAGAGAATCTCGAGTCAGTTCAAGCAAGTTCTCAGCAGAGCCAAGATATTCAAGAGCATCAGAAAGCTTCACATGAGTGAGTCTGAGATCCTCTTCCTTCTCATTGAGTCATATCTGAAGATTCTGAGCAGAGTTTTGGAGCAACATGACAAGAAGCAAAGAAGCATGATCTGATGTCCGAGTTTTTGATTTAAAAGACCGTGTTGAGCATGATATCAGCAATTCAGTGTCAGGAACCAGACTGGACTGTCCCAAGTCTTCCACAGAGCTGTCCATGTCCTCATCTCCTTCCAACTTGCTGGCATATGCATTCCATTCTGACCCTTTGCTCAACCTTTGTGTAACCTTTCTCTGCACTCAAGAATGGTGACCCATGGTAAGATGTGTTGCTAAAAGATGCTATAAGCACTGGTAAGATTTGTTGTTCAAAGAGAACACATACAGGCCTGCCTATGAGCCAGAGTCCAATAATTATGGTGCTTGAATGCAGCTAAGCATGTCCTATCACATGCATGTCACATTAATTTACTGGTATGCGACTTCAATTAAAAATGCTGAGATTAGTTTTGCACATTTCCTTGTGATTACCACTGAAAGTACACATGAATTTGGCTCTGCCATCATGCCTTGAGCTTCTATTATTTAACCAGATACTGTATGAATGCAGTTTGCATAAATTACAGGCATTCCACCCAAATTTAGCAGGCAAAAGAGCAAGATTCAAAATGGTGGCTTTAATTACTCCTTAATAGCTGAAATGATGGATGAGCCTAGTATGTATTTAGGTCTAGTTTAATGCCTTGAGCTTCAAATATTGCTGAAATCATTTCCTTTCCCAAACCTGAATTCTTCAAAGCTGTTGTCAAGCTGTATTGCATACTATATGCAAAGATATTTTCTAAGAAAGGTGGGACATGAAAAATACAGCTATATTTGAGATATGACAGTGGCTAATACATGTTTTCGAGTGATAGAGCAAGCAGCATTCACTTGGGACATGTTGAAAATTTGCGATCAGCCAAATGAACCATGGGAATGTTCAGCCTGATCCAGGACATTGTCCACCACCAAAAATTTGAGCTCAGTCATCTTGATCATGAGCTTGCCTCCCATTCAAGACGATCGGTTACAGGTCTATCATATATAACCCGTTCCCTTCCATACTTCAGTTTTTTCCCAGTTCTACTAATACAGTCATTAACCCTGTCACTTGGTTTGAGCTCGTCATGTGAGGTTCTGTGACCTTCGTCACCGCTTCCTCACACCTAGTTAGCAGTAAACATATAATGGTTAAATTGTAGGGGGAAATCATGTCCATCCAAGTATATCCACTGGCCTCATAGATTTAGGAAATGGAGAGGCCCCAATCATACCAACCTGTGCCCATGCATCTACAAGATAGTTCGACCAGAACAACAACCAAGCCATAGTCCATATCCACCCCCAAAGACCTCCAACCCTAACTCCAAAAACCCGACGAAACGCACCCTCGGCAAGAACACCAATCGCACTGACTAGAAACAAACATCCAGAGTCCCAAAACTTTGCACGATGGCCCATACCCCACACACCAAGATAATGGATCACGGCAGACGTGGTGAAGGAACCCAGGACCATCCCCACACGCCCTGGACCCAAGGGTATGCCACCAAAGGAGACATAAACAGGCTTAAGAGCCTGATGCCATCTCCTAGCCCAAAATTGGGACAAAGAAGTGGACAACCATGGATCATCAAAGAGCGGAGGCCACTCAGTTGGATCTTGACGGAAATACGATGACGCCACGATGGAGTAGCAGCATCATATTCGCTCTGCATCGCACAGTACATCACGACGACTGAAAGAAGCGTGATGTACGTCGAGCGAAGGGTAGGAAGGGGTCCGTCAAGTATCGTTCCTCCCCCAACGCTTGCCAAACGTGTCAGGCGAGAGCGACTGGATGTGATAATGAGTCAAGTCGAGAATGAGGGCGTGAACAAGCAGGGAAATCAAAGTGACACCGGCAAAACAAATCTAGACGAGGTCGGCCGTCTCTCGGGTGGAATATAGACATTTGCGCCCCAGTTCCAGCCGATGCCCCGTAAACTAGTCAGGAGACGAGAAAGTGTCGACTTGGACGGATCCGATATCTTGCAAGGTGCTTCAGAGAATGTCCAGATAGTAGCGCGCATACTCGACACAGTTGTCAAGATCTACCCAGCCTTGTTAGGTATTTCAAAGTGGCTACGCGATGCACTTACGAGTAGGAGCTGGTTCAGATGCATCTGTGTTTCCTCCCCATTGGACAAGTCAAGCACTACAGCACAACGATACATCGCATACAGAGTTGCCGGTAAAAATCCCAGACGTATCACGAAAGGATGGGAGCGCAGAGTGAGAATTGCGCTCATGCAGTAACACAAAAACGCTGGCAGGATGTACTGAAGGAAAGTGGGGAGATCCACAGGCTGTCTTGCTCTTGTGTTGAACTGTGGTGGGGCATAATGGGACCTGTTCCTCGAATTAGGTGTAGTTCGTCTGTATGAGCTAGCGACGCACCAAGTATCCCATGACATCTCAACAACGGCGCTCTCGTTAACAGCGCTCTAAGTTGAAGTGAGGGCCGGTCGAAGCCGGATACAGCGCCGCTGAGGACTCCGTCGTTGACCGAGCCATCACAGGTTACGTCCGCGAACTTAGATCGTTATCGGTGCCAGGAGTAATGGTAGTCAACGTCAAGGTCAACCTGAACTCGGCAATTGCCGCCGCGCGAAGAACCTCTAACGTTCAGCGCAGCTCTCTGCATGGTCAAAATCCTTCTCCTGTATGTCTGAATATATGATACATCCTAACTTTGAAATGGAATTATACATCGAGCTCCAGAAAAGGCTAGGAAATGGGATGCCGACTCTTTGTGAGTTCTTCCTCAAAGTCGAATCAAACAATGGCTCTTTGGTAATATTCTTCATACGAACGAGAAGCTAATCAACAATGGTGAAAGTTCGTACATTTTAGCAGCGGGACATATTTTCCCAAGATAGATGTACTCTAAGAGTGCGCAGAGTGCTCGAAAGCTCTGAGATACCGACGGAGGTAACATCGAGGTCAGCAGGGAACGCGAACATGCAAGGGGGCCACGGTTCCACAAGATACCCGGCCTATGCAGTCCAAACTCTAGCAATCAGCTCCGTCAGGCCTAAACGACAACCACGCTCAACGTTAGCATTCAAGAACGACAGTTCCTCTAAAGCTCAGCGCTCAGCTCTCACCAATATCATTCGTATTAAACTGATACACCCCAACGAGAACTCCCACAGTCGCAGTCCTCATAGTCCACGTCACTATAGGCCCAAGAACAGGGAACTTGCGCTTATGGAGATAGTCAACGAAGATCGAATCCAACTAGCAGGAAAACATATGAACTCTTCGGTTGAACACGGACTCGGAACTCAGAACGTACCCCAATATACGTATGCATCACCAAACTAGCTCCAAGAACACCATCAAGAACCGGATAGTTACTCCCACTCGTGACGAACGCAGCAGCAGTCAAAGGGACGAGCCCAGCCGACAAAAGACGTTCAAAGGCCCAGTGGTACGAGCCCGCCGATCTCGAGGGCTTCGGGAAGGTCGTTGGGTCATTCACGGTTCCCTTATACACGGCTGAACAAAAAAAGTGAACAAAACCGCGCCAAACGCGATTATCGAGAGCAAACGCACGTCCACCGGGAATGTACAGAGATGGATCACTGGATGCATGCCTGACTGCTAGACTCTGAGTATAATATCGGTCCCCTGACAGTGCATAAGACATACCAGCACCAGGCACCCTCGACCCTAAGCGTTGAACAAGCGATCTTGACAGTGACGAACGAAGGATAAGAGACGAGGACATCGTGGTGAACCAGGATAAAGTTGTGTTGATCGCTGACCGGCAACCAATTAACCCTCCGAATAGTCCCGACTTTGGTTCGTTCTACCCTCCGTGTATTCTGAACAGCTTTGTACTTGGTTTGTAGCCTTTATGTATTCAAAAGTTATTATACGTCCGCCAGGTGCTCCCTTCATGTCCACTTACATCTTCAACGCTTCATGCGTACAAGAAGGAACTCAACACAATGCTCGTATGGATAGTAAAACATCTTTTCTGATTGACGCACTGAAAAGGACATCGGAATTGACTTCAAGGACAAACTCGACATGACGAGGAGAGACCATCATCCATAAAAACGAATAATCGCGCCGTCGTCCGCGGTGGAACTTGAAGAATGACACAGGCGGTCTCCGTTTCGACTCGTTCTTCAACAATCACCTCGACTGGATGGTACATCAAGCACTATTTCATATGCACGTCGCCCTCGCTGTTGCGATACCTCTGCGTCTTCATAAAGTTATCGCCCACCAAATCCTCGCTTGACATCATCAGGCCGGACATTGTTCGAGATTGCGAGCTGCCAAATTATCATTAGAAATGGTTGAGGAACATTAACAATGACGCACAACTCGACCCATACGCATCGCCCATAGCCTTGAAACATATTGAAAGGCATAGATAGACGCCCGTAGCCTCCTCGTGTGTCAAACTCCACAAACGCGTACTTGAGCGAACTCCGACTTGACAGTTCATGATAATCCTGAACTGTGCTCCAAACCTGTCTCGAGTTACTTGCACACGAATAAGACATTCTCGAGAGGGCGAACGGCGCGTCTCTGACCTGTGAGCGCCGACACCACCGCATTTTTCACGCCCGACGCGCTCTTCTTCTTCTTTTCGGAGTTGAGATAGCAGTTCCTCGTTTTCATACGCCTGGTGGTCATAAGGAATGGGGAAGATGGCTGGACCAAGCCGGAGTAGGGTCGTCTGTGGATGGCATACCAGTAAAACACACCTAGCATAACGACGCGTCGAATCCACACATCCTTCAACTTATCCACCGCTTCGACGTGTCCGAAAACAGCCAAGTGAAGACGCGTGAGAGACTACTATTCTCCTCCATTACTAGCTGCAGTGCGATCGCCAGTTTAGGTGGAAACTCAGAGAAGGTAAGGAATAAAGGGATAATACACGCACTTTTGAAGACGAGGATACACTTGGCATGCATCTACAAGTAGAGAAAGCCAACTCAAAATCGGTAATCACCGCTTTGAATGTATTGCGATCAACCTTCTTGAAGGGAATGTCTCCAAGCGACTGCGCCTCGGCACCGGGCAACATTAGAGCTGACACGGTAATCAAACGCGGTAGACCAGCAGCTAGTCGAACCCAGCAGCCCAGACTGATGGAAAAGAGAGAAAGTGAACAACTGCACGAAACATGCTACTGCAAATGTCGTACGACGACACTTGGTCGAGAGTCGAGACTGAAGAAACGCTGCTAAATCCAGATTCGTTTCGGGAAACACGTGACCAAAAAAGTGGTGCGACACAGAAATATTAAGTTGATAAAAGCAAGACTTTGACCGAAGGCCACCGTCATCACCATGGATTTCGTCCTAAGCACCGCCGACGACCTCCTGCTCGACAAGGTCTGGGCGCACATCCTCCCTCTCTACACAAACACCACTACCTTCGAGCAACAACAATGGGAGCTACCATTGACATTTCCCCCAGCTTCATCATGGCCCCGCGACTACATCCCCCGCCAAATCATCTCTCTCTCCGTGCTCACCCTCATAGGTATCTTCGCGCTCTACTTCATCTTCGCGTGGCTCTCGTATCGATTCATCTTCAATCATGACATGATGCGCCATCCAAAATTCCTGCCGAACCAAGTCCGGCTGGAAATTATGACCAGTGTCCGGGCGTTCCCTGTCATGACTCTCCTCACCCTGCCATGGTTCGAAGCTGAAGTCCTGGGGTACAGCAAGCTGTACGATGGCCTCGATACTTATGGCTGGCCGTACCTGTTCGCTAGTATCCCCTTGTAAGTAATCAGTGTCCGCATCCGGCCTAGGTACTAACAGACAGACAGATTCCTCTTATTCACTGATTACTGCATCTACTGGGTACATCGATGGCTGCACGTCCCCTTCATCTACAAGGTCCTCCACAAACCCCACCACAAATGGATCAGTGCGTCCTCCTACCACTCACCGAAAGTAATACCACCTACTAACCTCCATCACCCAGTCCCATCCCCCTGGTCCTCACACGCCTTCCACCCCGTCGACGGCTACCTCCAATCCGTCCCGTACCACCTCTTCGTATTCCTCTTTCCCCCTCCACCGCATGGTCTACCTCGGCCTCTTCGTCTTTGTCAACTTTTGGTCCATATTGATCCACGACTCCGACATGGTCACCGGCCATCCACTCGAGACCGTCATTAACGGTCCTGCCCACCACACCCTCCACCACATATACTTCACGGTAAACTACGGCCAGTACTTCACCTGGGCAGACAGGGTCGGCAATTCTTACCGCCAGCCTGAAAAGAGCCTTGACCCTCTACTGGAGGTGCAGTTAAAAGGCAACAAAAAGGAGCAGTAACGACTTCTTACTAATATATAGACTACTTATTTCATGATACCAGGTCCATCGCGGGGGTTAATTACCTTGGATGAATCGTGTATATTTTCGAGCAAAAAAAATTGGAATATATGCATAAATTCTCGCAGTTAGGCTAGGAAACATGAGATCCCTGCAACGCCGCCCAGACCTTTTCTGCTACACTTCTCATTGCCTCATTCCAAGCCTTTCCTCCAGCTTCGTCCTCATTTCGCCCACTCAACGTATATGGTGTTCCTGAATCGCCACCTTCACTGACACCCGGCACCAGAGGAAGCTCGGCAAGTATATCCACCTCCATCTGCTTTGCAGCCTCGTGAAACCTCTCTGGTGAACCGAAAAGGTAATGAGGTGTCGAGCACTTCCCACAGATGAAATGGGACTGATTCAATATCAGACCGGTCACCTGAACCCATAAGTAAAACGCGCTAGCCCAATGAAAAGAGACGGCTCACAGGCACCGAAACCTTGCGGAACATTGTAATTCCCTTCTTCACGTCCGTCAGAGCTACATCCTGCGGCGTCGACACAATAACCGAACCTTTCTTTCACGTCAGTTGCCTTAACCTAAACCGAACAGTCATAATGCAATCACCATCAACATTAACCAGCTGTCCGAGTGTCAACGGGACATCACCCGTCCCAGGCGGCATATCCACCACAAGAACTGTCCAACCCGCGTCCCCCACTTCCCCCCGTCCAATCCACGTCGAACAACAACTGCTGAACGGCCTTCTGTACCATCAGCCCGCGCCATACTACATGCCGTATCGACGCCCTTCGGTAAGAGGTACCCCATTGACATCGTCGATAGTCCATGGTTCGTCACCGGCAGGAGCGCACCAGCTACAGTACCATTAAATCGTCACCAAATCGTCAAGTTATATGTACGCACATTCAGTGAGATTAGGTTCCCCAACATGAGACAGACCCATAAGCGTAGGCACCGACGGTCCAAATATATCCAGATCCAGGATACCCACCCGCAACCGCTGTGGGAGCATCGCCAATGCGAAAGCCAAGTTCACTTGGGGAAGACATAAGACATTAATAAGTAACCAACGAACCACACATACCAGTAACCGTACTCTTCCCCACCCCTCCCTTCCCACTAGCAACCACAATAACCTTTTTTACATTAGGCACGCCTCTCTTCGCTGGAGGACCCGTCCTCCGTGGGATCTGCGGAGGCACCGTTTTCTGTCTGGGAAGACCCTTTTAAATCAGTCGGGATGTATCGATACAATACATCACGGATATCTCTCACTAGAGGATTTTCATGGAACCGTACAGCACAAGTGCTGAATAGCCGCCGACGCATGGTGGTGGCCTCTGCTAAAAAGAGTTCAGTCCGGCCCGAGAAAAACGACACAGCCACCTCTCGCCCATCTGCATCTTCCCCATGGCACTGTGTTGCCTGCTGTGCTCATTATTGGTGACCCATTTCTTCACACGCCTTTCATACTGCTGAACGGATTAACCACGCTCTATACTAAGTACTCTTCGAAATGTGCACTTACAGACGCATGTATGGACGTTTGCGCGTACGGGAAGCTCAGGGTCATCGTAAATCACCTTCCCCCGCACAGCAAAACAAATTCATCTGCAAGCAATTGACCTTATCACGGAAGAGTACCCATCAACTCATGAACACCCTCTGCCTCACAGCATTCCACTAAATCCCTCCACAACTTCTATAAACACGGTGATAAATTCAAAGAAGGTTCAGTATGCATGGGGGACCTTCTCCGAATGCTACCTTCTAGTGGCAAAGGCGCCAGAAGGTACTCAAGTATCTGTATTTGATGTGGAATCAGCCTTCCACAACATACCCATGCATCCATCTGTCTGACCATTTACAGCAATGAGATTGGGTGACAAAATCCAAATATGCTTGTCCTGATGGGTTTTCAAGTCCTTCGTTCTGAAAGCATGGCGAGCTCGTAGACTCATAATTGTAGCGAGCCTGTGGTCGATCACTGGTACCCTGCGGGCCGTCATCAGTAGTGTTACTGATATATTGCTGATGATTAGCTCTGACGCAAACTTGACTCTGGAAATTTCAAGTCGCGAGAACAAGCTTTCTCCGATTTTGTCTTCTGATACTTACCTCTCTGTGATAGAAATTGTCTAAACTTGACATACGATGAGAATCTTCCGGCAGTTGGTTTCTTGAAGAAGCACCTAGAGATGTCGACGCCTTTAGTTACAATCGCAACTAGTGAGGGATATGGGACACCAGACGGCTCATCCATTTCGATGTCGTTTAGCTCCATTCAAATGTAATTCTAACTTGAAGTTATTCTGTCAGTTGGGTGGCTCTCGTTTAAAGCAGTAGATCAAACGCGGTGGGACAAGACAGTCTTAGATGATTTAAGCAAAACTAACAATATGATCTAATACGCGTTTACACCACAGCAAAAATATAGCACATACACAGCGTCAATTATGAAGGCACAGGCTCCGGCTTGGAGGAATTCTCTAACCATTTCTTCCGAAGGACATTCCTGGCCCGCAGGTTCTCCGTCGCCTTCTGAACATCCTCCTGCTGCCGTATCTTCCACAAATAATCCTCCGAATCCGACACGAAGAACAGTCGATACGTACGAACGCACACTTTGATCTTCAAACCATCACTGGTCTTGATGTTCGCTTCGGCTGGAATAGTAGCCGGCAGATTTCTAGTGACGAATGAATGAACATCTGACATGTTTCAAGGAGAGGCTGTGCTCACTTTCGTAGGAATGGCCGCCTGATCTTCGTTTGGGGTACATCGGTGGTCGGACCAGTCTGCTTAGCAAGGTGAGGATCATAGACAGCGATTAAAGAAATATTCATAGCTCACCTGAGCATAGGATTTTATGTACGCCTGCCACCGCCCAGTCAATACCTCCGAATCATCAAAGCTGGAATCATCCTTCCCAATCAACTGCATCGTCATCTTCTTAGATTCCGGCAGCTGATCCCATCCCGTCAATTCCGTATTACGATCTAAAAGTGCGAAAAGAACTTACCCAGTCGATACGGAACAGATTCTCGTCCGGCCCAAGCACCTTTTCGGCGTTATGCCGACTATTCAGGTAGTCTTGTGTCGTGAGTGAAGGAATACTTCGGTCTCGCTTCAGAGTTTCTAGTAGCTCTTGACTCTTGGAGTCGGCAAGGATTACTTGGACCTGTCGGACACATAAAACACATATCATCATTAGGAAACAATCAGTCTTACCTGTTTGATAATCGATCCGATCAGCTTGTCGATGGTAAAGATCTTGAAGGCTTCCTGAAGAGTAATCGTCAGCCATACCATCGAATCCTAATGAATGAAGAAGACGTACCTTAACTCCAAACATAAGCCGCATCTGTTCCTCAAACGCTGGCTGCTCTACTTCATTATCAAACAAGCGTTCGCAAGATTCGAGCATCAGCTCGTAAAAGTGGCTCGCATTCGCATTAGGATTGCTCATGCTCTCGATGAAAGCGGTAGCCTGAGGCGAAAGTCCGGTAACGATGAGGGGTGCTTTATTTTGTGGCCCCTCCGTCGCAAGCTGGTTCGAAATGTTTCGGAACTTCAAAAGACGCGTATACATGACCTATCACGACAATGGCATCAGAAGCTGTGAGACCTGAAATGTCCAACCAACGCACCTCGAGTAGCCGAAGCAAAACATAAAAGTGGGTATTCGTGAAGAAAGTGTTCTTGACACGTCGTTGCTGGCCTTCAGCTGGACTACCTTCAGCCGGCACGGGCGACGGCACTCTGGAAAGAGAAGGAGACGCTGCCTCTTGCGCTCTAGTTTTCCGGATCGTCGATTTAGCTTGCTCACTCTTGAGCAGTTTCTTCCTCAAGTCACCCGCAGCCGCTCCTGTGCCTCCCTTCCTCCCCTTACCACTCCCTTTCGAGCTCCCAACACTCGACACCTCCGCATCGCTAGCATCACTCACATCACTATCCGCAGTCTCTTGGACAACTTGGAAAGCGTTATTGAACACCACAGGATCCAGAACGAAGAATAGCGGAACAAACGAGCGGAGAAGCTGCTCTATCCGTTTACGATCCGTGAGTGCGATCTGCCCTTGAGTGCGGTCCAAGAACGAGAACGTCAGCTTTAGTCCGTCCTGTATCACGGACAGGTCCTCAACTACGAACTCTAGTTGATGGGAGGGTCGAGTTCTAGCGAAAAGGGGATCAATCAACGACGCGCGTTTCGCCATTTGTTCCTCCCTCGCTGCCTCAATCTGGTTGACGAAGGACTTGACCGAGGTAGCCTTCTTGTCTATCGACCTGAACGTAATGCTCTGGTGGTCGAGACTTTTGATGTAATTCCTCGCGTCAACTTCTCGCCACACCTTGTTCCACTCCCTCTGCGCCCGCTTCCATTCCTCCTCCTTGGCCTTCAGCCGGAGAAGCACTTGAGGAATCGCCTGTGAAGGGTAATCCTGCATCGCCTGAATCACCTCCAGTCCTGCCTCTCGACCCCAAATCTTCTTGATCACTCGGTGATTGATCGCCTTTGCTGATCCATTTAGGTTAGGCTTCAGCTTAAAGGTGGCTCGTTCGTCCGCACTTAACTGTGCAACTTTATTGCTGATGGGTTCGAGGATGGCAATCGTGCGAACGATGGCCTCGATATGGAAGTCATATTCGTGGCGTTCTTCCTCGCTGCGGTGGAGGGCTTCTTCGAAGACGTTTTTCTTATGAGATACCATAGCAGGATCTTCGCTTGTCCACGTTGGATGAGAGACCCATTCGTCGTTTAGCACCGAACGACACATGTCGTCGCGTCCGGAACAAGTGACATGAGCCTCCTGGATATGCATGAGCAGGGGGATCCACCAGATGACAAGAGAACGCTCACACTAGGATGCAGCTTACGATAGCTGCCGTACTTCATGCTCATGTCCATTCTAGTAGGTCGATCTTGGAAACCGGCTACGATAGGTCTCGTCATTCCGAAGAGCTGATTTTGCTCGAATATATGATAGTCCCGCTCCTTCTTTTCGTCCCAGCCCAGAATGTCCTTGAACTGCCGCATCAATTCGCCATCTCCTGCAAGGAAAGTTCGGCTTTCTTTGACCAACCGTCCCGTGTCAATGATGCCCTGAGTGAAGAGATTGACAACTTTGAGGAACTCGTTGTACGATTCTCGGCTATCGATTGATTGCTTTACGCGGTCGAAGAAGCGCGAGTCGTCTGGGAGCGGAGGAGGAAGAGCATGACGCCGTTCGGACTTGAATGTGGAAGGAATCTCTTGGGAGACAGTGGGTTTCAGTTTTTTAACCTATAAAAAGTCAGCTCAGCTACAGCAGTAATGAAAGTGGACATACCTTGTGAGGACTGCTCGACGACGGTTTCGGCTCCTTCTCTACCAACCTTCCTCTTTCTCTTCTGCGGAAGTAGGTGTCCTCCATCAACCTTTCTCTTGCCTTCGTCCATCATGACTGACTCTGGCATAAAAATATGGAAGTCGGCCCTCAGGTCAGGGTCATCTTTAAAAAGTCTGGCTATTTGTTTGGATACCTACGTCCCTTGTGAATTATGGATCCGATAGTGATAAACCGAAGACACACACTTCATCGATGTTATCGGATTTTTTGTGATAGCGTGATAAAATGTCAAGGAACTGCTTGTAGGTGTCTGGGTCACATCGTTGCTTGATCTTCTGAACATAATTGAAAGCAGGGCCCATTATCTGCTTATCCAAATCAAGGCTAAGACCTTTGGGATCGGGGGTTCTTGGGGGTAAAGGAGGTTCGGGATGTCGATCTATGGGAGGTATCAGCGCTGGAAGTAAGAATTAAATCCTGCAGGAAATAACTAATATATGACATTCTGATGGTGCAACGCATGGACTCGAGGCGTCTGTCCGCCATAGTCTCTCCCGAATACAAGTGGCACTCACCCGAAGGAAGAATGGGAGGTTGTTGATAAAGGATAACGGTTCCGTCACTGTTGGTGACGGTGATTCGATTGTGCGTGGAACCGTCCGAGGTGCATTCGATACGGTAGCCCGCCGGTAAAAAAGTGTTGAATCCAATGATGAGCTGCGGGTGGCCGAAGAAAAGATGGGATACACGCTGTATAACACCTGGTGTGTCGATCCTGTGCTCCCTGTGAGGATAAAAACAGGGAGAGATCACGGATTACGCACAGCTGGCTCTTAAATTCCTTCATAATGTCCAGAAATTGGTTATAGACGTCCGGCTGGTCCTGGAACTGGACCTTGACAGCATCAAGGTAGCTGAGGGCATCTGTCACGTTGAGCGGACGGGATTCCGGAGTATTCATGGGTGGCGAAGGGGGGGAGACGTCGACTACCATAGGATTCGATGGCTGCAGCAGTAGAGCAACCGAGTCCGACCTGGCCTCTGTCGTCACTGGGATCGGTGTAAGAGGCTGCTGGACGCCAGTATCCTTCACGGAGATCTCCTTGGAGATTTCGTTCTCCGGTGCGGTTGCCGTTTTCATGGAAGAATCGCCAGCTGTCCCATGGCTGGATATTAGGTTCTGATTGCCGGGTAAACCTGATCCTTTCGGCTCGGTGTCACGGACAGGCTCAGTATTCGGAGTTTGTGACGGGACGTCGACGTCCATGATGAATATGTCGTCGTCGGCAAGAGGAGAGTCCGAGCGTCGCTGTTGACGTCGAGGGAGAGGAAAAGCGGCAAACGTGGTCCGTGCACCGATCGCTGTCACACGTGGTCGGTTTGATGCCGCAATTTCAATTGGTCATTGTTTGCTTCCGCGCCAAACAAGCGCAAGAATGACTCCCGTGAATCCCGCAAAAGCGTGTCAAATTATCGACTGCTGATGACTATACGATTATAGAACCTGAAACACAGCGCAAGAGGAGACGACTCTCAGCACCGAGACCCTTCCCGATAGTCCCAGCGTCCGTCTCTGCCACAGGCCCACGTTCAGCGCATAAAGAAGGGAAGAACCTCATCTGCATAACACGCAAGACAGCCTTGGGAGCGTATATGCGGCGGTGCAAGGACCTCGTTCTAAAAGATGGGTACGGAGGGGAGGAGGATGGAGATATCACGTACGAGACGAGGGGAAAGTCGACGTTGAGTGGTGTTGACGTTCGATAGCAAACCGACAACAAAGGATGATTCCACCGTGTTTGCAGAGCCAGAACAGGAGGGAGAGGAAGATGTTGTGGAGGCTGTATGACCTGCTTATGGTGAGCTTCGTGCTGTTCGCTTTGTTTGGGTCACTGGACGGTTTCATAGCTGTATGCAACATCATGTATATTTGCTGCTAAAGCTAGGTCAAGTCAACGTTAATGGTGGTCTGATCACGTTAACCTTGACAGTAACCCGGCTGCAAACTGGAAAAAGAGGAGAATAGTACCATCAGAGAGCTCGTATGATTCGTACTGTCCACTTCTGTCAAGTCACTGACCCGGATACATATCAATTCCATAGGTGTACATCCATTTACCAAAGCCAGACCGAACGGAGCCGCAAGTCAAGGAGTAAACCACCGATCCTAGGACTTCGAGTACGAACAGCTGATTATACACGCGTTTATTCCGGCATGCACTAGCCTTAGCTTCAAATGAAAACCATCATTCCTAAAGCCTGTCGGAGAGAGAAACGGGAACCTAATGATGACGCGTTCGTATTCTTACACTCAGCCACCACTGCAGATGCGGCTCCCCCTTCGGATGGATGGATCATTAGCGCTTAGCCTGCGAACAAATGAACGATCTCAGACCGTCCGGCCCTGGCAACACTCCTACCAACTCCCAGCGCTAACAATTAAGCAGGTTTGCTTTCTTACGTCGACGAAGCACTCCACGATTCACCTCCAGAACCACAAGAAGTCGAACCCACCACCACCTTCTCCAAAGCCCTCTGCGACGCATCGTGCTCACTTCGACTCCCCATACTTTCCCTCAGACCAAGCCTACGGTTACGTTTACCGGACACGTATACGTACCAGACACTCGGAGACGTTGATCCCCCATATTCCCATTTACCCCCCGATCGCATACATGCTTAATCACCGCCCACGATTTTAGTCTCTCAAATTTCTCCGACAGAGCCCTTGTGCGGGCTCCTAACCCCAGTACCAAGCAGCGTCAAGTTCACCTTACCTCTTAATTCGCAAGACCCACCCCTGGCGTGTGAGAAGGCAGTTATCGAATTCTCATTATACAAGACATGCTTCACAAGTGCTAATTTACCCAATCTTTAATTATCCCACCCTGCAGGTCGGGTATACATCGCCCCCTCATCTTGGCCCCTGGGGTTTTTCTCACCCGTGTTCCTTATTTATAGGGCGCGTCAAGTGAAACGGGCGGACAGGCAAGGAAGAGTTATGGGTATTGACAACTCGGACTCGAAGCAACCTGACATCTCGTACCACTCCGACGAAGCCAAGTACCGTGACTGAAGATCCCTCCCTCCCTGAGGGATTCCCCCCTCGTGTGGAAGGACCTATCATCTGGGAAGGATAAGACTGGACGAGCGAGGACCAGTGGGTGTACCAACTTCGCGACGCCGAGCTGGAGGAGATCAACCGGGCGCACCAGTATTTCAAAGGTCTCCCCCCCTCATTTTTCGAATTGTGGCTCTAACTCAGCCTAATTTCTGCTAGGCACAGGAAAACCCACTAGGCTACATCAGCAAAGAGACGTTCCCCCCTTCCTCACCTTCGCTCGCGAGCTCTACTCTTGCCGGGGATTCTTCGTCTTACGAACCATCCCAATCGAGCAGTACACCCAAACAAACTTGGCGATCCTCTACGCTAGTACGCTCTTCTCATTCCCCAGTGTGCATCCATTTATTCACTCCCAACAGGTATATCCTCACACGTCGGCTCCGCCCGAGGAAAACAGGAGCTGTCCTCGCGCACATCAAAGACCTCACCGTCAGCCAGCAAGGCGGGATCGGGAACTCGGCGGACAAGCAGGTCTTCCAAACCGATGTCGGTGACCTCATTGCCTCGCTGGCTATCGTACACACCAATACGTCTGTAGGATATTGGGTTCCGCTTTTCAGCACAGCATGACTGTAGATTGGCAAGGTGTCAGGCAACGAGACAGCAGACTGAGCTCCAGGAGCACCAATAATAGTCCTGTTATAGATCTTTGTCGATTTTGGCAATGACGCTAATCAAGTCTCTTGGACAGTTTCTTCTTTGGAGAGTGCCGGCACGAAGCCGGTATGAATACACAGTAGTAGCGAGAGACGAGTTGGATCCCAAAATGGACTGGTCGGTCGAGCCCAGTAGCAAACGTGGCAAGGGCTCAATGTCTGGCTGTATGCCGGCTAAGTGACCATATTGGGCGCGGTGAAGTAGACATTACGGACATTGTTTTCGTCGTCCATGAAGTTGAGCTCGAGCTCCTGTTAGGATCCAAGTCAGTTCTATTCCGTGTAGGATAATGGCGATACCACGCCCTGCGATGGTCCACCACTTCATAGAAAAAGGATAGACTGAATATAGGGAAAGTTGGCGTACGAATTGGACAGAGAGCTGTAGTAAAGTAAAGAAGTTTGGGATAAGAAGGAATAATAGTCTGTGATACTAGCTAAATGCAATAACTCTGAGCTTTACATATCTCCTGCCCGCGATGGGCGCTTCTCATCTTTCCGGCGGGAGACATGATCCTCGTATTCGATGACAGAGATGAGAACGACTTGGAGCGTCTCAGACTTTTCCTCGCGGGAGTTTCTTGAGAACGTCTTCATTTGAAATAGTCAGCTGTGTTGACTGGAAACATGCCCTCTGCTTACCTTAAAACTAGGAATAGGGACTTTCGGGAAGCTCATATTGAACTCCGATGCCTCAACTGTCCCAGTCACTATGCATGAAATGGTAAACACGAGAAAAATATTCAAATAACACTAGAGCATACCAACTATTAGAGGTTCCCTATCGACACCACTGCAGTGTTTTAACACCGACTCTCCATGATTTCTCAGCCATTCGTGAGCGAGGTCGAGTACAGCGTCTCCTGCCATTGCAAATCTTGGCCGAGAAATACTGACCGAGTAATTCTCGGTGGGAATATCAGTCACCCTACGTTTCAATGTTAAAAAAACAGACTATGCCAAAACGAAGAAAAACACACCACCCCTGAGAATTTCGAATATTGATATTAAAGGAACTTGTCGAAGGTCCTGTCGACAGCCAACGTGAAAATATGTCCGTAATGTGCTCGATCGTGCCATCATTCTTAAGTAGTGCAACATCTCCCACCCTAGTCCCACACGCAAGCCATAATGGCACAATCTTGCCTTAGTGCCAGGAGAAGTAGTAGTCAGTGCATGCATTTCAAGCGCACAACAGGAAATATATGTACCTCGAAGGAAGGCCTCATCCTCGATGGCATTTTCTGCGGTCTGTGAACTCTGTGAACGCAAAAACACTCGGGTAGGATATGTAAGCCGTGGCATTCGTGGCCTTTGGAGCTCATTTAAAATAAGTCCTGTGGATGTATCCGAACGGACATAGGCCAAAATCACCTGCATGTGACGGTTAGTGAAGAAGACAAAAAGTCGAATTCGAAATCTTTACCTTGATACAGGCTTTGATGACTCCCCACTCTTCTCGAGTAAAATACAACTGAGCTTGGATACCATTTCGGTTCTTCCATACACCAAGGTTGACTGACGTTTTAAGACCTTCAACAAGCGCCACCGTCATCCTGCGCAAGAATGAGAAGTAAACGCCACGACAGAAGCCGATACTCCAAGACGTACAAGGTATAACCCCGTAGGGTTTCTTCGAGATTTTCATTGAACGCCCTGCTGAACGCCGGGTTGCGACTGGATGCTGTCTTGTAGGGTTTCTGCGACCCTTCATGCTCTCCAAGTATCGCACCCAAGGTATAAGTAAACCGGTATATCCTCTTCGTCAGGTATTCGACTTCTATAATCTGGCCCTGTGAGAGTATATGATTTGCGGGAGCTCGTCGACCACGATGGTTGATCGTACCTTTACCTGCTTATATGTATCATTGAGGTCGTCCAGGAACTCTCCCGCCAATTTCATTACTGGACTGAGTAGCGCCGTTACCCTAACTACGTCAGCCACGAAGCCACAACTGGGTATTGAGATTGACGCAGGACGCTGTTAATGAAGGTCTCGTTTTAGTCCTACGTATGAACCAGTAGTGTGAAGCATGGAATAGACACTCGCCTGTATAGCATCTGGAAACTCGCCTTTGGGTAGCAAGGGAGATTCGGGATTGCTGATCTCTCCGCTCGGTATAACCGGAATTGACGATGACGATGGTTGTGGCGGCTCTGCCTCTGCCCTCGCCCTCATCACGCCCTCTTCTTCGTCCTCATTATCCTGCTCATCGATAGGCGGGCATTTGATAAGGGACCGCGAGGGTTCAGAAAGCTTCCCATCCCAAACGGCGCGCCAGAAGGTACTGAATCTGTTGCGGCGAAAGGGTTTTGCTGCGATGAGCTCGCGAGCTTCCTTGGTGGCGGCCTTGAATAGGATGTTCAATTTCATCAGAGAAATTTCCGAGCGGTAGGTTGTGGTGAAAATAAAGAAGGAGACAGCGAAGCACGTCCCATTATAGTCAAGATACCGGCGGGAGGGGTGGAGCAAAAATAGTCACCGGTGACAGTGCATTCGTCTGACTTCTATTTCAAGGTGAATGCAGATACGTTTAACGGAGATGAGTGCAACTAGCTCTAGGTAGAAGCCCCGCAAGACAACAGCCTGTCGTTGACGGCCGGAGAGCATAGATATAAGCCTGGCAAGTATCGCACACGCGACAGCATATTTCTCCACGGACAGTAAAATGCTGCTCAAATGTCCAGACTTGTTGCCTCAGAAAATTATTCCACCGACAAAGTGTTGAAATACAATATCTTCTGAAGACCAAAAATCAATAATCTGTCCCACGATTAATACCAAAGACTACTCATCACTGCTTTATCCTCGCCACGAAACCGCTCTCTCCCGACTCCTCATACAGCTACCAGCACTGTATACAGCTGACCGCTCCCTCTTCGGTCGTGAATACCACTTCCTCCCATTGGTAGGGATACCAAATCGAAGGCCCAAGAAACAGAATCCAGAACAGCTTGGTCTACTGTAATTGCGAGTGAGACCGCAAGGGAAGAGGATAGCATGTGAGAATGGAATCGGCCCGTAAAATAAGTAATGAATGTACTACGCATGTTTGGAATAAAAACTTTGGTGCTTCAAATACACCATGCTCAAAAGTAGACAGTGAACATGCCAGTAGCCGATGTACCATGCAATGGAACATCGAACTTTTGGTTTGGAATACGGCAATAGCGATGGGCTCAACGCACCTCTGGAGACTAGGCATTCTGAAGACTTGCACGAGTTTCCACCAGAGGCGACAGCCTATGATATTCAATAGAAAAGGAAAATGACGAGTGGTTCTGTACGATTTTAGGTATTGCGAAAAGGAATCAATCCCCTGCTTTACTCACATTACTTAGTGTCCAACATAAGTGTTGGTGATGTAGAATAGTCCTCTTGCGGCTAATGCGATGTCATGAAACAGAGAAGACGGGTCGAAATAGCTTGCATACTTGTAACTTGGCGACGTCCAAGTCCAGCCTAACATAAATTTGAAATAGCTCTGCATGCTCAGAGGCACCGCCACTGATTTGGCCCCTATTCACCGTCTCCCATGGCTGCCATATTACCCGCAGAGGTCATCGAGCTTATCATACACGAGGCGTGGAAGCTCCCCCTTACCAATAAAGACCGCCTCGCGTTCATGAAAACATCCCTATGCATATCATCACAATGGTTGTTTGCCTTTTTGCGAGAATCATTGACGGACATCTACTTCGTATCGCCAAGCTACTCCTACTACCTCACCATTCCCTATAGATACCCTCAGCAACCGCCTCGTATCTTAACCATCAACGCAACACAATTTTCTCTCCACGATTACTTAGTCCGTCACTGTCGTTCAATTACCATCGGACCCACCTTTGGAACAGTGATGCGAGCCAACTTCATTGTCAGAAACATCACGCGATGTCCCATGATTACCATGCTATTCGAAAACTACGCTCAAGGATATCCTTCCTGGCTATATATCCAGATCCAGGGCCTTTTCATTAACGCCCACAAGGATGGCCACTTGCGGCTGATATTTACGTACGATACAACGGATATTGACTATTCACCTCGTGACCGATACGCATACGCCTCAGAGCAGCACTTCTACCATGCAGACAAAACTAGGAAACCCTGTCGTTGTCGTCCTTTCACTGGTGTGCGGACGCTTGAGATGAAAGGGGCGAATCCTTGTGCTGTCTTCCTGACTGTGGAGGCCTGTCCTGACCTCGAGGTCCTTGAGACGGATGTTGACAAGAGTAAAATACAAGCAGGCTTTGATGTTGCTAATGCTCGTCCCCCAGCATCATGTCCTGAAGAAGCATATTTCTTCAGTACGGATAACCGGCATTATCCGACGGAGGAGATGCGATGGCCCAACAGAAGGAGGCGCCCTTCTCAAAGGAGATCAGTACTGCAACTGGACCTTCCAATTTCAGGAGCAGAGGGCTGTACGTCAACGCGGATTATCAGGGAGAGAAAATCTATCCGGCCTTCTGAGAATGTTTTGCCACGTAACGGCACCTCGCCACCTGCTGGCGGTGACGATCATACAAAAAAGACTAGCTTTGCCCACCGAATGCGTGCGTTTCTCAGGATATTCTGTTTGGTAATGTCTTTTGGGCCGCTATCCACAACGCTGGAGAACTCACAGAGAAATTCAACAGGCTTTCTGAAACTGGAGTCGATAGCTTTACGCAAGGAGAGACGATGGAAGGATCTCTCTGAGTCTCATGAAAAACATGGAGACGTTATGCATGCACAGACTAAAGGACTAATTCATATGCAAAAGCGACTGCCGGTGAAGAGTGAGCAGAGGATAAACCAAACAGTTTGCGTGTAAAATTTGAAGAGCCTTCCGGGGCTCGGAATGGTTCCTTCCCTCATCGTATTGATTCATTACTTCCATCCATATTCCAAATTATCAGCAATCTTTTGATACGACCTTACAGTAGTTCTGAGGTTCGCAAATAAGCCGTCACAAAGCCGTCACAAAACCATCAGTCCATGTCTCCGATATTGCAAAAAGTTCAACTACAGTAGTAATCATACGGCATCGCAGTTTCTCGTCTTCCCTGGCCTTTCTTCGATTAGCCGAAAAGCCTACTGGTCAACGGATAGGGCCCGTTTTTTGACAAAACGCATGTAATTACAGGCGACAGTTTTTTAATAAAAGCCTCTCCCTCCCCAGGTCTTACTGCTGTCCCAAGACTCGTCATTGTCTGTTCAGTTACACGCAAAGGGGTCCTCATAATGAATTAAAAGACATGGGGTCGATTGAAAATTTTCGTGCACCGGCTTGGTCTGCCCTACAGCTTGCTTCGAGGATGCGTCAGATTCGGCGTAGCATCGTAAAGGAGGCATGGGTAAGCTATACAAGATGGTTGCGCCTAGCTGAACGCGCTGCCCCTGAGTAATGAGCGATCAGTGCAAGTGCGCTATCGGGATTGACCGAAACCAACTTGTTTCTTGCAATCCGTCCATAACCTGACTACTTATATCGCCGCTTCCTTGGAAACTTCAAGCTTCAAACACGTTGTCCAAAGGGTTGGGTCATTGCCGAAATTCCGGAGCACAAGTCTGACTATGTTGTCAAGTCATAGAGCAGGGCGATGAGAGCGTGTCCAATAGGCGGGGACTGCTCAGATCTAATTCAGGGGGTAAAAATGCCCCACAGACGCCCCGAAAGGTGACAGGTCAGTCACATCCAACATTTCAGGGAAAAGAGTCCATACCAGGTAACAAAGATGATTCTGTTTAGCACAGCAATTCGGACTTTGGAAGGGATATACATTTTGACGACTGAATGCAGCAGAAATGAGGAAATTAACGAAATAACAGACATACCATAACATCCTTCTGCTCACTGCCCGGGCTGTCCTCACCGTGACAATGAAACGGAAGTTTATTATATCTTAACCTCAGCTATGAGGAATATCCGTAACGCAGTAACGAGTGATTAGAATCGGTCACTACTGCGACAGATTATCGAGCCACGCCAGGGTGATGTCGATACCCATACCATGTCCGAAGTCACCAGAAACGATGCGGCGGATTGATGTCTCGGACTAGTTTCTTTCGGTGTCACAGCATCAGCCGACTATGGTCTGTGTTTCAACACATCAGAGATTCAGCAATGTTTAGCAGTGATTCTGGGACCATATGAAAGTAGGATCATTGGGGTAATAGAGGCCGAGGCAAGCAAAAACAAAGGATAGTGCTGAGTGTCAGAGCAACGACGAACGAATCACGTTGATGATCGCCTCTTATCCTTCTCAGTTTAACAACATTCCGGCCACGATCCCCCAAAAAATCAAATCATCGTCTACCTAACCTAGAACCAATGTCTTTCTTAATCATTTCCCTCAAACGTGAAAGACCTGGATTTGCGATGTAAAGCACATATAGTCATACAAAATCATACATTTATCTGTCGAGTACAACATGACACACAGCGTGTGCTTCAAACATTGCCCTACAACGAAGAGAACAACGATCAGCCACCACACCACACCGGCACCAATAACACAGAGCACTCACCCTAAAGGACAAAAACGAGATTTCACGTTCACGTTCCCAACTCGGTCGTACCATTCCACGTCGCCGTCGCCATCGCTTCCCCTACCACCCGCCCCGCCCGACGTACCCTGTAAGGACGGGGCTCCTAAGAGCCAGCAAAACCGTCAGATATCATCATCATCCGAATAAAACTCGTCCTCATCCTCCTCATCAACCGTCGCCAAATTCGTAAAATCAACCTTGTACCTCAACAATCCCCCAATCCCCCCAAAGCCCTTCACGAACTGTGCCCCCTCCTGCGACCGGTTCGTCACAAACTCGAGGTTGGCGCCAAACTCTTTGTACTTTTCGGCGAACCACTCGAGGAGCGCTTGGGGTTCTTCGGATTGTTCCATTTCGAGGCCGGTGGATTTGTCGAGGAATTTGGTGCGGTCTTTGTCTTGTTCTTTGTTGTGGTAGACGATGATGTCCTCTGTTGGGGGAAGGAAGGGGCGAGGTTAGTGGTGGGGACAAGGAGGGTAAGTAATAGATTGCGAACCTCCAGCGGCGTTACGAAGGATGTAACGCATGATATCTAGATTCTCCCATACGATCAGAGTCTCGACGGCTCCAAGTTCGAGAGCCTTGAGGGTGTCTTCAATGCCAAAGCAGTACTTGCCCGTATCTTGACTAATTTCGTCAAAGTACTTTTGGATGAGCCGTTTCTCCTGCACAAACTTGACGTTCGCAAGAGACTCTGCAGCGAGTTCGATAGCCTGAAAAAACCAATGATTAGAACACGATGCCCCCCACAAACCCACCAAACCCACCTGGTTAAACCCATTCTCACCACCATAACTAACATCCACAACTTTAATAATCTTAGCCGCCAACCTCAAATCGAACATATCACTCTGACTGAGCTCCGTCTTGAAATCGGCGCTTCCCGCCAACACGAGGCCCGTGACGTTGACTTTATCGTTGGTGATAAAATGCTGCACGGCCAGCTCGGCCACCTTGCGCACGTAGTTGTGTCTTTTCTCATCACGAAGACGGGAGAAACGGAGTGCGGATTGACCACCTCGACCGTGCTTCTTGGGGAGGTCGACAGTGAATTTATGGATTACTTCACGGGTGTTACCCGCGAGGGTCCCGAAAAGGGTACCGTTTCCGTCCATGACGATGAACCCAAAGCGAGAATCGGACTCGAGAAGTTCCGAGAGAGCTTCGGTGTGGAACTTGTTGTCGCAGAGGTAGAGGGACCTGGAGGTCGGGTGATTAGGATGCTTTTTTTTTTGGTTTTATTGGGGGAACGTACGTATTAACAGGCTTGTGAGGCTCAAAATCGAAGGAGACCTTCTTTTCCTTGCCTTCGTCTGTTAGGATGGTGCCCACGAAGAGCACGAGGCCGTTGGGGGGCACTCGATTGTAGAGCTTGAGGCGCTGTTGGGTACTGGTGATGGCAGCGAGGACGGAGAGGCGATTGACTCTGGATTTGATGTTGGACGCTGTGCCGTATTCTTGGGTTAACATGGCGGATGCTCGGGATACTTGATCCTGCGGGGGGATAGTGCTGGTTACTACCACACGATGGATGGTTACACTGACGAATGGACTGACGGACCTTTGGGGGAAGGATCAAGCTGATCATGGACGTTCCTGCTCTGAAAAGTAAATCAGCATCGTAAGAACAAGCAAGCAGGGAAGGAAGGACGTACCCTCTAGCAGAATCAAGACTCTTGATCAGTTTCTTGATTTTCCACATCTGAATATTCTGCTCCGCCACATCTTGGGACATTGTATATGCACTTTGTTTATGTAGAAACGAAAAACGAAAAAAAAAAGAGAAGAAGAAGAAAGGGGGGGATATGAGCAAAGGCCCACGATGATGGTAGGAAAGAGAAAGAGGAAAAGGAAGGGAGCCGGGGCTGCTTAAAATTTCCAGCACGTGGCTTGATCGAATCACTCGTTACTTATTTCTAACTCTCCACCCTTGTCGCGTCGCAATGAGCCGCGTCAAATCTTACCTCTTCTGGAGCACATTCCAGGCTCGCCAACTCGTCCGGAATGTCCTAATGAAGGAGCCCCAATTCGGGATGCACCACCAACAGCTATTCAACGAGATCGTCCGGCAATACCCACACGAAAAGCTCCCTACACACCTCATACCCCTCCAAGCCGAGCACACCCGGGGTCCCCCAGTCCACGGCGGGGAATACGGCAAACCCGAACCAGCACTAGCAGACCACCCCGTCCGGTCCATGAGGTACGCCTATCCCCCCCTCCCCTCCTCCCCCTCCCCACCCTCACTCACCCACCCACCCCCCTACCCTAGATACCTCAAAAAGGTAATCCTCGAAGACATGCTCCGCCTCAACGAAGTCGAAAAAATCATCCTCACCCCCGACCGCGACGCCAAACGGACAAAAACCAACGCTCTCTACGTCAAGCACCCCGGGCCTATCAACGCCACGCAGATGTACCGCTGGCGGGTCGTACCCGGCTCTCAACCGGCGGAGGTGGCAGATCCCGACCCGGAGGAGATGTTCGAGGCGAGACGCGTGGAGGCGTGGAAGAAGAAGGTGCAGGAGAAGAATAGGCTGCTGCCTCCGGATTTGAGGATTTCGACGAGGCATCCTCCGGTGAGTCGTGTGTGTGGTAATGTGGATTTGGGCTTCTGACTGGGGATTTAATTTTTAGCCTCCTAAACGTGAGATGTGGCTCCGCGAGAGGGAAGCGCGGGACAAGGTCTGTCTGTTTCTCTCTGATCCCTTCTCACACCGTTAACACAATATCCAGGGAATAGACGATCCGTTCGTGGTGCGCTCTCTACATTTTCGTCTCTTTCACCAAAGTTTACGCGCTCAATAGTACAAGGACGACGTACGGAACCCTCACATCCTCTCGAACGCAAAGGTGTGTGCTTTCTCCATCACAGAAGCACGAGTTCTCTGACGCGTCTCCAGAGCGAATACCAGAGGTCTAGTACTTCAAGACGGCCCGAAGGAGTCGACCATGACATCGAGGAACAGGACACCTTTTCGAGCGTGAGTCCTCTTCTCCTCATAACCCACTCTGTCTCCTTACAACGGCACGAAAAGTCGCCCTCAAGACAGAACCCAAACGACGACATATACGAGGACTCTGAAGATGGCGGGCTTGAGGACCTTGAACCCGAACCTGCCTCGGTACGTCCTGTCCCTACAACCTGCTGGTAGAATCCCTTATCTTCTTTTTCCAGAGTGTCGAAGAGGCCGACGAAGCTGGGGAGCAAGCAGTCTATGATGCACTCTTCGCATCAGACTCCGATATCGAAGAGGACGAAGACGAAGACGAAGACTACACACGCACCATCCCATCCTACCGCCAAGGCAGCCTGAATCATCGTCGAGAATTCTCTCTCGCCGCTGGACAGGCAAGTCTCTCTCCTCCGTACCCTCTCAGCTCATCTCATCCTTCCTTTATCTAGAACGCGCCTCCTGAACCGGAATCACGCGAAAACCCCAACCTCAGCATCCCTCCCTTCCCAAAATTCAACGAGCACGAAATCCCCGGCCTCAGCGACAAGGAGAGGCAGCGACTGGAATCATGGCGGGAGACTTTCCGGCAAGGGGTAGAGGTTCACCAGCTCATTCCATTCCTCACCTTACCTTTCCTCACCACCTGTCTCTCAGGAAAAAATCCAAAAGATGAAACGAGATCCCGCGAACCCCATGATCAAATTACTGGAAGATCAGTACGACGCTGAAGACAAACCCTCCCAGGATGAGGGCCCGCAGATAAATTTCCTTAGGCATGGGTTACATTCGACTGTTTATAAGAGACCGAGTAAACCTCGGACCCCGTACAAGGTGGGTCGATCCTTAATAGTATTGATTATCGATTCTCGCGTTTACGTCTACGGTGCTGCTATGTAAGGAATCTGAACTGGAGGGAGAGGTACGTTGCTTGTCTTTCGTAGTCTTCCACCGGCCTGATGACATACAAAAGGACATGACACCTAGCACTCGACAAAGGCCATCGTCCCCAGATACAAAACCGGTACGACCCTTCCTCTCGCAGTCGGCCATTCATTCCCATTTTGACCCTCTTCGAAACAGGAAGGCAGCTCAACATCCGTATGCACGCCCTAGCTTTCTTTAACACGTCCCAGATACTGATCGTTTCCCAAAGAGCGACCCCTCCCCACGCTCACAGATAACCTTCCTCAAAATAGAGCCCTACGAGAGGTCCCGGAGACCTCGAAAACCTCCCAAAGTAAGTCGCGCTCCGCTTGCTTGCTTATGTCGCTCACTGTGTAGGAACCCGAACCCGAGCGCTGGGATCGAGACCTGCCAGAGGTACGATTCCTGTAATTCCCACCTTAGACGTGGCTGATGGATGGATGGACACTACTAGGATATCCTCCCCCCAGCGATTGACGTTCGGAAAGACGCCCCTATGCCGATACCAGACGTAACAGTGGTGCGTATAATCATAATCCTTCCCTCTCATTCACTATCAATCCTCCACGCGCTGATACCCCTCGAAACAGCGTATCGGTTCCACAGTAGTACGTATCCCCCGCCCCACCCCACTCCCATGTTCATTTCCGTTTCCATTTCAGGACGTCAGACACAGTCGCGCGACCCGCCTATACGAATCTCTAGCTCGAAAATCCTCCACGGGGCCCTTTGCGGTACCCAAGCTCATAATTGAAAGGGACCCTGCTACGCGTCCGTCAAAAGGGGACTATCTCGTGAGTAGGAATCAGAGTCTTTGTTTCGCTTGCTTGTTGATAAATGGGTTTTAGCGTTCTTCGACTCCCCGTGGGCCTGGGGATCCAAGGAATCCGAATCGGAGAGTTGGAGATGCGGAAGAAATAGATGATATGCTGGACTAATAATACTTTCCACTCCCTAATAAGAAAGAATATCCCACGCTGATAAGATAAGCGGCATACGAAATTTCTCGCCAACGCGACATCATTTTTACTCGGTAAGCACGAACACGGACTCAGATGCGAGGATGGCCAGTTAGCATCGCTCGCACAGTCATTCCCTTCCCAACACCGCCACCATGTAGAAATCTCCTTCCCAAACGCGCACTCACCACGCGTCCCGATCCATTCCTTCTTGTCTCCGACCAACTCGCCCAAGTCCGCGGAGCCCTGTTCGATCTGCTAGGTTCTTCAAGCCCAGCCTTGGACGAAATAGCGAAATACTACTTCCTCCAACCCTCAAAGCAGCTCAGACCACTGATTATCCTCTTACTCGCCCAAGCAACAAACGGTCTCGGAAAAAACTGGAACCAGAAGCGGCAGGAAGGCATCCAAGACCTCGACCTCCCCTTATCACGCCCAGACGTACTCAACGACTTTAACCCAAGCATCCCCACCAAAACATCCCCCTTCTCCCAAAAATGGGACCTCCACCCTCCCACCACCACCACACCCACACCCACACCCAACCCCCTCCTCCTCCTCCCCACCCAAACCCGCCTCGCCCAAATCGTCGAAATGATCCACGCCGCCTCCCTCCTCCACGACGACGTCATCGACGAATCCCCCCTCCGGCGCGGCGTCCCCTCCGCCCCCCACGCCTACGGCAGCAAGCTCTCCGTCCTCGGCGGTAACTTCATCCTCGGACGCGCCAGCGCCGCCCTCGCGCGTCTTGGAGACCCCGAGGTCGTCGAACTTATCGCGAGCATCATATCCAACCTCGTCGAGGGGGAGATCCTCCAGATGAAGGAGGCCCCCGCACCGGCGAATGCGTGGAGGGTCTATTTGCAGAAGACTTATATGAAGACTGCGAGTCTTATGGCCAAGGGCGCGAGGGGCGCTGTCGTGCTTGGGGGTTGTGTGGAGGGTGAGGTTTATAGAGAGGTGGCTTATGCGTATGGTCGGAATTTGGGTATTGCTTTTCAGGTGCAGTAATTCTCATTCTCGTTTCTTTACTCGCTCACACTCTCTTAGCTCGTCGACGACATCCTAGACTACGAAGCCGGAGAAGCAACACTCGGAAAACCCGGAGGCGCCGATCTCCAACTCGGACTCGCTACAGGTCCTGCCCTATTCGCATGGGAAGAACACCCCGAAATCGGACCTCTCATCGAACGAAAATTCGCCCAACCAGGCGATGTCGAGCTGGTACGCCTCCCTTCTCCTCTCACCCAAGTACCCTTCTCATAAAAAACAGGCCAGGGACTACGTGCGCAAGTCATCAGGCGTAGAACGTACTCGCGATCTCGCTCTTGCATACGCCAAGCAAGCCCGAGACGTCCTGGCACCTCTACCCGATAGCGACGCCAAGGGAGCACTCGAAGCTCTAACCGAACGCGTAGTAAAACGGAAATCATAGCCCTTGCTTGTATCCCTTATCTTTATTATTCAATTCAGCTTTATATCCTTGCTCACGTCTGTGGAAGATAATCTATCACTGATTTGTATTCTACACACTTTCAGCGTGCCACTCAGGCCCTCATCCGCATCCTCGTCGCTCGGCAAACTCTCACATAACACGTCTTTCGCCCATCACGATACACGGTCATCAAAACATGTGATGAACACCGCTGAATCCCCCGCTCTCGCCAGACCCGTGAGATACCTATTCAAGTACATCATGCCCGCTTCGGAAGCTCCTCCCGTGAGTTTGAGAGCAATCAACCAACACAGAGGAAAGAGGAACTTGAACGATTACTACTAACCCATCCCAGCCTTCCAACCACACAACTCTGCCAATTTCCTCGGGCGGCGGTGGGTCCGATCCATAGTATAAAGATCGATGAGAATGTTGTGCTGGGACTGGCGCCAGGAACGCTTGGAATTTGGGGCGTTGACCATAAAGGCAGAACCAGGGCGTCCTTACTCCTATGGCAATACAGGTAAACCGCCCCTAGAATCCAGGGTCAGCCAAAAAAATCCTGGATCCCACACCCCGGAAGGCTTCCATGTGTGCGAACTTGGGATAGGTCTTGGGGTCGGGGTGCTGCAGTGTTAGTCGTCAATGGAGAACTCGGTGGGGAGAACTTTACGGGCGTCGGCGTCGTTGGTTGAGTATGTTGAGGGGGGGATTTCAAGGCTAACGATGGACGTGTACACCCGCTCTGCCCAAGAAGCTACGATACGGCAAAAGGTCCTTTTGGAAGTTAGTGAAACGCCATTCCTCCGAGAGAGAATCTCAATACGGATAGCCAACCGTATAGAATTGAAGGTAACCCGAAACCACATTCCAATTCTGTTTCCCGTTTCTCTGTTTCGATGCAAACGAGGTTCCTCACAATATTCGACTATAAGGTACGCCAAAGTTGCATTCAACTATCGATGAAACAACCAATGGAAAAACGGGTATGGGTCCGGTATCACGCTGCCCCGTACTGTTCTCCACCCCGCAACCCAATCCACACCACACCATAGCAGAAACCTAAATGACTCCATTCCACTCTCACCAATTACCTTCTTTTCCGTATCCGCATGCCCATCCACTACGTAGGGCATGATAAGAAATCATAGCCCCGGCCTTCAAGTAACCCTTATCCTTATTATTCAATCCATCCCGACTCGGACTTGGAAGATACTATTTACATTTTCAGGGTACCACTCAGAACCCCGCCCGCATCCTCACAACTCTCACATAACACGTCTTTCGGGGCCCATCATGATACGCGGTAGCATCAAAACGCCTCTGTGCATAGCGAAATCCCCACTATCCCCTCGCTGGGAGGTCCAGCTCGATAACCCGTGATATGCCTATTCAAGTACATCCCGCGTGCGTCGAGAACCCGGAAGTGCCCCCCCCCCCCTCTCTCCCCCCTGAGTTTGAGAACAGCCAATGTCGAAGCAGCGGTTCATCAGCGAATCGGACAAAAATATATACGCCCATATAAGCCCGTGGCAAGGCTCAAAATGCTTGGCAACGTCCGAAATAATTGCGCGAAGCTTATATGCCCATATGAAGCGTGGAGGATTGATAATTCTTCATGTATCATTATGAGTATTTCTTATGTCAGTAATGCATATCAGGCTTCGAAAGGTATCAGTACCATTACTTGATGCCATAGGCAGGTATAACATGAGCTCATATTATAGTGAGTCTGTAACATCGTAAATGTATTGTAACAGTTTTTGGTACTATGCTTATTGTCATTCATGGAGAAATTCGCAGAAACTTTTGAGAAACTCAGAAACAGTCCATTTGTTATCACGGCACAGAATATTGGTACATCATTTATATAAATTGGTCTCGAACTTTATACTGTATGTTCTCCTCGCTCTTGCTCTTCTCTCTTCGCTGCTAATCGCTTGACAGAGCCGCCGTTAGGAAGGGACTGGGAAAGTTGAGTCTTTCCAGTCTTGAAAACACTGCTAGGAAACAGAACATCAGTAGGTAATCTCGCATCAGATGGGGGAATCACTTAGTCCACCATTCCAATACGGCCTTTGCCTTTGCCTCCGCAATAGGTCCAGGGGCATCCTCAAAGTAATCCACGATGTTGTTGAAGAAGACGTGATAGTCGAAATCACCATCAACTTGTTGCCAGCCGCTCTGCGTCAACGCAATCCGAAGCTATATAGCTAAGATGAGCACGCAACCCTAGATAGAAGCATCAAAGAACCCAGCTTGTACAGCCACATAGGCGATACTCCGTGCGGTCACTGACTTCAAACCAACATTATTAGCTACACAATGTGGTGGATTTCTCTTCTGTCGTTTGGCACGAGAGACCGGCATATTGAGATCAATCTCGTCTGCAGATTGGGGTGATGTCATGAGGCACTTCCAAGCCTGTCGAGAATATCAGTAAGAGCAAAATGAGATAGCCCATTGAATAACCTTCTGTAAGATTGGAGACTGCGCAAAACCTTCATCGTTATCGTTGTGGTCCTTTTCAGGGTCAGGGAACAGGAATCGAGGCCAGGATTCTGCGGTAACTGGGTACTGCGGATCACCGTTCTGTATTGCTGCACGTACACTAGATGATGGGATGTCAATATAGATCTTTGAGTGGCCATACAACATACTCTGGATCCGACCAATCATACTCAATAGGACACAGAAAGGCTCCCGTGATGTAATGGTCAAAACCACGACCAATGCGACTCTCGGTATCCAATAACTCCTCTTGCATATCAGTGAGTTTGATTGAGCGATTGATCCACTCGGGCACTTTCACCAGAAGACAATGAGTGTCAACCGTTCTGGCAGCGCTGGCACCGTTGCTGAGCTTCAATTGAAATTAGATGACTACGGAATGCTAACTCAAATATAGAGGGCTTACCGAGGTGCAGATATCATTGAATTCACCAGGTGTGGTCTCATTGCCTAGAAGAGACTTTTCAATACGAGGCCCAAGGCTCTCGATCATTGCCTTGTAGCCTCGAAAGAGTCTCTCTTGTCTGTAGTATACAGTAGATACTGTTAGTAGACACTTAAAGATTAATGAACAATATGACTTACTCCAATGTAGGTAGAGCAGAATCTTCGTCTGAGTCCGAAGATGAATCCTCTTCAATCTGCTGGCAGTCAGACTTTCTCATCCACGATGCTCCGGACACTGTCAAAGGGTGACATCACACGGGGAAGAGCACGTCCCATCTGTTTGAATGACTCTCTAAAAGAATAAATGGAGATGATAGCAAGGAGAGAGTCATTATTAAACTCACTGGTGCTTGACTTGGGGAGTACCCTTCAACGTGACCACTTCTTCTTCCAGCTCTGCAATGCGCCGTTTCAGAAGACCAATGTTCGAATGTGATAGCTGAGAGGATCCTGGTAGGTTGGGGATTTGCGATTCTTGGAGGAGTGATGCCATATTGCTTGAGATGCGACGTTAGCAAATTTAGCCATGACTTGAGTATTTATGTTGAAAGAACTGACTGCCGATTCGGAAGAAGAGCCTACTTCGGGTGCGCATCAGGAGAACAAAATGGATCTAGATGGTGAGAGACCTTGTAGGTCCGTGTCGAGCCCAATGGGCCTTCACGATGAGAGAAACTAGAATGGTTTGGAACATGATCAGGGTCTATCACGTGGTGCATCACAGCCACTATGACGCGTTAATCCGGTGATCGCGAGATGCCTGTATCTCGCCTCTCCGACTCGGAGCAACCAACTTATTAGACCGCCAACTGCATGCCCGTTTCTCAGACAATGCACCCCATCTCACTTCTCATCTTCATTCTCCTCATGTCCGAGCTTCTTCTTCCTTTTCCTGTGTTCCTGCTGAAGCGGGGTGTGGCCGAAAATTCAGTACATCCAAAGGACTTTCGCTTCACAAGAATCACTGTGAGGCCAGTATTAAATTACGGGCTCAAGTAAAACTGGACAAGCCTCGAAAGCACAAGAAGCGCAGACGTTTGGAGGATCCTGTTGGTTCTGCTAGAAGGGAGGGAGGACTGCTGGTCAATTTGGAGACGGAAAATGCTGAGACTAGTATTCAGGTATGTGCACAGTATATTATTCTTGACTATAATCTAAGCTGTCAAAATGCAGACAATAGACTACCAAGATGTGGATATGCCTGAAGATTTACCATTGTCATTTACACAGACTTTACCTGTACCAGAACGGCCACAACGCATGCATCGACTTCCTCGCAGATTTATTGACCATCTCCCAGAAGCTGCACCTGCAGCAGTTGCTGCCACCTCCGATGAACCGACACCCATTATCCCTCGTGTGCGTCTCATTGTCCACGATGCATTCAAGACCGTGACCAATGCATTCCATATCCTTCGCTTCTTTCCAAATCGACCATCCTACGATCCTGATGCATTCATTTCACCACAAGATCTCGCTAACTTTCCTGACTCCGCTGAGTCTGATTCGAGTGCTACGATTCCTGAAGAAATCGGCTCAGTGTTACCACCTCCATACCCTTACTCGAGCATGAGCACATATCGTCTCATGCAGTGGGTTGACTCTGGTAGCAACCTCAAATCTGAAAGCGAGGTTAACCGTCTTGTCAATGACGTTATTCGTGCACCAGATTTCCGTACAGACGATTTTCAGTCTGAGTCCCAGTTTGACGTGGGCAGAGAGCATCGCAAACTCGACACTGCGATTAACTCATCGCCCTCACTGAAGGATGGCTGGCGTGAGGCAACTGTGGATATCAAAATACCTACTGGAAATCAGGCTACTGGTGTACGTGTCTTTTCAGTCCCAGGATTTCGGTACCGACCTTTGGTTGAGGTCATAAAGGCCGCATTCACTGATGTGCAAGCACGCCTATTCCATCTTTCTCCATTTCGCCGTATATTCGTATCTCCACTCACTGGACATGAGACACGTATATACGATGAACTATACACCTCGGATGCCTGGCTGAATGCCCAACGAGTTCTCCAACGGGCCGCTAACGAACCTGGGTGCAAGCTAGAGAAAGTTATTGCCGCATTGATGTTTTGGTCTGATGCGACTCACCTTACCAGCTTTGGGACGGCAAAGGCATGGCCACTGTACACCTTCTTCGGTAATTTGTCCAAGTATGTCCGTTCAAAGCCAGACTCGGGTGCATGCCACCAAACGGCATTTTTTCCTTCAGTACTGCTCGTTACTCTGAGACTTAGTTCTAGCAGCTTACAAATATTTCTCAGCTTCCAGACTCAATATCCGACTTCCTCCGCACACTCAACATCAGTACGAATCAGCAGAAGAACTTGCTGACCCACTGTCGGCGCGAACTCATGCATGAGGCATGGAAGCTCCTTCTGGATGCCGATTTTGTCCATGCCTATATCCACGGCATCGTTCTCAAATGTGCAGATGGAGTTTATCGTCGTGTCTACCCCCGGATATTCACATATTCAGCTGACTACCCTGAAAAGTATGCTTTTATTTCCTCCATGGTTAAGCATTAACAGATAATTGCATATTGTACAGAGTACTCCTTGCTAATATTCGAGATAATGGCACATGTCTGTGTCCTCGCTGTCTTGTTCCCAAGAAGAAAGCCGATCAGATGGGTCTCATATACGATTTGAAGCTACGTGTTCGTCTGGCTAGGACATATCTGTTAGACGAGATAACGAGGGCACGCGATTTCATTTTCAATAAGGGATATACTGTCAGCAGTGCAGCAGTGGAGAGATTATGCCAACCGCAGTCAATTGTTCCGACCATGGTACGTTTACTATCTGGTTACCAATATATCAATTACTAATTCTACTGTCACAGAATGCCTTTGTGGAAAAACTCGGATCGACATTCAATCCCTTTCAGATGCTAGTCGTGGATCAGATGCATGAATTTGAGCTGGGCGTGTTCAAGGCTGTTCTTGTCCACCTTGTCCGTATCCTCTATGCAGCTGGTAAAACTAAGAAGAAGCAGCTAGTAGAGATTTTCGATGAAAGGTATGTGTACATGTACTATTTCTCGACTCCATCCTGTTCTCAGTTGATGCCTTTCCTCAGATTTCGACTTATTCCGACGTTTGGGGTTGATACCATACGAAAATTTGCCAACAATGTGTCTGAAATGAAGAAACTGGGCGCTCGGGATTTTGAGGACATCCTTCAGGTACGTCCGCCTTCCTAACACTATGTCCCAACTAACTGGCTGTAGAATTTAATTCCAGTTGTCGACGGGCTTCTCGATGAACCATACAACTCCTGGATTTTGACATTACTCTTTCGTCTCGCTGAATGGCATGCTCTCGCTAAGCTGCGAATGCACAGTGATGTTACCCTGGAACGACTCAAGAATTGTTCAACCACATTAGGAAAAGAGCTTCGCCGATTCAGGGAGTGGTCAAAGGAGTTTGACACAGTGGAGCTTCCGAGAGAAGTCAACACACGAGTACGAAGGGCCGCAAAAAAGGCTGAAACTGAAGCCTTTCGCCATAACGAAATGCAGCCACATCCAGTCTCTACGTCAAGTCCTCAACCGGGACCACAAAAGCGGCAGCTCAACATCAATACGTACAAGTTCCATGCCATTGCTGATTACGCTTCCACTATTCCTGTTTTTGGTACAACTGATTCGTACTCGACACAGACGGTTCGTGGAAGTCCTCTGTTCGCTAGATAACTGCTGATGATATCCAATAGGGAGAATTAGCGCATCGTACAGTGAAAGGATTGTATGCTCGGACAAACAAGTCTAATGCCACCAAACAAATTGCCAATCACGAGCGACGACGGCGACATTTCAGACGCCAGCTTGGAATACATGGCATGAAGAACATTTATCCGATAAAGGGTTCAAAGAAGGATTCGCGCAAGTCTGGTTGTGCAGAGCTCCATCATATCATATCAGAGTCTCGAAGATATCGACATGATATTGTTTCCTTTGTTCACCTAAACGGCCAAGATCCTGCCAAGACCGTGAGTCACAGACTTTTTTTTGATTCGGTGTCTGATATTAGGTCTTACAGAAGTTTATATTCAAGCTGAAAAACCATCTTCTCACCCGCTTACTCGGCCACGATTTTGATGGTGACGACGAAACGTACTCTGATGCGCAACGGGCGTCTGTCCACATCGTCAGCAACCGGATCTATGCTCATAAAACAATGAGGATTAATTACACTTCATACGACATGCGACGCGATCAAGATTCTGTTAACCCTCGAACACACAGCGACGTCATGATGCTTTCTCCCGAGACTGACGCTCATGCTCACCCATTCTGGTATGCTCGAGTTCTTGGGATTTTCCATGCACAAGTATGCCATACAGGATCGGAAGCTCGCAGCCATTCTGTCCAGAACATGGAGTTCTTGTGGGTTCGGTGGTATGGAACTGAGCCGGGCTACAGGTGGGGATTTAAGAGCGCACGCCTTCCAAAAATTGGATTTGTACCTGAAGACGATGAAGGGGCATTTGGCTTTGTTGATCCCTCTCTGGTTCTCCGTGCATGTCATTTGACTCCCGTATTTTCGGCTGGTCGTACTCGGACACTTCTTGACTTTTCCCCATCGGCCGCGCGACATCCAGGAGAAGACAAAGATTGGGTGAATTACTATGTCATGATGTGAGTTGTATGGCCTTTATCCGATTTCCTAGCTGACTTGTGGGTTGTCTTGCGGCAAGCTTTGTTGATAGAGACATGTATATGCGCTATGCCTGGTGGAGGCATTGGACATGATGCAGGACCCGAATCTCAAAGACAATGATAACGTGACAGGCGCAGATGATGAAGCCGCCATAGGCGAAGATACGCTGGAGGAAAGTGAAGAAGACGATGGCGAGGAAGACGAAGGCGAAGAAGACGAAGGCGAAGAAGACGATGGCGAGGATCAGAGCTCCGAGGACAGCGAGGATGAGAGGCCTTCCGAAGAAGGCACCGATTCTGATGGATCCGTAGAATCGAGCTACCTTGATGTCGAAGATACTGGGTTTTCTGACTTGTAGTACATTTACATGTCAATGCAATCACTAGTACCACTTTACAACCAGTTTGTGTAAGCCAGACCGTATTTTATTGAGCTTATGGTAGCAATGTACGGGATAAAAATAATCCTATGCAATCTTGAAGGCTAACATATCATTATGGGGGTTTCTAATAGCATACAAAGAGGTCGCAACATCGTGCCTCGGTTATATGGGCTTGTAAGGCCTTGACAAGGCGGATAAGAATTATGCCGGATCGTGGTCGCCGCAATCCACGGCAACTTTTTTCCCGATCTGCTGATGACTTAGTAGAAGGAATGCGAAACGAAAGAGGAACTTGAACGATACCCATCCCAACAGCAAGGATCTTCCAACCGCAAAATTCTGGTGACGGTGGGTCTGATCCATAGTACAGGCGGAAATAAGGATCGATGAGGATGTTGTGCTTTCGGTGCGATCGTGGTCATGACCCCGAAGCCTCCACAAGCTCGCAGGAAGGGTTCCATGCGTGCGAAGGGATAGGTCTTGGGGTCGGAGTGCAGCCTCCATGGGTCTCAAGGTGGGCAATGAAGACGTACTTGGGGAGCTTTAGCTGCATTAGACAAGAAGGACGCCTAGAACTCGGTGTGGAGTGCGTCATTGGTTGCATGGTTATCTTGACAGAAGATATTCGAGGATGTTGCAAGACTAAGTATGTAACGACGTGCATTCGTATCCGCATGACGGAACCTCCTCACCCCAGTTCCAACCGGGACTTGCAATTAAGATCCAGGTAGGCGGCGAGGGCATCAGCGTAGTAAAACGGAAATCATAGCCCTTGCAACCCTTATTCAATTCAGCACCATAGCTTTCTTTTGACCCGGACCTGGAAGACACTCTAGAACTGATTGGTATTCTACGCATTTTCAGTACTATGCCACTCATCGCGTAGCGCAGCCGCAAGCCTTCTCAGAACCTCGTCCGCATCCTCATCACTGAGCAAGCTAAATGAAACTCTCGCATAACATGTCTTTCGCCCATCATGATATGTGGACTCTCCTGGCAACATCAAAACACCTTTGTGCATGGCACTATGCTTGATGAACATCGCCGAATCCCCACTCACTGTCTCACTACCTCCCGGTGGGAGGTTCAGCTTGATCCAGTAAAACATCGCTGCATTCGGTGTGTTCCACTGCGCCAAACCCGTGAGATGCTTGTTCAAGTACGTCTCAAACACATCCCGCTTCCTTCGATAGTACTCAGCGACACCTGCAGCATGCGTCAAGAACCCTGAAGTACCCCATGACTGGAGGAGTTTGAGAACAACCATCTGGGAGAACGTCGGGGGCTGCAGAGTCGCAACTGCGGTCTGTACCATGCGCGGTTAGTAGAAGGAATGCGAAACGAAAAAGAGGAATCCATACAAGGCCCTCCACGGCTTGAACGATAGTCGCTGGACCACTGACCCACCCCAAACGGAAACCAGCCGCAAGGATCTTGCTTAGACTATCGAACCGCACAACTCTGCCGATTTCCCCATCAACTTTACGCTCAAGCGACAAGTAAGATGGCGGCGGAGGGCCTGATCCATAGTACAGGTGGAAATAAGGATCATCTTCGAGGATGAGGATGTTGTGCTTCCGGGCGAGATGCAGGATTTCGATGCGCCGGGCTGCAGTGGTGGACATGCCGGTGGGATTCGCTCCGTACTGAACAGGAATGATACGTCAGTTACTTGGAGATGCTAACTGATGCCACACTTACAGGTACGGTGTATAATAATTTTGGGAACGGCTGGTCTGTTGACCATGAATCCAACAGGACCTCAAGGGAAGACGGAACCAGGCCGTCCTCATCCGAAGTGACTCCTACGATATTACATTTTAGAGAATGCAATACAGGTAGAACGCCCCTGAAATTCAGGTTAACCTTAGGATTTACCAAAAGCCCTTACACGATAGAACTCACGGGTACGTAGGAGCTTCTACGACGACCGTATCTCCCGGGTCAACCAACACCGTCAAAGCTTTATACAAAAGATCCTGGCTTCCCGCGCCAATACAAACCCTCAAGCCGTCCTCCTCCTCCTCACCAAGTTCATGGACGTCTTTGAGTAATCCTGTCACCCACTCCACAAGCTCGGGAACCCCGCCGCTCTCGTTGTACTGAAGCGCGGTTGCCAGGTCTTCACCACGCAGTTCGATGTCCGTAAGCGAGGAAGAGTCTGGAGACTTTACAGATACGACCATGCTTGCGAAGGGATAGGTATTGGGGTCGGGCTTGCCGGCTAGCATCGATATCATATGGGGTGCAGCCTCCATAGGTATCAGACTACGAACTGGGTGCTGCAGCATCAGCCGTCAATGGATTTCTCAGGAAGGTAGCAGACGTACTCGGGGAGGGCTTTCGTCTTTTGGCTGCATTAGACAGGAAGGACGCGTAGAACTCAGTGGGGAGAACTTTACGGGCGCCCACGTCATTGGTCGAGTGCTGTTGCATGGCTATGTTGAGGGGGATTTCAAGCTAACGACGTACATTTGCTCTCTGCCCAAGTCATCTTAAGAAACCCAAACCGAGACCCACGGCGAAAGATCCTTCCGTCACAGTTGAGGGAGTTTGTAAAACGGGGCCATTCCTTCTCAGCTAACCGTATGGAAAAGGCGGCCCGAAACCTCTTGAAGAGCCTCATTTCTCTGTTTCAATGCAGATGCAAACGAGGTTGACTATTCCCTCACAATCGTGCTCAAAGTTGCATTCAACTATTGATGAAACAATCACCATCGGAGGAACGGGTATGAGTCCGGTACTATGTCGTCCTACGGTAGGTGATCGTACCGTGTGTGCCACCATTCTCTGCCTTGAAATTCAATCCACACCGCGGCCGCGGCCGAGCTAAAACTAGCCAGCAGAAACCTGTATGACACAAATTACTCAATTAACAGTATCGCCGATTAATAGACCGTATCTAGACCATACCTTCTTTTCCTCTCCAAGGGGCACCACAGTCGTATCCGCATGCCGGAACTTCCTCACCCCAGTTCTAACCACTTTCAATTGGGACTTGCAATTAGGATCCGGGCAGGCGACCAGAGCGTCAGTTGACATCCAGTCGTTCGGATGCGTGACGCGCTGCTTGGCTGCTAGTAATGGCAACAGGGCACCTAAATAATTATAGTGTTAACGATAGAATTAGAACCCAGAAGCTTCTACCCATACCCAGGGAGTAAATCGAGAACCCTTGACCAGGCGGCAGGCGCAGAAGCTCGCCTTCAAGCGTAAAGTAATCACCCTCCCTTGCCCCGCACAGGATTCGTTCACCAGGGGGACAGATGACCTCGACCCGAAGGTCGTAGAGTTCGAATGTATCGTCAGTGCTAGTCATAGCGTACAGGGTAAGATTGTGAATGGAACGCAAGTGGAGTTTTCGGACCCAGATACCCGGCTGCTAACGGATGGGATCCGTCGAAGAACGGGAGAAAGGATAAACAACTTGAGCGTGAGATGCTCGTTCTTCAATCAAGTAGCCGCCGGGCGGGAATTTCCAACCTGAGAATTTCAATCTACAAATCGGTGAAATCATTGGTTACCGAACGGTGCCTGCTTCTTAAGTACGAACGCGGAAGAGCCCAGCGAAAAAGCTGGAATGCTGCTAAGCGAGCCAATATACTTCTTACATTACTGCAGTCAGATGTGAGACAAGGCAAATGGCACAGCCAATTTTATTCTGTTCGATACCGGATATGTAAAAAAATGACCACTAGATTTCCTTAGCATACTCGGCGTAAATCTCCTTATAGTCAGGTATCTCATCCTCCCCATCGTAGGACGTAGTAATGAATATTGTCCCTTCCATCGAATCCCCGCTGAACAAATCCGTTCCCCAGAATCTGAAACGATTTCCTGACACATAGGTAGTCTTCCGGCTGGAAAGACAGGGCTTCTTCCATGAAATGTACCCTGGAGCCAGGATACTGGCGTGAAATGCCTAGCGGATATGAGTTTGTGTACTTCATCCGCTTCCCAGCTCGGAGCTACAACTTCCGACTCACATGGTTCTCTGCAAAAAGTGCTGCATACTCCATGTAATTCCTCGCGGCTTCCTCTGAGTCGGTTGGTTCCATGGAAGTTATGTGTTCTTCCGCGAGCTTTCGGACCTGCAATAAATCAGAGACCTGGAAATCGCCGACGTACGATTTTCAAGAAGGTACCAACCATTATTTCCGTGATAGGCAAGACAGATCCATGGCCAGCAGCGACCCACACAAATGAGATAATTGGGGTAGCGTAGTAGAGGCATGCGTCAGGTTCCACGGCCCAGCAATCCTGGAAATTTTCGCTTCTAGCAACGATAGGAAAGTGGGGTTTCTATGTCGTGTCGAAGCCCTTAGCCTGAGAAATTTTGGTCCTAGTACAATGGACAAAACACCAGACTCATGCGAATACATGTCATGCTCGACAGCTTTGGCATCTATAAACCCTTTCTCTGATATTTTCCTGGGTCCCTCGATGAAGACTGTCACTTTGGGGTTAGTCAAAGCTTAAAGATAGCTGTTTTAGATATTTCAAATGTCTTCACCGGTTGTGTGAACCTAATTACGCTTAGCGCTTGTCGGAAACCTCATCAGTTATGCTTAGCGCTTGCTGAAACCCTCGTTAACTACGCTTAGCGCTCGTTAACACACTCACAGATCCCTGTTGGTAATCAGAACTCGGCCTTCGGACATCCTTATGCTTTTCTTCAAGTATTCATCTACTCGTATTCTTAGCAATAGCCTGGAGCAGGGGTAGGACAAAACATCTGATGTCAAAATCCGTCGAGATGATCTTCTTTGTGATGTGCGGTACAGTAGCAAGCTTCTGTCGCATTGCCTCCTTACAATGGGTACATGCATCCCCCGATTCCTCTGAGCCTGAGATTAAGAATGGGAAGTGCTTGCTGCTGAGAAATGAATGAATTTCGAGTTCACAACTTTGCTAAGGAAGGAACCTGGCTTACTTGTGTTCGTTCTCTATCGCCCAGCGATACAAGAAGTAATGTTTTGGATCTCGAGTGAGCTACTGTCTTTTCTTCGGTGTCTGCATCAATAAGTCACGGCAAGTTGAGTTCAGACAGTGCGGCACAGGACATACAGTCAAAGTTATAAGACCAACGCTGAAATTATGTTAGCACTTAATAGACTGGCGTTGCTGGTACAGACATAGGAACGACACAAATTGGAGATCGAATCCAATGGTAGAAGATGTCCCGATGGGAGTCAACAACTAAGCAAAATCCAGGTTTATGTTAAATGAATTTGAACATACCACGCTATTCAGAACGGAAGGAACGATCTGTACTCCTGGAAGTAGAGATGAGACGCTCAAAAACATAGGAAATACCGACGACTTAACCGACGGCCCTGATCCTAGAGCGACAATACGTTTTCCTCCCAAGTCGAGCCCTTCGGGATACCTTGCCCTACGCACCAAGACACCTAAATGAATAATGACAGCGAATTCATTAAAGCACCGGAGTCGCTTACCTTTGTACAACGTCAATCCCTTCAAATCCGGCCATTTGGGATGGTACAAGCGTCCCGTCGTGGAGATGAGGACGTTGCAGGTGTCGGGTTGGTGTTGAGCGTTTCCTTCCCGGATTGATCTCTCGTGGTGATTATCCATCCTCCAGTCTCATCACTTCACCTCGCACCGACGACTTCTCGATTGCAAATAATGTACTTGTTGAGATCATATTTCTTGGCATGACCTTGTTGGTATTGTCGAATTTCGGCACCTGACACTTCATAATCAAAACGTCAGGGAGAAAAGTTTGCAAGCTAGTATCGTCGGAGTACTCAATGTAGAAGCTTGTCCAATCTGGTATGTACGCAAAATATTAAGTACCAGCCTTCAAAATGATTAAAGGACGCACCGGTCTTAGGTTCCTTGATGTAATGATAATTGGATCTTGACACATCCTAAGCACATCTGTAAATTAGCTTCGTTAGGTTGGTACAATTCTCTGTAGCTAGCCCATCTAGTAGCAATGACCAGAAACTGATTAGTCGCTATTTCTCTAGAAGTATAAAATACAGCGCTAATTCAGGTGATTGATCCTCAAGTTGAGGCACCTTCGTAGTCTTCAAGTTGGGGTACTACTATCAAAGAGATGCTAGAGCTGGCAAGAGGGGAGCAAGAGTCGCAGGGACCGAGGTGAGCGACTATCGTAACTGCGCTCGGTTTTCCTCGTCTAGAAACGCACAACTTGCCGAAAGCTGATGATCGAACTTCTGCTATATGCCAAACTGTAGCTTGTATGCGCGAAGTCAGTTGAAATATCAAGAAAGTCGTAACTATGTAACCGCTCACGCAAATCTTGTAAGCGACCAGAAGGTTGGCATGGAACGGAATGAAGGGCCTCGCAGATTGAGATTCAGACGCGATCGACGTAGCATGTGATTCAGTCCTTCTTGTACCTGTACTCAGTACTACCTGCATAGACGCTTAGACTCAGAGCTCCTACATCGTAACGTCCGCGCTTCTTCCTCGCCTTTGCTGTAGCAAAGATCCTATGTTTTTCTCACTCTTGCCGTGTCCTTCCCGGCCGGAATTCCACCACAACAATATTGTGTATAAGTATGTTGGGCATGATTGCACACGATGATCTTCCAGCCTTTCAAGCCCTCTGCACTTCGCTCGAGATAATCCGTATGCTCTGATGTCATGCCTATCCATTTTTCTGAACCAATATTTCACAGGATCATGACCTATAGGTCGGAAGCGCCTTGAAAAAATGTTTTGAACTGTGCTACCGCCGTTGTATCTTTATTCCAGGGCTGCTGTCAGATAGGTTGTTCGAGGTCGTTATATCCATTTTGATTAGAATGGGATCCTCGTGGTGTTTCCCACTCATTTTCTTCCTAGTTACACGAAGGCGGTTGCTCTCACTGACTCAGAATAGCATTTTATTTAGTTTTGCGTGATCGCCGTTCTTTGGCATCATCGCCGAGCTCGTCTCCCTAGCATCACACAAATTTACTGATCTAACTATTATATAATTATCTGCCATTACTATGTTGTTATGATAGTATAAGTCTACTCGACAATATAAATACGAAAATGGTAGTCTCCTTGTATCTCATGGAATTTTGCAGCAAATGCGTTTATTCCGCGTACGAATGTAATGAATTCAATGTCTATATTCATGTCCACAATCTCCAATCTTGTCGTAAAGACCTTGCAGATGGGCGCCCAATGCCACAGCCTCAATTCGAGCGGTATCCTCCGGTGTTAATTTAAAGGAAAACACCTTCAGGTTAGAGTCGGCATTAGACGATACCCCCAACCGCGTGCCAACGATAACGGCTCCAACTTCGGGTTTATCCAATACCCATCGTATGGCAACGTTCGTGAGTTCGACACCATGCGCATCAGCAATAGACTTCAAAGTCCGTAATAAACGTTGGAGGTCGGACCATGAACCCCATGTCATGATCATATCAAAGTACTATGAAGTTGATAATACGTGAGAGGACAGCTAATTGACCATAATGCGTAACTCGCTCACCTTTCTTTGGGATGGCGTCAAAGCTACAGCCTCAGAATACACATCCGGCGACTTGACTCCTAGCCATTTCTCCGATAAAAACCCGCCACACTGCCCCAATACGTCATCGGAGGCTAGGAAATGAACAATCAAGAGCTTACGAAGGAACCATATGTCAACAGTTGAATCCCATACTTTTTGCAAACCGAAGCCATCTTTATCTTGGGCCGACTATCGATTAATGAGTACTACCATAAAGGTTAGTAACCTTTAAATGGTAGTCATTATGTATCAAACCATTACCTGGACTTGATTGGAGACGATACCAACATTACTCGTCTTGGCGATCAAATATTCGCAAGCTTCCTGAGTGTGTTCCGCATCGAAATTGCATAACCCGATGGCCGATACGAGATGGGGATGCGATTTGGTTAGACCAACCAACTTCTCCAAAATAATAAGATATTCCTTCTCATTGTACTATTGTTGCGAGATGAGCATGCGGGAATAGAATGCAATCGGATGGCAACTTACGTCGAACCAATGGAACTGGAAGATTAATTCAAGATGAATACGGAGTCATAGCGGAGGAGAAGGAGGGAAGCTTCATTACCTGCAGGAGCTCTACCCGTCCACCCAACCTCCGTGATCGCTCCTTCACTGCGGCCAGAACGAAATCCGTTGTCACTGGACCGTCCAAAGGCCTGAAGACACACCATTTGGTGCCAGCGAAAACGGTTTTACCCACCTCCTCGGGGAGACGGTTACGAAAGGATCCGTACATGAGCTCAGCATCACCCTAGAACTGATAGGTCGGCTTCAGTGCTCACAATTTTTTTCGTTGTGCTCACATAGTGATCCGCCATGTCCGTTGCCAAAAGCCCTCGCCGGACGAGCTCGCAAAGGGCTGCATTTTGTTTGGCGCTAGACGCGGAACCCCAAGCAGGTGACGACATTTGCCATAGTCCATTAAAAAGCCTAGGTACTTTTGCCGGACCGAGCTGAAAATATTCGAGTTTAGCTGCTACACTGCTGTCAACGGAGACATCGATTCTAGGATCGATTGCACCATTGAGATGCTTGAAAGGCGCTGAAGGGTAGAGGAAAGCAAGGACGTCCTCTAGCTGCAGTAAAGAACGTGTGAAAGGATAAGAGAGGTTATTCGAGTAGCAGTATGATTGGCACACAATTAGAGCCGATCGTAACCTAATCAATAGGTTTTCAAGGTCGGCTGTAGGTTCGGGTCTCGATTCTTTTAAAGCTTGAACAGCTTGAACGATGTCACCACAAGCTTTCTCGAGGGTAAGCTCGAGAGCGTCATTGTTGTTCCAGCGAATCTTTGCTTCCGGAATGCACTGGAGAAAGTGCGCAAGACTGGGTGATATCAATCTTCTGCCTCTCTCTATCTCATCTGAACTCACTAGGGCAACGAATCTTGCACCATCTTGCTTGAGAAGAGGCAGCGAGTAGATGATAAGTATGCCGCAGAACTGGCTTGGTCTTTGAATAGGTCATTGGCGGGCGGGAATGTCGGTGTCGACTCCCTCAAGCGCGCCCGGACATGCTCGACGAATGTTCTCTGTGCTGCTGAACCTTGTGACACCAGCGCCCGAAGTGCGGATCGCAATAAAGGCGTGGGGACTTTCAACATGTCAGTGTTTTGAAGCCGTTCGATACCAGTTGGAGGCTTACGCTGGGAAATGAGGACATCGTCCATCATATTGCTAGATACGCCTGTCAGAACCATTTCGAGAGCAGACATTCATCGGCGTACACATGACCGGACATCGTGAGCTAGGCTTTGCAGAGTTGAAGTTAAGTTGCTGGATCTAGGAAAAGGGGGTCGACTGAAACCACACAACGGTTTTTATCACAAGGCAATAAGTCGGGCTGTATAGATGGGTTGTATATCGGTCATGGTCTCACCTCGGAAGGATCATTCCGTATAAAAAATGGAAATGTGGCGGCATGTATTGAAGAAACCGTCCTCCGAATATCGGTCTTCAGGGTCCTCCTGAATCAAAGCGCCCAGGTACTTCAAGATCATGCATGATCGTGGATCTCTGATAGGCTTTAAAAGAAGTTGCCTTGTATGAGTGGTTGCCGACAAATAACAGAAAGTACGGAAGCAAACGGCAAGTAAGAAATTTACCGAGCGGGTTTTGCCAGCGAAGAAGATTCAACTAAGAAAGAATTTCTGGGATTGAAGCCTGATAAGAGGTTAAGGTTAGATGGTATGTAAAGCCGTATGCTGAACTGAATGAAAACCGGATACTCCAATAGACTGAAGATGTCAGATGCTATAACGTGAGCGCATGCGTTGTGCCCGAACTGCAAACCTTGATACTCTGACGTGATCATTAAGAAACACGCTTGTTCAGATCGGGCAACGCAGTAGCGCTCCCGGGACCGCTTCGATCTCCATAAAATCTTTGGCCCTGCAACATCTTATATTAGCACTATCAGATATATTGAATGACATGAACATATTTAAGCACCGTCCCTGCTCCGTGTACTGTTGCCTGTACCTTATGACACGTACCAGACAAATCATAGTTATACAACGGCTTCTTTTTTTTGCCGCAGCGAAGTTAGCGGAATGCAACGAATGAGGTATAAGGAATCCATGTACGTTCGAGAATGCGGTACGGCAGCCAAGAGGTCGATGTACTGATATCCTCCAAGAGTTATAGGTAGCCTGAAATAGGTATTAACGGCGATGGAGCGGAGTGTTTCACGATAATCAGTGATTCGGTCATGATGGCTACTAATAAACAGCGAGAATAGAACAGGCGAGAACTCAGCTAAAAGAGGAGAGGGTAGAGCGTAGGACCGCCCTGAATGGTAAAGGAGCACTGCCATGGAATCCACGGATGTGTTGGATATGCTCATACCAGGAATATCAGCCATCTATACTCAAGCAGATATAACCCTCCAGAGCAGACTGGACCTCCATGCCGACAGGCACATCACGACGCGAGCTGCATATGGTTGCGGGAATCGGATTTGGTGAACTACGGGCGTCGGCTAAGCCGGACGTTCCGCACCACCCTTAATGCTAGCGGAACCCGACAGGACCGCGTGCCTCTGAGCGGTACCGAGGGTAGACAGGTGCTATGAAACAAGGATGAGATCTCATCATAGAAAATTTTCAAAGGGTCTCACCTTCAGCAGGCGAAAATTTCCCCTACCCCTGTAGCCCTGGCGACACCGACGATCCTAGGCTCGCAGTATCCCGTTAAACATTTGTTTCACCTGGTATATACAGCCATGGTTCCTGGTTTCAAAAGGTGTGGAAGGATGTAGTGGAAAACGGCACTCGGAAAGTAAAGAAGCCGGAGTACCGCACGGCAGGTAGCGCAGATGGAAAATACATCTTGTCTAGACGAGCATGGTCTTGGACACCGACAGCTTCATTTCCTACCGCAGCTGAAACAAAGTAACGAAGACGAACAGTCCGGCGAGTAAATAAGCCGCCCAAAAATTAGGATAGGATGCATTTCATCAACAAGCCAGTTGAAGCACAAGATCTCTCTAAGCCGGTGTAGGATGGCTTGCTTGCCGAAGTTGAGTAATAAGGCCGTTACTAGTTCCAGCACAGAAGCACTTTGAGCTCGACCTTGGGCCCAGAATGCTGAAAAGGTATCAGTACTTGGTCTAAGATCGAGCACGTGCTTGCAAGTCAAAGAACAAGAATTCGGACTGCTGAGGAACAAAAGTGTCCGAGGAAGAGCAGTGTATACGGGGAGGGACGCGCTATATGTGAGAGAAATAGAAATCAGGGTAAAGTGTACATGATCAGAACGCAAATTATACAGCAGCGTCACGCACACTGGTAAGACGAAGTTTCGCGATCACGGATGTCCTGGGAAAAGCGCAATCATTGCGCGATCGGACTACTCCTCGGCACTCGTGGCAATTAGGATCTCCGCAAGACTGCCAGAGATGCCGATTCAAGGTCCGACCAACTCTTCGACGCCGGCCACCCATCTCCCCTTTCCCCTCCGCGGTCCTCCAGTGGTGATAAGGCATCGTAAAAAAGAACCTTTCAGCAATGTAATGTCCGAACACATCTTCATCAAAATCTGAACAATTAGCAAAATTGCAGCACAAGAGGTTCAGTAGCCCCGAATCGGGACGGGCCGAACGGCTTACCAAGTGTTCGGACTGGCTGACAAATGACATACCTGTGACCCTTCGTGACCGCATTGCTCAGCGCTGGCAAATTTATTTAAAAGCATCCAGCTATCACATTTTTATCAGAACGACGTTCACAAGACTCATACCCAGGCTTCGCTACTGCGTTGCAGCAATACCCCTTTCACTACAAGAAAAGCGGACTTTAACGACTACGATGGCTCCCGTAACCAACGGAAAAGTCGAGAAGAGCTCGAAGATGCATTCAAAAGTTGTACGTTGATCTATACGGAATCCGGTCTCTATTGTCTCACGATAATGCAGGTAATCATCGGCTCTGGACCAGCTGGACATACTGCTGCCATCTACCTTGCCAGGGCCAATCTGAGCCCAGTCTTATTCGAGGGTTTCATGGCCAACGGATTTGCTGCAGGAGGACAGCTTACCACAACGACAGATGGTATCGATATATTATTATTTACCTCTCTTTTTCTTAAACTAATACAAAACCTGTAGTGGAGAACTTTCCCGGTTTCCCAACAGGCATCTTAGGACCTGAGCTGATGGATAAATTCCGCGAGCAGTCCGTCAGATTTGGCACCAACATCATTACAGAGACCGTATCCAAGATCGACTTGTCTGCACGGCCTTTCCGCTACTGGAGGGAAATGCAAGAGGACGAGGAACCTGAAACGGCAGACACGGTCATCATCGCTACCGGTGCTAGCGCGAAACGTCTTGGCCTCAAGGGTGAGTCTACGTACTGGCAAAGCGGTATCAGTGCCTGTGCTGTCTGCGACGGCGCTGTTCCTATATTCCGGTCAGTTTCTTGAATGTTTTAGACTTCAGGAACGTTGCTAACCCTTGGAATCTAGGAACAAGCCTCTTGCTGTCATTGGCGGCGGTGATTCAGCAGCAGAAGAGGCGACTTGTATGTCGGTCAAACAATCTACTTTCCGTGTACTGATTAGTGCGCAGATCTTACCAAGTATGGATCCCATGTATATGTGCTTGTCCGCCGCGATGAGCTTCGTGCATCCAAGATCATGGCAAAACGGCTTTTGAATAATCCCAAAGTGGTGCGTTTCATCAGCTCTCCGCGCATTCTATAGTTCATATGACCACCGGTAGACCGTACTCTGGAACACTGTTGCCGTCGAGTGCCAAGGTGATGGCGACCTGTTGAACAACCTGCGCATCAAGAATGTCTTGACGAACGAAGAGAAGGATCTGCCCGTTAACGGCTTGTTCTATGCTATAGGTATGTCTCCCCTGGTACCTTCGAAGTTTGTTATCTGACATTTTGCCCAGGCCACGAACCAGCCACGTCAATCGTTCGCTCCCAATTGCAAACGGACCCCGATGGCTACATCATCACCGTACCTGGGACTACGCAGACCTCTGTGAAGGGAGTCTTTGCTGCCGGTGACGTGCAAGACAAGCGATATAGGCAGGCCATCACCAGCGCTGGTAGCGGGTGTATGGCTGCTCTCGAAGTGGAGAAACTCATCTCGGAAGAAGAAGAATTTGGAGAGTAAGCGAGGACGATCCATATAGAAATGCAATCATCTGTACTTTTATCAAGGTCTTGAAAACTTAGAACTCCACTACTTTTATATATCCTCTGCGGCGTGTAACCTCTTCCTTCCTTCTTTCTCCAGTCCCCCGACTTCGATGGTCTCTGATACTCGCAATGTTCTCTTACCACTTGATTCTCGTCCATTCTCTCGATACTCGGGAGAAAGATGGTCAGATTTTCCAGTTTGTTTTGTCGATTCATGCGGTACAAGGAAATAATATCACCGCTACCATGTGGCACAGTATCGCATTTCATATCAGGAGTGTCGCGTGGACACTCTATGGTGGGCGACCGCATGATGGATGTCGGTCGAATTGAAGATTTCCCGTACACTGCGCTTGAAGAATGAATGAGCGGTCATGGCGATGAAGATCAGGCTTGCTATATATATCCTAGGCCCATACGACGCCCTTCTCAACCATTCACGTTTCATCCTTACCCATTCACGTTCGACACCGGTATTTGTTTTAAGATCTGGAGGCCGTCCTTAGTCGAGCTTCTAATAAGAAGATGAAAAATCGGCTATCCCCTAGGTTCTCATGAAGTAGTTACCTAGGCAAGCAACTCAAAGCCATCATCTGGACGGAGTCCCTCGAGTTCGGAGTGATGAGCCGCGAGTTTTCTTGATATATTTCAAGCGAAGGCTGCGTATACCACTTCACTCTTCAACCCACAAGTTGAAGAAGCTGTTGCCCAGTGGTAGCCGGGTCCGTAGCCTTCTTCACCGCGGTCTTTCAAATGATCTTGTAACATTACGAGTAACATTGTAACAATGGACGCCTCCTTCTTTGGCCACACAACCTCCGTCTGGATCCACATCTTCACTTCTGAAATGGAGGTCGAGGAGACAGCACGTAACACCTTTGATTTCAAAAATAACCTTTGTTCCGGGCTTGATAATCTAGAAAGCATTTCTCCCATTCATCGGCTCTATTCGGGCATCCAGGGAAGAAATGACTAAAGAATGGCCATGTAGAGCTGTCTGCCGCGCAGCTGTGTCGCCAAAGGCTTTTCGGTGCAGGCCGAAACGGAAGTATCCAGGAGTTTGGGGAATCTTAACCAAGTTGACCTACACAGGAATTCATATTACCTCGTCGTACCTCATTGACCTGGCAAAGCTGAAAAACATTCATTCTGAGCATGGAGTAGTCTTGTAATCTCGGAGGAACCTTAAGCGGCCCGAGAGCTGAGAGTCGAGACTTGCGACGCCTTCATGAAAGGTACTCGGAAGTCCTTAAAAGCGAAAAGAATGCGAACATCAAGTCTATAGATCCTAGACCATTCCGAGATCAGGCCTGTCCATTATATTCTTCTGTATACCTTGGTTGGATTCGCAGGCAAAAATGGACGATGACCTGTTCATTGTTGCCCTCCACCTGTTGATGTTCAGTCCTTTGACACGGAGACTGAATTTGCTCATCTATGATAGAGAAAAAAGGTACAGGTGTCAGATTGAACGACAAAAACCATGTCAACCACCGACAGCAATATCGATACAAGATGCTATGAAAACGAAAGACGGATGGACATATAACTCAGATGAGGGCTCAAACGCCAGCATGATCGTTCCCGTTCATCAGAGTATCCCATGAACCTGTCAAAGCCTTCTAAGTCCAACTATCTCTCACGAATTAAAGGAGGCATACCAGATTCTGTTGACCGCTGTGAGTGTTGTGAAGAATCCGTAGCAGTATCTGGAAATGTTATCACTGGCTCGTACAAATTTGTGGCAGCCGCGAGTCCATGCATCGAGGGGTTGACATTTACTGGAATGGGGTAAGGCTGCGGATCCCCAGAATAGATCGGAGTGCTCGGGGCATCCGCAGCTGGCGATGCAACTAGATGTGAAGGAACGGGCTTCTCGCCGGTTTCAACGTCAGGGTCACCTGCAAACGAATTGGTATCAGCTCTCCAACGCAGGTTAGGTTCCCGTTTTCGTAGCTGGACCCCCCGAGTAGGGTTGATGCTGGTTCGTTTTATGGCAGCATCTTCACGAGGATTCGTAGCTGCATCGATAAGCAGGCTAATGACTTCGGCTATTTTTGTCCTAGCATGACAATCGGGATGGTGGATTTTACCCATGATATCTCTGCCTTTCAGGATCACAGCGAGATCATCTGGGCGGCGGGATCGGTAATAGGTGTGATACTAATCAATATACATCAGCCTTCAACAGAACTGTGCTGTGAAATCTCATACCAAAATCAGGCAGCAGATGAACAAGCAATAGAGCGAAAAACTCCAGGCCTGAAGCTGATCAAGGTGATGTTCACTCCAGAGAATCTGTAACAGAATATATTTCAGGGTAAGAATCAGATGGAAAATGTGTTAGACATACACCGTATCTTGCTCGAGCTGCAAGGGCCTGCCAATCAGCGACAGTAATCGCAAAACTGAGAGTATCTGCCGTATGACTCAATCGCATGAACGGACGGACAAAGAAGAACTACAGAAATACGTTAGCCCAGTATAACACTACACGCCTACTGAAATTTCATAACCTGAACAGCAACATAGCAGAGGTTCAATAATCCTGCGGACACAGGGGCGTATTCCGGCGAATGATTGACACAGGATAAAGTCGGTGGTAGAGCGAACAACCAGCTCTGGATCTCGTTCGCCAGAGCCTGCGCCTGTTCGTCCTTTACATTGATGATACCTGTCGGCGTATAGCACATTTTGACTACACGCCCCAAGAGGATTGATAACTCTATGAGGGACCTGAAACCTTCGTCCTTTGGGAAAATTCGATCGCAGTCACTCAAATCTATCATCATCGGAAGGCCATCTGTGCAATGATAAGCGACGAATGACTGATTACTGCATTTTGCAGATTACTGACAAAAAGCGGATATCCAGCGGTCGGCAACGATGAGACCTCCCCAAACGTTACGCCGGGTCTCTACATGGTCGATTTGATCATCCGAGGCCATTTCGCGATGCAGACCTAGCTCTTGGGCTTGTCTGATTGCCTGGAGGAAACACAACATCAGCGGCATCATGTAGACCCCGCATAGTCAGTACTCACCAAGCCCAGCGAGTTCCATACAGTCGAGCCAACACTACCCTGCTCCATCTCCATTGTCAAGGCAAACAAGAGATGACCCTGGATCTCATGCAAAGTACTCCTGTTGAGAAAGTCCTTTCTCGATTAAGCTGGCAGGCTGAGAGAAGGATAGAAAGGCAGAATGTACCTCCGCTCGACGAAGGGCGGACATATTCGTCTGAACTGCTTCAAGCGTGCCTTTAGGTGCACGCGAAGAGAGCGTCATCGCAGATATCCCGACCATGGCGTACACGAGCACCGGAGACAACGGCACGGAGGATATGAACACGTCCTTGGAGACAACAGGAAAATGCGGGGCATGAACATCGAAATAGAACCGTATAAGACGTTCTATGAGCGCTGGTTCCATGTACACCGGTGTAGGTAATCTAGAGACGGAGTCTATTTCACGGAGGTTCGGAGAAGAAGGGTGGAATGTGTCGTTGAGGTCTAGGCTTGAGACTCGAATTATGGCGTCCCCAGCATGCTCTTGCATCTCAGTGTAAGTACGGTGCTTCTTGTCATGGGCCTCCAGTAGTTCAGTCGCTGGGTCGTATCAGTGTCGTTGTCCTCGTTGTGCGATGGTGTCCACTTACGAAAAGTGGAAGTTGAATGCATCATGTGGGTTATTGTAGTGGGCCCTCGAAGTTTGGTTTCGCTGAGAGCATAGCCAAAAGAAGGTTTCGGCGGAGATATTGATGCAGCCATGGAAAGGAGACTGCCACCAAGAATAGCGGGAGAATCGTGCCGCATGAGGGGATGACGTGGCCGTTTGGAGCTCTGTGGACTATCAGAGTCTTCACCAGGAGAGTTTTGTACATTTGTTCGTCGTCTGCAGTCAAAGTTAGGATTAATCATGTCGCTGTGAAAGAAAGGAGCACACTTGTGACGCGTCTCAGAGATGGGTAGTACCTAAACGAGATCCTCTTTAGATCTATTCACAAGAATGGTGTTAAATATACCCAAGTGCATTCCTGTTTTCCTTGTAGGCACTTTGAATCCAGCGACACGGTGAGTATATGTGATAAGTATCCGGAGACCCACGAACCTGTTTGCAAACACTCTGCTTGGGAAGAGGTTCACACCTACGACTCAATCCAATATTTGTCAGTCAATCTACCCACCACGAAAAAAATTCCCATACCGCCGTCGCTTACGTCTACACCTGCAGCATGAGTCCACCATCAGTCTCCTAGACGCGGGGTAAATAGACAATAAAGAACTTACAAATCACACGCTCTGGCGGCCTTCATTCGAACGACAAAAGTATCATCCACTTCGGGCTGTTCACCTTGGAGATCCAACATTGCGGTGTGTACTTTGGCAGCATAGATTCGAGGATGACGAAAGCCATAAAGCGCCCAAATCAGGGCCACTTTCGGATGTTATCTTATCTCCCCGACCCTGAGCGGCCTGGTGATTTAACACCATGGGGCAATCTGTATGTTGGGTTGAAGGGACAGAGAAGCGTGTTGGACGTCCACTCAACTTCCAAAAGAAATTGTATTTTTTTTTTACATTGAAATCGCCGAGCGAGCGGCATCATAAATCGCCAATAGCTTTCTGATAATTAGGTGGGAACATTTATACTACCTTTTCAGCTGTGCAGCCTGTACCTTCACTACCAGCAATGGACTTGCGTTCCGAGTCACTGCTGATAGTATTGTCCCCAATAAACTGGGCATCCTTGTTGCGGATACGGTATTCCTCAGACGTCCATAGAAGATCGATTTCTTCTAGCGTTAGGCCTTTGGTCTCCTTGACGACTTAGAGCAGACCTTCAGGTTCGTCAAAACTCCATAGTAGGAAGCACTCACATATGGCGACAAGTACTGTGACAATCGATCCGCCTGTGGATATGTTCGTAAGAATATCTGCGGCAGAAACTGACAAATACCAAGGATGAACAAGACGAAGAACTTAATTCCAACATTTTGAATAGCGATAGGTCCACTGTAAACGAAGACAACTGAATCGACATCCACCTGGTCAGGCACGCTGGAAATCATAGAAGATAGATGGTCTCACAAGCCATCGTCCAAACGCCGACATTACCTACGAAAACAGCGCGTGAAAATCTGGTGAGGAAAAGACCGACAATTCCCCTTTACCTATTCCTCCTGCTTGGCCTCTATAACGTGTGGGAACAATCTCGATGGCATACAAATACACCTGTGGGGGAATCTCAGGAGGAATAGGAATATGCGTAAGCACAATATTACCATCCAAACTGGGTTCGGGGTACGGAATCAGGAATGATCATTACAGAAAACAGAACGGCGACTCACTCCATGACAATCCGGAACCCGCTTCGAACCTGAAAGAAGGGTCCTTGAATACGTCTGCTCTTATCTGAGCTACAAAAACCACAGCCTTACCAGAATAGCATGGCAATTTGAGCCCAGCGAGTCGCATTTGTTGTCATGCGATCGGGAAGGTCTGAAACCTTAGGCTCGAGCTATTGTATTTATAGAGAACACGTACTGCCGAGGACAGTAAAAACCAGGATGGCAGAGACCTGAACAAGGGAGCCAAAGAGAAGTATATGCTTCCGACCGAACCTTCGGACTGTCCAGAAACTTATAACTGAGTATACGGTTAGCAGAGAACAGAAGATGTTGAGAACTTGTACTCACTGACACCCAGGGTAACCACTGCGAAAGAAATGTACATTTGAGATGAAAATTCACACAAAATGTTTCGACTCACTCGAGTTAAGGGCCGCCGTTACGATCGCTGTTATGTCTGCCGAAAAGTGTAAGGTGGATATGATAGACTTGCCATCTGCGACACATTCGAGTAGCTACAGCTGAAACATCTTCACGTCTTTGAAGGACTTACAATAGGTCTGTACGCGAGTTGGTTATTATAATTTGAATGGAAAGCAGGACGATACTTACAATCAGATTTCCGCCGAAGAAAGGCTTTCCAACCTGGAGCAACCAAGAAATCCATATGCGTTTGATAACCTTGGTCTGGAAGTGCGTAAGTGTAAAAGAATGGTCAGAAAGTCGATTGCAACATACCTCAGTTTCGTCTTTTCGAAAGAAGGAAGCCGCTGTGATCCTACGGGTATCTGCCTCTTCCAAGCGTATGGCAGCCAGGATCTCGTCCCGTTGTGCCTTGACTGTAGGATCCGAAACGGACTTCCCACAAAGACGTTCCAGGGACACGTCGCCTTCCTGGATTCGGCCTTTTGCATATAGCCAACGAGGACTTTCGAGAACACCTGAACGGCATTGCTTAGTTGGATCACGAGACAGAATATCATCTTACCGTGGAAAATGATAATGGGTACCAAAACAAAGATAGCCTGAGACGCCAACAATACTCTCCATCCGTGGTAGAATGCTGATAAGGAACAAGGTGAGATTGGAAAGGTTGTGCCTAAGAAGCACTCACGGCTCTTGTAAACTCCCAATCCAAGCCAGGCTACCACAGAGATTGCAGCGACGGCTTCACAGATGTTAGAACTCGAACTAAGAATGGGAAATACAGTTCAGAGGTCAGACGCACATAATCCTATATTCCACATAACTTGAGTTGTTCGGTCATGCTGTCGGCAATGTCAAAGATGAGATACTCATGGAGTAGAGATATCGCCTATCAACTTACGGCATTGCGTGCATTTCTTCCCACCGAGCTTTCGTGAACAAACACAGGAACAGCAGCTGAAATAGCGCCGTTTCCGAGACCCTGGCGACCCTTAAACAAGTTTTTCGTTGCATAGAGTTAATCGACTGACTAGAATGGTGCGCCCGACAATCATCATTGTGGAGTTCACGGAGGCGGTTTGGATGATGATTCCAATCAAGGCGACCCAGCACTGCATATGAACGTCCCAGTAAATGCTTCAAGTAGTGAGAAAAGAGGTAGAACTAGACACACCGAAAGCAAAATTGATACCCGACGACCGACCGACCAGCTGGAACTTATGAACAACATGAGCAGAAATGAAGTTCCAGTGACTTACGATAGAGGCGCGATGACTGCGGATCCGAAAATGTCGCCTACAGTGAGGTCGGCATCGCGTTGTTTCAGAACTATATTGAGAGTACAGCAAACCTAATATGATGCCACTGGAGATGAAGCTGGTCACCTCGGTATTGGCGGCGTAAATTTGGTGATCAAATTGAGGACTGTTGAATAGTTAAGATGTATCAGTGAAGTAGAAATGAATCCTCACGTATTCAAGATCCTATACATAAACCACAAACCAGGACTCGGTGAGTAACAGGAGTCTCTTCGAGTACATCATCTTACCCTCCCATTATACCAGCGTCCCTGCGAAAAAAATACGTGTAATAATTATTGGTAAAAATATGGAAAGAGAGCGCATTCTTACCAGCCATATAGAGCGAGAGCAGAAATGGATGCGATCTGGAGCAGCAGAGTGTATTTCCTTCCTGTTGCTGACCAGGCCATAGTCAAAAGGTGTCAAAGGAAGAGAAGCAACGATGAATGATTTGGGCCGCGAGCTCGAGAGACCGCAGCCCAAAAATCTCCCAGGTATAAAAACAACGCGTTGTCCATAGACAGACGTAAAAATAAATCGGTGGCCCTGACATGGCGGCCATCAGAATACAGATCGGCCAGCCGCTCCGGGCAGGGTCTCGGTGAACCTGACTCTTCTTGGTTGCCATGCTTGTCACCGTTTCTAGACATTATTTAAGCCGTGTCCGTAAGGACTCGCAAAGTGAACCACATGGTGGCTGGAAACGAGGTTGGGCATGGGAGCACCGTTTTCATGGGAGATTGGACTTCAAATCCTAGAGGATACTCAATCGACGAGCACCCTGCTCGGACACCAGAGAGGCGTATCAAGATTATTGGCATCGGTGCTGGCCTAACGTGATCTCCTTTATCAGTCCTTAACTTGGAACTTGGAATAAAACTTACAAAATCAACTTCAGGGGAATTCGTCTAGCCGAACAAGTTAAAACGTACCACAGCGACTTGGTGGACCTCGTCATCTATGAGGAAGCAGATCAGGCTGGTGGCACTTGGCATTGGAATAGGTAGGTCCATTCAAATTTCTTGGAAGATCACTGACTTACACTAATCGACAGATACCCAGGAGTCGCCTGTGTAAGATATTGTTGTCAGATGCATGATCAGGAAATTCACACTAGCCGTGGTTAGGATGTGCCAGGATCCAACTATCAATACATCAAGGAACCCAAGACAGGTGCGTTGTCTAATCATCTTGGGCTGACCATGTCATGACTGTGATGCCAGATTGGAAGAGCTTCTACGGTATGTGTTCTGGCAGCTCTGAGAAATATTTGTCAACATTCCCACTATGAAGCATCGGGTGCCGAAATTCGACAGTATTATCAGGACCACGCCAAGAAGCATGATCTCAACAAGTACATTATTTATAATCACGAGGTCGTCGGTGCGAAGTGGAGGGACGAGACTGCAGAATGGACAGTCACAACGCGAGATCAATTTGGGAAAGAAACACTCGATACTTGCAACGTCTTCATTTCTATGAGAGGAAGTTTACATCACCCCAAATGGCCAGACTTGAAGGGACTGCCATTATATAAAGGTATGCTGGCCCAGAGACGTCAACACAGTCTTCCCTCAGCTCTTCAGGTATCTTGGTGCACAGTGCGAGGTATCCCGAAGGACTCGACCTGACAGGAAAACGCGTCGCAGTTATGGGATCAGGGTCATCAGGTAAATTCCGAGCATCTCAATGTTCTCGGACATCGTACTTGATTGTTACTTCCAGGACTACAGATACTTCCTTCCATTCTGGATAATGTGGTATGTTGAAAGTTACCCAATGCAACTTGATATCTTCGCCTAGTCGTTGATTCCAATAGGGTCGCCTTTACCACTGGATTCGATCTCCAACGTGGATCGTCCCAAGGTCTGCATTGGCAATACTGGGACCTATCAGATACTCATATGCCTCAGCGTCGGTGCAATGTTTGCTGGGCCTGGAGGTACAAACTTCGATTGTAAGTTTATGATGATTCCAATTCGCCTCGCCCTGACGTCCTGGAGCAGACACCGAGGAAAAGAAAGAGCAATTTGCTCGAGATCCAAAGCATTACCTGCTGTATCGCAAGGCTATGGAGAGTGAACTCAAGTAAGCTCTTTTTTGTCAAAGTCGACATTGACCTGTTTTCTTCAGCAAGCGCTTCCGATTCGTAATCTCAGGGTCAGAGGAATCGAAAGCCGCGCGCGCCAATTGCGAGGAGACAATGCGACAGAAACTTTCTACCGTGCCGCACATCGCAAACAAGATCATCCCAACGGACTTCGATGTCGGATGTCGTCGTCCTACCCCTGCTCCAGGCTATCTCGAAGCCCTGTCTAATCCCAAAGTGACCGTCTTTACCGAGGAACTCAGGGAAATGACGGAGAAAGGGTTTATAGATGCCGAAGGTGTCGAACACGAGGTGGATGTATTCATTTGCGTGAGTTTGACGTTTTATCCGTCGGACTAAGACCGACATTTCTCAGGCAACGGGCTTCGACACGACGTGGAAACCCCTACTTTCCTATCGTTTCTCGAGGCGAAAACCTCCAGGATCGCTGGACGGTAGAACCTGACTCGTATATCTCATATGCCGTTCCCAACTACCCCAATTTTCTCATCGCTGCAGGCCCTTTTGGCGCTACTGGTCATGGATCTGCCGTGCCTATCACTGAAATCATGATCAATACTTTCTTGAAAATCGTGAGTTGGCAAATTTCATCTTCATTCCGAGTCTCCGATTCCTTTTAGGTTCGGAAGATTGGGGAAGAACATATAACATCCATGGAACCAACTGAGGAGGCGACGAGGGACTATATGGAGCATGCAGCACTTTTTCTGCAACGAACTGTGTGGACTGGAAAGTGCAGCTCGTGGTTTAAGAAGGGTTTGTACGGTAAGTCTTTCTGTGCTGCGACCGGAGCATTCTAGACATCACATCTACTAGGTATTCCGCACCAGTATCCCGGTTCGCGGGTACATTTCATGGAAGAAGCCCTCTCTTTCCGTCCGGAGGATTGGAAATATACTTATGCATCGGGGAATCGTTTCCGGTTCTGGGGGAACGGGTTTGCCCAGCGTGAATTCGACGGAAGGGACAACAGTTGGTATTACGGCCTCTTGGACGGCAAGGATGAAATGCCCGATTATGCGGAAATTTTTGCCGAGTATGCCAGGAAAGACTAGTGGTTGTTTATCAGACGATCGAACAGGAAGAAATGATACTATTAACCTTGACACTACGTCTGACTGTATTCAAGTTCGAAAGATATTGGCTCCCCCAGGAGCATCCCAACCCTGTGGCGGAGCTCTCTTCGCGCATTCACGCTCGTGGACTCTGAGATAATATGCCTGCAAATGTGGCCATGTCCTTTTTCCACCCAGCCTGTTCCAGGTAAATCCTCGATGCACCATATAGCCGAGCAGCGAGAAGAACGTACAGTTGGCGAGAGGGAACATGTCTCCGGCAATGTAACGCGTCGTTGATGCGTAAACCTCCCAGAAATCTAGTTCATCGTGAACAGCGTTGACGAGAGAACGACGATCCTGGTTACGAAGCCTAGATGCGTTGGGATTATTTTTTTGGTGGGGCAGAGCGTCGAAGTGAGCGTCTTCTAGGGCGTCGTATGTATGATGTAAATTCTCCGTCTCCTGTATTCGAGCTAGGACCAGAACGCGTGCAGCACGAAGGTGTAGGGAAGGAAGGAGAAGTTTTCCTGGGCTATAATACGTTTCGACGTACATGGGTATTACTATCACGAGACTTTCATTAGTGTTGAAAGTCTCAGCCGTTGTGTACGGAGAATCACTGGCAGAGGGAAGAACATCGACGAAAACAGGAGTTTTGCCGCGGTGATTGAGAGCCAAAGAATCAGAGATTCGGATCTCCTTTAGAACAGACATGACCATGCGACGAACGGGCTCGAATTGGATGTTTTGAAGAATTGAAAGTGATTAGCAGGTATATACACACCGAAGGTTGCCTACTTGGTTGACACGCCTTTTCGTACAATGCCATCATCACGCGCCAGCTGTGGAATCGACCCATTCACATAGTAGAGGCGTGGTATTGTAGGTGGTAACGCGGGTGAGGTAGACTGGTAAGTTATTACATCCACACCAAGATCACGCATACTCTGAGAGACTTCTGCATGGTGCGCCAGTGACTTTTCTTCTTCCTCCATCCTAGACAATCTTCTACAACTGTCACTGGAAGCCTAAGTCCTAAGTCACGCGCTTGGGTGACGGTAGAGAGAACGTAGACGTTCGTTAATCCACCCCCGACATACACCTTCAGTGATGCCCCTCTGGCACAAGATATCCAGGCAGATTCGTTTCTTTGAAAGCTGAGGACCAAGTCTGCGTCAAGATGAATATCACAACCTGAACCAACCTCGATTATGGAAGAGGTTCATTCAGGTCGGCACCCTAAGTTCCAGCAACACTCTGTTTTACTCGTGTGTGTGCCCGTCAGAACATTGAAAATGGAAGCGGGCCCAATAAAGACGGGAGAAGGAGGCGCTGAGTGACTGTTGGCGTAGAGGGAGCGTACCCAAATGACTAGAAGGTACGCTTCGAGAAATTTTGTTACATGACCACTGATATTAGATATCAATTGGGCCCCTCATCATTTTGGATGGGAAATTTACCCTCATTGGAGAGCAACTTGTTTTGGAGGTCAATAAGAAGAAGGGCAGAGGTGAACTCGAAGGAAGAAGTGCTCATGACGGCACCGAGTGAATGGCACTTGGTAAAGGTGTTGGTGAATGGAACGGTCCGAGTCAAGCGAGTCAGCTGGCTCACGTGGCCACTTACAAATTCCGGATTGTCGCTCCGTACCTGCACTTAGACGTTTTTCATATCCAGAACTCTTCCCATGGTACCTGCAAGTTCATTCTAAGGAGCATCCGATCGTATCGTGGTATATGGTGCCACACCGGTCCCGATAACCATGAAAAAATACGGCGATCTTACGCGGTAGCTATCAGCATCAATCCTCTCCTGCCAAGAGCTGTATTTGTGTTTAGGCCTCTGCGACGACCTTATGTTGGCAGGAGATGTTTTTGAACTTCAACACTGTATGCCGTGGACAGCTCTCAACCTAACAGCTAATCACAATTATCGGAATCTTGGATCCATGGGGAAATAAGAAGCCTTTCGGCTCTCGGCTGTTATCACTTCCGCTACCTATGCTCCGAAATAATTTACTGGTTTGAAGAACTTATGACGTTGCGGCAGGCCTGTCGGTATCGATCGTTGCCGGACATAATCTCTTCTTGTGCCGCACGGCGTGCCTCCGTACGAAAGTAACAAATGTCGTGGCTTGGCTGCGACATTTTATCTGTATAAGAATGTAGTTCTCATCGTTCATTCTTGTCTTAGTCCTCCTTTCGAATATGGTCACCAGCATTATTTCTCGTACGAATAGCGGACCCGTGGAGGGATTCGTTGATACTCATCCTGTCTCTGAATATTCATCTGCTACTCGGAACCTCGGTGTGTCAATTCAGTACTTGAGCAACGCGATTCTTTCTTTACCACCATATCTATTTTAGGCCCTCTCAGCCCAATCAAGAAATGGCTTGGGATTCCCTACGCCCAAGCACAACGATGGCAGCGGGCCCAACCTCCTACGCCATGGACTGAGCCTCTCCAGTGTTTCGAATTCGGGCCTTCATTTCCTCAGCCAATATCTGCCTTCGACGAGATGTATGCTGGAAGGAAAGGGTGGTTTAATAGAGATTTTCTGGGTCAGTCTGAGGACGCATTCTCACTCAATGTATTCGCGCCAGCGACCGAAGGATATAGTAAAGTACCAGTCATGGTAAATGTCATTCGCGTTTCTGTGGTCATTATATGCTTATCGGTTGCTTAAAGGTATGGGTGTATGGAGGAAATCTCAATACAGGATCTTCCAATATGCCCATTTATGATCCTTCCGAATTCGTGCGCGCGCAAGCTTCAAGCGAGACGCCTTGCGTTGTTGTCACAGGGAACTATAGGTTGAATGCCTTTGGCTGGCTAGCTACCAAGGATCTAGCCGAAATCAACGGGCATGTCGGAAATTTCGGTATGTCCCAAAACGTTCCATAAATTTCATATAACTGAATGATTTCAGGTCTTCATGATGTTATCGCCATCTTTGAATGGGTTAGGGCGAATATAATGGAATTTGGAGGTGACTCCAATAATGTAACTGCATTTGGAGAGTCCGCTGGTGCATTTCTCCTTGGGACTCTCCTCAAATCCAGAAGGCGACTATTCCACCGCTTAATTCTTCAATCAGGTGGTTATGGGCTAATGGCGCGTAGTATCCTCTTCCTATTGCCGTCACACCTTCATTCACAGAGATAACAGGGCGTCAATCAGAAGCCTAATTTCGCTCCGTATGATGAGCTCCTCGCCCAGATTGACCCCAAGTTGACCTCGCTTTCTGCGGGGGATCGAATAAACCGATTGAAGACCATACCTACAGCCGAACTCCTCAACGCCACACAGGCTTTCTATCACACTGGCATATGGTGTCTGACTTGTGATCCTAACGAACCTGGTTGGGCAAGTTCAGTTTGGGACCTTGTCAACAAAGGTATATCTCGACGTTGTACGGCAGCCGTTGACCGCTGACCTTGAGGTAGGCGATTATGATCCTTGGATAGAAAGCATCATCATCGGCATCAACCGCGATGAAGGCACGTTTTTCAATCACCGTAGTCAAGTACGTATATCGTTCTACTTTTATAATATCAACGCTGATATCGATGTAGTTCTGGATTCGTGAGAATGCAATGAAGATGATCAAGGACAGAAGGGGCTTTGACGACGAAGTATGCACACGACTATTGGACATGTATCCCCCAGAGTATGCTGCTCCTGATCTTTCCGACCTTCGGTCATTGCCGTCGACTATGGTTTACTGTACGTATACCTGCTGTATTTTATCTCCATGACACTGTACCGTTCACTGACTCATGATTTCTAGCGGATTCTTGTTACTTAATGCCTATGCTCCATGCAGGTAGCAAACTCACCACGGTTCCAAACTTACGAACCGGTAAACTAGCCCGAGTATATATGTACCTGTGCCATACCCTTCCGTCACGTTTGTTAGAAGGGTACGAACACTTTGGTGTACTGTGAGAAATATTAGTTTTATGTTGAAAGCATCTGCTACTAATACCGTGAAGGCATACAGGAGAAATACCCTTTATTTTCAAGCGTTCCTCTCTGGTAAGTTGTCCCTAAGAACACTAGGTCTCGTCATGTATAACCATCCTTATTTACAGTGGGAGGGCTTGGACAACGGAAAGGATGCAAAAACCTCCAACATTTTTGGCAGATTTTGGTCATCATTTGCGACTTCCGGTAGTCCAGGTCAGTCGCAACACTTGGTTCTCCTCTTAATTCATTGAAACGAACTGTAGGGAATGATTGGCCCATGTTTACGAAGGATGGAGGAGAGATCTTGATATTCAGCGATGGTGGAAAGGTTTCTGTGGGCAATGCGTGGGAAATCAGGCCAGCTGAGTGTCAGGCCTGGATGAATGCTGCTGAGAAGAGCATCACGTCCGGATCCAAGGAGACACTAGCCGATCAATAATGATTGAAGGCCCAAAGCCGGGTAGCAAGTGTTATTTTCTGTAGTAAAGAGCTGGTGTCTCTCAGCCGAATGCGACCCATTCAGCGAGCCTTCAATGTCTCGTCAGGTCCATGGGTGCCAGACAAAATGCCTGTCGACGCCCTTGAACCCCACCATAGTCCATAGTCCCCTTAGTCTTAACTGTAACTAACAACTTCTGCGTTCTTCCTCTCAACTATTACCCCAACTCAATATCCAGATCCATATGTCGGACTATGCGCTGAAGCAACAAGGCTTAAAGCTTGAAGAGCGGACCCGTACACACGAAATCATGACGGAGACGTCAACGTAAATTACACAATGTTATCTCCACTTCACATCATCTTCAAATCTGGCAAATACGATCGCCTCCAATGCCCCCACTTCCCGCGTCGAAAGTATATTCTGAGCAAATTGTCAAAATGGATCCCAGTCAATGTGAAAGAACGAACTGACATCAACTAGAACACATGGCAACCCTTTTAACGCGTCCTGACTCCAATGTTGCAGCGCAGGAAGCAAACCTGCTAGCCTCATCCGCGGTTCGTCTGCCATCTCCTCGACGTTCGAAGAAGGAAAGACGCTTCTCTCCATATCCGCAAACAGGATCGCCACCGCTGTATCTAAGGCACGATCTAGGACGAGACCAAAATCCACTGATTGCACAATCCCGTGGAGCTCTTCAAGTAAAGGTGCAAGAGATTCATCTTCGGGTGGTAGCAATGAAAGTTGTGATAGGTTGGGTGCCGCCGATGCGGAGGTAGTCCATGCATGCGAAGAAATGTCACTGATGGATGGTGATGGTGGTGTCGAAGGACCAAACCCGCCTTGTGCAAGGACGTGGGCAGTCAGTTCCGGTGTAGATGGGAGAAGAGCGTGTAGGAAGCTAGTGCAAACAACAGCAGTTAGAACTCGTGATCATGGAGATGGCAACTGCTTCAAAGTATGAAAATGCCTTCGGCAAAGACACGAGCCATCCAAAGGCATTGTGTATGGACAGAAAACAGACACCTACTCAGCGCTGAGGTCAATCCGCCGCCGTACGTCGAGAATGAGTCGATGAAGGTCCGTGAGCGTCAGTCGTGTCTTGAGGGATACCCTGTCAATAATCGTGAGCATGATAAATAAACAAGCAAGGATGGCAGGAAAAAGATAAAAAGTTCCAGCGGACTACTCACCCCTCAAAAACGTCCTCCACGCTCGACCTAACCCTTTCGCCTACATCCTTCCAACCGACGTGAAGCAGCCACCAGCTCATCGTCAGAAATCTGGCTTCTGTGTCCTCGGTTGGTCCTTCCGGGAGGTCGCTAAACAGTACAGACAAATTCCCAGACATAAGCTCCTCCATCTGCTCCCCCGCGTTCCCAAAAAGTAAACCAGTTATTGATAGCTGCTCTTCGATGCTCTCAGCTAAACGTTCTTCCCGCGCTGCGGCGAGCACAGAGGACAGATACCTTGCGCGTCCGAGAAGAGCAAGTTGTTGGGAGGTGAGCAGAGAGAGAAGGGTGGTGGTGTAAATAAGGGTGAGGGTGCGGGTGAGGCTGAGTATTTTCACAGCGTTCCATAGCGAGGCTTTGGTTTTGGATGAGGAGAAAGATGTCGACGAGGCGGTAGAGTCAGGTAGACTCACCTCTGAAGGCGATATCGAAGACACAGAGGCCGACATAGACATATCTGATTCAGGCTGGAAGCTCATTTCACTACTGCTCCCCAGTGAGACGACCGACGCCGCCTCCGACACTACACTCATGCTCGACGACATACTCCTTGAGCTGCCATTTTCATCCTCCACATTGAGCGATAATGATGCAGACTTAGCCTTGCCAAAATTCTGCAGTTCTTGGATGAGCGCCTCGACGTCCATGCCCTCCAGGATCTGCTCAGAAAGCGTCGGTATCAGTGCCAGTACTGCATACGAGATGTCCTCGTGTGTTTGTCGAAATCTTCGCTTCAAGCTGCATCAACACGATGAGCACAATACAAACAATCTGGTAAACCACGTACTCACCTATCCCTCGCTCGTCTATCTCTTTCCAGCGCATCCCGCGTCTCCTCCAGCCTATCACGGATGTATCGCTGGACAGCATACGCGCTACCTAACGCGATAGCCGTGTTCTTGAAAGTGGGCAAGTACCGTCGGGCAACGTCCAGCATTGGTAGTGGTATGGAGAAAGGCAAGCGTAATGCTTGGGTCCAGGTTGCCAAGTTGACCGTGATTTCGTGGTTCCCGTACCCGGCCATTATGTCATGTCCACGTGGCGGAAACTACGAACTCCGACCACCAATCCGACTTCACCCAAATACTATCATCATCAAACAATGGTATGCCTTCGTTCTCGTCGTCGCCTGGACACATACTGATACTTTGCAGGGTGGAGGCGGACGATATCCCTATCCCAAATATGTTTGGTCACCAGCTGGTGAGCAGCTTCCTACTTCCGTAATATCATGGTTGCTGACCAGCTTGAAGGCGGTTGGTGGGTTCAACCATCCAACTGGAAAGCAAACACAGCTGTCGTCGCCACTGGAATTTTTGCGATCGCTTACCTCGTTGGATCATTGAGTGCCGCAAGAGAGGTGCATTTCCTGAACCCTTCGTCCATTTATAGAGTGCTGACGACCAAGTTTGACAGCAACGCCCTATAGCGCCGAAAAAGTGGATCCCGTCGATGCTCTGGGCGAAACAGTTCCAGGAGGCGGAGAAGGTGCGCTTCATAAAAATTTCCCTCTCCAAAGCTCATCCTTTTCAGGAATCATAGTAGAGGACTCGGTCTACAATGCGAATAATTTCACTTTTGAAAAACGCTACTGGAAGCCTTTTCGGCCGTCGCCGCAATATCATTATGAAAGAAGTCGCAAATTGAATTGACAGCGTACCTTTGCATCTGTGCATGTCTGTACCTACGCCCTCTCTGTGTTCGATTGGGCTTTCTTCGTCACGCTTCTGACGTTCCAGTGTGGACTTGCATCTGTCTTCGATCACCATGCTAAGCTTTACATTGACGTGGAAACTTGTCGTCCTAGTCCCGGGCATTAATACTTCGCTCCTTTAAGACAATTCGCTCCTGCTAACATCTTCAGTGTAGGTGTATACTTAGCTACCTATAGTATTTTGCAAGGAGCAGCGCCTGCTGCTACGCAACCTACTTCAGTCCCATGACTCCGGTGTGTATCGATATATCTACAGTCCTGCGAGTCGCAAGTATACTAGCAAGAGGCAGGCCGCTATCTAGTATTTTGCTCCGATACTCTGCAAAAACACCTTCGAAAGCTCAGCCAGCTGTCGTTGCCTACTCCCATGCCAACGCTCGGGTGCTTGTGCTGTTGCGACATTCAGAGGGAATATGACACAACATATAGCTGCGCGAAGGGAATTCCATATCTTTCTTCTTTTGTCCCCTTAACCATCGTGATTATTTTCCAGCTATAAAATGATCTGTAGGGAGAGATTAGCCCATGTTCATGGAGGATGGAGGAGATTTTGATATTCAGCTTTAATGGAAGGACTTCGGTGGGTAACAAGTGGGTATTGCATGGGGAATTAGGCCTGTGGAGCGTCTTGGACAGACACTACTGAGAAAAGTATCGCGTACAAGGAATGCTGATAGATCAGTATTGGAAGAAGGATCAAAGCCTGGTGACTAGCAGGTATTACTTTTCATCTGGAGCATGGTTATAGCTTTCAGTCAGCTTCATGTAACGACTCGTCGAGTCCAATATATGAGCGCCTGTAAGTAAACCGCCCTCGCCGAAGTCGCCGAGGTCCTCTTCGCCAAGGTCACAAATCTCGTGATTGTGACAGCCTCTGCTTTTCCTCCTTTTCCTTCCTTTTCTCTCTCAACAACGACTACACCCAAACTCAATATTCAGATCATGTCAGAGTATATGCTGAAGCAGGCATGGCTAAAGGAGCACAGGAACCAGGTTTATCATATCTTTCTCGTACACTGCAAATATCTCATACCTTTCAGGTCTGTGACCAGTGTCGGGACTCGAGGACCGCGTGTCTACCGCAGAAAACATCGGTCACTTGTCTGTCTTGCAAGAATAAAAAGGAAGAATGTTCAAGAAATCGCAGTTTCAAACGCTTTAGAGATGAACTGCGCAGTCAGCGTAAGCCATCGACCCCGCCGCCACGACTACCTGGCCAGGGAACTTCAAAGACACGGGGCCCTGGCCCCAGCACAAATTCCTATGGGCCTCCGAAGGTGAGTCTGTTTCTGCTGCTCTTATTCCTGAATGAATGCCTATCACTAGCAAAGTAACAAGAAAGTTCCTCCTCAACATCCAGTACCAACGGCACAAAGCACTGCCAGCTTCGTCCACCATCTGTCGCAGGATGCTACAGTATCGCGTGCATCTGTAAAGTCACCCTCTTCCCCTCCAGTTTCACCCCTTCGCTTCGAAGAACATCCTGAAAATGCCGGAACATTTACACATGACTCCACGGACACGTATTCATCGCAACCTCAGACTCAACAGGATTTGAGACCCCATCCCAATATTCATCAAACATGTGCCCCTGTCGACGTTGCAGCCTTAAAATTCGAGAACGCTGAACTGCGCGCGTAACTACTCGATAAAGATGGTATAATCGATAAATTTTGCAGTACTCCTCCCTTTATTGATCATCCTCTGTCACGTCCTTATTATCAATCTTTTAGAGAAGCAAGAAATCTCGGATATCGAATTGCGGAACATCAAGAGGACCCGGCTGCATGAGTACCTCCATATCGGAGCAAACAGGCACCGTCTTCAGACTGCACTCTCACGTTGGAATGCTCGCAAAATTTCTGATTCTGACTTCAGAACCCACATGGAAGAGCATCTCGGAGTTCTCGACGACCTTGCAAGCCGGCATATCGAGGATTTCCCTACTGACTACGAAGACGGTGTTCAGCTCATGGCTAATTACGATACCTCAGCTTCCCTCTGTGAAGACGAAGAGGACAAATTGGAGACAGGACTTCCATCGAGAAAACGTGGACGTAAATGACTTTCTTTTGCTCGTGCTGTTGATCCCTTTCGCATATACCTCGGCTTTCACTTTCGGGTTCATCCTATTTGTGACTACTCAATAAACAACCTCTCCTACAAACTGCTCGAACTATGTTGTATATCGCTCAGTTAAAAGACGTAAATGTAACAACGCCTCGCAGAATAGATTCATATCAATCAGTAGAAAGGTATTACACAGATAAAAATCAATACAAGATTCGGAACACTTGACTTGAACATTCTTTCGATCTTTTCGTCTCGCCATCACTGTAGTCCAGTAATGCCGAACGTACAACGAAAATATTTTCCTGTTAAGAACTGAATACCGGGAACTCGCTGATCCTCAGCTTGGTCGACTATTCAATAATCAGCATGTTGCCCGACAGAACACAAGATATAAGACCCCACCCCGTAAGGATTAAGCACAATAGTCTCGACACTCCCAATACACCTTGGTTTCGTCGGAGGGACACTAACGAACGTATCGCCTGCGAGTCCCCAGTTAATAGAGCACGCCGACACGGTGATGGAACCAGGCGGCAATCCCTCATCAAAGATTGGTGAAGGGAGAACACCATTGGCTGGAGGAGCATAAACGTATTTGGCTGTAGACGGGTCGATGGCATAGGCCCAAGCTGAAGTAGCATCCAACTCATAGTCGGCGGCGCGGGGCTCGACAGCGTTTGCCTTGATAACCGTTTTGTTGAAATTTACTATTTACACCGATGTTAGTAGGTTGGGAGGGTAGGGAAAGAAAAAAATGGCTTACTGTCGAGCGCATAGTGAAGTGGACCTCGGTGAAGAGCGACAGCACCGTGAAGACGACTTTCTATAGGGAAGTTCGATGGGACGGTTTTAGTGCTACGTCATAAGAGAACTTACCAGTGGTTATCTCGGCGGGGAGATTCAATACGAATTTCGTCGTCCCAGAAGGGATGTTGATTGCGAATAAACCATTACTAGGAGACACTGGTTTGGTCGAGCCCCCATTTGTTGCAATCGTTCCACCAACGACCCAGCTCGGTATCCGCACGTAGAACGTGAATCGCCTGGATGCGGTGACAGTATAGGATAATGTATCGCCGAATGGGTATAAAGTATCGACGGTAACAGTCACTACGTTGTCTACGAGGCAATTAACTATGGTGTAAGCCAGGGGAACACCGAGGTAACTCACTTCCGGTTAGGGTCGTGGACGTCTTCAGTGGACCAAGATAAGCCTGGACGAGGGAAGATTGATCTGCAGTAGTCAGGAAGGAATTAGTTATGAATTTCGGATAGCCTTGAGGGTGGTTGACGGTGCAGCATCTGTAATGGCTGTAAGTGCTAGAATTTCATTTTTTGAAAAACGAAAAGCTAACGGGTAGTAAGGTTCCAGTCCGAAGACGTTCGAATAACCACTTCAGTTTTCGTCAATATCGAAACAGAGAGGAAGAGTTTGCCACGTACGAATTTACAGCAAATGGATCTCTGGAGTTATATAAGTCATAGACCCGACACCAAAGAAAACGAAACCGACGGAGTCATGTTCTTCGATGCAATTTGATTCTGCTGCTGGTCGTACTGTCTGGCCCACATGTCTAGAGTCAAGTTAGCATAAATTTGGACCCATCGCTGTTCGCTTGCCTCCCGTTAGCGTTCCGGGTAGCGCGTTATAAGTGATCCTTTCGACCTAAATTCAAAGTTATAGATTTGAACGAAGAGAAAAGAGCATTCGAACCCTATCCAAAAACTTTGTATCCCCAATCATTTGGTACAAATACGAGCCGCTGAACATGGTCTCCACGACGGCGCATAATTCCGTTCTAAAGAATTGGCAAACCAACGGTGAGTGTAACGTATATATACGGATAAAAAGGCTTACCCCCGTGTGGCTTCCATCCCAGCAAGGTATTCATCTGCTCCATAGATCCCAGAGGGTCGCCCGTGGTATTGGAATAAAAGGTCCCAGCCAGAGGACGCAAGGTTCAAGTCTATAATGCGTTAATGCCAACAAAGAGACCAGAAAAGGACGAAGATACCGGACTGATTATGAGAGAAGCGATATGTAGCAGGAAGTGCTTTCATACCCTCCGCCATGTTCACGCCGTGCCACTGCATTGCGAAGAAAATTCATCAAGAAAACCAGGATACTACTATGTTGCGTACAACTCACGCTCAGAACATATCCGGTAGGATTCTCCAGATTCTCCACAGGTCCATGTGGAAAGTTCTATAATTTAGAAATAAACATCGGAGCCGACCTTGTCATATGATACTAACCTCTGCTTTAAATACCTCCTCCCAGGGCACGCCGCTCCACTTCAGCTGAAGCATAGTGTCCAAAAGAAGGTCCTCGTTCCCATTGGGGTGATACTCGTACAGCCATTGGAGGGTCATTACGAAATCTTCCCACCTTGTATTCGTCCAGATTTCCAAGCCCTCTCCTTTTCTAATCATTTCGTTCGCGAGAGGGACGAACTCGTGCATGGCGGAAACAACGCGGTCCGTAAGAGATGAGTTGTATTCAACCATTTGAATCGCTCCGAAGAAGAACGGGTATCGACCCCAGAGGTACCTGGTGCGATTGTTACCCGCCTCGGGTCCGAGCCATCCGGCAGTCTCTTGATGAGTGAGAACATAGTCGAGGAATTGGTAAGTCTGGGCTTGTATCTCGGAGTTTGAGGTGAGGACACCGTGAGGTACCATCCCGTTAAACCAGTAACTTCCGGCTAAAGAAACAAGGCTGAGTTGGAAGCGACTGTGCGAAGAAAGAAAGATTACCTTCTTCAAGGCTGGAATAGGCAGAGGAACCGCCGATCCAGTCACTATTCTTGACATAGTTGTAAAAGTCATGTAGATGACCGGCCATCCCGTTGGTCTGGACGTCGAGCTAACTCGCCGAATTTAGAAATGCTTCGATAGCATCAGGTTCAAATGGTTTACTTGATCACTCAGCCAGCCAAGAGGCCGTACCTCACCAAGCGGCAGAGTAAGATATTTTTTCGGAGAGACTAAAATTATGAGGCAAATGTCTGTGCGTAGAGCAAATGGCACGTACGCTGTGCAACCGCCCCATTGAAGGCGCTAAAAGTAGCGCCTAAGATTAGAAGCAAACGCATTGTCGGAGAAGAAAACGCGCCAGACGCAGGGCTTCAAGCTTCAAGAGACAGTGCTCTATGTATACTGAGGAACAAGCACTTTATCAAAGCAGATAGAAGACCAGAGCCGTGTGCAGTCGAAGAGCTGACAGCATGGTCAAGAGACAAAAGTAGGGATCATCCTCGGCTCGAATACATGGTGGCAGTTGAGGAAGGAATCTACCGGAGAGCCGCCAAGCCAGGAACCTTTCGCTAGTGAATGTAGGCCTCTCAGCCAAGTTCCCAACTTAAGTATGAGTGCAAGGGTCAAAACGAACATCGTAAGCCAAACCGGCCCGGCCGGCAAATCGGACTCTAAAGCGCCGCCCCGCGAGTCGTTGAACTTGCTTCATCTCCACTTCTATGTAGTGTGTCATCAAAGACTTTACTTTCAGATTCTCTCTCTCAAAAATGCTACTTCCGAAAGGACAGCTTATTTCACGACTCATTCTCAGACAGTAACAGGTGTTCTGGTCAGTCTGCCAGTTCCATGCAGCAGAAGTCCTATAATCAGTTTGTTTAGGTACCATGATACCGGCAAAATTCTCGGAACAGATCATGCGGTATCGTTCCAGTACTCAGCGGATCGGCGGCCCACAAGTCAAAGATTGTACCGCATCATTATCTTCGAACGAACACATGTACGATGAACCATTGCTCCCCGGCCTGAGAATTTCGAAGGGATATATGTCTGCACGAATCTCGTTTCCTGTCAAGGCTTCCAGCTAGGCTCCCAGGTAAGCATTCTGCTATGAACCTATCCTTATCTCAATCAACGTCAGGATAGCAATGATGCCAATAATGATTGCGACACTACTGGCTCTGTTATGTTTCTGTCCTATGACCGTCCTCTCTGCAGACACCCTAGGCATCAAAGATGGATTCACGACATTCAATACTGGGACATTCACCATGAAGCTCATCAAGGACTCCCAGACCTTATACTCTTTGATGCCCACAGGATCGAGCTTCGACTTCATGCCCTCCGATTATATGGCACAGCGCGCCGACAACGGACAGAACCATGTTGGCGACATAAATATACGCGCTCGGCGAAGCGGCACATCCGCATGGACTACCATCAGTTCTGTGGTCAAACGAAGCCCGGTAACAGCGCTGAGTGTTTCGGGAACGACTATAGCTGCAGCAAATCTTGCCCCCACCCTCAATTCGACGCTTCTCGGTGTGACGCGTAGCTGGTCTGTCGAAGATGGGATTTTGCAACTGCGATTCAATATTTCGAACCCGCAGAGCCAGGCAGTCGAGATAGGTGCCTTGGGTGCGCCTCTGGAGTTCAACAGTGTATGTTATTGCACAATCTCCTTTCTTATGTACTCACAAAATACACTTTAGATATTTACTGGTCGTACCGTGGACGCAACCAACAACAATTGCAGCCTCATAGATCCATACATCGGTCAGGATGCAGGCTTCGTTCAAGTTACTCCCCTTCTAGGAACACTCCGACCTCTCGTTCTCATTCCAGCTGCCTCATCACCCTTTGAAGGCTGGCACTTCCTTCCCGAGGTTTACAGCGACTCGAGTTACGATTATCAGTCGCAGACTTTTGAAGGATTCTACGAATGGCAGTTCCATACATTAGCCTTCGCGCAGAACGAGTGGGCCTCCGTCACTCCCTGGAATTCCCCGACGTCGTTCACGCTTCAACCTGGACAATCACGCACGTACGGTCTCAAATTCCTCCTCGCAGACTCCATCCGCGGTATTGAAAACACTCTCATCAGTGCCGGTCACCCTGTTGCAGCTGGTATTCCAGGGTACATTCTACCGACTGACCAGACCGGAAAATTATTCCTTAACTATCGTTCAGCAGTGACATCCATCTCTGTCACTCCTTCCGGGGCTCTATCTTGGACGTCTAATTCAGAGGCGAAGACAAGCGGATGGGTCGGTTACAACATTACTCCGCGTTCATGGGGTCGCTCCAGATTGTCCATCACGTATGCAGACAGCACTCTACAGACGATCAATTACTATGTCACCCACGACGCCGTCCAGGTACTGAGTGACCTCGGAAATTTCCTTACTACCAATCAGTGGTTCAATGACACTAGTGATCCATTTGGACGCGCACCGTCAGTTATCAGCTATGATCGAGAGGTGAATGCGATCGTGAAGGATGACCCGCGGGCATGGATCCCAGGCCTTAGCGATGAGGCTGGTGCTGGCTCATGGCTTGCGGCAGCGATGAAGCAATATCTCCAACCAAATGCTGCTGAAGTAGCCAAGATGGAGCAGTTCATGAATAAGGTGGTTAAGGGATTATTGCAGAATTCGGATGGTTAGTTTATGGTCGTTGTCTCCTACTGCGGAATCTGACATGTTTTGTAGGCACTGTCAAAAAGTCGGTCTATTACTATCAGCCGGCGTTGGTGCCGAGTTACAATTACCCAACAACCATCAACTGGGGCAACTGGTGGTCATGGAATAGAGCGGCGTCTTATGACACCAGTCGAGGTTACGACTATGTCCATGTCATTGCTGCTCATTGGGCTATGTACCGCGTTGCGAGGAATTATCCCGCCCTTGTCTCTTTGCAGAATTCAACTTGGTATCTTGACCAGGCGCTAGCTGTGGTTACAAAGCTTACAGATGGAACTGTTGGCTACTGGGAAGATGGTCTGATGGGCGAAACGGTGCTGAGTCTCTTGTTGGACGATCTTACCAGGGAGGGAAGGACGTCGGACGCGTCACTTTTGAAGAGTAGGATGCAGACGAGGTATAACGTCTGGTCGAGGCAGAGTTTCCCGTTCGGCTCAGAGATGGCTTGGGACTCGACCGGACAAGAGGGTGTTTATCTGTGGAGCAAGTATTTTGGCGGAACGACTCTGGCGACAAAAACACTCAACTCGATTCTTGCATATCAACCACTCATTCCTCACTGGGGATATAATGGCAATGCGCGACGATACTGGTATGTGTTTTGCCCATATCATATCGTCCGTTGGGAACTAAAGTGTTTTGTAGGGACAATATATATGGAGGAAAGCTTCAGCGCATCGAGCGACAAATCCATCACTACGGCTCTGGTCTAAACGCACTCCCATTGATTTCTGAGTTCACCACATCCCCGACAGACTTCTTCCTCCTTCGACTCGGTTACGCCGGTCTCTCTGGCCCAATGTCAAATATCGACCAAGGCGGATTCGCATCGGCGTCATTCCACTCATGGGCCGACACCCTCAAATGGGACGGGTACTCTGGCGACTACGGTCCAAACTTCTCCGGTCATTCAATGGGTATCGGGATGTACCTCATCGAGCATCCCGATTTCGGCTGGCAGGCGTTCGGCGGGACCGTGACGTCGTCCTCTTCCTCGTCTGTGCAGGTGCAAGTGAAGGATACTGGCAGGAGGAAAGTATTCATTGCGCCGATTGCTGCGATGTTAAAACTGGATGCTGGGGCGTTCACTGGGGTGACGTATGATCCGGCGGCGCATACGGTTGTGATTACTATCGCTAATGCGGTTGGATCGGGAGCTGCAGCGCCGCATGGAAGATTGGTGGTGAGCCAGACTGTTAGTGGTCAGGGTGGTGTTGGGGTGTTGGTTCCCACAAAGAGTCTGAGCGTGGATGCGGGGGCCTATACTATTCCGTTCAGTGGTAGTAGTGCGACGGTGACTTTGTCACCCTGAGAGCGTGTACGATTTGCATGTGGTCATTGAGTTGAATATCATTCCTGGGTGCATGAAATGGTATCCTCTTGGCCTTGATACGTAGGCTTGGTAGGACTTGGTATCGCAGGCTGGTCACCTTCCCTTCCTTAGTAACGCGATCACGAAGGGAACCAAACATGACCACATGTCTCTCTTGGACGCGAACATCAACAGCTATGTATAGACTTATATAATGCCTCTTCTTCTCTTTCTCCTTTGCTTTGACGAGGCTTGTAGGTCGGATCACTTTTGCCCCGAGGACTAATCAGTTGCTCGTCATCCTTTTAGGAATTTAATGCTCCAAGGCTAGCCAAGCCTTCGTCGACTTTTTCAAACTACCACCGGTGCGGTGTACTCTTTCTCATTGCCGGTTGTCACATGATGGATCCGTGGTATTCTGCGTGGCACCTATATTTCCTCTAGCTTTGATTGGGCCTAACACTATTTTGTTATCTTCTGAGATGTTTTGAAATTGTTTTCTGCCACAAGAACTTTTTCCCGCCGGCCTGGAGATAAACTTCTTCTGATAGACTCTCAATCGCGGCTGCTGATCCGGTTCTCTATAAGAGCTTGACAGATATGCTGGCACTGTGTTGGTGATGTTTTCTCGCAATCTTGTCCTTCAGATCGCCTTTACGTTCTCTACCATTCTTTATGCTTTGGCCGATGATCCTCCGGCTGGGATCCACGCACTTCCTGCGCCAAACATGACTTCCTCGTTCTGGCTCAACAGTCCTGCTAATCCCAATCCTCTCCGTAACGCGGGTAGCGACGGTCCACTTGCCTCCGGCGCTGACGTCTGTATCATTGGCTCTGGTTTGACCGGTATCAGCGCGGCGTATCATTTATCTCAGTCAGATATCGCTTCCCATCTCAAGGTCATCGTGTTAGAAGCCAGAGAGTTTTGTGAGTTGTTTGGAATACCCTATTTTAGTGCGTGCTGACTTTGATGCACATAGGCTCAGGCGCTACTGGTTGGTCCAGTGACTGGATTTTTATTGTTTTGTGCTCATCGTCTCTCCTCAGGACGTAATGGTGGCTTTCTCTCTGCAGCCTCGTGCACGTCTTATGTCGAGCTGCAAGAGGAGTATGGCACGGACGAGGCGCTGCGTGGATTGTTGTTGGAACACCACAGCTACAATTTCACCATCGGCATGCTAGAAAAGCACAACCTTCTCAAAGAGGCCAGCATTTTGTTTGGCGACAGTATTCATTTATTCCAGGCGGAAGACGAATACATATCTAACAAGGCTGACTGCGATGCTGCTGAGGCTGAGGGAATAGATATGACCGGGATCAATTGGTGGACTGCGGACTATATATCGGAGGCGCGATTGCCCTGCTCTGGTTATCGTCCTCATGACTTAATTATCTTTTCTACAGAGGTTCAACACATCTTCGTATGGTGCCTATACCAATCCATTTGCGGCTATATGGCCTCAGAAGATTGCGACCCAGATGTACATTCTGGCGGAACGAAATTTTGACCTTTCTCTTCACACTCACACGCCTGTCCTTTCTATCAACGACACCAGTCGCAACTCCTGGTCACTGATTACGCCTCGCGGATCTGTCGAATGCAAATATGTCATTCATGCTACCAATGGATATGCGGCCAGCCTCATTCCGCACATGTGGGGATATGGAGGCATAATGCCAGAACGTGGACAGATGATCGCTATTCGTGCAGGTGTAGACCTCAAAGAGCTGAGCACAAATGGATGGTCGACTGATACAGGATATTGGATTTCACAGCTGGACGGCGAAGAGCTTCCTATCGTACTATTTGGTGCTGACAGCAGTGCTTTCAATGACACAGGACACGTCCATAACTATACCGATGATTCGGCAGTGGTTCAGAGCACCCTTGAACTGGAGGTCGCTTATCTTCCACAACTTCAACCTAAACTGTACATTAAGAGAACCCCAGCCGAGTACTCATGGGTACGTCTTACTTGATCATAAAAACGCATTTCAGTTATCATTTCTTCCATATAGACAGGTATCATGGGCTACACAGCCACTGGTGATCCCTTCGTAAGTCTTCTTAGATACACTTTTCTCGCATTAACAGTTGAAAAGGTCGGGCCTGTCGTTGAAAAATCTAATAACGTCAATTACGACAACCAGTATATATCAGCTGGTTATAATGGCTATGGAATGCCACGCACTGTCGCATGGTATGACTCTTCCTTTGCTTGAGCGCCTTTACTTATGTCGTTGCGTTCATCTCCTCCAGTGCTGAAGCTGTTGTTCAAATGATCATAGCGAATATTACGGGCACAGAATGGATCCAGCCTGACTGGTTTCCGAGCAGGTATTTGACATGGAATAAGTAGACTGCACAATTCCGTTTTGTGCTACTGAGTCTTCGGCCCGGTTGATCACAAGTCACTAATGACGTCTTTGTGCTGCTCACCGACAATATACTTACTTAGTACTCATACACTTGAGCTTTTCCACTCGTTGCAGTCATGCCCTCACGTTATATTCGACACGATAATGAAGTGCCAGCGCCGAGTGATTTATCTCACATACACGAAGAGATCCGCTCGGCTCTCGAACGCGGTGTAGCCAAGATTGAAGGAATGGGTAACCCCAAGCCACATCATACCAGCGTATATGTCGGTTTACCTGGTAATGCTTCCAGTTTCATCTCACTCATCGGCTAACAGATCCGGGTCATCACCAGGGATTTACATGATGTTTTCCTGTCTATCTTCGTTGAGTCTCGGGGATGCTCCTGATAGGGCTCGTTTGCAAGCCAATTCCGACAGAACCTTTCTTTCACTATCCAAGTCCAGTATTACCGCTATCACTTCACCGTCGAAGGCTTCATTTCTCGAGACACCTTTCGGTGTGGCTTGTCTGATTCTTACTTCGAAGTCCCAAGACAAGGTTGCCACGGCATCGTTCCGTACGATCATACAGAGTGCCATCCAGTCTGTCGTAAAAGAATCTTCTCATGATACCTGGGACGATGATGGATGCGAAGCTCTTTACGGGAGGGCTGGTCTCTTGTATGGTCTTCTACGCCTGCGAAAGAACGAGTTGGTCTCTGCTAGAGACATTGAGCTCGTTGTTTCTTCTATCATGACTAGAGGCAGATTTGGAGCGTCCGTTTATAGAGACAGCATACCAAGCCAGCAGCAGTCTCCGGCGCTTATGTGGTCCTGGCATGGAAAGCGATACTTAGGTGCTGCTCACGGCGTCGGTAAGTCTGTGTATATGTATACATGCATGTTCAATCTTAAGAATCTTGGCATCTCAAATTCTAGCTGGAATCCTGCAGACGGTTCTAGCTTGCCCTCTTGACTTGTTGAACCCGTACATTCCAGACATCCTGGATACCGTAGAATGGTTGATGGACTGTCAAGATGAGGAGGGCAATTGGCCTACGAAAGCACCTAGGCATGGGAAAGTGTCGGGGGATGAAAAAAACGAACTGGTCCAGTGAGTATCTAATTTTTGTGTACATCTCTTCTCACTAAAAGTCATACCGTAGGTGGTGCCATGGCGCAATCGGAATCGTGATGCTATTATCTACGGTATTGAAATTGTCATCACAAAACCTCCAAGAATTTCGCCTCCCTGTCCATCTTCTCAACAAAGCCACGGTATCTATTCGCAAAGGCGCCTCCCTTGTCTATCGTCATGGATTCCTTCGAAAGGGCGTCGGCCTCTGCCATGGAGTCGGTGGTTCCATTTACGCCTTGCTTTCGACTTCGGATGCATTGGCTTTGGTACCGGGAGACAGTGACCACAAACATAATTCCCTATATTATTTTCAGCGAGCTGTTCATCTTGCGTATCTTTCTACATCGTATGAAAAACTTACCGAGGATGGGGAGATGGGAGTACCCGATCGACCAGGCAGCCTGTACGAGGGGCTGGCTGGGATGTGCTGTGCATGGGGAGAAATCGCTCGGCGAACAGCGGCGATTGATGTTGAAGGAAAGGCGGGTTCGGAGCATAGTAATCCTCAACCTTTGTCCATTGCCAGCGGATTTCCTGGCTATGACGATTTATAGGCCTATAATTAAATGCAGTCTCTTCGATAGTTAGCAGGCGCTTGGAAGGAACCTACATGTTTGACGAACAATAAATTATTGAAGTGGGACGTAAATCTCAGATGGCAGGCCGCAGAAAATCAGATCAAGTCGTCAAAGTACATATATTCGTAAGATCCACAAAATAACTCATAAAATGACATTTAGGCAGAGGCTTTGTCGTCCACGGAATGTTTTTCCGTTGGCTACAATAACACTTGAGTAATCCTTTTACCAAATGATGGAACGGACTTGCCTCGATTTCTTTCGTCCTTTCCACTACCTCTGCCAGTGTTGTTTTCCCGACATCTTTCTTGATCTTCCAGGCAGTAAATATGTGTCCTTGTTTGAAGATCTCCTCGACCTCTTCCAGCGAGCGACCAACAGTCTCCGGGTACATAAAGAAGATATGTATGAACGGCGGCGAAGTTGAACGTTCCGAAGATGAAGTATGTCTTCCACGCGATGTTGCTCAGACCCGGAGGGACAGCCCAGGCAAGAGCGAAGTTGAATGCCCAGTTAGTCGCTGTGGCGAGAGAAACGGCCTTGGCGCGCACTTTGAGCGGGAACTATACGAAGGGATGAGATGAGGGGATGAACGGCTTCGGGGGCTGACGCACCAGTTCGGCAGGGTAAGTCCATGAAACAGGACCCATTGTGATAGCAAAGCTGCACACGAAGAAGTAGGAGCATACAATTACTCCATTGGTGACCGAGCTATGGCCTTCAATGACCCAGACACCTACAAACACGACGTTAGCTCACAACAAATAGAACAGACGAGGAATGCTACTCACGGTCAGTATCCACTGTACCCCAGTGACCATAACGTCCCTGCAGACCACCGACAAGGAAGAGGAAGAAGCCCATGAACAACGTTCCGAGGAGAAGCATTGGGCGGCGACCCCACTTGTCAATGTAAATGATGGCCGGGACAGTGAGGGCCACATTGAGAACGTATTGGACAGCCTAAATCATTGGTCAGAGCCACGCGTAGATTGAGGAGAGACTTAACATACCGCTGAGATGAGATTTCCGCGACGACCAGTTATACCAGCACCTTGGAAGACATAGACGATATAGTACCTGTTGGAATTCTTGTTAGAGATGTATTACACGGCTGTATCAAGTAACATACATCATGACGTTCATGCCAGTAAGTTGAGACCACATCTGAAGAGCCATACCAAGGCCGACGCGACGGGGCATACCAGGCTTAAGAAGATCGAGGTACGACTTGGCACCCTCGGTTCTCTCAAAAAGGACTTGATGCTTAATTTCTTCATATTCTAGCATAACGAGCTCGCTGTTGGGATCACCTCCTCCATGCAAATCAGCGAGAACTTGCAAAGCTTCCTTTTCTCTAGATGGATGAATTCAGTCGGGCGCCAGAAGTGAGTGTTATCAATAGGGATGACGAACCTGCCATGATCGAATAACCACCGAGGACTTTCGGGGAAAACAATCATACCCACGCTTAAGACTATGGCCGGAATCATCTGAAGACCCCATGGAATACGAAACGACGCGACGCCATTGATATAGGAGCAGCCGAACTGAATGAAGTATTGGATAAGGATACCCCAAGTGATGGACCATTGCTGAAGGGAGACAAGACGCCCACGAATGCGGGGTTCCGTAATCTCCGACTGATAGATGGGGACCACAGCACTGGCAATACCCACAGAGATACCAGAAATAATACGCCCCACTACAAGCATTCCTCGGTTCTGTCATATGGGATTCAATCATTTACGTTACCAAATGAATTGGAGAATGCTCAAATGACTTACGACAGCTGCACACTGTAAAATAGACCCAATTACCCAGACCAAACCAGAGAGAATGACGGTTCTCTTGCGTCCAAGACGGTCCGCAAGTTGTGTAACTAGCAGTGCACCCAAGAAAGAACCGGCTGGCATCGAAGCGACGATTGCACCTTGAGCACCGGATCCAGGCTAGGATAAAATTAATGAATGTTTCATAAGACGAGTATTAAAACCATGCGTACATGAGAGAATGTATTCTTGTACGAATCATTCTGTCCAGCGTTTCAACTTTACGAGAGGTCAGTTAACAATAGACTGGACTTACACTCAGGACCCCAGACATGGACGAGATGTCCAAGCCGAAAAGTCCACCGCCTATGCATGCGAAAGAGCCCACAATATACTAACCAGTCTCGTAAGTTAGTCTGACGACCAAAATCAACAAACTGGCTCGGCGTACAGGATTCGAAGCAATACGAGCGTTATACTAGCGCATTTAAGATGTCAGAGAATCATTGGACTACTAGTAGAAGAATAACACTTACTCCCTTCCCCATGGCAAAGTTTCAGAGCCCCAACTTGTGGTGAAGAAAAGAAGGCTGGGCAAAGGTCGTGATTGCGAGCCTGGACTTATAAGTGTACGTTCCGTGTGAACACAAAAGATCATGGGGACACACCTCATCAAGGTTAGAGTCACGGCATACTTTAGCCCTGAGGTATCCGCGTGTAAATGGAGTTTTTTTAGCAGTTAATCCATCCTAATCAAGGGCTTAAAACAGATCAACTTTTGAAAACAAAGCGCGGTGATCGGCGGCCCGACCGCACTGGCCCAGAGTAGTATATGAATGATGGCAACATGCATCGAATTCTTATTCGTTCCACAACGGTAGCGGCCAGAAGTACTTATCAGTTCCTCACCAGGCATACCCAGCTCTACTACCTAGCTCTCCCGCCGTCTCTTTTCTACCCTTCAGTCCTGATAGTTCAGTTGAAGGTGCCACGCGGACATTGATGATTGAAGTTAACTCGGCCGGCATCCGGGGAGCGTTTCATAGAAGAAGCTGATGCCTTCGATGGGAATGCACATCTAGATCCATCCTTATCCTCCAGCCTTTCCTGTCTAGTACGTGCCTCGGTCAATTATCGCCATTATCTATTCGTTCTCGACACACTGACAAGTAATGTGGCACGAAACGGAACTTTCTGGAGACTCCTCCCCCCCTACATCGATTATGCCTGCTTCGTCCACCTCGGACATTTCGATAGGCGACTTCTCTAATCAAAAGCTGTGTCCCTTCTTTGTTCCTGGTGGTCCTACGGGCGCCAGGGTCTCTATGGTCCGCCCCATGGGCATTCAAAAGAGCATATGCATCCTCCCCACGGGACCATCCTGCTGCCAGGATCATAATTCAGATTATGATCCTGGGCATGAACTCATGATGGAGGTAATGGTTACCGGTACTTAAGGCTATGCGCAGTCCGCTGATACGTGCTAAGTTTGTCTCAACATTACCATTGTGTTCTCGAAGTCGAAGTTCATGACATCGGCGAAGCACACAAGCAATTGTATAGCCTGAGATTAGACCGTATCTGCTGCAATATATATTGCCATCTTCTAACATTGAAGAATGTTCGGTTTTGCATTATTACGATATGGCTTCGGGGATGTGTGAGATTCCAACTTCAAGAGTAGGATACCTATGTCCTCTGTTGCACCGCTGCTCAAGCTTCACTATCATGCTTCAGCAATGGCAAATCGCTCTGTCATCGTTGCTGGAGGCGGAGCTGGTGGAGTTATCGTTGTAGATGAAGAGAGGAGTAACTTACGTGGCATCCGAAGAAAACATGATCTGCGCATGAGAAAATATTGCGGAGCAACAATATATTTCACAGCAGATACGGTCTATTCTTCAGGCCATCCTGAGACTTCCGGCATCCTAAATTTTAACATGTCAATAGAAGCTATTTGAGGTCATCATTCGAGCTCAAGTTCCGATCCATTCAGAAAACATGTGGCGTCTCACGGGGTGATAGTTGGTGATAGTAGGTGATAGTGATATCCAGTGACATGCCATTTATGCTTTTTGACAAGTTACGGAAACGTTGGAATGGCATGCCATGAAGAAATTACAAACGCGTGGAGTCCAAGTCAGCTGGTAGCTACGTTGCTTTCATACATTATCGCCACTGTATGTCGTGTTACTTTTGCCTTGTCGCATCACCAACAGCTGATTGGCGCAAAATATGGCCCGATTCAATGCAGCCAATTCAAAATCAGCTTAGACGTAAGTCGATGCAGGACTGCGATATGTAGAGTGAATCTCAGATAGTACATTATTCAATACAAGGCTTACAAGCTGACGGTGGTGCATGCATGCATCATCGAACCTGTATTTTCTATCACCAGGTAAGATTAGTTGCATAGACACTTCTCCAAATTTTCCACGTCTTCCCTCCTTCTGGTTCATCACTGGGATCACAGGATACCCCATGCTGAGTAGTGAACACGTCGTCACCAGAATGAATATTGCAGATCGTATGAGGATAAATGGAATCCACAACAACTGAGGTATGTTAGCCCGTATGCTTCATTTCGATTGTAATTTCCTGGTTCTCTTCATGTCTTCCTCGGAAATGAAAAAGCCGAGTCCTAAGATGCAATCGTCAAGGAGGGATTCTGGAATGGATATCCTGGCGAGATAGTCCTTGGCACAGGCCACTTGAACAACCATGAACTGGAGAAGAAAATCAATCAAATGCAAACATCCCCTCACATTGTTTCGTTCTTTTGGAGATGCTCTGACCGAGTACTTATTTAATTCTGGAATACCGGTGATGCATCCGTCGATCAGCTGGATTTGGCCATTACGAAGATCGACAGTAAGCGTACCTAGTCTGGTGGACACAAATATCTTTTCAGATAATAATAGTCTGCATGGCGTACTTGGTTCTCAGTGGCTACGTGGTCCAGGGCTGGCTAAAGAGTGGACAACAACACTCCCGCACATCCGCTGGATCTTGGGATCGGGCGGTGACAAGGCGCAACGCGGCAGAAACGACGAGATAGGCGAATGTATCCAACGACTTTGATAGCACAAAAAGAGCATCGATACAGTCTATAGCGTGGTGGAAGTGTGGGGGAGACTTAATGTGGAATCGGCACAGGAATTCAGGACATTGAAATATAGCAGATGACATTGAGGGATGCCATTCAACGTCATTTCTTGCGGAACGTATCAGACCCACAAGACCTAAAGGCCTAATGATCGAGGTCATTCTTCCCTACAAGCGGTCGTTAGTCCTTCCCTCGGTGAGGTTTGAAGGGCATAGAGCGATCAGCAATTTTCTGTTCTGTAGTGTTCAGGGGCTGACCAAGCTTTGTCCAACTCGAAGGTCGGAAAGTGTGAAGGGCTGAGGTACTGAAGCTCGGAAAGATCCGAAGATACGAGTTTTTGAATGACTATATAGTACTGAGTGTAGACAGCTTGAAATGACCTATGGAAGCAAAGGCGAATATTGATCGAGATTAACTGACGCCAATGTCTGGGTGGAAATCGTCAGGTACTTATGGCAGCAAGATTCAAGGGACATACCTTGCAATACACATTGCGATCGGATGTCGGAAAAAGTATAACGACACGAGGACCGAGATATATAAATTTCTAAGGAAGGAAAGCTGATGCTGCGTGAAAGCGGCAGACACGTCAACTATAGACACTAAGTTGTAACATAGCTGGCTTGTTTCTCTTCCTTAATGATACTCACTCGCCATCGCCACCGGCACTATACGTGTAAACCTCAACCAACTCACCTCCAAACTGTTCCATTCCCACGATCCTAAACATCTGACCGCTCCCCCATTCGCTGCCCTCGCCAAACTCCCTTTTCCACGCCTTACTCATGCCACCTTCCCAGGCATACAGCTCCACTTTCCAACCCTTCTTCAGCGCAGTTCGCACCGTACCCAAAAACCCATCTTCGTTGAATTGGCCCGCATTGCCATCTCCAGTAGCCAAAATAATCGTGCTTCCAGGCGGAGGCGGACCATCGATCGACGCCAGCGCTTGATGAAGCTTAAGCTGCAGCAGCTCATCAACACCCTGCTCTCTATAGCGAATCCGCGCGGGAGGTGTATTTCCCTGTGAATTCGGCATGACCAGAGATAACTGGCCAGGTGGCGAAATAGATACGCCAGTTGTAATGCTCCTCAACAAAACCTGCGATAACGTGCCTGCACTACCCGATCCACTCCCCCCACCGCCTTGCTCGCTTTCAGTTGATGTACTCCCTGAAATCCTCCTCAAATGACCCTTCTTCCTGCCTCCCGTCGGAGCTGTATTCACACTCCCAGACCTCAACCTCGACGGCCTTGGCGATGCACCCTGACCAACAATGATCCCAATGTTGGCCGCAGAAGCCGGTGTTCGGCCGACAACAACGCCAGAACCACCGCTCTGGCTTCGTATGTGCCCGGACTTTGCCCGTGAATCAGTGTTTCTGTCCGCTCCATCACCCATGTCAGGTACCCGAGCGAGCGTTCTAACCTCATAACCTAGCTGATTAGCACTCTCTAAGCGCTGATACAGAGGGGAGGATGCAACAAGCACACGACGAGATACCGGACGCCCACGTTCAAGAATAAGAGATAGGGCCGAATGCGAGAGATGTCGACGGAGTTTAGTTATTGAAGGCGCAAGTCGAGCTTGGGGATGTCGGTTTGGGTAACGTTTCAAAAACTTAACAATCCTATGAGAATGTTGGAACTATCGATACGTAAGTGAAGTATACGGTAATGGGATGCCGCTAAAACAACTCACTGATCTACAAATACATGAATTAATCGTTCATTGGTTTGTTGGGGTGGAGGTCCCCGCGTATCAACAAATCCTCCAAGAAGATCTTCGACGCCATCATGATCTATTGGTCCGGGAGAAATGATCTCCGGTGGTTCCATTGTCTTTAAGCTCACTTGCTTCAAGTACTCCCGATCCTCAGGAAACAACTGGCACAACTTCTTCATCAAACTCTTCATCTGTCTCACACGAGGTACATCTTGCTCGTCGAGGAAGAGTCTATGCATTCCTGACCTCTTATCATCCGGTCTCTCAGCAGGAATCCTTAACTGAGGCGTCGATTTGGTGCTCCGCAGACGGCTCTGCCGCTGTCGTCCCCGACGAGCAGGCGTTCCGGGAGTAGATTTGTAAACGTTGTCATTAGGATTGCTTGTGGTGCTGTAGTATCGATCATAAGAGGAAGACGACTCATCCGCGTCCTGATCTGGATCATGATCCGCAGTCGTAGTCATTGATTCATTGGGTGTCGCGCTGGTAACAGTGGTGGAAAGAGTGGAAGGCCCTGTGGATTGGGCTCGAGGCGTTTTCGTTCTCCTACGACGACGTTTTCGACGAGGTTCTGCAACACATTTTAGCTTGGCAACAGTAGAAATAATAAGCACATACCTGCTGCTGCCGACAGAGACACTAATCTCCCATTGTATTGGCCTATGGTCCCTGCATCACGCTGGGCAGTCAGCTTCTCCCGCTCATCAGCCAAGAAGTTAAGCGTCTCTTGGAAACCCAAGGTAGGCATCACTTCCTCCTCATCTGCGTCCTTGGTCATGTCGACGCTGCCGTCATCGTTTGTGATTACAAGATCCAGGTCGGAGCCGTCCTCGATGTATACGGTCCTAGATTGTGGATCGCCTTCAGTGTCCGATGAATAATAGCCCTGCTCGTCAGAAACGTCTGAATATGGCTTCACTTCGGAGTCGGTGGGTACAAGCAAGCTCGCATGTGGTGAAGGGGTATGCGCAGAGCGGGGTACTGTATACGAAGCAGTAGATTGTGCGTCGAGATAGTCTGAGTAGTACTCGTCGAAATCTTGGTCGGTCTCTGTCGCGGTTTCATCGAGTTTGAGATAGGATGCTATAGGCTTGTGAGACCATACAGTAGAGCCTTCTGGCCTGAGGTCGCTGTCGTACTCAAGTTCTGAATGAGAGTAGTCGGAAGGAGTGATAGAAGATTGTGTTTGCGAGGTGGTCGTCGAAGTGGTCGTCGTGGATGTTTGACGTACAGCGGTCACCGGATTTATTCTCCTCGGAGGTTGCAGGTAGTTCCACTCACGAAGTACTGTCGTAAAAGCACCGAGATTAGGCTGTTCTGTGGAGAAGAGAAGAGGTAATAGGTGACTTAATGTAAGTAATCGAGTCAAGTTACTGCTCACCGTCTGAAGTAGGCTCCGAAGGCACGGAATCATTAGAGAAAAGACTGATTGGAGTTGGAGAGTTGACACTAGTGTCTGAGCTAGACTGGAACATTATAAGAGTGGTACAAGAAGGTAATAATACAAGAAAATGAGGAAGATATAGTGAAAGTAAGAGGAAAACAGTGGAATGACCACGAGATATCCACGAGGCGATTGTCTTTGGATGCAAATAGGTATAAATCACCGGGCCGATGCTCCGAAAACTTCGATCCCTGCCCTTGGCACTGTGTTTCGACAACGAAGCCATGAGAATCTGCGAAGACATAAAGGGTACCTTAATACCGCTTTCACTAGTCCAGTGTTCCTATGATGGCCTTACAAACAATTTTTGTCGAATTCCCATCATACGATTAGATTTAAGTCAGGTCATCCCAATTACATAATGACAATCGATCAATACGGGCAGGCGCAACACGATTGACGCTCTTGATGAGCAGTATGTATAAATTAATAAAATATGTTAAAAGGATTACAATTTCACACCGGCAATCTCAATTGCAGCGTGTTAGTCCTTGATCCCATCTCGACACCCGATCTCGTAGGTGCCGCGCTTACACCATGAACATGATATTGCTCTCCCACAATTTCTTTCACGGCTACCATCAATCTGTCCAGCCTCGACACAATGCTAAACGCCGTCGACACCCCCACCGAAAACATCCTAAACGCCACAACTCAGTTCCAATCAATTCAGTTCGGATCAACACACCACACTCACAAGTACTGCTCGTTTTCCAGTGTCTCCATGGTGAGCGACCTCGGCAAACCAAAGTCCTCCTCAGCTTCTTTGTGTATTACACTGAAACCATGGAACTTCAACATGAACCGATCCAGTAACGGACAAGGCGTAATCTGAGGCAAGGGCTCTCCAGTACGAAGCGACGTAGCTATCATGCCTACGGCATTGAATGAGTAAGATGGTGGAAGAATTAAAATCGAAGGAGCGTACTGATAACGGCTAGCATGTCTCCTTGAAAATTAGGGTCCAAAAACCGTGTCCGAGCCAAGAACGCTCGCGCCCAGGCAGGGTCCATATGTGAAATGACCGACGTGAGATGCGATAGGTAATAAGCAGCTTGTCTACAGCCCCGAGAGTCAAAAGAAGGTCAACACGCGAGACCCATACTACTTACAACTGTAGCTCCAGAATCTTGTGGTATCTTTGCGCCGGCCACCTGCCTCGTAATGAAAACTGAGCAATAGCGATGAGAGTAGCCTCGAACTTTAAGGCATAGACGTACTTCATAAATAACATTTGTCCTTAGAACAGCTGATCTGTTTAACTTGCTTCGGATAGCAATCAGGCTCGTTATAACCTGCTGGCTCTCTGCATCTCTCCGTGTACTAGCGTAGGAAACTATGGAGCAATAGATAGCTCCGAGTTCCGAAGAAGTAGTCGCCAGTGTCGTCCGCTGGTACCGGCGGATGGTTGTTGATGGGGGAAGGAAGGAAAACAAGCTAGGAACATACATATTAGTAGATTCTCGCTCCACACGAGGAAAGGAGACTGACAAAGCGGCAGTAACACCTGCTGTAACAAGCACAAACCGGCGCTAAATTCTGTTATGAAATAAAGTACATCAAGCAAACCAGAAATCAAACAAACCCATGCAACATCAATACCATACCCGGGATTGGCAGGGAGTATAATAACTGTATCTTGGTATGAATATCCGACAACCTATCTCTGAAGTCAAGACAAGGCGGACAGGCAACGAGGCTACAATACTACGTACCAACATCGTGGTAACGCAGAAGATGATAATCGTCATCGGCGGGACGGGCCAATACAACCTTGCGTAGAAAAAGAATGGGAAACAAACTCCTAACACCGCGGCTAGCCCATAGGCATTACCATGGCCGTTACCGGTCGATATGTACCTGATAAATCGTCATCGATATACGTGATCAAACAACTTGCGAATGGCTTACCAGATAACGGCACCGGCTAGACCACCAAAGAAAGTACTGAAGATACGCGCAACCAGACCAAAAGTAGTATCTCCTCTGAAGCGTGCCAGTGTTAGCTGTCCCATGATACTGTCCAAATATTCAATGCGAGATAAACGTGCCAGGAAAGATCACATACACCCCCCAGACGAATCGGTTAGCTTCGTAAATTCGTCAGCTAATCCGTATATTAGGACGGAAGAGCCTTACTATAAGCAAATTGTGCGGAAGAACTTATGAATATCGGTAAACATAAGATAACTACAAGATCCTATCAGCATATGTCCCCGTAAGATCAATCCCAAATCACTCACTCGTAAAAATCCCGGCCTTGATAGCGTAAAGTACATTACCACCTCCTAGACCCGTTACAAACCCATATATCTTATTCATTACCCATTCAAACGCATTATGAGGCGGGAGTCTATCGGGATCTCGCTTTCGAGCTATACCTAGGTCATCCAAGACAGCCGGCTCCAATCCTTGCACGGTTTCGGGATCTTCTTCGTCGTCATGGACGTCGGACAAGTTCCAGTTGCTCCAGCTAAAGTATTTCTGAACGGGTGTCCAGATACGATTTTCGGGGCGTGCCTTTTCGAGGCGAATAATTTCGTCGAGCTACAACGGTACAACAAAAAATAAGCCAGAAATGGGCAGAGAGGTATTCACTCACCGTTTCTATCACCTGTGTTGAGAACCGCATTAGATGATACTGATATACGTAACAGTGGAACAGGTATCGATGCGAAGGGACCTCTTGCTCCCCGCTGCCTTCAAAGGCAGGACGGAACGGCTCCAAAACGGCATGCCTTTTTTTCGATCGGTACAGTTCCAGACACGCACTCAACGAATCCCTCAGTTGTTGAAGCTCCTCGAGTTTTCCCTCTCTCTTTCGTTTCTTCTCGCTTCTGCTAACCCAAAATGTCAGTCGACCTCCTCGCACAGTTCCTAGCCAATCAGACACCGCTGTCACGGCTTTTCGACACTCATCGAGGAGCCCATCAGCACTATTCAAAAGCAGCTCAGTCGTTCGTTGGGTGTAGGCTTCAACTTCAGGATCATGAAAGAATGTCGCTTCCAGATCCATGTACCTGTGAGACTCGAAGACCCCTACAGCCTGCTCATTCTTGTGCACCTTAGGTAATGTAAGATGCAGAAGCGAATCGCGCAGCAAGTTATGGAAGCCGTGGTGATGGTGGGAACGGGAACGAGAGTGCGTTCTGCTCGGTCCGCGGCTTCGTCGACTGGTGAATACAGACCCTGTGGGTGTTCCGGGTTCTGTAATCGGCTCCGCACCATCCTCCGTATCTGTATCACCACCATCGCGTTCAAGAGACGACTGTCTGGATGCGCGCACGGGAGTTGTAGTGCCAGGAGTACCAGGCCGTGATGGGGCTGGCGTCACAGGAAACCTTTCTCGCATTGGTTCGATTATAGAGAAGTAGATGGTAAGTCCGTTAGCTCGGACAGCCATCCGTCTCGCGATGGCTTGCAAGGCCTTGAAATCGGTGGGAGCAAACCGAGCATAGATAAGATCACTAGGGAGAAGACGACCAGAGATGGCGAGGGGAATGAGACCACCTTCAGCTTGCTTGACAGCTGCTTTGATAGACTCGGCCGCAGACGCGAACTCTGGGGAATTGGCAGGGATATCCTTGAGCGAACGGTGAAGTTCCAGGGACTTTATCAATGGGCCAAGGACTGCTTGCAGGCGGGATGTGAACTGCGCGGATACTGTCTGTGGAAACACGACGATGGATGTGAGCAGTGCAATACAAGAGTGGAAGCCTAATGGAATAAGGACGGCTTGGCCAATCTGCATAAGATTGATAAGCACAGTCGGCCCGCGAGGTACATAGACGGGCTTACTCGGTAATATGGGTACGGGAACAAAACGTTGGTAGTCAAGGTGATATCAAGGCATATGCAGGAGAGGATGCATGCAAAGAGATACGGGCCTGGACCTTGACGCACACGGATATAGAGGAAGAACACGCTGCCCAAGAAGATAAAAACACCAATGATGACAGTGGGGGCAGCTTCAATATATTGCCCTGTAACTGCGCTTGCAAAAGTAGCATTTGGAACGTTGTTTGTGCGAGCCAAACTTGCTAGCTTGATACCAAGACATGACCACCTGAAAGCATCACGGTCAGAGGAAGAAAATTGTAGATATACGGCAAAAGCTTACGCCCAGGATACTGATACTAAACTGATGATGAGAATCTCCCTCTCGAGGACAGCCATGAATGGGTCACTTGGAGGCGACATGAAAGCAGCTAAATACATGATAAGTGGACGTCTGACGCTAGAAGGAATAACTTGCAGATGAGGATGAGAAAGTTGGCCTGAAAGATGTTTAGAGACATGCTGGAGAGGGAATGTGGATAACTTACTTGTCCCATGAACCTTTCCACTGCCGGAATAACGAACAGAACGGCTGATAGCCATGCGGCGATTGCACATCGAATTACGGGCTTGATTTTGGGCCAGCTCCAATTGGCCGGAATCCATTGCAGGCTGGAAGGTAGCTTGAACTCGAACCGCTTCTTTTCCTGTTTCCCCTTCACTGTCGCTTCTTTCAAACTTGCCCCGGAAGGTGAAGAATCGCTCCCCCCAAGTTGTTCTGGCTCGGTTTTGATCCTTAGGTCTCTACCTCTCGGACGGCGCGATTCCGTAGGTGAATCCATGATATGATTATCACGAGACTCGGAACGATGTATTTTTGCACACAGTCACTGATATCAGAGGTGGGAGTGATGTCCAAGGGATTTCTTTACTGAAAAAATGGATCAAGGATACTTGGACATGGCAAACCGAAGATCGCCGTCGAGGGGAAAGAAGTGAACCGGAATGCCCTATTCCGATGATGATTCATTGTGGAGAAATGAAATTTGAAATATTATGTTCCAAAAAAAGCCGGAAGAGTTGGCGTTATATCTTCTGTTTATTATGAGTAGCAGTCTATGTAGAGCAATAAAGGTCGTTGGTGTGAGTACCGTCATTCGAAGGAAGGAACTTCAATGAAGTAGGTTTTCGAGATATTTCATCGCTTCCGCTTCTTATTTTAAAATAGCTCTTCTGCGCCGTGCGGATTGAGAAAAAATGGCATGCCAATTTACTTACCATCCGATTACTCGTTCATGATAATCATCCTACACACCTTCAAAACTTTCCGTTATCTCTGAATGACCTCATGTTTGCCTAGGAGTCTCCGGAAAGTCTCCCTCCCACTCGAAGTGTATTTCGCTGAACGATGTCCACTGATCACCGAAATGCTTTCATGATATTGCATTGCCATGTCCTCCACGCCGGTCCAATCATCATGTTGCTTGATTGCGTTCATATCAGTTAAGTATTAATATCTCGTGCTTGGGGTAGTACGGGCGTCGTCACGTCCCTGTTCGGGACCGAAGAGGACCGACGACGAAGAAAACCCACCTCCTCCTACTACGCAACGCTTGTGCTATTAGTGAGATCTTCTTCATCAACAAAATGTGCAATGTCCAGCAAAATAGCAATTTTGAGATATTGGCGGTGCATAGGCTTCTCCTCCTGCTTCCGACTGTCAATATAATCCTAGCATTTGCTATTCATCCTTTTAAGACCGTCGGGCGAGCCTTGATAAAAAAAAAGAAACCCTTTAGGGTAGCCTTCCCTCCATCCTAAATGAATAAACACTTACACAGAGTTTGCCGCTTCGACCTTTGAAAAAATGGCGCGGTCGAGAGTTGAAATTGTGACACGGAACGTTACCACACGACTGCGCTATGGCGTCCTCCCCATTTATCGAGTGCTAGGAGACAAATTGTCGCGACAAATATAATACATGCATTCTATTGCTCGGGATGCGACAATGGTGTATCTGTAGGCATGAACAAGGACTCGTATAGGTAAACGACACCGAACAGTAGAAATAGACATGCCCCGCCTAGCGTAACTGCACAACAACACCGTTAATCCAAGAAATACAAAGAAAGAGATTCACGTACTATGCTTCACAGATAACTTGTTGGATATATACCGACCACCAATAACAGCGAGGGCAGTACAGCAAGAGTGCCCGAGAACAGTTCCCAAAGCAACAACCCATACATTCTAACAAGAACATGTCAGTAAAGCACAGCACAACCAAATGGAACATACATGTGCTGCGCCCAATGCAATGGTCGCGATTTGACTGCGGTCTCCCCATTCGCCAAGGAATGTCAGGGCAAACGCCTGCACGAACACAGGGCCAAGAAAGAAGCTACAGAAATTCCGGGCGCCTTCTAATAATCGCGACTGCTTTGGCGGCCGTGGTGTAGAGGTCGCCCGGCCAGCCTCCATCTCCTCCAAAGGTATTCCATGTCCGTTGGCTGTCCCGTCATGAGCAGCCTCGTCGTCCTCGATCTCCTCCTCAGCCTCTCGCATCTCTTCGCTGATCTTCTCGCTCCCTGACTTCATTCCCCGTGCCTCTATAAACATTTTAGTACCGAATATTAGAAACAGCGCGCCTGCGGCTATTTGTGTCCAGCGTTTTGGGATTAGGTGGGGTAATACGTGGCCCATGGCGGCAGAGAGGATAGACATGACGACGAGGGAGCCGAAGGCGCCTGCGAATACGACGAGCCGTGGATGGCGCATGGCGAGGATAGCAGCAATGAGGAAGGTTTTGTCGCCAATTTCTGAGACGATAATCATGGCGAAGGATTGGATTGCAGCCTGGAGGGATGTGTCTGCTGCATTGTTGCTCTCCGACATGGCAGGTAGAGAAGGAAGAGGAGAGTAGCCTTTAGGTTTGATTGTACATGAGCAACATAAAATGCATCAGAATATAAAGCCAACCTCGTCGAAGCTGCGGCTGCGTTCCTTCGCAGGTTTAGAATTGAGATGTGCAGGGTCAGAGCCCACCACATGGGGTTAGGGTTACTGTTTCTCCGCGGAGCCAATCAGCGACGAGCAATTTTCGAAAAATTATATTCTACAAGCATGTTCTGGCGCACTTGGACCCACGTATTTTCAAGCGTGACATCGGTCGACAGTCCCTAGGCTTTGCGATACATTCAACGGCACACTTTTACAGAACCGAATACGCTTGGCACTCGTACACAAACTTTACTTAGAATGTCTTTCAGGCCCCCGAATATCTGCTAGGCAATAGATAACGTCAGCACCTATCCTACTCGAGTCGCGGAATTTCGTCGGCTTGCAAGCAGGCATGCCAAGGTCGACGAAACACATGCTTGATTCAGTGATTCCGTCTCGTATGCATTACAGCGCCTCCGCAGCAGAGATATACAGGACTACCAGCCAATCAAAAAAAATTACACCCTGAAAACATACAGACACGCACCGTTGTTCCCTCGAATAAAAGCATCTCCGTAGCGATTCGTAACGCGTCCATTAGCGTGCTCCTCCGTCTGCTCTAGTGCAATATTCATGTATCCATCTAGACACGACAGGACACCTACAGTGGGAATTTTTTTTGGATCAGAAATACCACCTGCAAAGCCAAGAGATGTGACGCACCGCGGTAATCTACTCCAGATGTTAGCCTGACGATCACTCGCTTCCCTACAACGCCTTTCAGGAATTCAGTAGGGAGATCCAGTGTGAGTCTGTGGTGGTGCAGGTGGGGGTGACTGCTCTTCAGGCGGCGGTGGAGGAGGGGACGGCTCTGAACTGTCCATTTGATCTGACAGTCAAGAGGTTAAGGTGAATGTTGTTCTTTGTTTGGTTATCCGCCTGTTATGGCAGTGAACTTCCGTCATGCGGAGTCCTCTCTCAAGTTCCATGAGTAGTTACAGCTGATTCGACAGATTCGAGATATTGATACCATTTTCTATATAATATACCAGCATACAAGCAAAGGATATCTAAGTCACGTTCTGAGATGCGACCAGAAGGCATAGCATGAGGAAATGCATCACCTGTAAAGTACCCGTTTCCATCCGCAACGTGCAGTAATTAAGAAGCATTCATCAAAGCGTCAGCTACAGGTTCCAATAAAAAGGTTGAGACGAATCCATATCAGCACGGTAGGCTCGGCTTGAATCTTCAAGCGTAGGTTGTAGTAGAGGTAGCTGTGGGAAGGAAAATCCGCGTTGTGCAAATGTATTGCTGTCGATAAGCATACCAGCACTAGGCATCTGAGGCATAAGAGTGTATGGTGGCGGATTCGTGTTGTATGGGAAAGTAGGGAATTGAAAGACAAATGGAGTGTTCGACGGAAGAGCCATAGGGAACATAGGCATGCTCGGTGCTGAAGGCAGATAAAATGGGTACAAAGCTCGCGCCATATCAGATCCAGCGTAAGAAACGCCACTGTAGTTAGGGTAGACAACCTGAGCAGTAGAATGGGGAAAATTAGTGGCGACTTGGTTGTAAGAAGCCGGCATCGTGAGGTTGCGCTGAGATTCTGCGATGACCTGAGGAGCAAGCGAGGTAGCAGTACTTTCCTGCGAAGGGAGGGTTGAACTAGAAGAGACGTGAGTCGTTGGAGAGGCTGAATTCTGGGTCAATGGCGCAGGAGAGGTTTCAGAATCTAAAAATTGTTAGCATTGCACAAAATGGGGACCTATTCACGTACCGGTCGAAGGCGAACGCAATGAGCATGAATCACAAGTGATACTAGGGTTATGACGTCCTCGACAAGAGTCTATATCGTTGAAAGACGGGAGTACGAGGTCTGAGAGCTTTTCACTAGGAGAAAGTTCCTTGGTTCCAGGAGCGAAGCTGACAGTCTTCCGAGCGATTTGAGCAGGGGTATATGCGCCTTTACGGGGCGGCGACGAGTTCTGGAGGGTAAGAGAAGATGATCTGTCGTTTCCTCGGACCAGAGGCGACGAAGGAATAGTGAACGATTCATCGGAGTCGGGCCCAGGAGACATGATCCTACGGTTCCTCAAAAGAGGCGCCGACGCCGTTGGAGCAGGAGGTTCGACTACACGGATATCTTCTTCCTCACTTTCGACTTCTATCTCCTCCTCTTCCTCGACGATTTCCGGAGGTGTTCCAACAGGAAGCTCGTACATTTCGTTTACGAGGCTATGACCTTCTTTCGCAGCGGCAGATCTTCTTCTCCACCACCACTTGTTGACAAATGCGTAGTCAAGCTTCCTAGCCTTGCACCATGCCCTTCGAGACATTACTGACGGCAACCGTTTATCCTTCTCGAAGATCGCTAGAAGCTCTTCCAAGTTGGCGCGAGGAATCCCGTTGACGTATTTGACACGCTTGACCGTAATTCGAGCCATTGAGAGAACGGAGAAACGTAAGTAGAGAGAATCGAGAAGGGGAGGCAGGGAGGAAGAATAAACCCGAAGGGATTCTCTGTCATGGTCGATTTATACAAACGTAAAGCGGATTATCACGTGAAGACGCGTCGCGTAAATGTAACGACCATGTGATGTATCACGCTTGTGTGACGGTCCCTTTCTCTACATTTCTCTCATTTACAAATAAACGGAGAATATACTACCGAGTAATATGCCAATGATGCAAACAATTTTTATGCAGTATACATACTCTCTTACCACTGCAATTGACTGACAGCTTTTACTAGATTTTTTTAACCGTCATTTCAACGGTACATTTGGTAGTCCTCAAGCTCCGGAATCATCAACATTCAGAGGCTACTTCGAAAACGAGGTCCTTCTCGAACGACGCACTGATTAGAATCAGTCCTGCAGGAATAAGTTGCCGGCCGTCTTGCTAGGCTGCCTGGTTGATATCGATATAGACATGGCAAGTTGGTGCCACTTATCGATTCTATGCAACTCTCCATGGCTGTAACTCTATGAACACAATACCTTGTCTATCCAATCATCTGTCCATCTGATGATGTGGTATGAAAACAAGTTACACGACAGCTTGGTGACGCGTACCTCCATAATGTTTCAGTGAGTGATGAAGATCGTCCTATACCCGGTATAGTCCTCTGACTGTTGCCTCGTCGATCAACGTGCAGTAGTACATCAGAGATTGATCCAACAGCCATCTCTTGTTGGACGATGGTTGATCAGTCGCTTTTCAATGGAAGAACGGCTCTGACAGTTACGTTTTGTTGGACGATCGTAGGTAATCGATGTATCCAAAGGTACACCGGTCATAAGCGACCTCCGCCCCCATCGTACCTGTTGTTGCACATTCTTACTGGTCTACTGCTCCGCGTTCTGTAGCCCTGTGTCCTTATCGTAAGATATACGCCACTTGAAAACGGTATCACGACTGGTCTTATGATTTCGTGTGAGTATGCACTGTAATCATGCTGCTCTACCGAATTAATCACGCTTTATGCCGCAATAGACAGGTACCGTCTTCATCGCCTGGGTGTGAACTGCAACCAGGAAATTCCGGTTGCTCCCTCTGGCGATAAGATCCTGGGACGTAAATTCAACTACCTGGGCAGCTGATTCCTCTCCCAGCCACCAGTAGAATAACAAGGTCCTATGACTGCGATGGTGGTAGTCATGTCAGGCATATGAACACCCGGGATGTGCCTCCTGAATGCCAGAAATTCAGGGGAGTTGGCCTTCAGCCTCCGCGATAGGGCTTCATAGAAGTCATCTTGCTTCCGCAGTAACTGGGAAATCGCGACAATTTGGTAAACGGCAAGCAGCGAGTTATACTTACGTGGGCCTCCGTGTGGTCGTAGGTGTTTCTAGCATCCACAATCCTTCTGCAATGTACGCATTTTACCGGATAACGAGAAAGATCTTCCTCATTTGTTTTTCTTGGTCTACACACTGGCCAGTTCGGATAGAAAAATTTGTTTGAGCGAAGTATTTCCCATCGCTTTGTTTCGCATTGGCTGACATGTTTCGATTAACAGCCCCCTTTTGGGAAAAACCCTCTGGCGGATCCACACTCGTTTATTCAAGGGTTAAAGAAGTATATCCATACGGTCTTTGTCGTCAAAATGCTGCTGCTACCGATAAATGGGGTTGATGGTATTGAAAAAATACATAATAACCGTGCACCCCAATCTGAAACCGAGATCTCACGCTGAATCTTCGTCAACATCCATATCTCATCTAAAGGATGGTGCATCACACACCCAAGAAGGCTACGCTCCTCGTGGTGCCAAAGCATATCCATAGGTGAGTACTGATTCCACGGAGCTCTTCTCCCGGGTTAAATTGCTGATATTATCAGCTAGGGCGCGTCAATCACGCGGGCTAGGAGGAGGCGCTCGTATCCTTTTTCGCAGCGACGCCCATGAAACGTGTATTATCAAGAACTGCGGGCCTTCTTTGGCCTCAGGCTCGCTAGAACCAGGCTCCGTCGTTCCCTTGGTGCTCTTCTCGAACCACAGGACCTCTTGTAGCCTGGAAGCCATCATCATGTCAGTGGACATACGCTTACCTAAACCTCCGTGGATAGCTCATCTCAAGGTACACTTAGCTCTCAGCCCAGCCAGATATTGTATTTTCCTTTGTATTTTGCGTATTTTTTTGGTCTTTTCTGGGATATTTGGCTGCTGTAAACACCGTGCTGGTCGGCTTCTGGTCGGGTCATTCCCTGTGGTATATCAAATTTATATGCCGTCCCTGGGAGTAGGGCTGTACTTGGACCGCAAGCTTGGTTAGTCCCTATATGCCTATAGGATCGGGGAATATCGCTTCTAGCTGTATCTCCCGTGGTATAAAAAGACTAAAGAGATCGCACCATAGCTGCAGGACCTTTCCTTCCCTCCCCCTGGCTCTTCAGTTATTCTGGGCCACGGTCTATATTGAATCTTCACAGATGGATGTTGACTTCTACGACTTATCCCACAACCCCTCACTCTCGACAGCGCCTAGTTCGAAGGGAGACCGACTCTGCGGACATTGTCACCCAGACGTCCTGTCCAACTTCGTCAAGTCGCTTGTCGGTAGTTGAGGGCAATCTGGGATGGTATAGGACTGGACATTCTCTCCGTGGCCGTTTCTGCCGATTTAAGGATACCTCTCCGTGTAATAGAGCATGCCCAACTCATATCTCTCCTTGCAATTTTTTTTTCGACGCATATTCTATGTTGAATTGGTTCAGGTTCCCTCGTCTTTCTAGATTTTCTCTCAACTATAGCTTGATAGCATTATCCTACTATATCCTACTCTATGTATTATTATCAGTCGACACAAAAAATCAGCTCTGAAAGACCACTATCCCTTCCGCTTTGCATTGTCCAACTGGAATAATCACTTCAAGTCTTACAAAGTTTCCATGATCGGACTTCGGGGACGAAGGGACATGGCGGCCAATGCCGTAAATTTAGAACGCGTGCGGCAGTCTTCCGTTTTGCGGAATGGTCAGGCGACGTATCAATAATGTTCTTCTGTTCTCTTCCCGGCTCACTGCTGAGTGAGCAACGTCGGTCCCCAAGGTCGATCTAGGCGCTGCCGGTGCAGAGAACAAAAACGCTACAGACGTCTGCATATGCTTTGGCTCAAGTCATGAACGTGAATGTGTGAAGTTGAAGCCTACGATAGCAGATAGGGTACATGTCAGGCATCCAGCCAGAGATATCCTTAAATAATCTCGCCAAGCATTTCAGTTAACGAGTCATTCTGAAAATACAACGTTGCTGGGTCCACCGGGCCCAGTCATTGATGATAAATTGAAGACCTCGTCAAAGGTTACAAAACAATTGATGAAGAGCAAGATAAGTGAAGAAAGTGGTATAGTGTGTGGGGTGGTTAACAACGGTCACGAAAACGAGGCGATGAGACGACCCGCAAATCACGCCTCAGAAAACACGAAGACGGACTTGGATTAGAGCTCATCGCACCAGGGGAGATCATCATCATCGCCGTCATCATCATCATCACCGTCATCGTCGTCATCCCCGTCGTCAGTAGAAGCGGCGGAAGTGGCGGCAGAAGCCGCAGAGGAGGAAGTTGTCGCGTAAGTTACAGTCGTAGCTGGGGTAGCAGAAGTTGTAACGGGGATTACGGTAGAAGATGTAACGGGAGTTACGGTAGAAGAAGTAATGGGAGTTGCGATAGAAACTGTAGATGAAGTCGCGGAAATCGCAGCAGTAGCGGTGGACGGAATGGCTGTAGCTGCAATGGATGATCCTGCAGGCGGTACTGCAATAGAGGAGGCCACACAAAGAACCTAGAGGTAATTGGATCTGTTAAAACAAGCCGAGGTTGCGGGTAGAAAATAAAATACCTCGCCAACGTAAATGTTTGTACATTTGTCGTTAATGTTGGGGTTGTTGTTGTAAAGCGTCGCCTCGTCGATGCCGAACCAGCCCGCGATATCGTCACACGTATCTTTGGCTTCAACGACATATGTAGTTGAACAGTCTTCGTTGAGATATCCGAGGCAGATGGTGGCACCGATTTGCAGGTTAGAACATGTGCTATCGATGTAGCCAGCGTTGATCGTGGCTAGCTGGTAACTGGACACGGCGATGTCAGCCCGGAGATCAATGACTAGGGGATCGAAGGCTCACGTAGAGACATTGTTTGCTGCAGAGATGCTGTCGCAAATGTCGCCCTCCTGAATAGTATACTGGCGGTTACAGTGAGCAACGACAGCTGTTTTATGAGGTAAGAAATCAGTATTCAAGATGAATGTCAAAATCAACATGAAAATCAACTTACACCGTGCAACGAAAGGAAGGGCGACTACAGCGAAAGAGAGCGCCTTGGACGAAAACATGGCGACTATTTGTAAAGAACGGGAGGGAAAAAAGAGAGACGAGGGAACGTGGTAGTGGTCAAGGAAGAAGCCTGGAAGGGTGAGAATTTTTGTTGCCCAGAAAGTGCCAGATGTCTGCTCGGCAATTTCCCGACTTGGTCATGTTACGGGCCGTTGTCTTGGCGACGCTATTGCGATGCTCGCTCAACGTCAAGATCACTCGCGTAGCACGTCAAATTCGGCGGCTCGACTCAATAAAATCAGTGCCCTTGGGGAGCTACAAGTCGTCTTATTCAGGATTCTCGCTCTGATTTTTTTAGAGAGATGAGTGGTAACTAGTGAGGTAGTTTAGAGTTTCGAAATAACAATATGAATCCGCGGGTACCTGAACTTGATATTCATCCTTTCAAGGTGACTTTAAGGGGGCTGTTTTGACTGGAGATGACGCGGCTTTGTATCATCATCATCAAGGGGTCCGCACCTCGTACATCAGCGTATAATGATCATGATATCTCTTTGCATCTTTCAGGCTATGATATCGATGAAATGTGGCGTCGAAGCAAAAAAAAAAAATACGATTAATTGGTGATAATTCTGGAGAAGGCAGGAGAGGGTAGGAGTGTCAAAACAAATTTTGTGGCTGAAGAGTGGCAGTATATAATTCAAGCGAGAGCGGGGAGCTCGTGTTGATCATACGAGCTGGCCAAGCTGATCCACAGTGCGGCGTTCCACGTAAAGCGTTAGTAGAGCGGTACCAAGTTGCCAGGAATTCAAAAAAGGGGACAAAATCATCAATCGTCCTGCTCTTTTAGTGACAGTTGAACGTTAAACTGTTGTTCCGAGCAACGTTTCGATATTTAGCAGCCAGGAAAACGAAAAACAGAGACACGGAACAGTCAATCTTTAACGATGTACCGGGCCGAACTATCGCTTACGTAACTGCATTTCCACGGCATCATGAATCGGACCCGCTCTGATCCCTCCTTTACTCCAACAAACTCCATCCAATATACATGTTATTGAGGCTTGCTGCCGCGCCAAGACTCTTTGCATTGAAACGTCCAGGATTCGTCTGTCGCAATCAGTTTCGTAATGTATCGACCAAGCTAGGCCTTCGACAAGCTTTGCCACCGGATTCTAGTTTTGGGCCGGAGCACACGCCGCCCCAGAAAGATGAAATATCTGACCAGGAGTGGAATTTACGGACAGGCGCGTCGCCTACACTAGTTTTCATCTATCAAGCACGCTGATACTACCTTCAGAACAGGTCGTGCTATCACTGTTCTTCAGCAGACTTTGCCAGAATTCTTCAAGACAGGACTCATTACATCTATCAATGATGCGACAGGACATCTAACTTCGTCTTCTATACACTCAGAGCAGCAGCATATATACAGTCCGAAAATACGGTTGTCGTATACTCCACCGGTGCAGCTGCCTTCGCCCTTTCCACAGACTCTTCATGTAGAAGGTTCGTACCTGTCTATCTACACTTTATGTTTACCAAAGTCTTTTCAGGTCTTCCTCTTTACCTTGCTTCATCGGCCTTTGTTCGACACACGCTCAATGCGTTGTACTCTGATCTCCAACTCACGTTGCAAAAGTTCTCCGTTGACAGTCCGCGTGCTACTGTTCCACATAGCGAACCCTCTGGCGAAGTTCGGAAAAGTCGTGATAAGCACCTTACTGTCTTGTTTCGTGTAAACGGAATAGCGAGAGTTAGTGGGAGTGAGGGCGTGTGGGACGTGTAAGTCGCTTTCATTTTGTTCGCTGTAACGCGTGGTTGACATACGTGCTAGGCACTCGACATACACGTTTTCACCACTGTCCGGCCTGATTCACATCCATTCCATCAATTCCATTGAACCTTCTCCTCATCTGGCCGTATATGACACGCTGAGATCCAGTTTGGGTGGGATGTTTGGATGGGGAGGCAAGGCCGGACCGGCAGCATGCCATGATATCAACGAAGGCTCTGCTAAAACACATCCAGGATCGCATTAGACATTTTTTTCTTCAATCCTGTAATGTATTGTAAGATTGTTCTTATTCTGTTTTCCCTTGCACTTATACATATGCAATAGATACACGTTGTACCATAAATGTAGCCCAACTCAAACGTATCACTTCATCTTTGGCTTATGTCCTTTATGCATATCCTGATCACAGGGCTATTTGCATCACACAGCTCCTAACTGTGTCGCAGATGCTGCAGGTTATTTTTACAACGCCAGTGTCGGGAAGATCTTTGATGTGATGGCGACTCTCCTCACATCGATCACTTTGCCTGGCATCGACGATGTTCAAGTATCTGATTCGATGTCGCCTCGTGTGCACCTTGGTTCGGCTAACTGATTACTACGATGACTATGCTGAACCTGAATCTCCTCAGTGTATTTTTTGCTGTGCTGTACAAAGAAGACAATTATACCCCAAGTGCAATACAGTCTCTGCATCAACCCCAGCACATCGTTTCGCTACACTCGTTCTCTTTCATTTGATCTTGGTTCATCGGGTGAAGCCACGGTTTGCGGATGGCCTAAGCCCTTTTACCGGTCTGCCATGGTAAATAACTTCTTACGAGCTTTTCTATCAGATGCAAATCTACGATGGGAACTTGATATTGCAGTTTTGGCGATGATCTTTGAGATAATATTCCTCTCAGCTCAGTGGACACCCACACCGACCTTGGTTCCCTTCTCTGATATATATGTAACATACGTAACATACAGCTGGTGCTGTCGAGGCCTGATCGATTCTCTCGGAGTCACGGCGCCTACTGTTTAATATTTTTCGAGCCCCGTTCTATATTATCCCCTGGGAACCACGATCGAGATGATCCAACTGCGCCATTTACAATGGGTTGTGTCGGTGCTTTGTTCCATACTTCTCGCCCTCCACACCGTCATCACTTGCTTGTTTCCACACGCTGGATGTACATCTGTACTTTCCAACGCGTGTTCTTTTCCCAACGCCAACTACGTGACCCTTGCCTCGTGTAATTGGACTGATACACCTCCCCCTCATTGTCTAGTTCCCGATTCATTTACATTCTCGCATCCCCTTTGGTCGTTCTCAGGGTCATCCCCGTTTCTCGTCACAGACTTTCTCTCCTTCCCAATTATCCTTCATGTTTATACTTGTGTCAAATCCTAAAGAGGATCGTTATTCTCACAGGTCTACCGTTGGGAACTCTCGACGATGGCTGTTCCAGACGAGTCACGATTAATAGGTGAACTGCGGTATCTTTCGTCCTTTACAATACCAGTGCCGGTGTCGAGGTCTCCGGTGTAATGGTGACTTCTAATCTAGTTATACCTCGGACGAGCGCTTGGTGTCGATGATGTTCAAATATCCGATTCGATGATATCGCCTCGCATGCAAACGAGGTTCAGCTAACGATTACGGTTGTGCTGAATCCCCTACCAAAGAACCCAGAACATTCCTGCTTGCTATCGCCTCCCAGGGAATGGTTGTGCAGCGTCACGAAGATAAGGGTACCTTCGAGTACAATTTAATGTCTGCGTCAACAGCGGTATATCTTCTCAACTTGCGACAGGAATGTATAATGGATGTGCGGACCCTACAACCTACTTGATCGACCGACGCTCTGGAACAGAAGTCAGGATATAGCCAGTGTGATGCCTTTTGGCGCCCAGAAAATCAATTACCACAGCATGCATGAGGAAGGTATCACTTTTCTTCCTGATGTTCTACAAGCGAATTGAGGAGTATACTGATATATAATGCAGTGCGGTATGGCTAAATTAAGTCTGTACAAATGAATGGATACAGATTATAGGCATGACCACGAAAACCAACTACAACTACAAATTATCCTTGGACATGATATAGAGTAGCAAAACGGGCAGGCGTAGTCTTGCGTGTAGTGACTGGCACCAATCCTTTATAGCATCAGCCCTAATTCCCACTATAGGGTGGAGGTGCCATTTTCTCTCCAGCTTGACTCTGCTCTGAGGGTGTCGAAACTGTGTCGCCGCCAGCAGCCGATGATGTCAAATTATGGTCACAATTTAAAGGAGTGTTCTCATCAGGATTGGCCAGTCTCAGTGAGTGCATGTACAACTTCGGCGGGGGAGTAGGGGGTTCCGGTTCCAATGGGGGTGCAGGGATATGTGGCAAGAACTAATATCCTTAGTGGTGCGTTGTGGATGTGGAGGTGCTACGTATGGTGTCAGCGAGATATTATCGAGCGGTATGGAGTTGTCGGTCACTGAGATGAATGTGCTTCTGCGCCGTCGGCAACGGAAGAAGAAAAACAGTACGGCTGTCAGCAGGATGGCGACACTGACTGAAGCGCCGAGGGCAATAGCCAGCACAGTGACCTCCGGGCCGTTACTATTGACACCACTACTGCCCGTTGCTGTTGCAGAAGCATGAGACGCGATGGAAGACGTGGCAGACTCGTAGCTATTATCGACAGTGTAACTTTCTGAGCAGTGAGTAAAATATCGGGCAAGAAACCGCAAGTACGCACATAAATCCATCCACGACTACCCAGTTACCTGAGGGCGCCATTGAGACAACAGCTTCATGCGACGAGTTCGACAGCCCAGCCATGCACCACCGGACATCAGACTGCGATGATTCTGAACCGCCAGAGGCTGTGGGTGAAGCAATGGGATCCGTGAGGTTGAGGATCGTCTCGACCCCTCCGTCAACCGTAACCATCACGCTAACTGGATATGGCCAAAGAGGGTACAGAACACATACAGCAACACCTTTTGAAATGCAAAAGACGCGTCAGAAGTCGAGGATGAATTAAGCGCCGGCGTGGCACACCAGTGAATGTGAAGGTAGCGGAAGCTGAGCTGTCGCTACTTAACGTATGACTACCCCCAAAGTCCAACGAGGAGGTATGGCTGCTGCTGTCATCCCAATTTCCCTTGTATTTGATCATATTGTTAGTATCGTCGACCGTAATATTTGTGAGGCCCCAGGCCGGGAGAGAATAAATAGAAGCAGACAGGCTCTACAGAGGAGCTTCATCGTGAAACATGAAGGCTGAAGGTAACACCGTCAAGGGCCCTTTCCGCGGAAAGACTGGAAGAAAAGGACATGTCTTCAGAAACTATATATATTGTGGACGGGGGTTTTACAAAGTTAACCAGTGAAAGATGATCGTCGGGAAAACAGCTTGAGTTCAAGGAGGTTGCGGCCCGGCAAGCCGGCACATCGGGTTGGTCGGTCGGTCGGTCCAAAAGGTCCTTAAAAATTTTTTGCCCCCCTCTTGTAAAATAGCATCCAGAGACCCTAGACGCTGCTGGAGGTGTTTATTTCAGCTGATATATGATATTCATGACCTAACATGGCCCAAAGAGCGCCGGAAAAGCGGTCAAAACGATGTCGAAGGCTCAAAACGCCAATGGCATGCTTCCGGATATCGGCAGGATTAGTGAGAATTGAGTTACCGGCTGTAAAAATATTTGGTCGAGTTCGACGGATCCAAAATTGGAGGTGTCTGTCATGTACAGTAGGACAGCGTTGTCGCTAGCAGACAAAAATTGTATACTATCAGCATTTAAATCGAGGATGAGAGGACTAAGTAGGCGGAAAGCTCGCAACTGGCAGATGACTCCGACACGGAGTGATTACATAATGTTTCCTTTGTGGGTATGTTTTTTCCACGGAGGGCGGTCGGGTCGGTCCATCGAGGCCTTAAAAAATTTTTCGACCCGATATGATTTTTTCGGTTTTCGCGACCCCCTTGCTTGAGTTAATTTACGATTTAATTAAATATTAAATTGAAAACTCAAGAAAGCGGTTCACGTGCTCGCGTTCATCGGAAGTGACCGCCACACCATTTGAGTTAAAAGCAGTCTGCCATCATGTCCGTTTAAAAAAATGGTTCTCAGAGGGTAACCGAAACCCGCCACTGTTTTGCTGATTGCTTATACTCCACTCGTTCCTGTTGTCAATGCTAGGTATCTATTCGTTGGGCTTTCCGGGTATTTTGACAACGGCCTACTTGTATTCTCAGTTCCCTGCTCCTTGGACTCGATCTCTTTCATTTGTATGTAGTTTTGACAGTGAAATTTGAGATAACGTCCGTTCTAGTCCAGCTGACACCCACACTGATTCCATTTTCCTGTTCTGGGAACTTCTGACATGTAAGCAACCTACAGTTCGTGCAGCCGGGGTCGTCATGAGTAGGCCACATCCGTTTCACCCCTTGGGAACCTCGATCGTTGCGACGTACTTTGTTCCATACCTTTCGTCCTCAATATTGGTCCCGGAGTCGCTTGCTTATATACCCATTGTATCTTGATCTAGACTTGCCAACACGTGTTGCCTCGTGTGGTTGGGCTTTCTTGTGCGCGTCTCCCTCATTGTCTGATTCCTGGTTTATTAGCATTCTTGCTTCGTCTTTGGTCATTCTTGGGGTCATCCTCGCTCTTTGTCGCAGTGATATACCGATTTTCTGAAGTATCCTTCATATTGTATACTACTTGCGTCGAATCCCGTCACAAGGATCGTTATTATGACTGATCAAGGCGTCCTCCTGTAGGGAACTCTCGACATTAGCTTTATCCAGACGGGTCCAAGTAGGTGAGTTGTGCTACCTCGTCTTTCTTCTGCTTTTCCAACCTCACATTTTCCAGATTTGTGTCTGAGTATTTAAATGTATTGGCTTACCAGTGCTCTTAACACCGTCCTTCTCCAAGACGAGATTAGTGATGACAATGGTAGAGGTAAGTCTTTGAATCTTCCCTAACTATTGTACTGAACGCGAATACTCGTCGCCTTCATTTGACTAGTATTATGAAGCCAATCCAGTGTATTCATCTCGAACATCTCCCATGATCCTTGCGTGCACGACGACCAGTTCCGGGAAACTACCCCGCTTACTACCTCCCCACACTGTGACATGCCAAGAAATCCTCAGCCTCTTCGACCATGCATCGTGGTGGTCACCGACAGCATCCTATCCGACTAGCTACAGCATTTATCTGTCAAGCGCATTGAGCTCCTACGCACACGGCATACCGACATCGGAGCCTGTAGTCTTACCTGCCTAAATGGCGAAGACTATAAGATAGGCTGTCATAAGGGGCTAGAGATGGTCTCATAATGCCTCTCCGCGTCTGAAGATTGATACAAAGAATATACTCCACGAAGGAATTTATTTTATCCGTTACGGTGCAATCACTAATCGTCTTGATGTTCCACACACACATAGATTCCTAAATGTCGAATAAATAATTTAGTGCGGTCTAGTTATGTCCGTACAAATGAATGAATGCAAATAAAGGGCATGAACACGAAAGCTCCTGTAGTAACGAATCACCCTAGAAAAATAACATAATCGGCTGTACAACAGCAAGAACACGAAGCAAGCCATCAGCTCGTGTCTCATGACCAATCACCAAAACACAAAGGGCGTCAACCCTAATTTTCAGAATATGCAGGTGGAGGGAGCGTTTCCGCGACGATCTTGCTCTGTGCTCTCTTCTCATCTGCGTAGCGTTGTGACGATGGTGAGGACGTCGATATTGTGCTGCCCCCAGCAACAGGTTCTGTCGCCATTCCAGTTCCTAATCCCGCAAAATTAACATCGCCTGTTGATGCGGCATACAGGGACTCGTGGTAGGGATTGAAAGGAGTGTCCTCATGACCAGGATTGGCCACCATCAACGGGTGCGAAGACGACGCCACCGCACTAGAGACGGACATGCTGCCGGCATGTCCTCTGGAATTCGCGGCGGCCAACAGTGGAAACGTGGAAGACACCGCTGTCACTGGTAGAGATCCAGGGAGTCCGCTGAGGCTGTTGTTAGAGACATGCGAGTATCTGTACTCTTGGGACATCGTGGGTGGGGAGAAAGGTGTGGAGAATGGCCCCGACGCAGTATCAATCCATGGCTTGTCGAGCGCGGAATTGGATGTTTTTCGGCGCCGCCGATAACAGAAGAAGAATATACCAATGGCCGTCAACAAGGTGACGGCACCGAGTGAAGCGCCGAGGGCGATACCCAAGACATTGGTCCCCGAGCCGCTACTACTGCTACCGGTTGCTGTTGTAGAAGCAGACGCAGAAGCGGTGGAAGACGTGGCAGTTTCAGAGCCATTATCGACGGTGTAGCTATCTAAGCGCTTAGTAAAACTTTAGGCAAGAAATTACAAGTCCACTCACATAAATCCATCCACAACTACCCAGTTACCTGAAGGCGCCATCGAGACAACGACTTCATGGGAAGAGTTGGACAGTCCAGTCTTGCTCCACCGTACACCATACGGTGATGATTCTGACCCACCAGAATCGGTCGTTGAAGCGACGGGATCCGTGAGGTTGAGGGTTGTCTCGTCCCCGCCGTCGATTGTAATCGTCGAATTAACCCAATACGGCCATAAAGGGGAAAGATAGTATACAGCAACACCTTTTGAAAGAGAAAATACGCGTTAGAAACCGAGGTGAAATTAGGCGCTGGCGTAACGCACCGGTAAACGTGAATGTAGCGGTAGCTGAGTTCTGGCTACTCAATGTATGGCTACCATTATAGTCCAATGAGGAGGTATGGCTGCTGCTATTATCCCAGCTCCCCTTGTAGTTGATCATGCTGCTGGTATCGTCGATCGTTATATTCGTAAGGGCCCATGATAGAGATAAATAGAGACAGAAGGACAAGGGAAAAAAGCACTTCATCAGGAAGGCTGGCGAAAGTCAAGGCGCACTTGGACGTCAAAGGTCGTCGCGAGGACGAAAGGGTTTGAAGAAAAGGGAGGTTAGGCGGTGCTGTAACAAGTTTAGCCGAGGCGCCCTGGCAGGCCTTTGTTTAAATTGGTCCCATCACTTTAATACAGTCTATTTATCTCGCCGTCATAGGTGATACATCAAGCGAAATTTTGAGAACAGGACGTCGAGGGCTGTCGAGAGATATCGACAGCATCAGAAAAGCCGGAAATCCTACTTCCAGAGAACATTTCAATTGCTGTATGAAGTGGCTGACGAGGACAAATTCGTTTGATAAGTGTTTCATGCTTGGCATACATATAACGTGAGCAGTGAGCAGCCTGCAGGGAACACCAGGGTTAGACTAGATCAAACTTGATACAATTTGTGAATACCTGTCTCAGCCCTGGCTTTAAAAGGTTTCGATATCTACGCCAAGACGCACTAAACAGTGCCCTCAAGTACCCTAAAGCGGACGAGGTAAGATGGTGTAGCACCGTGACGTATGCAAATCGACAGTACTCCTCATGAAACACTGAAGATTGGTATTCATTCACTGCTGAAGCGTGGGAGCGGCCCCACGGTGGGTTGTCGGGTTCTACGGGCACTGATTGCTAATCACCTGCATGTGTATCCATGGAATCTCGGAACCGTACCTGGCATGCAGGGTGAGTGTGTAGTTGAAAGTTCGCAGTTGGAAATTCGGATCCCGGACCGTCGGCGGGGTTAGTTGTGGCGGAGCTTGCGGAGGCAGCGCACTAATGCCAGATCACACTTTTGATCGGAACTCAAGTTGGAAGAACGCGTCACCACCGGCTGAAACTCTGGCTTCAGCTCTCTGACTTGCACGAAAGATTTGTCTTTCACGGAAGGGGGTGTCAAATACTTGAATCTAAAAGAAGGTTCCTCTGGATTATTTTTGTTCCCCTGGGAGACTATATTTTTGGGCGTGCACTCGATGCTCTATTTTTAGCGTTCCGTCGGAATACCTCAGCGTTTTTTTCCCATAGGATGGTCACAGGCTCACTGTACAGGTCGAACTTCAAAGAGTGTGGGAGGGCATAAAAGCGTCTTCCCCAGAACTCAAGCATGGTCATTGCCAGGGATGCATCTGTTTTCGTCTCTTGTGCTCTTGTCGTTGGCTAGGGCAACCCTAGCAAGCATCTACAACAATGTCAACGAGTTGCCTCGGAACTTGATCTTTGACTTTATAGTGATAGGTGGTGCGCGTACTTAATTCTCCAGCTGGAAATCCCCTGACCTTACCTTGTCTAGGCGGAACTGCAGGGAATGTAGTCGCTAATCGACTGACTGAGAACCCATTCTTCTCCGTCCTTGTCCTGGAAGCCGGCCCTTCGTTCGTATTGCTTACTTACACCGATAGCATGACCAGCTCAAAGACAACTGCAGACCCGAAGGCCTGCTCAATCACACAGTACCATTTTTCAGTATCTTTCTTCGGGATCAGAGCCCTTTCGACTGGAATTACACGACCGTACCTCAGATCGGTTTTAATGGTCGCGCATTGCAGTATCCGAGGGGAAGAATTCTGGGCGGATGCTCCTCAATGAGTAAGTTGTCTTCGGCTTCAAGTCCGTCTGAACTCAGTTTGATTTAGACCGTTTGGCTTATGTACGAGGATCGTCCGAGGATTATGATCGATATGCGAATATCACGGGTGACCACGGTTGGTCGTAAGTTATTCCTTCCTCGTACACCGCGACTTTTGTGAAGCTACAGCTGGTAGATGGAACGAAATTCAACCCTATATCCGAAAAGTAAGTTAATAAATATCTAGACCTTTATAGTCCTCCCTTGATATGAAACAGAATGAACACTGGACCCCTCCTACTGATAATCACGACACATCCGGGCAATTTAACCCTGCAGTGCATGGCTTTCATGGAATAAATTCCGTTAGCCTAGCAGGTTTTCCTTCGCCTATCCAAGATCGCGTGATTCAAGTCACTAAAGAGCTATCGGATGAGTTCCCGTTCAATTTGGATTACAATTCGGGATTTCAGCTTGGTGTTGGTTTGTTAAATCTTCGTTCAAATATATACGGTTTACTTACCACTGAATCGGTCTTAGGCTGGGCACAGTCGACTATCAAGCATGGAAAACGCAGCAGCTCCTTCACCTCATACCTAGGACCAGCATTTATCGGACGCCCGAACCTTCACGTACTGCTTAACTCACAAGTGACCAGATTATTACAGACCAACTCCGAACCTGCAGAATTTCTTACGGTCGAATTTGCGCAGAGCAAAGATGGTACGTCGGTAAAATCATTTTTGGTCATTCCTAAGAAAAATGCATGGTTAGCTCCTCGTCAACAATTCATGGCCACCAAAGAAGTCATCATCTCCACCGGTTCCCTAGAAACTCCAAAACTTCTGTTGAATTCAGGCATTGGCGATCCAGAGCAGCTGTCACAGTTTGGCATTAAGCCCCTTGTCAGTATTCCTGATGTCGGAAAGAATCTCTCTATTCAGCCTATGCTCACCCTTTCTTATTTCGTCAATTCTACGAATACCTTTGATGATATTATTCGCGATCTCACCCTCAGAGGCGAACTTATCCGTCAATGGAACGAGACAGATGGTGGTGGAATTCTGGGAAACGGAGTGTATGGCACACATCAGGTCTTCACGCGACTTTCGAAGAATTCAACTGCCTTTAAAGCGTCTCCTGATCCAGCTGCAGGGCCTAATACGGCACACATTCAGTCTGGTACACAGGTAGGCCCTGATTCTGTCGGTGTGAACTAATTAACTCATGAATACTGAAGAACGGCAATATTTCTCCTCCCCCCGAAGGTCATTTCATGACCATAAGTCTCAGTCTTAACACTCCCACTTCGAGTAAGCACTACGTATATGTCGTACATTTGGCTAACTAGCATACGCATCCAGGAGGGAGTATTCAACTCAACACCACTGACGCTTTTGATCAGCCTCTGATTGACTTGGGCTGCCTTACCACCGATTTTCGACGTGCTGGCTCTCAAGGACGCTATCGGGATCGCTCAGCGCTTCGTTAGCGCACGCGCATGGGACTGGATACATACTCGGGCCGCTCAGCAATATCACCACCAGTTCGACTGATGCGGAGCTAGAGGCCTTCATTCGGGCTAATGCAGCTCCTAACGGCCATATCGTTGCGACAGCTAGTATGTCGCCACAGGGAGCGCAACATGGAGTGGTAGATCCCTGATTTGAGAGTAAAAGGCATTGAAAGGCTTCGCGTTGTAGATGCATCTATTTTGGTGAGGCGCATTCTGAGGTTGATCATTTCAAATCTGACGACTTCCAGCCATTTGTTCCCTCTGCTAATACGCAGTTTGCGGTGTATATTATCGGCGAGAGATGTGCGGACTTGATCAAAGCTGCGTGGTAACTGGCTGGGTTTATTCGGCTGCAACTTGGACGGTCAAGAATTTACTCTTTCTGCCCGTAAATTTCAAGGTCCCATATGTCAAAGCATTTCCTAGTCTCGTACGCATCACCGTTTTCGTGCAATTGCAAGTAACCATTGTGTTTGCCTGCGGCACGACAGACCGCCATGATTCCGCTTTTTTATGTAAGATTTTCCGGATCTCTTCGAACTATATTCTCTTTCAAAAGCGACAAGCAATTTTGGCGGTGTGTTCAGATCTGGATCTGCAGCAAAACTGAAGCACTGCAACCCTGACCTGTTTGTGGCATCTGACATCCTTTTCGGACCCCTCAAGGCCGTCAGGGCGAGGACTAATGATGCTTGCAGGGAAATGTCTTCACGCTCACCAGATCTCGAAAGCCTGATAGGTTCCGCAAGAAATAATGCCCACATCTGTCCTTCCATGTTATCTGTGGCATCTAAGCATTTTAGAACACTCAAAGTTCCAGATCGCCTTCAACGCATTTCTCTTGACGCCCCCACTTCTACCGCTCTCACTATGGTTAATTGCATCGACGCGCTTCGTTGTGCTATGGAAATGTCCCGCGTACATCCCAGCATGAACTTTCCGCGCGAGTCATGAATCACTGGTCGACAGCATGGAGATGGACCTCATGGTTCACGGACTAAGTCACGGAAACGGAACCTACCACAAACCAAGGCCTTGATTTCCGTCAACGGGTGCTAGAGGTCCTATCAGGTTTCCTCTGTGTCTCATATTTTTTGACGTCCAAATCTCCATTCAGAGGCGTCATTCTTATCAGCCTGGATTTCCTTCTACGGCAGTTCGCATCTGGGCACAATGTGTACGCAACGATGACTCGGAAAATGCATTAAAGTCATCGGCAGAGATTTTGATGGCATTTATTGTAATCCAAGATCCAAATGATGCACGGTTCAAAGACATTCACAGAGACGTAGCTGGCTGTATTGAAGAAATCCCGGATTTGGCCAAAATGTGTGCCACTTGGCCCAAGTATCTCAACATAGCTGCGATGGGCGAGAAATTCCATCCTTCATCGATCACTGGCGTGCTTTGCCTTCTCGCTCACTGTGTGCGTTGCCAAAGTCCGCAGTTTACATGCTCTCTTGTGGCGTGTCACATCGTATCACTCGTTGTCTTCATTTTGGCACGACTTGCGTCCTCCATAACTGAACCTACGAATGTGGATCATTCTGAAGGTGACAAACAGCCGGATCCACACTTAATCTGCTCCGTGGAGTGTCTCACCTTCTTGGAAGCGATAACTACAGATCGAGGACTTCCCTCCATTATAGACGTACTTCAAGGCCGTATCATCCTTTCCATCCTCAAAATCGCAAAGCGCCTCACCTTTGATTTGATGCACATTTGGCCCCCAAAATTGAGGGGCTCTGCTCCTGGTTCATGGATAGGATTACCACATTCACCATGTATCGCATCGTCTTACGTTTGGTCCTGAAGTCCAGTCGAACCGCCGAAAGCAAGGTCTCTCCGAGGCGTTACGAGGGCGCTCTAGTCCGGTCCTCGATTCTTGGACACGTTTAATTGATGCCGCTACAGAAAACCAGGCTCTCAAGGAAGAATACTATTGTCTCCAACAGGTTCTGTGTATCCATCTCCAGGTATAGTCTTTACTATCTTTTCGTCTGGCTTTTGTCGATGCATCGATATTTTCGATGCCCTGATCCCCAAATCCTTCCAAAAACTGCGAAACGATGTGGGGGATGCCTGATTGGTTACTATTGCTCGTAGGAATGTCAACGGCGAGACTGGAAAACTCGCAAACTATTTTGTGAAGGGAGGACATTAGACAGGAAAGGTAAGTATGTAGTCTGATTGTCAAGGCTTCGTTGCTCAAACAGCATACAGACGGATACCCCTGCGCGATTTCCATGTTAGAACGCAGTTTCGCCGACTGGATCGTGGGACTCGATTTTGCATCATTTTTGGAGGAGACCGCAGATCGGCGGGCGGAACTTGAGAGGAAACGCACAGTGGGACAGACATATCCTATCTTCATAGAGCTCGATTATACCGCTTATCCTCCCACGGTCACTGAAGTGCTTCTAGGTGATGATGCGCTTACCACAGAGCGTGAATTAACCCATGATCCTGAGGCGACGCGGAAATTCAAGAGCAGAAATGGGAAACTTGATGAAGTATTCTTCTTTGCTGCGCTACCCGGCGGGAAACATATGAATGAGAGAGTGTATGCTGCTGTTGATTTGGACTAGATGACATTTTCCATTCAGAACGGAGACGAATGGTGCCCAATGTGGATTAAGGTGCATGAAGAAAACAAGTGTACGTCGCTCAACAGTATCTCAGCTGTTCTTGGCGTTCTCATATTTTCATCAGCAGAACATTCTTTTTATATATACCTAATCCGTAACAGATAGGCGGCAATTTTCAATGCACGGCTCAGATTGACATGATTATGGCGTGTCAAGCCTTAGTGCGGGATTGTGCCTCGAAGTCTCTTCTTCCTGGCCTGCTGACGAGTGATGCCCCGAACCGGAATACAAAGGGAAAACTAATTTGCACCTACCATTAATGATTAATCTCGAATACGTTTGCCTCGGTGCCGTACAGTGAGACGTGGATAGGCGCAGAGGCTGGCAGTCAGTACAGACTCGGCTAGGGAATATTTCAACCAGAACATTGAGAGCCTTGATTCTTACAGCATCTACTGCTCTCAGGAAGATTTTGTCCCTCACCTCACCCCATTTGTCGTGGATTGAGCTACTAGGCGCTGTATAACTGACGGAACTGCCGGCAGCTACAAGGTCGGCTTTTGCCGGGGCCGCTCTCCTTTTGACTGCTATGTCGAAGTTCTTATGTCTGACAGTCACCATTTACCAGGTGCAAGCACGTACATGTGACACTTCATGAATGCTACTCTAGCTTTCGATTGGGTGAAAGGTCCGGCTTCTCTTCAACAATTAGACGAAATGGTGTATTGGAAGATACTATTGGTTAGAACTCTCGAACCTGGTTTGTCCCTGAACCTTGCTGACATTTGCATCTCTTTCTATATTCTAATCTCCGTTCCAGACGAGTCTTAACAAACCTGCCTTAGTAGCTACCTCGTACGCGACAAATGCTGCGCGCCTTTCGAAGTTGCCTCTCTGTTACCGGGAACCGTCCCAGTACAATTCATTTCCATCACATCATTTCAGCTCATTAGCGCATGTGGAGCTCATGATATGTCCCACTGATTGGCGTAATATCCGACGTTTGGATGTGTTGTACCTCAAACTATTCCTTTCATGATCGACTGGGGAGGCACATCGGTCGAAACTTCAACAGCGGTATCAATTTATAATCAAAGGGACATCCTAACTGATTACTGATATTTTTGGACACCTTTTCCTGGAGCCTTCTCTAACGAAGAGACCTGAGAAATTTCCTGTCAGGTGTACCAAATTCCTTCGGTCAGAATTCCCCGCTTCCGGTTTTCCCATAGGGCATGTCACAAGTTTGAAAGACGTACTTACGGGAACTTTCCTGTCTATAAAGCCGCGTTCACTGTCTCCAAAGTTACACAAAAACTTTGTCGAGATGAGTTTTTGGGAAGCATTATTGGTTCTGTGCCTTGCTAGGCCGAGCCTGTGCGCCATCTACAACAGCTTCGCAGAACTACCGCTGAACTTAACGTTTGACTTTGTCGTCGTCGGCGGTATGTACCCGCAATCTCTGTGCCTTCGGTAAAATCGTAACCTTTGCACCACTTAGGCGGAACTGCGGGGAACGCCGTTGCAAATCGTCTCACGGAAAATCCAACGTTTTCTGTTCTTGTCTTGGAGGCTGGACCATCGTGCGTCGTACTCATATACTTACCTAGTCATACCGCCTAACGATGGGTCGGTTAGACCTGAAGGTTTGGTTAACCACACAGTGCCATTCTTCAATGTTTTCCTCAGAGGTGAAAACCCTTGGGACTGGAATTATACAGCCATTCCTCAGGCGGGGTTGGATGGGCGCGCACTCCATTATCCTAGAGGAAGGATTCTTGGTGGCTGCTCCTCTATGAGTAAGTAGCTTTTAGCTGTCTTTGGCTGAATGCAACCAGGAGCACTTAGAACCATTTAGACGGAATGGCTTACCTTCGTGGTTCTTCTGAGGATTATGATCGCTATGCAAATGTGACGCAAGACCCAGGCTGGTCGTCAGCATTGACATATGCGTACGATGATTATCTGCTGATCGATCTGTAGATGGAGCGGGATCCAGCCATACATTCGTAAAGTGAGTAGAATTAATGATATAGACTTAACTATCTTAAGGACACTGATTACTTAGAATGAACATTGGACACCTCCGACTGATAATCACAATACAACCGGTCAATTCGACCCTGCTGTACATGGCTTTCATGGCATAAATGCTGTTAGCTTAGCAGGCTTCCCTTCTGCAATCCAAAACCGGGTTATACAAACAACTATGGAGCTGGCCAAAGAATTTCCTTTCAACCTTGACCATAATTCTGGATATCAACTCGGCGTCGGTACGTCGAATTCTCTCATTTCAGAGAAGGGGAATGCATAATTCGGCTGTAGGCTGGGAGCAATCAACCATAAAGCACGGTACACGAAGCAGCTCTTACACGTCATACTTAGGGCCAGAGTTTATCGGACGTCCGAACTTGCATGTCCTGCTGAATGCACAGGCAACCCGGTTAATACAGACCGCCTCAAATCCACCAGAGTTTCTCACAGTCGAATTTGCAGAAAGCCGAGATGGTGTGTATGATTTATATTTTTTGGTGTTATTTTGATAGACCCCTTCGTTAGCGCCGCGTCTGCAGGTGACAGCGTCCAAGGAAGTTATCGTCTCTACCGGTTCTTTGGAAACTCCAAAGCTGTTGCTCAATTCCGGCATCGGCAATGCAAGCGACCTCACAACTTTGGGTTTGGATACTCTGGTTGACCTCCCAGACGTCGGGAAGAATCTTTCTGTCATGATAATGCTCAATATTGCATATTTTGTGAACTCGACAGACACATTTGACGATGTCTTTCGCAATGTGACCCTCAGGGATGAGCTCCTTCTTCAGTGGAACGAGACAGGTGGTACTGGACTACTAGGTACAGGCTTCGGCAGCCATAGTATCTTCACAAGGCTTTCGAACAATTCAACAATATTCGGACACTCCCCCGATCCAGCTGCAGGACCTAATACAGCTCATATCCAATCCGGCACAAGCGTAAGCATTAAATCCGTTGTCAACCTGGTGTACGTGCTGAATCTGGCCCGTAAAAGAACGGTAACATCTCACCACCTCCGGAAGGACATTTTATGACCATGAGCGTTACTCTGAATACGCCCACTTCGAGTGCGTTGGTCCCGGTTGGCAGTTAAATTATCCTCACATCTACCCAGGAGGAAGTATCGAACTCAATACCACAGACGGGTTCGACCAGCCTCTGATTGATTTTGGCGCCCTTGCCACTGATTTTGACATATTCGCCCTCAAAGAAGGTATTAGAAGTGTCCAGCGATTTCTAAGTGTGCGCGCGTGGGACGGATATGTTCTTGGTTCGCTGAACAACATCACGACTAGCTCCACAGACGCTGAGCTGGAAGCCTTCATCCGCTCCAATGCTGCTCCAGATGGCCATATCGTTGCGACAGCCAGTATGTCACCGAAAGGAGCCACGCATGGTGTCGTTGATCCCGATTTGAGAGTGAAGGGGATCGTAAATCTTCGTGTTGTCGACGGGTCTATCTTGGTGAGACATTCTTTCTTTTGGGATTTTGGAATTATGCTTTCAGACTCACAGCTTCTTTCGCAGCCATTTGTTCCGTCTGCAAATACACAGTTCGCGGTATATATCGTGGCCGAGAGAGCTGCCGATTTAATCAAAGCGGCACATGAGTGATGACGCCGTAGTGAAAAGGTGAAGAGGGATCGGAATAAGGGAAGGCGCCAGGGCTCCGCCTGCGGCGAGACTCCTTTATCGATACGAATTTAATCGTGTTCTGTCGCTTACTCCGAGAATGGCATTCCAAGTAAAAGAGGATGGTATATGCAAGAGTCCCGTAAATGTACAAGATCGACTATTGATACAGATCGTATAGGCAGGCTATGTTGCGGGGTCATGCAGAACAGCCAGAAGATACCGGTCATCTGAATGACCGTTCAGCGAAGCCCATTATGAAACTGAGGTAAAGCTGACCTGGCGAGATCATTATTTCATGTCGTTTGGTTCGAAGTCTCAAGAACCGCACCTCATCCTAAATAAAAAGTCTATTTCGCATTTCACAGCAGAGAGGAAGTACTCACAGCATCTGAATCTCCGCCACTGATTTCTTCCAGTCCGACCTGTGCCGTCTCCACTATTCTGCTGATGACACCGGCGTATTTTCTCCCTTGCTCGCCATCGAAGACTACACCTGAATGGCGTATGATGCTTGTGGGATGACCTCTAGATAAGAGCATATATCCAAGGACAGATCTATGTGACGAGAGCAAGGCGAGAGTTTGCTCCAGCTCGGGCGACATAGAACTTGCGGCGCTGCTCGACGGCGATGACTCGATACCATTGGGCTGCGATACGAATGCTGTTCGTGTTGGGACTGTCTGTGTTGCCTAGATAAAAGTTCTGGTACGTACGTCAGTCGACTTTTGGCGGAGCGCAAGGGGACTGACCATCATCGAGGTTCGTGTTCAAGGGTGAACCTCTTAATTTGGTAATCCGCCGGGCCGCACTTTCGATGTTTTTTCCCAGGCTCACTACTTGCCTCAGATCAACACAATCTACGGAGATTCGGTCGTCCTGAAGGAAATTGTATAGAGGGAGAAAACCGCCACTACAGTGCTCGGAAATCGACAAGTGTCTGTACGCCAAAAATGCGCGTTCGGACTGAATTAATTAAATAATCATGTTCGTCCTTCAGAGCCCTCGATATGTTTTAAACTTTACAAACTCAAAGAAAAAATTGTGAAGAGAAGCAGGACATCGTATGTATTCGCTTATTTCGACTTGAATTGGGCGCTCCTAATTGACCACGCACACTTCTCTGCAATAGCGACGATAGGCGCCATCGGATGAGCTGCCGTGACATCAGGGAATAATCATCAACAACACCCAGATGCGTGCTATCAAATGGAGCCATCCAGCACGTAGAGCTGTAGTGGTACCCACTCCTTGCGTATGCCCGAATGTACGTCTCGATGTCAGCGTCTGGGTCTGAACTCGGACGATGGTATGTCTTGATAGGATATCCTTGCGCTTGGATCTGTTCGGCTAGGTTTAATGAAAGACGAACGCCTTTAGTCAAGATGGCTATGTCTTCGGGGTCGGAAAGCATCCCGAGGTCGCACTTTACTTTGTCATAAGGATCAGGAGAGTTCAGTCGGACGAAACCGGAAGACTTTGGCTGTAGAAGGCAGACCATGAAATTCATAACACCTTCCTTCACATGAACCGTCGTGGCATTGCGCGGCGGGTCCATGCCATATATCGGCATCGGCTTTATCTCGAGGTCGGGTCTATTTTTTGGAAGCGTCGCGTCAAGATCTCAGGGATCGGGAGCGATGATTTCCGTGTTTTCACTCAGAAATCTTGACGGCAGGAAAATAGCCTCATGCACAAAAGGGTCGCTGAAAACACCTTTCCTTGAAAGCAGGTATTTGAACAATTCGGCACATGCTCGCCATGGTTTCTCGAGGATGACGTGAATAGACTCGCCAAGTGGGATATTCCACATCACAGGCACGTCGACGTGGTCTTTCTGGAAGACGGAGGTCAGGTCCGCTTATGCATATCATGTAGCGAACACACTCACTAGATTGTTGCCCACACCGGGATTATCGAGGACGACTTCGATTCCATAGCTTTTGAGATGATTGGCTGGGCCAATGCCACTGCGATGGTATTCAGTGACAAACTATTTTAAAAGATGTAAAATAGTACCTGAGGAGAAGGAGTTGAGCTGATTCGAGGGCGCCACAAGACACAACAACTTCCTTCCTGGCCTTTGCAAAGTAGGAGACGCCAGTTCCATCTCGGTGCCCAAACTCAACGCCAGTAGCTCGTGGCCGCCCTTCAGAGTTGTGACTGAAGACTAGGCGCTCTGCAACCGTATCAGTGCAGATCTTGAGACGATCCTTGCGGGAACGAGCCAGAGGCGGCGGCAGAAAGGCGGAATAGGTTGAACAACGCCTCATGTTTTGATTTACGGTGATGTCGATTGGAGCACAGCTAATGGATGGCAACGAAGGATCGTTGCAATCAGGATAAAATGGGATTCCAAAGCTCTTTGCCGCCTCTTTAGCGCTACGCGATGTCAGTCACGCTATGTCTTCAAAAGAAAAGCACATACTGCGGAAGGATAGGTCAAGGTGACTGAGGAAAAGTCTGATTCACCCATGGACCTGAAAAGAGTTCACTCAAATAAGATTGTTATTAACGGAAACGAACATCCGCAAACCTTTCTTGCCTCGAAACTTCGAGTCGGGATGGCTAAGGGCTGCTTCGGATTTTACGAAGAATGGAAGCATCTTCTCGTAGCTCCAATCTGGGTGCCCCATATCCCGCCAGCGATTAAAGTCGGCGGCAACGTCACGAGTATAAGCCATGCCGTTCACTCGTGAGGTACCTCCTAATGCTTGGCCCCGCATCAGAGCAATAACGCGGTCGTCTGCATGTTTTTGTGGCTCGGAGTCCAAAGGCTTGGCTATGCCATCTTTCTTGAATATGTTTGAAGATATGAGGGGTACTGTATTGGCCCAAGTATCGGCGACGCCTCCTCGCTCGATCAGGAGGACGGTAACATTTGGATCCTCGCTGAGTCGAGATGCGAGGCAGCAACCTGCTGTACCACCTGCTTGACATGATAGGCTGGAATATCACCATGGAATGTAAAGCTTACCACCGACAATGATATAGTCATATGTGGGTGCCGCAGAGCGGGATACGTCCCCCAGCTCAATTCCTACATCTGAAGGGCAGAGAGCAGGGTACGACGACGAAAAGGGCCACGTAGTGGCCCAGTTAACGGTTCGGAGAGCAAGGTAATGATACCACCCGGGTATGATTATATATTGGGATCAGGCTGCGTTCTGATGACTCCATTTTATCGAGAAGCGCTTTGAACCCACGCCCGTCGGACACTGAATCGCTTGCTTTCTTGAACAATCAGGAAATGAATCGAGCGTGATACCGAGGAGACCACCGAGGTGGGCGGCCTGATCAAAAATGGTAGCAGACCAGAGCAGATCCGGATACTTCCGAGCATTTCACTTCTCACTCTTACTTCTCTGTTTTTTTTTGCGGTTTAGCTACTTTGGTGACCCCATAACTCACGAGTCTTGGTGTGCGTTGCACTAGTGTGTCTTGCGCTTATGAGGCTCTAATGTCGCTTCGGACCATGAGGCCATGTTTTCATTACCACTCAAAGACCAACATGATCATCATTGATCAAGCGCTGGCTGCAATGTGGGATGCGAAACACCGTCACCGTAGCTTTGGATCCATTTTTCAGTGATTATGACTTGCGCCCGACTTCTTTTGAGAATTATTCTGTGATGAAATGATTGCCGATGCCTACTATCTGCATAACGGCGAGTCCTGGTGTTTTCAGGATCTTTCGGGAATCGGGATCAAAGTGCCATATGTCTTAGGGTGAGGATCTCAGCCATTGTTGTCCATTTACAAAAAACTGAACGGCAGAGTCGTGGGGCATCTGTGGGTATATGCATTAAATAGTTCTGATGGGCGTCAAGCGCTCGGAACTTGGACGGTGCTCACGCTAGTTTTAACGTTGTCGTAAGATCAAAATATAGCTCGCATATGTCCCAGAAACAGCTCTTGGTTATCTAGCTTGGCCTCTTGCCATGGGACTCTCATTGTTTGCCGTTCTTGTGTTGGACCTGTTCAACCTGTTGTCGCGATTCCTTGACTTGTACGGTAGGAGAGAGGACCTGGTCCGTCTGTGATATCTAAGACATTCTACGTCGAATGAATAATGTTTTCCTGGAGCCATGTGCCTACAGTGGGACGTGATGGCCTCCATATCTTATGAACTACGCGAGGGGAGAAAGGTATGCAAAATGATGCATTTGAAAAAAATTGAATTTATGCCTGCTGACAGAAGAACAGTAACTTCTTCAAAATAGCTCAAATGGTCGCTGGCTGGCAATTGCTATCGGGGACTGTCTCAACGATACGGAAGGACACCCTACCGCAGAATATGAAAATACCATGTAAGTTAAAATACAACTGAACGCCCTCATTCCAATTGAATACTGTGAGTCAAGAGCTTAGCTTCGGGGAAAACAGTATTCGGGTGGCGTTCCTGTTCCTAAAGGCAGGGGAGAGGAATCGGGAGAGGTAGTGTGCTACAGGGAATCGGAACTGAAATTTCCTTCCGAAGTTTCTTTCAAGTCACCCTCTAAAGATAAGTCATGCAACGAAGGCTCTAGATTAATGGTTCTGCGGCTAAGCAGTCTTAATTTATAGTAATTTACACCCTCTAGTGGTCCAACAAATAGCTGAACGTCTAAGCAGAGTTCTTGAGGCCTCCGGGCTTGTACCTACACGAAAATGAGCACAAATTTCTCGTTCAGATACGATGGTGCGTACCATTGCCAAGCAACTGCAACAAACGGCAAGGCAAAGCCGAAACCGAGATATGAGTAGAAACCGACAGCAAATGACTTCTTGTTGCGGTAGTTGAAGGGGAAGTGCTAACAAAAAAGGCGCGTTAATTCACAGGCGGGGAATTCAAGTATAGAAACGTACATCCGTGTTAGGGTGTGGCTTCACGCTTGCTGGGACCCATATTGACCGACTTTGAGCGGGAGAGCGGAGAGAGCGGAGAGCGACACGAGAGAGGATGACACATGACATACTTAAGCCGCAGAGTCTTTAATAAAAAGTGGCTGAGCCTTTGTTAATATGGTGTCCCTTCAAACGTTGGGCGCCTTTTAACTAGCCGCTCATAGCTTCAACCAGGGGAGACTTCCTGAAGCATACAATGATAGCGGAGGCTCGAGAATGTCCTGGACGGCAGCCTGGAACTTGATTTCGCGGTCTAGTCTAGCAGAATATCAAAGAAAATTTTGGATCTCCTGGATCACGCGTAACTTTCGGCCTCGAGCGCGCTACAAATTCAACGTTCCAGTCAGAGATGACATTTCCGAGCACAACGCACAACCGGGGAGTGGGGAAACAATTGAAATGTTGATGGTGGATGGAGTCCAGGCTAGGTAAACAGGGGCGCTTGATTGGCTGTGACGTTTATATCACAAATACGTCACATTAGGTCAGGACGTCACATGTACTGTGACATCCCGCCGTCATGGCAAAAGCAAAGGCAAAGTGCGTATTGCTTGTTTCTTCTCGTTTACCTCGACTTTACATGATGCGATAGGTCGCTTATTGTCCGTTTAATATCTACGGCGCAAACCGGATTCTTTTATACGACCAAACGACTCCGCCAGGGTGCCTTGCTATCTGCAGTGAAGTACGATCCCATGGGTACGTTGAATGATTGTTCTCCTGCTTTTATTCACTGTTTCGGTAGTGAAGCGGAGGGTTCTATTTGTGGAAAGTAAAAAGACCAAAAAATAGCGGTCTATCTGCGAGAAATGCAGGTGAGTGGTACAATCATTCGTGAATTTCCCGGTTTGACGCGCATGAAGAGTAAACATACCAAGATGGCCAGCGCACTTCTATTAGACAATCAAATCGTTGCGATTTGATGCCGCCTTGCTGTCAAGAACAAAGCGGCCGGCGTCACCTTTTCCCCTCTGTACAATAAATACGCATTCATCGTGGAGCGGAATTTCGGGCTTAAAAAATATCATGTATCCTCCCAATGGTGTTGGAATCTCAGGTCGCGAACCCGTCAGACCATGGCCGGCTTCTGCAGGCTTGGTACGATGTTTGTTCAGAAAAAAAGGCGAAACCACATGAGGTATCGTGCCTCGTCTCAACTCCCGGGCTGCCCAGGTCTGCTACAAAAGCCATCGGTGGGTTTCGCCTTGGCCACGCCGCTTAAAAGTTATTCTGGTTGAGTTTCAGTGCAAGGAGAACTCGGTATGTGAGTTAATGGTTCGCCATACGTTAACCTCACGCTTGCCGCGAAGGCGCTATGTGGTCTTCCCTTCATTTTCGTCCTGAACGAAGGACAGGCTATTATCAGTCTGTTGTCATCATACTGTCCGAAATCCTCCACTTTATTCCTATGCGGTCCTGAAGGACCCCGATATCTATTGTGCTGCTAACTTTCCATATCAGTGCCAGGAAATCTCATCATTATATCTCTATCCAAAGGAAGGATTCTTTCTTTCTATATCATAACCAATCGTCCGTAGAATGGAGTCATCTCGAACTTCTGGTTTCTTCCGAATTCGATCTACCCCGAGCAACCATAGAAGAAGAATGGGCATGACCGTCAATAAAACGCTCGGCTAGACTTCCGAAATAACCATCTTTTGATCCAACACATGCGAACGTGTTCTTTGTTAGGCGCAAAGTACCGAAGGAACTCAGCATGTGTTAGGTACAGACGTTCCGAAAAACGTTGTCCACACTGCCAAACAAGGCAGGTAAAATCAAAAAATTAGATAAATACAAGAAAATCGTAGAAATAGCAAGCAGACTTCATTTGTGCGTGTCATTCAGTAGAAATATACGAATTTAATGATCCATGGGTGCTGCAGTGTGTCGTAAAGATAATACTTGAAATAAGAGCATCTGGCTGATGAAGGACTGTTGAGCGCGGCCAGATTTACATGTTCAGGCTGTCTCGCACCGAACAGCCGGTCACACCTTCGTTCTTGCCATCATTGTCATTCAAGAGACAAGAAAAGACAAGAAAGCTTTGAAGAACGGTTCTGCATCCAGTCAAGCAGGCCGTCGCCGTGATTTAGCCACAGTTTGGACTTGGACAACTCCCGGCCTCCTGCTACATAATACCATGACCCGCTCGCGCCATTTCACTGCGACCAAGACACCTGCAACTGGATATCCTGGCTTTATTTTGTCGGTTTTCACGGTTAGGAATGGGCTAATGGGGGTTCGGGTGTTGTAGACTGGGAAACTTTGGAGAGGGCGCAGTGGCTGGTATGCTAAGCATACATCTGAAGAGGGAAGTTATCCGCTCTCATTTCGGAATGACTTATTGCCATGTTTACAAGGGAGAAAACATCTCCACAGCCTCCCACACCACCCTAATTATGCTCTGCCGCTGCCTCCCATTACTGCTAGCACAGACCCCGCTCATAACGTCCTACCACTGATTTATTGGCCTCATACCTGTTACATTAACTCTATACACCTCGTACATCCTCGACGAATCTATTTATGATACATTACGCTCACGAATGAAGGCACCATGCTGTTTTCACGATTTTCTTGCATTTTTTAATTTTTTAAATTTTACTTGCCTTGTTTGGCAGTATGGACAACGTTTTTCGGAACGTCTGTATAACCCTCTTTGTATGGCGCAAGTCAGCTATTATTAATTTCGATTACAAGGATGCGCGGTTGGGTCTGTTGTGTTATCTGGAACAAGTTTTTGTCCATATGGAGAAGTATTTATTGGCTCTCGGATGGCCAATTGAAGAGCGTTCCTTAACTCTGGCATGCGGGATTACCTGACTGAAAATTCAGGAATTTATGCCGGTGGGTAATTCTACATATGCTCCGGTCCTAAGAACGGGGCATGGTCGGGTTTTATTCGGAAATTTCAATCTGCCAAACACATTGACTGCAGTGCAGTCATTCACCCCGCATGCGGCAAATTCCCGAGTCTCAAGCAAACTGTAATCTACCCGGAGGAATCGCATCAAAACGAGGCGGCCGGCCTTTTACCCTAAGTCCACAGCGCCATCTATTGATTGGATACCAGGTAACAATGTTCCAGTCTAGAAAATATTAAGACCCAAAATTTCGGGTCCGTTTTCGTTGAATATGATCCCTAAGGCTTTATTTTGGTATCAATTTGGGGGACGAGATCGCAATTTTGGCAAAAAAAAAAACGTGTTATGCACCCAGATGTTACGTGGATCTTTGTCTTCTGACGTCGATTTTGAGGTGACTTTTATTCAACTTTCTGCGAAACAGGCGATTAACGTAAATGATGCTCCCCAGGATCCATCAAAAAGTCACTGACAGGCTGCGACGGTCAAGCACATCCATGCTATATCCGGGGCATTCCCGCATCCCTAGATATAGATAAGGTCTTGCAAATAAAAGCCGTGCCCTTGTGCAGACGAGTATTCCCGGTCTTCGTTCCATTGAGCTCCTCATGGTCCCGCTATTAATATTGGGCATCTTTAATGCTCTCTCTGGCCTAGGCGAGCTTACCCAAACCTTGCCGTGTATTCCCTTCAGCTCATGATATTGTAGCTTTCGTCCCCCCCGCTGCGGGTAATGCGATAAACACCAACGCTGCCAATGATAATGTTTCTGTGTCTGCTATTGTAAATCATCACTTGTTCTGATGGTTAACTTGCAGGCGACGTCATACGACTACATAGTCGTTGGTGCAGGAGCAGGTGGAGTACGTCTCATCTCCCATCGGCATACACATCGTTTTCATGCCTTCTTTTTGTTTCAGATCATAGTCGCAGACCGTCTTTCCGAAGCAGGAAAGAGCGTTCTTCTAATCGAACGTGGTGGGCCCAGCACCTGGGAAACTGGCGGCCGATATGCACCTGATTGGACCGAAGGCCAAGAGGTTGGCAGCTTGAGTCCTCTCCTTCTTTTCGCACTAATATTGTCCGGTAAAGCTCACTTTGTTTGACGTTCCCGGACTCTTCGGTTCGTATAATAGAAGAGGTATCACCTATGAAAAGAGAGACTGATGCCCTAGGTAAGAATCCCTGTTCGCCGAAAATGGCACGTTCTGGTGGTGTGACGGTCCGTTGCTTGTACTTATGTCTTTCCTTTCTGGTTTCTTACCCTTTAACAGATATAGACGCTCTTTCTGGTTGTATGGTAGGTGGGGGAACAGCCATCAATGGAGGGTGAGCGAAAGGATTTGGAGGTTTATCGAAGCTGAAGCTGACGATCTAACAAGCCTTTATTTTATTCCTCGTGATGCCGATTTCACCACTGACGCTGGATGGCCATCGTCGTGGACCTCTCATGCACCATATACTGCGAAGCTCGAAGAGCGACTTCCAAGTACCGATGCACCCTCTACGGATGGACTACGATATCTCGAACAAGTAGCTGATGTCGTCGGAGAATTACTCGACAGCCAGGGCTACACTCAGGTTACTATTAACGACGACCCCAACAATAAAGATAAGGTATACGGATATAGTGCATTTGACGTAGGTTATCCGCAGATGTCGTATATGTGCCCTCTTCTGATGCCGATTTGCAGCTCATAGACGGAAAGCGAGGTGGTCCGGTGGCGAGCTACTTGAGGACAGCTACAGCCCGTTCCAACTTCGTCCTGCAACCATTCACCAATGTCCTCAACGTTGTACGCGACGGCTCGACAATCACTGGCGTCAAGACAAACGATACCTCCCTCGGCTTAGATGGAATAGTCTCTCTTAACGAAAATGGACGTGTGATTTTGTCCGCTGGTTCTATGGGGTCTTCCCGCATTCTGTTCCGAAGCGGTATCGGCCCGTCAGACATGATTGAACTGGTTCAAGGAGATGTTACAGCGAGTGCGAATCTTCCTACCGAGGCCGACTGGATCAGTTTGCCAGTCGGGTACAATGTGATTTGTTTTTCTACTGTTCAACGTGTATGATTGACCGGAGTTCTAGGTGTCCGATAACCCTTCAATTAATGTTTGTCGACTTCGTAACTGATAATTTCTGCTGACTATCTTCTTTGTAGCTCGTGTTCACGCACCCAGATGTTGATTCTTACAATAATTGGGCGGATGTATGGACTAGTCCGAGAACAGCTGATACTGTTCAATATTTAGCTAACCGATCTGGTGTATTTGCGCAAACATCTCCAAGGTATGTATATATTGCCTTTTCGCGGGAGGCAGTGTATCAACCATATCATGTAGATTGAATTTCTGGCGTGCGTACGAGGGTGACGATGGCACCACGCGTTGGGTTCGTTACCCAGTCTTCAAGTCACTCTGTTGCTCAACTTGCTTCTCTACAGCTGCAAGGTACTGCTCGACCTGGAGCTGGGTCCTTAACAACAAGCATGGATTATAATGAAACGTTGGTACCTTTTTTTAATCTTGCGTGCTGCATTTCCACACCCACTTCTTACCTCTCAGACAAATATTCACAATTACGTTGTATCTGTGGGTGTCCTTTTTACCCACGAAATGATCATGGCTGATCACTTGCAGATCTACTGGTATAACATCGAGAGGACGTATTGGGATCGACTCGTCCTTGACGGCTCTCGCGATCAAGGATCCTTGGCTTCAAAATGACTTTGACAAGAATACTTTACTACAAGGAATCAACGATATCGCGAACAGCGTAGGGAACGGTAAGTTCGTCCCCTGACTGCCTTACGAAACTGAAAGGAGTTAGTGTCCGGTTTGACCCTTATTATGCCCGATAACACGACTGACGGTTGAAGAATATGGTTTGTTCACGTTCATCTCAATCTTCGGATAAAGCTAATGCTATGCTCACAGTTAATAATTACGGGACTGTAAATATGGCAGCATTTCCAAAGCTCGAGATACACGCTAACAGTTTACACAGAGCTCAATGTGTTCCAATCATTGGGTGGGAGCAAACATTATCGGTGACGAAGGTGCTGCAGTTGTTGATGAAAACACCAAGGTGTATGGAACTGATAACCTTTTTATCGTTGACGTGAGTTCTCTGCGTCTTTCAGGACCAGTTGTCGTAACTGACACCTTCCTTGTCAGGCGTCGATCGTGAGTTTGCGAGGCTAAGGACCTACTTATGTTACTAACTTTCAACTAGATTCCTTCCCTACCGATAGGTAATCCACAAGGTGCTATCATGTCGACAGCTGAACAAGCAGCCGCAAAAATCCTAGCTTTGGCTGGTGGCCCGTGAGCAGCAGAATTAACTTAAAGGCTGTATTTATGTCGAAATTCAAAGACGTTAAGAAGCCTTAGTTTACATATGTCACATGGAACTTCTTCGTATTGATGGACATATGAAGACAGGTTAAGAAGACGCAGAATCGCTATTTTGGGATTTGCTACAAGCCGGATCTCTAAAGGTTTCAGTCCCAATACGAAACTCCAGGATTGTGGAAGAAAGTGTCACCAAGGTCCAAGCTACGGGCCTACAGGACGGACGTAAACTTGAGGACAGCTTGCCACGGACATTTTCTCGCACGCCAGCGTTTGATATCAAAGAAGATCGTGGGACATAAGAACCCTGACAATGTGGACTCAGAAGCATGTTCGGTGTCTCCCGTGTCTCTGTCGCGATTCGGATTCACCCCGATAGTAGTAATCGATATCAACATCCAGCGATAGTGTCCTCGTTGGTTTCTCGACCAAGCATAATAGTTTGACCTGATCCACCATTTATTCTACGACGAATTTGGCATCAGAAAGGACCGAGAGAAGGTGAAACAATGCACTGTAGACTATGATACACCACATCCTTTTGATGTACATGGCTGGGATGCAACCAACAGCTGCGCCTAGAATATTAGCTTTATATCAAGCTCCTTGCATGCTGATAGGTAACCCGCAGACAGCGGTCGAGAAGATACTGACATCAGTCGGCGACACATGTGCGGAAAAAATATACAGTTACATTTACACTGGCAAACTTCGACTATCAGCTGCAATTTCGAGATTAGAAATCCTCCATCTTATAAACATCATATGCAACTTCATCGTATGGATGAACCTGTGAATAAGATTATTTGAGAAGGTATTGACTTGTGGTCTCTATCACTTGCCTTCTTTAACTCCTGTATCGTTTCACTGACTATTTCCTTACTTCCATCGTTAACCACGATTTCCACTCTATCCTCTTCAACACGACCCAGCTGTCCGACCGGGCCCACAGTCGGATCGGCGCCGGGCCCTGGTCTAAACTGACCTGTTCTCACAAGATGTTCAGTGCAGATTCGTCTGAGAGGCGGAAGAGTTGATCGACCTGTGCCGCGCGTAATGAAGGCGCACTGATCATATAGTCCGATATTACCAAGTTGTCGTGGAAATTTGAGAAAGAGATGGTCAAGAATGGCTTGTGTACTTGTCGAAGGGGCGAAAAAGACGAGCTTGAATTTGGCTGACATGATCGTCACTGATAAAGAGCTTACTTACTGGCCGCTCTCGGCAAAACTGTTTTGAGACACGCACTGATCTCCTCGTCTTTTTTGAGCTTGTGACTAATGAAACTGAATACGGAAGACAACGTGACAGCAATGCTATATATTGAGGTGAACTTCCAGTCATGTACAGTGATCGAGCTAAGATCGGTGGCAGTGGGAAAGTTTGGTTGTCAGGATTTGGTCAAACACGGCTCAACGTAAACTACATCGACATGCTTCCTGACGGACTCCCTCGATGGACAACGAAGCCTGGTATTCCCTTCATCGTACTTGTAATCCTGCTCTCATTTCATGCTTTAGAACCTTCGGATTCCGGCAACGATTCTATTGATGACAGATCTGTTGACGAATTGGCAGATGACAGGGCTTCAGTCGCACCCCAGAAACGCAAGGCACCGCGACCGTCGATTGTTGGCAATGTGCAGAAACGGTCAAAGCTGGATGAAGCTTCAGGTGTGTCGTGTTTTCGTGTGCATATATTGACCGTACTTATCGTTGTAGGCTCTACGTCCTTAAGCGCTCCGACTTCTGCTTCAACACGGCCAAAACCAATCAGTACGCCTCGTTACATTGCCGCAAGCAGCGTCTGATTTTGCCTTACTCCTTAGAGTCATCTTTCAACGCTTTCTCTGCTTCCTTGTCGCAGCCACCCCCACGCATAAACCACAGTACCAAGCCGGCATCGTCACGTAGGTATTGCCAGATCGCGGCGCCCTTCTCTGTTAACGTTTATTGTAGGTTCAAGCGCGTTTTCAAATTACATCGCAGCCCGAAACAAACCCTCCTCTAGCAACACCCGAAACGCAAGTGCAGGGCCATCCAAGGCGCCTTATGCTGTCTCTCAGCCTGTTGCGAGCTCAAGCACCAAGGCACGATCCCGGCATGAACCCATTCAAGTGGCGCGTAAATCGACCGGAGGTGCAAAGCGTTCAATGGCAAAGACGCGACCTGTCAAGCGTACTCGTGAGGAGAGGGAACGGCAGAGCATAGTATCATCTTCATCTTCATCCTCCTCATCCCCTTCACTACCTGTACCTGGATCTTCACAATTTGCCCGGAAGAAGCAGCCTCCGCCAGGTCAGGTCTGCGTCTCCACCATGATTGATTACTCACAGTCCCATAGCTGAAGTGGAAATTATTACTATATCTGACGATGACAACGATGAACCAGTCACCAAGCCAAAATCCGCACCGAAGCCAAAGATCAAGGCCAGGAAAGTGTCACCCGCGAATTCTATCGTCGAAATCTCAAGTGACTCAGACCAAGATCGGCGGCGCTCAAAGGTTCAACCAAAGCCCAAAGATCGGCAAAAGTCCCCAGTTGAAATCATTGATGTTGACGCATTGGACGACGTTGAAACCAATCCACCCCTTCCCCCGCACACAGATGAATCGGACGGAAACTCCAATCGGGGCGGTATCCCTGATGACCCGATTATTTTGGATGAGCCTCTGTTCCTGGACGACCCTGACGAACCCTTATTCGACGAACCTCCGATCCCTGAGCCTTCGTCGAGCCAGCCGGCCATATCTCAAGACTTCGGAAAGAAGCATGATGAAATGGGCCTGCAAGCAAACTCAATTGCGACTCCACTACGAGAGCAACCGTATCCCGGTACTCTGTCGGAGTTGAAGCTAACGGTCTCTGCTACCTCAGTCGCTGTACCACCGCCCCCACCGCTTCCAAAGAAAGCCCGGCCTAACTACCCATCTACTTCTCTTTCACGAATCCCCCGTGCTCAGACTCCAGAGAGAAGCATTCCCATTGCTGTGAAAGGATCTCCTACCACTCCAAGCCTTCCGAGGAAACATGTAAGGTTTTCGTCTATCATCCATATTAGTATTCAGGTACTGATTAACTTTGAAGCGTCCCCGTACGCCTGATCAATCTGCTCCTCTCTCAGCCAAAGCATCACCGAGTTCTCGCAAGAGTGTATGCATTTCCCTCTACAACAGTTGAAGTGTCTGACGCATTTTACACAGTCACAGTTGCTCTTTGAGGGCCATTCTAATTCCAGGGTAGCAGGTAGCAGTGCTGAAGAGCCACAATGCGTATGCCTCTTTCAACCTCTTTAGATATGTGTCCTTAATTCGCGTTGCTTAGTCTCCCGTCTTATCTTCACCAAACAAAGGAATGCAGTCCCTAGCCGATGCAATTGTCCAAGCTCATGTCAACAACAATGTACGATCACCCCTCAAGCCGATACCTTTGCCTCGCAAGACCAAGAGCATAGCTGGCAAGGCTCGTGCTACTGATCACCCGTCGGCCAGAGCAGAAGGCGGAAGACTCATGAATGCCTTGAAATTGTTGCAGGACCAGTCTGGCTCTCGTAAGTATATCGTTATCTAATCTTAGTGTCCAGAATACTGACTTTGAACGCACCAGAAAATCCTTCGCCGCGCAAGTCCCCCATGCGGATCGTTGATGAGACGGCTGATCCCCAAATTTCTGCGTTTACGTCTAAGGGATATTCAGTCCGAAGCTTCGACATCGTCGACTCGTATGGTGAATGCTATGGAAGTGGACAGTTCTTTGGATGATGCCACTCAGTCTATGCTTGAGTCCGACACGCAGGGTCTATCCCAGTTGACTCTCGCAACTCCGGAAGCAAGTACGCCAGCGGCTGAGCAGGCTTTGGAATACGTCGATTTTCCTGACACGGTCGGTGATTTCCATAGCTTGAAATACAGATACCTTATTCTGTTTAGATGCCAGATGATGAGCCTGGACAACCTTCGCCGAAATCAACTGACGCAATGGATGTTGATGTCGATTCAGAGGTATGATAATTTTCTTCTTTTTTTTACTACGCTGACTTGAATAGCATGATGCTGTTATACCGATAGCCGAGGTTTCTACCGAAGTACGTATCATCGATTTCGCGACTTCAAGTTCTGACGTCCTTGATTATAAGGATCAGGGCATCGACGTGGGTGCACAACTCTTTCCAGAGTCTGTGGCAGATGACTTCCTTCCCGGGTCTTCTCGCTCTTCCTTGCGTCGTTCGTCACGCAGAACTTCTCCACAAAATTCTGTGGCGTCTTCTGAACATTCGTCTATTGGACGGTTCGATTCTCCTCATCCCAGTAGTACACCTGAGGAACAGAGTAGGTATGTATTCCTTGGTGGACACAGGGTATGCAACTGGGAAGACGTTCGGGAGGAGATGCGCGCAGATCCTGTATATCATCTAGCTGATAACCTTCCACACGCGCTGCAAGACCACATCAATGCAATGCCTCTGCATACAAGGATGCAGCCCCCGATGCGGCTTGTTTTCGAATCCATGATTCGCGAAAACACAGCAGACGACGAACCCTTCGCGCCACCCATCGTAATCGAAAACCTCGTAGACGACCAGCCTACACCAGAATGGGAGTTCCACTACACAAATAAGATGTGGCACGGGAAGGGTGTGCCACCGCCAGATATGAAGGGACTCGAGTGTTGTGACTGTAGTGGGTCTTGCGCCAAGAACAAGGACTGCGCGTGCAGGAAGCGTCAGTTGAGACATGCCGAGGACAGTGGCTTGAAAGACTGGATATACGATCCGCAGGGTCGGGTACGCAATGAGTGTCTTTTGTACAGAGTACCGATCTTCGAATGCAACGACTTGTGTCGCTGCGAAGATGACTGCCGGAACCGAGTGAGTGGATTGTTTCTATTTGCAACCTTTGAAGCGGACCGCTGATCGTGAATAGGTTGTCCAGAATGGAAGGAAAATTCCGGTCAAGATTGCGAAGACCGAGAAAAAGGGCTGGGGTATGTGATCTTGGTTGACTGACATACGATGCTGAACTCGTATTTTAGGTGTCTTCTACTCTGGTACCAAACGAATACCCAGAGGGACATTTGTGGGTATCTATGCGGGTGAAATCTTGACAGAAGAAGAGGCTGAAATGCGTGGAATGTGCGCAAAGCTCTCTTTTCGTACTGCATGGGTTAGGCTGAGATCTTTCCGTCAGGACATATGATAAATGGGGGAGAACGTATCTATTCGACTTGGACTTCGGTCATCTTGACGAAATCAATGAGGCCCACAAGTACTCAGTGGATGCATATCATGCTGGCAACGCAAGTCGCAGTCTTTTTACATCGTATTCTATTGCCTAAAATAACAATCTTTGCACACAGTTTACGAGGTATTTGGTACGTCATGTTCTTTGTATTTTACCTGCGGCTTGCAGACTTACCTGCGACACCTCAGAACCATTCCTGCAGTCCCAACTGTGTGTTGGCAGCATGTTACATCAACGAAGCCAATTTGCACAAGCCACTGCTGGCCATATTCACGTGTGAAGACGTCTCGGCGGGGGAGGAGTTTACGTTCTCGTATTCCGGGCCGGTCGATGAAGTTAGTGAGCATTTCAAAATTGTGATTCAGGTATACTCAATGTGCTGTAGAAAACCGTTGCTGAAACGGCAAAGAAAGTGAAAGAAGGCAAGGTCTCTGATGTTCATACTGCTTGCCACTGTGGGGCAGCGATTTGCAATGGTATTTACTCCATGTTTACTGCTATCTGTTTCCCTAACCCTTACACCACCTTCAGGATGGTTGTTTGCTTGACGATACGCGATCGAAGACAAAAGGACACGAGTAGACGAACGTATGACCAGAATATTAAAGGCGAATATAGCCTATTTCTTTTGAATCAAAGTTTTGAAGGGAGAGTGAATCGGTCGCCACGTCTCCCGCTCCGCTTCAACACTGACCAGACCGCCGCCCTGGATCCGCCTTTTCGTATTGCGAGTAATGGCGCGAAAACGGTACATAGTCGGGCTTGAAACTGTAACCGTGTCGACCGAGATTCTTGGGCATCAGGATGTCCAGTACGCGAGTCATTCCACAGACAGGAGCCGAGCCTTGTCCAAGTGAGGTACAGTAACACTCCGTCGTCGTCGTTGGGAGTAAAGACCGCCGACCCCAGCCCCCTACTAAGTGCTAATCAATTTACCAGAAATCAAAGTTGAAGTTCAAACTTTATATCGCTTGGGCTGTATTGGAAAGTGCGGCGAGCGCCTTGGAGCTCGTTAATAGGGTATCCCAACAATATGCAGATGTGTACTTCCCTCAGACCACAAGTAGAAATTCGAGAGACTAATAGTAAGCATTTGCCGTGGACGTTTGTCTTGGCGCTCAGGCTTGCTTATTGTCGGCTTTTTCCGACCCGTGGACGCCGTCCACGTGTTTCTCATTTGGTCCAGACCCCGCAGAGGTCCATCAGCTCCATGACCATTTCCTACTCTTCGAGGGTAAGAGAAAAAGATGCCAAGATGGAATTGTAACCCCACTGCAAGTACGGGAAGAACGGCCTTGCGGCAATGGGAAGTGGGCGTCTTCCCAAATATCTAGCATTCCTACTCTGATAAACATGAGAGCAGGTTACTCCACGATTTGCTCATCGGTGACTGCCGACGACTTTCCGCAAGTACGCGTCTGAGTATTCAGAGATCACTACGGATGCCAAGTTTTGCAAAACAAGTCCGCGAGTTCGCAGGTCATCTTGTCATCCCGCGCAATTTTGATATCTTTTTCACCCTTTATACGACCTACAAAACACCGAACCGACGGCTCATGGTGTTCTCTGCGTACCGAAAATTATCCCTGTACCTCTAGATATATTTTCCCGGGCCGCCGTCTTATCACGCGCTGTCCAAGGAAATTCTGTATATATAGACCTTGCCTCAACCCAGTCGATCCAAAGAGTCAGTCATGCTTTCCATTGTGTTCACTGCTATCCTCTGTGTCCAAGCAGCCTGGGCTTACAGCTCGCCACCCTCTGGTGCCATTACTGTCGGTAGCTCTGGGACGTACTCTACCCTCACAAAGGCATTAGCAGACACCTCTAGCAGTGTAAGTTCTCCCATATCTCAATGTTACACACAAGCACTTACGACCCTCCAGGTTTACTTCATTTACTCTGGCACGTACACTGGCCAAACGCTTCATCTCGCGAAGCAACATCAAAATTTATGGTCAGACCAGCACGGCCGACAGCTACACCAGCAACTAGTACGTATTCATCACTTCTGTCACTTCTGTCTTCGAAGAACCTTTTTCTCATACACCCATTCCAGCCTGTCACCTTGACCAACTCCCTCGGTGCCGACGACGCTGGTTCCAACGATGCAAGTGGCACCGTCCGTGTTCACGGTTCAAACGTTGCCCTTTACAATGTGAATATCGTGAATTCCCTCGGTGAGGTAAAATTCTTTCTCATACTTTCTAGTAGCAGTATGTTCTGAACTTTTCTTCTAGGGCGTAAGTGTTTCCGAATGTCGTCTCATCCGGAGGCCGCTGATCTGTTTCTAGGACCAAGCCATTGCCCTGAGTGTTCAGGCAACCCAGTTCGGTGGTTACGGTTTGAAAATTATTGGATATCAGTAAGTATCTGGTCCCCTTGCTACGACTGGACTCTACTGACTTTCCGCAGAGATACTTTGTTGGCCAATGTGGGCTAGTGCGTACTGTTTTCTGCAGTATCTAGATTATCTTTACGCCGAATTCATAGCGAATTTATCGCCAACTCTTACATTGAAGGTAACACTGACTTTGTATGTTTCCATATCTTCCTCATTCTCCCCCTTGCTAAAAGTTTACCCCACAGATTTTCGGACAAACCGCATCGTGAGTGATCACCCACTCATGAATAGCGGTTTTCTCACGGCCCACTATCTAGGCTCTGGATTACTGGTTCCGTCATTCATGTAATGTCCCTCTTCGAGTCCTGACTCCCGTCTATATCTATTTAACTTCTTTACAGACTTTGGGTTATGGATGGATTACCGCCTCTGGACGAAGCAGCAGCGACAGTAACTGGTATGTTATCGACAGTAGTGAAATCTCTGGAACCGGGGATGCCTACCTCGGAAGGCCATGGAAAAACTATGCTCGAGTCGTTTTCCAGAAGAGTTACCTCCACAGCAACGTCCCTGCCGCAGGATGGTCCATTTGGAACACTGGGTTAGTCCTGGATCTTCATCCACAAACATTTTGCTGATTCACTTTTATCCTTTAGTGATGAACGGTAATCCTGTTGTTTTTTTCTACGAAATCAAAGTCCTAACGCTCTAGGTAGCACCGACCATGTCACTTTCGCGGAATATGGCAACTCTGGTGCTGGTGCTGACACTTCTTCGCGTGCAAGCTTCTCCGAGGTTCTGAGTAGTGCTGTAAGCATCTCAACCGTGCTGGGCTCCACGAGCTGGATCGATTCAGATTTCTTGTAGCACATGTCATTACTTGCTTTAACTGTCTCGAATAAACGAAATCACATAATTCGTGACAATGAACAACTCGTCTCATGCGGGATTCCTCATCCTATGCTGAACAGACCTTAGCAGGTAATTATAACGTATTTAATTGCGGTGCATCCGCAAGATTTAACTCCAGCTAATTGAAGCGATTATTTAGCAATAACAAACGCACGACGAATTTCTACCAATATATAGGGAGTAGCTTTAATAGTCGGGGTTTTCTTTACAGTTGCAGCTGGCAATCTAGCGGAAGGATAATATGCCCTGGTTCCGCTCAGGATCAGGCATCCGATGCAGGCGAACAGAGTTCTCGATTGTGATAGTGGTCACGTCCTGAGGGGTAATAAGAATATACTGCTTCTTATCGGAATGTTTGGCAGTTTCAATCTATATACATAGTGAGCCACCATTCGAGCGAGAACAAACAGAGAGCATCACCATCATATTCATAGAAACGACGATTGACGGCATCCATGAATACGTCGAATTCATCTGGTAGTATGGGCAGTCAGGTTACAACTTTTCTTGACTTCTAGAACATATACATACCAAGGCATCTCAGAGGACATCCAATGGCCTCCCATAGAGACAATAATAAACAAATGGTAGAGTATGATTTCTCTCCACCGCTCAGAGCTTTGGGATCCTTCTCCCTAGAACCTTGCGTAGCAGCCTGTTCGTCGGTTTGGACCTGCAAGGGACCAAGTTAGCAGAAGGCCGATGATAACTCTTGTCAATTACCCTCAGTTCCAGAGTTTCTGCTTCATGATCAAAAATGACTTTACCCCAATATCCGCGGTTAGATAGATTGGACTGGAAGATGAGCTTGCATCGGAGAGCTATGTGGAGCAAGAAGTCATGCCATCTCTTGCTGCGCTCCGTCAGAGAGTTCTTTAATGCCTGAAGAATGACAAAGGATAAACGTCGTTGTGTAAATACTTGTCACAAATAATAGTCACGCACAATGACCAGGGACGCCATCTGCCGAATATCTCTCTGGATATTTTCGAGCAGATCAGTCCACCGATTGACTTCCCTCGTCATTTCCTCAACAGAAGCACCATTTCTACACGCTTATGAGCAAAACCATAAGCGCCGGGCGAAAATACCGCACCTTCTTTCCCTCTCATTCAAAGCGGCTTGCGCTGCCTCGATATTCCTATTGATCTCATCGGGATTACGACGTGTCTCCACCCGGTCGCAATATTCCGCTGCCTTTTCAGTCCAATCCTAGCCAGGATAGCCATTTAGACTATTGGCACTGAGTTCACTTTAATTGGACTTGCCTGGAAGTCTGCTTGGAGGACCACTGCGTTTGCCTCGGCCTCCTCCACTCGGGTGGTTTCATCGGCGAGCTTACGCTCGTAATGGGCAACATTGGATCTATACTGTGTACGTTTCTCGGCAACCTTTTCAGCCTTGGCCTTGTCGAACGGCCGTTAGTATACGACGAAGTCCAGACTGGTCAGCCATACCTGTATGGCATCGCGCCTGCTTCCAAATTCGTCAATATCAGCCTTGACATCTTTTAGCTTGGTCAGAAGTTCTTTCTGTGCTGCGTCGATCTCGCTTTTCCGAGCATAGTGGGCTTCAAACTGGACCTCAAGACCTCGTTTTTCCTCTTCTTGAGCCTGTACACAACATAGGTTACTTAGATCCAAGCAGGCAAGACACATCCACATACCTGCTTGGCGTCCTCTAAACCAGCAATATTGATGGGTAAGACATCCTGAACTGCAGCTTCGAAATCTTTAAGGGTGCTTGCAGCTATCAAGACAGCTTCATTGGCAAGTCTCTCCTCTCTCTGAAGATAATCAGACTGTGAGTTTATAGCCGAAAAAATCGAAGAACGTGAACGTGCCATCTTGGCTTGGAAGTCACGCCGCACTGCTACAAGTTCTTGGTTAAGCTGGTCCACGCGTTTCTGGCAACTATCGCGCTCGCGTTGATGCTGTTCTAGGTTCACGGCAGTAACGTCTGTAAGAAGGGTCATTACCCAGGACACAGACGAAGCGATGCACAACGGACACTTTTTCAGAAGTAATATCACGACCACTGAGTAACAACCTGGTCGCATCATTCCTCGGTCGGGGATAATCCCTGTGAAGATCCGCCACCTTCACTGATGACTACGGGTGAATATTCTCTTGAAATCATCAAGGTCAACAAACTTACGGAAATTGACGAACCAAAAAGCCATCTGTTGTCCATGCAAGTCCACCTCGGTCCAAATTCACGAAGAATCACCTCGCTTTCTGCACGAGTAGAAGCCAGGAAGACAGATTCAATGCGATGCTGGTTGACGAATATTTGTGTAACATAAGGGTCGGATATCTTTATAATGTATTCACGTATACTCAGTCAGCAGGGAAAATAGGCACCATACCTCAAGAGCACGAAGGGCGGTTAAATAACGAGTGGGCGGCTCTCCGTTGGTATAATCAAACGTCGGATCTCGCTTTACGACAACAATCTGCACACCGGCACTGAATTCAAGGATAGTAGGGCATCAAAAAAAATCGAGTAAAGATATCGAACGAAACACACTTTCCGTTCTCATTCAACAGTTTCCTCAGCTGGAATAGATCAGCACCATCCGTAATAGCCCAAGCAACCAAAAGCCCACGTAACTGCCTTCGCAACAGGTCAGCCCATTTCTGAGGGTCGCGAACCTTGACATGGACACCCAGAGGACCCATAGGAGGTTCACCCTTCCACCGCATTCGTTTAATCTGCTCGAGAATGTGGGGCATGTTCTTGCCAAAGGCCGCATACTGATTTTTCTCCTGCAGCTCGCAGTTCCGAACCATCTCTCGGCAGTGGGCTATACTTTCAGCTCGCACTTCTAACGCTAGCTTCTGCAGTCGTGATCTGCGTCTTGAGGACTTGAATACGGCTATCAATTTCGCCTTTCGACGTTACCACCGGAGCAAGAGCTTCCTCTGCGATGAGGAGCGAGCTACGCGCCTCATCGAGTTGACGTTGGGATTCGTCGCGTTTGGCTTGAGTATCAGCTTCGAGTCGACGTGTTTCATCGGCGATCTGCTTCTGGATCGACTCTAGAGCAATTTTAGCCGCAGCATGCGTGGTCTGCATCTCCCTTTCTTCGCTCTGAGGGAACCGTGAGCACGAAAACACTCCGATCGGCCAGGAAACGTACCAACATGTCCCTCAGTAGTCGCTTATTGCTTCTCAGCACATTACTAAGCTCTTCCTTCGTGGCAGTCAGATATGTAACGTCTCCCATGGCTGTGATTTCCTCCTCGTGGCGAGTCACGGCCGCGGTTTCGGCGTCGAAATCGGCCTGAGCAACAATTGTTCAGCTCAACGTAGCAGGGAATCGATGTATACAAAACCTGGGCAGCTTGCAGCTTTTGTTGAATCTGTACTTGCCTAGCCTTCAGCTCCGCTAACTTGTTGATTGCGTCCGTCATCTCGACCTCTTTATCATTGACGTGCGCCCAAACGAGTTCCTTCTTCAACTCGTCAACCCTTTTTTTTCTGATCTCTGGCTTTTTGGGCCTCTCGAAGGCGCTGCTTGGCTTCATTAAGGCTTGCACGTAGGTCAGGTAGAACAGCACCCTTCTGCTCGATTATCCTCGACGTGTGTACAATGTTCTCGTAGCATGTGTCATACTCCTGTGCCAACTGAGAAAGTTGAGTGCCGCGAAGAAAGAGCTGGATAAGGGGTAATGAACTAGCAGATTGCGGATCTCATATTTGTGACGCACCTTATACTTATCCTGTTTACTAGAAGCGCTCAGAAACTGTCTCGCAGCATCTGAGATAGGAAGGAATAAGAAAAGGAAATTGCGAAAGTAGTTGACTGACCTTGAGTCAAGACGTTCATGGGATTATCGACTTGGATATTCATATGATCACAAATGGCAGATAATTCATCACGCTTTGTACTGATGACTTTTCCCTCTTTATTTTGGATCTTCCATGAAGACGAGCCATCCTTCGTGAACCTGACGCACAATGACGATAGTCTTCCCATATTCGTGAGGTTTATATGTCTCCTCTCCCTGATTCTTAAGGTGAATTATGACTTCTGCGACACTGATTCTCATGAAGCGCTAGGTTCGGTAACACAATACAATCAACTTGAACGTACGACTGTCCCTCACGGATAAAAGATTTTAATCCATTGCCGCGTCCGGTGGAGTTGATGCGACCGCCAAGAGCCACAGTGATAGCAGAAAGGGACAGCGCTTTTCCCGCTGCCATTATGCCCTGAAAGTAAGTACAGTTAGAGCATAATGTAAATGTAGCGTTTGGTGCACCGATGATGAAGTTAATTTATGGCCCAAAAGTGAACGACAAGTATCTGTGGCACATGAACTGGTGCATTTCGATGTACTCTATGATACCGTATTCAGCAACTCCTCAAGATGTATTTCAGCGTGTGAGGAATTGAACGCGATAAAATTGACGGACCCCTAGAACACTCTGTCTCGCGTTTAAGCGACGCAAGGATCCTGTCTTTGTACGTCTTTTCAAACTTCTCGTCATCATAGTCCATGTAAGTGTCAACGTCGCCATTATTTCCGTTTTCTTCACTTGCATCATTCCGTGCTCCCGCCTCCCCCTTACGACGCGACCGCGAACCATCGTCACGGTCGACGCGAGTTTTCTTTGATGGAGGCGTGTCTAGATATTCGCTAACGCTACTAGATGTTATGCTCGGACGCTTGACCATAGTCGTTTTCTATTTCTTTCTAAGCCGTAGCTGGAATACGCTTCTGACTGTGAATGAGGTCCTTGTTGGGTGCTGAAACAACAGTCCACGTACTGCAAAGTAAGGTAGCAACTTCTACGGATTCCACCAATAATAGCGAATGACTCGAAGAGAAGGAAACAAGAACTAGGAGTCAGACGTTAAAAGGATGAAAGCAAGAAGCGGGACAAACGCGCCACACTGCGGCGCGGCGCGTCCGTGATTTTAGTCTCCGACCGGCTTCTCCCGGGTATAGTCATTCAGCGTACGTTCTCTACTTATCTATGAAAAATAGTGTCTATCTTGACATAGGCCGCTGCCTTTTACCCATTCCTTGTCAGTCTGATCACTGCATCATGTGGTGTTCTCTGGATGAGTTCGAGTTAATGCCATCACCCTAACGGGCGGTTGATTATTGATGGAGTAATCCGCAGCAATCAAGTAACAATCAATGATAAGTACTTAAGTATCTGTTTGAACTTGAACGCCATCCCTTGAGTACTCAATTTATCATCAAGACACCTATCAAAATCCCTCCTCCTTCAGGACTGCCTTTCGCTTCGTTCAGGTAATGTCTACCCTGTATTTCAACCTTGCTATTTCTCAATGTTGCTAATCTGGTCTACTTATCGGCATTCACAACAGCTTTCTTCGGTGCCGCCATGTCCACCAAAATTTACATCGCTCTTAACATCTTCGAACTTGGCACCTTAAAGGGGAAATACCACTGGGCAATTGCGCTCCCTCGACCTGAGTTCAACTACAGGCCAGATAAACCCCTGGATCTCTATCAATCCGTTTTCGATGACAAGACAGATTCGTGGGTAGCAGATCATAGGGTAGGGCCTAATGCCTTATCGACCCTTGACATTCTCGAATTCATGTTTCTTATTCAACTCCCATCCGTTAATACCTCTTTCGACGAGGTCTCCAAGTTCATTCAGTTGGAGGAGCCAACTCAAGGATCAACTCCTCTACCTAGAGAACGAGACGATTGGTCTTGCGCCCAGTGGGTGATCTGAACGCTGCAGAAAATCATGCACAATGGTTGGTTCACAGCGCCACCCAGAGGCTCGGTAGACGACACGGATGCTTATTATGATTACATTTGCCGAATGAAGGGTCTTACTCGTGAAGTGGCTATGAGTGCTGGATCCAACAATCCTCAATTTGTTGGTCAAGTAGTGAACAAGGTGCGGATCATAGACAGACAATAAACTGCTTGCTCATGAATTCATGTTTGTGTGTCATCTTCTCCTCTTCATGTCTTCGGTGGCTGACCACTATAAATTGCAGGTGTTCTAACCTAAGCACTCGCGACATCTGACATTGTACCCTCAATGCTACTTCTGCGGTAGTAGAACTATGCTGTATATCACAAAGATTGGAGTATCATATGTCGGAGCTGGACCTGGGGGGCCTAAGGAGAGCAGGGCGGGCTTCATCATGCACGAGACAAACCTGGGACTGATCCCACCCGCGCTCTGTACTCGTAATGTAGGCTGAGGAAGTATCAACCTAGTCCCTGTGACTTCAGAGGGATAAGCACTCGAGCGCGTGTTGTATTAGTCTGATCAAAATCCTATTCAGCTTTGTAGTTGGAAGGCTGCTACTTATCAGGATCGAAGCCAGCGTTCATCAAAGCTTCGTCTAATTTTTGTTTGCTGGGTATGTCGGAGACTCGGAGTTAGGGTACGATATGGCTTCCGACAGAAGACCGGCCCCAATACCAGTATTTGAACTTCCAGTATAAGGAGTATTTTTTCAAGAATTCGAATCGTCCTCGACGATGACGCCAGCTTTCTGCACTTCTTGAGTCGTCGAACAGTGACATCGATGAAGCAGATTGCAGGGACCGGATAATCCCGGATTGCGTTCAGTCGGTAAATTGTCCCGGACCTGGCTTTTGGCTTTGGATTGACTTACTTATCAGCCAGCATGATTGTCAGTCTAGCATTCAGCATCTCAGCCCTAGCCTCAGCCCTCAACCTTTGTCCGATTTCCTTTATCTTCTCTTGTGTTGTGCATCTTCTTGAACACTCTGAAGAACGAACAGGTCAGATGTGAAGCTCAATGCTTGAAGGACATATATGATAAACGGTCCTTTTTGCACTTTTCGAAGCGACGGATGTCCGAGATCAGACGAGGACTGGGCCGGCGACGTACTCAAATGAGTACTGTGATGTATAAATATTCAGGTAAGCGTCACTCAACGAATAGGAAGAGAACGGGATAACGTGTGCCTACATCATCCAGTTTAACCTCCGCGAATCACGCTCAGGGAACAATACTTGCATCATGATTTCGAAGGAGATACTGATAGTCACAACGCCCACGATGCGTGGGAGAATGCAAAGAAAACAACAGAGCCACTCGATATCGATCATGATCAGTAGCTCTACTCGGCAACCACCATCTGCCCTGTTATCATCTGGCCCGTCAAATGGAAATAAGGGTAGGTCCCCATGTGTATCGCAGTGTGTCCTTCCATTTACTGGTTTGTAGCTAGGGCCTATTTACACCCTGCCTGAAGAGCTATTTTTCAGCGTATTTTCCACCCTTATACAATCGTGGGATCCGTGGCCTCTTGGACGTCTATCCTACGTGGAAAGCCCTTGGATCTTAACCTTAATATGCAAGTCGTGGAGAGATCTATTATTTCGGTCACCACTGCTCTGGAAATCCTACTTCGAGCACAGGCCGATCTTTGGCACAGGAACAGCAGTCTACCCTCCTCCTTCTCAATTATACTCTTTATTATCCTCGGAACGATTTTCTTCTGTCCCTCTGTTCTTCCAGGTCAGGCTGATAGCCGGGTCACTCACCTCGGTTCCTGCAGCCTGGGCCGACCTGCTGACGGTCTTCAGCGAAAATAACGCCAGCCTCGCTCATCCAGTGAACCTCATAATCAAAGGAAGGGCCGCCATGGCATCCTCCATTGTAGACCTTTGTCGAACGGTCTTCTCGGGTAACGAATCGGAAACGATTAGAATCGGATTCGACATTGATCACAACTGGACCTTCGAAGGACAGGCAGGCATGGAGACTCTGAAACATATCTTTGCCACAATGCCTCCCTATCTTCCCCTCACTCGGCTTTGCGGCTCGTTTTCTCTCTCCAATAAACAAGTTGCAGATTATATCCTTTTCGCTCAGATCATCAGCCATTGCATTCATCTCACCCACCTTAAAATATCGTCCCCCCTTGACAAGCGTATTGCTTACGCTATAGCTAGCGCTCGTCCCCCGCTTTCTGTGTTTGACTGCAACAATTACATAGCGAGTGCACTGTCTCAGGTGCTCTGGACCGTTCGCAAGACTTTGGTCTGGCTTAATGCCGGATCTGTAATACGGGTCAGCCACGCTGGTGGTACAGTGACATTTTCCAGCGGTATGCAAACATTTGTGTTGCCTCCCTCTGGGTTTCCTTTACTCCGCGAAATTCATATCGCTTTCGATGACAGCGGCACAGGGCTCTTAGAAGCTCTGGGAAACACCAGACTTCCATCTCTCTCCGCACTGCGGCTGCATATCAATCGCATTAGTGATGACCTTCATGATTCGGAGCGTCACTTGCGTGATTTCCAATATGCATCAGCGTTTGCGAACAAGTATGGTCAACAGACCAAATTCCTGACACTTGACGTGCTCGGTGAAGAGACGGACTATGTACAATCCATACTCAACCAGTTCCCCAACCTCGAAGGGTTGGCTCTGGGAAGCATTGGATTATCGTGCCCGTGTCATGCGACGCTGCGAAATCTGCGTATCCAGTATGCGTGGTCCGAAAATTGGACGCTCCTCTATCCCGAGTCAGGCCGTCTCCCTACTCTCAAGACAGTGGGATTTCCGGCTACACAGTGGATTGAAGGACGGGAAGATCTTCAAGCGCATGGCATAGACGTCGATCTCTGGGAAGACAACTATGCATGGGGAGATAGGAACATGTCGTTTTGGACGCAAGGTTTTTTTTCTTGATTGTCGTTTCTCGGCGCTTCTGTACGCACTTTTACATCCTCCTAGTCATAATTCTTACTGATGAGGTCATCTTCAATTGAAGATGTAGGGTTTACTGGTGTACGGTGCGCCTTTAGTAACGTTGTTGGTCGAATCACTCCTTGTACTCCATTCGCAAAGGGGAACGGCCTTAACTTTTTGTTTCACTAGTTCGGATTCTGTTTCAGAAGGACCTATAGTGATTTGATGGGCACAGATTTACCCCAACTTCACAGGCTGCCATTCTGTCTATTAATGTGCAAGCATTGTATACGAATAAATATGGTTATTACCAAAATATATACCAGAAGACCTCTCTACGTGTCGGACGCCTCCCGTACTTTCATTTCAGTTTCGTATTTCTTGGCTGTACTGGGGTCCATAACATCGATACCCATCTCTTCGGCTGCAAGCACAAAATGAGCCTCGCATGCGCCTCCTTTAATAGGAAAAGGGTAACTCTTACCAGCGATCTGCTTGACAGGTCCGGTAAACCACTTTCTCGCACTCAAAAACCAATACCCGAAACTATAGGTAAGAACTATTCCCACCGCCACTATAGAGTAATTGAAAGTTTGAGAATCCACGGGCTGTTCGAACAGGAAATGAGCATGATATTCCGTATCGTTGGATAACGGCACATACGTTCACTTGAGGGAGAATGAAAGCAATGGAGATGAACATGATCCACAGTACTGCAGCTATCGCCACTGGGTATGAGAATGAGCCAAGATGGAATGGACCTCGGACAAAGTTTTCTCGGTTCAAAACACGGAGCGCGACGGGTATACCTAACCGATTGATCATCTAAGCGCTCATACCGTGAAGTGTGGATGCACTTACCGTAAGATATATATAGACCAATCGTGGCGATAGACGTAGCCGCTGAGAACGCGACCGTGCTGCCTAAACTAGGCAGGCCTAGAATGAAACTCAAGGTACAAGCAAGCCACACTAAAGAAGGGTAAGCGATAAGAGGTACTATTATAGTACAGGCACATACCAGTCCGTATGGGCGACTTCCACTTTGTGCTGACGACTGCAAAGAACTTGGATCCCGGGATACCACCATCCCGAGCAAATGCGTACATCATACGGGAATTTGAAGTGATTGAGAACGTCCTTACCTTACCATCAGTAGGGTGACACGTGCGAGAATAACTGTACTTACCCGCAGAAGAACATACACCCGATAATAATGACCTAGTAAATGATAAGCCAAGAACACGAATAAAATACCAGAAATTTACCATAAGGACGATTGCACCGTCAGTTCCGACGGTATCCAAGAATATTTGAGCCACTGGTTGTCCGGTCGCCGAATTCACAGTTGCATCGAGATCTTGAATGGAGAAGAGCAACCCTAGAAGGAGATACCATCCTAGAATGGATGACACGCCAATGGCCATGACGATGCCGATACTTCCTGACATGGCGGCGTTGCGAGTCTCTTCTGTCATCTGCGAATTTCCGTCAGTAAGTGGAATCGCAGGAGCGAAGGGCTCAGAATAAATGCACATGTGCACTAGCATCAAATCCTGAGATAATGGTCAGAGTAAGTATACACGGAGAAGACAAACATTGCACACCTGTGAGAGTGTACTGGTAACATATAAAACACATCAACAAATGAACAAGCTTATCGACAAAAAACTTACTTGTGCCATAAGAGTCTAGGTAATGCGCGTCAATTGCAAGCATTTGCAAGAATTCTCAGGCACGTACACCAATAACCACGACGTATGCATGACTAGCTCTTTCTCCCCACCCACCAGTACCATCGACAAATTCCGTAAAGACGAATTTAGCCGATTGGTGCGTTGGAGCCTTCGCGAGGATGGCAATCACTAATGAAAAAGTTCCAAGGGCGTGCCACCACACAGAGATATTATTCAGGTAATGCAGAATGTGTACGCCAAACGTGTTGATCAAGCCTTGCGTATCCATCAAACGGGCAAGGGAACAAATTAATGCAGGTGTGCGAACCTTGTGCGACCAGAACAGCTGCGTAGACGCCAATCTGTGTCCTCGAAGTAGGCACAAAGTCGGTTTTGAACGTGCACACTGTGGACAAAAAGCTGGCACAAGCGAAACTGATCCCGGTTGTGACAGCGACTTGGCCCAATAGATTGAACCAACCTATGAACACCGTCAATTGACTCCTAAATGGGAGAGAGCGACATGCATACCGCATATCCACGATGCCATTGCAGCGTATTGCGGTTTTGAAAGCATGGCGGCCCAAAAATAAGGTCCTCCTGACGTTGGATGTGCACTAGTAGGACAGCTTAGTAGATGTTGGCACTAACAGTGAAACTAATCCAACCTGCAGACCTCTGATGGCGTGTTAATAGCCACTAAGAACAAAGAGGAGTGTGACATACCAGCCATAGATAACCCCACAAACATAGTGAACACTGAGACCACAATCCATCCCCACACCATCACAGCTGGACCTCCGGTATTCTGTTCATCTTAATTAGGGTGTAATAGGTTTGCTTGCAGACACAATGCGCCCACCAATCCGAATAGAAACAGTGACGACATACCCGTCACTACGGATATGATTGAGAAGGACACCTGAACGTCAGCTTTGAGCGTGCTACATGCATAAGTCGCGAAAAAAAGGTACCCCGAAGTTCTGTTATAAATGGTATTAGAAGACAGATGTGCACAATCCCTTCTAAGAAACCGTACCTGCATCAAACCCAATTCTCGCCTGGGATATCGCGGCTCAAGTTACCATCGCGAAGTACAGGCAGATAATGAAAACGCACTTGAGCTCCTGTTTGTATCCCATCCGCGCCAAATCCTCCTCATCGTTCTCAATGACATGATCATGGAGTGCATCGGCCATGTTGGATGTGAAGAACTGAAGGGTCGAAATTCATCATTAAAAGGATCCGCCGTACTTAAAATGGACCTGGTGGTGGATACACGATAAGAGAGCACATGCATGAATTGCCCGAAAAGGGCCTACCCGTGGTGTTAAGCCGCGACTCGGGGATTGTCATTTGATGATCCATTGACATCCTGCAACGTTATCTCTCAGCACCGCCGATGGGCGAGCCCGTACCATTGAATGACTTACCCGCGGCGTCGGTTGGTTAGGCCAGTCAGGAGTACAGCCAGGTCCTCTTGGGAAATATACTGATCAGGACTTTCGAACGGGGGCCAGAGACACAAACGAATCTTGGATGCGGTAATCGAAAGACTTGTTCTGAACCGGGTAATAGGTCATGGTACCCGATTTCTGTATACCCTCTAGGCCGCCAAGTTGATGGCGGACAGGTATCAAGGAGTCAAGGCCAATGCAATAGAGGCTAGCTTAACAAAAGGCGTAACCCCATGCAGAAAAAAATGCAACCGCTCGAGCTAACGCTCATTGGAAAGATTATGAAACCAACTGCATCTACTACGAACGAAGAACGTACTATAGCTGTTCGGAATTCCTGTGGGATTTCGACGCGCCGCTATTTCATACTTAAGAGAAGGGAAGTTCAAAGAGTCGTGCGACTATATGCACTGCGCGTCGCCTGAGGATTGACGAGATTTGCCGTGGCAGAGCGACAGGTGGCTGTACCCCTAAATTTTGAAATGGCCAGTTGTTAGGGGCTTTGACGGAGGCTTCATAGGGCTTCATCCATAGTTTTGCAGATTACCTATGGAATAGTATAGAATCCGGATTATCCCAAGTCTTTCGAGGACAACGATAATTCGTGAAGACCAAGGATAATGCCCGTTCATTCACGATCCTGTCGCATATTAGCTTTGAGAATTGCTAATTGAAACGATTATCAGAGGGCGATATATGGGGGGAACAGCCTAGAAAGTTGGACGTTCTAAGAATATATGAGGCACGAGTAAGGTGATAACCTCGCCAATGATAAGTATTTAAGGAGCGCCCACGAGAGCTTAGCGAAAGGAGTTTAAATGACTACACACTGGTCAGAATTTTTCGCCGTGTCTTCCAGAAAAGAAGTCACCGTAGCGTCAGGCGAGGCGTTATATATAAGGAAAGGGCAGAAAAAAAAAGAAGCAACTTGAAAGGGAAGAAAAAAATGAATTGCGAAAACGGCACGCCGATGGCCATGATTGAGCATGATTGGCGCACTGGCGTCGGGCGATCGCGTTGTTTGGCACACCCTGCTACGTCAAATACGAGAAACGTGAACTTAACCAATGAACGTATCTTACTATTCTCTGCGCTTAACTTGGATCAAAGATTTCAAGCGGGGAATGAATTGCTCGCGATACTTACTCGTACGATTAGACGTACAAGCGACTCGTGAGACACGTAAAAGGTGAATGCAAATTCAAATACCTCGTGTCCGGAACTGCCACGTCTCTTTCGTCTTTCTCGTCAGAGGCGAAGGTTGACAGGCTTTCGCCTGCTTGCTTGAAAAGGCTTTGAAACCAGCCAGGTATTACCAGAGCTGAGTCGTTCTTAGTCCCGTCAGTCGTACCACATAGCAAGTAAGTATGTACGTCTCTATTCCATGACGGTTTTCTGACATTTTTCGAGGTATTTACCCCACGGGATCGAGCAGAGATAATGAATATTGATCCCAACAGTGCCCTATCCCGCGTTCCACCTGAAATCTTCTCCGAAATCTTCTCTCTGGCTTCGGATGGTCAGTCGCTGCGCTACAACCAAGGGCTTTGGTCTATAGGAAGGGTTTGTGGTCGCTGGCGCTCCATTGTTTTGTCAGACCCAACGTTATGGGCACACCTGCGCATATCGCTGAAATGGGCAGTAGATGAGGAGCCGATTCCCTACAATGTGCTGCCATATGATGGAGGATTTCCTTGGAATGCATCCGTCTTCCCTTCCTCGATGGGAGAAGCACCAGAACATCATACACAGGAAATTGTCGCACTGGCAGATGAAGCTCTAGCTTCACTCCCCGTGATCAGAGATTACACATGCATCACGCCACGTACAGTTGCATTGCTCTTGAAGCACCTTTCACGCTCCCAGGCTGCTCCTCTCACCATCGATCTAACTGCTCCCTCAAATCGAATGCTTTCCACTGATGTGTATCTTATGCGGTTTTTCCAGTTGATCTTTTCGCAGTCGCGTCGCTTCAAGTCAGTTTTCATTGATGCTCTCTTTGCTCTGATTGAGCCCTATCGTCAGAGACTCGGCACCATTAAGCATCTGAAGACGCTTGTCTCTTCATCGTTTGCCTTTGAGGAACTCTCCTTGTCAAACCTAGTGTCATGCCATCTTGTCCTTGCAGGCACCTCCACGCCTCCACCTACTGGTCAACCAATCAAGGGACGGCTCAGCAATTTACGTGAGCTTGTCCTGGAAAGCCAAAATCCTATCCATGCACATGATCTCCAAGTTCCTATCAACATAATTCGACTCCCCGTATCTCTGACATCACTCACTGTCCGTAACTTGTCTCTCACGCGCGGGGTAGTTCAATGTCTTCCTGAAATGGAAGAGATACATCTCATCAAGGAGTCGAAGGCGTACATGAAATATCTTGCCGAGGATATCATCGCTGCGCTTGTTGATACGATTGAACATCGCCTGGACGGCGGTATGCTGCGATCAGTCAGCATTACGGGTTTCACGGTTCCTAAGATCGACGAAGCGATATGGTGCAGAATCGAGGCTATGAACAAGAAGGATGGTGTTGATATCAATTTCACCAGACTTTGGCGCTAGTTCAACAGCATGGAGAGGGGACTGTGGCAGAGGTAATTACGAACTTGAAGGACATGCGCGCGAGTCAAAATTCATTGTTCCTCCCACCGTAGGATTTGTAGACACCTTAGCTGCAATTCAATACGCTAATAGTATCTAAAAGGCGACCATCCTTTAGACTTTTACTCACTTTAAATTTTGGCATTTAGATCTATCTGTACTAATCTTTTTGGCATCTTCGCTGGTTCTACTTGTCATCTGTTACGTTCCCGGTGATATTTAAACGTAGATGCTCATGTTTATTTATTAGTCTAGGTCTTTGCATACAAAACAGCTTGGAAGGTGGAGTACCGAAGCCTAGTCATTATTCTCGGACTCCGTCAAGGAACGATGTTTCTAATTCGTACAGCGATGCCAGGCTAGGAGATAGTCGGAGGAACAGGAAATAAGGGATGATTTGCCACCATTTTGTCCTTAGCGTAATTGCCTGACTTCGCGGGGGTTGGTTCTCGGCATCATAAACTTGCCAATGATCCGTATTGGGCTGCTGACTGTAGGTGACATATGTTGACGAGGACCGGGAGTATGCGGAAGACTGAAAAATATGACCCATTCATGAACAAGTCTATTTACTCACACATCATAATCAGTAAATGTGAATATAAACCGAGCTATTGTAGATAGTATAGTGAAAGGAAGCCGTATAACTTGTAGCAAGCAAGTAACAAGGACTCACAGCTCGGAAGGCAGTGGCGGAGTGACGGTGCTGACTAAGCCGCCGGCATTCTTCACGCAACGCGTCCACCCGGCTTGTTCAGGTATAAATACTATTGCTCCTTCTCCACCATGTCACTGCACCGGCGCCGAAATGAATGTACCACGGACGTCTCTATGCTCAGCTACTCGTTTCACACCGAGACGACTACCGTCGTCAAGTCCGGCTAGCACGAGACGAAATCTCTTTACCATAATAGAGCAAGGGCACGAAGGTTGGAGGTTAAGGTGAGCTCTTGACCCTTTTTTGCTTCTAGTAGGATAAGCCACTAATCAAATAATCAGCTTCGGTCGGAACCCAGTGCAGTTGAACCCTGGAATTCGTCTGAACATACCAGTCTATCATACTATTCAAAAAGTGGACTTGCGGGAGTCTTCCATCTCTATACCAAACGTGCGCTGCTACTTCGAGACATCTTTTCCATAGGTGCTAATTGCATTTTCGTAGCTCCCTGGCTATACTCTTGACAACGTAAACCGGTTTACTGTTCTAACATCAACCCTTACTGAACCGCTCGATACAGGTCCCTGTAACCTGCTCGGGGTCACTCTTTTATCGAATCGTCGATGGATACAAGGCCTGCTTCGAAATTAGCGACGTGCAGAACAATATCAGGAATGCTGGAACTTCCGCTATGCGAGCCGTTCTTGGAACATTTAGCTACGACCAGGTGCGTTGAAACTCTCCAGTTTCTTTCTCCAATTTGATGAAGGGAACCTATACAGGTGATAGGTGACCGAAATGGCCTCAACACGAAGCTGAATGCCGTGATTGGTAATTCTATTAAGGCACGTACAGCGTTTAACAGCGGCAAAATGATTGAAGTGACATTTGACTATAGAACTGGGGTGTGGAAGGCACTCGTTTTGAGATTCAATCATTCCAGCCTGCGAACCGCGAGGTCGAGAGACAGCTTGAACTGCAGATGGAGGCCGAGCGTAATCGGCGAAAACAGCTCCTCGATACGCAAGCGCAAGTGAACGTGGCGGAAGGCCACAAGCAACGCGTAATTTTGGAGAGTGAGGGCCATGTAAGAACCGAGGTTTTTCGTGTCCCTTTTCTAAAAAATCTAATTCATTCATAGCTTCGAGCCAAAGCGAACGAAGCTGAGGCTAGTTATAAGACTGTTGTTCGCGAGGCCGAGGCACGGTACGTGCTTCTTTCTCGCCCTGTCCCTGCTTTGTAAATTTTTGTGTATAGCCAGCAGCAGTCGATTATGGAAGCTTCGGCCCTCGCCCAGCAGGTCGAGGAAATTGCTCGAAGTATATCTCTGGACAAAGACAATGTGAAGCCTGAGGAACGCCAGCGGGCGCTGGAAACGCTGGTTGAGTTGCGTCGTCTCGAGCAGCTGAGGGCCATTGCTGCGAGCAAGAGCAATTCGACGTATTTCTTCGGGGACAAGTCTGCCTTAGGACGTTCTGGTACGGATGCTTACAACATCGACTACGCGGAACATATCAAGAACGGAGTGGAGAAGACCCGCCGGGAGGCTGGTGCGGTAATAACAGCGTAGCGGATTTGGCGGTTTGTCTTCGCATCTTTCGAAACTGTTCGCCATTCCCATTTTCTCGTTTCATTAGCATCATTGTGTAGTCTCTATAAATCATCGCAGCCCTACTCAACTGTATATATATTTGCACAATACATGTATACTTAACTTGCCCTCCCCTGATTTCTCGCTGACTGCTATCTTGCTTCCTGTCTAATGCTAACGCCCATTGGAGACCATCACCTTAAGTCGATAATAGCACTCAAAAGGATGTTGGCCCTTGAGTCCCAGTCAAAAGTCCGTGGGTTTGAGTCGATGGCAGTGTATATCAGTTGATAAATCGATGGAAACCCGTAGCTAGCTAAGAATGGGGTATCCCATGGTTTTGCGATCGCTACCTATGGATATCCTTCGATGCTCATAGATTATTGTCGGTGTGCATCGTTGTACGTCGATAGGAATCAATAGACACGTATTCATTTGCTCGCTACCTATATACATTAGCTATAGCGGCTAGCTACAGGTCCAGACGTCCACCACCTATCGAACTCCCGTTCCACCACATACCCATCCCTTGCCTCCCACCTCGCCAACCGGCCACAAGGTGCATACATAATCCTGGTTGAGTACTACCATGGGAGTAGTCTTAAGAGCCAACCTGAATGACTGTAAACAGATGCCCGTAATGTAGAGCTTTAACATACCGCATCCAAGGCGGGAAAGGGCGTGGCCAACGAAAGTGTAGCAGCCTGGAGTTGACGGGCACCAAATTTCGCACCTGTAAGGCAATCAATACCAGGCAAAAAGGTGATAACTTCGCACCTAGAAAAAGCGAAATGGAAGAGAGATGACGTGAATATATAGCACCGCCGACGGCCGTGAACTCAACCTAATGCAGCGTAATGGAGAATAAGACAACAAAATGGTGAGGGATATAAGCAGACTCACCATCTCCTGCAACTAAATCATGTCCAATCTCCTCATCACCGTCAACTACGAATGAAGATGCTGATTATATGCGGTTGCCTTGGTGCCTTTCCGGATCAACAGCACCGTTTCGATGAGCTGAACGCCGTCGGCAGCATCTACGCCATGTAATCACTGCAAATGAACTAAGAAGCGACGGTATTCAGCGGGAATGGTAGCGCAGCAGGAAATAGCAATATGCCGGGCAATGGTCGTGATGGTAAAAGGGAAAGTGTGTTCGGACTTTGCCGGGAGCGCCAGCCCCACATCATCACTTGCGTGCATGCATACACTAAAAAATGGTTGGCAAGTTTACCAGCACTTGTCACCCAAATTTCTCAAAGGTCATAAATCTATGGAAGTTGGAGAGTATGCTCGCATCCATCAAGACCTCTGCATGTCCACAGGCATCGATGGATCGACCAGCACCCGTGGATATCGGCCCAGGCCTCCAGACTTTTGACTGGGCTTGAGTACTGAGTACTGAGTCTACATAACTGAGCAATTTGAATAACTCTAAAACACTTACAACGCGACCCCACGTGATAATATAGTAACGCGCCCGTGTTGTTTGCTGTTGTTGTCGTGCCATTCATCCTTTTCACTCTAGATCTTCTTTCTCTTCTCTTTCTCCCTTCCACTTTCTCGAAATGCCTCCTGCGAAACATACCACCAATGAGGAGGACGCGTTTATGCAGGATTTGTTGTCAGAATTGGACGATTCATTCTGGAACGCGGCCCCTACCCCAGACCCATCACCAGCGAAGCCCAAGCAGAAAACGCCAATTATCGACAAGACGAAGCGACCTAAAGCGCTTTCTACCAAAGATGTCAATTTGTCTGATCTCCTAGAGGGAGCAGAAGATTGGGATTTTAACGATGACTTTCTTACACCTAAGAAGGATGTGAAAAAGGAGATTCTGGTGTGCAAGCCTCGCCTAAGTGGCATATTTTTTAATGCTAAAGTTATTCTGTAGCCTAAACTTCCCCCAAAACCTGCCGAGAAATCTTTCAAGAGTGCAGCATGTACACGGTGTGTTGTACAAACCATTGAAGAGCGCCAAGTTGGCTCTAGACACGAAAAGGTGATTTAGGCTCCTAACAATATGTTAAACCTCTGACGTGGACTGCTAGAACCTCATAGTGAGAGTGGATGGCAGCAAGGAGAAGCGTTCAATTATTTTACGCGACGATTGGATAGTAACTGATGTTCGTGAAGGTGTGTAGCTCAAGGCACTGTCTGCATTCTTAAATCTCATTGCTCCACAGGCGATATCGTCAACGTCATTGGAGAATTCACTGTTCTGGGAGAATCGTCTTCATCACTCACATCCTCGATTGTAGTGTCATCTAAAAGCAATCTGATTATTCTTCACCCGGACGTGCTCATTACGGCTACCGCTCTCTCTAACGCTCCTCAGTGTCGCAGGAAACCCTTAATATCTTCCCTCGTTCGTTCATCATCCGATTATACACCTTCTCTCGTTTGGGGCAATATGCTTCATAGCGTGTTGCAGGCATGTCTTGTCGCAGACCGCTGGGATGAGATTTGGGTCGATGACAAGATTGATGAAATTGTTCGTGGCGGACTCTCGGATCTTGTCCGCATCAATACCAACGTCGACCAAGCGAAACGGGAGGTGAAGGCTCGAGCAAAAGGTCTTCATGCATTCTCCGAAAAATACATGGCGCCGTCGCCCAAGGTAATTTCCCTGATCATTACTCTTCGTTTAGCGTATTTAAGAACTCCTCTACAGCCCGGTGCGAACTTGACAAACACTCGAGCAGGTCGTAACGATGTGTCATTGCTGGCAATACCGAAAATTCTTGATATTGAGGAAGATATCTGGTGCCCTTCGTACGGTCTGAAGGGTAAACTCGACGCAACCGTGCAGGCGACCATTTCGGAAACGAAACCGCCGTTCCATAAACCAGTAATCACAGATGGGCCGAAGCCGTTGGAGCTGAAGACCGGACGTGCGATGGCAGGCATGGAACATCGCGCTCAGACTATGTTATACAGTCTTCTTGCGGAGGAGCGGTATGGTTTGGAGGTTTCTTCAGGTCTTCTGTATTATACACAGAGCGAAGAAGTTGTTCAGGTTGACGTGAACAGAAATGAACTTAGGGGGCTTATCATGGCGCGAAATGAAATGGCCTGCTACATGGTCCGTCGACATCAGGATCCCCCGGAGCCCTTTCTTCCACCGACGCTGGATGACGAAAGGGTATGCAAGAGATGCTATGTGTTGGACACGTGCATGTTGTACCGCAAGGCGATTACTATTTAATTCTTCAGTAACGCTTTGACTGACCGATCCTGGCAGGCTGTCGAAAATGTCGAGGACACCAACTCTCCGATTGCAGATGCCTACTCCCTCAAGACCTCACATCTTTTCCCTTCTCATTCTGCCTTCTTTAAACAATGGGAGCATCTCATATCTCTCGAAGAATCAGACTTGGGTCGATTTAAAAAAGAGCTATGGACTATGGGCGCTTCTGAAAGAGAAACTAAAGGCCGCTGCTTTAGCTCCATGGTCATCGACCGGACATATTGTCCACCGTCTCAGTCACAGGCATCCAGAGAAACCAAAATCCATCAATATACCTATAAATTCCTTCGTTCTTCCGGCTACAAAACACCCTCCTCCTTTTTAAATGGATTCCTCAACGTAGGCGACGCAGTGACGATTTCCGTAGAACCCCATCTGCTCGCACTTGCAAGAGGATTCATTCTTGAACTCACGCCGACAGACGTCATCGTCGGGGTTGATCATGATCTGTCCCTACACTCTATTCGCAATCGTTTGTCGGCCTTTGGCTCTGCCTCCTCCGAAGTTATTTTCCGTATCGACAGAGATGAGCTCTTTGGCGGTATGGGCCGTATTCGCGAGAACCTGGCCCAACTATTCTATTTGGGGGGCGATACTAGGCGGTTGGAACTTGTCGTGGATTTGAAATATCCTTCTTTCAGCGACGAGCCGTTACCTCTCCCTCCATCTGTCACTCGATACTCTGCACATCTCAATGCCAACCAGATGCAAGCCATGGATAAAGTTCTTTCGGCCGAAGACTACGCTTTGATCCTTGGGATGCCCGGGACCGGAAAGACGACCGTTGTTGCGTCTATAATAAAAACGGTCGTGGCAATGGGAAAGACTGTCCTACTAACTTCATACACTCACTCTGCCGTGGATAATATTCTGTTGAAGCTGAAGGACGTCGATTTCGGCATTCTGCGATTGGGAAACACCGACAAGGTAACGCATATCTTAATTGTCTGAATATATCTCATTGCCCCATAGGTGCATCCTGAAATCCGTGCCATGACGCTATCCGCAAAACGAGAACCCACTACAGTCGAGCAACTAGAGTTTCAAATCATGACACCTCCCGTTGTTGCAACTACTTGTTTGTCCATCGATAAGTACGTAGACTTATTTCCCGAGAGAACCGAAGCTGATAGTTTTCATCTAGTGCCTTGTTCTCTCGGCGAAAGTTCGACTATTGCATAGTTGACGAGGCATCTCAAATCACGCTTCCTAGTTGTCTTGGCCCTCTCCGCTTCGCGGACAAGTTTGTGCTAGTAGGCGATCACTTCCAGCTTCCACCTCTGGTAAGTCTTTGTTAGCTCTTAGTTAATAACTGCTAACACCGAAACGTCAGGTTCGAAACAAAGAAGCACGTCAAGGAGGATTGGATGTATCACTTTTTCGGCGTCTCTCCGATGCGCATCCTCATTCAGTCGTTGATCTCGCATACCAATATCGCATGAATTCTGACATAATGATGTTATCCAATAAACTCATCTATGGCGACCGTCTGCGCTGTGGATCTCAAGCTGTGGCGAACCATTCTCTGGTCCTCCCAAACTGCGATTTCCTGAAAAGGATACACGGAGGAAAGTCGACGTGCCATCGCAATGGCTGCTGGATTGAGCAGCTCATGTCAGAGAGGTACGCATGTACCTTTGTTCGATTATACACGAAGCTGACTATGTCCCTAGCTGCAAAGCTGTTTTCGTCGATACCGATCTTGTACCCGCCCAGGACTCAAAAGTGGGGGATCTGGTCCAAAACGAAGTCGAAGCTAGCCTTGTCTACCAGGTGACTGAGACCATGTTGCGCAGCGGAATCACTCCAGACCAAATTGGCATCATCTCGCTGTACCGCCAACAAGTAAAGCTCTTGACGCAGATGCTTCATGAACATAAAGGCATCGAAGTTCTGACGGCTGACCGAAGCCAAGGACGAGACAAAGATTGTGTTATCATTTCGATGGTGCGCTCCAATGATGATGGTGTGGTAAGTGTTTTCACTAGACTCTTTATGCTGTCGCTGAATGATGATTTTGTAGATCGGTGACCTGGTCAAGGATTGGAGGCGAATGAACGTTTCATTCACTCGAGCTCGGTCAAAGCTTATCATTTTTGGATCGCGCAAGACCTTGCAGGACGCGCCTCTCCTTAAAGAGTTCTTCGCTTTGATGGAAGGGCAGAACTGGATCATGCAATTGCCGCTTAAAGCAAATGTCAGTCATGCGAGAGCATTTGGTGCTACGACGCCTTCGAAACGCGTTGTCGAGGATGCTTTCAGTCCAAGGAAGGAGAACGCGAGCAGTATCAGACCACAGAAGAAATTGAAGGTGAAGAAAGGTTTAACGGAGGAAGGCCTCTTGCGCAACCGCCCCATTTTGCGAGACCTAGTAAATGATGGACGATAACGATATTTGATTTCTATGTGACACAGAAAAAGATCAGGATATACGCAGATGTACCGAAAGAGTTCGTAGCAATAATAAACCACAAGAGAAGAACACTACATGCACAACCGATCCAATTGAAGGTCCTTAAACGTGTGACATTTCAGTCCACTGCCGCTCTTCCAAGGCTATTTGTCTGCTCTCTTGGGTCAATTGGCAGGGGTAGCAACACGTAGATGCAAAACAATCTGTGACAATATTTCCTTCGATGCCATAACGTTCCCGTACCGCTCTGCGATTCTGCGCCTGATATTAAACAACGGTCAGTAAGAGAGTAATTACAAACCGATAATACACAAACCTGTATTCCACAAGCCACACCACAAAAGGGTATACACGCGACATACATGCAGCAAGAATCGGAGCAACAAAGGCCAAACGGATCGGGGTGAGGGTTACTAGTCCTTTGAAGATGGTCTACACGATCTGCGTTCTGCCCAAAAGCGACACAAGGGCAGAAACACGCCGACACGCCTGGAAATTCTAGATAATAAGCCAAGAGCACAATAACAAGGCAGCTTTTGTAACTCACAATTTCGGAGATCTCCCCAAATGTGGAACAGACTACGGGACCATTTGGTCCGTTTACCGGATGGGGAGGCGCATGCTTGAGCGGCCATTGGATTGATCGGCTCGGGTTGTCGTGTGACGTACTGTAAAGATGAAGTTGTCAATAGGGATGTCCTTGTTGAAACATGATCTGTACTTACGAGCTTTGAGTTCTGAGGGAGATTCTGCTCGCGGTGCAGGGTCCTGAAGCCGTCGAGGAGGCTATCGATACTGGCTAAGGGATCCTGCTTCGGAGCGCCCCCGTCCTATAGGAACATTGAGTTATTAACCTAGCAAGAGAAGCAGAAAGCTGACACTGTGGGGTGTATACGCCGGAGGCGGAGCGTTGGTTTCGTTGTAAGTGATGTAAGAAGGTGCCATGATGTTGTTGTGAATGTTGATGCATATTGAGCAGAAAGTCGGGTCTTCTTATACATCCAGCGATATGTGAGACCGTGTCGTAAGAATGTCTCCAACGACATGAAAAGGAGTACTAGGCTGTGCGGAGGAGGAATATCACGAACTACAATCACATTCCTGGACTTTTCGCCCGTATCCGACACCTGAGACAGAAGACGCGTGGAGTGAAAGAAAGACTTGCATGTGATCGTTTTATTTCCCTTTATGGTTGGTGAGCAGACCAAGTGTGTAAGACAGAAAAAAAGTTGGATCATTGTGATTATCATAGGGACCTCGAGAAAGAAGGTACCTGACTGAAAATTCTAAGCAAGATATGTTTTTGGATGGTTTCTTTCAGGCCAATGTCATAGCAACTGGCAACGAAAGGTGCGCCATAGAATGAATATCCACACAACTTGAACATAATAATCGGAGGTGAAAATCCCCCGTGGAAGCAATGTGAGACGAACTGTAGGAGGCGCGATTCATTTCGTAGAAAATGTTTCAGTGAAATACTCCTGTCGTAGCCACGGCTGTGGGAATTGGAACAGAGGAAAATTTCTATGGGGCCAACTTGAGACCAGTGAGAATCTCGAAATGTTGTTCAGCTCTTTGAGGTAAATTAGAATGGAAGCCTTGGGCACAGGGGATGAAGTTCCTCCAAAGCAAGTTTTGCAAATTTCTGGAATAATAAATATCTGTGCGAAGTGCGAGGTAAAAATGGACGGTGTGTAGAAGAGCATGAGGCAGAAAAGTTCTCGCCGGATTAGGATTGATTTGGTCAGTGTTAACTGGCCAGTGGGATTGCTGATGTGCGAAATGGCCTATACGGTGACATGAAGACGTTGCTTGAAATGCTGTTGCCTATCGTAGCAGAAACACCGAGTTTTTTTTGGGCGCCAGGGTGTAGTTATCTCTAAAAAGATATATTCACAGGAACGAGGTGTGGCTGATCATGTCGGCAGTATACAAGGCTGGATCACCGGGTCATGAAAATGCCAGGGCGAATGGAATACAAATGGATAAACAAAAATGTCAGGCCAAACAGCACCGACCGTCCTGGATTACTTGACAATAGAATTAACACCACGAGCTGTAGGAAACAACGTAAGACACGGCAAATAATCCAAGCACCTTTTCGCATACCTGAGAGATAATCTTTCGCTGTGCTAACACTCTACAGTCGAATGAGGAAGGATTTAGAACAGACAAAAAAATGCACGGACCATTCCTTTGATGACTTGGTACACACTCTTATCATGAAATCGCAGACCCGTAGCCGGATCCGTATAGGGCGCCTATTTGAAAAAAAAAATAATAACGGATGAACATTACCCAAAAGCGCCCGCACGCACCTCGAGACCTGTAACATCACAGTAATGCTTCATCGGCAGTAAAGACGGTGGAGCCTCAATTGACGCATCTACGAACTCTTCAGCAAAATGAAGAAACAAATCCACTGCAACATACATGTAGGCATCTCATCTGGCTCGAGGGGAACATCCGGCTGTGCCAACTTTCTCCTCTCCCGCTCTGCCCTCTCCCGCTCCCGCTCCTGACTCAGCACGGTCTTAAAATTCTTCGCCCGACGGTTGACATTCTTGGAGTAGTAGGGATTCTTGAACGGTTTGGGGCTATGCAAGTAGGACAGTTGCACCGCTAGACTCTGCTGGAGAAGTTACTGACTGCCTTTGAGGAAGAGCGAAGATCGTACGGGAACGTTGGGCGTTGACGAGCCGTCAGTTGCAGCTTTTCTCCGACTGAAACCCTTGGGAGGCCTGGATAATGAGTGTTATGCTTGCAAGGATAACCAACACGTACATGATTGAGTGAAGCTAAGGTGACCGGGCCGAGCGCGCGGCTGACTCAGACATGGCCCGTGCGCCGAGTGCGCTCGCATACAACTTGCACCGGTCAAAAATGCAGTTTTCCAATATAAGTAGTGCAAGCGGTATCATATTTTCAGAGTCTAAACTCATCCAGCACTGCGCAGTATCCTGTGGACTAGTGCGTCAGTCGACCCTCGCCTTGTACCTTTCTTTGGTCGTATTTTCCATTTTGTTCTTTATTTGTTACATGTATAAGTGCCGTGTACTCTGTAGCTATACATATACGCCGCTTGCATGTAGTATACTTCACGCCGTCTACTTTTGTACGCCTCGGACGTGTTCTCTGAGTCTCGTATTTCGGGTGAGTTTCTATCATTCTAGATGACTCCATTCGCACTGTTTGCACTCTTAACCACTTTCAGTATCACTAGAAGACGGGACCGTTGTAACGTCTTAGAGGAACGTGAAAGCACATCATTCCTAGGGAAGAGCGATAAGTAAGCAGTGGGTTGTGTCCAGCTCGATCGCGTTCGATCGAGCTGAAGGTGTTCCAACCATTTTTCAGTTCAATTTTTCCTCAGTCACTTACTCTCAGATTCGATATACCGACTGCCAGGAGTAATCAGGGATACGGGGGGTCAAGAAGTCATATACCCTTTACTTCAGTTCCTACGGCAACATTTGCACAAGTTGTGCCCTAGCCAATACCATAAACACTACGGAGCAAATTAGTCCGAGGTATGTATATCAGAAACATCACTTACACCTATCAACCTCACAATCGACAGAATAAAAGTCGAATATAAGATGAAAGCAAAGTAATTATTCCTCTTCTCCGAATGGTGCTCCTCGAAATCCTTGATCATCTCTTTTGAGATGTTTTCGTCATCTATATTCAGCCAGCCATTAATATTCTCGATCCCCACGGCGAGGATGCCATTTGTGAGCATCCATGCAGCCACGAGACGAGTCCTAAATGTCTTATTTTCATCATCCAGGGTCGGCTTCTCGTTTCCTTCAGCTGACTTGATCTTCCGAAGAGCACGAGTGACTGTCTCCTTGAACGCAGCATCGACGTCCTCCTGTATCCTAGTCGTATCCTCAACATGAGGCTCGTCGTTTCCAAGTGTTGTACGGGATTTCAGTGATGGCAGGGCATCTGCTTTGTCACTTCCTTTCGTTCCCCAAGACACCTGAGTACAACAATATGACGAACAGTCAGAAATACACCTGGCAGCACATAGTTGGTAATGCTCACGTCGTGTAGGTTGCAAAATGCGTATACATTAAGAACGTTAATGAAGCTTGGCGCGAGACATAGATATGGTATGAAGCTTGTGAACATGTGCCATGGATCGCCCTAGGACACTTGTCAGTAAAACACTTCAAGTGGAAGCCGCCTACGTACATATAAGAAGGACGCAAAGAAATAGATGCCGAATGTTGATATCATCGCGGCGACTAGTGGGCCAAGAGGTGGGCTAAAGAAAGACGCCACAACTTCCATCGTCGACTTATTGCCTTGGAGCGCTTTAGGGATATCCTGTGTGCGCGCCCGTTAGCAGGCGAGACAGGAAACATGAACTACCGTTACCTTGAAAGCAAGCGACGTGAGCCAGAACGAACAGACCAAGAGATATACAGAGAGAACAGCATAAACCCTTGGAGATAATTAGCTTGAATGCCGACAAAGAAAAATAAGCAGGCTACCATAACGTAAGTGTATATGCAAATCGTTCTCCTTTGGGCCTATTGCCTAATGCCAGGACGAACTGCGACCAACGAGTTTTAACTCTCCAAAGAGCCGCACCCACTGAGACACACCTGCAGTATGAGGAAACCTAGATAAAGACACTTCAGACCGAAGTTAATCCAGTGAATCTAGGTAGCGATGTCAATCGAGAATCCAATTGCTAGAATAGTATCGCTTACTAAAACGACACTTCCGAATACCACTCCCTGCGATGGTAACAGGTCGATGATGATACTGAACGTAAGCCACAAGTTGGCCAAGGCAAACCACGAAAAGAACAAAGAAAAGGCGTTGTACTATCGCGCCATTAGCACCTGTCAATATGGATAGAGCACAACTCACTAAGCCCTGGATATGAAAGAACAGCATCCTGAAGATCCCATGTCCCGAATGGTAAAACCTGAAGAAGTTGACAAGCGCATAGACACTCGCTGCAAATGAACCATTGAGCCATCTTCGCCGTTGCCCTATCAACTCTGCAGCGCTCTCTGGCACATCGGTTTCGGCTTTGCTTGGTTTGACGTAGGTCAGTGTCCATCGTTCCTTTCGTTTTGCTACCAGTTCGAAACACAAGATACGATCCTCGGCTTTGGATATTATATCAATGGGGGCAGACTGAGGTATTATAGTGCATACCTAAAAACATGTTCTTTTGGAAGATGGACATTCCGTTGATACCTTGGTCGCCTAGACGATCCGCAAGGGAGTGGTCACCATGAAAGTATTGCTCCAAAGGCCGGCCGAGGATGGCTCTATACAACATGCCCTTGTGAGCATAACGCAACGTAGCACTGCATATGAGACGAACCTGTATCGGTACGCACTGAATGCTCCAGGCAGCACAGAGACGTAGCCGAGCATACTTTCAGTCGGTTTGTCTGATTATGGCGCGTAAGCGCAAATTCTGGGAGAGAACAGATGTACGCACCGAGAATATTGGACATCTTGTACTCAAAGTTCTGGGCAGCTACGAGGGGGTTTAATAGTTTCTTGCCGCCTTTGATCATCGCATGAATCTCGCCGCAACATCCTCCAAGGTATGGATCGTTGTAAAAGGCTTCCCAGAGGTAGTAAAGAGATTTGCGACCGGGTTTCGTACCGGCGTCAATCAATATGCAGACTTCGGGCTGCGGCTACGCGTTAATAATTCTTAGATGACGGGCGATTCATTCTCACCACCAGCATTCTCCCGATAGCATTAAACAGCCACCGGTGAGAATTTATCTTCTTCTGGTTCTGCGCTTTTAATACAAATATGATCTGCACAGGAACCAAATTGGATGGATCACCATCCTGTGGAAGTACAAGATTCGGTTTGGCGTCCACGGATAATTGCGTGGTGTACTGCAACAAATCAGGTAAACAAGCTACAGTAATGCATAGGAACGTTGCATACTTCAAAGATGTGAGCTACCGTTGGTTTCCCATCAATCTGCTTTTTCATCACGCCGTCCTGATAGACACCCACGGTGGCAAGGATGTCTAGAACACTCTTGTCCATCGCTTCCAGACCGTCAACAACCAGAGCCACTACGATCTTTTGCCAGCCAGGAGAGCCAGCCTCGGCTTGAGTTCGCTAGTATTTGGACTTTTTGGTTTTACAGATGTCACGGACATTCATCATGACACCATGTAAAGTGCGGGCGTACAATGTTTTATCTTCATTATACGAGGTGACGGCAACAAGTAGCTCCGTTTCGCGGTTGTACAGCTTTGTCCGTAACGACCATCCGTTTGCTTCTGTAAAGTCATCTGGATCACACGTAGCGGCTGTGTATCTCATATGGCTTGGGATGTACTGTCAGTTCGCAATTTTGGGCTTCTGGATACAAATTCAACATACGAGAATTCTGTACTTTGCGTTGAGGTGTACTTGGGCTCGATAGCATTCCGAACTGCCGTGGGGACTGAATATTCAGTAATGAAATTGCCCTTGATGAGTTTCACTCTTCGCGTAACCCCACGTTTGATGGTTTGGCGTCGTCGCCAGTTAGTCTCCAGAGAAAAAACGGATTCTCGACCCAGTTCACTACTTTCGTAGGGCGAGCGCAGGATGCCACTCATTCTGTGAAACGGGGTCAAAACGTGTTCACTGCAACAAGATCTCCAACTCACCGCACAGGGTACAACGTACTATCGGCCTGTTGGAGAGGGAGTTTTTCTAGAGACTCGTAACTGTCATTACTGTGTAGTCCTGCTAGCGGTGGGGGACTGGGACGAAACGCGTCGGAGTGACTGAAAGAGACGGATCTTTCATACGAGAAATTCGGATCGTGCATGTTGAAACTATCGTTGTCGGCTTCAGAGGGATAATCAGTCGACGATGATTCCATTGAAGCAGCAACGGAGGAGGAGAAAGAGGGTGTTGAGTTCTTCATATCGTGAACAGGCCAGCTGTAACAAGAAAAGGGCTTTGAGCGTCAAGCTCTAGCGACTGGGAGAGGAGAAACATGTTTCGTTGTGCTGATGATATATGGTATTTCTGTCTTGGCAACGGGTTGAGCTCGAACAACCGACGGACACTGCACTGAAGCTTGCCACCAACATAATATGAACCATTTTCTCGTTGCATCATTATGCTGATCCGGGATTTTGAAGGCTGAGCAAAGTAACGCAGGCAACTTGCATCGTGCACCGTCTGACGAAGTTCATTGTTCGCGACTTAGAAATCCACGGCCAGGCTATGATGAAAACACGCTTGGTCGCTTGGCCTTTGAGAGAAACATTACCCATGTTCCGGGGCGACTTCCTCGGTACAGGTCATAGTGTGATTTGGAAGTGTACTGTGTCTGTTTGTATAGCGTGCATACCCAGCATTTATCGTCAAGAAAAGTCATCGTTGGAATCCAGTGGTAGGATGAGCGGCAACCGGTTACCGCCAGGCTCCTGGCAAACTGGAAAACTGGATTGATTGGCCATCTCCGCTGATACAGCTCAGGTAAATAGAAGTAAACTACTCCTACCGACCTCGATGGCTCGTTGTGAGAAGTAATGACAGTCGTAGCAACATTATCTACTAGTGCATGAGTCCGAAATGACAGCGAATATGCACATTCCCTCTGACAGCCATCCCAGCCCCGGCGTCCCGGCCCGGTAATACGTCACAGGTCACGACGTGTGATGCATGAAAAAAAAGTTAATATTATTTTCGGTGTTTTCGATATCCTCATTATTCAGTCATGGCTGCGATATCCAAGACGGCAAAAAAGCGATCTGCAGCATCCCAAGCCGGTCCTTCTAGCAAGAAAATCCACCTGAATGTACCTCAAGGGTCTGAAAAGAAACGAAGTCGACCTGTAACCCAACTTGCACCTGAAGATGGTTCTGGCTCTGATTCCGATGAAATAGACGAAGACGATGCGGAGAAACAGGATGATGAAATAGTCGATGACAAGGGCATGGATGTAGTTGAGGAAAAAGCGATCAAAGATCCACTAGGTGTGTTGCAAATCTACTTTCATTCTATCCATTTGACTTATGCATGGGTAGCGATACGCGAGGCTCGTAAGGCACAAAAGATTCTTCAAGAGCAACGGAAGACGGCAAAACCTCATTCGTCGCTTTTAACGGAGGCCAAGAGAGTGTGGTCACTCGCACGACAGAAAAATATACCAGCTTCCGAACGGCAAAAACATATTCACGATCTCATGGATGTTATACGCGGAAAAGTGAAGGATATCGTCCTAAAACACGACGCCAGCCGGATAGTTCAGACTGTTGTCAAGCACGGCAAGCAAAAGGAACGAGATGAAGTAGCTGTCGAGTTGAAGGGGAAGTATAGGGATCTAGCTCAGAACAAATACTCAAAAGTATGTGTTTCGTGCTTGAAATATCGAATGACTTCTTGCTCATACTTTTTTTAGTTCCTTGTCACCAAGCTCATCAGACATTGTCCCGCTCATCGAACATCCATTCTTCTCGAATTTCAGTCACACACCCTGCGATTACTTCTTCACCGAGAGGCATCTTCGGTACTAGCCGATGCTTTCGAGCTATACGCCAATGCGTACGAGCGGACGTTGCTCCTTCGTGATCTCTATGGAAAAGAGGCTACCTTGTTCAGTGTAACATCAGGCAGTATTGAAGACAAGGAGCGCGCGAAGAAGGGATTAAGCGGTGTCTTGCAAGATGGAGACAAGGAACGACGGAAGCGAGTTCTTAATGCGACTAAAACAGGATTAATGTCAATGTAAGGCCGTTAGGACTTTCTCGTTACTTTAAACTAACACTTATGCAGATTCAACAATCCCGACAAAGGTGCTGTCACGCACGCAATTGTGCATCGTGCCTTATGGGAATATATCGTAGCTGTTAATGAAAGTGAAGGAGAGGAACGTGAGAAGCAATTTCGCGAAATGTTTGAGTGGTACGTAGTCAGTCTTTGCTGCCTTTCCATTCATTTAACGCAGTGCAACAGTTGTCAGGAAGTTTTGGCCGAGTTGGTCCACACGAAAGACGGGAGTCGAGTTGTGCGCGAGTTTCTCGCCCGCGGAACGGCGAAAGATCGAAAACAGATTCTCAAAGTACTCAAGCCACACATTCTGAAGATGTGCACGAATGAGGAGGCTCAGCTGGTCCTGTTCACGGCTATAGATGTAATTGAGTAAGCGTGCTGTCTTCTTCGGTTTTTTTTTAAAAAAAATTGAATCATTTATCGTTCAGTGACACAAAACTTGTGTTGAAAACCCTAGTTCCCGAGATCACGCAAGCAGCGGATACGTTATATCCTTCGCCACAGGGTCGAAGGGTGCTCCTCTATCTAATGGTTCCTCGTACCAGACGACACTTCACTCCCGCGCAGATAACTTCGATAACGGAGACTGATGAAATCAGATCTCGAACGAGTAAAAAGGATGCAGACATCCGACAAAATGAAATACGCGTCGGCGCCAGCGAGCCTCTACTTGCATGGATATCTGAGAATAGTGAAAAGATTAGCCGGGAGCCTGGCGGAAGCCTTGTCATCCCTGAGATTCTGCTTTATGCGGTTGGTGGTACGTTCATCACGCCTCTGAATTCCGTGTATCCAATTCTAATCTCTACCTTATAGACAAGTCTAAAGCGGTCGACGCCCTCCTCAAAACAGCTGCGGCTCCTTATCCGTCAACTGACCTCGCTAACCCACACGTTATCGATCTTCCACATACTTCACGCATGTACAAGACACTCCTCCAGGGCGGGCACTACAACCGAGCGAGCAATGCCGTTGAAAAGGTGCCCGGATGGGATTCGGCCTTTTTTGCGGATCAGCTCGTTGAGACTCTAGGGCAGGATGTGGTCGTCGGGATGTGTACAAAGGGTGAGCGGAATGGCGCCTTCGTGGTTGCCGAGGCGTTGAGTGGAGGTAACGCAAAGCGTTTGGTGAAGGGTTGGTTTGGCGCCGATGTGGTCAAGAAGATTGAGGAGGGTGATATGAAGGGTAAGAATATGTTATTAGAGAAGATACGCCAACTGTAGACTGGTGCGGTTATTTCAACGGTCGCAGGCCTTGGATGGTAGATAAGAAAGTTCTTATTATGCACTGAAGTGGCCTTTTGGCTCCTGAGCACTTAATGCAATGCTCTCATCGAAGGGCCTAACTTCTCTAGCTGTGCCTGTAGGGACCACGATAGTAAAAACGCGGCTTAGACTAAAAGAATATAGAGTTAATATATGACGAGACGACTTGTAAAGTAGACAGCCATCGAAACATCTCTCTACAGATACAATCGAAGTGCCTGAATACAATTTAAATTACGAGATCTGAGCCCATCAAATCCGTAATGTGTTACATACGACTGACAACATCCAATACGTACAATAGACACCCAGTCAAGTGTAGTACTTGATACATGAGAAGTAAAAGTAAGAGAAGGAATGAAAGATGCGCCAGTATAACAGTAACTTCGTCTCATCTATAAATATTAACAAACCATCTGGCAGCAACGTCCTCCATGAGCCCCCACAACGCAGGAACATACGAAGGCACCGACTAGGAAACCTATAATGATGTAGCCTGCGCGCTCAAGGTTTACCTACGAGATCGAACGACGTGATCACAGAATCAGATCACTGGCAAGACGACAACGGGACTTTGAGCAGTCGCAGTGACTTGATCAAGGGTGACAGAATGAAACTGCTAGAACTCAGTCAGTGGCTGTGACACTATGCAGGTATTACGGTCCTATGTGAATGTATGTCGCCCAGCGACTTGGATCTACACCTTTGTTAATTAAATTTCTGACAGCCTCGTCAAGGGCATAAGCGATGCCATCACCATCAAGGTGCCATGTATGCAAAGAACAGTCAAAAAGGCATGTGTGAACGTCCCTGGCGACATCTGGTCCGTCTCTATCACCCATAGTCCTAGGCGCGTGTCATCGTTAATGGCAATCTTCCAAAGGTTCGCACAAGACTCACCAAAGGGTAGCGATAATATTGGGAAACCCGGAAAACAGCATTGTAGTACCCAGGTGGATCGGTTCGTCAGGTAGTCTCTGATAACCTGCTGCCGTCGAACATGCACTAAGAAAGGCGAGGCGTGCACGTGGGGTCTGCATTTCAAAGAGTTTGCGGACTGTTAGAAATCCATCTTCTAAGGCAAAACCACTGTTCAATGGGGAGTCTTGGTCTTGATGTCCATGGCAAGCGAGATGCAAAATGGAGGCACCAGGAAGCTGTTCCACGACTTGGGAGACTGTGACATTGCTGTTGGTCTCCGCAAGCTTTAAGTGGATATTGTCTCGGAGTCGTATTAGACCATCACTCGGAAGGATTGACTCAAGCGCATGGATCTCTTTTTCTGTGTTTGGCAAGGAAGTGTGTCCTGGAGTAGTCGGTTGAGCAACCGCCAGCACCTTGATGTTGGCAGACTCGGATATGCGCTCGGAGAGCTCTTGAGCCCTCAGAAGAGCTGCTATAGTGGGTGTGTATGACGACACCATATAATCCAACGTGCATTCACTGTCGGATCCCTTAAAGCGCAGTCCTGCAGCATGAAGAGGGAGAAAGGCATATTCTCCCGTAGGGCACCAGTGGATTCTTGGACGCTGACGCCCTGTAGATCGCTGATAAAATGCTCAGCAAGTTTCATTGTTGTTGAAATTCTGATTCCCTACCGTGAATCCTAGATGATCGATAATGGGCTTTACGATTTGCAACCACAGGCTAGCCAGCAACCCTCTATATTCCGCCTTCCAGTGCATGAGGATCATCTTGCGTGAGTCATCAGGGTCGCCATGCGACTCATCATCATCATCTCCGAAGAAAGTTGGCTCCGACTCGCGTGCCTGACGCGCCGTATTGAAGTCTTCTAAGCTCTTCTTCAGCTTATATGTAGAGATTCTCCGCAACGCAAAATGCTCAGGGCAACTCCCTGGGGACCTAATGATAATGACATTGCAGCTATCCATCGCAACGTCGTCTCCCAGCAGGATGACAACAGGCCCATTCGTCGAAGCCGCTGAGAGTTGGTCGTACGACTTGGAAAGTAACAAACCCTCAAATCCCGGGACACTTCTGGCTTGCTGAAGCAGTGACTCGAATCTGGCCGCCGCGTTCTTTCGTTCGGTTACCTGTTTTTCTGTCAGGAAGTTATCATTGGGTGCCGCGTCAAGCTTTTGAGCAGTATCTTGTAGCTCCCTTTGTAGACCGTCTGGAAGACCGTCAAAAGGGCTTCGTAATTGCAATGCTTGCGTCCAGAACACTGCCCTTGACTGCTCTAAGAGCTCTATAGCTCGAGCTGGTCCTGACGCACGCAACGTCAAGGCTGCGACGCGCGTCGCGAAACGGTCCCCAGTTTCAGCTAGATTACCGATACGAGTTTGGGTGTTTTGATGAGAAAATGAAGCCAGTTGAGTGCGCAGTTCTATGGCAATCTCGTATCCTAGAATAGTAAGGTCTGCAAAACGAGATCCCCGACTCCGGGTTACACTTGACCACTGCATTGCCATTCTGATGCGGCTGAGGTAACTGTAGTACGGGGACCTGCATATTTGGAGTAACGCGTCTTTAGCAGCTTTCTTGTCATCTTCTTGCTTTGCGAGGAAATAACGAAATAGCAGAGCCTTCGGTCGATATCTCCAAGGCGGTGCACTTCCTGTCTTTGTGGCAAGATTATCATGTTGTATGGCCCGATCTAGGTCCGCCACATCACGCTCATCTGCCCATTCAAATCGCTCTAGAAATGCATCCGCCAGGGCATTACAGGCTTTACCATGATCAGGGTGTGTATCGGAGCATAGGCTCAAGGATTCAGCGAGTAACTCAACACGCTGGTTGAGATACTCAACCTCCCTAACCCGCTGGAAGTGGGTGTACATGACACCCGCTAAGAGAACAAGGCAGCTCCGACGGTCGGTATGGTGAAGGGGATGAAGATTCAGAGCTTCTTTGGCAGAATTAATCAAATTCTGTGAGTCGTCAATGGTACATGTGCCGACACGATGAAGCTTGCTCCAGCACAGGGAACGAAGAATTGAGGGATGGTGAATATGACCAGGTGGGCAATGAATGAGGGCATTATTGAGATGATTGAATGATTTCTGGAGGTCAGCATCGTCTCCATCACGATAAAATCGAGCCCGGTACGCGCCGGCAAGGTCGATCTGGCACTGTATGTTGAGGTTTCCCTCGCAGGCGTATTCCAAAGCCTCAATATAGGATTCTAGGGCCGTCTGAAGCTCCTCGGCTTCCCCATAATGCTGATAACGAGCAAAGACTGCATTTGCAAGTCCCATAAGGCACGAGGCACGCGCCGTTCCGCTGTTATGGACCTGTAGTGCCTTGTAGTAGAACTCGATAGCTCGTCGCAAGTCTTCCTGGGCGCCTGAACCGTAGAAATGGTACATATAGGCCTGTGCCAAATTGATTGATGCTGTGGGGTAATCTGAACTTCCAAAGAGGGGTAATTTGAACGAGCTGAGGTTGGGAATGAGGCGGGTTGCCTGGAGGTGTTCTGTGGATTGGCGAACAAGAAGACTGTTGCACAGACAAAGACCGCTGAGAATCGAAAAGCATTCCGCAGATTGAGGAGCACACTCGGCCAGCATGCTGCATAATATGTCGATGGCTCTATGCAGATCTTGATGATCACCCGATTTTTCAAAACGCATGCGGAGGATGTCAGCGAGAAGGACTGCAAGCGATACACGCTTGGGATTGATTTCCAACGCTTCTTGAACTCCCTCGACTGCTTCGTTCAGATCTGCTATATCTCCCCGGACCTCGAATAAACTCCGAAGGGCTATGCCAAGGCCTTCAAGGCAGGCTGCCCTACGTTCATCTCGTTCAAGTCGCAGCTGAACTGCTTGTTGATACGATCTGACGGCGCTGGATATAGCTGCAACATCTCCACTTCTAACATCTCTATCCAGTCGTACGGACGCTGCATCGTCCGGAGGACCTGTGGGTCGACCTGGAATAAACCAGCCTACAAGAGACAGGAGGAAAGCCATGACACCGTTTAGGTAGTAGCGTAGCATTTGAGACGTAAATCTCTCTAGACGGCTGAGGAGCAAGAACTAATGTTATATGTGATGGATCTTACCTGCAGAGCTGGTCAAACCTTCAAATTCCACAGTAGACTTCGTTGATAATAGAGACAACAATGGTACGGTGTACTCCCTCGTGTCTGTAGCCTTTGATGCAAACGTGAATATTACTAATCCGTCACTTTTCTTCTATTCGTGCCTCCATCAATTTGTTCTAATCTGCATTCCGAATGTCTGGAGGCTATGTCAGTGCCGGCTCGCTCTGCCGCTTGGCTTATGGTGGAGGGTAAAATACTGGTACATGGAACGTTTTTACGGCCACGGTCATATTCAATTCAGAAGATTGAAGTAAAGCATACATTGAATACATTTGAGGACTTTGGATTCAATTTCATGCGGTGCAATTGAATCCTACTGGGTCAAGAACGTTGCTGCGTAAGATAGTGCGGCGGCTTCCAGTCGTTCCAAGTCGTTCCGGTGTCCTCAAATCCCTCGAATTATATACCGGTACATGGAGCGGCAGCGCTACATTGCCTCTTCGCCAAGTATCCGGAAGCAAAATTCCCGACAGAAGATGCCCAAGTAACATCGGAAATTTGGAATAGTGATGTGTCGCGCTCCCCGTGGCACCCGAAAACGACGTACATTGAGTAATGTGGACTACGAATCGGTTAGACCTTGAAGTAAGAAATCCCGAAATGCTTCGCATAGCGAGTACGACCGTAGTTAACAAGAGAATAAATAAAAACACACTAATGTTTTTGGAATTTCCGAGACTGCCCCTTCCACCTATACAATATCACAAAGCATTGGATCAAGCAGGGTTGACATAGCGACGGAGCGTTTACAAACCATTGGGTGGATAGCCCTGCTGGATGCCTGTCCATGTTTTGATATATCTGGCATATCGGATACCGAGGCACGTCACTCTTTTCGCGGTAACGTTTTCTATCCGTTCGAACACATCGTGGTATTGCCCAATAGATCTACAAGGATAAGTTAGATTCGGATTTTGGTGTTACGGATGATTTTTTGGGAGTCCAGATGGGCCGTCGTGAAGATCTCGCTAAAGATCATTATCATACATGATACCAGTCTCGGAGGCAGTTTCGCAGCCGACTTTGGATCATGGGTCCTCCGCAAGGCAAGCATCGAGCTAGATAGGGCTGTTTAGCGCCCAAAAAAATAAAAGAGAGCACGAGTGAATGGCTCACGATAGCGTCGGAGACCTGATCGCAAATTTTATCTGCGCACACAGTCAATTACAAAGGCCGTCAAGAACTTTTTTTATCTAGCAACGTACCTTCACCAACAAACTCAGAGGTGAACAAAAAGTGATCAGCGGCCAACGTGGCATGAATAGCGTGTTCGTTAGCAGACATGACGAGGAATCTAAGGAAAGGGGAAGGGGAAAGGAGTCTACGCGAAGATGATGCGAAGGGGATAAGGAGAAATGGAATCTGGTTTCGTTCAAATTTTATCGGAGTCGCGAGATTACATAATACGTGTTATCACGCCCTGTCATCCCGGGCCGTGTTGCATTCGGCACCTCAAAGTTGGAAAAAATCGATTTACCCAAGAAGTAACCCTTAGTTAACCTTGAAAACCGGCGGCGAAGTTATGGCCGAAACTCAATATCTTGTCTACCACCACAATACGTGCAAACGTGCACAAATGTACAGGTAGCTTGGACTACCGCCGGGGAGCCTATGAATCATGATGAATATGCGAGGAAAGAACTTGATAGCAAGGCACTGAAAACAAAGAGACAACTACTCGACGTCTAGGCAGTAAAGATATAAAATTCAGCATATTTTATGATAGCAGATAGCAATGCAAAAATTTAAAAAGGAAAGCAAACAACAGAGCAACAATAAGATGACAGCGCAACATGGTTCGTAAGTAGGGATATAAGAGCAATTTGGGATGTTTCAAAACACTATGCAATCATCAACATATCAGTGTATATCGAATACTTCAGGGTTTGTCCGAATTTCTTGGATCCAAGTTGATGAGATCCAAATCGTCAGTGAGGGAATCGAGCTCGGAGGTGGCGGCAATGTCTTCATCCATGACAGTAGAACTAGTTGAAGTGAATGTTGCGATAGGATCGTGCGCCTCCAGAGCAGAGTTGTCGTGGAATGAGACCTCTTGGATTTCGACGGTGTACGAATCGAGGAAGGGGTCGTTCGAGAACAACAAGGACCTCGGGTACGGAGAATTATGAACTATATCCGACATGGAAGAGTCATAAAAGAAGTGAAATTCAGACGTGCGAGGGACTGCGGTTAGTGAATCCTTTTCAAGTTGTCGCATCCTTCTGATGTCAGCATACACAGTAGAATGGTCCGGATCAGTGAGGGCAAGCATCGCACGCGAATTCCAAGGTGTGCTGGGAGAAGCCTTGTCGTCGCCGGGATAAAAGACCGTTTTGTAGGTACGAGAGGTGGTGTTCCCTGGCATAAACTGGAATCGAGAATAGCCTGTGTTAACCGGGCCTGACTTTGGCTTATCCTCGCTCAGCTGGTCAACTTCCTCATCATCAGACGTTGGGGGACTGTACGACATCCCAATCACTTGCGATTGTAAAGGCGCAGAAACGGGCACAGCAGCAATCGACTGTGGCACATGGCCAGACTCTTCATGTGCACCATCGAGCTGTATTCTGCGACGAGGGCTATCACGTACTGAGGCGTCGCTGGCCGTTGACGTAGTAGAGGTACCAGACATCCGGGATCTGTTATTTCCGTGGTTTAAGTCAAAGGATGCTTCGTTCATTGGCAAGTCGTCGATGGGGCTGGGTAAACTTCTGGATGCTGCTGCACACTCCTTGTTGGTTGAGGATCCGAATACCTTATCGTTGTGGGAGCTGTTCAGCAGGGATTGATTAGAGTCCTCGTGGGCGTCACGAAGTACCCTATCACGAGTATAGCCGTCGTTGCGTTCTCGCTTGCCGTAGGTCATCCTCGACAACATGAAAAATGGGATCAAAGTCGAAATCCTGTCGTTGGGATAGCTATCGTCCAATAGCGCCTGGTCCATTGGTGAGTCATGGACGGGAGTTGGCAGACCTCCGGAAGTCGCCCTAACATCGTGATGATCCCTCTCTCGCGAAGCCTCCCGAGGCTGATAAATGAGGCTTGATCGCCAGGGTCGATGATGATCAGAAAATCCGCGGAAGTTGGGGGCAAGCGGCGACGAGCTACTTCCAGGAGGTGTCGGCAGCTGGTGTCGACTAAGTCTCGGAAGGTCTTCGTGACGCGAACGATAGCCTTCACTCTCAGGCAATGTGGCTTTATACCGATACGGTCGGCGGACAGGGGGTAAACGAAGATCTTCACGATCAAGGACTAGCGGGGGCAACTTGCGGTCACGATTAACGAAAGAATCATGAAGCCTGGCAGACCGACGCCCGCCTTCCACGTCTAGCACCGGCGGAGGAGGGTTGGAATGGCAACTATTGCGCCGGTGGATTCCGGTCATGACATTTTCCTCTGGATCATTACCCAGGAGCGTGCCAGGAGGAGATGTCGAGTCGTCTCGGAAGTTCCCTGGTAGCTGCTCATCGCTGACTTGTGTGTAGCGCAGCAGCGGCCTGGGCCGAGAGTAGGGCTGATATCTTTGCCTGTTATCAGTATCTGAGACCCGCGACAATCGGTCAGAGTGAGAATGAAGCAAGGACCTGCCAGAAATCTCAATGGGTGAAGAGCACCAGCTCGACGATGCGCCGCGCTGGTCGCTACCTGCGGGAGGTAGGTGACGCCATGGGGAGTAATCACCATCGATAGGAGGGAGTAAGATGTGATCTGAGGCTCCAGAGGAATCACTCGAGGTGGTCGGTGAGAGTCGATTTGCGGCGTGGCGTCTGCTACTGACATTCATCTCGACTTTGGCACCATTATGAGTCCTTCGCTCTAGAGATCGTGGGGGATGAGGCTCAAGGAAAGGATACCTCGTTCGACGTCCGGTGTCTGTGGAAGAAAAGTCATGCTGGTAGGGGGGAAAGCCCATTTGAGCTATGCTAGGGTGGCTGTGAGTAGTTGTCGCGAAGAAAAGAAGAGGGAATATTCACCGGGCCACGACGTGCCCCATAGGTTCCTCTGGAGGAGCCTCATATTTTCCTCCAGGACAGGTGCACCGATGCCTGCTCATCGATGCCAATTAGTGCATTGTGGCGCAGCAGCAGATGTACTCACTGGGTAGCTTGTACGTCCGCGCCGCTAGGAAGCGCATCTGCCAGTTGCTTAATGTCCCTCTTATAAGTTAACTTGACCCGGCACGCCAGACATAAATCACGTCTAGGGAGTGTCTGTGAGGGTTGAAAAAGTCAACCAAAGATGTCGTTAAGCACAGCCACTAATTAGTAGGGATCTTCGCGAAGAGAGCGCACTGACCGTCATTGGGCTTTCACAATGTTCTATGCTAGCGGGGGAGGCGACGGATATGTGTGAAACTTTCGTGGTGAGGGGGGAAGGCAGAAGTTCAAACAAGGAGCGATTATTCCGGGTTCCCAATTTGGCGACACATCGGTTGGGTTGGATTTTTGCAAATCCTGGTGTTTACCACGTGTATCGGCACGTATCACAACTCTTTCTTCCTCTTTATCAAGGGAGACCGACATCTCCCCTGGACAAGGCCCTGGAAGCTATTATTTTTGCTTCGGCGTCGACATGGTCCGTCCAACAACAACGGCATCGCCAAATCATTCAGGCTGAAGAATTCCAGAACACAAAGAGAGCGGAGTTGATATCGACGCCCCGTGAAGCAAATTCGACGAATGTGATAACAGACATGACTTAGTTCCGTGTACCGCTGGTGGTTGAACTAGGAGTCACGTACGAATTCATGAGCTACCCCTCTTGGATGCGATAACACACGATATCCAGAAGAGTCTAGTCAAACCAGTATATTATCAATGAGATAGGTGCCTGTCTGTCACGGTGACATTTCCACTAACTCACGACAGATTGGCAGGACCCAGACCCCAGAGATGCCTGTTCCAAGATATTAGCCTTAGTGAAAAGCTCGAATTGAAAATCACCTCCTTGAACATGAAATTTTGAGCCGATTTGGGACCTCGTCAACTTGCTAGGCTTCTAAATGACATAAGTTTTTCGGTCATGGAACTTCCATCAGAAATGAACCTTCCGTTTCATATGTTGTTGAATATCAAAAAGCCGACGCAAGAACGACCTACGTTGAGGCGAAAATTTGTTTCGATATGCTCGATAAACAACACCGTGTTATCATAGTTATAAAGCAACATTGAGTGAAAATTTCACGCGATGACATATTGTCAATAAGCCTAGCAGTGTTCATAGGAAGTTGGAACTAGAATTCGCGTGATAAAGGGCGTCCTTGAGGTAGGCCTGTTACTCCCACGGTATGGACAAAGCAGATGTGCAGTCATTAGTTAGGCATAAAATAGTTCAGGGCGTATCACAATGATCTCGAAAAACGTGAATAGCATGCGTTATCAGGGATGCAGCATCGTCACAGTCGGCGGAGGGGAAAAAAGGCGAATTGTTTGGGTATCAGCTTGAATAGCAAATATGATGCACTGCCACCGCCTTCGACGACCTGCTGCCCTCCTTAATATCTCCGGTTTTATGTAAGTAAGCAACACGCGATAGTCCTTGAATATAATGCTGGCTCATGTATATTTGTCTGCTATTAGGAGGCGTTACGATGCTACCTTTTTATCCAGGACTTTCGTAAACGATATGGAGATGCCATTGAGCTCGCAGGTACGAAGCAAAAACTATGACACACGTCGAGCGGTGGGCCGAGCACAGGCAGAATATCTCATCCTATCTCCAAACGTACTTCAATACCGAAATTCTAACAAACTTCCAGTGCGATACCTGAAGGAGCCTGTTCCTACAAGTATATAGTCACCAACAAGCTTGCTGCTTCGTACGGAGCTATCACATCAGTCTGCATGGGCTGTAGAAGCAAAGGCCCTGATAGAAGATGCGGAACCTCCTGCTGACTGGAGAGGCTGGACGAACTGAGGTGACAGGTCCAAGGAGAGATGGATGGAACATGGCGAGTAGGGCAAGATGAGATCGTCCGAGGAGTGGGATAGGAAGGTGTACGAGAAGGGAAAGAATTGAAATTGGATAGTGGTCCATATAGGTCGCGATATACGCGAAATGGAGGTATGTCTTCGAATGATGTATCCGGGTGCATAGGTTTGACTGGCAAGCAGGTACCCTTCATACCGAGTTGCAGCTACAGGAAACATGCGATGTAATGTGCTTCCCCCCTTGTCTTGTGCTCACCTCTAACACATCCTTCAGATATCTCCATGGTCATTCACATTTTGTCGTTGCACAGAGGATTCAAGAAGTACGTCAGTGACCGGGACGGCGTCGAGCTTCACCGTCTGAACTTTGAAGGCGCCCATCGAATCTACTTGAATGGAATTTCTTCCTTACCATTGTTTGCCGGCTACCGTACTAAGCGAGTTCCTACTTCCTTGACGCCTGCTAGCGCCTTGCAGGACAATTCTGGCTATCTGAAATACCAAGATACATCTACGGGACAGCTACTGCGAACACCGGAGGAAGCTTGGTTCCCGTACAGCCATGACACAGTATTTACACAACGCCGTCATCCATCTTCGTCGCCAGAACAGCCACCGTGGAACTCAGCTCCTTGCACATCTCGGTCCCGTGGCCAGCATGAGCATCCGAGCCAAGACGTTAAAGATCAGACGGTCAAGGTGTGGGACTGTTGGAACTGGAAGGGTGCGGTGGGAAAGCGGACTGCGAGAGGTGGGGACGCAGAAGTAGAATGGAGTACTAAGGGCGCTCTAATCTAGAGGTACCATCAACGTAAAGAAGTGGATTTTACCACTCCGCGGTGAAGATCTAAAATCTTGGCCTACAGGTATACACACAACCCATTGTATATTGTATATGAATACGCAATTGGCTCTCTACATGATCCATCTGATGCCTCGTCGACTTTTGACGTCACTTCAGTTCCGAGTTCGCGCCATTCCAGGATATTCCCATTATAAGCCACTCTACCAGCCTCTCCATTATCTTGATACTTGGATCTGGTGAAATCAGCGCCGAGGCCGACCCGTTTGAGAACAAGAAGGAGAGAGAACAAGTTGAAGACCCTTCTTGACAAAGTAAGAGCCTTCTTTTCCTATCACGCATCTTGTGTGCTCAGCGAAGTTCTCTAGATCCAACCAAGCATGATCACCCTCGGTCCAGATTACATCAGATCTCTTACGCCACCGTCGAAGCTAACGGTAGAGACGACGTTTGATGGGAAGCCTTCTGTTGAGATTCCATTTGCTCGTCTGCCTAGGCTGGAGAGGCTGAGTCTATGCGACCCTGAGCCCTTGATAGTAGATGTCTGAAACATAGCATCTGTCGGTTCGGCACTTTACCTCTGTGATATTAAATAATATTAGATCATACTAATTGTACAAAGTCATTGCAACCCATTTTATTTGATGGATAACTTAATTGATCTCGTCCTCATTGTCGTCCTCATCATTATCGTCATCTTCTTCCAACATTTCCATCAGAGCAATGTCATCGTCTTGCTTGTCGTCATCACAGTGCCACCGCTCTGCAAAGGATAGGTCACAAAGACGAAAGTTCTTCCGGCCATCAGTGTCAGTTGAGTATAGAATATTCCTCCCTGCGACATCACCATGGATCCAACCTTCGTTGTGCTATACTGGGTCATAATTATTGGCATCAATGGGAAGAAGACAACGCACAAAGGCATCCAGGACATCCTTGATGGCGATTTTCTCCTCCTCTGTCAATGTCGAGACGCCGAGCGAAGCTAGATTATTCTCGCCCGCGTTCTCTAAGACTAAGGCAGGTATCGATCGTCCACTGTACCAGTCGTAGACGTAGCCACAGCCATACAAGCGAGGAATAACAGAACCTTGGATATGGCGTAGTGCTTTGTATACCTGTAATTCATGTTCCATGTCTTCGGCCGTAAGAGCCAGTCCTTCTTCATCCCTGGTAAGACAAGGCAACTTGACGACGGCCGGGATAGTTGTTCCATCAAGTCCATGGAATGTGCCCTTACAAACAATCCCATGCAGACCGCCTGCTAAGATATTTCTCCCGCAATCAACGTATGGCAGAGGAAGACGTGTATCATTCTCCTTATCGAGAGCAACCACGCTGGATCTTGCACCTTCTGTTGCTTGGTTTACTTCATCGTTCTCCTTATCAGAAGTCCTACCAAGTGGGTAAAGCGCCATAGATACGCAGGGCTTGCGTCGGGCATGGCGTGGAGGGAGATCACGAGCCGCCAGTATTCCAATAGAAGCAAAGAGTCCATACGAGTTGAGCCCTCGGTATATCTCCGAAACATGGCACTTTCCATCTTGAAAATCGTCAACAGTAGCCTTGGCCTCCTCGTATTTTTCCTTCGCCATTTTAGCCTCGATTTCCATCTTCGCAACTGCCATCGAACTTTTCAATTGCATCTTCTTGCATTCCTCCACCTCGTTCTCTGCCGTTGAAGTAACCGCATCGCCCCGTTCCTTTGCATGGCATAGAGCCTCTTCAGCCCGTTCCATTCTCTCCTCCACCTTCTTTACCTCAGCAAGTAGCTCTTTTGTGCCGATTCTAGATTGTACAACTTCTGTTTCTCTGTTTCTTGTTGTCTTTCTGCCTGCGCCTTTGCTGTCTTTATATAATCGACCACTGACGCATGCAACTCTTCCGACGTTATCTGTTGCTGTCTGTAGGGAGTAGGCCGAGAACCAGCGGCGACGGTAGGGCTAAAATGAATGTCTAACCGTTGGCCGTTCTCGACCGCTCGTGCCATAACCATGAAATGGCCATCCCAAAAACACTGGAGGTCGCTAATTAATAAAAAGGTGTAAAGCAATGACGAAGATTCATACCCCTAGACGTGCCCCAGTAAACCAAAAGTCTGCCCTTATCTGTGCGACCAGTGCCTTGGCGTAAGAGGTCTCAGAGTGCTCTGGTGTTGAATCTTTCCCCTGTGTCTTGATCGAGGGCAAAACGTTCTCTCTCGGCCTAACCACATAAGCAGCTTGTCCAGCCAAATTCAGCTCCTCGGTACTTCGGAGCTTAATAAATGCAACGATTTCGACAGGTCTGGCAATTTCCTGGGAGATGGGGTCAATTCTAGCTAATAACACGGAGTTGCTTGAAGACCATATCGGGTGGGCATTATGCCCATCCGAATCTCTACAGGGTGACGATTAGAAGATGGAGCATGACTGACACTTGCACCTGCCTGAGGTCCCTCAAAGCCGCTAGAAGTTCGTCATCACGGTTGGAAAACCATCGAAATGGAAAGCTTGCAGCTTCATAGAGATCATTTGAAAAGGGTACCATACGTTCGGATACCTGGTTCCGAAGCTGATCTTGCGGATCTAACCAGCGCCTAATTTCGTCCAAGGGTAGTACAAGGTCGGTCATCTGAAGTGGAATCTGGATGGAAGTTAATGTGTAAGACCATATATTGAGAGCATAAAAAAATGATATTCTCACCTTGACATTAGTGAAAATCTCGTTGATATGATGTTCGAGACGTTCCGTCGGTTTAAAAGACGACGGCACTTCAACCGATCCAGGCATTGCCCTGATCATCGCCATATCAAGTTCCAGAGGATAGGTTGTGTACTTGGACGGGATCGGTGGCTCCAGCTGCGATACAATTGCAGCAAAGCTTGTTTCGTCTTTGGGCAAATCGCGGGGTTCGTTATCCGCCGCCTTACAGAAGAGCGCAGCATCCGTGATCTCCAATACCCTCTTGACCTTGTTCACATAATAAGCGCATTTCGCATCTAGATGAAGACCATAAAAATCCCTTAAGTCATTGGTCGAACGGCTGAGGGCGCCGGACCATCCGTTGCATATAAACCGCTCCCAGAACATGCGATCTAGTTTTTCAGTGCTTTTTGGAACTTCTATAGAGCCTGAGCGCAAGACATCAAGCCATTTCGACAACCTGATGAAAGTAAGTAAATAAAAATTGCCCGAGACATTTTACACACTTGCGTTGGTTGACTGCAGTTGCGGTTACGCTGTTAGGGTGTATTATTTGATGTCTTTAATAATTATTTCCTTCATCAACAACCATGGCCAGTCTGATTTAAGAAAGACTCACGGAGGTACTACTTTTTTTTATCAGAAAAAGACTGAAATTACTGAAAGGGGGTGCCAGAGGCGTACCAGGCGTAGAGTAACTTTTCGAAGACAGGATACAACGGCTCAGAGGAAAGTGAGGACGTAGATGATTCCGAGATAAGAGCACTAAACGGTCATATAATTTCATTCTTGTTCAAGGTAGGTTACAGGTCCAGGCTTGATTGAGACAGTGAAGCGGGCGGTTGTCTCTCGTTAAAACCTGTTTTTGAATTCAATGCGGTCCGAGCTTATTGATGTATTGACCAGATATACTGTGGGAAGAGAGCCGGGAGGTCTATCTGATCATGTCCGCAACGTACATGACTGAAGAGAATGATCACCGTCGAAAATACAAACGCGAATAAAACTGGTCGGTCCTAAAATGTAAGATACCATTAACAAGCTTCGAATATATTTTGAGTGCTAATATCACTGAGGATGCGATTTACAATTATCAAAAAAATGACCCCCAATTCACTATTTCTAGGTGTTTTACGACATCATTTTCAAAAATCGGTCCTCAAAAATCGACCGACCGGTCCAACTTCAACAGGAGCGTCGCACCAATATGTCGACATAATATTCCAGGGTACCGATATCCAATTTATTCCGGTCCCTGATAATTGTTGGAGTACCGACTTACGTTGTGATCATGCCCCACGGAGGCCACGGTCGTGGTCACCAATGATGCGAATCCCGGTGGGAATTTGCAGATTTCCCCTCGACAGCATGGCAGACATTCTATCACCTGAATGCACTCCACTGAAGCACAAGTATGACTCATGCTCAATGAATGGTTCGAGGATTCTGGGGCCCGCCATAGCCGCCTCCTGCAACCCAACCAGAGCGAGAAGCTTACTCGCGACAGAAAGCCGCAGAATTTAAGCTAAATGTGGAAAAATATGGACGGAATATAAAACCTGCGTTCAGGTAGGCGATTTCACATCAAAATGAGGCTAATACTAATAGGAATTGCAGAAATCGTTAAAGGAAAAAGGACTTGATCATCTTATTCAACAGGCGAGGGAAGAGAATCCGCTCAAGGAACCGCCTCCAGGGCAATCAACACCGCCTGATAGGACATAGGCAGTCCGGGATTCGCCTTTCAATTTTGTAGCCTTAGGTATGACCAACAATCTTACTGCAGCCAGCCCTGTCTAATATTTTCTGCTAATAGTACATGCATATATAGAACTGTATCCTATCATAATCACACTTAATCCTCTCACAGACTTTGCCGTATCAGATTTAGCAGCGGAGACACGGGGCATTCGTTAATGGATTTTACCTTTTGCAGATCCTGTGGTGCAAAGGAGGACTCGATCATTGTACCTTAGGCCGGTTCACGCACCATGAGGCTTTTTGTCCTCCGGATTACTGGCTTCCGGCCTTCTTCTAGGCTAAAAGGCGACACGCTCTGCGCTAGGTAATCGATTCCTCCCTTGTCAAATCTTCTCAATGTTTGATAACATTTTCGCCAGACAACTGATGCTCATCGTATCCCGTTATGACAAGGACGTCAATTTATTCGTCCTCGGAGCGGAATTAATGATGTGTATTCCCCCAGGGAACCTCCCAGAGTTTATTACATCAATGACTCTTGTTTTATCTCTTCTTTACCTTATCTGTGCACGGAAGCGAAATCTCTCTCAGCTTGCTCCGCCCTGGCTTGCCATTCATCCCAAGTCTCCAGCAACATGGACTAGTACCGTCACCGCTGAACCAACCCCTACTCCATCCTATTTCAGTAACTCCTTTTGCGCCGCGGAACTTCTGATCTGCACTACCTAACGCCTTCGTAAATCCTGCCCCATGTCTTCGTCTAAAAAACCTCTTTACATCGCCCTGAGCCGAAGGAAAACCCCGTGGGTGTACAGGCGCGAAAAAATCGGCACTTCTCAGGGCTCAGGCCCATTGGCGCCCTGACGTTACTTGGTGTGTCCTTTGGTGGATCTCATAAAGAAACCAATCGGGTTCTTTACACCTTGTTCAAATTTTCTCCCGTTGTCCCTTCCACACCACCATTGCCCGTATGTCTGGCGTCAAGCTTAAAGTCGCCGTATGGTGTGTGTGGGCTTATCCGCGATATGATCTTTAACTAAAATGTTATTCCAGCGGTGGGGGCGTAGGTGGACTAGCATTTGCCATTGCGGCGTCCAAATACTCAAACATTGCGGTTGAGGTGTATGAAGCCACTTCTGGTTTCTCATCATTTGGTGCTGGGATTGGACTTTGGCCTAGGGCATGGGATGTCTTGACTACACTAGGCCTGGGCGACCATTTGATGAAGATCGCATCATCGCCACCAACTACTGATATCAGTCAGTGGTAGCCGCCTATCAAACTGGCGGGTCACTAAAGGCTAGCCTGCTAGCTCATTCGTTTACGTTTCGAAAGAGCGACCAACCGACCGGATCTGACTTTTACAAGATGTACAGTAAAGGTGCCAGTAGCCGTGCATGGACATCCGTCTTATCTTGTTAACACCAGAACAGGGCATATCATGACGTTCCATCGAGGCCAACTTCAACAATCCTTCCTCCAATATTTACCACCCTTATGTCTAGTACATTATTCTAAGCGTCTCCAGTCGTACTCCCGGCAGCCATCTGGTGAAATACAGCTCGTGTTCCGCGATGGAGGACACGCGACCTGGTAAATGTTTGACTCTGGCTGATAACTTCGGTGCTTAATCTTGATAGTGAAGCGACGTACTAGTGGGTGCCGACGGCATACATTCAGCAGTTCGCGCGCAATTAATGCAGGACGAAGCCCAGATCGCGTTGCGCAGTGGACGACCAGATGCCGCCGAGGAGATCTTGACAGCTATTGAACCCATTTGGACAGGATCAATCGCAGTACAGGGAGCTAGCGCCGTTAGCTCGACTGCAGAAGGATACTGATACTCGGAAGCTACGGATTCCTCTTCACCCGACGCAGGTACAGGCCTTGGCTTGCTCACATGGTCGCCAGGTTACTGACGTTTCTGATTAGTATCTCGGCAGGAATATCGTGTGTAATCTACTTCTTGCCGATGCTAATCTGAGGCCTTGACAAACAGAATATTATGGTGTATCCGGTGTCGCAGGAAGATGTGGGTGAGGTGGTTAAATTTGGTGGTGTTCCATACGCGTCCAGAACTTGAAGGCACGGTGTACGAAGGGTCCGTGGACAGCGCAAGTCGATGAGGCTAGTTGGCTTGAGGAAATGTCATTCGACGAATGGGAACCAGAAGCAAAGGGTTGGTCAAAGGTAAATAGATGTTTATCTGTCTTATCAGATCCTCATCATTTACCCTCTTTCGAAGTGCGTTGAAAGACCAACGAAATGGGCTATCCATGCTGTCAAACCATTACATACCTACGTTAATGACCGTGTCGTTCTCTTGGGTGACGCTGTATGTTAACTCAAACCGTGTGGCAGCGGATGATATCTACTCCTTTTTGCAGTGTCACGCAATGGATCCACACCAAGGCGCTGGCGCCGGGTTAGCCATCGAGGTTAGGCTACTTTTCCTTCCTATGAGCTCGGTACTTATATCAACATCACATACAGGATGCATACGTGCTTGCTGAATTGCTCAGTCATCCCCGCATTACTAAATCAGCAATCCATCATGCCCTTGAAGTGTACGATAGCATGAGGCGACCGTTCGCAGAAGAGATTGCTCGTCGGTCGCTGGAAAACTCCAAATGGCTTTCCCTGCATTACGACAATTTCGACTTCAGTGGCAGCGACGATGTGGATATAGAGAGAAAGTTACGTGAAATGGGGGATAGGATCGTGGAGAAGTGGATGTGGGCTTGGTCGAGTACCGTTCATGAGTCTTTGGAGCAGGGGAAGCGCGAGCTGGATAAATTCATCGACAATATGCCAGACTGCCCGAGATATCGATGCAGGATTTAATTATTATTCGTTTTTACCTACTTGTCTACCTCTTCATTATGTATGAATTCTGTACAACGAGTCTTCTGATACACGTCTATGGCAATTTATTATTGATTCCACATCGAAGGTTGTTTATTTGCTGATGAGGAATAGATCACACCAAGGCTCTAGAATCAACTGGCTCCATCAAAGACATCTTGACTTTACCCCGCTGAGTATTCCTATCTTTTTCCACCTCAATATTCACTACAACTTTATCAAACACCGATATCGTAACGTCTCCGGAACCCTTAGTTGAAGCTGGCACGGTTATCGTATAATTATCCGGGTCGAATTGGGTGTCTCGCTTGAACATAACCAGGCCCTCAATCCCTAGCCTGTAGCACTGTTAGTATCATCGTTTCGTATAAGGAAACAACATGTCTTACTTGGACACGAAGACACCAACACCGTTCCTGAATGTCCTTATGACAAACGCTTCTTCTTTCACCTCCTGCTTCTCTCCTCTTCCTTTCAAAGCCAACCCCACGTAAAACTCCACACTAGCACGTCCCGCCATTTGCGCCATCCTATGGCGTCGATTGACAACATCGAGGACACGTTCGACGTGGTGCTTGGAATGCAACGACGCATGTAGTGGCGAATATCCGATAGCTGCGGCCAATTGCCGATGAGCTAGCACATCTAATAAAAGTTGGAAACGGTTAATCAAAAAATGGCCGAAAACCACGCACCAGCATATCTTCGGATAGGACTAGTGAAGTGAGTGTAAATTTCGCTAGCAAGGCCGTAGTGCCCGAAGGTGTCACGCCCGACACTTCCGGAACAGAAATATTCTGCAGAGAGCATACAGCGCGTCGCCATGATCCGCACCAACGTGTTGAATGCTGGCTGGCTTGCATCCTAGGGATAGGTTGGATAGACGTTCACCTAATGTATGACTGAAGATGACATACGACACACTGATCCAAGGAAGCAGCCAGCGCTCCCGAGCTTGATACATCCAAGTTCATTCCCTTGCGTTTCTTCAAGATGTCTTGCAGTTTCTCAAAGTTAGTTTTTGGAGGAGGCAAGTGCCGTCTGGGGATTAAAACTTCACTTTCAACGTCCAATTCACCGAGGAAGAAGACGCACCTTAGAACCGCAGTTGCTGGGAAACTCTCCTGAATCTTTCTTGCAACGCTGACATTAGCGAGTAACATAAACTCTTCGACAAGACTGTTAGTCTCTCGCATCTCCTTCTGCTCCACGTCAATCGGATCTGATGACTCAGAGCTGTCGAGTTGTATTTTAACTTCTGGCGAAGCGAGATTAAGAGCACCCGCTGCCATTCGCTTGGCCTTGAGTTTCAGTGCCAAGGCGTTGAGTAGACGTATGCTTGCTGTCAGAGGATCACTCAGGTTACTAGCAGTAGCAAGTCGTTACCAAGCGAAGCATTCTTTTGACGGATACAACGTACGGATCATCCTTGCGAATCTGAGCCTCTTCGTAGGTGAAGGCAGCTTTGGATGCGATAACGGATTTGGTAAACCGAACGTTAACGATGTCGGCGTCTGGTGTTAGTTCCTGATTTGTCTAGGTATCAGATTTTCTGGCGATAGTGGGCATCCGGAAGGACATACCCAGATAGCAGAAAATGCAAGTCGCTCGACGTGCGGCCGTAAAGAACATAGGTTAGTGCCAAGCAGTGCTGGTAACATGTCGATCCGCTTGTCGACTAGATAAACGGTTGTTCCTCTCGAAGCAGCTTCGTTATCCATTGGAGTATCGGGGTGGACAAAGTGCGACACATCCGCGATATCTTGGCTCATAATCAGTAGGTGAGCACCACAGGTGCAAGATGACTCACGGACACCGGCCTCGATGTTACCGTTAGGTAGCGCTCGAGCATGAAGTGCGTCATCGATATCTTGACACCCTGTATGCCAACTGATGAACTTGCAGTACATAAGAGGGATGAATTAAACGCACCAGGCGGATCTATACTGCATATTAACAGATCTCTTAAATCTTCTCTGTCTCTCCATGCCAAATTTCCATCCACCTTGGGTGGAACCACCCAACTATCGCCCTCAGGCGGTAGACAGTCCAAGATAGCCTTCCCAAATGGTCGATAGGGGACTTCAAATTCCAGTAACAAGCTCTCTTGTTCTGCCTCCTTGCTTTCTACCTTGCCCAAAGCCCGGACAAAATGACCTTCGGGGTAGCGCGAAGTGTTGTCCCATCGGTCAATGGTTACCAATATTTTCTGACCTATTAGGGTTGGAGCCTGACGCGTCCGCAGTCGGATACGAGGTAGCAAACGGGACACGGGAGTTGCAAAAACGGTTTGTAACGAAAGAGACGAAGAGTTGGATGACGTGAGAGAAGTACTGTCAATGTGACACACGTATCTGCAGCTGTCGTTAGTTGGCTCGTGGGGAGAGTTTTAGAAAGACATACGCCCGCCAGTTCCGTTTGATTACGCCCACTATCCGTCCGGTTGGTTGCTTGTTAGACGATGATGAAGTCATCGACACCACCTTAGATTCTGCATCGATGACGGCTTCCTCTTCTTCACCAGAGTCATCGGCATCGTCGTTTTTGAGCGTCGCATCTTGGTCGACTACTTCATCCGCAGGTGCCATCCACTCTTTCTCGTCAAAGACCTCTACGGCAACAACATCACCTTGAACAGCCCTGTTCATGTGCTCCCGGCCTACAAGCAAAATGGGTTTTGAGAAGGCTTGCACTGAGACACTGCCCTAGAGATCATGTCAGATTGCCGGTTTAAATATCAACAAGCATAGTACTTCAAGGTAATTGTACTGGTTGGCATTGAAATGTCCCTGGTGAAGGTCACCTGCTTTGATGCCGGCCAGTAGTGTGGATGTAGGAAGATACTGTAGAGCGAAATTAGCAATTAATGTAAACAGGGAATATAAGATAGCGAACATCAGGATATAGTGCTTGTCGCCCTGTGGCTGCCTTGGTAGGCTCAATATCGTCCGAGCCGGGTGCAGCTAACAAGTCAAGGAGCTGAGTAGCATTCGCCATGCCTTCAATGTAACGTCGAACTGATATCGATGTTATTCCCTCTGCTTCTGCTTTCTGCCGGTTAGCTGCATCTTCAGTTAAAAGAATAACTGTAGGGCCCTTCTGACGATGTATTGAGGATATATGTGTGCTGTACCAGGCTGTTGCCTTCCTGATACCTTGGACATTTAAGAAAGGGCTGTCTATTCAACGCCAGGTACTTGCTCACCTCGATCATTCCGGTCATTGGGCGTCTCTCCTTCTTCACGGATTATAGCAGTTTCCCTTCTCTGTGTTAATTCTTACCAGAACAGTAGGATAGCAAATTATGACGTACATCCTGTACTCGTTGTAAAAAACCCATATCCGCTTGCTATCCATTTTTATCAAGGCCTTCAGTCGATTATACAGAGGGAGCGATCTGTGCCGAACTTCTTCGATCACAGTTTGCAGCAGAACCATTGGCGTCGTGAACATTTCAGACTCGACAAGATCCATCTGAAAATCTGGTCATGGTTTCGAGCAACGCGCGAAATACAGGAATACAGTACCTGTGACAAGAATACGTTCGTGTCTGGAAGGATGAAATGACCACCGGTAAATAGTGTATGTTGCAAATGGCTATCTAGCGGCAACACTGTCTCCCCGGAGCATTCGGTGCATGACTGAACGCCACAGCCAACGTCGTCTCGAAGATACCGTTCCCGAAGAACTGGGAAGGATTAGGTGGGAAGCGGTATGGACGTAGGACTCGTGCATACCCTTGATTACCTTCCCTCTAGCAGTCTTTTTGAAGAATTTCCTTTGGGTGATAATAGCTTCTGCTCGCGGTCTCTTTCTGATGGTTATATCGACCATATTGATCTTGGTCGTCCGGCGTTCCGAATTTCGATCGTCAGTGCAAGTTTTCTGGCGTAAAAAATGGGTTCAGCAGCTAATTCCACCTCGGAACGCCTGATTCCGTCTTGCAGTACGAAGAGAAGGAGGATGGTCGTGGTAGGGGGACAGAGAATTTCCGTGGGAGAATACTACCCTCTTTGGCGGTGACGTCGCTGAATCGGGCTACGGCCCTACGGGCCGTACTTGCCCCCTGATTGTAAACAAAAAAAATCAATTTGCAGTGTAATATTTAAGCTGTCCACTGCTAGGTATCTTCGTTTTTCGTCTTTCCATAACACTTCGAACTGCTGATGTATACGTTACCTTCCTTGTTTATCTGAACTTGTTTCGCGATAAGCATCGAATATCGAAGGCTTGGATCCTCGCCGAAGGAAGTTCAAGAGATACTTATTCTTGCTTGTCTTCGTTGCAACCTGTTCTGGTCTTTCCACGGATGGTCACACCCGTAGCTTCGACTAATTGAATTTGACCGCCGCGAACCTGGACAAAAAGGTCGGAAGCAATCCATTGTCTTTGCCCGTGTAAACTTTAATGAGGAGTGCCACTCTGACCACGACAAAGACAAGAGGTACTCTCGTGCATTCATAAAAGGCACATGCAAGACGAGAATTCCTGTGTTTCCACCCTTCCCTACGACTTCCAATCATGCCTCTGTCTCTCCAGCTCTCTAGGCACTCGTCTCAGGCTACAGAAGTGATTCACGATGACGTCTCTGACGCCGGCACCGAAGTCCCTCAAGTCTATGCTGTGGCAAGCTACCTTAAGAAAGCGCGCCTACCAGGGTTCTATCGTCATGTGAGGTTCCCAGTGGAGCAGCTCAGACGCGTTGCGGTTTGGCCGAAGATGCCTACACTCGTGAGGCCTTTGGGAACGCGTCCTTTGAAAACGGTGTACGCTGTGGATGCTGCTATCATTGCCCAAGGGGCTGCCAACTGTAGACCCGCTTTTTTTTTTCATCTTTTGATAGTACTGACTTGACTTCCCTCCAGACATCAGCGACATGCCTTTCCTCAACATCGTCAACGAAGAGGGTGTTCCTCAGGAGACTTCTTCAAAAATCAAGCTTTCCAATGGGCTTATCGTGCAGTACGACCACGGTGACCTTGATTTTCTTCGCAATATCAACTCGGAGGACGACATGGATCGGCTATTGATGGACTATGTCCTTGCAACCACCTCAGAGGTTGTCCGTCTCTTCAGTCACCTCCCGCCCATGTGTCCTCAGGCAGAGAGTCTTAAGTTCCAGAACATCTCTGTTAGGCACACCGCGCATCATTGCAAGTGGGATATATACAGTATGGTGTGCACTTTTCATTCCTGCCCCCCAGTGAGTTGAGTTACTAATCAGGACTTGCGACAGAACGATCAATTTTTCATTATCTTCATCCCGCCTTGGTTCATGGGAAAAGAGGACCTTGAGACACTCGCTCGTCGCGGCAAGGTGCGGTGTCTTTGTCTCCGCCGCCAATGTACGACTGATGTACCCAAACAGGTGGCAGGTGGTGCCCTCGACGCGTTGGACCCTCGCGCACAGCTACTAGACACGATCAGCGACAAGCTATGGGCCGTGGTACGCACCTTCCTTCAGTAGACTGTGACGACGCTGATCTCTACCTAGATATGTGACGTCTGTGTTGGACATGGCACAGAATTCGTTGTGACCAATTACCTGTATTGGAGCTTCGGCCGATTCAATGCTGAAAGTCAGTCTTTCGATTTGTACATCGCTCCAAAACAGGTTCTAACTCAGTATTGTTCCCAACAGACTATTCAGAGACCATGCTTTCACTGCCGATACAGGCTGAGTTGGATCCGTTGGATGGGACTGTTATGGGAGAACGTCTCGTGAACCCTTCGGTAATTGAAACCCTGGTCTATTGGATCCAGGTGGCAAGGGGTGCTGCTATTATGGTCGGATAAAACGCTTCGCCATTGATCGTGTGCAAGGAAGAGGAAACATGTAATTTATGCTCTAATTACTGATATGAATATGATCTCTATGCCAATACATCACTGTCGAAGGGTGTTTCCGGATGCCCTGACATACTTGCCTAGTATCAACCTTTTCCTCCTCCCGGCCGGATCAGTTTCCCCCTCAACGTCGGTTTCCACATAAGTAGCGAGCCTTTTGCACTGGTCATGAAAACTTACCCTACCAGTCTGTTGCCCTTTTTTAATTTACCACGGCATCACTTCTGAGTATGGAACTTTCTAGAGACTGATCATCGGCAGGCGAAACAGCAGAGTCCTTCGGTGCGTCTTTGATCGTTTTCAACGATCAATTTGTGTTCTGAAGATGATCCCGCAACACTTAGGCTGGGGTAGAACTTACCTCTAGCATCATAACATATAAAATGTTCCCTGCACATGCGCGTTAATATAAAGCGGTTCGTGATACCATGTGCCTCGCGCTCTTCCGCACTCATTTGTGCAGCAGTCAGCGGTCCAGGGCAATCTGCGTTTAAATGCTAGGCTAACATTACTATCAATTCTTGTGGAGAACCTCCTATCGCTGATTTTGGCCTCTCTCAGGTGCGTACTCATTTCGTATCACGAAGAACAGGATGAAGAGATTCCTCGCAAACTCAGACGAAGTGTTCTCCCTATGAATCTGGCTCCAATATTAAGGACTTCAACTGGCTTGCACAGATCCCAATTGATAAGTGTACCGCCAATGGCACCGTTCATAGCCACAGAGTGTCGGAACAGGTAATATCCGATAATTTAGGCTCAGAAAGACCAGACTGTGTATCGACACGACGACCACTCGCCTTCATATACGATCTGGTCATCGGATTAGTATTTTTGTGCCTTGACATTATGGTGAATGCTCACTGAAAACCATCACTACAAGGATGTTTGGTACAGAGTCGACGTAGTCTGGAAGTGTTCTGGAAGAAGGCAGGACTCGATGAATTTTCACATCGTTGACATCAGGTTCTATCTCATCATTCTCATCATGGGCATCAACATGGAAGTGGTAAAATTTTTGGGAAGATGGTCCTCCGAAGCATTCAAAAAATCTTGGAGGAATGTTGAACAGCTTGGAATGTCTCCCACATCTAGGTCATAGTACGAACGAGGAAGGGACTCGGAACGGACAAAGTCCTATATATATAGGCTCCAGTTTGGCGGAAGATGAATCATTTCAACCACCCGTTATTTTATACGGTTTTTGACGACGCGCCTCAGCTTATACCCCTTCGGATGGGTTAGTGCTTTATATGAATATCTCTGCGAGCGTCGAGAATGACCTTTTACACAGGAAACTACCGGCTCATCATCTTACGTGCCATCGATGCATACTTCGCCAGCGGGCGCCAGTCCAGATCCAGCTTCCTGCTAGGATTCCGAATCAAGTAACTGGTCAGATGGGGGCATCAGTTAGCGCAGGACCACTTTAACTTGAACAAAATCGACGCACGGGGTAAGTCGAGGTTCCTGAGCGGGAAGATCCCAACCTCGAGAACGATAGAATGGATGATAAGGCAAGGGGTGGCTCGGTCGTTGATATGGGATGTCAATTCGCAGGCTGATATGAACGTGAGCTATCGAGTAAATGAATATCATTGAGTGAGAATACATACAAACGTTCCTCCTTGATCACCATCCGCTCCATTTCAGACTCGTGACATTCCAGGGGCTTTAGAGACAAAAAATGACGAATCAGAAATGGCCGATTCTCGTCTTTGATTTTCTGCAATAACTCCAAGCAGGCGGGGATGAGGACCCGTCCATCACCTGCCGGATTCTTAACAGATGTTATTCCTTTGTCGGAAAGCGTGTACATGGTGAGATAAGATTGAAAGGACGCCAAAGACGCTTCAAATTTCTGATGAATGAAGGGGAGGGGAGGGTCATGCTTTGTGTCGACAATGGCGTCGTAAAATGCTGGGAGTGTAGGGAAGCGAATGGAACTAGAATCTTCGGATGGTGGAGACGGGTTCATACAGGAGCGAGAAGGATCTTGGACATCAAAATGAAATACGGAGGCAGCGTGTACGAAGATGCGCACAGGTTTGTTCTGCAAGTACCATGATGAGATATACTGGAAGGAAAAAGTACCGTGGGACTTACAGTTTCATGGGCCAAGGCTGGGTCGTCATGTTGTAAGAAGATTGTAGATGTGTTCAAATCGAAGGCGTGGGGGCGATCCTTATTGAACCTAGAGAAATCCTTCCACCGTTCATCGTTGTCCGTGCTTCTGATAGAGTAAGGAAGGTCAGAGCATATAACCTGAGCTGCAACTTTCACATAATTGTCGGGCACCAACAGCTGTTGATCAAAAAGCACTGTGGGCACGCGATGAATGATAGAGAGCGCGTCTTCTGCCCAAACGACGCAGGGTATGCCAGCCTTCAAGAGGGATCGAGGTGGGCCTAGCCTGGCATACTGCTCATCAGGACCACTGGGGCTTCTGTCGTAGAAGTGAACCCCCATGAGGGAAGTGTTCGAAAAACACGCAGAGACCCCTGATCTACCGGGCCGATATCCGCTCGGCATGGGCATTCTGTGTTAAAGATCTCGACCCGGGCATGCCCATGCCGAGCGGATATCGGCCCGGTAGAACGGTTCAAAGTTGATGAACTCTCCGTTGCGGTCTCTCACTGGCGAGTATGTTCGGATCATCCCAGTTCTCTCTCAACATTGCAGAATGGCCCACCCGTATCGGGTAAGTACGGCAGCAAGCTGTCCCTAGCAGCGCACAGGGCACCGCCTGCCAGTGACCGTTATCAAATGATATTTTGGGACCTTTCAGACAACAGCTCATCTGATACAGTCACGGTCATGCGTATCATCGAGCGAAATACTAAAAGTCTGTTTACAAATGAGTGAATGAGAAAAAATAAACGAAAAATAAACACAGGACATGCAAACACGTGTGACGTCATGATCTGCATACTGATTTTCAAGGGCGCCGACATTTCTAAAGGGTAAACACCAGTCAAAGTCAAACTGCATGATGGTATTGTTCCAAGTCGGTAATGAGGAGTTGGGGAGTTGGGGAGTTGGGGAGTTAAACGGCTAGACAATGTATTTTTCCCAGTCACCAGGCACGAGCTGGAACTTAAACGCACGATGCATACACTAAAGCCCAGATTGCATGACCTAGAAGTTTGGGACCTTATCCCACATCAAAAAAAAACACCATGTGCAAGGTATACATGTAATTGATAAAGATAATAATAGACCGGTGGGATTATACGATACAAAACGAAGGATAGTGGCTGATAGTGGTCGGAACAAAGCAGAAGCCTAACGATGGATGATATACATGAAGCACGATGACTGATGATTGTCCTGAAGCAAGAACCGGATCTATAATGCACGACGTCACACCGAATACGAGGAAAAAGGAGAATCAAAAAGTCCTACTGGTGAAAAATAAATTTCTAGTCTTCGAAATCCCACGAACAGAACACTCACCTCGGACACGAGGGCGGCGTCGCTATGCCGGAGACCCCAAAATCGCCTGGCCCGTCCCATTGATCCACTCATTCTCCACAATTTTCTGACTTATCCCATCATTGCGCAAATGGCCTGTCACCGGATATATCACGAACAGTCCGAGGATACCAAGCAGAATCGCGACCAACGCAACCATATTCACTAACCCTCTCCACGACAATCTATGCTCACTACTCCGGGCATCGAGTTCCGCGTCTTCCTTGTCAAATCCACCCTCGTCCTCGCTGGGGTCAAACGCGTATGGCACCAAACCATGCTCACTCAGCATGGACGGGTATTTGGAATCCGAAGAGATAGACATCATTGAATCACGGGAGGACTCCGATGACATGAGATGTCGAAGGGAGGGAGGGGGCTCTAGTTTGTGAGATTCGTCACCAGGCACGGGTATGTGATATAGAATCATCGACCCCCGGGAATTGCGAGAGGTAGATAGGACCCTAGACTCCTCTGAGGGTACCCGGCCGAGTAGTTGCGTTGTTGACGCGGCGGTGCGAATGTAACGAGGTCCTAGAAGCGGTGAAGGTGTCGACGATCTTGATGAAGGAGAGGGCGACGTTGCAAAAGATGGATTTAGCGGTGATGAAGGAAAAGCTTTCAGTGGTGATGTTAGCCTAGGGTATCCTTGTGCTGGATCAGACGGAACATCTGACTCTGAGACTGTCATCGAGCGTCTAAGTGGACTGAGGGGGGTATTGGGTTTCAGCGGCGAAGAGGGGTGCGTGTTCGTCACTGAGGAGCGCGTTCTAGAAGGTATGTCTGATTCCCAGGGCGTTTCTTGCTCAGATATCGACGAAGGTCGCAAAGGGACTAGTGGAGACGCGGGTCCATACGGTGCTGTAGTGAAAGACGCGGCGCGAGTAGCCGACTCCGCCTCCCAGGAAACCCTCGACCCAATATCCTGGTCGTCGTTCGACCAGGAGCTGTAGGAGGAAGGCGCCGCTGATACCATGGGAGCAAACGGGAAAAGAAAGTTCACAGCCGCATCACGATGCTTGTTTATATCCACCACTTAACCATGCTGCAAAAAGCGCCTGTGACCAGTCTCACCTGTCACGAAACACACATAATTGAATGCCTTCGCATTTGGCTTGGCACGGGCTATTTACGCCATCTTCAGAATCCAGGGTCGTCTGGTTCTGGAATTCATTCTGGTGAGAAGTATTGCCGGCCTCTATAATTATCATCGATTAGTCGATAGCATAAGCGTGGAAAAAGAGGAAGGAAACTCAACTTGATACCGTACAGCGGTAGTGGACGGCTTTTGGTAAGCATCTGTTGTTGGTATGCGAGAAAGGACATTGCGGGTGACACGATGTTTGGGCCCCTCAAGGAGGCCCCTAGCCGAAAGCTTAAAGCAAGCCGGAACCGCCAAGATCTTTGTCGCAGTACGCCGTAAATATCGCAAGCGCAAAACAGAACAGTCATTCAGGCAGATAGATGCAACTTACTAAGGGATAGAACCTAACAGCAGCGGAATAGCAACATTTCAACATTCATTGCGGTCCGCAATGCAAATTTTGACCTGACCTGACTTGCTTTGATGGCTTCCGAAGAACGAACGACAGACGGAGCTAGAGGCGCTATTTCCCTGACAGCACTCACAAGCGGTCATTGAATTTATCATTCACTACGATACAAACTCACCGTGTACTCCAACAGACCCGTAAACATGCTGAGGTTCGGAGCCTTTTGCCAGACGGAAGCGTCGCGCAGAAGAATACCTCTACCCCTCCTTCTCTCTAATGCCATCCACACTTCCGGAGCTCGATAAATCTCCGAGTCCACATCAACGTCTTCCCCTGGATAGATTCGCCCTAGTCTCGGTGGCGCAACATTATACAAAACTTCCACTACCATCGGGTACCTTTCCTCAGGCTCAGTCAAGTGTTGTTCTTCTAGTTCGGCGCGCGTTCCTTCTGTCTCCACGAGGAAAGTGGAGAAATCCAGACTAACCATCGACTCGGCGAAATCATGCTCCAAAGTATTTATTTTCACGGGTCTTCCAGCTATAGCAACGGACATATCAGCATATCACCGACATCGACGGGAACAACAACTACCTTTTCTGTCTGACATGAGGTGCTTGCATGTCAACTGGTGTCCCGTCCAATCGTCTCTCTGGCAGTCTCGTGAACAGTAATGTACGACAAGGCATCCTGAGCAGCGCTTGACATCTCGAGGACGAATATACGGATTTATCCACTGTCACTTTATCTCAGATTTGTAAACATTATTAAAGCAGGAGCTGTACTTGCGGATTACCACACACCTCCCGTTGCGTGAAAAAATAGCTCGGGATTTGGGTATATCTTTGCATAGCCGTATCGTCCAATAACCTCCAAGAGTTCCATAGTAACGGTGCCGTTGATTCTACTAGTGGCCCAAGATCATGCTTCTTGATATATCGACAAGATTTGACCACCAAGCGAGATATTGTTGGATATATGCTATATCGTGTGATCATCTCGAGAAGACAACAACAGATACCCTGCAAGTCAGATTGAAAAGGATTCGATCGCCGTTTGAAGAACAAGGCGTTTTTGAAGAGAGACGGTAGAAAGCGACCTCGAAGAGCTTCGATGATACAAGGATGACCGTATTTGATGAACCAGCTTCCCAATATTCGAGCGCATCGAAGATACACAAACTCGACCATGTTTTCCTGAGTGTATCTGTCCCACTTTACGTCGTCGATGTTGACGAGATCATAGGAGAGTTTGGAAGATGTTAAGTGTACCATGACAGAAGCAATGAGAGATGGAAGACGACAGGTGATGAAGGAAGAAAGTAAGTCATGAAATTCCATTGCATAAGCCACGAATGCAAGAGGGCCGTCAAGAAGACGCATATTGACTGTATTGCACTGAATGATATTGAAGATGTGTGTGCAACAGATTGTCGCCGCGTCGGGTGTATCCTTCATTATTCCGTTGACTTGATCAATAACTTCCACGAAGCCGTCCATAGTCGAGAAGTTGATTGAGTCGAATAAAATCAACGAGAAAGCCGTATCTCGAAGTGCGGCAGATGAGCCGCCATGGCGCAGTGCATGGAACCAAAGCTGGACGAGAGTAGAGAGAAACCCAGGCGCTTTCAGGGCCTCGAACTCACGAGGACATCCTTGGATCTCAAATGCGAGAAGTCTAAGAAACTCTGCCACAACCTCGAGCGTCCAACGCTGGAATTCGGTACCTTCCACGGAGAGAGGTTCCTTCGCGATGATTTCTTCCACTAAGAACGACGACCACTTCCATGCCACAGACCAATGTTCCATCACGCGCTCTTTGAGCATGCCATGGTGTTTCGAAGGCTTCCCCTTGCCGCAACCATAACCATTCTGCTTTGACTCCCACTGAAGGGCAGTACGCAGACCATCGATACAATCCACCATGACGCGAGCTGTCGCAGTAGGGGTCTCCAGCGACGAACGAAGATCATGGAGCATTTTCTTGGTGCGAAGGTGATGAGATACAAGTGAAAGCATCCTAGGACACGCAGAGAGATCCTTGCGGACAGTTGACACAGCGCGTGTAAGGCCAGAGGCAGAATTCATCGTTGCCTAAGAGACCTTTAAGAAATGAAACGAAAGGTAAAAAAAGGCGTACAGAATCCGCAGTCATAAAGAGAGTTGTACTTTATTCAGAGAGAAGAAAGTCGTGGTTAGCCAAGTAAAGATGCAGAGCTGAGATGAATGGCAGAGGGAAAACAAGACCAGAAGGAATGCCAGAAGCTCGAACTCGTAGCAGAGGAAGCCGAAAAAGTTGTTCAGTCTACCTGAAATCTGAGCTGTTAGAAAGAGTTAGCTGCAGCGTCAGGCAAGGTGCTACCCAAACAAAGAAGGGAGTAGGTGGAAGAAAGAAAGGAAAAGGAAGCGACAGAGGTGTGCCATCGCATTATTTGGCATCCTTCATTGAGCCAAACAACTGAAACGTCCCTGTCAGCTGCTATCTACCGAACCTTCAAGGCTCAAGCCGTCAGGGAACGGTGAGTAGTAAAGGAGATGAACCGTGCTCTGAAGTTGTTTGTGAAGCAATAATTTTGTAGCTACGTGATTGTGTCTCAATAAAACTAAGTGCTGAAATACTCATGACCGAACCTGAGGGCTGAACCGTCCCTGACTCGGATATTCTATTCTTCCTGCCTACAAGTTCTTGTGCTACGGGGCAATGTTCTCCTTGAATCTTGCCAGAGGCGGATCATTGCATGAGGATATCCTACTATTCCGCGATAGAAGCACTCATGTCAAAAATAATGCCAACTCACTAACGAGTAACAGTCTTTTTCCCATCTTCTAAATTACACTGTTGCATGAACCGTGTTGTACAAAGAGATCGGAACTATATAGCTACATGATGATTTTGTACGTATATTGAATCGATTTGCGATGTTCATATATGATGATATATTATGAGTAAGGGGAGTTTCCGCAGCACGGCTGAGCCAGACCGTTCGTAAAACCAGTGTACTGGTGTATTTGGAAGTAGCGACATGAAAAGAAATTTGGGAATTGCAAGTCTTGACTATCACGCGTCAGGATCTATCTGTTGCAGCCAAGAAATTGTCGTCATCAGCTGAGTTTAATGAAACCCTTACTCCAAAGTCTCACCAGATACTGAATGTGGTGCAGATGCACTCAGATCCAAGGCCCTCACAAGACGGAAGCGCGGCATAGAAGAACACCTCGTTCAGATGACCCCTTCTCTTTTCTAATATGGCCATTACTTCTGGGATTCGACCAATTCTAGTACGAGCCTCTTCACCGGGGTAAACTCTCCCTAGTTTGGGAGGTACGAAGTTGTACGAGACCTCTATCACCATCGGGTACTTCTTGTAAGGCTCCGTTGTCGCCCGTTTTTCTTCTAGTCTTTGACGAATGTCCTTTGTCTCCGCAATAAAACGAGGTCAAGTCCAGGTCAACCATCCATTCAGCGAAATCTCGTTCTAAGGTGTTCACCCGCATGGGCTTCCCGGCTATGTCGGACGAATACGATTCAGTTTGACTGCTAGAGTTAGAAATGTCGATAAAATACCTTTTCTTGCCGAAATGAGGCTCTTACACTTTTGTCGGTGGCTTTTCCAATCACTCTTCTGGCACTCCCGAGAACAGTAGTGAACGGAAAGACAGCCCGCACAGCGTTTGGCATCGATAGGAAGGATATACGGACTACAGAACTACTACTAGTTAAACGCACAATGATCGCAGAAGGTGACAGTGCATACTTACCTGTGAATTATTGCAAATTTTTCGCGGAAGGGCAGAATAGCCGAGCTTGTTGACATGCCTCTGCATCGCTGTATCACATAGATTATTCCAGGACGACCACATCCCAGGGGCTGTTGATTTAAACAAGGCTTTAAGACTATGCGCTTCGAGATGCTTGTTAGATTTGATCACTAAACGCATTACTTTCGGGTAGATGCTAAATGTTGCAATCCTCCGAAAAAGTTCGGAGCATATGGCCTCAAAATTATCCAGGGAAGGACGCGATCGAGGCTTAAAAAACAATGCGACTTTGAAGCAGGTCGGGAGGAGGCGACCTTGGAGTGTCTGAATGACGCAGGGAAGGCCGTGCGTCCTGATGCAAATTTCCAAGAGCTCAATGCATAGAAGGAAAGAAGATTCGGCCATGTTGCCTTGAATGTGCTTGTCCAGGTTCTTATCATCAATATTCCCGAGTTCATAAGTAAGCTTGGAAGATGCGAGGCGAGCCATGAGAGTAGTAACGAGGGTCGGACCATGACAGGCAATAAAAGGATGAAGAATACAATCGGAGTTGAAATCCAAAGCATAGGCCATTAAAGTAAGTGGTCCATTGAGGAGACACATATTAATGGTGTTGACCTCGATCGTCCGTGATATGTGCGCGCTGAATAGGGCAGCAGCATCCTGTATATCCTGGAGTACAAGACCGACTTCTTTGATAGCGACTCTGAAGTTATCCATATTGTCGAGGTCAATCGCGTTGAACACAATCAGCGAATGCGATATTCCTCTGAGTGCTGCAGGAGAACCTCCATGGCGCAACATATGGAACCAGAGACGGACAAGTGTAGAGAAGAATCCAGGCATCCTCAGTACCTCCACTTCGTGAAGGGTCCCTTGACTCTCAAAGGCAGCAAGCCGATGGAGATCGGCGACGAATTCGGCGACGCTGTACTGGAATTCGATGCCTTCCGCCGAAAGAGGCTCCTTCGAGATAACCTCATCCGACATAAACGACGGCCATTCCCATGCCACAATCCATTGCTGCATGACACGCTCGGTGAGGTCCTTATGTCCCCGATTTGCCCAATGTAGTGCAATGCGTAGGCCGTCCAGACATATGACCATAAGTTGGGCAGTCACAGATGGTGTCCCAGTAGATATAAAAAGCTCGCGAGGTACTTTCTTTGCGCGAAGATGACGATGTACAGCAGAGAGCATCCTTGGACACGCTTTGACATCTTCGCGTGCAGCCAACACGAGGCTTTCGAGACTCGTCAGCGAGTTCCTAACAATTTCATGCATAACTTCAAAATCAATCACAAAAGCAAGGCGTACCCAATCATTGAAAGAATTTATGTCGTAGTAGTGACTTGCCACTTTGGCGAGTGGCAACCGGAAATAGCTAGTGGTACGGAAGCAAGAGGACCCTGACCCTGACTTTGTCATCCCTACAGCTCTTATCATTCGTCATGGAAATGAAAACAAATTCATACCGAGATCAGAAAAGGAATGTACAACGCAGCTTCATCTGGAAAATGCACCTTCGATATATAGCCCTATGTAGACCTTGTAGGGCATATAGTCTGAGAGCTAAGTCCGCAATACTGAGTGCTATGTAATACACTGACCGCTACCATAGTTATCTATAGCGCTATAGTGCTATGCATGCTATGGCCGGAGACCCCTTTTGCGGCGGTCCATTCATCCGTCCATTCCTTCCGCTAAGCAATCAGGTACCGGCATCTGACTCAAAATGGAACACTGACAAGGATCCAGAATACTAATAGAAAGGTTGGCATGGGCCGCATGGCATCATATTAACTTCAAGTATGTGTATAGTACTAGTGTAGTAACAGTGTAAACGAATATCTGAATACCGAGGTCAGTAAATTTATGCAATAGCAGGCTGCACCTTGAATAACAGTCCGTATAATCCGCTGCAAAGTAGATATCAGCGGTACTGTAAGGACCATCACGTTCGAAGTTCGAACGGCACATCAGATAGTACTAATAGATTTACTATAAATCCCACCGCTGTGAAAATTAGGACAACAACGGTGAAGGGAGATGTAGAGTCCTCAAGTAGGATGGGATAAGGACCAGCATGGACTTTTGGGAAGGATCGCATTGGGACGCGACAGCGCACCTTATAAGGCGTGTCTTCAAGGGCTTGACAAATTAATGCGCCGGACGGATCACAGGGGCTGCGCTATGGTGCTACGCCGCTATATCAGTATGTAGGACGACCGAACTATATATCACACTGTAACTAGCTACGTCTTATGGACTGTTATGTATCTTAATGAATTCTATATTGCGAGGGGGGGTCTACAGCAAGAAAAAACATTTTCCAGATGTTGATACGTGATTCTAAGCCTGTCTATGTCACCACTCCCTTTCACTACCCTGGAAGACTTTCTCAAATCATTACGCATTATGCCGAAGCTACTAGTCCTCCAACGTTCCACCCTTCTTCTCATTCGCAACGACACTCTCAGTACTAGGCTGGGTTGACTCGCTCGGAATGGGTGGTCCCGTATAATAGAAGCGTCCATCTAAACAGAGATGATAAGCTGTTACCCTGACCCGGAGAACAAACCTACTGATCATATACCAGACGGCGCTGATAGTCGCAAATCCTACAAACACAACGGAGGCATAATCTAGAATACCATTAGTTAAGTCTTAACCTGAACGAAACGACACTCATACTCATGGATACTCTCGTCACAGGTACCACCGCCGGCATCGAGAACAGCACCATCTCGAACATGGTCCAGAGCACCGCGATACTATTGATGGCCCATCCCCACCTACCCAACGAGTACGGAGAATCTTTGACGTTATCACGACCGTTGACAAGGGATATGAGGACTGGCATCGAGTAGCTCGCCTGTAGACACATCACCGCCACTCCTACGAATGCATTGAAAGCCGCGCTGGAGCCGAGATAAATCAGTCCTAACAGCAACTGGACAACAGTAACAAGGAGGAATGCATTGACAGGGCCGTGTTTTTCTGACGAAACACGAGCAAAGAACGCGTGCAGGGGTATTGCCTTATCTCTTGCAAATGCCCATGTTGCCCGAGAAGCGGCGGATGAAATCGACACGGCGCAAAACATGGCGATCCCGAAAACTAGCTTGGGTGAGCACAGAACAAGCCTGGGCGAGATAAGCGCGTACTGATGAACCACTACGTCGGGCGCGATAGATAAGCAATCAAACATAGACCATGTGCATGCTCTTACCATTCCGAATCCGCCACCCTTTGAGCCCATTATGAGCGTGAACATGACACCGATAGGCTGGCCACTGGCGACTGCATATTTGTTCGGTCAAGCCGAGGAAATGGACGGAAAAAGCCACACCTGACAGCAATGTAGTAATGTCGGGGAGTGTGAATAGAATGGGCAACAAGAAGAAAACGCCTTGCAAGAAACCAAGTGGAATGGACCAGACCATAGCTCTTGGCAGGTCAACTGTTGGATTATGAAGCTCTTCGGCCATACTAGCAACTGAAATCTGACTTGAGTTTTGATAAAACCCTATGCTTCAAGACTCACTCATGCCAATCGCGGCGTACGTATATGCTTTGGGGTAATGTCAGTTAATGCGAATGGATTGGCTGTTCATACTGACCGGGCTACAAACGACAATTAGACGCAAAAGATGGCACAAAATTCAACTCACAGGCAATAGACCGATGAAAAATGACCATCCAGGCGTCCAACCAGATGCGGATGGATCGAAATGTCCCAGAGCAAAAGCAGCTGAATGGCGGCCTGCTGCTGCCTTCGCCGAGAGGCACACGAGCATGACTTGAAAGGCATTAATATTCGGTAAAGGACCACACGAGTTCCCTCGTACCAAGAACGCCGAGAATTGTCCAACATGCGCACACGATCTATAGACAACTCGTCAACGACTTTACCACTCGCGAACGCAACGACAACATACGTCGATATAATGAAGAATATCGTTCAAGAAAATCCCGAGGGCTGTACAAATGAGTGTTACACCCAAAAATATGAGATCTGACACAGGTCAGGTTAGGTCATCGGAAAGGAAATAAATTAGGCTTGCATGTATGCCACGTCTCGGCAACCCAGTCTGGATGGAAAATACCCGCCCCTGCGACTATGATCTGTGCAGTACCCTACAGCGCCGTTAGTCAAATAAGCTTATTGAATTGCAGGGAGCTCCGCCTTACGAAAGTGACCGACAGGCAGATTGTCCACACGCCCACCATCGTCAGCCACCCATTTATCCACGACAACGGCACCCGACTCCTGGGTGACGCGAGGCGGAAACACCAATAGTATGCTCCACCAGAAGTTGGATACTTGGCGCTAATTTCGGCCATTGATAACGCGAGTGTGAAGATGAAGGCCGAGACGAATACCCATCTTCGGTAGCATGAAAAAATATTTTCGTTTAAAATTGCGAAATTCTCACCCCCAGATCAGAACTGCGGGTCCACCTCCAATAAGTCCAGTAGCGAATGGAGCAGAAAGGCCGTAAGCTGACGATGTATTTTTGTTTATCTCGCAGTAAAAAAATTGTTCGATGCACTTACGAACTGCCATAATGGCTGCGGCAGAGTCGGGTCATGTCTAGGAGCGCACTAGTCGAAGGACAAGACACACCTAGCGTCACTGCATCGACTATCAATAACTAAACATCAAGAAGAAAGGAAGGAACGCACTGAACAAGATATGAAATAGCCCGCGCCTCTATCCACTTGAATCAGCGAGATCGTTGCATCACAAACAGGACGAATCAGATACCCGTGTCATCTCCTGCTGGTACCCTAGCTTGTGCAGGTCAGCAACAGCAGTGGCATCAACATCGTTCGCCATGGCAGTCAGAATGAAAAGCAAGCTGTCTTACACCTGAGGTTTATATGGACCGGAAGAACAATACTTATCATGACGAGATAAGCAGCTGGAACGTAAAGCTCAATTGGGGACGAAGATTCGGGGTCATTAAGAAGCGAGCTTAAGCTCGCCGCGGAGTACGTGTGGACGGCTTTCTAATTCCGATTGTCGGTAGAAATAACGATAAGGCATGAATCGCTGCACCGACATATGCACAGTATCAGTCTATATCTATCAAATAAAAGAGATATCAGAACGAATGGTCTCGAATCCAAAAGATGGCCCGCACCATCGGAGTTCAACTTACCAGGGTTCTATCACAATATATGGATTCTTAATTTATTCATTGTCCTGATCACCTGCAGCTGTTGTAGTTAACTCACGGAAGATGCAAGACGTCAAAGACCCGGCGCCAAGACTCCACTCCAATCATCCGCAAAAAAGACTCTTTGACGTCCGAGAAGTGCTTGAAACCGTTGATCGCGGCGATTGAATATCGAACGTCGAAATGATGCTGATGAAAAGGGAGCGTGTTGGTCCTGAGTGCACTATTAAGAAGTAACTACACAAGTCCGTATGAGGTCCGTGCATAAACAGAAAGATGCCGATATATAAAGAGCGCGACTGGAACGAAAGAGTGGCCACAGTACCCTCAGGGTACGAAATGCAATGGACTTGCGTTGCGTGTACAACCTGCTCTAAGAAATTAACAAGATTTTAAATATGAGCAGGTGAAGGTATGCAGTGACGTGGAAGGTAATGAGGATAAAAATAACACGTGGAAAGTGAGAGAGAAAAATCCATGCAACTGTCAAGTCCGCATCTAATACCACTGGAGACATACCGTGAACGCACTCTTGCCTCCGTCATCAATCAGTACCTATGCGGCCGCCCAACAGGTGTACTTGTACTCATCCTCGACTCAGCAGCATATGGATCGTAGTCCATACTCATCCCGTTGCGATCGTGTGATTCATACTGATCTTGATACGGCGCTTGTAGACTTGCTGTGCTTGAACTCCATGATTCGTTTTGATTATATGCATGCTGTAATGGGATAAAGGCACTAGAGTCAGAACTCCGCAAGGCCTTATCCGTCCCACCAGCGCCAGCGCCAGCACCTAGAGAAGCTCCAAACCCGGGACCGTCGCGCATCGCATACGACGACGTAGGCTGACGGTTGGCCTCACGTCTTCGTCGCGTTAGACAGATACCAACAAGCGCACCGAGTATGCCCAAGACCACCAATCCACCGACAACCCCACCAACAACGGCAGCAGTATTAGTCTTAGAACCACTATTTTGATCACCGCTACCGCTTGATGACGTTGTAGAGCCATCGGCAGAACCTTGGGCGCTGGTGTTGTTAACACTAGCTGGTAGCACAGCTGCAGCAGCTAGTGTCTGCGTTTCGATGTTTCCACTTCCAATGATGGCGTAAGAACCATTGCTCGGAATGCCATTCACAACGACGTGCAAGAAAGCAGGTCCTGGCTGGTAAATGTTGGCGTTCGGGGGCATCTGCGAGACGTGGAGCACAATGGAGCCATTACTGTTCACAGTATACGTGCTATTGAGTTGAAGATAACGCTGGCCCATGTTCATCGCATGCGTTGTCCAACCAGTTCGAAGAACGGATACGAAGGCACTTGCGGCGGCATCGTTAGAGTCGCCGGAGTAGGAGCTGGAAGGTATGGTGACATCGAAGTAGTCTCCACCGTAAGAGAGTTTAGAAGGTAGTCCGGTTGGCTCCGGTCGGGTGCTGGCAGAGAAGTAAGGGGGATAGAAAATTTCGGCGCGATATTCGGTGTTGAAGTAAGTGGTAAGGTTAACGTCGACATTAGGGTTAGATCCAGCAATCATTACAGATGTATCGGGGAGAACGATGGCGGACGAATGGTACAAACGAGCAATATCAGATGTGGAGAACCCATCATTAGACCACCTCTTGCCGCTGTCTGCTTCGGGGTCATAAAGAGCAGGCGTACCGACGGGCCCGGAGGCAAGTGACATTCCGTAGGGCATGTCACTGTAAGATGTCGTCTGGAGAGTCATAGTGGAATAACCAGCAGTGCCATTGACACCTCCATTCACTACCAACAGCACGCCGGTGGGAAGAATGACGAACTGACCCATGGTCCTTCCCTCTAGCATATCGTCGTCTTTGACATATACCGGAGAAGAGCCGTCCTCAGGTTCGGGGGTAATACGGTGACAATCCGTTGAGGCTGGGTACTCCCATGTGTTGATGAATGGCCATGAGTAGTTACCCCAGGAGTAGTCCGGCATGTCAGAACCACCACAGAAGAGGATCGTGGGATTGTAGTTGTTCTTGGGTGTAAGAGGAAGCATGGCGACGGCTCCGGATGCGGGATACACGCGAACGACTCCGCCAGGCATATCTGGGAGCGCGGTTTCCTCGTTGGAAGTGTGATTCCACAGAACTGAAAAAAACACGTTATTCACAGAAGTACGCGAAGAACCAATCAACTCACCAGTTGAGACGTTGGCCTGAACAAACATTTTACCAGATGGCATCAGGAAGGTGTGAGGGTAAGAGTTGAGACCGGAAGTATTGATCATGAACTGCATGGTAGTGGCCGTCCTTCCATTGGCTGGATAATACTCATAGGTGCATTCAGCGGCACCACCCTCGAACTCTGGGTCAGTGTTGGGGTAGTTCCGGTTAATGTAACCGCCGTTTGCAAAACCGCCGATAATGACGATGTCACCTTCAGCGGTTGGTTCAGCCGTAGAATACCATCGACGCTTTTGCATGGCGAGTACGCTGGGATCATCAAACCAGCCACATTGAGTGCTTTGAAAGTCGGATCCCGCAGCACAGGGGTCGAGGACCCGAATTGCTTTTCCGCCATCATAGTCCTGATACAGAGCATCATACGAGGCCGAGCCCTCGTCGTTTAGGACAGAGCCAACGTTACCGCCTTTGGTAACAGCTCCATTTCCACCAAATGTCACGAACGAACCGTTGGGAAGATGCATCCCGGACGAGCAGAACACGTTCGTCTTAACGTCCTGCACGACGACCTCGTGTGTATCGATATTCCTGGATGATGTTTAGGTGACAAAGCAAAGATGTAAACTTTATTTCACTCACCAAACAGAACCCCACGCGGGATGACCGTTGACCTGAGCGGCGTTACCCTCCGCTTTATCCAAGATATACACTTGATCCTTATTGCCGACGAACATCTAGGGGTCAATGAGCATTGCCTACAGCAACAAAGAGGCGAAATCCGAACCATCATAGCGCTAACTAACGTGTTTCCTCCATCTGCAAACGCTCCGACTTTCTGTGCCCAGGTAGGCGAAGTGGTTGCTAGCGTAAAAGCTAACAAGGGTAGTGAGGGTATCATCGTGAAGGTCGTAACCCCTGCCGGAAGTGTTGGTAGAAGGGGAAAGGAAAGAGAAGAGACCGCGAAACGTCGAGCGGTGGTGAGTACGGTATGGAGGGAGGAAGCAAAAGAAAATGAATGTGATGGTGATGGAAAAAGGAGGCACCCAAAAACGAGTAGTGCGGGAAATTTACCGGGTTTCTACAAAATAATGAGAATCGATCGAACTTTTTTTCGGCTGCCCAATATAGTAATTCATAGGTACCGGCTTTCTTTCAACAGCGACTCAACACCAAGAGCAACAGTAATGAAAGAATAAATGGTTTAGAATTGATTCCCGAAGCAGTACACAATGTTTTGGTGTCATCAAGTCATGCAATGGAGCCTGCAGTGATGAAGAAAATACCGCTGATTTGGGATTTGACAGACCAGATTAGCGGATTCATGAGGATCACAAACCAAAGGCCCGGGTGGTGATATCAGAGCCTTTGATGGGTAATTCGGAGGAATATAGCCCAGTTGTACGTCAGGAAGGTATAATTCGCAGTGCTTATGCATTTGGTGGAATCCAAAATGGGGAATTACTATATTGGGCAGCCGAAAAAAAGTTCGATCGATTCTCATTATTTTGTAGAAACCCGGTAAACAGCTTTGGTTTCACGTCAACAAAGGACCCACGCCACCCCGCCTATTTTTATATTTTCGTACAATCTTCTCGGCATCCGCCTTTTACGCCAATCCGAGACACATCCGTTGGTATTTTAGGCCTGAATCATGGGCAAATCTTCCCCTCGTTTTGGGGTCCTTCTGTGTCACACTGCCATGGCAGCATGACGACCTCTTTTCAGATGCTCCCCATTTGGTCTAGATGGACTCCGAAACAGCGAAACTTTACCAACCTCAGGTCACTTTGAATGCTCCAAATTTCGAGGATATCTTTTGTGCGGGGAAAGAGACCCGCGTCCAAAAATAAAGTTCATGAAATCCAATTTTAATCCAAGTAGCACCGCCACGAGGGCCAGGCGTAGTCCGCGATGAAATTCATTCCTCCAACCTTCTTTGGTTCTTTCAGCGTTGAACTTATTGGCAACCAACTGTTGATCTGTCGAGCGAGAAAAGAAACATCCTTGCTGACACATGTACAGGCTATACAACAATCAATAATGTGCACGTTTTGTCTCGCGGATTAGCCTCATCTTCGATCCGCTGTTCCAAAGGAAAGGGTTCCATCGCAGAATTGGTATTACAAAGCCGTCCCCCCTCGCCTTCCCATCGTGAAAAGCAAAAGGCCAAGGTTTCCTAACGGATTCGGAACAAGATCCCAACTTCGCTTCCATGAGTTTCCCACCATCAAAATTCCACATATACAGCACAAGCAACTATTTAATTGTCGTTTGCCCATCATGATGTTCCTGCAGATGATTGTCATTTCAAAAACTAGAATTATTGACGTGATCAGGACTGCGCCCCCGCATAGTCGATTTTTACCTTCGGATGATCATGTCTAGACTAGTCCAGGCGCGTTATATCGATGGTCCACATCGACTCTAATCCACTACGCTTAGGAGCCAATGCAGAAGGGGATACTGTGTATTGACTGCAGTCGACTTAGCGAATTGAACAGAATAAAGCCTGACGCGACCTGGAATACAACAAAACAATATGCTTCCTAATGGTGTTAACAAGCTGTTGTTAGACTATACACGGAGGAAGAGAGCAACTTCCCGTGATAAATCATACCAAAAGATGGCAAAAAGCTTGTCTTGGGGAAGAACTGGCCTTGGCAATCAGAAAATCTAGGTGCGTGCACACCGCCTCCGTTCTTCAAGTTTATTTCTTCTTCAAGACCAGGGAATATTCGATAATCCTTATAAGCCACTTGCACGAACCTGAACCCTAGGCAGGGTTGGCGAGATGGTCCGGTCGAGCCTCTGAAGGGTGTGATAGTGGATGGTGGTAACCGATAACCTAGTCCAAAAGTGATATCCGACGTCTCTATGCCAGACCCGTCACTCTATGTTATCAAGCAACAGATCTCTGCTAACGTACAGCTTCTTTTGAGTCCGAGTCGGCTAGTATGAAGTGGGATTAATGGCGATAAGACTAACCGGAACGCGAATTTTCTGGCAGTCGGCTCAATAGTAAGGGGAAAGTCATGGATATAAAAAGCAAAGGCCAGTTTCCTAATTGTCCGAAGCATCTACTGACTCCATGCAGGAAAGGAGCTGCTTCAAGATCCGCGGAGGAGGAGTGTTCAGAGCATGAGAAGCTTCCACAGCAATAATAGTAAACCGTGGATCCTGATGAGCCACTTCCGGCCGCAACTTCATTGAACGACGTCAGTGGGCGTTAATGAACACCCCGCGACAATATAGGTGAGCTTTTCCTCCTTCGGTGTGTGCCAAGAACGCGGGCCCTATAATTCTCCGTCCATGAAATTCAGCTGTTACGTCGCATCTCCCTACCTTTACGCAAGTCCTTCATGGGGGGTGGGGGACTTGGCCCAGAACAAGAAGACGAGAAGGATTTGGTGTACTGCACAGATTTGAACCGCCCGTTCCAACACGCTTCTGAATGAGTCTCGTTACACTATGCGGCGTACACGTACCACGAACTAATAATCCTTCGTCAACTGATGTGCAGGCCTGTGATCTGCAATGTTATCCTGTTTCAACCAGAAACGGCCATCTCCCTCAGATTTGGCATTAGTTGAGTCCTATCTTCAAGAAGACGAGAGGAATGGGCTGTGTATACGGTTAGAACGTTATAATCGAGGTAAATCTGACGTACATACTCTACTCGGCGAATCTCTACTGAGTACTAGAGTCTACTGGTGCGCAGAATAATAATCAAGGAAGGAAGGAAGGAAGGAAGGCCAAGAAAAGACTTGAGTCCGGATTCCGAGTCCCAGAGCTTGGAATACCACCAGTAATGTCGCAGAAACGAGGGGCAAGATTCGGGGCCAGCATCCAGGAAGAACAGAAGTAAGGTCCCTCAGAAGTGCCGGACCGGACGAGGTGTGGAAGAAATGCGCTGGATAAAACCACAGGGGCAGCCAGACAACATTAAAAAACTGGTGTGAGCTAGAATAGAGGGATTCAACGCGCTTGTTGTGCTAGGTAAATCCTCGGCAGAGTCGATGTAAGATTGAACGAAGTACAAAGGCTGTCCACTGGCCCGGAGAAATTTGAGAACATACTTATCTGACATTTCTGCGGAAGCAGTAGAGCTGTAAAAGATGTTGTGACCGGTATGCTCGTTGTTTGAATCCTTTTGGGGGGTGACCACGGCTACCAGAAAACTTTTGTGACTTCATTCGATACAGCTGATACAGTTTGTCAGAAAATTCTCCCTTTTCATGTGGGCAAGAGAACAAGAATCATACCTTTCAGTGGTAGACGACCTGATTTCGACATATTTGGGCTTGGATGAAATGGCCCCTGTGGCTGTGTAACCGGAGCCGTGGAAGCAAATTCCGAGTAGACGACACATCGCACTTGTTCTCTCCCAACTTCCATGGCATTGAACGGATGGGGAATGCCTGGAAGAGATCCTGAAATGCCCACACTGGTCGACTCTCACACAGCCCGTCCGGATATTCCACCGCCGCCAGGCGCGACACATACTGGATTCGGAGGGTAATAGTCTTCTCTGTCGACAGCAGACGACGTCTGACTCAATTTGAAGTGCCGGGAACGACAGCGGCAGAATCCATGATGCATTTCCAGGATACAGTCAGCGTGCAGCGTGCGTAGCAATATCTGGTGCATTTTTGAGCATTTTCCTTATTATTCTTCTGTAGCGGTGCCCCTGGCGCCACCCCAGTTTGGCCGGCCCAGAATTTGAATGGATGGACTCCATTAACCGACGGACTCTCGCCCTTGGACTTTCCTCAGACACCAGGATGGGGACGCCAGACGCCAGATTGGGGAGCAGGATCAGAGTCGTGGCAGGGCCCGCCAGCTGGATCCTGGGGTGGCGGTATACCTGGTACACCTCACCCTCGACAAGGACGTGCGGTAACGCCTAACAACGGCTTCTTCAGTACAGCCTGGCAACCACCAGAGACGACAACACCTAACACTTTGTCTGGTCAACCAGTAGGCGATGGATGGTATGGCGCTGGAAATCGGACTGCAAAGAGCCCATTTGTTATGCCAATTAGTCCATCCAAAACATTTGGAGACGGTTGGGGTGCTGTAGATAATGATGCGCCTCTTGTATCTGCCCCGCTTCCGAAGCATCACTCTCCATCAACTGGGGAAGGTCACAGGATGAAGCGATCGCTGACTTGGGGTCCAACTGTGGGTAAGAAGACCAAAAGGAAGTGGTACCCACACGGAGATATCGATGAGTGGAATCCGGCGCAGCGACCGCGAGATTGGAGGGCAGATTTTGAGATGAGACCATTCTTCATCAGGCTCAGTTTGTCCAAGAATCGCTCTGATGTTCAAGGTATGTTACTTAGCTTACGCGCCGAAAACGAGCTCATCTGTTTTGCTTAGAGAGTAACGATCCGGAGCGACGGATCTTACATGGCCTTCTCGCATATGATGCTCACGCTCCCTCAATACATCTTGATCTTCGTACAGATCCCTTCACACAGCCCGCCATGTTCTCTCACCTCGGTCGAGCATACAACCAAATAGACCTCATGCAGATCGCCACGAATCCGCCTGCGCCGTTCATGCGCCTGTACCATGCCCGCTATCCGTGGTACGTGGACGTATACGCGTCGAACCCAAATGGCGTAACAATCTACGATATTCTCATGCAGCTGCACGTGCAGATAATGATGCCGATTGAAAGCCGGCATTACTATTGTCAGGACGTGCGGAGTAAAGAGAGGGAGTTGCTCGGCGGGGCATATACCTCCAGATGTCATGGAGATAAAGAGCTCATGTCGAGAGGAGTTTTGAGGGTAGATTTTCTGGGTATGGAGGGTCGGCTATTGTTGCAGGGGTTAGTCAGAGGGAGGAACGGTATGTGGGAGATGAAGATCGCCAAAATCGACTCGTGAAAGCTGTTGTATGAATTTTCCCTTTCATTGATATCACTAACCATCTGCATTGGAACATGTACGTCCCCGTCTCGTCTTGGTTTATTGTTCTTTTATCATCTGTATCACTTATCTATTTTCTCCATCAACTCAGCTCATGTTGTATTATATGTAGACCACATAATTTGAGGTATCATTGTTGATTTGACTCGGTGACTATCATTGCAGTACTCGGTACTCTGGTGTTCTGCCGCCGATTGCCTTATTCGCGGTGAGTTACTACCGGTGTCTTGTCGTCTCAGGAAGAGATAATGGAATAACTCGTCGGCAGGTCTTTCCAGGAACTTCTAAGTTGGAAAATGCGGCGGTGGCGGTATCGGGCGTTTCCACTACGTTTCCTAGCGCCAGGTTATACCACTATCGCGATCTATGTCCACTTTCGCCTCCGCGCGTGCACTTTAGCGCTGGTCACTTACCATTCCTCTTCCCGGATCCCCTTCAGGTTACTGGACATCTGTTTCTCCGAAACTCTTCATTTCGAGTCGGACGTCACAAGCTAGTAACAAACGTCTGTGTAATTTGTCTCGGGCTAAGATCAAGATGGAAATTTCGAACTGCGGAAACTTCCCTGCAATCAAGTACAGACACTGAAGTGATCTTATCAGGAATGAAAAAGTCCCGGGGCATTACTTAAAGGCCTTCTTCCCGTTAGAACTGAATGCATAGAACACGGTCAACTCCCCATGGCCGCGAAGTTCAAGGTTATCGTCTGGTGAGCGTCAATCGTTGTCCTACTAAATGGATCCACGGCGGCTGACCCCACTTTCGATCAGCGGTGGCGGATTAAGCGGACTAGCTTTCGCTGTAACACTGTCCAAGTATCCAAATGTGGACCTCGAACTCTACGAGGCTGCAGGTCACTTCTCCGCGGTGGGAGCTGGCATCAGCGTATGGCCGCGGGCTCTAGAAGTCATGGAAATGATGGGTATGGGACCTGATCTGCAGAAGGTGGCGTCTGCCCCGTTCACGCAGGACTACGGTCAGTCGAAGTACAATTCTTTATTCGTTTCCGAGCATTGACGTCCTATGTCAGTTACTGCTTGGAGTTTCAGGAAAAGTGACCAGGCCGTAGGAAAGGAGTTTTGCCGTGTCGACTCTAGAGGGCACTGTCAAACGTTTCACCGAGGCGACCTGCATGACGTTTTTGTGAACCATCTTTCGCCGCGATGTGTCATTCATTATTCGAAGCGATTGCAATCGTATTCCGAGCAGCCTGATGGATCGGTGAAGATATTCTTTGAAGATGGGACGACTGCTGAGTGCGACGTGCTAATCGGCGCCGATGGAATAAAATCTCGAGTACGGGCATCTTTGCTGAGAGATAAGGCGCGAAAGGCCTCGGCGGACGGGAGACTAATCAAGGCTGAAGAAATTCTTTCCGGTATTCCTCAGATGTTTACAGGATCGGTCGCATATAGATCATTAATCCCCATGGGGAGAATCAAATCGGATCCTATTGCACGCGACTTTCAAGTTCCCTCGCAACCTACACAGGTAAGTTGGTTTTTACGCCCCGGATGATAGCATTAACCTTTCAGCCTCTGTATTTTAGTACTGTGGTCATGGCATCGTGAGTCCTTTCCTCTTTTCGCTAATTTTTCTCTCATGAATTTCCGGTAGAACATCGTTGTATATCCGGTGTCGAATGGTACCCTGTTGAACGTTGCCCTCTTTCGGCATCAAAAACACCTAATGGGTACTTCATACGATCCACCGTTCCCAGTCCAGGTAGACAAGGCGGAACTAATGTCGCGCGCCGAGTTTTCAGAGTGGGAACCGGAAATCCAGGCATGGCTACGTGTGAGTTACTCTATCACCCGTTTGATTGATGTCCGCCCTTGTTGACGCATGTCTGGACTCAGTGTATTGACAAGCCAAGCAGATGGCCTATGTACTGCACCAGGGTGTTGCCATCCTATGCGTCGGATCGCGTTGCTCTTATCGGTGACTCAGTAAGCACGCATGGAATAATTAATCGCACAATTGACAGGGTAAAAAGGCACATGCAATGCTCCCGCATCAGGCTTCTGGCGCAGGTCAAGCAATCGAGGTACTTTCTTCATCGCTGTCTCCTTGCCCTGCTCATCTGATGGAATTCTTTCAGGATGGCTATTTCCTAGCCACTCTTCTCGGTCACTCGCTCACAACGCGGAAAAGCATACCCAGAGCATTGGAAATATATGACTCCGTTCGCCGTCCGTTTGCTATTGATGTTTGGAAACGATCCGCAAGCAACGCTAGATATTTCACTATGACCCATGAAGATTTCGAATGGGACCACGATGCGCCGGAAGCTGAAGTATGGGAGAAACTTGCGGGGACGGCGATAGCTATTAACAAAGGCTTCGAGTGGGCATGGACGACATCATTCAAAGGGATGATGGCAGAGGGTATACAGATGCTAGAGGCAGCATAGAGATAGATGTGCATCTTGCATTGTGTTCCACTGTTCATCCACTTGGCTCCAAGTTACACAGTCAAGATCACTTAGCCGCAGGACGGTATGATATATATGATAACTTTACACCAAAATTACACTTTTTCCAAACATCTTTTGGATCAAGGCAGTTGATGACGCAGTCGCTAAGCTCTTTACGTGCATACTGACACTATATAAGCTACTTTGAACTATAGGCTAGGGGGAAGTGTCAGGCTGTTAACCATTGGTTGTTCATATCCAATAGCCAGATTATCCAGGACTTCTAGACGGCGAAGTTCGAAGAATATCGTGTCCGAAGCCAAGGAGTCATTGTCAGACTCTTGCCGCGAGAATTGTATCTTGTGGTCGAGGTCTTTTGGTAACAACCTTCTTAATTAAATCGGATCAGTACAACGCGTGCGCTGGAGAACATGCCTGCAAATTTTCGCTCGAATAGACGAGTTGATAAGCAGAGCGTGCGCCATACTAACAACAGCCGCGGTGTCATATGAAGCATCGATGGTGTTCCGACTTGAGTAGAGCTGTCCGTAAAGGGCATAGCTGTAACGCCCTTGAGTCCTCAGCGACGACCGCCTACGAGACCAATCAAGGCAGGGATATTGTCGCGAACTCATCACCCTTGAATCTTGAACCTTCGAATACATTGCCAACGAAACTGTGTCGCTACGTCAATTCTTGTCACTGTTAACTTCAACTGTCCCTAATCCAAAGGCCCGGGGGACGTATTGGACCTTGGTCAAATAATTTACCTGTCAAAATATGTAAACTAACAATTTCAAAATTTGAACGGAATCGCTCAAAGGTAAAAAGGCGCTACCGGGGATCGAACCGTAGCACCGGACTTTGGATCGAATTAGTTGCTGTGGCTATCATGTTGTTACCTCCTATTATAATTACAGGATAATAGACCGATATTGATCTTGCATTCGCTCCACCATTATCTTCAAAATACAAATCATATTCCACATATTCTGACACGACTCGTGCGGACTTGATTCAGATATCCTCGTTCTCCGCTGTGCTTGACCTTCTGCGTTATCGTCACCTTTCAGGTCTCTTTCATCCTAAAGGTTTGGCGCATATCTACAATAATTAAACCCTCTCATGACGTTTGAGCATGTAGAAACCGAAAATTTTGCGCGCTAGCGCTTTCATCACAACATCTGAGTTTTTCAATCTTCTATTCTCCCAGGTTCCATCGTTGCTCTTTCGTCCGACTATCATTGATTCTCATTCTGGTCTCTTCCGGCTCTAAGCTGTAAACCGTTTCGTTTTCGTCGTAAAAAGGGGTTATAGACGCGAGTGCTGGTGTTTCCGCCGGTGTGTAGTTTCCTAATTGTATCTTTTCTGACCCTGTAGGTGCTTACTGCTACTAAAAGTGGCCCTTTGTCATCAACCTTCGGTGCTACTTGTGCACTCGACACCTTGCTCTGTTGCGGGTTGTTTACCCATACTCTCCTTCTGGTGGTTCGTTTTGCGTCGACGTGGCTGACAGTCTGTTTCTCACACTCCTCTTGTCGTAGACAACCCCAGAATGAAATCGTTCGGCCGCTCGCTGCTCTTATCTCGGAATGATCTACGCTGCCGTTACATCCTGTCTTCGAGAAGGTATTCTGCCATGCCTCGTACGTGTTGGTTCTGGTGCCCCTTTTCTAATTGCAGTCTTTCTGACAAACATTTAGTATTTCGGCAAGTCCTTTTACAATCCAGGCCATGATTATTGATGAAAGAAACCGTTATTAAAGACATCAAGGCATCGGCCCTAGCGGCGTCTTCCGTGATCCTATAATCAAACAGCGCAAGTGCGTAAAATGTCTCAGGCAATTTTCATGTACTTATTTTTATCAGGTTGTCGGAATGGCTTGATACCTTGCGCTCAGGTTCTGTGGATGTGCCAACAAGCACTAAAGAACTAGATCGCATGTTCTGGCAGCAGTTTCTATACCACGGGTGGTCTGGCGCCCTTAGTCGTCCAACATCTGACTTACGCCGACTCTGTGATCTCGACCCTGACGCAGAACGCGCGTTCCATGATGTAGATAGGCTTTACAAGGTGTTGGAAATCACCGACGCTGCGCTCTTCTGTAAGGCGGCAGATAACGAACCCCCTGATTTGTTCGTTGAAGACGAATCATGCTTCGCTGAAGTTGTCTCGCAGCTGCAGCCACCGATACCGTTCAAGTACACGACCTTTCCCCCGGAACTTGATACAGCGATGATTAAAACGATGATCGGATCAATCGAAGCGTCGTCGTCTTTTAGACCGACTGAACACCTCGAACAATACATCAATGATATGTTCACTAATGTCAAGGTGAGAATATCCTGTTCTGATACTCTCTATACAGATGGTATCACATTCCACACAGATTCCTCCTCATATTACCAAGCTTATGCTACCCGCGGAACGAATCCCACGCAGGTTCACTCCTGAAGATCAACTTCGGGACCAGGTTTCTAAACGTATGGTACCCATATCCAATCAATTATACGCAGCTGCAAATTTCCCATATCGATGGTTCCGCAAAGGTGACCAGGAGTTTTCAGCGGCTTTGAGGGATCTCAGGTAGGTGCAGTTGCCAGTCCACCCTCTATTTTAATTGACTGTACTCCTGTTACAGAGACCCAGAGGGGCATATTGTCTGTCCGATATGGGCTACAACGGACTGCATATTAGCAAGAGTTGATCCCACCTCCCAGGAAATGGCCAAACCTGTTGAAATCGCCGCCTTTATCACGCTCAAAAACCCCGAGGAGCTGAATTTGGCTGGACAAGCTGTCCATGTGGTGAGGCCAAGAGATAACGTTTTGCCCTCGAGCGGCGAAACGGATGGGAAGAATTCGATACCACAGCACTCTGAGGCCTCCTATGCCAAGGCGCTAATCGCACAGATGGGGGCAACGTTTTGGTTTACTGGGGCGAACGTAGGGGTATGTAGCTTAATCATTGTTCTACTCATCTTCATTAATCGTCACCTCAGTGTTTTTGGGATGGTTACTTCATGGTCATGGCCAAAGTGATCGAGAATGGCGAGCGCTTGGACATCCATTTTAGTCGTGTCGTTGCCGCCGGTTCTCGGTTTACCCCGTCCTTGCAACAAATAACGGCGCAGACTTTGCATGCTTCAGTAGCCGGTCACATAAAGGCGGCGAAGGAGGCGGCAAGAAGGCGGCAGGATGCCCAGGAACGGAAACTGCGCGATATAGAAGTAGCAGAGGAAGAGGCGCTTACTGCTGTGACAGAAGTGGAGGATAAAATGGAAGGGGTTGAACAGGCCCTGCGCCGTACAAAGGCACGGGGCGATGTGGATACTACAACGGCAGAGAAGGAGGTGGAGAGATGCGAGAAGATGCAATTGGCAGCTTCAGAAGTAGCTGCGAAGATGGCTCGTGAGGCTAAAATAGCAACAGAAAACTACGAGGAGGGCAAGGCTGCCGTTGACGACCTTCAGGGTGGGGGGTGCTACGTGTCAGACATCTATCGAAAACTGAACTCGTATGGGCTTTTCACTTCTATCGGCATACTGGCAGCTCGTGGTCTCCCTCAACGCCATGCCCGACGCAAACCCAATGTATCTTTGGTGGTTCACCCATTTGGCAGGGCATCTTATAAGTGGAGCGGTGTGCTACATGATAAGCATCCTCTGCCGTATGTAGATTGTGGGAGAAACATTCTGGGAGGCGGCCTGCACGGGATTGTTTGCGACGGCATATTCCACGATGTTGATGGAACAACTATCCCGGTTGTTGTTAAGATGCCTCGTCTTACCAGGAAGGTGGCACAATTGAATGAAGCGGCAGCGGCTATGGAACATGAATTCCAGGTATATAATGCACTACGTCATATGCAAGGTTCTGTCATTCCTCGACTGTATGGTTGTGGCTATGTCGACGACTGGTACAGCGGGAGATCGATACCTGCTTTGGTATTAGAGAATGCAGGCGGGAATAATCTGACTTCGCTTGATATCTCAACATTGACGCAGGATGTTAAGATTGCCATCAACAATGTCTTGAGTACCTTTGTGCGTGGTCTTCTTCTCTGCTTTGACAGTTAATAATCGTTATCCAATAGCACAAAGAGGGGTGGCTCCATGGTGATATTGCAGAGAGGAACATCCTCTACTCAACTGGCACCGATGGCCGAAAGCAATTTCGTCTTTGTGACCTGTCCTTAGCAGAGCGGTGGGAGTGCGAGCTTGATAAACGAGATGAGATCTTCGAGTTGTTTAAAATCTTGCATCCTTGTGAAGAAGACGAGGATGATGACAATGATCCGATTTGGAAAGAGTACCGAAGTTATGTCAATTAAAAAGGGTTGTAATGACTTCGTATATTCGATGATCTGGTGGATGAGAGTGAAGAAGGTCAAAAATATTCTGAGACCTTTTCAGCGAGTGCGAACTTAAGAGGTCTAAAATGTTGCGCCAGCTTAACATGCACCCTTCCAGTCATAAATTGCCAGCCAAGCCTCGTGTTCATATTACGAACATGTGCAGTGGAAGGCGAAAAAGGGAAAAAGAAAAAATCGATGGGGTGGTAGCGATTGTCAGGGCCCGGCTCGGCTCGGCTTTGAGGGCTTGGGCTCGGCTTGAGGAGGCTCAGGCTTGTAAAATCGCAAGCCCAGGCCCAGGCTTCATGCAATAGCAGGTTCTGAGTGAAATCATGAGTAAATCCCGAAGCCATTGTTTTATATACTAACCAAATATCGACCTTGTACATCACGAACCACAGTTCCAGCCTGCTTCGGACTCTCATCTACATTGTCCACTCCGAAAGGAGACCTTCATTGTACTGTCGGAACTTTTTGGGTGAGACTTCTTTCTCTGTCGTGTTATCAGTGGTGATACATTTATGAGAAGTATCAGGTATGTTTGACTCACCAGGATCATCAAGATTCAGTATCAAAAGGTCATGTAGGGTACCTTCAGAAAGCCCAGGCTTGAGCCCAAGGCTTGGGCTTTCAGAAATCAAGTCAATCGCTACGGTGGTATCCTCCGGGCCCCTATGGATCTGTGTTCAAAGAGGCTCAAAGAGACTACTACTACTACTACTACTACTACTACTATGCGTAAATGAGCAAATCTTGAGGGCCAAGCATACTATAAGCATATATATCCAGGACTTCGACTATTATTTACCATGCCTCGCAACATGGGCCAGTTCCGTAAGATCGTCGCACTTTCGCCTTTCAGTTTCTCTTGCGGTCTGGGTAGCCCCCGTTTACCTTCGTCTACCCCGCAAAGTCTTCTAGAACGCGCTTCGGAGACATTGTAACACCAAGAACCTTTGCATAACCACTTCGGTTGCCGCCTGGAGTCGACAAGTTCAAGATCGATTGTATGCATCAACCGGCAGTGAGACTGGTTCGAGTCTAGCCTTTGCATGACTGACATCTGCTTTGGGCAGAAACTGCATGATCCTTTTCTGTTCTTCAAGTTCCATCAAAGTGATTTTTTAAAAGGAAAGGCGTGTCCTGAAGTCGAGTGATATTGATGAGCTTTGATCGAGCTGCTGAGAAAAGGATGTAGTTTTTATTAGCTGTTGGTGTTCCTGAACAGAAACGTAACAACGTCTGTACTACAGAAGACTATCCGAGCAGTGTATTGATGGATATGAGTGATACTAGAACAATAAGTAACTGCTACGGGACCGAACCTGTTCCATGACGAGCAAGATATAGGACAACGCAGGCGTTTGTTATCACTAACAACAAATTACAGCTCCCGTAACGGGACAGTCGCTTTTCCCGGATTTAGCGATGACGTTTCGGATGGCAGATGTCGGGCGTGGCGTTGACGTAGGTATCGTACAGCATAAATTCCTAGAGCCGCTAGGAGTCCATAGGAGTTAAGTCTCCTGTAGATGGAAGATACATAGCATTTACTGCTGTGAAGCTGATCCACCTCGCCCTTAGCAGTATAACACGCAGCTTGTGCCTCCTGCAACCTTGCACGAGACTGCGTCGCCTCCAGCTCTTGTAGCTGTCGTTCCGCCTTGTCCAGCCGCCTTTTTGCCATCTCCCTCTCCTTGTGCCGGACACGCTCCACGACAGCCCGAAGGGATTCTATCGATACCCTTTTGTTGGATTTCTGGCTCTGAGTATTCGCATTCGGAATCGGAAGCCCAGCAATGACCGGACTAAATCGAATGTTCAGGCGCTTTCCCTCAGGTTCTTCTTCAACATAAGCGATTGCCCAGGAACGGCCGTCATGGAGACACTGGAACAACTGATGAATGGACGCACAACGAAGAAGAAGTAACTATACCGCAAGGCTGGCACCTGACGCCCAGAATTCAAATCCGATCTGAGTAATCAGTTTTTCGCCTTTTGTACGAGAAGACCGTTTCTGTTGAGAGTTCTTCTTTCTCGGTCCCGTTAGAACGTGATCTCTAGGCCGTATGGCGTGAATTGCCTGTCCGATCATGTTGAGCACTTGGGGCGTTTTGAGTTCGATGAACATAACGATGTTAAGCGGTTGCTTGATCAAACTTGTTGTAGGGTCAACTTCAACAAGAAGTATATCGGCGTTGGACCAGCCCGCGTCGACGATGTGACCATTGACGTCCCTATACGATACCAGTCAGAACGAAGGTAGTGGATGACAAACTTATTCACCTTAGATATTTTAGCGCATCTTGAAGCTCCATATCGGTTTCTGAATACCAACGATACGGGAACCCTGCACGTTCATAGATCGCATTGATTGTGGCCAGGTTTCTTCCACGTAGTTGGTCCCGAAGTGTGACTTCCTCTATTCCGTCAAATTCGACTTGATCAGAAGGAAGGGCAGCCGCAGTAAAGTTTACTGGCACCTGAAAAAACAGTATTAAGCATATAATTAAGAAACCGTGTTGAAGGCGATATACCGTGATATCACTAAATGCGTCAGAAATAATTTTTTCCAGCTCCTCTGTCGGAGAAAACGCATCGTCAACCTTCACATCTCCTAGCATGGCTTCAACCGTGGTTGTTACAGCCACCGGCCGATGAGTGGCTCCCTTAGAAATCATGGACTCTAAATCGTCCCAGTCGACTACCGTAGACCCCAATTCCTCCAAATCAATCTCATTTTGAGGTGCAGTACAGAACAGAACCGGGTCCGTGATTTCCATCAGCGTTTGCACTTGCGCGCCGATACTAGGGTTCGATCGATCTTTGAAGCTGAGTTTATAAAAACGAGATTGCTCCTTTTCGTCAACACGACTACGAGCGCCGGACCATCCAGGGCCTGAAGAAACTGTCCAGTAAAAGGGGTTTAGTTCTTCCATTCTTAGTGGAGCTTTCTTTTCATCGCCGTGTTGGGCTTCGGATTGAATTTGTTTTGAGATGCTGAATAGAACGAATAAACAAGCGTCTAAGAGAGGACACATCGAACGCACCGGATATGTTCGGCTTTCCTTTCTTCATCTGACGGTACGTTAGAGACTTTGGCATCCCTGCATTCATGTATTTCCAGGTCAGCGAACAGCCATAAACTGGATATCAGACACACTCACCGAGGGCCTAGTAGTAGCTGGCCATCAGAGAGCTATCATGAAACGTTGAGAACAAGGCACATACCACGGCCAGCGGAATAACACCTTCGACTGCTGGAGGGTGCTAGCCTCAGGCGAATCTGCTTGAGTGCAGTCTGTGCTGAACAAATCATCCTCGGTGGGTGGTGGTCGTAAAGAAGTTAGTGATTACACAACCCAATGCATGGCGCGTGCTTGACGTTCCAGCAACCATGACAGCTATAGAACGAGAAGAGAAGCGGCGTTTGGTTCCAAACCGACGATCCAACAGGGTGATCGAGCCACCACTACCCTCAAGGTTGAGTGCTCGCTGAATAGACACAATTTCTGAGGCGTATCCATCTCTGTTGTACATACACGACCATAGCCCATCTAGATGTATGTCGGCACCAAGACAACTATGAACTCGATCTATCCCAATCCCAGTCTGGCGCACTCCATTCGGGCATTTCCGTCTCAAATGCGCCCAAGCTTGTGGTATACCTAAGCGCATGAAGAAATATATAGAGTTTCTCCGGCTTGGGATCTGGATGAAGCGGCAAGTAACATTCGGGGCAATAGTGCTGGTCAGCTTCGACCAACGGAGTCTGCACCACAGGCGCCAATCCCTGCGCGCGCTCCACCGCCTCGTCAACGGACAGCTGAGGCGCGTCCGAGACTGGAATGGCATCATCGGGAGTTGTTGGTGTAACTGGCGTCGCTGGGCTTGTTCCTGACCTGAATACGTTCAGGGACTCATCGACGAACTCGGACTTGCCCTTTTTCTTCTTGTTACGTGGAGGCAGGGGCTTTAAAGCCCAATGTTGCGGTCGTAGTGGTTCTTTCGCCCGGAAAACGACATCACGCCACCTACTCCAGTCCTCTGATTCATCCTGTATGCCGTGAGCATCTGATTCGACGATATAAGATAGAAATTTGCCTTCATATTTCTAAGGCGTGTAATAACCCCGACGGCTTCGCTTGAAAGTGGTACAGGTGAGCCCATACCGATATCCTTCCCCGTCTCTCGAGGTAGAAGTTTGGGTTCGGACGATGAAGCAGACGAGGTCCCGTCCTTGGCTAGCGATTCAGGGCTACCACCAAGCTCGGTGCTGTCTTTGAGATGTGGAGGCGGAGCGGGAGCGGACCGTTCATCACTGGGAATGAGATCAACTCCACCCCTTCCTAGGCTGGTGCCCTAAATAATGCATAATGTCGTGAGAGGGTATATAGCGATAAGGCAAGTATACAAACCCAGATTCTGGTCTCAGAATATACAGGATCGTTGGCGACGGGGTGTCCCAAGTACTGCAAGTGTACGCGAATTTGGTGTGCTATGTAAATTGTGAGACACAGCATATTTCCCAGGATGATTTGAACATACATCGACCCGTCATAGGCTTGCCTGAGAAAAGTGAGTAATAAAAGTATTACATTACAAGTGGCCGACTCACAAAGGACGACGCTACTATCTGTTTTTGTGTCATACCGAATCCGATTGAACACAGTTTTGGCTGCCTAAACAAAATATAAGTTTGGAATGACAATCATAAGGCGGCTGTACTCACTTTGCCCTCTGGATGTACAACGTTCAAACCCATTTGTCTATCGATTGTAAGCAGTGGCTCTTCGCAGACAATTTCTTCTCTATGCGACTTCAATGAAAGGGATGGGTTGATCTTTTGAAAGGGAACGTACTCGGGGAATTCTCCCTTGCACCTCGCCACATATTCTTTCTTAATGGAACCATCCATAAATTCTTTAGTCAGTGATCGAGCGCGCTCCGTGGAGGTTGGAAGGATCATAAGCCCTGAGGTCAACCTATCCAGCCTGTTTACAGCTGCAAGCTGTTGGGATCAGTCGTAACAAGAGGAGTTAAAATACGTACTGTATACCTTCTCAAAACCAAACTCGGTCATGAGAATCTCTACCAGAGTGTTCCGATAGTACCTCCCTGATGCATGCACAGGCTAATAAGAAGTCAGACGAAAGATGGGACGGAATGAACAGCATGGACGAACGAACGATGCTGCCCGGTTTGTTCACGACTATAAACTCCCGCTCCTTGTCCTCGAAGAGCACTTTGACTGGCGTCGATGTTACAGGTGGCTCATGGCGGTGAACGACATTCCTGATAATAGTCAGCTAAGGATGAGAAGGCGCGCGAGAAGGATGTACTCCATGAGGTCTCCATCTTGTATTATTGTATCAGGCTTGGCAGGCTTCCGATTTAATGTCGTAACTCCGGATTCTAATGCATATCTCTGTATCGCATACATAAGAAGAAAGGGAGAGTAAGTTCAAACGACGTACATAGTATTCCATTGACCGATCTCTAAATTCGGTAGAAACAACCTCGAGTATCTCGCGGCCTATCCATCTCTCCTTCGCGTATGTACTATACGGATACCAATATGGCGGTATCTTCCGTAGGCCAGGCGCAACAGGCGGTACTTGAGGCTCCACATCGGCTAGTGTAGTAAGTACGAGGCTTGTCATGACTCGACTGAAAAAACTTGAGGGCGACAATAGTAATTGTGGGAGCACAAATCTTGCGCGAGACGCGAGGCGGTCGATGCTGGGATATGCCACCTTGATAATATTTCTAACGAACTGACGGGCAAGGTGAAGCGTAGCCAGCGGGCCGTCGTGAATGGCAAGAAGAAAGAAAAAAGCCCTGTCTGTGGCTGTGTAAAGCCTTCACGTGCCTACGTTCACCCTAACCCTAGGCCACTTCTTGTTCATTCTCGTCATCTACACCCATATACTTCGATGTCTACAGCTCACAGGCCGACATGGGACCCAGCACAGGCCAAAGATGTCAAGGGAGGCTCTCGCCAGTTCTCTGTACGAGATATGGCATCTCACACGAAGTTGAAATTCCGGTACAGCATTTCTGTACTTTTTCATGCTTCACCAGCTAATGCATTGTAGACAAGTGGGTCAAACATCAACAGACGAAGTCAAGAAAAGAGACCTACGCGCTGAACTCTTGGCTGCCGAGCAGGAAGCGCGGAACAGGAAGCGCAAAGCTGAAGGAAAGGCACCGCTCATAGAAGATGCGCCTGCGGATGATGAAGCCAATAAGCGGAGAAAACTCTTGCAGGATGCTATTGCTCTCGACAAGGACGATGACGACGATGACAATGGAAAAGGAGAGGACAAGGATAAAGACAACGCTGAGGAAGAAGACAGGTGCGTTTCTATGTAAAGCCTATCACGTATCTGGTGGCTTAATTTTATCTTAGTGAGGATGACTCGGATGATGACGAAGACGACACCGCAGAACTGCTACGCGAACTTGAAAAGATCAAACGCGAACGAGCCGAAGAAAAGGCACGGCAAGAACGTGAATTGTCAGCGTCACAAGCGGCGTCGCGAGAAGCAGAAATTGCCACCGCTAACCCCCTTCTCAATCTGGCGGCTGCATTGGGGCAGGAAACGCCTACTGGTGTGAATACTACTGTTCCCGGGACCTTTTCCGTAAAGCGGCGTTGGGATGACGGTACGTGTCTGTTCTCTTTCCAACTCATACCAAAATAATTTGTTTCTCCAGACTTAATCTTCAAGAACCAGGCCATGGATACGAGGAACAAGCCTCAGGGCCAGTTTGTTAATGACCTCCTGCGGACACAATTTCACAAGTGCGTCTTAACGCTTTCTGTCACCACTGCTTCTCATTTTTCTGCAGGAAATTCATGGCAAAGTTTATCAAGGTCTGTTAGTCGAAACTCTGGAGCTTACATGTCGCTGATCTACTTTTTCATAGTGATTTATATGTACTACTTGACACGGCCGTAATATATCGTACACTTTCCGTTCGAAAAGCGATTACTATGTAAGGTATGCCACGACCCCAACCTTCAAGTTTGCTAGGCCAACGCAGGTCTTCGTATATGCTAGCAAATAGTGCTTTGAAGTCTGTTTTACAGTGGTGTTGAGCAAAGAAACACAATAGAGATATGTCTATTTCTTTCTCACTCATTGGTACTCTGGCTGCTTTCTGGAAGCACGAATTGATGTCCAGGTAGTAGCGGATGAGTTGATCAGACACCCCCAAGGAGTGTGTTGTATTCCCGGAAGGAGCTTGATTTCGAGGTGGATGCACTAGATGTGGGGTAACTTTTGCGTGGGCATGTATGATACGACTGTGTATGGGAACAAGGCTGAATCGCTGTTTGATTCGATGAGATCGACATGACAGGTCATGGAACGAGTAGATTTGGAGAGAAAAGGTTGATGGACTGAGGACTTTTTGGAACGGATGATAGAGCTGAAGTAGAACAGGTATCCAACAGTTGGAACGTAGATGTTTTGGGAGGTAATACTGGCAGACGTCCCTCCAGAGGCTGCAGTCTGCAGATGCGGGGGCATCCAGTCATGAAGGTGATACGGTCGCCAGATGGATGTTCAGAGTATCAAAACTCGGAAATAATAATCTCAACGAGCTCGAAAGGCAGCTGAGCCATCGTCAGTGTCAAAGATCACTTCGATATGCCTCGGCAAAATTCAAAGTATAGCCTTGTTTGAACATTTCCCACCAAAGGTGCATTGTCTTGATAGACGCATAGGTCGGTCGCCACGGCGGACAGTGCTAGAAATCGTAAATTCAGCTGGGTCGGCCTTCGTGAAACGACAGATGCACCGACTGCAAGCTCTCCCATTCAGTCTTTCCGTAGCAACCGTCTGTTTCGCATTGCCGCGAGAGTGAAGATGATGCTACACGTCGCGGTACAGTGCCACAACGACTGTCAATCTCATCGATGTTGGCATCAGCAGGACAAGGAATGGTGAAACTCAGGCGTCGCAAACGCGTCAGTTCCCATGCGATCTCGTCGTCCTTGACTATATTATCATTATCATCGAATAACTCAGTAACAGTCCTGTCGCCGTTCTCTTTCGCGTAGTGTAACGAACAAAAAAAGAGTCCTTCCTCGTCGCTGTGGTGGACTGGGACAAACAGTCGGAAACAAGAACTGGGTCTAACTTTTCTTCTTTTGTCACGACTCTTTGGTATGCATTATTTTCGTTGTATATCCTTGCCTCATTCGATATCCAGATGAGCTTTTTGCGGCGGCTAGGTAATGGCCTGAAGCGTCTGCGCTCCGGTACGACAGCAACAAGTCTTGTAGGAAAAGCATCGCCCATCCGACCTCGACCCGACCAGGAGTTTCTGCTCTACCAGAAAACACGGTTGCCGTGGTGGGTGAACTGGACTTATGGATTGCTCGGATTGAATATCGTCTTTACGTGCGTCGCACTTTCTTCTCTCTCGATTCGTTTTGCTCAGTATCCGAGAGAACAGCGCGTCGACAATGGACCTTGTATGGAACAACTGGACGAAAATATCCACGGAAAAGCCGGCGTATGCTACTGACGACAATGATGAGAAGGACCACACCCATCGTGTTCTCCGGTCAACCTGGGAGCGACTCTCCGTCGCCGCCTTGGTTTTCCTGTCGGGTTGTGTTACTACAGCCGTAGTCATGCAAATGCGCTCTTCATACGTCCTCGCATTCGATATCTTGGCTGACCATGGACAGCGCAATCTATTCCTCCAGACCATCCGGACAGGTCCAGCCAAAGGGCTCTCCCTCCCCTTCAATAAAGCTTACTTGCTACCTGGCCGGAGCAAAATGGAGTATATGATTCGTGTAGATGGGAAGCCTACGCGGTGGTACATTCCATTGGACGACAACTGCTTCATTGATGGAAAGAAGGTGTCCCTGCAGGAGGCGCGTGCAACTATTGCGAATACGTGGGGATCGAAGAGGGTTTCGCAGGAGATTGCAAACCCCTTCTTGAAGCGGTAGCAGAGGTTGTATATCTTGACGAAAATCGAAAATTTTCATCGCTATTACGACCGCAAGCATCTCAAGAAAGGTTGTTTTCGATGGTTTGCGTGAAAACAGTCTTTGATTCCAAGATGACGTTGCAATGCCCTCATGAAGGACAGGTCATATAAAGCAAGTTCAATTAATGGCAGGAATCGCAGAGCAAAAGTGCGTCCGTCGTGTGTCAGGGAACGACGGACTGAATTTGCCATTTCTCTAGAGGACTGCTCTAAAAATGTGGTCATGTTCGACATGAGTCCTTTTGTTCAGATTATATTTATATCAGGACTCTCGACAGTGAGCACCGATAAAATCCTTTTTCTCTTTTCTTTTCTTTCTAATTTATTCCCAGACCGACCCGCAAGCATCGTTAGCGAGCCTATTTCTTGCAACCTACCTTCATCGGTCAAACAAGTATCAGCTGAATAGTGTGAATCGACACCCATCCGGTTTGTTTCAGCCCTATTTACGTTGGCCAGACCGATGATCAACACAGGCTTGAATCGGTTAGAACTGGGGAAAATTAGCAGGATAAATCCAGGAGGTCTGGCCTTGGCTAGCCAAACTCTCTCTATGCTGAACTAATTAATGCACGGTTGATCATCGGCCAATTAAATATAAAGTGCATGACATTCCGGGGGACTCATTCGCGTCATCAGTGTGCAGGGACGGGCCGTTTCAGCAAGTGGTCCATTCCTTCGCGCTAATCACTTAGATTTAATTTATCAAGGTCATTCGTCTTATGGTCCCATGTGCGACACCGTCGGCTCCAACACTGCGGAGGTCCTTTCACCCTGAACAACAAGCGAACTTTCTTCATGACAATTTGTGATATCCCTGAAAACGTTTCATGTTAGAATATTGAAGAAGTCCAAGAACCACCTCCCTTTAATTGACTGTACGTAAATCTCCGCCTCGTGTTTTTTGATCCTGTCTAAGCGGGCATGAATATTTTAGTCCAGAGCTCGTTCTGCTCCTCTAAGCTAACTTGGACACTTGCTGTACCGCGGCGTACGTGCTTTTTTTCTCCTGCCATTCAAGCAGTTGGATTTACATTATCTCATTTCGTAGACCCGGAAGAGAACAGAAAATGTAAATCACGCGTCATCGATCATGCTAACGGATGCCGCTTCATGGCCAACAGCAGATCATCTCCATCTATTAAAGGTTTTTTTTTTCAGATCTATGATTCTGCTATAGGAGGTGCCCAGCTTCTCTCGGGCCGACTTTGCTATAAAACCTAACGCGTCTTGACCATTTTTCCTCATCCCCCTTCGTTCTCACAACATCGAGTCACTGTCATTCTTTTGAAAAACCCAATCCTTCTCAATGCCTTCCTTTAGCACCATCCTCTCCTACGCCGCCCTTGGGCTCGCTGCCTTTGCCAGCGTCCAGGCTGCTCCTGCCCCCGTGCTTGAGACCAGCTTAGCCGTTCGCACTCTCGACGCGCGCTGTGGATGCACTCCCCTGCCCCAGCTCGTTAACAACTTGATCACCGACCTGACCGTCGTCCTCGAGCCCGTTCGTTAGTAGCCCGTTCATTTTTTCTTCGTTCTCATCGGATACTTATCCTTTCCCATTGCAGAGTACGTCACCTCAGGGAACTGCACTGCAGATGTCCTTGAGCCTATCCTTGAGGACGTCATCAACATCCTCGAGGTGGCCCTCACTGATGTCCAGGCTCTCGTCGGCTTGACCATTGACGTCGTTCTGTCCACCGGCAGTGGTGTGCTCTCCGTCGTTGACCTTTGCGGCCTCCTAACGACTCTCATCAACGTAAGTCCCTGTCATGCTTTCGGTACTACCTCCCGACTGACTTGTTGCTCCCAAGCTCGTTTGTGGTGTTGTCGCTCTCGTCATCAAACTCGTTGCCGTTGTCGACAAAGAAGTTGTCTGCAACCTTCTGGGACAAATAGTGTATGTACCCTCTTCTGGTGGCCGAAGCTATCCTGACCGCCTCTCTAGCGTCCTCCTCTGCAAGATCCTCGCAGTTGTTGTTGGTCTCGTTGACGGTGTTCTGGCGCTTCTTGTGACCCTCCTAAGTAATGTTGTTCTCCCCCTCATTCTCAACCTTAGCTTGGGTGTTGTTTTGAAGGACGTCTGTGGCATCCTTGGCCTCGTCCTTTAAATCACCCTACTTCAAAGGAGATAGCCATAGTGTCTTTTTCCAATGGTTGTCTTTGACACCAGTACAGTTTCACTATAATTTATCTACGAGCTTCCTATAGACCAATTATTAAATTGCATAATAGAGTTACTCACCGTCTCTTATCCGGCTTCTGATCAAGATGACGGTACAACAGCAGGGATACTTTTGTACATTATGAGGATCTATGAAATAAACATACAGTGCGTGCAATGAACAGATATCGAGGGCCCAATTACTAGTATACCAGACTAAGACAACGAGACGATCACAAGAATGCTAAATTTGATGCAATTCGAGTCTGGATAGAGAAACAGGCGAGGTGTGACTGAAAAAAATGGTAAGACAACCACTGAATTAAAAAAAAGTCATCGAACCAATTATTGCAAGCAGCAATGATAATTAGTGCTGGCAGATACTGGTTGTACTGCTGCTAGCGCAGCAAGGATCTCGTCCTGCTTCCTAAGCATTTCGTCCTGCTTCCTGGACATTTCGTTTAATCTCTTCTCCAACTTGTCGATGACGGTGCGAAATTTTATTACTAGCACATCGAATCTACAGGCGATCTCTTGAGGGGTGTCCTCTGCGCGGTTCTCGCTGGATTGGCCAGCCTCGGGCTCGGATATCCTATAATAAATCAAAAATCAATAGTCTATCGGTATACACAAATGATAAATGCTCTTACTTTGAAATTCGGATAGGCTGGCTAATAAACATCATTGAATATGACGACAGCACATTAAATCAGAAGGGCGGTCATACTTTCGGGGGTCGTTGAGTCCATAGTAGAGCCTGGACGAGTTGGGCGGCAAGTTACTCCTCCTCGCTGACCGGACACGGGTTCATACGATACACTTTGAGGTAGTAGGGTAAGCGCACCTGTTCTCTCGGTCCTGGAAAACAATAGTCAGTCACTGATATACATGTGTACATTTGGATGGAAACTTACCAACCGTCGGAGCTGCTACCTTCGCCTTCGCCAAAACAGTAGAAAGAGGGAGCCTCTTCCGACTCGGGCGACGCTTGACCGTTATTGTTCTTGGAGCTCCTAAAATGGTGTATATCTATCCTGTTAGGCAACGAACATGCGCTTGCTCACTGTGTGTCGTCGGCAGCTCCTATTCCTGGATTTGCACCCAGACTACTGAGGGAAGAACAGGGGCCTACTGAGCAGCTGCAGTACCCATGTCAGGATACACGACGAGGAAATCAGTTAGCCGATAGAGCTTACCCTGAGGAGCTATTGGATGCTAATTCTTCGTTGTCGTCAGTGGGGCTGGCCGCTACCTTGATATATCGGTGGTGGGCACGACGTCGGCGGGTAGATGGTAGGAAGAGGTGAGGTGTGAGACGGTGCAGGAACTCTGTGGTCTGTGTCATCGTAAGTACTAGTTAAGTGAGTGCCCTCGCTTCGTTCTTTAACCAATGACATCATTGCCAGATAATCACATGTTAGGGTTGTCTATGTAGACAGCAGATTCCATACTTTCGAAAGATTGAGATAGATATACTAGACATGAATCGTGAGTGCACACGCGTGCAATGATCATACAATGCATAGAAAAAAACGTTCTAGATATACCATCTTCCACTTCCCAAGCCTATACCTGCACCCGAAGAATTATTTCCGTCTGGTCGCGGGCCAGGATTAGTAGGGCCGTCATCTCCTTCATCATCTCCCCCATCTCGTCGACGTGGTCCCGAAGAACTCTCAGTTGGTGGTTGATACGAGTGTCGGGGGCAACGGCGGGCCTGCGGGGGAGAGGGTCCTTTCACCGCTTTGCGACAAACTGGACACGTTCTTGCCCCTTTCAGCCATTGCTATAAGACATCATCAGCACAAAGGGTTCAGGCGACGAGCAACAAGAAACAAACCTCAAGACATTCCTTGTGCAGCCAGTGAGAGCAATCATTGAGCTTCATGACAGGATCGGTCGGGGAATACTGAAAAACACTGATTGAGAACACGTAACGGAATGAGAGACAAAAGCGGCCCACATCATCCAAACAAATTGGACACCGGTGATCACTATCGCTTGTCGACCAATCCTTGTACAAGCCAGTCTTCATGCCCGAAATGACATCGGCAGGTGTAGCTTTAGGTACATCTCCAAGAATTGAACTGAGTGAGAGCAAGCCTTCATACGAATCATCAAAGTCTTCGTCTCGCTAAAAATCAACCAACTCAGCAAAAATACAACATAATCTTGATAAGTCTTACCACAAAATCGCCCATTCCGAATCCACCTGCCCTCGCCCGTCTAACCCTCCAAGGCGCATGTATGAATTCCAGGTTATATAGATCCAATGGCCGGAAGAGCGAGCTATATCCTTCATGGTGATGGGCTCTCATATAGCGGGAATTATTACGCGAACCACGGGCTGCAGCCGCCCTAGACGGCAGAGGCTCCGCCGACGGCCTTGTTGCAGTCGGTCCTGGGGGAGAAGGCCGCTGTCGAAGTGTGTGATTTGGGCCGCTCACCCTTCGGCTACAGACATCCCTCGTTATTTCTGACGCATTGTAGAAAAAAAGGGATTAAACATACCTATCGTCAAGGTCACCCCAAGTTCTAAAGACAGTATTCGTAGCTGTCCTCCGTTCATCGCGTCTTTGTTGCTGTTGCTGCTGTTCAGTATCGCCATGCTCACGTTCACGCTCCCTCTCCCTCTCCTGCTCGTGATACCGGTCAATCAACTGCCTCGACCGCGCCGAGGACAATCCGTCATGACGAAGAACTTCCAAAGCGTGTGAGAGGCCATCCGTGTCGGGTCCAGAGGTGGCGGATGTGGCAGCCGCCTGTTCCAGTCTTGAAGCTTCCATTCGCGCTCGTCGACTAAGGTAGCTGTGTATATCTGACGGAGAACGACGGGGAGGGTCCTCGTCTACCACACGCCTTGAATAAGCAGGCCGAGGGGCAGAACTATCAACACCAGCCCTTCCGTAGAACAGGTTGGACCTGCGTGGAGGTACCCGGTCGCTCATGGCATTCACATGTTCTGGAGGATTTCGGGAGAAACGATCCTAATACCTTTATTTAGTTAAAATATCACATAGTTGTCCCCCCGCCAAGCTTACCGTAGGATGTGACCTCTCCTCCGTCCTTAATCTCGAGGGAGGAAAATCATCTTCAAATGGAAGCGGGGGAATGGACGGCGGACGCGATGTCTCGTTCTGCTGTCTCGCTCTGATCCTATCAGCTTGCCATATCATCGTATTACGAAATGGTCCAGGAGCAAATGCATCGGGATTGATACTTATAGTATCTGGCCGGAGAGCAGCAGCGCTCTGTCTTGATGGTGTCGGTGCGGGCGGACGGCGTTCAGGAGATGTTCCTCTTTCATAGTTCAAAAGTTCAGAAACTGTGGGATCGACAGGTGGTAAAGGTGGTAGGCCATAGGGCTCTGGTTCAGTAGAGTCTGAAGTGTGCGGGATGAAGATGGCGCCAAGGTCTGGTGGCGGAATTGAGGGTGGGTTCGCAGAAGGTTGCCGAGAAAGAAGCGGGTCGCTGTAGAAAGGAGAGTTTTCCTGCCGATCGTTGCGAGTCACGGCGCGCGCCATATCCGATATCGTCGATGACCGCGAGTCGAAGAAGTCTACTGACAAGTGGCGTTCGGGAGGACGAGGAACCACCCTGCCATGACGCTGATACTCATCGACTGATGGGCGCGAAGGATGATTATTCAAGCTAGACGACCGCCGGACCGGACTGTGAGAAGGAGGGGGCCTGGATGTGGAGGTATTATTATAAGACGACGAATCATAACCCCTTCGTAAAAGATATGCGAGACGTCTTTCTCTCAATGCATCGGTAGTGCTGGTGCCTCTTGTACGATCTGGTGAAGGATAATTCGGTAAAACGCGAACAGGGTGAGGAAAAGCGAGGTCCTCCTGACTAGACTCGGCCCGATCAAAAAGTTCAGACCAGGCGTCTGCACGCCTTGAGATTGAGAAGCGGCCCCGTTCCTGGGGGAGTGCTAAGTCTTGCCATTCATCATCGGAGTCGGGTTCCCGCTCGGGCCGAGGGACATCGCTCTGAAGACGCTCCATTAACTCAGCGTGAGCATTACGCCTCCGTATTTCGGATGCACTCTCAGATATGAGAGAGTTTGATGATCCGGGTCTGGAATAAGAGCCATATGCCCGAGTTCGAAGACGTCGGAGTGTTGGAACGACTGGAGATGGAGAATGTGAACGGGAGGAAGGCCTAAAACCTGCTAATGACCGTAACGAATCTGATTGTGATGAGCACCTGGTCCACCACTAACAAATAAAACAGACCTTCAGAGTGTGCAGTAGCTAAGCGAGACCTGACTGGAGAGCGAGAAGGTCTTCTAGACATTGAATCTGAGATGCGCTCATCGATATCAAGCCAGCCCGGAAGGTCCGTTTGGGTGTTTCTGCGCCTGCCGCGCTCTTGATCTAAATTGTAATTAGAGTTGAATCCAGGAGGACAGCCCAAATGCTGACCGGATTCAGACTCTCGAGGATCCAGTAATCCCTGCTCGATATATCGTGAGTTGTTCTCGAGAGGGTCGGTAAGAGGTGGCAGCTCCAAGTAGGGTTGATCCTCCGAAGACCTTCGGTCCCTAGCGGCTGCTGATAAAAGAGCGTCTTCGTCCCAAGGTGAGGGTTGCTCCTCAAACCATCTCTCCAGCGCGCGATCTAGATACGAATAGGCAGATTCAGATTGACGACGGGTTTGAGATGAAGATGGGCGCATATTCATAGCTCTGCGAAATGCAGCGCGATCAAGGAGTGGTCCAAGTGCGGGTCTGTCTTCTTCCATGGAACGATCTCCCCGAGAGCCTGATGCATCTTCTGACGCGTTGGTTTCATCGATATCCCGAAATACAGAGGTAAGATCTAAAGAGGACAACTGAGACGAAGTGAAATCGAATCCATCACTGAAGCGAATCCATTCAGTGGAAGGCAGACTCAGGCGAGAGGTCGGATCTGAGGTGGGGTTTGGGGCTGATGAAGAAGATGAGTTTGTGCAATGTCTGGCAAGTCAAACAATTACTCACGTCTTTCATCACCATCAACTGGACTTTGGCTGGAAGCAGCCCTATTAGAACGGGGAGACGAAGGTCGAGGCGGATTTGGCTGTGGCGGTTCTGGAACGTCTGAAGCGTCATATGGTAACAGAAATGGAATAGATACAGGTTGTTGTTCTTCTGCAAGAGAAAGAGGCGGCAAAGTCGGGGGAGGTGTTGGGGTTCGTGGCAATGACGGTGTCCTTGAGTGGCGCAGAACAGAAATTTGGGTATCGAACTCGCCGAATCGCTGCAGCGTGAGACTGAAAGGGTCCTCGTCCTCGCCACGGCTTCCGGTCCCGTTCCTACTCGCTCGGGAGTCCTCTGCGGACATTGAGGTTGATGACTCCACCGTCAAAGGATAATGGGGCATCTCAATGTCCTGGATGACTGGTGTAGGCAATCGCGGTGGTAAAGGCGGTATAACTGCTGGTTCTTGTTCGACGGTAGGGGCTGGCTCGCTGCCGGACGGGCTGGTCTCGCCAGAAGAGACGACGGTAGAGGATCTGGAGCTGCTCGAGGAAATGCTGTGGGCAGAAACACTGCTCGCACTCCTTGCACGTTTGTTACGGTCCCTGCGTCCTCCATTGTCCGTCGAGCTCGACCCTACATCATTGCCAGTCGTGGGACTCTCCAAGTCGAATCCGAATTGTTCGAAAGACCGCTTGAAGGACGTCGCATTCGCCGGTAGAGTAAGGTGAAGCTGCGGTGGACAGTTTGCAGACATTCCCGACGGTCTGCTGAGGGGAAGATGGCGGTAAGAGACAAGGAGGGCTTGCTCGTGGTCGTCGCCAAGTAAGTACTTTGCCAGAAATGACGAATTGACTTTTTTGGACATCCGCGAATTCGAAAAATAAATCTCAAGCTGATTTTCTTCCATTGTTTTCGTGAACCAATGACTAGCTACTGTTCTCAAGATTAAAATAACTGAACCCTGATGTACCCTCAGAATGATCCAAGGAGAAAGATCTAAAATCATTTCTTCGCGCTGCCAGCAGCCCTCGAAATCTCATTCTAAGACAACTTCGAGCACAAATGATTTCCAGGGTCTGCGACTCCACTGGAATCGGAATACGCAAGAGACGGAGGAGCTGTATTTCCGCCGCATGTGTCCGAATCATTGTTCGCCCGTTTGAATATTCTTCTTAGATACTAATAGAGGTCTTGGTAAGCGCACCCTTGCTATAAAGTAACAAACATCTTACGTCTCGAAGCCGCTTGTAAATTGCGTAGAGTAGCACAGTGAGAACAGAAGACAGGAAGGCTGACAGCATGGTATGACTGGCGGAGAAATTGCACGTCGATGCACAGCTTGATGAAACATAGGATATGTTCGGAGTAGATGTCGACTCCACACCATAATAAACGGTGCTAGATGGAGAGCGAATCATCATCCTTGATGGATACGTCGTACCTAACACATATGTATATATCTTACCATCTTGTTGAAAGAAATTCACTCACCCTCAACAGCCAAGATCGGCACTGCTTGATTCTCATACACATACGCAGTCGGGAGCCCCGCACGCGAAGTACTTGAATAAACTTCTTGTGTTAGAGGTCCGCCAACCGTCGGGGGCGCTTCATCGCCGTTATCACTTCCCACGGGCTGTGTTTCCTGGGACCTGAAAGAGACTACGTCAATCGACGCACTATCGACGACGAAAACACGTACGCAATCCCAATACTGTCGTACCCTACGTCTGGCACGCCCGATACATCGATGACACGTCTGGATATGGGGCTGGCACACGTTGTTTGGATCATCACGATGGTGATCAGCAGAGTTACCATACCGTTGAGTTTGGACAGATCAGGATCATGGTCACAGGTATGTTGAAGAGATCAAGCTATTTTATACTCTGCAACAACAGCACTTGAGAGCGGCTGTTTATCCACAGAGTTACCGTTGACAGCAGATAGCACCCTTAGCATGAGAGATAACAGCTAGCTATACAGCTTCAGGGCTAAGGGTCCTGAAAGCTACTTTATCAGCATGACAGGAACCGCTCAACGAAATGATACACCTTGCCTTAATGCCTTGGATTGTGTTTTCTGTGAGTTTTGCGACGCGTCTGAACAGTTGCTTGGTTTATGCTGGAGTTCTCGCTTTTCAGTCATCTATAAAGGGAAGGGAATGTACAAGTTTGACCTTTCTGTTTGCATTACGGTCGCATGTATATCCGTCTCAAGACGACTGTTGGCTTGTCAATCTAGGCGACTTCGCATTGGGCAAGCGGGGCTTGGACCACAATGCTTGTATTGGACGATAAGCTTGTTGTTCTTACAGCAGAAGTGGAGCCTGTGCGTGGAAACCGTCAAGGAGCCATGAGCCACTAAGGTTGGTATAGATAGTTTACTGTAGATGATCAATGAGACCCACTGATTTAGCGATAGAGATGCATAAACGGACCCGAGATATGGCCGGTGGCACGAAAAGACGGGATCGCCATGCAAATAGCTAGAGCCTGGCTGAAGTCAATCTTATAAGCTGTAAGCATCATGCCTGTTTCTTTCTATGTATGGTATTGCAAAGGATATATGTATCTTGCCGATGAGGGGGAGGCTTGAGATATATGGGATGGGACCTGGAAGAGCTGTGTAAGTTTCACACCCAACAACATCGTGTAAAATATTGGTACCTTCTGTTAAAAAGTAATTCCCGCTCCAAAACAGTTTCGGTATCTGAATCCTGATATAGATTCAACGAAAGGATCCGGGAGATGTCGAACGTTTCCCCCGTTGCTAGACGGTAAAAGGACATAGGTTGGTTCGCGACCATGGTATCTGGCGTTGGCAAGTCTTCCAGATAATTAAAGTTTAGATAGTAATACCAGGCTCAAGACGGTTGTTGGCTTGCGGATCTAGACAGTGACACAATGCTGTCGCACCAGATTGGTTTGGAACATAATCTATGGACTTGACGGTAAACCTGATCGATTTTAATGACAGGACTTATTCTATGCATGAAATTGTCAAGAAACACGGAGCTGCTAGGTGTAATATAGAGCTTACTGGACCAGTTGGGAACCCAACCTTGATTTGGCGGTTGAGATGTATAAGCCGTGGTATGGGTGATCTTCACTCAAACAGCTAGAAGTATGAAGCTGAGGTCCAATTCCTGTGAGCTGTAAGACATCTTTTCCTGCTTCATTCCATTGCTACCGAGCCACTGTACAGTTGTCGCTGAGTTGGAATCCCGAGGTGGGATGTAGTCGTCAAGAGTCGACCTCAGGGCAGTCATCATCGATTCTAGTGAATGTGGCGTACATACGAAGGTGTGAGGCTGGTAAGATGGGGGTGAAGAGGAGAGATTTCGATTGCAAGAGCGGTAAAAGGACAGGAACATGGTTTAATTAATTATTGCCATTTTGAAATTTATTAGTATAAAAATATCGAGTATCTCTGTCCAAATCACGTGAATATCGTGTGACCATACTACATGGACGCGTACGCCGTATACTAACTTAGTTACTAACTTTACGAGACCGAGTCAGCTACGTACAAGCCACGTTGAGCCTTCTTCACCTTGAATCAATTCACACCGACTTTCAAAATTTCACTTATGCTCTGGAACAACGACGGCCCAACTAATCCAAAACATATTTATAATTTGAGGTGCTTCTTCGTTAGTCTCTTCTGATTTATCGCGGCTGTAGTAGATGGATCTTTTATTTTGTACTCATAACCGCACGGTTGGATGCCTGAGTTGGCATTTCCAAAACTTTGAAACCTCGTTGATCCAGTGGTATAATCTTATCCTTGAAGTACCTAGCTGGCCGTGAGGGTTCTATTCATACAAAAAGCATAATGCTTACTCTGTCCAGGCTTTACTCTTGAAGGTAGATCCCTTTTCAGCTCGCAAAGTCTTCATAAACGCGTCAAATTGTGCCCAGAAAAGTTAGCCCTTAGCCTTGACGAGGTGCATTCTCTTGTTCATTCGTAGAGGTTCTCCCAACGACCGCGCTTTGTCCATCTCCCGCTCAATATCATCTGCATCAGGCTCATATCTGAAAAGCGGATGCTCATGTACGAAATTTCTCTATTCCAATTAGACAAGTCTCATCATTCAGAAGAACAAGTATACACACCAGAAGTGCATTGCGACGTGCTGTGTTTTCCTCCAGGATGGCAGCCGCTGTCGTTGTGGGTGCGGGACAAAAGTGGCGAAATTTTTGATTCATTTCGAGCGTGAAAATGTCGAGGGGAACGTTGGGAACGCTCTTGAAAATCTGAGGAGCGTTGATAAGAGTAAGAAGAATAAAAATAAAACAGAGCATTCTCACTGACCATCTCCTTGAACCTCCCCCGAACGCTAGCGCAGTGGCGTTCAATTGTCCTCATGAGGGCTCGTTCGCGTACCGGACTTCCGAAGATGTTCGCAAATCGCAGAGAGGCTTTATCTTTCTTGATGGTGCTCTACTCAGATATTCAGTGATCAACAGAAGCTCAGCCTATCAGACATACCATAACCTCTAAATGCATGTTGCAAACTGAGATGCATCCGGGAGCATAAATAACATCACGGACAATAGCTCGAATGGTGGCTTCCTGCTCCTTTATTGAAGTAACTATGACGCCGTTTTTCATGGTAAAGGCTCTTCCATCAGGGATTCGAGGTCCTAGAGACCCTTGTTCCGTGTTGCAGTGGAATCTCCACATGGGAAACTTGGCGTCTGAACAATTGTTCCAAAATAGATCATCGAATAGGCCAGAAAAAAAGGTCTTGACATCTGGTGAGAAATTGAGCACGAAAACCAGAGGAGATGTGTTTCTTACTCGTGAGTGTTCTTCCCGCCTTCCAGAAACGGCGGTTAATACCCCATATATCTTCATTTCGTTCTTCACAGTAGGTGCGATGGCGGAAATGACGAGTACCGCCAAAGCACGTCGAACCTTCTGCTACCGAGTTATAGGAGACTATTTTCGACATGCCTCTTAGCTGCAAACTGTACTGACACATATCGCGGACCAACTCGCCGAGGAAGTCTGACCATGAATGCTTGAGTTTACTGGGATTAACTTCGCCGATATCCGGAGCATCGTCAATCGTGATGTACCAATCTACGGGTAGCGCACTAAGCGAAAACAGTTCATCAAGTCTTATGGAGACTCGAGTTCGGATGATTCGGTTAAACACTTTCCATGGCCTTCCAAGGAGCTTGATTTCGAGGTTGATGCACTGGATATCGGGAAAACATTTGCGAAAGCCGGCGTAATTGGGCATGTGGCAGAACACTATGTATGGGAACAAGGCTGGGTCGTCGTTTGATTCGATGAGATCGACATGACAAGTGATCGTACGGGTAGATTTGGAGAGAAAAGGGCGATAGATGGAAGACCTTTTGGTACGGATGATAGAGCTGAGGTAGAATAGGTATCCTTGAGTTGGAACGTGGATGTCTTGGGATGTGATAGTAGCATAGACGTCCCTCCAAACCCTGCATAGAAGGGGGCATCCAGTCATGAAGGCAATACGGTCGTCAGACGGATGTTCAGCGTACCAAAACTCGGAGATGATAATCTCGACGAGTTCGAAGGGCAGCTGAGCCATCGTTGGTGCAAGGAAAGAATGGAGAGAAGCATTACAATGTCTCGGTAGAATTCAAGACAAGGTGTTCGAGATCTGAGCATATGTGAGCATTGACTCGCTGTCAGCACTCTTGATATAGAGGGGTAACAGTCAATGGCGGACTTATTTGAGCACTCAGAATATAGTTATTTGAAGATAATAAATATCTGGCTATGGTGAAGAGCAGGAAAGCAGCCAGAATAAGCACTACCATGAAAAATCAACGGCATCACACCTCGAAACGAGATATTCCGGTTCAATTTCCCGGTCGTTAGCAATTGCGACCCCAAGGGCAGAGCGAAAGAAAAAAAAACTTGCTAACTTGAAAGAAAGAGAAAAGATTTTGGGACTATTTGTCTACAACCTCATAAACAAACAAAGCCTGTCGTCATTGTCGCGGGAGCCGGATTTTCCTTTCGATCCATTCTATCATCACGGTAATATTCATAATGTCGGGATTCTTGCCGTCTGCTGAAACCTTCGCAAAGGCGAGTAGTCTAGACATATTGTGGCCGATTCGTGCTCATGAAATAGATTAGGGGGCATTCGCTACCGCAGCGACGGTAACAGCAACGGCGGCAGCGCTGCTGTACTACGGGCAGAATTATCTCATCTGTGAGTGGCCCCCATCCTCGCAAGTGACGTCGGTGACCAAGAGCCCTCCCAGATCCGTCGGCGTACATTAGTCTCGGTCCAGAAGCGGATAGTACGTCTCTGCTTTACTCCTCGGGACGTTACTTGACATCGGCGTCCAGTTGTAGAGTCCCCAAGTTCGTTCGGACTACACTACGAGGATGTTGACTTGAAGACATCTGACGGGGTCACCTTGCGTTGCTACCTCCTCCCGCAGAAGAAGGAACTCCCACGGCCAACACGCTTCTCGACGATACCCATTACACCGCTCAATTATTCGGAGACGGAGACGGATGAGGAGGTGCGTCGTTTCTTTCTAGTTCAAGCTTCCATTTACTCAGGTAGCACGTAGTTTATGGCCCGTCGGCCAACGGTAATCATGTTTCACGGGAATGGCGGCAACTTGGGACACAGAATACCGCTGGGGATGATGTTTCAACTCCTTATGCGGTGTAATGTCTTGATGGTCTCGTATCGTGGGTGTGTACTTGTTCTTTTTTTCTTGCAATTGTTTTCATTCCCCTCGTAGGTATGGAAAATCCGATGGCTCACCCTCAGAGAAAGGTGCATCCAATACTCCCTTCTCATTGCTGACGCGTCCTTACAACCCCGCGTCAGGCTTCCAGAAAGACGCACAAGCCGCATTGGATTACCTTACGTCTGACCCCCGGTTTTCGAAGACGCGAATTGTCAAGATTCCCTTTTTTGTACTCAGGCTTAATGCTGATGTCTTGTGTTATACAGTTCGTATACGGGCAATCCATCGGCGGAGCTGTAGCTATCGACCTCGTCAGCCGGAACCCAAGCAAGATCTTCGCTCTTATTCTGGAAAACACCTTTACCTCTCTCCCTGAACTGGTCCCGCACGTCCTACCCATCCTCGGCCCGTTCACATTTTTGTGTCACCAAAAGTGGAATTCGGCTTCGAAGGTCCCGCTGATTCCGGCGAGGACGCCTGTGCTGCTGTTAAGCGGATCTGCGGATACACTGGTCCCTCCAGAGCATATGCGAGCGTTGAGGGAGTTGATGCGCAAGCGGGGAGAGGACGAGGTGTCTAGATGGGAGGAGTTCCCTGGTGGTCAGCATAGTGAGTCGTGTACTCTTCCCCTAACGTTTTACTGACAATAAATGTAGATGATACTTCGGCACAGCGCGGGTACTGGCATGCCGTTGATGATTTCGTAACGAGCCTTGTTCTCGCTTCTGAAAAGGAGAAGGCTCCATTGTAGAATGGGTGTTTAAATGTAATGTACTACTTGGTTCTTGCTGTTATTGTAATTTAGTTCGTTATGGAGGAGCTCCCAGGCGGGAAGGTAACTATGCTGTTACATGAGAAGATTCTTTCTGTCTGAACTACTGATGAGTTACCACTTCCACATTTAAGAGGCGCCTAAGGACAGTAGAAAGGACATTCTTGCTTGCGTAGCGACGGTCAAAAAATGTTCTTGATACTATCGAGGGCATGGACTCCTTACTCGGTTTCATACAGGAGGCTTGAGTGTGATTGCAGGCACCTATGAGTACCGTAGAAGACTTGTGTGCACCAATTACACTCCATTTGACGTGCTGTTATTCAAAGGACAGATTAATTGAAAATTTAATCGGGATGGAACGACATAGGAAGCATTATCTGCAAATGAGCACCTCAACAAAGAAAGGAGCCTGAAACAGAAGGTGGTATAACAAACTGGCTACCGCAGTGTCAACTTGTAGATGTCTTAGAACACGTATGAATTCTAGTTTACAGAGCCAAGGTCTTTGGAACCGACGAGCGGCAAGGCATAGGGAAAAGTAGCGTGAGCTGATGTAGGATTACAAAATTCATGGTTGTGACGAACGATAACAAAAACTTCTTCATACACATCTCTATCGCTCTAAACAGAAGCGTACAACTGTGTCCACTCCTGGCTGACGCGCTGTGCGTCCTTCTCATTCTCCTTGTAATGCTTCGCAACATCGGTAGCGAGAGGGTCATCAGGATTCGGCGCACTGAGTAACGCTTGTATCGACAACAAGACAGTGCGGATCTGAAGAGCAGGCGACCATTTGTCTTTCACATGCGATCGGTTAATCACCAATTGCGAATGAAAAGATGAGTGACGTACCTTTCAGGATATCTAAACAGATTCGCCCGAGTTTATCTGTTTATCCATCTGAGTGAGATCACAAAAATTGCTTGCTCGTCGTACGGCGTACCGATGTTAGGATGGTAGATCTTGGTCAGGAAACGGACCTTGGGAGGCGCCATTGGGTATTCCTCGGGAAGAAAAAGCTCTAGCTTGAAAACACCGTCTGTGCGGATAGGTTCAGTAACTCCCGACTGATTACTGGACAGACGAACGTACTGGCAAACGGACTCCCATCAGGACCCTGGATAGTAACATCGAAATATCGTAGATTGTCTTCGTGCGGTGCAGCTGTTATTCCCGGTGCTGGGTCTGCTACCAGTCGTTCGGTTTCCTGTGCTTCTGGGTGAATGCACGCGAGCACTAAAAGATGGTTGCTAGTACCTTGATAATCCGCTGCGAACCGATAAAGAAATGAGGAAGTAAAAAAGAGAGGCAATGTCAGAGAACGTACCTTGGGCAGGGCCATATGCAAGGAGAAGGAGAATGGAGCGATAAAATTACAGTGGCGGAGGAGGCCAAGGCTGTGGATGGAAGTAAAGAAGCAGCTTTTCCGTCACATGTCATCATAGGATGACTCAGCAATGCCGTTTCTATTTTGGACCAGAAACATAGCAATTGACCATTGGAAGCGTCGATTTAAATGTCCGAAGTGGCTCATTTCCTCAATTTTGAGAATTTACTTTGGAAATTTGATAGAATAATAGATTGGATATCATGCCTTCATGGCGCCAAGTTTTAGATTTTTCAGAAGAACATGGGCTGCTGCGGAATGGTACCGCCATGCAAGTGGCGGTCAATTTTAGCAAGGAAGTGTCAAGTGCTGCAAAGCTCAAGATTATTTTCTGGGAACAAGACATACCAGACGAGCAGAACTATTAAGGACACCAATAGGTATCCTAGAAAAATTCGAGGTACAGTAGGAAGGAATTGTGGCTGCTAGAAGTATTGAAAAGCATGTTGAATTTGACACTTCTGGTACATCGAAAACAGGTGTTGCGCTAGTTACGGTAAAGTACACATATACTACAAGGGGTTTTATGTCTACTCTCTACTCGGGTTCCTTCTTGATCTCTAGCCAAGGGGAACGAAAGTTTTCTGGGGGGGACCCTAAATTCGCCAGAGGCGGGATTCTATAATTTAGTAGTAGATCCATTCATGTTATCTCAGATTTCATATTGGGGGGAGTCTGGGGGAACGATGCTTGAAAAATGCTCTATTAGAAAAGCAGGTGTAAAACATCGAGTAGAAGGAAACAAAAGCAGGGTTGCAAATAAAACACGCTGTTTCGGTGAATCCAAGTCACGTTAGTGGATTGAGAATACCCAATATCATCTGCACACTAACCTTGATCTACTTCTTCTTCCTCTCATGCTCCTCATGCAGCGCATCCCGCAAGTTCTGCAACTGAACTGTCACAGCCGTGTTGATTCCCTGCCCCGCCGTCGTACGAGCTTGGAACTCGCTCATAAAAGCGTCAATTTGCTTTTGGGTGCTCCTGGCTGAGATTGATGTCACTGAGAAAGGCTGTATTCGTGCCGGAGGGTTCAACGGCGCATCCATGATGGAAGGAAATGAAAATGGAGAAATTTTAATAACTTCGGACCAGGAAATCATGTCACGTGGTACGTCGACCAGAAATTACGAAAATGTAAATGCGGATGAGTATTTTAATGCTTGGGTTACAATACATGAGTAGATGCCGGTGACAGAGAAAGAAATACAACATTAATCAAATATGCCCTGAAGAAAGGAAGTAAATGGAAAGTAAATAAGAAATTCTAGTCAAACTCCTGCATCGCATTATCCAGCTCCTCCGGATCTATATCGAAAGAGCAATCAAACGAAGTATCCGACGAGGGCTCCTTCTGAGGAGCAGGGGGTGCGGGAGGGGGAGGGGGACTCGGAGGCTTCTCCACAGGCTTCGGAATCTGAGTTCCAATGAGAAGAGGCGGTTTAAACCCTTTCTGGTGCGTCGGCAATGGCCTATTCGCAAGCGGACCTGTTGGCGCCGAACTGGCTCGACGCACGCCCATACCCAGTTGCCGAGGGGGAGGTCGATGGGAAGGATCTGTGCCCAAGGGCTTTGGTTGCGTTGCAATGGGCGATTGAGATGGAGGTTGGCGAGATACAGATCGCGACGATGCCGCAGAGGAAGTCGAGGGTCGACTTCGGTTAGATAAAAGAGTGGGTTGAGGTGTTACCCCTCGGCTGGAGGAACGACCGCTTTGCCTAAGGGAATCACCTTTAGAAATCGAGGGCGGCTGTCCCTCGTTTCTCTCGGATGACGATGGTGGAGTGACAAGTGCCTGCCTAATGAGTTCTGTTCGACTGACAGAGGATGAAGACCTGAGACTCCTGGTTGACGAATGCCTGCTTGGTCCAGAAGGAGCCTTGTTTGCATTTAGAGACAAACAAGTTGCTGCCTTCTCGCCCTCGCCCGATCGGGGTTGGGATGTCGTCTTTGGTGTTGTAGATGTCTGCGGAAGTGAAGTCGTCACAACGTGTACAGCATCGTTGCTAGAGGAAGTAGTTTTGACGACCTTTAACGGAGCAGACGGTTGTTTGCCATGTGCATTTTTCGGGTCCTGCTGCGGGCACTTTGGGACCGCGCCGTCCAGTAATGCTCTACTGCGTCCCGGAGCATTCTCACTTGGACCAGGAGTCAACAATGGGGGTGGAGGTGGTGCCGGAACTGCGTGTTCGCCATGCATACTATGTGAACTAACATCCAGCATAGGAACGTCCGAAAGTGATGTCGTCGAAGTGGAAGCCGGCAAAGAGATGGTTGGCGTAGTAAATTTGCCACTATGACGTCCCTTATTAACGTCCTTTTTGGAATCTTGTGCAAGCCCTTTTCCTTTCCCTTTGCCTTTCGGAGCGGGTGGCGGACACATAGTGTTACGTCCGTTTTTTCTTCTCATCGTGACTTTCTCCTTCTCCTTAGCCACAGAAACCTGCTCCGAGTTCTCGTCGTCAACCCGGACCATTCCAATGAGCCCGAACAATTTGTTTACTTCGGGTATGGCACCGGGTAAACTGGTAGATGTGGGAGTGAGGGGCTGCAGTGCAGTGGAAGTGGTCCGTCGCGGAGGAGGACGGCGCTTCGTATTATATGGGGCAGATCTCCGACGCTCTTGAGGGGAACTAGGGCCATCCCACCTGGGGATGCGCTTATCGAGTGCTACGAAACATCAGCAAGTCGAGTCTCGTATATGGAAGCAAACATACAGGAACCAACCAAGCTCTCTGATGACTCCATGATAAGGTCGCGAAGGGCCACGTTGGGAGTTTGGGAGGCCTTCCACAAAGCGTGTCCGCTGTTGTCCGGCGACGACGAAGATATTTCATCCTCCAAATTGTCGATATCCATGGCTAGCGACGCATCGGGGGTGATATCCATATCAGCCTCACGATGTACGCTTTTCGTGCTTTTGTGGAATGTGTTCGAAAGTCAAGCCACCTAAACGGATGCTACTAAATATCAGTGCCATGAAAGAATCTACGTTTCGGCTCACTATTTGTCGCGCAGGTTCACCGCAATAGCATATATATGACTATATACCACCCAAAAAAAGCGTAAATAGGCGATTGAAAGAGCAAAAGTCAAACCACTCGTAGCTCTCTTTCAGAGCGACTTTGGAGAACGATGAGCGCCTGCTTGAAAAGAAGGGGTAGGGTGACGTACAGATAAAGACAGTTCTCGATATCTCGAGTAAAATACACCAGTTACGCGACCAAAAAACGCGTCGATAGAGCCACTGCAAGAAGGAATAAGGGCGACGACATGCAAGTTTGAAAACAAAGCGGGCATCGGACCGGGGCCCTTTATACCGGCGGATGCTTCGGACCGTTAGCTACCCACGTCCAAAAAAGACATCACAGGTCAGTACTTCAGTGCTCGCTCTTAATCCTCCTCGAGCCGCAAAGAAGATTAAATGTTGTATTTGTTATGAATACTATCTCATCAATAGGTCTCGTGCCCATTTGAAAGTTCGCCTTGAAATATCTGATTTGGCCTTTGCTGGACTTACAACAACCCATTCCTAACGCCTTCAAGTCAGAGACGTCTTATTTTCTCCTATGCCAGACCGGTAAATGACTGTGTGTATGAAATAATTGACAACATCTGGACATTTCTTTCTACTCTCCCTCCCCAACCAACATTCACAATTTAGATGACATAGTGGTGCGTATTTTCTATCAATCTGTTGAGTACGTCGTCGGGCTAGCAGGAGCGCTCAGGTCATGTCCAGATAATAAGTAACAACATTTTAGAACCTCATTGATCTGCTTCCCAGGTTTCCCCTCAAGCCATTGCCGATGTAGTTGATTTCTGAGATTGTAGTCTACATTTTAGTCTGCGGGACAGATGAGACTTGGATATAACTTGGAACCATGCAAGCTTTCAACGGTTCATTGTTCCTTTCTAAATCTTCGTGTAAGAGAGGGCACTGACGCCATCAGCCCTTCAGGAGAGAACGAAACGTAATGGCGTTCGAACAGGTACTATTTTGAATCACTGCTCGATCGATGATTCTAGCAACCCCGGTAAATGAGTGAATGAATAGAGAAGAAGAACTATGACGTCTGGACGCGGAAGACGGGTGCCACCGTTCTCTTCGCGCGGAGAATGTACAAACCGAGTTCTAGAGACGGCTATCGATGACGAGCGTTGTCACCGAGATGAAGAAGTATGGGCTTGGCTACAGAACTCGAGGAGAGCTCCACGAACGAAGGTGTCTACGGCCGCTGGAAGGCAACGGGACTTCTGAAGAGGAACGGATGAAATTCCAAAACACCGGTTGGAATCAAGATCGGGGTCTTCACGGGAAGCCGATTCTATATTGTGGTATAATCTGGACCAGACCATGAGAGAAGTGGAAGAGACTCACCACTAGTAGGCGCTGATCAGTACGAGCGCTCAACGGAACTGAGTCATATTCTGGAGATACTGATAATTTGGAATGTCCGATAACTCTAGGTGGGAACATTTGCGGGTTCTTGAAGTGCATCTGGAAATTCACGACTACATAGCTGGAAGAGCTCTCATCGTTGAGAATGCGGCTGGGATATTGAAGTGACACATACCCAACGCTTCTTGTGGCTGCTGGATTCCGGTTCCGAGGACTCTACCCTGTACGAGTATGACGAAGAAGCAGGTGCTCAGACAGGGTGCCGCTCACGCTAACTACATCAGGCAGTGGCGAGAAGACGAGATAGTGTGTACACAGGATAACTACGAGTGAGCCCGAGGACGTTGAGGATATCTCTCGTGGTATATCCTTGGGGAAGACTTTGAGCCTAAGAACGTTCACCACTTGCCATTGGGAACCGCATGTATTCGTCCAAAAATAACGGATCGTCACGACTGAAAAGGGTCAGTATAGCGCGCTATCAGCCCAGTAATGGGATCAGCGTGTCAGGAGCCAAGTAGTGAGTCCAGAATGCAGTTCGGGGCAAACCAAGCCAGAGACGAGCGATACCAGAATAGTCTTTTTTCTATTATTTTTTTTCTGTACGAAATTCAGTCACGGCTATTACCCCCGTTGCACTTGTTCGAGAAGGATGTGGTAACTCTGAAAGGTGAAGGTAATGTGTAGGGTTAGGGTTTCAGCCTTTTTGGGTTACCGGAGCTGGGATTCCAGAAGGGCGCGTAACCTTCACTCGAACCGTCACTTTGACTCAGGCAACGCTATAATATCTGCCATGGATTCACTCTTCTTTTCCGTTTACTGCCACAGATACTTCACCGACATTACCTGACAACGGCGGCCAGCATGTACAGCGAGCTCTTCGTTTTGGATGGTGTGCAGCCTATTGGTGGTCGAAAAGGACCTGCGCTGAAGATGACGGCAAGGAGATACAGAATACGAGGCACCAACAAGGAAAACATCGACGGGCTCACTCTGATATTCGCCCATTGCATCGGGTCTCGTGAGTTATATTCTCCATTGTCGCTCCTGGCCTTACCTATCCTCAAACTGCAGATAAAGAACAATGGGAGCCTACTATTGAACGAATCTTTGGTCTCCAAGAGGCCAAATCGCCGAGGCATAGAATACGTGAAGCGTGGGCGTTTGACTGGCAGAATCACGGTGACGCTGCGTTGCTGAACGAGCGCGCGTTGAGGGAACGGCCTGAAGGAGTTTGTACGTCCCACTATCATTTCCTTTGCTGGTGGCCAATACTAAAAGAGGAGCAATAGCTATATGCGAATGGGCCCCTGCAATCGCCTCGTTTGTTCGTTCACCTCGGATGAGGGGACACCGGATAGTCGGACTAGGTCATTCAGCGGGAGCCGGAGCCATGTAAGTCCAGTTGTCTATACTCTTTTGGGCTGAGGCTGATATCATCATTCAAGGATGCTGACAACCCAAAGCTCCCCTCCATATGCCGGCTTGGTTCTCATCGAACCCACTATGATTACGGAGGATGTCTTCCGAGCTCACTTTGCCGACCGTATGGCGACCATGGAGGGTGCCGTGTGCGCGACGAGCATTCGACGCCACCGGTGGGCAGGGAGAGACGACGCGCGTAGTTGGCTCTCCGGGAGATTTCCGTGGAGAGTCTGGGATGAAAGAGTCCTGGATATTTTTGTCGTCAGTAATCGATTAAAACTGACATCGTCTGAAGCTCAACGGTTTCTTAGAAACACGGACTACAGGAGCACCACCAGGGCGGAGTCGCCCTCAAGTGTGATAGGAAACAAGAAGCCATGTCTTATCCAGATGTCGATGGACACTTCGAGGCAACGACTGAGCTCGCGAAGGTTTGCCATGCCGTGCCAGTTCATGTTATTTGGGGAACGTATAATGATTTAGTGTGAGTCTAATGTTCTCTGCATGGTCTTTTTACCGTTGTTGATTCCATACTAGCCCCAATTATTTCCAAGATTGCCTCATTGATGCGTCGCAAGGCCGGTATGTCGCCTCTATGACCCGTGTCAGAGGAGCGGGACACATGATTGTGCAAGAGAAGCCGGATTTGTTGGCGGAGACGATCTGCGATGTGTTGGACACCATTGGAGTGAATCATCGGGCTGGCTCTTCACGGTCGAGGCTCTGAGGCAGATTCCCTTGGTGTGAAGGATGTCAATGTACGATATAGGAATTTGGATATCAGTAGATGGTTTGCAGTCAGTTCAGATGGACAGGTTCTCACAAGGAAGTATTCAGTCTTGTCATATATCCTTTTGAACCAGACAATGCAGGCAGGTCCGTCGTATGAAAGAAAGCGGCAAAACTTTAGAGAATATATGACTTCATATGTCTTCAGAGCTTGTTGCGGGACACATTGAGTCTATTTCTAGGCCGTGGTAGCGACCATTGTATTACAGACTTGATCGCGCAATGATTGGTCACATCACTTGACTTTGTACCACCACCTGCCCCTTATCCCATGGCTCGCTAGTTCTCTGCCCACTCAATGGTTCCTACCAGAGCTCTTTCTCAGCAAGGTCAGCAGGCTGAGTAGCGCAGTAGCCTCTTTTTCGCCTCGAGCTATCGCAGAAACCGCGCATATACCCACCTTGTGGTACAAGGAACATATACTATGATATACATCCACCGCAATAGATTCGGGGAATGATTCGAACCGGCCGTTGAGGTACTTGTGCTGAACAAGAATGTTGGTAAGCTCAGATCCGTACCCGTCGCCTAAGATACTGAAAAGCCTAGAACCAACCAATCCCAGGAATGGCATCTTGTTAACGACACGAACGTGCAAGGATTTCGTAGATGCGCTCGTCGGAAGGGCTACTACCTCGGTCTGATTCTCTGTGAAGACCGATTGCTCGCAGCTCATAACGTAACGCACGTGGAACAGACTCGCCCAATCATAATTATGATGCTATGAAGAAGCGCTCACCCTGACCCGTGTGCTTGGCCGAGTCCTCTTGCTCACCTTTCATCCGCTGAGGAAGCCCGGCTTATCGATTACTTGACTTGAAGAATACCAATATCACCGTTCCAGCCCACTCTTACAACGCTCAGCACGCGGATTCGTCGACCAGCTGACTCTTTCGTTCAAGTCATGAGAACTTGAGCGCTCTTCAAGAGTCGATGTTATCTTCTTGTTTTTGTAATAATGATGTACCGCGGAAGCCCTTCGCTGTCTCATTTTCGCCTTTTACCGCAACGCACTCAGTGTTTCCGATGCTATCTTCGCCCTTACAGCACCAGAGCACCACCCTGATATAATCCTGGGCGGCAGCTAGGGCCTTTTGGGTTCGTTGGATGCACGTTGCCGTCACCGCAACAGCCATTTAATACAATCCAAAGCCATTCCGAGCAGTACTGCCTTGGCGGTATTATATACAAGTAACTGTACCAGAGCGATGCTCTCCTAATAAAGGACAGATTGCTCGAGCACAGTCTGGAAAAGGCCGTTCTCTATTTATTAGAACCCGTTTGGGATGTTCAATAGATCTGCCGGCCCACGGGTCCAGAGTTCCTCTTCTATATAAGCCACTTCAAGGTCCCTTCCCCCTCGATTACGACCCACTTCCGACTGACGATCTATGACTACACGCTAGCTAGCCTGGGGGAACCAATGCCCAGTAGTACGTATTCTACCGTCCTACGCACAGCGTTCTCACTAGTTGACTCATTGCATCAGCAGCTGATGGAAAGGGTTCGGGGAAGGTAGCTCAGCGGAAAGAGTCAAATTACGGGTCCGTGACGACAACATTACCATCAAGTATGTAGTTTCCACATCCCACTGCCTCGTACTCACTGTACACAGCAACGAAACCACCCTCGACTAAGAGCTCTGACTCCGGTTCCGACTCCGACTACAACGAAAACTGGTACTCCGTCACATACACCACCAACGGCATCTATGGACTGGAATCTCCCAGCCAGTTGTCATTGGAAGAGGAGCGGCGGGGGATGTTCTCGGACATGTGGGCGTTCTTGACTTGCAGATTATCATATTAATGGACTGTACTATCATAATTTACGGTCGACTCCCGTCTTGATACCTGAGAAGAAGAAAAAGCGCAGTCAGCAAACGGAAGAGAAAGGGAGGCCGGTAGAATGGTGTTCAGATACCGTTGTAGAAATAAAGATAATCTCATGGAAGATCAAATACAAAGTTTGTGCATCATAGGAAAATGAAGGAAGGAACGGAGGTACTAACCTTTGAAACGACGACGGTGGTGAAGGGACGAATGAAAAAGAGAAAAGAAAAAAAAAATCTCGAGATGACGTGCGGATCATTTCCGGGGTACTCGGGCCGACAATATATTTTTAGATCCCTCATGCCCTGAACACTGAGCAGGACACACAGTAGAATTATCTACCTTCACATGGAAGTATACATGCTATATGAAGAATTACGACAACGACAATGAAGACAAACTTTAGCTGAATAAGTGAACCCATGTGGAGGAAACCGGAAGAACGCATAACCTAACTTGCAGGACTTAAAAGATTGAGAGGGATATTGGAAGCAGGACTCGAAGAAAGCGGCGTATGAGGGGGAAATCGACATACCGAACCCCATCCTTGATGGCACAGGCCATTGCCCGGAGGGTACAATGCTGCTTTCCCTACAACCATGGTACCCTTCTATAGATTATGGGTATTGTACCACAAGTCTGAAAAATACGCATCCGATTCACAATCCATGGCTACACAGTGCCAAATCCTCCTTGTTTCAAGAACTCCTTCAGACGCTTCACAATCCCATCAAGACCCGCCAACCAGCGCCGCATCTCCTCATCCAGCTTATCATGAGGCGCGCCCTGTGCAATGCGATTGTAAAAGTCCCTTCGATGAGGTACCGCATGGAGAGCGACCTGCATTGTTGTCATCAACACTAAAAGCAGAAACTCGACACGCGACAAACTCACGTATACCACCGATCTGATGATGAAAGAGTGATGGTGCTTCAAAACAGTGTCATACGAGGCCTTGAAGCAGACATGCAGTTCGCGCGAGGGGTTTTCTTGCATGTTCTGCAGTGCAAGGCAGGTGAAGGCGAGGCCTCGGACGAGACGGGTGAGTGAAGGCGCGCAGGATCCTATAGACGGGTCTATATCAGGGACCAGGGAGATTCTGGCCACATGCAGGGCAAACCTGGTAACATGCGTTCGACCGTCATTGGCGCTGGATCAAGGGACTCGTACTGAGCGCGTACATCCTACATATATCGTCAGTCCATGAGAAAGCACCGTCCAGCAAAGGCCAGCCCCACCTTGATATTCGACTGAATATCAGCCTGTACGAACCCGAATACACCTGTTCCAAGGAGGTCGAACATGCCTACTAAGCCATCTGAGGCTTCGAGGAATGCACGTGTATCGATGCCATCAGGATGAATGGGGACATCTGCAAATGACTGGGCAAGGAAGAACTTGAGCGACACTTTGGACGACGGTTAAGCCTGTTTACCTGAAGAGAACCGCCTAAGTAGACTTTTACGACAAGCCAGATGGGATACACACCTTTACAGTCTCAAAGTAGGGCTGCATGATGGTGGAAGGAATGAAAGAATAACATGAGTCGTTCCTGCTGTTGGTGGACCGCGTTGAAGAGGCGTGTGAACAAAACTACAGCTGCCTTCGGACCTCGGGCCGGTTCAGTTTCTGATGTGTAGGAACACCTCCAGTTGCCCTCCAAATGTGTACTTATAACTTATCAAACAATGCCTAAGGGCCGCATGATCATTGACGGGAATAGAGTAGTGAGGGAAGTACAAGTACAGAAATACCGAGAAATTTAGTACAAGTAGATTTTTCTATATAGGATTAAAGTAGCAGATAGCGTATTAGAAATCGATTTGGGAAACAGTGCAAGGAGTCGTGTCGAACTAGTGAATTCATAGTCAGACCCCAATGGAGGATCTATACGACCTCCATCCTCCAGGTCTCTGAAAACCAGGCGGCCCAATCTTGATTGAACTATTGCCAGAGCCTAATGAACTGGATATCAACGTTTTCCCTCTCGTTCAAAGCCTCGATTCTGCACCAGAGTGCAGAGTCAAGCTTGGGTACTGTAAACCCCTGGACGCTGACCGATCGCAACAGGCCATTATCCAAACGATGGTCAATTTTGTTAATGAGCGCCACAATGACATCCTCAGGAAGGTATGTCATGTAGGCCTTCGGTCCCTTGATAATGCGCATCTTCTGCGTCTCAGGAAGATTCTTAACTACTGCAACGGATAGAGCGAGATTCCGGATAGTGAGCGACGCCAGAGTCTTAGGGAGCTGAAGTGCGCCAATGGGGACTTGGAGATCCTGTGCATGGATGGGATTTTGGCTTTCAAGGACGAGTTCGCGTAAATTGTCGAGCCGTTCTTCTTCTTTCCTAGGTTCGGAAGTGAATGGAGGCGTGGAAGTGCCTTCGAGGACAAAATGACATGCCGTCACGACTGGCAAGGACAAAGTATTGAAGGCAAACGATGAAGGGACGTTTGTCTTGAGCCGCCTGACATTTCCAAGTTTCTTGTAATCTGGCGTGATTACAGAGGCGGAGATGTCAGTGGAAAGCGACTTGAAGCGATGCGACTGAGAAAACAGCAGCTCGATGAACGGAATAAGGTAAGGAGTTGTGGGCGGTGCGGCTGAAGGGATATATACTTTGACGTCCAGAGGGGCCGACTGAGACCGCCCTAGCTGCTCCCGCAGTCTTGCAATGGTCCATTCCGATAGATGCGTTGACCCCCTTTGCACCCCAGGAGAACAGACACTCTCCCTTTCTCGCAGATCTTCGTCGTTTTCTCTTGCCCCTGCGGAGATAGCATATGTCTCACTAAGGACAAACGATTCCTGATCCTGATCAAAGTCATCCGCGAACGGCATGTGGTCCAACAAATCATTATAAACATCGCGGCTGGGCCACCCGAATTCATTCCTACGACGCCTAGCATCTGGAATCCACAACGCCAGATTTATTTGCAGACGTGTCCACAACGTCGGGGTGGATAAGACAATGGAGCGCCAGCGGCTGCAAACCTTGCTGATAGCCCAGGGTCCTTGAGTTGTTTTCAGGGACTGTCCGTCCGAAGCCAAAGCGAATATTCTGCAGAAGATTTCAGAGGGGAAGTGAGATAAGGCAGAACCAGGATCCATGTTCCTGCCGACTGCAATTTGCGATGTATATCTAGAGGATATTTCGGCAGTGGGATATCATAAATCGAAGGGAAAAGGAAAGGATACATACTGAGATATGTGATAATAGAGTAAGGGCACCCTACGATGCGCGCCGGATTAATGTAGTTTCTTTGAGCGAGCACAAGCTGGTCCTTCAAGCTGAGCGCTGAGGCCTTATAAACGGTGGAAATAGTGATAGAAAATATGAGCACAGGAACTGAGGATGATGGAAGAACAAGACGCTGGCTGTAGTAGAGGCGGAAAGGATGCAAAAGGGATGGAGGGCATTGCTACTAAATTTACTACGTGGCGGCGTGGGAATTTGTAGCACGCGACTCAGGAGTTTAGGAAAATTTCAAACTCAACGCACAATTTCACTGGTACGTTGCTGGGGCGGATTGTACGACCGTCGCGAAGTCGTAGCCTAGAGAATTGAGGAATATTGGAGACTAGGGTAAGTAAATAAGGGCCACACTGATGGTCAATGTCACGGTCATATGATATACTGTCACGTCGCGTCTTTTGGGCCCGCCTTTTAGCTTAGCTGCTTATGTAAGGAGTTAGTCAACCACAAGTTTCCTTTCATCCTTCATCATGTCCATCGTGAGTCTCTCTATCGTCGTTCGCAAATTATGCTCCGTCCGAAGGCACGACATAAGGATGGCAGGTATCCATATGTTTTGGGTCAGTGGCATTCCCTATTCCCTATTGGGCTACTGAATATTTGTGGCGTTTCATTAGAGTTGACTCCGCCGAATGCTGTGCTCGAACTATGTCTGGTACCCAGCTATTGGAGGCTATTGGAGGAGACAAACGCATTTATCTCCCTGGGCCTATCTCTGGAATAGCAGAGACCATTCCTTTCTTGGCGGTGATACACTAGGAATGAGGAGGCTCTTCTCAATGGCAATGCGATGTTTGAAGTTGTATCAAGGGAACTTCTGACTGTCATTGTATCTTGCTCTGGCCCCTCTATGGCAAGATGTTTCACTCTATTCCGTTCGTTCAAATTGGCCCTGAAAGGGATCTTCGAGATCATATCTACGTCCGGAATCTATGATGCTAGTGCACTCATGATATGCATTTCATTACTATCGGTCATAGATTTGTCTTTATCTCGCAATTAACCACCGACCCTGCTCAAGATGGTCCTCTTCCGCGGTAATCCCGATGTCAACAGGTAAGTCATTCCGTCGCTTATTGAGGTATAGCGGCCCGAAACTGCATTGTAGATGTTTTGAAAAGACGCCCTGTATGCTATGGAGACCGTAGACACCGTCAGACCCGATCAATTGTCGGCTCGTTAATGGTTCCTGAGGAATGCTTTAACGGAAATCTAAATGATTCTGCCTTAGCGGAGCTCTCGGCAATAGGATTAAAATGTGCGATGATTAGCTCTGGTGATCCTGAGGCATTGTGTCTGTTTTTCCGGTCTGCATGACGAATACCCCAACCGGAATCTGGATGATGACGCCTTAGCGGAGCTCTCAGGACTAGGGCTGAAATGTGTAATGAATGGCCCGAGGGTTCCTAGAGTACTGGTGTCCGTTATTTCAATCGGCATGACGAAGCCGCTAGTGCTGCACAAGGTGTCTTAGCCCCCGCTGGTATATAATGCGCAGAAACTCGCTTGCAATCTCCAATTCATCAGCCTGACTCCAAACGACTCTGGTTCTAGTTGAACATGATGATTGTACGACATTTTCCCTCGTCGTTCTCCCAGCGTTTTTCTAACCTTCTGTTGTTCCGCGTCCTCTGACAGCCCAACAAGACTACCGTTCTTAGTTCGTTCATCACTGTATCCTCAACCATGATTATCTTTGCTGATCTTGTTATTGCGTCATTTAGTTGTCGGAGGTGGACCGGGTGGATCGTATGCCGCCGCTGTCTTGGCCAGAGAGAATGTCGACGTAATTGTCCTTGAAGCCGATAAATTTCCCCGGTAGGCGACATCTTTATGCTCGTCTTGATCAAGTTTTCACGTTGATGTTGAGATACCATGTCGGCGAGAGCCAACTTGCGGCTTTGAGGCATTTTCTGCGCTTCATCGATCTTGAGGAAGAATTCGATGCTTTTGGTTTTCAGCGCAAGGTGAGGATCAATTCTGTAACTCAGCGTGGTATCCGCTCATCTGATGTCAGGTCGGTGGCGGGTTCAAACTGAACAGGCATAAGAGGGAAGGATGTCAGATCTTCTCACCGTTCTCTCCTTTGATCGATCTGTTAACGTTGTCGTGCAGATTCCGACTTCATATCTCAAGATCCGAAGAATTATTCCTGGCATGTCGTAAGCGCCTCTTTTTCCTGTGTCAGAAAATTCCGACCCACCGTCACATGTCAGATTCGGTCAGATTCCGATGAGTTAATGCTTCGATACGCGTCGCGGGCTGGCGCCAAAGTTTTCGAGGAAACCAAAGTCACGGACATTGAATTCGACCCGGCCGTGGGTGACCAAGAGGCACGCCCTGTTGCTGCTCTCTGGAAAGGGAAGGATGGTTCCACGGGTCGGGTTCATTTCGACTATATTATCGACGCCAGCGGACGAACAGGAATGCTGTCAACGAAATATTTGAACAATCGAGAGTTCAATAATAATTTGAAGAATGTCGCCTTTTGGGGTTACTGGACTGGAGCGGGGCGCTACATGGCTGGTACTCCCCGAGAGGACTCCATTTTTGTTGAAGCATTAACAGGTCAGTTTCAGCTTTGATTTTATTGTTTCAATCGTTAATCATTCGTGTTGTAGACGAGACTGGATGGGCTTGGTTTATCCCCCTGCACGATGGCACGACTTCTGTGGGCGTTGTGATGGACCAAGAGAAATCCAACCTCAGTAGAGCTGCTGTCAAAGCGGCGAGAGGGGATAGCTCTTTGGGCGCTCACTATCTCAGACAACTCGAGCTTGTCCCAGCTATGCAAGCACTAATGGTCGGCGCGAAGCTCGTCAAGAAACCTGACGCTCCTCTTGTCAGTAGCGCCAGTGATTACAGCTACGCAGCTAGATACCATGCCGGTCCCGGTTATCGAATAATTGGAGACGCTGGCGGTGTGTTGCATTCTCTCGCCCGACAAATTTTGCGTATTAAATTTTGATTTGTACAGCTTTCATTGACCCATTTTTCTCTTCTGGTGTTCATCTCGCAGTATCCGGTGGACTTTCGGCTGCAGCCACTATCTGTGCTGTGATGAAGGGAGAATGCTCGGAACTCGATGCGGCTCGATGGCACACTACCAAGGTTAATAGCTCATACACACGGTTTGTTTGTCTTGCGCGCCTATCACTGATGTTACACAATTTAAACATGTTTTTCAGATTCCTCCTTGTAGTCCTCAGCGCTTATCATCAAATCAGATCTCAGGATTCCCCCATCCTGGCTGCACAAGAGGATGATAATTTTGACGTTGCATTTGATTTCTTCCGTCCAAGTAAGCGACTCTGTCCCTCTGATAGGACTAGATATTGATCACATTGACTACTAGTCATTCAAGGCAACACGGAATCCGGCAATAAGTTTGCCGATGACGACCTAGGAAAGACAATAGAATTCCTAGGCAAACATGTTTTCGCGCCGTCATACCCGGAACAGAGAGCAGAGTTAGTCGCACTATATGGAGACCAACTCGATGCGGTTCCCAAATCGCGCGTACCTGGCGATGATGACGCTAAGGCCGAGGCTAAGGCGATCCTCAAACATATGACTGTCCAGAAGTTAATCAGGATGGAGGATGTCGCGCATATCGGGAATTATGTTTCTGATGTTTTTGAGGGGTATAGGTTGAGGCTGAAGCGTGGTGAGCTGGGCTTAGACAAAGCCACTTGAATGTTTTTGATACTTGACGGTTACCGGTTACTTCATTGTTACGAGCCTAACTTACTGCTTTACTTGTAAGCACTTGAATAATGAGAATCCTACTTTTTTTTTAGTTCTTTTCGCAGCGGCGGCAAACGCCGAAATAACTTTCCGCATTGCTATCATCCATCCTGCTTAGGCGCAGTACCGTTTCTTGCATGCTCAACTTAGCTGGGGATGTTCTCTTGACAAATTGCTGCAATTCCGAGTCGGAATGTCATGGGAAATATTGATTACCATTCCAGATCTCTAACTGTTTTGATGGCTCGGGAGGTACTAGCTTGCATTTCTGCACTAGTCCCGCTAGCTCCGTGTCGACGCGGTCTTTTTTTGCCTTCGGAACCGCGGAAGAATCGGACAGTGTTACTATCTCGGTTGAAGATGCCGACGCAATAGCAGCATTTAAAACGACGCGACCTGGGCTCTTGCTTGCATCACCACTCATACCTATGGCTTCGAATTCCACTCTGCGCTCTTTGGCGAATCTGATATCCTCATCCGTTGACATAATCGAAGAACGAGTTCAAGTTCCCGACCTAGATTTGGCCTGCCATGAAGGCGAGGTTCCGGATAAAGGATTCAGCGATCCAGCGGTTGTCGACGCGATTTCTTGCATTGTTGCTGCAACAGCTCAGCTAGTGGCGACCATACGACCTGCTCATTTGACCCTCATTTCGACAGCTATGATGGTAAGCCGACTTATGGACCGTTACCTGCTGTACTTAATGCTGTTTGAAGATTCACGTCCCCTCGGCGCTTCGAACAGCCACAGACCTTCATGTTGCAGAGATATTGCGAGATGCTGGCCCCCAGGTTATTTTTCTTTTTGTTTCGGTATTTATTCTTCTCAAGGCCTATTTGCAGGGACTACATATCAGAAAGATTGCCGCTCTATGCTGCACGAGCCCCGGAAAGCTAGGTAAGACTCTTCACGATGTTCGGTTGGGTGAGGCGTGCTCAGTAAACATGGTAAAGCACGCATCCTCCGCCTCCTAGCTACAGAGCACATTTTCAAAGAGGTCACTCCGGATGTTTTTGCCAACAATCGCATCTCGTCTTTACTAGACACTGGGAAATCAGTTGACAAGCTGATAGAAAGGTGAGGAGTCTACGTATTTATTTTACAAAATTATATTCGTATCTTCTTTGTCTCTAGTGCACAATATAAATGGGACGGCGGTGTCGGGATAGCCGCCTTCGTCTCATACACGTAGGGTGTCTTCTTGAAGCCAGTATTCTTTATTTCCTGATTTTTTGTGCATTCAGTGGTGGACACACTCTGAAGTTCACTTCATATCTTGCAGAGACGATGCAGGATCCATCGTTCGCTCACTCCGAGGATCACATCAAGGCTCCGTTCAACTACACGTCAAAGACTGACTTACCCTTTTGGCAATGGCTGGACCTTCCTGAGAACGAGGAGGAGAGACGAAAATTCGGGCTTGCGATGACTTGTGCTCCAAAGCACAGTATGCTCGACGGTAGGAGCGTTGTCGTCCGCCATTCTGATCTTCAATTTAGTTTGTCTTCACAGGTTTTGAATGGGGTCAACTTCCACAAAATGGCGTGGTGGTAGACGTTGGCGGAGGAGTGGGAATGGCGACTCTGCCTGTAGCGAAAGTGTTTCCAGATCTGAAGATCATCATACAGGATCGACCAAAGTTTGTCGCAGACGCGAGAAAGGTGAGCACCTTAAGACCGGTTGTTGAGATATGATCCTACCTGTTGTTTAGTTGTGGAAAGAAGAATTGCCTGGTGCTGTGTCTAGTGGACATGTCTCTTTTCAAGGCGAGTTTATTAATTATTTGTTTAAAAATTTCTTCTACATACCTCACGTTACCATAGTACACGACTTTTTCGAGCCCCAGCCAATTAAAGCAGCAGACGTTTATTTGATGCGCTGGATCATGCACGATTGGAATGATTCAATGTGTATCAGTATCTTGAAGCATTTACGTGATGCTGCAGGTCCTGGAACGAAGCTTCTCATCGTCGATGCCCTTATGTCTTACGCCTGCCAAGACTCATTCGCATGCGGTATCCCCGGTGCAACAAAGCCTCTGCCGCCAAAGCCTCTTCTAGAAAACTTTGGGCATGCTAGAGTAGGGGAGTATTTGTTCGACCTTCAGGTACGAATTTTAATATTGAATTCCATGCATATAAAGTGACTTTGTGGCAGATGTGGGTGACCGTGAATGGCCAGGAGCGGACGATTCGACAGTTCTCCGATATTTTGCAGATCGCTGGCTGGAAAATTGAAGAAGTGAAAAGTGCAGCGGCTACTCAAGCACATATCATTGCTATTCCTTCTACTGTCTAACAGTCAGCTATTGCTTTGAGCACAATGCACAATTACGAGTAGTAGCGTATCATAGCTGTTCGAATTCCCTTGGTCTTCTGCTTCGGATCATTCCGAGGGGAAACTGATTTCGCTTGTTTATCACTTTATCAACTCAACTGACCCATTAAATAATAATTCCCATTGCCTCAGTCGCTTCACCGCCAGATTTTCTTTCAATTCCGTGCGTTCCTCGCAGCTCAAAATGATATTTCACGTGTCCATGCGAAAATGCTCTTGACTCCATTGGACGCCTCATCATCAAAACTTTCTCCGCTTATCGAACCTGACAGGACGCGGCGACGGTCTGGACATCGACATCGCGGAGCCTCTTTTCATAAAGAATCCTTGAGAAAATAGCGCCGACATATAGTTACGGACTAAGCCTATTCCTCATCGATTCCTCATCGTTCCTCATCCTTGATACATGCGTCCTTTCCCATCAAATTCTCTCGCCCGCCGGGAGCGGACATCGACGTCGGCCATCTAGGCTGTGGTTCGAGAACTAGCTGGATTTCAATATCTTTGCGGGGAGCGGGGCAGCTGTGGGGGAAAGTACTGAGACAAGCGGGAAAAGTGTATTCCGGGCCCTCTTATTTACAGCTGTGATCAGAAACGAAACCACCCTCACCTTCGCAATGTTGCTTCCATCTCACGCTCTGCTTAGTCTGCTTCTACCTCTTCTCGCTACGGCCCATTCGTCTCCCAAGACCTCAGAAGAAAGGGAGGTTCAACGAGCACTGCAGCGGGCAGCCTATCACTGTGCCCCCGCTGTAGCCGAGTTTACTGCCCACCGGAAGAGAGCATGGGCACAGAAGGTCTTGGCTGGCAACCCCTCGCTTCCTGCATATCAAGACTTGTTTGCCGATGGCACATACGACGCAGAGCCTGGGCAGGAACTCATGTCTTGCACCCCAGTCACTGAGGAAGCCAAGATGGAAAACAACACTTGTGTTTTAAGTGGGTCGCGTCTTTTCCGCTTCTCGTTGCGTTATATAACAGGCATTTAGCTCCAATCGTCACGGAAGGACCCTACTACCATAAGGTCGGCCATCCGATACGCCAGAACATTGCGGAATATCAGATCGGTGTACCTCTTCTCCTCGATATTGGTGTCATCGACGTCGAGACATGCAAACCTCTTCCAAATGTCCTCGTCGATATCTGGCATGCTAACGCTACGGGTCACTATGCTGGGCACCCCGAGCCTACGTTTGAGCTTCGCGATGAGAAGCCTCAGGTTGGCGGAAAGCGGAACGGACTGCTGAGCGCGTTCCCTCGGACGAAGCCTGCAGAGACGTTCTTGCGCGGCGCTTGGCCGACCAATGAGAATGGCATTGCCCAGTTTTCGAGTGAATCGCTTCGAATACCATGCTGAGGATTCTGCTGACTGTGATCTGTTCAAAGCGATATTCCCAGGATACTATACAGGTACGCCGAGGGTGTTCTTAGAAGTCATGACACTAAGACTGAAAGTATACAGGACGCGCAACACATATCCATACCAAAGTCTTCCCTAGCTGGACTCCCCTTCCAAACGGCACATTCGAAGCTGGAAAACTTGTCCACGTCGGTCAATTCTTTTTCGACGACGAGATAAACGTACAAGTTGACAAAGTACGCCTTCTGTTCATATTATTCACCCTGTCTAACATCTTTGGAGATACATCCCTATACGACGAATCCCATCAAAGACACAGTTGGTCGCACGCGTAACTGGCGCGACTCTCTTAACATCTTTGAGGATTCTCATGGTCCAGAGGGCAAATATAACCCGGTTTTCAGGTCAGTTTTATAATGAGTATAAAAGTGACCCACACTAACCAAGTTCGGACACAGATTGGAAATGCTCGGCGGAGTTTTTAACCAGGGCTTTGCTGGATTCATTACGATGGGTGTCAATACCAGCGTTGAGGTTGACAACTGGTGGAAGGGCTAATATTTGTCTTCATCACCGTTCGAATAAAATCGTTTTTCATGGCAATTTTCAAATCTCTCTTAAGAATAAAGGAGTTGAGCCTTTCTCAAAGAGACGCGAGCAATAAAGCCAGCTCGCAAGTCGCCAGGCTAGTGTTTTTCCAAGAAAAGACAGATCATGATCACGTGATAATTCGTGGCTTAAAAGCTCGAACACTAACAGTCGACGTCGAACTTCCAACGAACTTCAACGACCCGGTAACAACTTTTACGCTCTTTTTCAACGTCGCCATTTACCATCTATTATTTCGATGGCACAAATATTTTCTTCAAAACGCCTATACGACTTTGCACTAGTAGGTCATGTCGGATACGGAACCGGTCCTTTCTGAAACACCTGAATAACAGTTCACTAGCACGACCCTACTCATTTGTATCTTACTTCTCTGGTTACTTTTTGATCCCAGTCCATTTTGGTTCCTCGTAGTACCTGTGACTTTCTTCCTCGCTTTGCGCTCCGACTGGAAGGAGAAAGAAAGGGACAGAAAGGATGAAAAGCGTCGACTCAAAGTACGTTTCACACATCCAGCTAATAATTCCTAATGGTATTTTCAGGACATTAGCTCGCAATTTGTCGAACTCGATGCATATGTTAAGCGTCAACGTGTCCTCTTGCAGCCATCCACCGGAGAAACGGTATTGCAGATGTGCTTCTCGACCGTCACTCAGTGCGTGAATTATTTAGTAGTGTAGTCATAGAAGGATTGGCTGAAAAACCATATATCAAGGCAATTTCTCGCGGCGAAGCAGAGAGCAAAAGCGCTATACTGTGACGCGCAGGCCCAAGCCTCTTTAGACGAGCTCATCAATATCAAATTCTGTTTATATACGCAGGATGCAAAGATCTTCAGGACGATGCAGGACTATTGATTGTTCAAGGCGGAACTCGGGGGAATCGCGCCGGAGGAGCAACTGGAAGCTGCTCAGCGCTGGGTGACAGAGATCAATGGATTGTCTCCTGCAGATTCAGATGACGTATATTTACGGTGATCAACTCGGAGATTTGGTCGAAGATGCTGAGAAGAAGATTCAGAAGAAGGATAAGCGTAAACATTTCATAGAATATTTTTCCTACTAGTTTTGTGAGTACAACAAGCGGATGACATCGTATGAACTAGACAGAGGGAATAGAGATCCTTGAGGACAGGTCCACATGAGAAAGTCGAGATTGCCAGCGTGGAGAAGACGTTGACTTCATAGCTGACGACCCATGATTGCTAGAGGATGGGGAAAGGTGCAGATGTCTATTGGGATCAGGAACCTGAGCATGAAGACCAAGTATCAGATCGTTGAAGAGAGTAGAGAGAAAGGCGCGTAAAGCAGGAGACTGTACAGCGAAGGAATATTAAATATACAGATACAGGAACGTCAAGATCGGAAAGCAACGTAAGTTTACGCCTTCATCAGCCAGGGTTTATTTGCCATTGTCCATGTATCCAAGATCTTCCAAAAGTGTGCAACCACTGATTTATCAATATGCCGCCGGTTTTGGTCAATCTTTCGAGGTGATAAGTATATCGCGATAGTGTGTGCAGTAAACAAGACCGACCTTCAACTCGGTCACGTTCCAATCCTTGATCCTGTTGTTCGGGGGATCATTGGCCCATGACACGTAAAAGCCCTTCACTGTTATCATAAGCCTCAGTGACCTGGGGCATTCAGAAATTGGCTGAGGACGTGAGACGCACCATGGTGGAAGAGAACTGTTGGTTCATTCCATCGGTAAGGCTTGAATTGCCAGGCTTGACCTGTAGTCATGACGCATACGACACGATCCCACGCGTCTGCTCCGAATTTCGATAGAGCTTCAACAGAATCAACTACCAGATATCTGCATGTTGATATGAGAAACTGCCAAGAGCGTAAGAATGCAAAAATACCTAGCGTGGGTTGATGTCTCCCTTCCGCTGGGGTCAATGTGAGTCAACTTGCGGTAGATGGGAATAAGGTCATCAGGCTTCGTATTTCCTTCGGCCTTGGCACGCTCGCGAGCCGCTTGAGATGTTTCAAAGCTGAGAATTTTATGAGTTTGGGTTCGCAGCACGGAGGGGACACGTACACAGATTCTTGTAAGAAGCGTTTGACATTGTGCATTGTGATGAGCGCAGTGGGTGAAGAGGATATCATAATAATCGGGAAGTTGTTTCCTAGGGTCAACGACATGAAATCCAATGCAATAGGCGACACAAAGATTACGTACGGGCTTTTCGGGCTTGCATTTTGAGATCTGGTGTTGGTGCCGGAGTAGACGCCGGTGCGCCAGGCTTGCTTGCTTCCCGCATTTTCTTCAGTTTATCGGCATATATGGTTTTAATGGAAGAGAAATTCTGCTGAGAATCAGCCAGGTGCCAAGAGACTGGGTATATCACTGTACGTTGTGTTTTGTCCCCCGCAGGACGGAACTTCGGTCGCGAAGTTCGATTTCAGTACTGCTTAATCTTCTTGACGACTTCTAGGTCATGCGAATCGGCAATATAACGTCGCTTATTCGATGACGAAGGCGTGTCCGCGACCTTTGATTTTCCCGGTGACGATGAAGCCAAATTACTCGAACGTGGTGGTGGTGTTCCTGGTGGTGTAGTCGTCTCGCCTGCACGAGAAAAATTGATAGTCTCTGAGGAAATTAATGCTGATAACTCACCTGTAGCAGGAACAATCATGTCAGACTCGGAGCCCTTGCCCTCCAGCCAATCCACAACCTTCTTCCTTGCCGCAATACTAACGAAACCGATGTTCAGCCCGTTCTCTCGAGCCTGTCTCGTAGTAGTCGGCAGCAGATGCATGTTGGAGCGACCACGCAAGATACAGTGCATCGAGAGTGTAAAAGTCTTGAGGGCCTGTGGCGGTTGTCACGTCGACCTTGCGAAAACGAGTAGGCGCCGACTTTGCAAAGGTATGGGGAGGAATGACAAGGTGTGTGGCAGACGATAAGGACGAACAAGGGCCGTCGCTGTTAGTGTAGGTGACGTTTTGCCTCGCCTTTATAGCCTGCCGCAGGGTGAGTGCTGGTTCCAACGTCGAGGACATCGTCGTTTAGGGTGAGGAGCAAGATTTGGAATTAGCGCAAAATAGCAGATAATTTCGAAGATCCGGCATGGCTCGGCATATCCGTGGGAACAAACTACAACGTCCTCACCAAACTTGAACCTAACCATGAACTTGAACCCTACCACTCTGGCGCACTTTTCTAATGATTATGCTGTTCCAAAAGATTTTTCTTTATTGCTATTATCTATGAAGTCTATCAAATTCTTCTACCGCGATATCGAAATGCATAAGCATAAATCTCGTTCTGTAGGAATCATAGCGAAAGATGAGCGCCATCATTAATGTTCAGTTCCAATATATAACTCAAAATACTTGCCTTAGGCTGAACTCATTTTCTGAGATCGTGTCACTGCCGTCATAAGAAATACAATGCTGTCATTGTTTTCGTCATCACCAGCTCGTGTAAGCCATCGAAAGTGGAACCCAAGCGGAGTCAGCCAATTGAATCCGTCTACTTCGCTACTACCAACATCCATATTATGGACAGAATGTTCCCCATCGACTTGACCAAGTTCAAAAAGTAACTTCGCATTGGCCTTGGTCTCTGAAGATACTAAGTTGGATTTACAGGCTTGCGCTGGATCCAGCTAAGTCTAAGCTCTCCAATGAAGAAAGGGCCGCGTTGAAGGCCAACATTCAATTACTTCGAGACGCTATCGTTCTATTCACCACCACTGGTTCTGCTCGCGGCCTCAGTGGACATACAGGTATGTACGCTAAGCAAAGAGCCTAGTCGTTGCATTAACATCATGTTCAGGCGGTGCCTACGATGTCATTCCAGAGGTCTGCATCGCTCTCGCTCTCTTTGACCATTCGCATTCCAGCTACGTACCGATTTTATTTGATGAAGCAGGTGCGTATGCAGGAGCGTACAAAAACAGCCCATTTAAGTTTGTTTCTCCCAGGCCACCGCGTCGCAGTCCAGTACATTCTTTCCGCTTTGGAGGGTGCATTACCAGCAGAGCAGCTTCTACATTATCGGGAAGCTGACTCAAAACTGCCCGGCCATCCTGAGCTGGGTCTCACTCCTGGAGTCAAATTCTCGTCGGGACGTCTTGGACATATGTGGTATGTACTCAATGCCAGTTTCCGTTGAGAGCATATTTGACCCCTTTCTTCTAGGCCTTTCGTCAACGGCGTCGCTCTCGCTAATAAGGACAGGAACGTCCTCTGTTTAGGGTCCGACGGCTCTCAGCAAGAAGGTAACGACGCCGAGGCAGCCCGGCTCGCCGTAGCCAAAGGCCTCAATGTGAAGTTGCTCATTGACGACAATGACGTTACCATCGCTGGTCATCCCTCTGAATACCTCAAAGGCTTCGACATGACAAAGACGCTTCAAGGACACGGTCTCAAAGTAATCACTGTCCAAGGAGAGGACATTGATGCGTTGTGGGGCGCCATCAGCACCATCGTCACCACTCCTGGACCAGCAGCCGTTGTTTCCAAACGTCCTATGGCTCCAGGTATTACCGATATCGAGGGAAAGATTCAAGGACACGACGCGGTCCCTGTCGAATCGGCCATCAAGTATCTCGAATCCAGAGGGCTTGGAAGCTGTGCCGACATGCTACGCAAAATTAAGCCCAAACAGCAGCCATATGTTCATATCGGCTCGACCAAGGAGACTGGCGCCAATCGGACCACTTTCGGTGAAGCCGTCAATCTTGTTCTCGACGGTCTCAGCAAAGAGGAAGCGGCCAATAAGGTCATGGTTATTGACAGTAGGTTTCTTTGAATATCCATATTTTCCTTGTCTTATAGCGGTGCAGGTGATCTGGAAGGGTCCACTGGTCTGAAAGCCATACATCAGAAGCACCCCGAGGTTTTCGTTACATCTGGTGTCATGGAGCGCGGTAACTTCTCTGCCGCTGCAGGTTTCGGTTTCGACCCCAATAAGTTTGGAGTGTTCTCCACCTTCTCTGCCTTTATCGAAATGGTGATATCCGAAATCACCATGGCCCGCTATAATCGATCTAACGTCCTTTGCCATTTCTCCCATTCTGGCGTTGACGAAATAGTGAGTATATTCTTACTCTCAAAGAGGAATCCTGTCGCTAATGCCACCAATAGGCCGACAACACCTGCCACTTTGGCATCAACTCTCTTTTCACTGATAATGGTTTAGAAGAGTTTGAATCCTTTTTATACTTCCCTGCCGACCCCCTTCAGATGATTGCCGTTATCAAACGCGTTTTCTTCGAGCGTGGAATGCGATTCGTCTTCTCCAACCGCTCCAAGGTGCCTTATATACTCAAAGAGGACGGAAAAACTAAGTACTTTGGCGACGACTACGAGTTTATCCCAGGCAAGGACGAGATTATCGCCGAAGGAAAAGCTGGATATGTCATGTCGTTTGGCGAGATGCTCTACAGGTCGTGGGATGCGGTACTTCGTTGCCGGCAGAAGGGTATCAATGTGGGTTTGATAAACAAGCCGACCCTTAGCTCCGTGGACGAGGAGGTGAGAATACAAGCTCGAATCCGCTCGTCATATCTGGCTAATAGCGTATATGTTTTTGTTCAACAGGTAACGAAAATGATCGGATCAAGCCCTTTCGTTCTTGTCGTGGAGACATTCAATACAAAAACTGGGGTCAGTTTCGTTCTGGTTTCTGTACTCCTGGCGCCCATGGCTCCGGCTTGTTTTCCGCAATGTCAGCGAAGCTCGGTGGTCGTCAGGAGTGGTTGTTATTCCTCTTGATTGATTGATCATTAATTTCACAGATCGGATCCAAATACGGTACGTGGCTCCTCGAACGGGGGCTTACGCCCAAGTATGCCCACATGGGTGCAACCAAAGCAGGTGCGTTCACGGTTTTTCAAAGCTTATCCGCAATTGACGCCATCTCTCCTTCAGGTTCAGGTGGTCTTTGGGAGCAAATCAATCATCAGGGCCTTGACCCAGCGTGTATGTGTATATCCATTAATTGTTCCCACCTCTTGACTGATCGTGATTATCAGCTATTGCTGCGAAGATTACAGAGTTAGCGGGGAAGAAGTAGTTCTTAGTTCGTGTATGCGATTGTTACAAAATTGGAGTCTAGTATTGTTGCTCTGTACACATAGTTTGAGTGGCCTTAAGCTTAAGGCTGCGGATCTTGGATTCACCGGAATGCGAACGACGAGTGGGCTTTTTGATTAACCTATATTTGTGAGAACGCCTTCGGGAACGGACATCACAAGAGAAAAATCTGTATGGCTAACTCTGAGTGGCGCTTCGACTTGGCACCCTGCTATTGAATACCCCAGCCTGATTCAATGCACCTTACTCAATATGACCTTGAAATTGGCAGAGCAGATAAATGCTACTGATATCATTCTATCAGCGTGACGAACTCGTAATGGGCGGAAGAGTCAAGACAGACTGGCTGCTTGAGAAGGCTCATTCGGTGTCCGATTGTCCCGGTAATTACATCTTTGCTATGAACGAGCCACGCGTTGCCTGAGATAGAGAAAGATCTTATATCAAGGTTTTTTTTTGGTCGTGAAGTTCCGCTACGTAGTCATTCGAGGTAAATGTTTGGTACTAATCTATGCAGGTTCGAGGTAGAACTGAAATTAAATCGTGATTTGAAGAGAAGAGGACATGCTCCTGGAGAGTCTAAATACGGAGCATGAATACAGTAACTGAAAGAGAATATTAAAAGATGGCGCAGCTCAAACTGCAGAAAGTAATGTCTATGAGGCACCTTCCGCACCTGGGTCAAACGGTTATAGGCGAAAGGTATCAGGCACTACTGTCTCGTCTGCTGAACACTTCCTGCTCGACATATATTTCTGGTGCCTCCAAGTCTCCCTTCGAATGGGGACCTGATACACTCCGAAGCTCATAGACATTGTCGTCGGTCGTCATCTGTTGTCATATGTCAGGATAGGCGTTTTGTGAAATTCAATTACCCACATTCATTAAGGGTGGCGCCTACAATCACGGAGATTCAATTTTAACAGGGAGAGATCCACAGGTGGAACGTACCCTGAAATGTAGTGAAGCAGATGCCGATGATTCTTCTGAAGAGTTGAAGAGTGGATTGGGTTCATAGGCCTTTAAGGCTTTGGCGCTGCTCCTGGCGTTCAGGCTGATTTGAAGATAAGAGGGAGTAATTCGTCCTGAGAAATACTTGATGCTCACGACGACAACAACGAAAGAGAATAGAGCTTCGCAATACAGAGATCCCAGCTGAAAAATCTAAAAAAGAAGAATGATTACCACTTGAACTTGACGCTACAATTTAGACTGTGCCTTACACAGTAACTGTCTAACCCGCCAGAATCGCATGAGTGCCATATGACGCAAACACAGTACCGGCACTTACCCTACCAGTCATGAATACGATGGCGTCAGCTAGCGCAGCTAGAGCTGTAATTGTGCCAGTCTGGACATTGTCTACAAGCGGTCAATGAGCGTCATGACACTATATTTGAGGGAAATCCCGTCGCTTACAGCGTATAAGCCGTGTGATAATATCATTGCTGAAATCGTTTCTCTTTGTCGACTTCAATAAATCCATATTAGCGACCCAGCTAGACACTAGTAGAAACCATACGTGCCAGTGAATATACCAGAAAACAAGAAACCAATATATCAGTGACGGCTGAGGATAGTAGCCATGTTGTCGGCGCAGCCCGGAAATCTGCGAATTGCTCGTAATCGGGTTGAAGACTGACCGAGACCGTCGTCCAGATTCCACCAGCTAAGATAGATGGTAAGGTCAGGAACAATATGAGAAATGAACATACCCATAGCAGTCAACGAAAATGCTACAATCACAAGAGCCGGTATCCTGGACTGCGCGATGATTCTGATGCGCCATGCCATAAACATTTGCACGGGAGTCGAAATGAGGACCTGGGATAAAACAGTCGCTGTTGTCCGAAAAAATCATTCCCAACAAAAGATACGTACAGTCATTACTCCATCTGAGTTGCAGGGCTGGTTAGCATGGATACCCATCCCAGCAAAGAACGCCTTACCCGGGCGCAGTACTAGTGTGCATGTCAGACCGATACAACCCAAAAATCAAAGATAGCTCAACTCACGCAATGGCGACCGTATCAACGGGATTTCGGAACCTCGTAGAAAGCGTGAATGATGAAGCATCTATCTTAGATTCATATGAACGTACCATATCTCAAAATCAATGGTTCGAAGACGATACCCACGTCAAGGATTGTGTTCGTTGTCTCTGCCAATAAGAGATATAACACCTGTATGGAATATCAATCAATGGCCATGGATACAAAGATGTGACCTACAAACAGTCTCATCCATCGAGGATCCCTGCCACTGACATCAGCGCTATAATTGCAATCAAAGGGTATGCAATCATACCTCTGACAGGTTTGATAGTAAATGTACATCTATACAGAAAATTTGTGAAATTATGAACACCGTACTACATCAGTGCGCTCACCTGCATCACAGTTACCTGTGTTCACAAGATCATCAGCCGCTGTGATGCAAGTGACCTGAGCGCAATCGTGACTCACACCGTACAGAACCGAAGTCACAAAGGCTCCGACCATGAGAGGTGCGTATCTGTGGTCTGTATCAGCAAAACTGTCGTAGAGGATAACTGTCCCCATAGTCACATTTCGACGATAGGAGAAGGCATAGGTGATTGCGTTAACAATCGAGCAGGAATTCAGAGATCAGCAGGGGCGAGGCTGAATAGATGTGTTGTGTTATATACCTTTTGATAAGAAGACAGTTACGGGTTAAGGGTAAAAACTACCACGAGATGCACACGGATGCAGTATCATCATACCTTCGTGATGCAGGGGAAAAGTCGACGAACATGATCCATTGAACGGAGACTTCTTAATGTATCGTCAAGCCATGAGTCGCGTTAGAGAACTTTCGATATCAGTCTCAGATTTTATATGATGCAATGTCAGGAGAAATTTTTGCCGCCGAGCACGCCGAAAACCATTTCTTGTGCAAAGGGATTCCCAGCTGCATTGCCGCACTCCAACGTAAAAGCCATGGAGAATTGAATACAAGTGAATAACTCGCAAAGTGCCGATCAGGGCAATCATGAACAGTGTGAGAGACAGGCATTTTCCGGTAAGGGAAGACACAAGTACCTGTGAGGCATTTAGAATCAGGTTCGCGTACCACTAGACCCAGCAGTTTAACATCATGAAGCGCGAAGCTCGCAGCTGAAAAAAGGCCACAGGCTAGATTGTGGGAGACACATTATCACGACGGGCGCTTGAACCGCCAACCCATCACCGTGTGACCACGTAGTAGCAGTAAACATTTCGGCATCCCTGATTCAGCACGGTAAGCGTACCGGTACAGGAGAGAAAACTCACAGCTTTAAAATAGAGCTGGTGCAGAAATGACAGATCACAGAGAATTAGTATCTGATGGACTTGAACTGAAAGAATAAGGTTTGCCGCGATTGCTAGCCTTCCCGACACAACAGAATGCTTACCTATTTACATCACTCGAAGCTATGAGAAAAAAGGGTAGTTTAAGATTATATGGTCATTTTTACCTCTGCGGCGTGATAGAAGGGATATCCGATTCACTGTACATCACTGCACTGCCTGCGCCTAAGAGGTTCATCAGCGGGAGCTCGTAGTCGTAAAACAACGGCGAAGATCAAAAGAGACGGAGCTGGAAGTTACATGGACCCTTCAGAATATCCCATTGAACTAGAAAATAACTGGAGGACTCCTTTCCTTCACCAGTCGCTGAACCACTTGAAATATTCAATTTGAAGAAGAAAATCACCAAAGCGAGTCGGAACTACCCGAACTTTGCCCAGCTGAGTAAGTATATCTGGCGTTGCCGTCGGCAACAGCCGCCGCGCTTTTCCTTCGTTCCATTCATCAACTGTCGCTTGATAATCGTAAGTACTAACATTACTCAGGATAGTGGATGCATGTTCATGCTAGCTTCCTTTTAGCGTATAAATGGCCGCACTTTTATGCGGTTCCCTTGCTGGGACGAAAGTCCTTGTCACATATTGAAATCTCTATTATTATGCGTGCCTAGTCTTGCATCATGCATTGGAGCCTAGGTGCAGAATAGCAATGAGTAACTCTTAAAGCCGTAAATCGTTTGCATTGTTCTACATACTTGGACATTGAATACTGCTTCAGGCCTACAACGCCTCCGGCATCTGAACAGATGACTGCTATTATAACCTTAAACTTTCCATCTGGCCAATACCACTTGACACGAAAAACTGGTATTAGCAGTACCCTTGGGCCTGAATCGAGAAATAACGACTTGACCGCCACCAGGCCCGTGGTTCCTAAGTCTTATATGAGGCCTCGGTACGTCGATACTTTTGCAATTTGAAGTCGGGACAAATAACGGTTAACTTGACAGGAATCTCGTGGAAAAATTTCCGGAGATGATGGGGTCGCAACCGAACTTAACAGGATACAAGGAGACAGTAGGGGCATTGTTCCCTATACATGTACGCATTATTTCTGACGTCTATATAAGGGGGCAAATGTCGTAGCCATCATTTTCTACGCAATGTCCACGTCACAGCCAAAGTCGCCCCTTTTGGAAATGCTGGCCGACGAAGCTGCTAAAGTATGTTTAAGCAAATTAAAGCTGAAGCGTAGGCACTAATTCTTCGTAGGCTCAAAGTGATGAAACCAGAGACGAACGTCAAGTGGAGCAACCTATGACATTAGAGGAGCCGGAACTTCTAACGGCCATACGCACCATTCCGGCAGAAGTATTGTCGCGAATCTTTAATTCTGTTCCTCCCAACGATTTATCGTTTCTTCCGGCCTCCGTATCATGGGGGCCCAGTAACATCAGTCCATCATGGCGCGCGTTTGTCAATAGTACACCATCTATGTGGTCCAACCTCAACTTTCCACTCTCACTCTCGGAAGTCGGGGTGTCCGATCAACGGTATCTGGAACTCGCAGGCATCGTTTTGGATCGCAGTGGAACCCATCCCCTGGACATCTCCATCGATCTGGAGAAGACTGACATATCTATCAATATCTTGCGCTTACTTTCGTGTCACGCACAACAATGGCGAAAGGTGGAATTGCATGGGAGTTGTCCTTTTGGTTTCGCTAGCACACTCTCCCCCATTAAAGGCAACTTGGGTAACTTGGAGTCTTTGACCATAACCCTTCTCCTTCCCCGACATCTGGATGTATTCCGGGATGCACCGCGCCTTCAAGAGGTCTACTTACGGTTGCATTCTGAGTGTGACATTGATCTACCCTACTCGCAACTTCGTAGTTTCACCTCGAACCTACTACCATCGGACCCCATTACATTCCTACGAAGTTGTCCTCACCTATCTGAATTCGGTTACGTCGGTGAAAATGAACCGCGTGTTGAAGGACATGCTTACGATGTTCAGTTCCTGAATCTTCTCTGGCTGAGCGTTAGCCATCCATCAGTGCTCCATCGTCTGCCTACCCCCGGTCTCAAAGAGCTCAAGTATCACCTCTCCAATGATGTTGACACGGTCCTCAACTTTCTAGCGATTTCCAGATGCGACCTCACTTGCCTCGGCATCGCCTGGACTTCTCACGACTTCTTTGAACCCGGTCCATTCGTTACCCTGCTTCAAAATCTTCCTAATCTAGAGCATCTCAAGATTTATGACCTGTTATCTTATCAGGATGAGCATTTTGATGTGTATGAGACCCTTCGCCTGGGGAATGGGGCATACAATTTGGTTCCCGAACTACAGGAACTAACGTTGGACACCTACAACCCCTCTATCTTCAACCCTGACGAGTATCCCGAGGGACCAGATCTGTTCGAGAGTGTCATGCTGTCGAGGGTAGGGAGGCTCCGCAGGCTTACGCTTGTACATTGCTTGAAGGACATACCTCAGTGCGTTGAAAATCTGATGAAGGCGGGTATTGACGTGGTAGTGACCTGGGATAGGAATATGGAATTACAGTTTTGATAATCTGGTGTATGTGAGCTCGTTGTCTTTGTCAGTGCATGTATCTGATGGCACAAGATACCAGACATAAACTAAGTGCTTTTCAGGACAGTAATAATGGTCAAAATAGAAATATATGCTTTCTTATTCCTGCTACTTTAGTAGTAGGTTTTATGGTGTGACCTTTGATTTTTCGATTTTTGGCAGCCCGATGTCGATCTGCACGAAACAACGGTACACCTTCCTAATAGCGTAAAGGGTCCTTCCTTATAAGGCGAAAAGCGCTCCTTATAAGGTCTAGCGCAAAGACCCCCTTCGATCAGGGGCTCAGACCCCTCTCGGAAGACCTGGCATTAACGGCCCGGGGGCGTGCCATAGCCGGCAATTCGGTAGTACGGTCCGAGTTAGCCACGCATCCGTTGCGTTGGACCCGGTGGCCGTCATCCTGACTCTTTGTCTCCCACTCTCGACGTTTGTAAGCCAGCCCCACTCGTAAGCCATCACGTCGTCCCAGCAATAACACAACAACATCGTTGCAACCGTACCTCTTGCAGAAATGTTGATCACTCTGAATGGAATACCTGTGATTTCTATCTCTTCTACTTTACAATCTTCTTCGCTTCTGTTCTCATCGTCTCCATTTGCTGGAGGTTATCCTCCCGGTCGAAAAATTCTTCATTCCTCGTCCTCGTCCTCGCCGGTGTCTCCCCTCGGAAAATATCTCGCGTACAGGTAAGGCCTGATCTCTGTTTGAAATTCATATTCTCACTCGAAGAACAGACAAAAAAGTCCACAACAAAGCGATCAAAAACTTATCAGTTTTCCTCTCTGATTCTAAAGATGCGCTTCCACCGCCGGAGTTGGCAAGATTGTGGAAAGGAATATTTTATTGTGAGTCAATGTTAATCTGACATGATACCTTTGGCTGAATTGTTTTAGGCTTCTGGATGTCTGACAAGCCCTTGATTCGGCAAGCTGTCGCAACCGAGCTTACAGAACTTGTGTTGACTATCACGTCAACGCCAGCTGCGCTTTCGTTTCTAAGTTGATTCTGGGAAACGACGGTGAGTGGAATGGAATCGATTGACTTAGGTCAGTGCTTCACGAAATGCTTAGTCTTATTGGACTGAGGTGACTATAGGCTCGACAAGTATTATATGCTTGTGAGGAAGTTTGCGCGCGCAAGGATAGAATCGTCAGATCGATATCTTCCCGACCGAGAGTCCATATCCGAAAACTACAACCGCATATACATGCACCACACAGCCGCATTTCAAGGTTTTGTTCCATGAGTATCAAGTTTTATGGCGCCGTATCCACTCTTTTCGTTGTTTAAACGGTGTAACAATTTTCAGATAGCCTCTTCCACAAAAGAATACATTTATCAACTCAACCACGTTTTAACCAGCAGGGTAATAATCAGTGTTGCCTACTTGACTAGCCACTAGATATCATCTCGGTCTGACCATCTGTATCATATTACCAGGAGTACTCTCACTAATAGTGAGACCTTACCCGTCTCTCTCCTCGTTGCTGTTCCTAGCTCGGGAAACATTTTCTACCATGGCCTCCAGAACTGGGAAGACTCGGTCTGATATTTCAGTCATGAAAACTTCAGACGATGGCACTTTCAAATGCGCTCCCTTGTCTTTCCGAAATGTTATCGAAAAAGGCGGGAAATTCGAATCACAGCTTGGTGAGCAGCGAATTGACTTCGTTCCAGTATATATTGAGCAACATCGCGCAGATTGCTACCATTCCTATGCATGTCGTACGTGATGCAGAATGTTACTGCTGATAACAGTATGAAGCTAACTGCCTTCAGCCTGGCAACCCGAACCTTGATCGTCAGGAAGCTCAAGGGTCTCGATGATATAGTTCGTGAGTATATACATCCTTATTGCATCCCTCTTTGACTAACAAGTCATCAAACAGCTGTTACCGTTGTCTCACCCCGTACGGACGGTTGGCCTTTTGTCACTGCAGATCAGTTTCCAGGCGCAGATGCCAATCCTTTGTACAGTTCTTGGCATGTCGGAACCATTCTATTACACTCCTGGTACTTTTAAATGCCTAGCGCACGTCTCCGAGAGCAGAGAAGACACCTTGGCTTGGATGAGGCACGAGTACAAAACTGTATTCTGCATTTCCTCGATTGACGCTTCTCCTCCTGTTCTGCTTTTTACATTGAGGGCTCGCGGATAGGAGTCTTATCTGGGTCTTCCTGAGAATGAGCTTGGACGGGACCGCTGAGGAACCCCTTGCAGAGTCGGAAGTTCGCGACATATTTGCGAGTTTGCAGCCCGAACGTGTACTGTGTGAAAACGTAAGTACCCAGTGTATCAGTCGGGTGTCCCCTCACACTATGGTCCAAGGAGATTGAGTTTTTTTTTTTTTTTTTGTATCCTAAGTCGTACTTTGTGTACCGTATCCTGCACGTAAACGTATGTCCGGATATCCCATTCTTCTTTGTCCCTGCTTCGTATTTCCTTCTGCTTGAGTTGAACCTCAACTAGCGAACGTAATATCGTTCCTTGCAGGTTTTACCTGCGTCCATCTGATCTCGGCTTGCGAGGATGGATGTCGGTCGCTTTTTTTTCCCTTTTTGTCATCATCCTCTTGTTCCTTTCCATCATGGTCTATCATCATCCGCTATCTCTACCTCTGGGAACCTCCCGAATACTTGTTCGAATCGCCTTGTATCGTTGAGATAGTTAATGAGGTGTGGTAGGTTCGCCCTCTTTGTCAGGATGTGCCTTATCGACAGTCTTGTTGGTGAGACTCCGATCGCCCTTGTTAATGTTTCGCGCTGATTGCTGTAACCAGGGCATCGCATTAAGTAGTGATGGACCGACTCGTTGGGGTATGAACATCTTGGGCATGCAGGAGAGTCGACGCGACGAATGTTGAATAGATGGCGGTGGAGTCCGATGTGTCCGGTACGCAGTTGCATCAATATACTGGTGATTTTTCGTGGTAGGGAGGTGGCCAGGCTCCTGTACCGACGTGCAACTTGCTGGGCAGGCGCTGGATCGATTTTCCGAAACCTGGAGTAGCGGGGTGACTTCCTCCAGGCTCGGTCAGCTTTGACTTTCTGCCGTGCATAGAATTCCCGGAGTATCGACGTTTTGTTGTGAGGTATTGGTTTGCGGAGTGGTGCTGGTAGATCTTTTGCTTCACTTCTGTTGCCTCGTGCCGCCGCCTTCGCCTCTTCATCTGCCGCTTCGTTCCCTGCAATCCCTTGATGTCCAGGTACCCATCGAATCTTGAGCGTCATGTCTGGATGGCGCCGTAGGACTATATCGGCTCGTTTATGGAATAGGTCGAGGATGTGGTGTGATGGTGCTGGTCTTGCTAGCTTGGTCGCCAAGATCGCCGCTGTGTTGTCGATGCTGATGCTTGCGCTGTTGACATTCCTCATGCTCCGTAGCGGTTCGAGGCATAGCGTAAGTGCTAATCCTTCTCCGTCATACACCTCGTGTTCCTTTGCCGTTCCCACCTTCAGCCTCACCGTCTTTTCTCTCTGCCCGTTCCTATACACCACTGCTGCTGCTCCTATGCTGCCATCGATTCCCGAACCATCTCCATATGCCTGTACTTCGCTATCATCATTTCTGTCCATCGCCATTGCCTCTTGCATTGATTGTGCCATTTCCACCTTTACTCTTGATTCCCAATTCGGTGGATATCGAACTGCCTGAATGGTCTCCATATTGTCCGGCTGTATGCCAAACTCCCTCATCAGCTCGTGAATTGGACTTCTGTGTCTTTTTGTCTTCCTTTTTGCTGCTCTGCGTACCGTCTTGTGGAGCGGATGTCCCGGTGGTAAGCAGGCCATATGTGCCAGTGCTCTGTGTCGATATACATCGACCTGTCCCTGCATAGGTAGCAAGTTGGCATGTATATCTAGAGTGTCGCCTGCTGTTGTGCGAATAGCCCCCGTGATCAAAATTGCCGCTTTCCTCTGGATCGTTGCCAAGCTGTTTACTGTCTTGATGCTGCTTTTGCCGTCTTTCCTCTTCCTCGTTGCTTTTATCTGTGGGTTCAAGAATATGTCAGCAGCATATAGGATACGTGGGATCGCTATTGTGATATAGGTTAGCCTCATGCATTCTCTGGATACTCCTGAGCTAACTCTTGCAAGTCGCCGGAATTGCACAATCCAATCATCCCCTTTTTCGATCGCCGCTGCTCCTTGCTCCTTCCATCGCAGTCCTGCATCAATGTGCACCCCTAGAAATTTTGCTGATGGTCGTGGGTGTATCAGATGTTGACCGATTTGTATTGGGCCTCCCATGTCTGGTTCGCGCTGTCCGCCAGGTATCCCTGGTGTTGTGGCATTTCGGGTTTTTCTTGTGAAGTCAACTAGCTGAAACTTCGCTACTCCATATTCACAGTTGTGCTCCTTCGCCCAGTCAGAGTACTCCGTCGTTTCGTTCCATGATGTTCTTGATTGCCTGATGGGTCTCCTGAAACTGTCTTGCCATATACGAGGATTGCTTTGTCATCTATAAATAGAAAAGCATTGTTCGCTATCCTGGAGCCTTCGCAGGACGCTTGAGTTGTATATGATGTATAGCACCTGTGAGAGTGGGTCTCCCTGATCTAGCCCATTAGTCACATCGAAGATGGCTGACTTGAAGTCGTCGAAGCTCAGGACTGTTCTCCTTCCGGCTAGTCTCCGTCGCAGCCATTCTGTGTATTGCGCTGGTATTCCCAGCATCAACATCTCGTGGAGAAGCATATCCACATCCACGCTGGGGAATGCCCCTTTGACATCGAGGAATAGAACGGATACTACGTTACCTTTCCTCCATTGGTCTTTGATATTGGATACCATTAGGTGAATGGAGTCGGTGGTGCATCTGCCGGGGCGTCCTCCAAAGTGTCGGTCAGGTAGGATGCCCTTATATTCACACCATCCTACAAGGTCCTGGTTCATCGTTGCGTGAAGACCTCGCCCCCACCCATTCGATAGTATGATGGGCCTATACGCATTGGGGTCCTCGTAGTCTGGTTTTCCCGGTTTGCGCAAGATGATCGTGTTTGTTTCGCTGAACATGTCTGGGTATTCCTCCAATGTGAATGTTGCTCGATATACTGGTCCTATATGTGGAGCGAGTAGGTCAGCGCAATGGTTTAGTACGCAGTTAGGTACTGTTCCAGATTTTGTCGCCTTGAGCGGTTTCATATGGCGGAAGGCTCGTTCTATCTGCCCGTCTGTGATGAGCTGGAATTCCCATGCTGGTGGGGGGTATTGAATGTTGCTTGGCACTGCCGACGTTGTAGGCTTGGGTGGGAAGAAGGCTGCTTGAAAGATGCTTCCCTTCTCCTTGTTATCTCGTATCCTCTTCGGGTGTTGTCCTGCTGCCTTTACCGTGAGATCTGGGACCCTCGTTCTTCCCCCATCTGACGTTGGTTGGGATATAAATCGGCTGATCTCCCAGATGTTACCTGATCCCGCATTCTCCAGCCATGCCATCCAGCATGCCGTCTTTGCCACCTCAATGGCCATGGTATATTGATTGCGTAGCCTTCGTCGTTCCTCGTGAATTGGATGTTCTGGTACCGATCTGAATCCGTATGCTTTTTTCTGCACCCTGCGTAGCTGTTGGCGTAGTTCTGTGAGTTCTCCATTCCACCATCGTTTCATATATGGACTCGGTTTGGTCCATGGAACGCATGCGTCAATCACGTCTTGGACTGCGTCATCGATGTTCTTGAGTGTGGTGTGCATTTGTTCACTGTTCGTGATTTCGCATGGGATGGGGAGTGTATCGAGTTGATCTCGGAGGGTATTGTAGAATTTTTCCCAGTCTACCTTGCGGAAATTTCGCCGTGGTGAGATTGAGTTATTGCACAATGTACTGAAGTCACAAACCTCTTCTGAGTGAGATGTGCTTCTGGGAGGTAGCGACATGAGTGTGTCGTGCTCATAACTGAATACCATTTGACACGCGTTACTCAAGACTAATAACGAAAAGATCGACGCTAATGAAGCTGGACCGACTGTAGAACGTTTGTTCCCTCTCGATCTTATTACTCCTGCACCGAAAGCGGCTACACTTGGCCTTCCAAATGACATCCAAGAGCTTCTTAAAATCAGTCGGGATTTGGTCGGGATGCCATTCATATCGTTCGCACTCGCAGTAGTAGTAATAGTCGTCTTATTACTTGTGGTGGTGGTAGTCATCACATTATTTAGATATTGAATACATGCGAGCGATTGAATACAAGACTTGTTTTCACCTGAAGTAGCAGGCGTTGCCCCGGAGCGGGCATGCTTTCTTATTGCGGCTATGAGATGTATAGAGGGATGTTTGGGAGACCGGTCCGATCATCCGAACAACTTTGGATCAGAATGACGAAGTGTTTCACTTCGAAGCTTGTATAAAAATGTTTAAGATCCGTAGACACCTTTAGGCAACGACAATGCATTCCCAGAAGTACGCTCCTCTTCTCCCTGGCTCTCTCCTTCTTATGTTTAAATTGCAGAGATTATCAAAGGAATGCGAAGCTTCACTATCGCTGTCTCAAAGAAGCAGAGAAATCAGGTATCATACGAGTTTATTCATCCCTCAATGACTCATGTTAAAGGAGTTCTGCCAGCTCTACGACAACCCTTTCCCGAAGGTCCGCAAACTACGACATCGCGGCGCCTTTCGTATGGAGCTCCAGCACTAATGCAGCATTATTCTTCCTCGGGACTGCCCTCTTCTCATCACGTGAAGTCAAGCCCTAAGCGCCATCATCGGACAGCTTCTACGCCCAATCTTTCTATCCCCTCTTGTTCTGAGTCTCAACATATGACCTTTCGCGAAGACGATCTCGCTAGGTCATTCGGAGCGTTAGAGATTTCACAGAAGAGAAAGCTTGAGCACTCCTCCTCGTCACATCTGCGGGTAAAAACTCGCAGTCATGATCGTCGCCCTTCAGCAGCCCCGCCCATCACATTCTGCGATTTCGGTTTTTATCCGCCCGTCTGCGGCTCTGTTCGTACATCAGACCCCAAGGTCATTGGGTAAGCAAGCGTTCTTCATACTTTTGGCTCAAGGAGAAATTCAACTCATGATTCTGCAGCTAATCCAAAATGTAATAGCGCCGTACTACATACAGAGCAATTATGGATGTACACCCTTAGCCCAGTGATAATATCAATCACAAGCTTTACAGCTCCAGAGAAATCAACGTTCTTTTGACTAAGAGGCAAGGTTGATGAGGGAGCGCGCTGTCATGTAATACGGTCATGCTCAGAGTACCAAAATTCCAGGACAACGTACTCGATGAGCTCAACGGTTGGGAGCCGGACATTAGGGACGCATGGACTAGAATAGGGGGACCGAGTCGGATAAACTCGAACTGCCTCCACGTCGTAGTCTTCATTGAAAAATGCTCAGCTTTTTTTGCGTCAGAATATAATCCCAAGCGCGACTTTCAGTCACGTTATCTGAGTTAAATATGAATTCCAGGTCTTCGCGAATTCCGGAAAAGATGTTTTTCAGACCTAATTTGGCAGTAGTCAGTAAAGTAGCAGAAGGCGAAGAAAAAAGAGGTATCTCACTCCAAGATCTTCGGGCGGCCTTCCTGAAGCGATAATTGATATCCCGCAGGTCACCCTTTGACTCTCTGATAAAAATCTGACTATGAAAATGGCGTGCCCCCCCTTGATATACCGAACCATCTACCGCAGAATATATTGATCTTGTGAACCATATTGGCGTAAAGTTTCGGCCACATTGCACCATGTCAAAAGTAATCTCTGAAAGAATGGTGGTCCATGATCTTCGGAGAGCGAAACCGACTTCTTCAACATATGGTGGATCATCTACAACGATACTCCAGTCAACAAGCAGCCTGCACAGCTGTGCATTTGCATGCTCGAGGATTATAGAAACGCGAGTTTGGAAGAGCTGGTGATGATACAAAAAGTGCCGATGCCATCCGATGCGAAACTTGATCTCAAGATTGATTCGCTCAATGTTGGGAAAGCACTTGCGAAAACCGATGTAATTGGGCAGGCTGCAGAACGCTGAATACGGTTCCTTCGCGGCGTCTTCCGTCGATTTAATGAGATCAACATAACAAGTTATGGTGCGGGTAGAATCGGGGAGAGAGGTGGGATAGATTGCAGAATTATCGAGATAGATGATAGAGCTGAGATAGAATAGATATGCAACGGTTGGGACGTAGATGTCTCGAGAAGTAATACGTGCGAAGACATCCTTCCACACGCTGTTGATAAGGGGGCATGCCGTCATGAAGGTGATCCGTTCATCTGAAGGATGCTCAGAGTTCCAAATTTCCAGAATGATACACTCGACGAGCTCGGTAGGGAGCTGGACATTAGAGGTGCGCATGGTTCGTTACCTTGTCTAAAATCGCGTGACACTACAAAAATAAGATAGGGGAATTCGGATAATCGGAGCCATAGAAGTAGAAGCCGACCATGCCGAAACCCGGAAGAATTTGCAGCTCGAACCACGATGAACTACTCGCAACCAAAGGAGCGCATTTTCCGCTGTTCCCACTCTCAGGTTCATGGCCCCCTTCTGCGCTACAGGTCTCTGCAGGCCACCAGAAGGACACCCGTTCAATTTTTCACTCTGTACGCAAGCCTTTCAATACCCGATCATTATGAATGATGTCCGGCTGATAGATACGCGCTAGTAAGCGGACATGATCATTGAATTGTCTGTATCGAGTGATGACATACCAGTGAGATCATGCTATAGTCAGGCGCTGTGGGGTGACCCCCATGGCGCGTATTTAAGGGTAGGGTTAAGAAAATTCTACGCTATTCTACACATATATCGCGTCTTTCTCTTCGAAGCTTTTACTCGGAATACCAAATGGGAGGCACCTACAACTACACTCTAAGGCGCGTGGCTTTGTACGCCTTACTTGTCAGTATTCTGTCCTACTTGCCGGAGTGCTTGCTTACCAAACGATCTACTAGTGGCCCATTGCAGTCATCCTGCTTGGCCTCACGGCGTATCGCATCCATTTCACAAAAAGTCAGGGAGTAGGCTATCGTACGTCCCTCATGTATGGTCGGTCGATCTCTCCTTAGACAGTCTTCCAGAGCCCATCATCGTGGAACTTCTGGTTTCTTCCATCTTCACTGTGCTCTGGGTACCGCTTGCGTGCGTTTGCATCGTATATGTTTCAAAGGGTACAGTCGATTGACGCTCATATGTAGAATGCTCATGATATTTGCTGAGCGCGCTTCGAGCTCTCGAGACAATGCCAATACAGCTCGAAGGCATCCCAAGCACCTTCCCTTTGAGCTGTTGGGACTGGCCATCCTGTGGCTGTTTTGGCTTGTCGGCGCCGTGTATACAATCGTAAGTAATTGATCCCCAGTTTATCCCCAGTCGATGCCAATTTTATTTTTCCTATCTTTTAGAACCGAATTCTTCCAGGCCACAACTGGTGCGCCTTTAGCGGAAAGCAGTGCAATATCATGACGGCGATTCTCGCCTTCGCTTGGATAGGCTGGTCCTTGCTAACGCTCTTGGGTATCCTGGCCCTGATGCATTCTGCTCATGGATTTGCGTCTGAGGAGAATACTAGTGCCAGAGTGGAAAAGGACAGAGGGGTTGGCTTCCGAGACCACAAACACGGGGGCTGGGCAGCCAGTCCCTACCCAGCCAGCAAATGTCTAGCCGACGGCCGTTAATCCGTGCCATGCGCGCTCTCATGTATAGTATAACTGATATGTATTTTGTGTAGCTTATAACTTGTAAAGTATCTTCTATGTACACCCTCGTAATTAACACACCTTTCTCACCAATATCCGATTCCGTTGTTAGTTATACATACAAGAATAAGTGCAGTACGATAGCGGAAAAATGGTATATGTACACCTAAATCATACCTAAATGTTGTCAATAAATCGCTCTAGGTGGTGGCAGCCCAGGCTTTCAAATCTATGGGGTCGTTCTTGGACATCTCTATCCATTTGAATTGCTAAAAATGTTGTCAAATCGAAGCCTCTCAAGTCGGCAGAGAAATAGCTTACCGCCAATCCACCCGGCATCCCTCTCTTCTCTGGCTCCTTGTCCAAGCAGGCGTCAACGAACTCCTCTGCTTCGACGGGGAACCGCCTCCCCCCATCCGGTCCGACAGCCATAAGCCTCGGCGCCGGCTCTTTGACGATCTGATGCATCAACTCGATGATGCTCATGGTCATAAGTGATCCATGAAGCGATACACCTCTGCTTCTCCGCCGGCTGAAGGGGCTGTCGGGAGTAATGGTAGGAGGGCGGAGGGAATCTTCCATCACGTCATCCTCGTCGTCCGAATCCGAGTCATTGAAGGGGAACCGACCATGTGCGAGTTCGATGAGGGTTATTCCGAGAGACCATATATCGGACTTGACGGAGTAATCTCCGCCTTGGATACGTTCAGGCTGTGATGAACTCTAAACTTAGCGACGACATAACGCGATGATGGTAACGACATACACTCATGTAAATCGATGTCCCCACAAAGGTATTCGCGATAGAGTTGATCAGTTCGCCAGATACTCCAAAATCACAGAGTTTGATTTCGCCAGCAGAGTTTAGTAGAATATTGGAGGGTTTTATGTCTATAAAATAATGTCAGAAAAGTGATATGTCCTGAAAAGAAACAAACCTCTATGTATGATCCTGTGAACATCGTAGAGATAACGTAAACCCTCCAGTACGCAGACCGCGACTTTGCCCACCACTCGAATGTCGATGGGGCCATTCCTCTTATAGACACCGTCAAAGGAGCCCTTGTCCATGAATTCCATGCAAATACAGATATTGGGCTCAGTGAGGTATGCGCCATACGAAGTCACAATATACGGCGAGTCGCAGTCGTGCATGATATGCAATTCGCGAAGAATTTGTTTCCGTACGGCCGGTTTAGCATCAATAAGGACAACCTACTGGCCTATTAGTTTGGCACCATTAAAGCCTACATGCCCACGTACCTTCTTGGCCATGATTACCCCTGGTCGACAAATGTTCGACCTTGATGACGCTCCCACCGTTCCCAGTTCCCAGCTCCTCCAAATTCCTAAAATCATCGTTTTGCAGCGTGCCGAATCGTTTATTTGACTTGGTCTCGCTGGTATTTGAATTCGCGTTTAGGTCGGCAAGAGTCGTTGATAGTGCCGAGCGCATCCCGGTCCGCTGTGGGGTTGGCGCTTGTAGTAGGCCATTCGGAGCAGCCTCTACAGATGTCGCGGGCAGCTGAAGGGCCTTGAAATTCCTTTTCTTGCGCAAAAGGCCAGTCGGGGTGGTGGTCGCCATTGCAGAAAGCGAACGTTGCCTGCGGCGTTGCAGGTCACGTTGATAGGGCAACACATCTCACAGCTAATGTCATGATGCGAAACAATAATGTTGGCCCCGATAAGTAGATGAGATTTCTCGGTAAATATTTGAAATGTTCTAACCGGAAATAGGCTAAAAGCTGACTGAATGAAAAATTGAAATGCTTCCGGTGAATCAGTGAGAAAAAAAAACTAAAAAACAACCAGCACGAGCTATAATGGAATCAATAGATTTTCGGGATGAGCTGAATTGTTGGGTTGCTTGGTAACTCGACTCGCTATACGAGCAATGCGTGTCCGTGGTACAAGAAATCTGCTGGAAGAGCGTGAGAAAGTAATATGTTTGTTTCGAGCGTCCCAGGACAAATAACAGAAGTAACGCGTCACATGTGACCCGACGTATCTCCCACCCATTTCCACCGCGTCGACGTGAGGAAAAGGCTTGCACGTACCAGGCTTTCCGGTCTTCCTCCGTTTTTTACTCTCACTCAAGTCTACACGTAGTTCGTACCGAAGGATTGTACACTGCAATGTCGACTGCTCGTCGCCGAACAGCTCATGCAGAGGCCATTCTTGGGCCTGAGCTCCATGCGCGTCTACCTAATGTAAAAGTTCTGCTTGTTGGTGCTGGTGGGATTGGATGCGAGCTTCGTGCGTTACTACTTGGTCATATATTTTTCTTCTGGCTAATGCTTTTCGTTCTTAGTGAAAAACATCGTATTGACCGGGTTTGGAAAAATCACGCTGCTTGATCTCGACACAATTGACGTGTCGAATCTCAACCGCCAGTTTCTCTTTCGGAAAAAGGACGTCAAGCAGAGTAAAGCTCTGGTGCGGACCGCTGGCGTCTTCATTTTCCATGCTGCAATGACGCCTCATTTAGGTTGCCGCTCAAACTGCCGGGTCCTTCAATCCCAACGTGAAAATTACACCAATCTTTGCCAACATTAAAGATACGCAGTATGACATTGAATGGTTCCAAAGCTTTGATCTCGTGTTGAATGCCTTGGACAACCTCGGTATGTACTTACGTCCTTATAATTGCTCTTCTCACGAGCTGCGTAGATGCCCGGAGACATGTCAATAAGATGTGTATGGCGGCCAACGTGCCCTTGGTTGAGTCAGGGACAGCTGGCTACCTTGGCCAGGTCCAGCCTTTAGTTAAGGTGCGCCCCTTTTGCCCGGACCCTCGTGTTCTTAACCAACCGCAACGTAGGACCTTACCGAGTGTTTTGATTGTATGCCAAAACCGACACCGAAAACCTTCCCTGTATGTACCATACGCTCAACTCCAAGTCAGCCCATACACTGCATAGTATGGAGTAAGAGTTATCTAATGGGGTGAGTGGTGCAGCTCTTTATGGCTCAACTCACTCTCAAGTAGTGACGCACTGCAGACAGCTGTTCGGTGAAGACGAAGACGCATCCGGAGAACTGGATGAGGCCGAGAAGCAGGGAGAAAATGGTAAGTCCTTCGTTAACGGAGTTTCGTTTAGCGCTTTGATTGCCGTCTGCATGTAGCGCAAGAAATAGCAACTCTACGTGAACAAGCTCAGGCATTCATGAGCGTTCGTAAAGCGCTACGGACACCTTCAAAAGACGCCGCAAGGATGGTGTTCCAAAAGGTTATCAACACGTTGATGCTTGGCGTTGAGTATTGACGCCATATATAGATCTTTAAATCAGATATCCGAAACCTTTTAGCAATGTCCGACATGTGGAAATCGCGGGCACCACCCGTTCCCTCTAGAGTTTGATGCAATTCTGGACGACACGTTTGTTCTGCGGCAGAACGGTACAAATGAACAGACCAGGCAAGCTAGTACTTCAAGGGCAACTAACGGCCATTCATCCGCTATCAAAGATCAGCGTACGTTGTCGTTGAGGGATAACGTTTTACTTTTTGTTTCGAGGCAAGTGACCAAATTCCGTGGCTTCAATTACTAGAAGTAATCATGTTCTTTAGCACGGAACGGCTAGCTGCTCGCCTACAAGCCGGCGAGGAAACCATCTCGTTCGACAAAGATGATGATGATACATTAGACTTCGTCACCGCTTCCTCGAATCTTCGCTCTGCTGCCTATGGTATAGAGGGCAAGACACGATGGGAAGTTAAAGGTATGTGTTATCTGTTTCCACGGCGGAAGGTTTAAATGACAGAACAATCTCTAGAAATGGCAGGCAACATCATACCGGCTATTGCTACAACGAACGCGATAGTATCTGGCCTGATCGTGCTGCAAGCGCTCCATCTTCTACGGAAGTCATACTCAAGTCTGCGGAGCGTGCATATACTTGCGAATAAGCCCTCCGTGCCTCTCAGTGCGATACGGATGTGCCCTCCGAATCCTAGCTGTGGTGTGTGCAGGGATACTTACACGAAAGTGCTGTGTGATACATCGAGAACGACACTGGGTGATGTGGTGAAGGGTATTATGGGGAATGATACAAGGGAAGTGAGCGTGTACGAGGACAAACGGGTCCTGAGCGATCCGGACTGGGAAGACAACTTTGAGCGAACTCTCGAGAGTCTAAACGTTTCGAGAGGCAAGCTGCTTGCGATTGCGGACGAAGAGGGGGAATGGGGCACTATCACCGTTGCCCTTGGACTGTTACCGTAAGTCTCATTTTTTTTTTTCGTCCGCGAGATGTTAATACTGTTCTCAGTGAATCACACCCGCCCGACGCTCCTCCTTTTATACTCCCATCTCCATTGCCCAAAGCACCTCGAAAACCCAAGCAAGTGGCATTACCCGACTCCCCAGTGAAGATGTCGACACTGAAGCGACCTGCGCCTACGGATGATGATGTGGAGCCTTCGGCGAAGCGCGTCAAGGTGGATGCACTTTCAAGTCCGAGTAAGAAGCAGCGCTTGGAGGAGGATGGGATCATTCTGATGGATGGTGCTGATGACCGTTTGGAAGACGACATCATTGTCATTGACTGAAGGGGTCGGGCCAATGCTGGTTCGTGTCTTGGCGATACTATTACTTATTTGACTAATTTCTTGCTATTTGAGTGTATAGTAGTAGACGTCAGCCGACGACCTGATGTAATACAAAGATTGTATCCAGACCGTATTTCTTTTGAGGAGTTATGCTAAGACTGGACTAGGTGGTGATAAATCAAGCTCTTAGTGTCGTGTTCCTAAACTATAGCTAATTGTAAACTTCCGAAGGATGTCCCTTAAGTTTTGGGGGGAGATACAAGTGAACTTGCGCACTCAGAAGTAATTTGCAACCATCCTATTTTTGACACACTACTACGCCCATATATTTTCAAAAGTTAACTATATATCATTCTACTAGAATTTCAGATTTTTCGGAAGAGCGTAAGGTGCTGCGGAATGATACCGGCGCGTAAGTGTCAAGTTCGTTCGGGGGCCAGAAGAAAAGTCAATGAATGTGCGTTCAAAAAATTGCCACACACACAATTTACAGATAAGAAACTTAACACAGAATCGCGTACCCATCGACAGTAGAAATAGGCGCATATATGCACATTCCTGTCAAAGGAACCTGGGAAAAGTGTCCTCTGAATACCTAGACGCGATACGGTGCTTTTTGACGCGATTAACATGTGAATGTAGCACAGGACTCTGGGGATGCCTGTTACCGTCTTCGTCCACGACGACAACGGTACTGCAGGCAAAATGTGATTCGACGAGAGCAAGCACAAGCGTCCAACCCTGCAGAGGACAAGAAGAAACAAGCAGTAAGCGTCCCAGCAGTCTTGTTTCCGCGCGTAGAATTGACCTATACGGCGCCGCCGACGTCAATAGAGCATAGAGGATCACATTATTCACACATACCTTACTACCCATACGCTTGCATCATTACCCAGCCTTCGCTTACATATCGTCACGAAGATCATCAATATCGAGTACCCGGAAGGAATGACAGCCTCCAAGCTGTGCCCTGTCGCTGCCGGCACCCGTGGCTGCTGGCAGCGAGGGATGCACAGCCTCGGAACCCAAGCGATAGCGCGTGCCAGAGCAAATACCGCAGCCGAGACGTTCCAGAATGCGATCTTTTCTTGCTCTGCCTCGAGTAAAAACACTGCCATGACCGCTAGCAACGATGTCGACGACGATGAAGAAGAGCTCTTTGCGCCTAACATCGCCAAATACGACCCACATGACATTTGGGCGCGTGGGCTAGGCCAACGACCTTCGCGTTTATTTTGCCTGTACATTAATGGATCCTCATGCGCAAGCGTCGTTGGCGCCGTTACCGGAACAACTGCAGAATAGGGCGCCCACTAACCTCAGAGAAAGGATGGTTCCAAATGTGCGTTCTCAGCGCCCGGTTTTTGTTGCAGTGAGCACTGACCTTTTTCTAGGTCCGCCCTCCTGCGATAAACAAGCCGACCGACGAGCAATTTTTCATACACGACGAGCAAGGCAATCCGAAGCCTAATCCCCACTTTTTGAGGGACCATTTCTTCCAAGAAGGCCGCTTGACGGAGGCACAGGCCTTCTATATCCTCGACCAAGCAACGAAGCTGTTGAGCAAGGAGAGGAATCTCATCGATGTTAAGAGCCCTGTAACGAGTGAGGTTTCATTTACCATCTGATGTCTTCGGCTCCGCTCACTGGGGTAGTATGCGGTGATATCCATGGCCAATATGTGCGTTCGTGCCACTCGTCGCAAGGATGTCTACTTGACGCGTTCAATAGTACGATCTCATGAAACTGTTCGACGTCGGAGGCTCGCTCGATGAAAACTGCTATCTATTCCTTGGAGACTATGTTGACCGAGGTTGTTTTGGAATCGAAGTGCGTCTAATTGAACCTGTGTTTATGCTTCACTCATGTCTTTGCAAGTGCCTATTGTATCTATATACTCTCAAACTGTGCTATCCAACGAAATTTCTTCTACTACGAGGTAACCATGAATGCCGCCATCTAACTGAATATTTTACCTTCAAACGAGAATGTGAGTCACCCTTCATTTCGTTTCTTTCGCTTCTGAGTTTGATCAAGGTCTTCACAAGTACACACAAGTGGTGTACGAAGCTTGCATACGATCATTCCAAGCCCTTCCCCTTGCCGCTGTAGTCGATAGCCGATTCTTCTGCGTTCATGGTGGTATATCGCCCCAGCTGATCTCGCTTGATGATATACACAAAGTTCGTAAGGTTCAGATTTGTATCAGGTTAGATCCGACATGACCGAGGCCTTTGCTTTAGCTAAATCGTTTCGAAGAGCCAGGGTCAAGTGGACTCCTCTGTGACTTGTTATGGGCCGACCCCATCAGTAATTATGGAAACGAGCAGGAGCCGTCTGCTATCGGCCGTAGCACTATACCCCCAGGAACCCCCTTCCTTCCCAATCAGACCAGAGGGTGTTCGTACTATTTCACGTATGTTCCATACTTCTTTTCTATCCTCATCTAACATGCTGTAGGTACGATGCTGCATGCGCGTTTCTAGACCGGACAGGCCTCCTAGGAATAATACGAGGTCATGAAGCACAAGATGCAGGGTATGGCCGTGCTACTTTCACAAATCCTCGCTCATATTTATCCAGTTACACCATGCACAAGAAGACCCCACAGAAAAAATTCCCTTCTGTCATTACTATATTCTCCGCGCCAAACTATCTGGACGTATACCATAATCGTGGAGCAGTTTTGAAATATGCGAACAAGAACATAACCATAAGACAGTATAATTCTAGCTCACATCCTTATTGGCTTCCCAACTTTATGGATGCCTTTACATGGAGTCTACCATTCGTCGGTGCCAAGAGTAGGTTGTCTTTACACTCCCCAAGAAGTAAGATGTTAAGGAATTTTTTAGTCACCGAGATGCTGTTAGCCGTTCTAAGCGTATGCAGCGAAGAGGAGCTAGGCGAGACAGATTCGGACAGCGAAGGCGATATTCAGGCTCTGGCAGACGCCGCAAGCTTCCAGCAGCGGCGAGAAGAAATCAGGAACAAGATCCTAGCGGTAGGACGTATGCAGAGGGTGTTCCAGATTCTTCGGTTTGTCTTTCTTCCTCAAAATTTAACGGGATCTGATATTTTCCTAATAGGGAGGAAGCCGAATCAGCTTCTGAGCTCACAATGGGAGATGAATCGTCGAACAGCGCAGCTGTGGGAGCTCGTATAGGAACTGATGCCCTCGGTGTTCAACAAGTTGGCCGGAGCATTAGAACTTTTGCCGACGCGTCCGTATTCTTTTGTCTTCTTCTCGATACTTGAAACTAATTCTCTTCCAGACGCCGATCTGACATGATGAATGAGCGAATCCCCACGTTCAACCCTCCGGTCCCTGGCGCGTTCCCCGTACCCAGCATGAGATACCCTGGTAGAAGGGGAACTGCGGATGGTGAGGATTTGGATATGGAGACTCTAATACGACGAACTATGGAGAACGACGAAGCTGGTGGAGTTGTTGAGAGGCTCGCTGAGAGGCTGGCGCACGGACGGAGGGCGACAGGTCGGCCAGCGGCACTGAAGAGGCACGAGACAACATGATTGCGGACTGCAGGATCTCGCTTGACATTTTCTATCTACCTTCTATCTCAGCAGTGTACTAATTTATATGCACGATTTTAGCAGATCTTCCTGTGAATTGCAAATATGGTGGCGTTTTTACTTCCGACGGCCATTTACGCCCTTTAGCCCCTTTGGCCTGATCGCGTTTCAGTCGTTCTTGGCATGATGCGTACAGAAACTTTGCTCTGGAGGTTGACTGGTGCGTCTGCACGTATCAATCCACCAGTCAAGCTTGGCTGCCAAGGAATTTTTATCTTCTTCATGCAACATTTTTACGTGCATCAATGGCTGGACAATAATATGATCCTCGCCGCTCGCGTCCACGGCGGCACGTGTGCCCCGTTACGGCTGAGACATTGACAGGCATCTGGTGGCAGTGGCCGGGGTGATATATAAAGGTATTCATTCCAAGGAGCGAACTCTGATCGTCCCCAGGCGACCGCTCTGCTCATGTTCGTTATGTCTGTCATGTCCTCCATTATTTTCCTTGTCTCCTTGCTCTCCCTCATCTTTACCGGTGCGGAAGCAGCTGTTGTTTCGGCAGTCCCGACTCTTTCATACAAGTTCACCTTCGCTGCGTTGAACACGTCGCTGCCGAACGCGAATGATACGGGTGTACCTTTGGTGCTCGGGCAAGATGGTGTGTGGTATCTCGGCCTTGTATACCTGTCTATATAAAGGAAATCCAGGCGCTATTGATGGAGCGAGCCTCGAAGTGACATCGGCGAGTGGTACCCGTTCGACGCGCTTCCGTAGATACTTATCATTCGGGTTTCTAGACTTACGCGTCATTTCCATACAATGACTATCCTTCTATCTTGCTCACTGGGGGAAGTCTCAAGGCGTACCGCTCCTCGGGAGTTTCCATTACAAATGCCACCGCAGTACAGAGTGGAGGAGAACTTCAGTGGATTACGAGTAGTTATTACAGCGCAACCCCTGGCACGAGTTACTCTGCAGTAACGACACAATCCGGGAAGTACGCTGTTCTGGCCGTGTTTGGGAACACGGATTTGTGGTCTCTCTGTCCTTCGCATGCGTTCCGTGGGCAGAATAACGTGGTGTATAATGTCTCGACTGTGGCTTCTCCATATGCGTCGTATGATCCTTCGGATTGCTATAAGGTTACGTTAAACATCGTGCCGTTATGAATTGGTGCGTTCTTAAATACTTCTTTTCAACACTGAACTAAGTCTTCAACCTTTATAGAATGCCTTGAACGAATCTCCCTCCGATTACTTTCGGATGCTTGCACTGTTGCACTTTAGTAAATCGCACGCTTGTCTATTAGGTCACCTATTAATACTGAAAATCTGGACTCCTGCTACAGGACCCCTGATTATCCCTACTGAGGTTGGTTGGAAAGTCCGGACAAATTTGACCCCCAAAGTCCGAAATGTCGGTACATAAGTCCGAACAAAGGGGGGTCCGGACGGTACATGCGAGAACAATTCATCCGGACAAGGCAATGCATGGCGGAGAGGTTGGTACGGCAGTCCGGACAAAGGACTGGTTAATGTCTGCCACCGCCACGAGGCCACAAGCCATGTCACCCATTCTGAAAATGTACAGTGGCATTCAGCAGCCTGAAAAATTAGAGTTTCGCAACGAGTTGGACAATGAGAGCACAATCAATTAGACTTGGGGTGACAAAAATTTTTTTGGCCATATTTTGACAGGTCAGATCGAAAGTCCGGACAAAATCTTTTCAGCCTGACGTTGGACGGGAAATCCGGACAAATTTCAGCCTCCGCAGTCATCAAAAAGTTCGGACAAATTTTCGAAAAGGGCAAAATTCCTGTACCAACATCTGTAGGGATAATCAGGGGTCCTCCTGCTACCTTTAGATAGTATGTCTTGATGCGCGATCCTCGAAAATACTTCCTGGCAGAACAGCAGGCAGTCAAGCGGTGTGAAACGCGTGATCTCAAGTCAAATACCAGGACAAACTTTCGAACTTTTGCTTCAGTATTGCAGCTCGTCAGCATTACACGTGTGGTTCACAAGAACGACGAATCAGTCCAGCTCGTCGAGCCAAGCACTGTCGAAATATCCACAGCGCTATCCAAAACCTCCGAGAAGCTGGCTCGTCCAGAAGTATCAGCACCATCTCCCGTGTTGCCGTATTCAGCAAAGGTCACTTCGTCGGTACTACCGTAGGATAACCATGAGCACCATTCAACTGAGAAGACAAGGAAAAAATCCATACCGTTCATCACTGGAACAAAAGAGATATCAGTCCGAATACAGTCAACCCCATCCCAAACAGCTTACCCGACATTCCAAATTGACCATCCCTCGGACGGGACGTTACTCCCAAGAACCGAATTCTGGAACACTACTCGGGCATAGTCCCTCCATGGTCTCCCGAGGTAGGCACCCCCAGCCCCAGTGATCTCACAATTGTCAATAACGTACCAAAAATCGTCATCTGAGGACCGTCCAGACGCGGTGATCCATCCATCACCGAGAGTCTAACAGGCATATATTAGTGGATGTGGGGGATACGACGAGAAGGAGCCTCACTTTGATCACCGATCCAGTTATCCAGAGACTGTCGGGATATTGGTATGACACGGGGATGAACAGGACTAGCACTTACGAGGCCCTTTGTCCAAAGATCTGCGATTGTACGACGAATTGAGTAAAAGATGGGAAAATGGAGCGGCGAAGCTTACAAAATCCGTGTTTCCCTCGATGTAAGAATTGGCGATGAATTCACTGTTGAGGCTATTAACAAAGAGTGGGGAACGTACAAAGAAACTGCTCACTATCCAACGTTCGCCAGGAGAGTATCCCTACGTAAAGGTAAAGTTCGGTATTCAAAGTCGATTCCAAAGAGCTTACTGATAGCCGACGATGCTGAGACCATATCCACCGAAGTCGGTAGACTGCACACTCAAAGCAATAGCTTGTTCCTTCAGTTCACTGGGCCTCAGGATCTGCACGACGGAACACATAACAAGTACATACTCCCTAGAGCAATAATCAGGATAATGCTCATATGCCAAGGACAAAAGAACGACTCACTTTGCCAAAGGTATTCTCGATGTTTAGATTATACAGTGCGACATTCTCGCCGTGGACACGGACTGTACCACTAGCATCATTTGAGCCTGCTTCAGTGGCTCCCAAACCGTAACTTATGGTAACAGCTGTTCACATGAGTGAGGCTCGATCGGTCTCAGAGAGAACAAGTTCCGGCACGCACTATTTCCGGTGTAACTATCATCAGTTGTGGTCTCACCATATATTTTGACGTCGCTCCTATCAATGAATACCTGTTCTTGATATGTGCCAGCATAGACAAAGTACACCTGCATGATATATAGTCAGTTGGAGCACTCGAAGAAAGGCCGGAACGAACATCGCTAGAAGTATCATCCAGTGCCTCTGACAGGGTAGAATACGTCCCAGATGAACCTACGGTGATGGCACCTGCTGGTGGATCACTGTAAGCCCATACGCTCCCGGTACATAGGAAAGCGGTAAGAAAAGTCACGAACATCAGAGACGGGGGGGAAGTTGGAAGGGGTCTTTGGGCCTGACGGCTAGGTTTAAATGTGCGCTCGGACGCTAATTATTCGGCGGCCCGTGGTGGGAATCCTAGGTAACCAGCGCCAGAATTCGTTGGCGCTTCTTTGTATTTGGTCGGGCAGGGCCACTGAGACGTTGTTATGTCTGCAGTTGAGTTGATGAACCTAGAGTCCCAAAGAAGCTGTCGGCAGGAAAGCAACCTGCAACCTGTCGAGACTCGATATCCACAGAAGTGATTTTGTCTGGAGAAGAGCGGGCCGCTGCGAGGAAAGCGAAGAACCGGTTGATCTTCTATGAGAGTCGCTTGACCAGCTTCAATGGTTCTCCAGAGCCTACTTATAGCCCATCATCTCGCTAAAGAGAAAACACAAACGAAAGGAGTGATGGAGATTTCATTAATCGGGAATTTGAACGCGTTGAGGAACTTACTGGTTGAAATTTCTGAAATACTTCAAATTGAATCTTGAAAGTCCAGTGCTGTCGTGCTAGTGCAGAACTGTTGGCCCCATCACGTAAACGGATAAACTGAGCAGATGGTGCGGCCCGGCGTTATTGATCTGATACCCGAAGCACAGACCTGCCGTACAGTAGCCTACTGTACGGCTAGTGTTGCCGATGACTCGGCTTGCATCGGCTTAACACCGAAGTCGATTTCGAGCCATTAATGGAAGGATAAGACTAGCAACTACACTATTGCTGATAGTGTTTCGATAATGTGACTTGGCGTGACTCGGCGCGACTTCATTCGGCTTCGGCTTCAACGGCTTCACGAAGTCATAATTTTTGATCGCTTTGAAGCCAAGTTGCCGTCACGCCGCTCCAGCCGGTTAAGTTATGACTTTATGTATTTCCTTTAAATGGCAAGTCATCAGTGGTTATACAGGTAACGTAATATTCCAGAATTTCTCGGAAAAATTGCGGGAAGAATCAAAGTCGACCTAAAATAGCATTTCGGTATTTTTTACTCAAGTCAAAGCTCGGGCAACTTCAAGTCGCGCTAAGCCGGGCCGAGCCGGTACTGTGGTGTGACTTTGCCGAAGTCATTCGGCAGCATCGGCGCGACTTAGTTCGGCTTGGCTGGCGTGGCGCGCGGCTTTAAGCCGAGTCATCGAAACACTAATTGCTGATAACTAGATAACTAGTCCGTCCGGTGAAAAAAGGCAGACATCAAATTAATTTCCATTTTTAACCGCAGACCACTCAGTAAACGGCTCGAAAACGACTTTGGCGTTAAGCCGATACAAGCCGAATCATCGGCAACACTAAGGCAGTAGCGGATTGATTTAATATATGATATTTATTCCGTTTCTGGTGCTCGAAAATTTAATTCGAACTCATTCACATGAATATAATATGCTCTAAGATGTTCGAACTCTCTGGGGAGGAATGTCTTTTGTCAGTCTTTTATGAATGGTAGCAGCGGCGTTGCTACTGATGGAGTTCGAATTTCTAGCCAGGTCGCTTGTCGTGGTGTTTTATCGTTGCTCACTGTCGACAGTGAGCTTTTAGCATCGACTCATTATTATTGTCAGCACCCTGGATGTAGATTTTGCTAGAAGGATAATAGTCAATGGACTTCTGATAACCGGAAATGTCCTTCTTGTGAGATTAAACTCTTGTTCATTATTTCATAGATAAGAAGTAAATGAACTACAAGGCTAGTGACAGACTTATGGATGTTTGAGCATGGAAGATATAATTATTTACAAGACACATTTCAGGCTGCAGGAAGGCAGTCAGAGCACTGACCGCTAGGACGTATCCCAGCCGGGGAGTTCCGGTTCAATTGAAACCCAGTTCAAACTCCGTCGGTAGCGGTTGCTATCAAGAAACCGTAACTTGTCTCTGTACCGCGACCATCCCCGCGTTAGCTATTGAATACACGAGGGTTCGAGCCACTCCCGCTCGAACCACTTCCACCATGTTATGTTTCCCTGCCAGCCTCTTTTCCCAACAATTACAACTCTCGACGGAGCATTATCAAGCCAACACCATGGACATACAGCTACCCCCCGAGCTTGTAGACATTATCATCACAGAATTCTGGTACTCTGAACATTCTTCAAGCGACCGGATAACCTTCATGACAGCCTGCCCTCTCATCAACAGCGTCTGGAGGGACGTCTACGCACGCATTACTTCTCGAGACATCTACATCCCAAAGGTCGCATACCTACTTTATCTTAGCTCTATCATTTGCTACGATTCTGATTCCCCAATTTACGGTCACTTGCCTTGCGACTCCCCACACACCATAACCTGCTATGTTGACCTCACACATTCGACGGACGACGCTGCCAAGGACCCCTATTCAGTTCTCTGCAGCTTGCCCAATTACCTCGGTTTTCGCAGAAGCTTTCCCAACATCGAGCGAATTAATCTCGAAATGAAGTTTTGTCACGGATGGTATCAGGGCTGGTCGCATAGTCGCCAACTGTTCCGAACTCGAGTATCTATACAGCTCAATGAGGCGACATCGCAATTGAGTGCGCTACCTGTGGAGTGGAGCATTGCTGTCTATTGCCCACCTGATGTCAAACACGATGAATACATGCCTCTCAGCACTCAGTCATTTCAGCGTCACATCCTCGAAGGAATTGCCATTGACATGGTCCAGTGTTGCCACTCCTTGGTAGGAGGGGTAGGGCCTGCGATGAAAGGGTCGACATATCATCATGGTGCACAACATTTTCATAATCAAATTTGCATCGAGGAGAAAAGAGGTGATGTACGGTCGATCAATTTCGAGCTTGGGAAGGCTCTTACTACACCTTTGGGCTGGAGTGAGTCCCCGCCTTTTATAAGTCTGTTGCTTAAACGAGTACTGCTAAAGCTGGTTTCAAAGATTTCTTTTTCGAAATTTACGACACCATGAAGTTCATTCATACCGTTTGTAGTCGTGACGCGGTTGAATCTCATTCCTGGAATCACGTCCTAGCATAAGCTGGTTGTCCGTAGCCCTTGCTATGTATCTCTCTCACTGCCCTAGGTAGAAATCTTCTCTGCGAGAAGTTGATCAAAGAACAACAGTACAGCGAAGATGAAAATATATGTGATTTGTGGTTCGGGGAATGGCCGGCCAGTTAATGTACCGAACAGTCACTAGTGCATCATCGACGCAGACACTTTAAGCCATTACCTGGCCGCCGGACAAAACTCGTCTGGGTGCAATGTACAGAAGAGAAGAAGGGCAATAGCGAATACTAAGGGACATGGTTGTTTCCGATTGTTTGTACTAACGTTTCTTGCCTTTGCACGACATCACCAATTGCACTGTACCGCGAGACTGCTACAATATTGCATTTCGTGGAGCTCTCAGGCCGAAGCACGAAGCACAGATAGTACAGAAAACGAACGAGTGAAATGGCAGGGCTTGCAGGAGAACGCAGGTGCGTCCAGTGTTGTTGAATTCACCGAGGATGATGCATTGATGCCCTGAACTTGCGAATTTTCTAGCTCTTGAAGGTTCTCGACATCACATTCCACGTCATGACCAAGTCAAGGCAATGTTCCTGCACTGTCAGAGTGCCCTCCCGCACCGTCCACGGATCTGTTGTGAAGTCTCCCGACACATACCGATGCATTTTCCTCCTTGATGTCAATGGCTCCTCAGATTTCGACAAAGTACATCTGTATGAACTCGAGAAGTACCTTAGCAAGTTGATGGGCGGTGCGATCCAGTATATCTGGCGGCTGAGGCGCGCCTTTGGGCGATCTCCCCATTCCATTCCCGCAAATGGTCCGATGTGCTCCGGTGGTTCGTTATCGCACCTACTGCAAAGAATGGAAGATTTGTGGACTATCAACTATCCTTTCTGGAAGGTGGGCAGAACGCACATGAGTGAGTGTCGTATCTCCTTTTATTCTTCCGTGCTCAATTTCTCTTTGAAATTAGATCGCAAGACCTTCTTTTCTGGCCTATACGTTCGTCTGTGCTGGAACCATTTCCCGGAGGATAAGCTTACCATGTGGACACATGTGGTACGGAGCAAGAGTTCCGATCCAGTCAAAGATTCTCTATCAGCAAGCATGCCACCGTAGTCTTGTGCTGTTGAAGGTGAATCATATGTGTATTAGCTCTGTTCATTGTATTCACCTGCTTTCGATCAGAAACACTCCCCATAGAATTTGAGTCCCACCAACTCCGTTCGCAAATGAATGGACAAGCGTTGTTTGCGGTTATACGGACCTAAATCGAATGCAGGTATCCGCCGATTCACGCCATTGGTCCCATATGTTAACGCCCTTCTACCACGGCGATCATCGAATTTTGTATTTCGAACCAATACTTAGGGTCTCGTAATCCATCACAGTGTCATTCGCCAAGTGAAAGTAACTGAGAGCCTTGCTCCGCCGATTCTCAACTCGCAAAAGCCGGCCCACTTACGTGGGTTGTCATGTAGAGCACAAGGACAAGGACATTGGTCATAGGTTGCGTGTGCCGTCTTTCCATCTTCCATCATGGTGAAGACTAAATACAGGTGTGTCGGTACCGTTCCCCGCTCAAAAGCATACACAAAGCCTGACTATTGCCACGCCCAGGGTATATTTTTCTCAATTTCTAGAATTTTTGAGATTTTGGAAGGTCCCAAGGAATGTGCATGTTACTCCTCAACTTGAAAGACTTTCGTTGTCATGGTATACTTATGCCGCATTGACGTTCTCGCGTACGAAGAGCATTCACTGAACGCCAAAGTCGAGGTATCTCTTCCATGTCCGAATCCTCTATCGACATAGCGCCCGATTTTTCAGACAACTTGAAATGGCATCCGACGGACGCCCATGAAGAAAACCTCTCCTTCTCCGAAGTTGCACCAGTAGACGTGGCCGTTCGAAAACTCACTGTCCAGGCGTATCGCTGGTATAAACGCTTCTCCTCTGGAGACGAGGAGTCCCTCAAATCTCAGACAATACTCAATACTATCGATTCCGATTTTCCTCACTCGAGTCTGACTGGCATCATCGGTAGCAGCGGTAGTGGAAAGGTACGTCCTATAGGGTCCTCAAGACATGCAAAGCTGATATGTCCTGAAGACTACATTTCCTGAACATTCTGTCTCATCGTATGAAAGGGAAAAGCCTCTGGATTCGAGGACAACTGCTTTACAACAATTCTCCTTCCCTTTCAAGTGTCACTTATGCCTACGTCACTCAAACCGACGTCTTTCTACCCACGCTGACTGTCCGTGAGACGCTCATGTACGCCGCGGACCTTCGTCTCCCCGATTCGATCAGCCACGAGAAACGTCAGAGACTTGTCGAGGAGATCATCCTCGAGCTCGGACTAAAGGAATGTGCGGACACATTAGTTGGGGACGGCGTGACAAGGAAAGGATGCTCGGGTGGTGAAAGGAGACGTCTGAGTGTCGGAGTTCAGCTGCTCGGAAATCCATCCATCCTCTTCTTGGACGAGCCAACAACTGGTCTCGATGCAACAAGTGCTTATCAGCTTGTCAAGACGCTGAAGAGCCTTGCGAAGAAGGGTCGGACAATCATCATGACGCTTCATCAGCCTCGGTCTGAGGTTTTCCTCTTACTCGACGCGGTGACATTGCTCGCCCGAGGACAATCGTTGTATTCAGGCCCTGTTGTAGATGCCGTGCCGTGGTTCGAACGCAGGCTACCTTCACCAGGGGTGCATATTAATCCTGCAGACTATCTGATTAATATCGCGGCCATCGACTCACGCACAAGGGAGGCAGAAGTCGCTGGGAGAGCCCGCGTGAATATACTTATCGCAGCGTGGAGAGAGGCGTCAGCAATGCGCTTCCCTGGATATAAATCCAGCAATTGTTCCTAGTTCCTATCCACCCGTATTCATCCACGATCTTCCAAAAGTACCGTTCAGTCGAGTTGTACGTACCCTCGTCTCGAGAGCACTGAAATCAAATATGAGGGACAAATGGGGCGTTATGGCGGCATGGATTGAAGCCATCTTGATGGGATTCATTGTGGGTTCAGTATTCCTTCAACTACCGGACTCGATGGCTGGCATCCGCTCCCGCCAGGCAGCGCTCTATGTCTCTGTTGGGTTTCAAGGCTATCTCGTTTTCATATACGAGGTATACCGATTGACCAGTACGGACATGCCGCTTTTCGATCGAGAACATGGCGAAGGCGTCGTGGGAGTGCTACCATGGATCATCAGCCATCGTATTGCGCATGGTATCGTAGAGGACATCTTCGTACCCTTCATCTTTTCGGGAATCAGCTATGCCATGATCGGACTCGCACCGTCCGCCTCACGATTCTTCTACTACTTCATCGTCATCCTACTCGTGCACTATGCCTTCATTAACGTTTGCGGGACTCTCGGTTGCTATATCAAGGGATTTCGCGCTGTCGACGCTCATTACAAACTTGGCCTTTGCAGTACATACCCATGTATGCGGCTTCTTTCTTCAGGCGGATTCGATCCCGGTGTATCTTCGGTGGGCCAAGTGGATTTCGCATCTGGTAAGGCCGTTGTCATTATTCGCTACCCTCTTTGGCTGACTGGCTTGTTCCAAGTTCTACGGCTTCACAGCTCTCGTTGATAACGAGTTCAAGGACCGCAACTTTGACTGTCCCCTGGGTGATGCACCTTCCAATCCCGGTTGTAATGCCTACCGCGGCGACTTCATCATCGAATCCCTTGCTGTGCCACGCCAGGACTGGTCTATGATCCCTCTTATCGCTATACTAGGTTTTATTACCTTCTACTTTATTGCGCAGATACTTGTCCTCCATTTATTTACAGTCAACACCACCATTCTCAACAATACCCGACACCTTTCGAACCAGAGAATCAAGGAAACGCACCCCACAAACGTTGGATACTCCCCGCGACTTGATACAGAAGGTGTCCATGTGGATCTCAAGAACTATTCCCTTCGTGCATGCATTCGTGGAGGAAGGTGCTTTAGTATCATAGAATGCATCAATACACGGTTCGAGCCTAGAAAGGTCAATGTTATTCTTGGACCTTCGGGAAGTGGGAAATCGTCGTTGTTGAATTCGATGACTCATCGCCTACAGGCGACCTCTTCGACAACTTACGCAGTGGAAGGAGAGATGAAACTTAATGGCGTTTCAGCGACGCGGGAAAGAATCCGTGCCCTGTGTTCATATGTGACCCAAGATGACACATCTCTCCTCCCATACCTCACCGTACGAGAGACTTTAGAGTTTGCTGCCGCTCTTAGGCTGCCGAGTTGGATGTCGAAGAAACACAAGTATCAGAAAGCGGACGAAGTGATGAAGAAGATGGGACTGAAGGGCTGCGCTGATACGCTGGTCGGAAATGACGTGCTGAAAGGTATCTCAGGAGGAGAGAAACGCAGGGTCAGCATTGCGATTCAGGTATTAACAGATCCTCAGGTCTTGATGTAAGTCGACTATCGTACTTGGGATCACTCTTCTCTGATATCTATCAGGCTGGATGAACCCACCTCTGGATTAGACTCTTTCACGGCAGCATCGATTATGGACGTGTTGGGACAACTCGCAGATGAAGGCCGTACAATCATAACCGTACTCCACCAGAGCTCTTCGGAACTATTTGAGCATTTCGGGAACATTCTCCTCCTCGCCAAAGGTGGGAGAGTTGCATACTCGGGACCTGCTGGAAGGATGCTTGGGTATATGCAGTCGGCGTGGGCCTTTGGTGTCCTCCAACGATGAATCCTGCAGATTTTGCATTGGATGTCGTTTCTGTTGACTTGCGGGAAGCCGAGCAAGAAGAGCTGAGCCGTGAGAAGGTAGATATGCTTGTTGAAGCGTTCAGAGATGGGGAACACCGAACTTTGAATGAGGAAACGAAGACTGGCCAATTGCGAATTGACACGATGGGAGTGGAAAAGAAGATGACACCGATTACAACATCACTGCCGATTTTATTGAAACGAGGCGCTCTTGCATTCAGCCGTCGATCGGGGATTGTTCAAGCGCGGTTTGGTAATGCTGTCGGCCTTGGGGTATGTCTTTCTGTGGCTTATCAGTTCATACAATAACAGATGCATCTTTCAGATTGTGTCTGCCTTGTTCTTCTCTCCGCTTGGTCACGACTACATCAGTATTCAAAATCGGATTGGATGCATACAAGGAATTCTTCCCAGTGGGTATTACTTCCTCTAGTTCCTCACTGCAATGCCTGAAATTGCGACAGTTTACTTTGTAGGGATACTGCAGAACATGGCCGTCTACCCAATGGAGAGGGATATCTTCTACCAGGGTGTGCTATTACGTTCTCGTGCTCTCGACGGAAGCTGATGCGTTCGCTTAGGAATACAGCGATGATGCATACTCTGTCGAATCCTTTTTCCTTGCGTATACTATCCTGGAGTTGCCTTTGGAAGTCGTGGCCTGCTTCACGTTCTCTGCTTTAGCGGCCATTGCAACCAACCTCTTGCGTTCCGTCGATATGTTCCTCGCCGTCACTCTCAATGCTTTGTGTATGGTCAATGCAGGAGAATCTCTCGGAATCATATTCAATACGATATTCCACGAGAATGCCGGCTTGGCGTTGAACGTAGCGAACGTGATTCTTTGTGTGATGATGTTCATGGCTGGTATGTGCGACTCAATATGATGTTTCCTTTGAATTCTCACGTGTCTACGGCGTGCGCAGGACTGATGAGTGCAGATATGCCGGCTTTGCTCCAGGACATCAACAAAATCTCACCTCTGAGATACGTTATTCGGAATATCATGCCGCTTGCTTTCGGTGGACAGGTGTTTACCTGTGAGGATGATCAGAGACTATCTGACGGGTCGTGCGCTGTCAGCGTCGGTGAGCAGGTCCTTGAGATGTATCATGTGGATGGCGATGCTGGAGTTGTCAATCTTTGGGCGGTCGTAGTTACCATGGTGGTGTATCGCTTTCTAGCGTATGTAGCGGTGAAGTTTTCAAATGCGACGAGGTAACAAACATTGCACATAATCTGTTGTTTGTAGAAACAATGCGACGAATGTAGAAGAAATTTTCCCTATCATCAGATGTCGTTGTTGTTAACCAAGAAAGCCCGGGCGGGAGTAGACCGCAGAGTGTGTTCCATCACAATAAGAATTAAGAGGAGCAAGTCTCTGCCACAAACATTTTGACAGGCAAACCGTTGAGATTTCTAACGCACCCGAGATCAGGACCAACAAGCAAGCCCAACATGTACGAAGAGCGTTGGGAGACAATGCACTATAACTAACGAACGTAAGGATAACAAAACCAACGATATAAGTTACTACTATTACTAGTGCTGAAGTCCGGCACAGCCGTGAAAGAAACTAGCAGTGTTTGAACAAAACACAGTAGAGATACAAGTACCGCGAGTATGTAATAAAGCCGGCTTGACAGGCTAAAAACACAGTAACATCCACAACGTGTCACAGAAAGGAAACGACGATGCAACAGTCAGCCTCCCCCAGCTCTCCACTCTCGACCCGTAGATACTCAACAGATACTCTGCCTACGTGTGTATCTTTGATGGTGGTGCTGGCGAGGTTCTATGTGCTGCAATTGACGGAGAGAAACAGGTAGAAGCAGACGGTCTTGCCACACCCAACAAAGTCAACAGCACACCGTCTGACAGTAAGATATCTTAGAGCATAGGGACGGTAAGCAAAAGTCATGATATTATATAATACTTGCGCAGTGACCGTCATGTCTTGGTCCCAGGAATTCCAGGGACTCAGCGTGAAGGTGTTGGAAGAACACATATTGCACTATCTAGTCAAGTAGCATCCAGGAGCACGTTGCGCGGCATTCACATCTATCATACAGTCATCTGGAATGGGTAAGTCTCGACTCGTTGACGAGTTCGGCAAAGCACATTTTTTTAATTCCTTTGAATCTTCGGGATCCGTTGAATACTGGTATAATGTTTTCGTGGTTACTGTGCTGAACTGCTCATTTAACTGGTTGTTATCATATAGGCTTCCCTCCTTCCGATAAGGAGGTCTATTCCTATCTGACCAGAGGGGCAAACTCCCTGCCGCTTATATACAGGTTCCTGGTTGCCTTATTTTCGATGGATGAAAGATACGGTCGATAAACTCAAATTAGAAACCTCAGATGAAGGCGTGCGAGAACCAGGTACACTTGCGTCTGCTTTTCGTGCATGTATGACTGATGGGCAGTCGATGAACGGTCCTGGCGATTTTCGGAAGAATCTCTTCAGCACTGCTCACCACATCTTGCGGTTGGGCAAAGATCTATGACTCAAAATCGGTACACGGGGGTGTGTGTAGGCGGCAGCAGGAATCCTAGTTGCAATGGACAAAGAACGCTAGAATCAATTCATGGATGAAGGGAAGGCTGAGGATTACCTGAGAGATCAGAGCTAGCAGTGTTTCTCATGACAAGATCCGGATTTGAACATTTGAACACTAATCCCGATGGCAAGTCACGACAATGGACATACTCCAAAGCTAATTACAAATTCTATTCATTGTCTGCGTTTGATACAACAACATTAAAACTAACAGGCATTGGGAAACTTGACCAACAACTTTTTGAGATATTCCTTCGCGTCGGGATCCATCTTATTGAGCTCCATCGAAACCTGCTTCTCTTTTTTTTTCCCTTTTTCCCCCCCTTTTTGTTTCCGCTTGGGTTCCTGGGCCTTGGCCGGTTGCTTGGGCTTGTAGTCCATGAACTGGTTCCTGTGATCTTCGTGCATAGCAGCAAGAGGGTTCTGCTGCCGCCGACATGCTTGTCCATCCGCATTCCAATTGGTGTCATAGATCTTCTTCCAACCATATGAAGCATGAAGAAGTGCATTCCAAGTACACTGCGCTGTATCCACAACAGGCTTGAGACAGGTGGGGGATATTCCAGCACACCAGAAGTCATATGATGTGAAACGGTCGTCAACTGGACCTGTATTCGTTGTACCCTGCCCATAGTGCACCTGGGTGACTGATGCCTCCGGAGCTGCTAATGCGAACACCATTCTGATAATAGGGACAGTGGGCTGGTCCTTTTCAAACAAGCCAAGCGCAAACGGATCCATCAAATCAAACAGGTTCGCTTTTGGCGCATTCGTATAGGTTGGATCATTTTTGACCTGTACCAAAATAAATCCCACGTTCCATACGCACAGCTTGTCATCATAGTAGAGGTAAGGAAAGACTATGTCTACCCCTGGCTGATTGTTCGCGCATAGAATTGCAGCAGCACGAGCGATGAAGCCAAGCAAGAGATGGCGGTTGAGCACCTTCCACTGGTGAGGTTTAATGACATGATTAAAGGATAGTTTTGCGTTGGCAAATGCATTCTTGAAGCAGAGAGGTGAGTGTTCTTTTATGATCCTAGATGGAAGCGCGCTGGAGATGCTGGCGAAGATGACATCGTTGAAGAGATATGAGAGAAGGTTAAGGACAGGAATGACTGGTAGTTCTGTAGCCCATGTATTCGAAGGAGGAATAGCTGCATCACGCGCCATGGTGAAAAGAGCTAATACTAGGAGCTCTCCTCGGTCACCCTGATTGATGGAGAACCCCTCAAGAACCATCTTCAAGGCCGACGGCATGTTGAAGAGCTTGTTGTCACGCGTTGTTAGCGAAGAGGCCTCTGCAAGGATTGGTTCCGACGAAGAAGTTGTAAGGAGATCCACAAAGCCCGCCCCAATTTTCAAACAAACGCGCATGTGGTTCTGAACTAGGTCTTGCTCCTGAACCGAATCCACAAATGAGGTGGAAGTGATATCGAGAGCCAGCCGTTGGGCAAGGCAAGCAAAAGTCTGTGCAGTGTTAAGCGCAGTGTCTCGCAGTCGCGATGGGAGCTCATTAGCGAGTTTCATCTGAGCAAATGTGATGATATTGTCCCGCACTTGCTCGTTGCCATGTTCATAGCGTCCACCCCAGCTATTAGCCATAGTCAGAGATAAGACTGAGGCAGAAGGAGAATCCGACTTACAGAGGGCGTCCCATGCGTACAATGTACTTGAATTTTGTGACGTCAGTCAGTGTTTCTGCATCTGCAGATCCTAAGTGGTGACCAGCCATAAAATGGTCGAAGCCGAGATCTGTGAATGGCGGTATCAAGGCCAGCGACCCCTCATATATCCGTGCTGATGGGTCCACGGGACGTGCAGAGAGAAATTGTGAGGTTCTCCCTGTGGTAGACAGAAAGAATGAAAATAGCGCTTTCCCTCGGAGCATGCGAAGGACCCGTCGAAGGACTGAGAATTTGGACTGAAGACCAGTCTGCGGATCAAAAGGCTCAGTCAAGCAGTGGGCCTCATCCCACATGATATAAATTTTGGGCATGTTCGTCAAACGATCTTCCATAGGTTGCCAGTTTCCATCTGCAACGATCCCTGTGTCCATGTAGATTGTGTCTTGTAGACATTGGTAGGCGTAGAAAAGCTGATCACTCCCAAGTTTGGGCGATTGTTTGCTATCACCACCGAAAGTGGAAGTCTAGGTGAACTTCGGAGTAAGTATCATGTCGATATATGCCAAAAAACCTTACGTCTTTTGTTGCTGCGTCGACTACTTCTTGATAGAAAGTTTTTCGCAAATTGGATGGCCCTGACATGGATTGCCCTTTTGTCATGTAGTCACGAAAAGCAGGTGCCAGCGTCTTAGATTCATCCGCATAACGGTTTATTTCCTCGCCCTTGACTATATCTTCCGTATGGCGAAACAGTGCGACGAGAAACCTATAGATGCGCTGAAAGGAGTCGCTTTCTGTCTTCACTTCGTTTAAATAGTCATATACTGCCTTGTCGCATGGAGGGAAGCCTGGGTATTTACTGTTATCTAACCCGCTTCAGAACATGCATAGAAAATTGCTTACCGTTCGAAGTATCACGAAGATTGATTGGAATGACGAAGTGCGTCTTACTAAACTCATCAACGAGCCGAGATTTACCCATCCCCGACGACTGGATGACAGATGTGAAGGGAGCATAACGTTCGTGCACATGACTTTCTTCAGCGAGGTAGTGCTGCACATGGACTTCCAAGGCCTTCATGGCGCGCCCTTGAAACCCATTGTACCAAGACTTCTCCGTCGCTGGACATGCAACGTAAGTTTCATATAGAGACACCGTATGATTTCTTACCATGTGCTTGCTCCAATGCTGGAACAGATGGGTCTATATCTGGTGGTAAAAGAGCTAGCAATGACATGAATCACAGTTCACGACCCCAGATACATAAAGGGTGTCTTACTAGGCCGCGAGCTACGGAGATTGGCTGCCGCGAAAGATAAGATGAATATCGCAGGAAGAACGAGAAACTTACGAAACGTCAACAACGGTTCCCAGTTTCGCTCCAGGGCGGACTCCTTTGCCAAACGGTCGAGTATCTCATACAGGCCCGAGTCCTGGTCATCGAGTAAACCCGCCCAATCGACGTCAGCAGGCGCCTTTAGCTGCGCTTGAAATTCGCGGTTGATATCACCAAGGGCCATGTACAAGAACCCCCAGAACGAGCAAAGCAATCCGATAGCCTCTCTCGTGAACGGAGATCCTGCAGGAAGGGTAAAATATGTGCCTAGCATTCTTTCGGTTAGAGCCTTGAGATGATCCTCAGAAAGGAACGAGAGCTTTGGATGTTTTGCTGGAGGTGGATTCTGGAACGCAGGGGTTGGCGACCGCTTCATCATGGGCGAGATGTTGGAAGCTAAGAATCAGAAGCCAAAGGACTCAGGACAACGACAACGGCACGACGACGAAACAGGTCAGGAGGGGTCGAAGTTGGGTCGCAGGGGTTCGCGAGATGCCGCACGGTTTCCTTTTGAGGAGCTGACATCATCGTCACGTCACCATCACGGAGGGCGGATTTCGAGGATTTCGAGGCAACTCTTGTTCTTCTCCTTTCACCATCACGACGTAAACGTTGACCTCGACGGCACGATGTCTCTCGAAAGTCCAACGATACAATCTTCAGCAGAGGTGTGGTATCTCAAAGAAATACATTTCGGAACGGAGTCATCGAGACGGCCCATAAAGATTATCACACAGAATTTCAATGGGTGCGTTGCCTATGCTGTGCTTTTCTTGTCTATATTCCCACCTGTTTATCTTTAGGCCATGTTCGTTCATTGCTATATGTATGATGCGCCTTGGATTCGGCAACTGCAGCTGAATCAAACATCAATAGGCAACATCCTGATCCTACGTGGTCACATTACCATTGAGCCCCCAGGTCGGCAAACTGTCTCTTATGAGCACCTCTGCCAGCTCGTAGGCGAGTACCTCTTGCTTAATTGCCCGGACGTCGACATTTCAGAGGCCCTATTCATCATGCCCTATACCCAAAGTATGTTCTCGCTTATATCCACTCGTGTCCTATTCATTAATTCGGTAGGAAGAGGGCATGGACCTGAATCCGCTGTTTACGGTTCCGACGTCATTCCGGGCAGGTGCTGGTGAGTTGAAGCTATTTGAGCAAGTCGGCATCGATCTTGTACATGGGTGGCTCGTCGACCCGGAAAGCCCTGAAGCGGAAGTGCTGACGAGAACGGGTGGCGATTATGATAGTGCGGTAATGCTCATTGCAGACGCGGACCATACTACAAAAGGGCAGCTCGTCGTTGGAGATAGCGAAGAGCCGCAAGCAGGGCCATCAAGTAGCGTGATGCTTAATGAAGAAGATAGGCAGAAGATTGAAGACGGTATGTGACAGAGCTTGTTCATCTCATGCAGCGCCTTAGTCAATTTCAGCCATTGTTGTTCGGAGATTTCTCGACAACACACGCTCTCAGCTGACCTACCACGGTCTATTTACCCTCGCTAGTATTGTGCGACCTGGTACACTTGTCGCCCTCTACCGGAATCTGCACCTGTCTGTCTTGTACAAACATGAACAGGCCCTATATTCTCTCGTGACGGACTACGTGTTCCTGAAGGAGCCCTCGGTGGTGTGGGAGCGTCTGGAAGATGTCGACGGAGGCTCTTCGACGTTTGTCGATTCAGATTTCGTGCGGGCGAGTCCAGTTGGAGGTGATTTTGCAGGGCAGACGGCTGAGGACGTAGTCAAGGCAAACAGCTATGAAACGTCAGATCTGGCGCTTGCACAGCAGCTGCAAGCTGAAGAACAGAACCGGGCTCGGTGCGAACGGGAGTTTTACGAGCGGGATTTGGCAATGCGTCAGGCTGAGGTGAGACAAAGGAAGGAGAAGCGGAAGGGAAAAAAGGATTGTGTTATCATGTAGAGGATGCGACTGTCTTGTAATTGTAGAAGGTATCCCATCTGTTCAGTAATAATTTTGGATGCTCATTTCTTGTCTCTCCATGCTTAGAAAACACCCTGGATGAAGTTGAGATCTAAATTTGGACCCCAGTGAAAATTCTGTCGAGCCGATTTGAGCCAAATCAAGCCGCAAACTGAAAGAATGCCATGTAGCGTGGTCGAGCCGGATCAAGCGGCGTATACAAGAAAGCTTTGCACCTCTTTCCACTCAGCATGTCCAAGAATACCAGAGTCGATTTCTCTGAATCCGATGGTTAACTGAAACGCGCCGAATTTCGCGAGCGCAAACCACATTGGCCAAGCCAATGGATCTGACCGCACGTGTATGTCATCTGGTGACGCGATTAACGCGTCTTTCCTTTCTACTACCACCATCCCCGTCGCCTTCCAGCCTATTCGCCGTCTTCGTTGTCGCCCTACCCAGATACTGTATTATCGCAGGATATGGCTTCACGCTCTTGCTGTTGTAGCCTCCTCATGTTGGTCTCTTACTGGCAAACTGATGCAAAGTCCAGCGATACGATGCTATAGATCGAAACTGCCATCAAAGATGGATATATGCACCTCGTTCGGACACCCTCAGCAGCAATACGTCTTCGGGAATCTCGTTTGAGTAGCAGGATATTTGATACCTCTGAGGTACGTCTCGTTGCGCCCTTATATGTTGTTTTTCAATAGTTAGAATATCTACAGTTGCTCTATGTATATGCTGTCTAGGCACCACTTGAGCATGGTCACGGTGCGTTTTGTTCCATATATGCGTATATTTCTGGGTTCGCTAAATCTAGGCCGCGCTTGCCATTGCTCCAGCTAGCTTCTATTTCGTGGGTAGCCCTAAAAGCAATGAAATCGAATCCTACACCTAATGGAAACCTATGACGCCAACATGCCAAGCTTCGATTTGAGCTGGGGTAAATGTAGTCTCGTTACCATCCTGTATATGAAGCAAGCTGTCGATATACAGTCTGGTCTTTCTGAGTTTAAATTTGGCAGGCGGAACAGATTTCGCTCAAAAAGGCTACGATCGGGTTTCGCGTGGCATGCTCAGAGCATTATTTCAATGTTCGACACTGTTTTTGCACCTGGGATATCTTTATCTGTTGAAATACTCAATAAATGCATCAAGCTCACAAGGATGTCTTTTTTGTTACAACATCTGACTGCAATGTGCAAAAACACATGAAGGTACCAAAAACTAGGGCTGCACGCCGTAACCGTATTGTACGGAAATACGGCTTCCGTGTACGGTATACGTACCGATGCCGTGAGCGCCTCGAGCCATACCGTACAACACGGCCGTCGACGGCCGTATATTTGTGGCGGTGCTACAAGGAGGGAGCATGCATTTTTGTGTCTATAAATCCTCTTGAAAACAGACTAGAATTACTCACTAACATGTTTTATGGGTCTCCGAGTCAGACGCGACATGTTAGGCGCCTTCGCGAGTGCAAAATATTGCATGCAAAGCACTATGACATCCCCAATAGTCCCTTAAGTCTTGTGAACTGGGCCAAAATGGTCGATTTCATGAACAGAATGTGCTCTGACGATGTTGAAATGTATGGTACATTGATTTTCATCACATTCAGCACTAAAATCAAGTCATTTCTAGAAACATACCCAGTAGTCATGAATACAGCCGTAATTGTACGGTCCGAAGCCGTCAGCGTCCTTGACCATACGGTTTACGGACGGTTACGGACGGTGCCCAGCCCTACCAAAAACTCTGAGATAGATGTGAATTGAGCAAAAATGAAGCCATGGGTAACCAAGTAAACAGAAGAAATAATTAATATCCCTATTCTATGCTGTTTCCAAGGCCGTATGACTTCTGGGGGCCTCCAACGCTCCCAGAGGATCTGTACGAGCCACGCGAAACTTCGATCATAGCCTTTTTAGGCGAAATCTGTACCACCTGCCAAGTTTAAACTCAGAAAGCTAGGACCTTCTATCGTCGGCTTGCCACAACGAGGGGAAATGATCGATGGGCTTTGGTTTGACCCAGTATGGCTCGACTTGGGCTTGACCAACTTTTCACCGGGAATCATTTTGGATGCTCATTTCTCGTCTCTCTAGGCTTAGATAAATGGACTCGGTCGACAGCTTCTGCGTCTGTTGTCCGGACTTGGATGAATGTAAGCAAAGAAGGGAATGAATAGAAAACACCCCGGATGAAGTTGAGATCTAAATTTGAACACTGATCGCGGCGGCAAGTGATGACGAATGTACTGATGTCACCGTGCATGGTTCTCCTTCAGTCGTTCTTCATTCTCTCCTGAACTCACTACAACCCAGCTAACATGCCCGTGATGTCAAAGACCTTTTCCTGGAAGTATATCTACTCACTTTCACTTGTACGCCGTTTCGAATTCTACCATTTAAACCTTTTGATGCAGTCCAAAACCAGAGGTTGATCAAACATATGGCTCTTCTTTCCTTGGTGACGTCTTTGAGCTCAGAATGGAGCTTTTGCGAAATAATCACCGTCACAATCATTCTCTTTATCTTTTCATGTTCTCGCTCGAAGAAGGGAAGAAGAGGTTGCGAAAGCGGCCAAGCTCAATGTAGGTTGCTTCCTTTCTTTCATGCCAGGTAACTAAAACATTGTCGTAGGATATCCGAAATACATACAACACCCTCAACACATATATAAATCATGAGATTTTGTTTCTTCGGACAACAATGGGAAGAAGATCAGACGCATATCAGCTTTGCTCATCGACTGTTCTTCAGTATGTTCTTTCGTCATATTGGGATCAGGTCGACTGAGATGTGCCAAGGCGATGTCTCATGTCGAAACAGCGTGTAGAGGCGCTGTACTCTAACGTCCTACGGGTCTGGCTCCGGGTCCTTGGCCAAGCTTAATAGGATTGCACGCAACTTGCAGGTGCAAGAAGGAGGGATTCAGTCCACTGTATTCTGTTACAAGATCTTTGTGACGGCGGTGGAAGGCTCGAAGTGTCCCAAGACGGAGTTGGAAAGCAGCCCAGAACTGGGTGGTCAAGATCAAAGCACGGCCTCCCCCACTGGTTGTATCAGACCCGGTTTGATGAAGATTTGGCGAGATAACAGTGAGTGCTCATGCCAATTTTTATGTTTCCGACACAGATGGTGTAAAGACTGGTAATGGGCTCTATGCTAATTGGAAAAGGAGGCTCTGCCATGTTTCCTCGGTGTTTCTATTCATCGAAAATTCGAACCGTCCATAAATATGTTATCTTTAGTAAAGTTGAAACCGAAGTTGAAACCGATAAAACATTTGAATTGTTAAAGAGTGTAAGCGACATAATAGTCAAAGAAAAAGGAAATCGAGTTGTAAGGTATAGGAAGAGATGACTAGGTACGATGAAACGAGATATCAATTGGCGACAAGAGGGGAGAGGAATGGAGGATGTGGTCTTTCTTCTCACGTCCATACATTTCACTAATGGTACACTGGACCTCACAAGGGACGCCGACCACCAACAAAGAGTGATCCAACGGCGCTCCAAATCATCGCAGGAGCATCCATTCCCACCGTAGCCGGGGTTCCCTGCTCTCTATCAGATACGACACACAAAACCAAGAATCGAAACCCACCCGAATATCAGACGCTCTCACGCGCCCTGACCAGCGCATCAAACTATACTCATACATCCACATAAATCAGCACCGGCTCGCCCACACCTTCAATCTCCGGAATCACACACTTGAGGTCAAACGCCTTGGCCAGAACGATTTTAAATATCTTTTGAACGTTTATTGACGAGGACGTGGAGCAGAAGATGAGGGATGCATGCATCGCCCGTGCGAAGCGCTTCGCTTGCTTCGTGATCTCTTCCTGCTCGTCTCTAGGAAAAGTCGCAAATTGGTCGAATTTGGTGCCAATCAGGAAGGGTATCGCTGTCTGGCAGCGAGATATGAAGTGGAATCTGGCATGTAGGAGAGTACACACGCACCTTGTTAAAACCCCTCGCCTGCCGGTACCACTCCTTGACGGAATTCAATGTGCTCTTCCTCGATAGGTCAAACATGAACAGAATCGCCACCGCATCATTGCACACAAGCGGGAGCATGTTCACAAACTCGCGCTGGCCGCCAAGGTCCCATATTGAGAACGTTATCGTTGTTCGCCGGACGGAAATGGTCTTTTCCATGAAGTTTACGCCTGTGTGATGAGTTCAGTGACCGGGAGGGGAGTTAGGACAGGGTGTACGTACCCAGCGTCTGGATATAGTCCTCGTCAAAGCTGCCCTCGACGTATTTGACCATTAGACTCGTCTTGCCGATCTGCGAGTCGCCCACCATCCCGACCTTGATCACGACGCTGGAAACAGATGAGCACACGACGATGGTCACAACCACTGCAACACACCTGTTCTTCTCATCGTTATTCTCCAGATGCGGGTGCACATTTGAACTTGTAGGTGAGGTGGACGTCGATGCCGATGCCGATGTCGACATTGATTATGAGAGGGGAGAAGAAACAGAGAAAGAGGGGAAAAAAACAAAGACAAGAGAAAGAGGGTCACGTTGTGGGATGGCGAGCTGGCGATGTCGATGAGCAGCGAACGACCGTCGCAGCGTTCACCGTCGTGGTTATTGAACAAGCCAGGGCCGCCGGTGAGCAACGACTCCGAATTTGTTATTTCTTTCACACGGTCAAGGGCCAAGGAACAGAACTGTTCGAGGCTCAGCAGAAAAAGCGTTTAACCCTCATCGCCTTCAAATTTAACAATTTATTGACGGCTGAACGAGGACTGAGTACTGAGTACTGAGCACTAAAAGACCTGTCAAAAGTACTCGATTGCTGAGCATAAAAAAGTTCAATCTGTGATACTTAAATAAATCATACCGCACCAGTAGTAAAGCAGTTGTAAAAACGCCGTTCACTACCACCATTCAGTTAACTGGAATATCCAAATATTCTTATGAATCTTCTCAGTGCTTGAAATTCGATAAATATTCATCTATCTTTGGCAATGCCGAAATGCCGGTCGCTGGCGGCCCGCGGCTCAGAGACTCGCTGCAGTTGTTCCACCCTCTTTGAATCTAACCACCATGCCGAAGCGGTCGCCAACCCCTGCGTTCCAGAATCAACCTCCAGCAAAACATCCAAAGCTCTCGTTCCTTTCTGAGGATCATCTCAAGGCTCTAACCGAAAGAATGCTAGGCACATATTTTACCTTTCCTGCAGGATCTCCGTTCACGAGAAAGGATATCGAATTGCTTCGCATGTTCTGGGGGAGCTTGCACATGGCCCTTGGTGATATCAACCGCGAATTTCAAGAGCAGCTAAAGGCGCCTGCTGACGTCGATTGGGCGGGTTTACTCGATGACCAGGACTCGGGCCTGTATGAGATACTCGACCGTTTGGCAAAGGAGTCCGCCCTGGAGCGAAACTGGGAACCGTTGTTGACGTTTCGTAAGTTGTTCATTCTTGCTGCGATATCAATCTCATTTTTCGCATCAGCTAGTCTCCGAAAACCCAGCACGCTGTCTGACAGTAAGACATCCGACATATGCATTTAGGGTCACTCAATGTGGGCTCATTCCGGTGTTAGGCGTCTATAATCAACAATCTCATATCTCGGAGTATATGGATGGTAAGTAAAGCTTGCGCTGTTAGCCATATATAACAGTTGCGCAGCGACCGTTATGTCCTGGTCACAGGAATTCCAGGGACTCAGCGTGAAAGCATTGGAAGAACACATATATCACTACGTATTCAAGCCTCGTTCAGGAACACACTATGCGGCGTTCACGTCTATCATACAGTCATCTGGAATGGGTAAATCTCGGCTCCTTGACGAGTTCAGCAAAGTGCATTTTTTAATTCCTTTGAATCTTCGGGATCCGTCGAAAACTGGTATAATGTTTTCGTGCTTACAGTGCTGAACTGCTCATTTAACTGGTTGTGATTATACTTACAGGCTTCCCTCCTTCCGATAAAGAGGTCTACTCCTATCTGACCAGAGAGACAAACTCAGTGTCGTATATATGCAGGTTTCTGGTTGCGTTATTTCGACGGACGAAAGATGAGATCGACAGACTAAAATTAGAAACCTCGGATGAAGGCTTGCGAGAACCAAGTGCACTTGCGTCTGCTTTTCGTGCGTGTATGACTGAGGGCCAGTCGATGAGTGGACCCGGCGATTTTCGGAAGAATTTCTTCAAGGATGTTGTAGACGCTGCAACGAAGGAAAAGGTAAATTTTCATTCGAATGATCTATATATTGTTGCTCAGAAACCTAAACAGCATTCAGGGATTGCCGAAGTCGAGAAAGCCTACCAAGATCTGGAAGATGCGATATACAGTAACTCAGATCTGTCACGGGGTTCAACGACATCGTTGCCACTTCCAAAAATCTATATCATGTGGGACGAAGCGCACTACTTGGAAAAAGGCCTCCTACGACGGGAATCGATATCCGGGTTCTCTATCCTTGAACATGTGCTCTTGATGCTTCGAGGGAAAAAAAATTTCGTTCTCGTTCTTCGTGTCTCTCTCGGGACGGATCGCGCCAGCTGCCCCTCCACGCTCTGTAGACTCGTCGACTCGGATCCATGAAGGCACGCTCGAATCCGTTCCTCCGTTCACAGACCTAGGATTCGATCAGTTGATGAGTGGACGACAAGTGGGAAGGATAGGTGCGCAAACACTGGCTGATGTGACGAAGCTTGAGTACGTGGTGCATATGGGTCGACCTCTGTGAGTCTGTTTCGACTCCAACCGAAGGGTTATCTCTTCTGACATGTGTTGCAGCTGGGGCGGACGGTACGATGTTGGCGACAAGCACGTGAAGAATAGCATCTTCGACTTCGCGCATGAGAAGCTCCTTTGCCAAAAGCGATGGGACTTTAAAGGGATAAAGCTTTCATTACAACAAACCTTCGCCTGCCTCTCTCAGCGGCTAGCTCTCGAATTGGATTCAAGAACACGGGCAGCATTGCTAGAGGAGAAGAATCTGATCGAAAACCATATGCGAGTATGTCTCGAAACTGGGACGGGCTTGGATGGTCTCCTTACGGCTTCCTCTTCTGAACCGATCCTCTCGGAGGTTTCCTCGTTGACTACACGCTGGTGCAAGGATAATTTCAGCATGGCTGAGGCGTTGAAGATGGTCCTCTCATATTTCCCTATCCGGCAGGAACATCATGGCGCGCTTCTGGTGTTGGTTTTGTTCACTATTGCACGCGATTCGGCGATTCCGAGGGACCATGAATATTCCAAGGACATCTTCATCGTCCCTGTACTGTCTTTCTTTGAACAACTGTTCACGGAGGACATTTCGGACATGCTTCCATCTAGGGTGGGGAGCGCACACGAATCTCGCACTTTTAAGGAAGAATTTTCTCGAGCTAGCTTGCATTTCAATCACTGCATCAAACCTCAGAACACTGGCGCTCTTAATCGTTCGACGCTTCTTGGCTTCATTGCCCGTGGTGCTGCTATCGTCCATCACGCAGGAGTGGACATGACTATCCCATTCTTATTCTACGATCTCGAGCTGATCAAATGGAATGTGGGATTTATCCTGGCCAAGGTGGACCACCAAGCGATGCCGAGGGCGAGATTGTTTGACACCATGGACCCCTTCGTACTAGGCCTGTTTGAGGATGGCGAGCCTACTGTCCCGATTATCAGAATCATTTTCGCGCTTGGAGTCCCGACAGAGAAGGCGAAGCTTGTTCGGATGCCACCCTATATGCAAGGCGACTTTACATCGTATGACTTTTGGTGTGCTGGCATGTCGCCCGAGATTGTGAAGCCTGGGGTGAGTGCTACGTCATGGACTTGGGACGCACTGCTCGCGGCGTCGTGTGGTCGGGCAAGGGACTCTGACTCACAATCGGCAGAAGGGAGTGCGTGTAGGCGGCAGCAGGAACCCCTTGTTGGAATGGACAAAGAACACTGGAATCAGTTTGTGGATTTTACGGCGCTGGATGAAGGGAAGGCTGAGGATTACCTGAAAGATCGGCATTAGTAGTAGTCGTAACTTGTGCCATTGGTTTTGTTATCTTTATCCTACATTCGTTAGTTATAATGCATTATTCCCAGCGCTCCTCGTACATGTAGGATTTATTGATCTTGATCTCTCATAAGTTAGGCATCTCGACGGCTTGCCTGTCAAGAGATTTGTAGCCGAGACTGTTTCACCACAATAATAATTAACAGAAGCAATACAATGCGGTCTACTCATGCTGCCCGGTTTTTCTTGGTTAACAATGATGAAAACTGATGATAAGGTCGTGGCATTGCTTCTCTGGTATGCAACAGATTATGTGCAGTGTCTGTTAGCTATTCCCCCGAACTTTGCTTTAGCCACCTTCACCACAATGTATGCCAAAAAGCGATACACCACCATGGTGGCCACGACCGCCCCAAGATTGAGCGGTCCAGCATCGCCGTCCACATGATACATCTCAAGGACCTGCTCACCGACGCTGATAGCGCACGACCCGTCCGATAGTCTTTGATCGTCATCGCAAGTAAACTCCTGTCCACCGAAAGCAAGCGGCATGATATTCCGAATGACATATCCCAGAGGCGAGACTTTGTCAATGTCCTGGAGCAAAGCTGGCATATCTGCACTCATCAGTCCTGATATAGATACATGAGAATACAAAGGAAACATCACATTGAGTCACACGTACCAGCCATGAACATCATCACACAGAGAATCACGTTCGCTACGTTCAACGCCAAGCCGGCATTCTTGTGGAATATCGTATTGAATATGATTCCGAGAGATTCTCCTGCATTGACCATACACAGGGCATTGAGAGTGACGACGAGGAACATATCGACGGTACGCAAGAGGTTGGTTGCGATGGCCGCTAAAGCAGAGAACGTGAAGCAGGCCACGACTTCCAAAGGCAACTCCAGGATAGTATACGCAAGGAAAAAGGATTCGACAGAGTATGCATCATCGTTGTGTTCCTAAGCGAACACATTAGCTTCTATCGAGAGCACGAGAACTTGATAACACACCTGGTAGAAGATATCCCTCTCCATTGGGTAGACGGCCATGTTCTGCAGTATCCCTACAAAGTAAACTGTTCCAATTTCAATCACTACACACGAAGTTGATGAAGCAATACTTACTGGGAAGAATTCCTTGTATGCATCCAATCCGATTTTGAATACTGATGTAGTCATGACCAAGCGGAGAGAAGAACAAGGCAGACACAATCTGGAAGATGGATCCGTTATTGTATGAACTGATAAGCCACAGAAAGACATACTCCAAGGCCGACAGCATTACCAAACCGTGCTTGAACAATCCCCGATCGACGGCTGAATGCAAGAGCGCCTCGTTTCAATAAAATCGGCAGTGATGTTGTAATCGGTGTCATCTTCTTTTCCACTCCCATCGTTTCAATTCGCAATTGGCCAGTCTTCGTTTCCTCATTCAAAGTTCGGTGTTCCCCGTCTCTGAACGCTTCAACAAGCATATCTACCTTCTCACGGCTCAGCTCTTCTTGCTCGGCTTCCCGCAAGTCAACAGAAACGACATCCAATGCAAAGTCTGCAAGATTCATCGTTGGGGGACACCAAAGGCCCACCGACTGCATATACTCAAGCATCCTTCCAGCAGGTCCCGAGTATGCAACTCTCCCACCTTTGGCGAGGAGGAGAATGTTCCCGAAATGCTCAAATAGTTCCGAAGAGCTCTGGTGGAGTACGGTTATGATTGTACGGCCTTCATCTGCGAGTTGTCCCAACACGTCCATAATCGATGCTGCCGTGAAAGAGTCTAATCCAGAGGTGGGTTCATCCAGCCTGATAGATATCAGAGAAGAGTGATCCCAAGTACGATAGTCGACTTACATCAAGACCTGAGGATCTGTTAATACCTGAATCGCAATGCTGACCCTGCGTTTCTCTCCTCCTGAGATACCTTTCAGCACGTCATTTCCGACCAGCGTATCAGCGCAGCCCTTCAGTCCCATCTTCTTCATCACTTCGTCCGCTTTCTGATACTTGTGTTTCTTCGACATCCAACTCGGCAGCCTAAGAGTGGCAGCAAACTCTAAAGTCTCTCGTACTGTGAGGTATGGGAGGAGAGATGTGTCATCTTGGGTCACATATGAACACAGAGCACGGATTCTTTCCTGCGTTGCTGAAACGCCATTAAGTTTCATCTCTCCGTCCGCTGCGTAAGTTGTCGAAGAGGTCGCCTGTAGGCGATGGGCCATCAAGTTCAACAACGACGATTTCCCACTTCCCGAAGGTCCAAGAATAACATTAATCTTCCCAGGCTCGAACCGTGTATTGACGCGTTGTATGATACTGAGGTACTTTCTGCCACGAATGCGCACACGAAGGGAATAGTCCTCGAGATCCACTTCTATACCAACCGTAATGGTTCGCGGGGAGCTTTTAATGTTGAAATGGGTCTCTTCGATTCTTTGGTTCGAAGAGTATCCAGCGCGGTTTAGGATGGTGGTGTTGATTGTGAATGAATGGAGCAAAAGAATCTGCGCAACAGAGTAGAAGACAATAAAACCCAGTATAGCGACGATGGGAATAGTGGACCAGTTCTGGTGTGGAACAGCAAGGGATTCGATGATAAAGTCGCCGCGGTAGGTGTTACAGTCAGGACTGGAATATGTATCACCCAGGGGACAGTCAAAGTTTCGGTCCTTGAACTCGTTATCAATGAGAGCTGTGAAGCCGTAGAACTTGGAACAAGTATGTTAACTGGAGACCGGAACGAATAACGACTACCTTCTTACCAGATGCGAAATCCATTTCGTCCACCGAAGATATACCGGGATTGAATCCGCTTGAAGAAAGAAGCCGCATACATGGGTATGTACTGCAAAGGCCAAGTTTGTAATGAGCGTCGACAGCGCGAAATCCCTTGATATAGCAACCGAGAGTCCCGCAAACATTAATGAGGCGTAATGCATGAGTAGGACGACGATGAAATAGTAGAAGAACCGTGCGGCGGAAGGTGCGAGTCCGATCATGACATAGCTGATTCCTGAGAAGACGAAGGGGACAATGATGTCCTCTAGGATACTGTGTGTAATGCGACGGCTAACAATCCAAGGTAGTACCCCTACGACACCTTCACCATGTTCTCGATCGAAAAGTGGCATGTCGGTACTGGTCAATCGGTATACCTCGTATGTGAAGACGAGATAGCCTTGAAACCCGACCGAGACATAAAGTGCCGCTTGACGGGAACGAATGCCTGCCATTGAGTCGGGGAGTTGAAGGAATACCAAACCCACAACAAGTCCCATCAGAACTGCTTCGATCCACGACGCTATAACACCCCATTTGTCCCTCATGTTTGATTTCAATTCCCTTGAGACGAGAGCACGTACAATTCGAGTGAACGATACTTTCGGATGGTCGTGGACGAATCCCGGTGGATAACAACTAGGGACAATTGCTGGATTTATATCCGGGAAGCGCATTGTCGACTCCTCCCTCCACACCGCAATAAGCATATTCACGCGGGCTCTCCCAGCGACTTCTGTCTCCCTCGTCCGTGAGTCGATGGCCGCGATATTGATCAGATAGTCTGCAGGATTAACATGCACCCCTGGTGAAGGTAGCCTGTGTTCGAACCACGGCACAGCATCTACAACAGGGCCTGCATACAGCGACTGTCCTCGGGCGAGCAATGTCACCGCGTCGAGTAAGAGGAAAACCTCAGATCGAGGTTGATGAAGCGTCATGATGATTGTCCGACCCTTCTTCGCAAGGCTCTTCAACATCTTGACAAGCTGATAAGCACTTGTTGCATCGAGGCCAGTTGTTGGCTCATCTAAGAAGAGTATGGATGGATTTCCGAGCAGTTGAACTCCGACACTCAGACGTCTCCTTTCACCACCCGAGCATCCTTTCCTTGTCACGCCGTCCCCAACTAATGTGTCCGCACATTCCTTTAGTCCGAGCTCGAGGATGATCTCCTCAACAAGGCTCCGCCGCTTCTCGTGGCTGATCGAATCGGGGAGACGAAGGTCCTGCGGCGTACATGAGCGTCTCACGGACAGTCAGCGTGGGCAGGAAGACGTCGGATTGAGTGACATAGGCATAAGTGACACTTGAAAGGGAAGGAGAATCGTTGTAAAGCAGTTGTCCTCGAATCAAGAGATTTGTCCCTTTCATACGATGAGACAGAATGTTCAAAAGTGTAGTCTTGAGAACATATTAGCCTTTGCATATCTTGAGGACCCTATAGGACGTACCTTTCCACTACCGCTGCTACCGATTATGCCGGTCAGATTCGAGCGAGGAAAAATAGAATCAAGGCCATTGAGTATCGTCTGAGACTTGAGGGACTCCTCGTCTTCAGGGGGAAAGCGTTTGAACCAGCGCTTTGGACTGCTAGGATACGCCTGGACAGTGAGTTTTCGAACAGCCACGTCTACTGGCGCAACTTCGGAGAAGGAGAGGTTTTCTTCATGGCCGTCCGTTGGATACCGTTTCAAGTCGTCTAAAATATGAGGTGCGTTGTCGATAGAGGCTTTCACCATGGGAGAGATAGAGTTGATAAGGGTATCGACTCGCAGAGACTGGATGAATCTATTGTAGATTCGGGCATGTCGGCCATGACATTAGTATAATTCATTTCGAGCACTTCCATCGAAGCAGGACCATCGACAAGGAACCAGGCCGGTTTTAGATGGGGAGACGTCAGATCTGAGGAAGTCAACAGTGGGGCCTTCCTGTGCTAGTGGTAGAACGCGAAAGGCTTATCTTACACCAGCTACCAGAAGGAATGTTAAAATCAGTAATGGACAGAAGGGAGATAGCGTCAGAGTCGCAGTTGTTTGAAGACGCATACGCTTATCACCCTGATCCTGAGGGTCTTTTCAATTGAAAGCTGACATGAATTCTTATTCCGTAGATACAACCTTCGGATCCGAGCACGTTCATTTCCTCAAACTCCGACGACCATGCATGCGTGAAGAAAGACCCATGATTTTTGCAGTTTCGGTAAGTGCAAGAAAGAAGTTTACTGTTCCTAGTGGAATGCCTGATACTATAATCTCAGAGTCAGCCTGTTAATCGAATTTTCATCTATGCAGCTCGTAATGAAGGCTTAAAAGGCTTACCTATTTCTAATACATAGAAGCTACGAAATGCTCGTAGGCCTGAATAAGTACTAAGAACCCAAATATGGCATCCTTAATTAAGCTTGTTGGTCAGATAAATAGCACTGATCTTCCTGTCGTCTGCACAGCGGCTCTGATCCTTCGCTTCTAGAGGAACGGCGACCTAATTCGGGTTGTTCAATGGTTCTCCACTACACTCCAGACGCCGTTGGAGCCAATGTAGCAGTAGGAAAGGTGCATCGAACAACAGAGGAATAGAAAAGGTGGCAATATCAATGGTAAAAGCGCCTTGAATTCTGCAGCCAGAGCGTGGTGCTTGGATAATAAATAAAAACACCTACAGTCACGGTGAGAACGAACAAGAGGGTTTGAACTCCGACCGATCGTGCCGGCCCGATTCCGATGTGCACAGCCACTTCCACCCTTCAAAACTAAAAACCAAGGGGGTTGCGGCCCGGCAAGCCGGCACATCGGGTTGGTCGGTTGGTCGGTCCAAAAGGTCCTTAAAAATTTTTTGCCCTCCTCTTGTAAAATAGCATTCAGAGACCCTAGACGCCGCTAGAGATGTTTATTTCCGCTGATATATGATGGCCATGACCTAACATGGCCCAAAGAGCGCTGGAAAAGCGGTCAAAACGATGTCGAAGGCTCAAAACGCCAATGGCATGCTGCCGGATATCGGCAGGATTAGTGAGAATTGAGTTACTGGCGGTAAAAATATTTAGTCGAGTTCGACGGATCCAAATTGGAAGTGCCTGTCATGTACAGTAGGAAAGCGTCGTCGCTAGCAGACAAAAATAGTATACTATCAGCGTTTTGATCGAGGATGAGAGGACTAAGTAGGCGGAAAGCTCGCACTGGCGGATGACTCCGACACGGAGTAATTACATAATGTTTCCCTTGTGGGTATGTTTTTCCCACGGCGGTCGGTCGGTCGGTCCATCGAGGCCTTAAAAATTTTTTCGACCTGATATGATTTTTTCGGTTTTTGCGACCCCCTTGCTAAAAACTCTTTTCACTAGTACCATTAATGTGTCCTATTAACTCTAAGCAGCATCATGAAGTATGGAGAACTCTTTCTTAGGCGATTTTTCCTTCATCGTCAACAGAAATCACCAAGTCTGTCTTAGACACTTTTCTTGCACTTTTCGGGGCCGTAAGGGCCCGAAAGATGCTCGCTAGGATCTCTGTCTCACAGAAAATAACATTTCAAAAGAAGCACCAGATACATATACATATACATGATATCCTCAAGAGCATTAGAAAGCCAAGGTAATGCTAGAAAGTTGTACCATATAAGATATCAGTTTCCGTCATTGCGGCACTAAATAATTCATTGACATTCAACATTTTCACGAATGAAAAGACAAAGCGCTTACACAAACTTGAACAGCAGTACCATCGCAAGATCCCGAGTTAACGTCGCCTCGGCAAGCGTAGCTACGAAGCGGAATGAGCAAGCTGACGAACAAACCCGAGAACTGTACACACTTTTGGCCACCATAGTGCAAGGCGGTGATTGTGATAGGCGCCGGCGAGCAGGAGAAAAGTGGTTCATCACAGACATTGGTCGTAATTGCTCCAGCTACCTGGTTGCAAGAATCGTCCACCACGGCGTCTAATAAATTCATGTCAGCCCCGGCATAGAAGTGGGGGTTGTAAATTTGCTTACAGCCTTCCCTTCCAGTGCCGACGTCGTACCCGAGGTCCATGATTCCGAAGCTACGCAGATAAATCAGTATTATGCGCATACGATCGTGACGTTGAGCGTACTTGTAACCAGGGCAGATAGCTGCCACAGACGAAGCCCAGAAGGCGACACCAACAAAGGTAGCAAGCTTGAATTGCATCTATGTCTGGTAAGAACCGCATTGTGAATCAAAGTAGATGGGACCACTGACTTTGGGATGATAAATCGAGTAAATGTGCAAATGTGAGAAGAGAAGTAGTGCTGCTGACGCTGCTGCCTTGAGACCTTCTTTTCGAATCGCCCTTATACTCCCAAATGCTGAGCCACGGGTAAATTTCGATTCATACTTGGCCGGCATTTCTGAAGAATTTACGGTATCTCGATGCTGTTCGACGTGCGAAACATGTTTCAATGATTCTTCTACAAGTACAGCAACCGCAGTGGAAACATATTATGGCACAGATGTACTTGAACAAGCCTCCCGAGATGAGCGCGTTTTGTAATGTACCTCCAGGATGATACGGTGTTCGCGAATCAAAAGATACAGACCATTCAAAACAGACGAAGGAGTCGCAGTCCGCCATCAAATACAAATAACTTAAGAGAAAGCACTGGAGCACCCAAGCTTTGAGTACAAGACTGTCGTTGAAAAACATAATTTGTTCGGGCTGTCACTAGTCGACCCTGGGCCCCACAATATTTGTTTATCTTGTGACCAGCAGTGCAAATGGAGAGACACGCGTATTATGCGCACTGGCAGTGTTTCAACAGGCCGAGCTGCCAGTGGGGTCTGATTCTTACCAATACCAACCTGAGGTAAGTAATTCAGAGAACCCTCGTTTCAGCAGGATCATTTCAACGACGGTTGGCCGGAGCAATGATGAGTGGCATAGAGTCTGACATAGACATGGTGATGCGAATCCATAAAATCGTTTTGTGAAAAAATAACAAAAAAGGGGAGGCCGGAAATATCCGATCTGAAGAACGGGCCGGCCATAAACGCCAAGAGACTGCGATCGGCCCCGCCGTCTTACGCGTTCACCGTTACAAGAAATAAGTCACTTCCTTTTCTTTTGTACCTTTATTTCGACTCTCAATCTCCTACGCGGGCCAAAACAATGATAAATTTAAGTGCTAGTACATCAATCGATATATCCAAGCCAACAGGTTGAAGCTCAATGTCATCTAGCAGCTGTTAAAGTCTGAAATATCTATCTCTTATCGTTAGGTCAACGTCAGACTAATAGGGCTTATCTCGAGTAACTGTTCGATGGATGCACTTTACTCGGGAAATGTGAGAACGAGCAACCAAGATGCTCCATATGTCATGCATATGATCTCTCACGGGAACTCGTAAGCTTCCAGAAGGCGAAAACGGTGGACACTCGAAATGAGAGGAATGCTAGTACTGAGCTTTCTTATAACTGTGCGCTCAAAGCCTTTGAGTTAGGAGTTGCTTGAAGTAGTGGTCACCGAGCAACGGCGTTTGCTGTTTGGTTTCAACACCACGGAAGAGACGAACGACGTTACGGTAAGACTCTGCCAGCAATACCTTGGCATTAGTTCATATTATTCTAGGCAGCTCAAGTCAATCTCCAGGAACTGCAACTTCCTCGCCGTACCGTGGGTTGTAAGCATGGTTCTCGACCTCATGATCTCTTTCACTTCTTCGGTGTTCAATTGGTATTACGAAATGCCGAGACGTCTGACTTACAAACCACATTATACCGTGCCCTACAAAAGTGGATGGTTCAATGCTAAAGCCAACTGCTTTCTCCACAGCCATGAGTCAAACATTCACCTACGATTTTGATACGCCCACCTTTAAGGGCACCACCAAAGTCAATACAGGCCTCTTTATCAACGGAAAGTTTGTCGACCCCGCTGAAGGCGGTTCCATTGAGTGGGGTTTCATGTGCTTTTCTATCTGAATAATATTGACACGAGCGCTTCATTTTCTAGAGTTGTCAACCCAAGTGTGCCGAACTCAGTCGATTCTCCATAACATTGTATCTAAAAGACACTGTAGCGACTGGGAAAACGATCACATTCGTTGCTGGTGGTACGAAGAAAGATGTCGACTTAGCAGTCAAAGCGGCCAAAGAGGTGAGGAATGCCTGTGCGGAACACGGAATAACCGGCGCAATCTCACGTTGCCGTCAATCATTAGGCCTACAAGAAATCGTGGGGTCTCCGATGTCCCGGCGCTCAACGGGGAAGGCTCCTTTCTAAATTTGCAGACCTCGTTGAACAGCATATCGATGAATTGTCTGCCCTGGAGACGTTGAACGTCGGTGGGTGTCGTGCGTGTGCCTTGGCACTAGCGGACTGATGAAGCTGTTCATAGGGAAACCATTCATGGCTGCTAAACACCAGGATGCTACTAGTATGGTCGCAGTTCTGAGGTACTATGCTGGTTGGGCAGACAAGATTCATGGGAAAGTGGTTGAAGTGAGATATACAGTCTGACCTTGTGTGGATGTACTCACCTTCGTTTATCAGACCAATGAAAACAAACTAAGTTACACTCGGCATGAACCCTACGGCGTTGTGGTACGCGGATGCGTTCAGTCCGTCTAGCACCTGCTTACTTGCTCAACAGGGACAAATCATTCCATGGAACTTCCCTATGGTGATCTAGTTCCCCGCTTCATCAAAGCTCAAGCACTGATACGTTAGATAGGTGATGGCGGCTTGGAAACTTGGCCCAGCACTTGCTACTGGAAATACTGTCAGTTCTGAAGGTGTGCACATTTTCCAAACTCTAGAGCGAATACCGAACTCTTCGAAGCCGTCTGAATTAACACCATTGACTGCTCAACGCCTCTGCGACTTCATCATCGAGGCAGGATTCCCACCCGGCGTTGTTAACGTTGTAAATGGCTACGGTGAGAACTTAGAAGCACTCCGTGTGATTAACTTCATCAAAAGACAATTCTAAATGATGCTTAGGCAATACGGTCGGCCAAGCAATCAGCGAACACCCAGATATCTCCAAGGTCGCTTTCACCGGTAGTACCTTGGTGGGAAGAAAGATCCAGGAAGCGTCAGCCAAATCAAATTTGAAAGCCGTCAGCCTCGAGCTTGGTGGGAAGAGTCCGTGTATCATCTTTGATGATGCGAACATTGAGCAAGCAGTGAAATGGGCGGCTTCGGGCATTTTGTGCGCTCATCCTTCGGCTACACCCATATTGCTTGCTCACTAACGCATCGCTAATAGCTCTAATGCGGGCCAAATATGCGCGGCTTCGTCTAGAATCCTTCTTCAAGAGGGTATTTATGACACCTTTGTTGAAAAGTTCACCGCGATCGCCAAGGGCCTGCAACACGTAACCTGGCTGATCCCTTTGTTGCCGAGACTCAGCACGGACCTCAAGTCTCGCGGACGCAATTTGAAGTACTCCCTTCAATTCTGGATGAAAATCGAGAAACTCATCCCCGATACATAGCGCGTCATGGGCTATCTTCACTCAGCCAGGGAGGACGGCGCCCAGTTCCACATCGGTGGAGAGAAACACGGCAATGGAGAAGGATTCTTCATCCAGCCGACTGTCTTCACAGGTGATAACACCATGAAAGCGGTCAAGGAGGAGATCTTCGGGCCTGTGGCTGCGCTGATCAAGTTCAAAACTGAAGAAGGTCAGTAAACTGCACTTTGAAGTAGGAATATGTGCTCACAGCGATCCCAGAGGCGATCGAGTTGGCTAATGACACGTCCTACGGTTTAGCTGCGGCTGTCTTCTCAGAAAATTCAAGCAGGGCGATCCGAGTGACCCACCAATTGGAGTCCGGTACTGCCTGGGTCAACTGTTACGGTATGGCGGATCCTGGAGTCCCATTTGGAGGTTATAAGCAGTCTGGTATCGGCAGGGAATGCGGCGAGTATGCCCTGAACATGTTCGCATTCAGATTATTTTTGTCCATACTTCCGCAACTAACTCTTTCGTAGGTACACCGAAGTTAAGGCAGTACATGTTAATATTGGAATGAAGATCTAGGAAGAGATTTTTTTGTACATTAAAAGAATGAATGATATGTGCTACCCAGACTGTATCTGAGCTACATAGATGAAGTACGGTTAGTTTTTGAGTGGTGCATTACTACCTAGTGAATGTGCAATACGTGAATTACCTAGACGTGTACATCTCAAATAATGTTATTTATGCAGCCAAAGCGCCAACTCGCTTTCTTAAATCTACGGCCCGACTACTTCCCCGACCCTCAAGCTTTCCAAACACCACAACCTTGCCTTTCTCCCCCGCTCGACCGGAACGCCCAGCCCGATGAATAAAATCAATCATATTCCTTGGTTCGTCGACGATGAAGACGTGCTTGATTTGCGGACTGAAATCCAATCCTCTCGAGAGCAACGAAGTCGTAATCATGACATGAGGGGTCTTGCTCGGGTCTCCTGCGTCTTCTTCCTTTGTGGCGACCGTCTCCTCGGACTTGTCCTTAAGGAACCCGTCCAGATGGTGATTTGATCCCTTCCTCCTTGTCTCAGCGGTCCCGTCAATCGCGACAGTTTTAATACCCTTTCCTTCGAGATGTTGGCTGAGCAGTTGTACCTTGGTATTCTTGTTGCAGAAGACCAAGATTTTCGATAGCTTCCCGCTCCGGGTGATGCTGTCTTCTGCCCACACCTTCTTGATACGCTTTTCAATGTCGGCGTTTTTGTTGGTGCCTGTCCAACCGACATACTCAGTCTGGAGCTTCTTGGGAAGGTGATGCACCGTCGGCGAGGCCAAGCGTGTGTGAGAAGGATGGTGGGTCTCGAGGTAGTTGCCGAGAGCGCTAGGGATAGTAGCGCTACACAAGATGAGATTGAATGGATAAGCAATGGGCTTCGGTTCTACGCTCTCTGTCTTGAAGTTGAAATCGTCGGGGTAGTATGGTACAGGTGATCCACGAGCGGCACTGACTTCGGAGAGTAAAAGACGGGTAGTTTCTTGGAAATCGGGATCTGGTTTAAGAAATATTGGTACAACACTTAGGATTCATAAAAATTTCACGTACCAAACAGGACGTCGGCTTCGTCAATAATCACCCATTCGACGTTAGCAAGACCCATTTCTGGAGCTGCGCCCAAAGTACCAGTAGGAACGACGCCAAGATCCCTGCCGCGTCTAGGCTTTCTCTGGAATTCCTCCTCTTCTTTTTCTTTTGCTTCTCCTTCTTCGCCGTTTTCCTCCTGCGCTTTCGGAGTCTCATTCCCGATTCGGCGCTCCCATCCACGGCCCTTAATTAACTCAAGTAACTTCATGGGCGTACCGACGACGACATCTACCGGGAATCTTCCGCCAGGCCGTATCTGGAGATCCTGCGAGCGATCGCTGAACAACGCGGCATCAAGCTTTCCTTTCATCTGGGCAGCACTTCCACCTCCTAGACTCATCTTGTTATCTACATTCGCCTGGCTAGCGCAGAGTATCCTCAACTTGATCTCATGTATTAGATCCTTGGCGAAACCTGATAGTTGGCGAGCCAGCTCGTGCGTCGGAGCGAGGACAAGGGCGCGGGGGTTCAGAGGATGAGTGCTTTTTCGGTGGACGTTTCCACTGAGTTCCGAAACTTTGAGAGATTGGAGAAGCGGTAGAAAGTACGCTATTGATTTTCCAGATCCGGTTTCAGACGCGAGAAGGTACTCCTTCCATTTTTTGTTGGGATCGTACTCAGTTTCGAGTAGGTGCTGAAGACTGAGAGCCTGGATGGGTGTGGGTTGGGCACCGGTACCGACGACTTCGGTGAGGCAAGAAAGGAGACCAGGCATTAGGGGAAAGGATGCGAAGGATGGGGGAGATGAAGAGGATGAGGAGAACGACGCGGAAGATTCTGCTGAAGGTGCCTTCCGAATCTCCACAGCTTTTGCCAAGCGCTTCAAATAAGGAGACGGCGGGCTATATGCATTGCCGCGGGAGGCTGAGGAGTCATTTGAAGGGGGAGATTTCTCGTCCAAAAGCTCTGTCCTGGCGCCTGAGATATGTGAGAGTTTCGTTTCATAAGGTTGGAACTGACGCCTGTCGCTGAACCTTGGCGGCGGTGCCCAAGTTGATCTTTGCGAAGGCGACGGTTGCCTGGTGTCTGCGCTCCTCGTATATGAGACGCTGGGTTCGTCCCCGGATTTGTGAGAATCAAACGGATTGAATGATGAGGCAGGGCCTCTGAAATTTCGGTTCGTGGATGAAAGAGGAAGGATCCTTCCAGTGCTCCCTTGGATTGGAGGAGTAATTAGGTGTCCTCCAGCGATTCTCGGCTCTCATCAAGGAAGGAGGAATAATTGTTGGTGCAGAAGATGAATCATCCCGGTTCTGTCTCTCCATATTTGCCAGGTAAGGAGACGGCGAGTTGTATCCTTTCCTGCCCAGCGCATTGAACATATTCCCCCGCTCGTCCCGATATCCAGGCAGCCCATGCCAACGGCCTTTCCGCTTCCTCAAATCCTGCGAACTATCATGACGACGAAAGGAGACGGTATGGGCTTCTTCCTCCTGTTTTTCAAGGTCGATTTCGGAATGTGGCAACTCTTCGCGCTGGAATGAGCTCTTGACCTTTTCCAGAGACATCACGGTAGGTTTCCCTCCACCACGACGACCGCGGCCTTGTTTCTTTCGATGACGGCTGAGATATACATTAGCATTTATTTTTAGTAGACAAATACATTCACGTACTCTTCGACCATCGCTGAAGCATGAAACATTCTCAACACCTGTATACGGCACGCGTTCGAACCCGAAAGAAGGGCTTCATTGCCGATTTGCAGGAGCCCAGCCATCACAGTCACGTATTTCACGTTAATCTAGCGATGCTATGTAGACCACCAGGGCGATTATGAAGCCCACCGTCGCCAACACCGAATTCTGCCCGGGAAGAAAGAGGAAGAGTAAAAAAAACCGTGATATTTTGTCACAAGTCACGCAGAATTGCCCTAGTCGGACCGTCCCGGACCGAGACACCGATACCTCAAATCTAATTAGCTGCAGTTTCTTTGTAGTTTCTACTTTGAAGATCATCGATCATCATGGAAGATAGTGCTGTGCAGGTATATACCATGTGGATCCTGCCTAAAGTCGTCTGATGGATGATTTTTTTCAGTTTGACAAAACCAGCTGCTTGTTTACAGCGACGAAGAGTTGAATCATCTCATCCTGCGCTCGTCACCTGTCCCTGTAGATGAGATATTTGATAGTAGCGTCGGAATAATCTCCTCCTCATTTGTAGCCAAATACGTATCAACTCGTCGCTCCCGTGTACCTGCGGACGAAGTGTCCGCGATGAGACTGGCCGAATCGATGGGAATTCGTGTGCCACAGATCCACCGCATCGTCCCAGCGATGAATGTCTATAGCACTGGTGGGCAATACCTCATCATGACCCAAGTGAGGGGACGCACACTTGAAGATGCTTAGCCGACTCTTGGCTGGTGGCCGACCTTCAGGCTTGCGTTACAATTGAGGCGATACCTCAAAGCTATGCGCCAGCGTACCTCTCTAACTGCTGGAGGCCTCGTCTCAGGCTCTGCTTTCTGCCATTTCTGGGATTTTGACTCGTACGGCCCAGAGCTCCGAGCGTCACCCGAAAACTTGAGGGAGTACATGAACTGGTGGATCCTCCATCTGCCACCAACCAAACCTCGACAGGATCTTGAAATCAAACCATTCTCTATGTTCATGTTCTCTCATATAGACCTGCACACGCGGAACATGATGGTTGATGAACAAGGACAACTGTGGCTGATTGATTGGGGTTCGGCAGGCTTTTATCCTCCTTTCTTTGAGCGGGCGGCTTTGCGGATTGCGGGATGGTTTCCCTCGGGATGGATGGGCCGTATTATGGCTTGGAGATGGATTATCTTTCAATGGATTTCTGCTGGGTCCAGGCCTGTGGAAGCAGCATCTCTTACTTGTATCAAGGCCCGATCAACAAGACAAGCAGATGCACGACGGGGACTTCCCAGCGAACGAGCGACACGGGAAGCCGAAAGGTGAGCGTTTTTTGTCTGTGTCCAAACCGTTGCGGTGCTGAAATACTATCAGGGCTCGTAGACGACAGACGAAATCGTGAATAGTCTTAAGGCTTTACCTTCTCTCTGACCTTCTTAGCTAACGGAATGTCAAGACCATAGAGTGTTTCTGAGATTAAGCTGCTTTAAACGTCTCAACGGTCTCGCTTACTTGCAGACTTTTCACCGTTCTTAGTTTCAGCTGAGGGCTTGGACAACAAACACGGATAGTATGAACAAACTGCTTCAAGTATCAACGTTCAACATCGCAATGGCATTGACAAGATGGATTGGGTTTCATATATAGCTGGTTTGTGTTACGAAACATACAGCAAAACAGTATTAGAATGAGTATGTATGAACTACCGGCTCTGTTTGCCCCCATAAGAAGAAAAACGCGACAAAAGTCAAGCACTAAGACATCCAGAATCCTTGTACGCACTGCTTTGGCACAGACTAGCCGTAGTAAAAGAATGGGCGAGAGTCTGCAATTTGACATGAGTGCGATGAAGAGAAAATTTTTCGGCCGTCTCCGGCGATTTTAGGTCGCTCCTCGGACCGTACCGGCCCGTTGCATGTGGCAGCTCCCCACACTGAGACGATGCCATTCCTACATCATGAATTCATCCCTGATGTACTTATCCTCCTCAATGATGCACTGCGTGACATAGCTATTCTCAGTTTACGTATAAGGATAGGTCAGCGCAACGTCCAAAAATTTCCCGTCATGTCCATGCTGAAGAACCAAAGATTCACTGTCGACGCTCTGTTCAATGTCGCTGGGTGGGTGTGCGTCGTCACTGGTGGTGGTACTGGGATAGGTTCGCCAGTTTTTCCATCGCTAAACCTTACGCCGAAGCGATAATAGGGCTCATGATTGCTCAAGCCTTGGCCAACAGCCGCGCGCGCGTCTATATCACTGGTCGCCGCCAAGACGTGCTTCAGCAAGCTGTCGACTCGTGGGGATCACCTCTTTCTCACATGAAGGGAAAGTTCGCGGGTATCTCATGTGATACTACCGATAAAGCGTCTATTCAATCTCTCAGGAAGAGGATCATGTCGGTGTTCTAGTCAATAACGCTGGCATTACCAGTCAGACCACTGAAGTAGAAAAAGGTGATGTCAACGCCAAGGAACTTAGTAGTGAACTGTGGGAACTAACGGTGGAGGACTGGTTGGATGTATACAGGACAAATGTTATGGGGTGAGTTGTTGAATGACTTGCCTGATTGTGGTCTCGTGAATCTGGATTTTGCAGCCATTTTTTCACGGCTACCGCCTTCCTGCCCCTCCTAAGTGCCGCATCCAACTTGCGCCCGGACCATACAGGAAATATTATCAACATCTCTTCCATGTCCGGAATCACCGCCACCTCTCAGTATCACATTCAGTATAACGTGTCCAAGTCAGCCTCCATTCAGCTAACGAGGTTGCTTGCCCAAGAGTTCAAGAGGCCCGGAGTCAACGTCAGAGTCAATAGTATTGCTCCTGGCATTTTCCCGTCTGAAATGACCAGTGCGTGTTTTGATCTTCATGTTTTTTGATCTGCCGACCGTCCCTATAGTGTCTGGTTCGGATGAACAAAACAAGTCGACCATTCCTGCAGGCATGGACTATGGCGAGAAGAAGGGCATTCCTGCTGGTCGTCCGGGTAAAGAAGAAGATATAGCCCAGGCAGCGCTGATGCTTGCTACCGACCAATATGCTTATGGCCAGGTGAGCTTCATACTTTACACGCTTCATCTCTGATCTGAGCGCCATTGTTTTCCAGTTGTCACCATTGATGGAGGATATTTGCTTGTTCATGGATAAGTCCGACGTAACGCAAGTTAGGCAACCCCCAAAACACGCTTTTGATCCACAAAGACGAGACCTGCTCCGATGTATCTTAGTAAGTATAAAGAATGCAAACCTCGTGCATGATGTCTGCATCTCCACCCTCAAGCTTTCAAAGATTATCAAGCAACGGTCAAATAGGAATACATCATATCGAAAGAGAAGCTCGTATCTATGGCTACCGAAAAATACTCCTCAATTTCCGTCATTGCGGCACTACAAGAATCATGGACATAACTTAGCATTTGTAAGAGCTCAAGCAGACAGATCACTTACGCAAACTTGAACGTGAGTACCTCCGCAATATCCTGAGTTAACATCACCCCGGCAGGCATAGCTACAAGGCAGAATGAATAAAGTGAAGAACGGTCTCAAGAATTGCACGCACTTTTGACCACCATAGTGCAGACCTACAATCGTGATCGGGGGCGGCGAGCAGGAGAACAGCGGCTCATCGCAAGGATTGCTGGTGATCGCTCCAGCTACCTGGGTGCAAGAATCATCCACCACGGCGTCTAAGAAACTCTCAACTTCAATGCTAGTGCAGACATGAGTAGAAGAGTTTACTTACATCCCTCCTTTCCAGTGGCAACGTCTCTTCCGACGTCGATGATTCCGTAGCTACACAGAGAAAGTTAGTACCTTGTAGACAGACATAATTCTACACACGTACTTGTAACCGGGGCAGATAGCTGCAACAGAAGAAGCAAACAAGGCAGCGCCTACAAAGCTAACAAGCTTGAATTGCATCTATGGCCGGTTCAGACCCGTTATACAATACAAGGAGAGAAAGTCACTTACAGTTGTGAGTTAGATATTCAGGTAAGATGTGTATGCGAGAACACACCCTTTTATACGTCCAAACGCTGAACAGTGTTATCCCGGTGCCGTTCGACTGTACTTCTTCGGTAGCATAAACTACACCGATGCACGCGGCTTCTCCCAAGCCCAAAGCTAGGCCGCCCCAAGGTAGGACTTCGACATGAGCCCTGGGCTTTCGGCTAACATGGCGGAATGTACATCATTAGGATGTCGGAACTAGGCCAATGGGTCCGACTGGAACGACTGACTGCCTCTTCCCCTCCGGGTCCACCATGCTCTACGGCTGCAGCCGCACGCAACAAAGAACCTCGACAGGATCTAAGGGCTCGGAGGTTCGGCTGACATTGTTGGACAAGGTCCCAAAGGCCCCGAAGCTAGACCGATGCGACAAGCTCCAGCCCTTCCCCTGCCTGCTTGCCCCCTTCCCTGTGGGACCGTATTAATGGTGAAAGTACCGCATAATCAGAAGAACATCGCGAGATACATGTAACTCGCATGGCTGTCTCCCACGGGCCACAGTGTTCCCTGTCGTCGAGTTCAAATTTCTTTGGCGAGCCTTGAATGAATCATCCGTTGAAAGCTTGAAGACGTTCGATGTTACCATCCGGAAAGGAGAGTTGCCAATGCTACGATGTCCATGCCGAGCAACCAAATTTATGCCGAGGTTCTGGGCGCTCAATAACGAGGTTGACGTAAGAACGAAAAGTGAAACCAACGCCTCCCTCTACGACAAGGATTAGAGAGACGTTTAGTAAGTGCTGGAAGACGGGCTATCCAAGACTCACGAGGGAAAGTGAGATTGTTTTCAGGTCTTCAATCTAGCTCATAGAGACTCGCCCACTGGTGTGGATGTCGATGAAGGCACCTACAGCGCTCCATCGAAGGACCGGAGGAGGTTGAAAACTTGAAATTCAGCGCACGGCTAGTTACACGTTGTCGTCGTAAAGCTTGAATTAGAGAGGAACTGTGAAAGCGGAGGGTTATACAGGACAGAAGCGAGAACACAAAATATGATTTCCTTTCAGCGACGCACCGGGTGGGCCTACTAGTGATGATAGTTTCAAACTAACATGCAACAGGGTGCGCTTGAAGGATTGAAAAGCAGTGCTAGCCAGTGTAAGTGAGGTTCCGATTATTTCAATATCGAGCGAAAAAGGTCTGCCAAGAACAACCGCTGAGATGTCGACCTCCGAGGCAGTCCCAAACCTAGAGAATATATATATACAGTACTTCGTCGATGCCTCCCTAAAGTTGTATCCTCACAAGTTGCCCCCAGATTGTCGGGGGATTTGCGGAGAAGATACGATGATCCTGACCCAGTGATTACAGATCGTTTTCGGAATGTTTCCATAGCTGGTCGAGTTCCCATTCTTTCCATAACCACTAATGCTTTCGTCCTCCTCGATAAGGGACACCTTTCTAGTACTTGACGTATTGCCCATGCCTGCATAGCACACATCCAGGATTCATCATTCCCAGATACCTGCCGACGATTGCATTGCCAGGATCGGAACAGTAAGACATGCAACCTAGAACGTGATATTGCGCGTCATTTTACATATCAGAAGGACGTCCTTTATTCTCTGAGTAGCCCATCTTCACGTTCCTCACACGGATGGCGTGTAGGACAAGTGCAGAGAAAAGGATAGTTTAAACTCCGATCCTTCCGCCCGCCTCTTGCCGCCGGCCGATTTTCGTGTCCTGTTTCCTGACAGTCTGCATAGCCCTTTACAGAAATGTGCTTGATTCCTTTCTTTTCCGACAAGGCTAAATCAAGTTCCAGACTCGGAGATTCGAAGGGTTTGCGGTCATGCTTCAGGTTCATTGGGTTCATCTTACTACGGGATCAAGTGCTCGCATTGTGCTCGTACTGATTTACTAAACGTCTCTTTGCGTTAGACAACTTAGATTAACTACGGAGTGCCAAGTCTCAGTATATCGACAGGCTGAGATAAGGTTTCCCCTTAGATTGTAAAATTTTCTTGGAACAGCATTCTTGCATTCAAAGCCGAGTACTTGGACGTCTAACTGCCTTTTAGACAGCATCGATATTCAATACTCTTTACACCTTGCAGATAAAAAGCTAATATGTCGGTAAGCTCCTTCAGCGATTCTCGATTTTTCCCAGATGACTAAAAAAGCTCCGTTCACGACAGTCCCTTCTCCTTCTTTCTGATCAGCCGATCCGTCCTCATGATCATCTTACATCTTCGATACACAATTCAGTTCGCCAATGCACACACTAACCGGTTCAGACAAGCCGGACTGCATCAAGCCCATAAGAGCTGTAAGACTCCACGCCCGCTTCTTCTGCATCCACCGCCATGACTCAAGTATTCACCTACACATTCGACACGCCCACCTTCAAGGGTACTACTAAAGTCAACACAAGTCTTTTCATCAATGGAAAATTCGTCGACCCCATTGAGGGCGGCTCCATTGAGTGCGTACCCAGATGTTGTTATCTACTACGAGGCATGCTTACTGATATACTTCATTTTAAGGGTGACTAACCCAGGTACGACGAGCCCAGTCTTCTAAACCCAGATATGTGTACAATAATGGACCTCAGCTACTGCAAAGGTGATCACGTCCGTCGCTGGGGGCACAAAGAAAGACGTCGATGTCGCAGTTAAAGCGGCTAAGGAGGTGAGATATACTTTTCACACGGTCTCACGCGTCTCACGCCACTACCATTTGTTAGGCTTTCAAGAAATCGTGGGGCCTCAAATGCCCTGGCGCCCAAAGAGGGCGATATTTATCCAAGCTGGCCGACCTTGTTGAGCAGAACATTGATGAGTTGGCTGCATTAGAGACTCTGAATGTTGGTATGTGCCATGGGGCTCTCGCCTCAGTACCCTGCCGACTAAATGAATTGCCCATAGGAAAACCGTTCAAGGTCGCAAAGAATAGTGATATTACTGATATGATCGCTGTTCTGAGGTACTATGCCGGATGGGCGGACAAGATTCATGGCAAAGTGGTTGAAGTACGATACTGAGCTCCGCCCTGCTCTATTCCGGTCAATATACTAACGTCATACACTAGACCTATGAGGAAAAGTTCAGCTACACTCGACATGAACCTTACGGTGTTGTGGTGGGTCCATGCATTTGGTTCTCCGTAGACGTTGATGTCAGTGTATTTCGCAGGGCCAAATCGTACCATGGAACTTCCCTATGGTGATTCCAATCGCTCATGGCGAATTTGAAACTTCACTCAGTCTTTTATTTAGTTGATGGTAGGGTGGAAACTCGGTCCGGCGCTTGCGACAGGAAATACTGTTGTTCTGAAGGTAATCATGCTGCGAATCCACTTTGATGATCAGCATTGATCATTCACCAGCCATCCGAAATCACTCCTCTGACTGCTCAGCGTCTCTGCGACTTCATCATCGAGGCCGGGTTCCCACCTGGTGTTATCAACGTCGTCAACGGTTACGGTAAGAGGTTATGCCGTCATTAATAGCGTTAAGAATACTGAATGATATGTAGGTAACACGGTCGGCCAAGCAATCAGTGAACACCCAGATATCTCCAAGGTCGCTTTCACCGGTAGTACTTTGGTGGGAAGAAAGATCCAAGAAGCATCAGCTAAATCGAATTTAAAAGCCGTTAGCCTCGAGCTTGGAGGGAAGAGCCCGTGTATCATCTTTGATGATGCGAACATTGACCAAGCAGTGAAGTGGACTGCTTCTGGCATCTTGTACGTTCGCCTGCCATACGCTATTTGCTACTAACTAGAATGTTACTTTCAGCTCCAATGCAGGCCAAGTATGCAATGCTTCCTCTCGAATCCTCCTTCAAGAGAGCATCTACGACACCTTTGTCGAAAAGTTCGCTGCGCTCGCCAAGAGTCTGCAGCACGTAACCGGTGACCCTTTCGATGAGGATACCAAACACGGACCTCAGGTTTCACAGATACAATTTGACGTACGTTTCTGAATACGATCAAGCATACAAGACAATTGACATTCAAATAGCGCGTCATGGGATACCTCGACTCCGCGAGGGAGGAGGGAGCTAAATTCCATGTTGGAGGAGAGAAGCATCATCATGAGATGGGAGAGGGATTCTTCATCCAGCCGACTATCTTCACCGGCAGTCCCCACATGAAAGCAGTCAAAGAGGAGATTTTCGGACCAGTGGCCGCAATAATTAAGTTTAAGACTGAGGAAGGTACGAAGACTCCACCGATGCTAAACTGGAAGAAGAATTAACAGTGAACCACAGAGGCGATCGAATTGGCCAATGATTCGGCCTACGGTCTAGCTGCGGCTGTCTTCTCCGAGAACTCGAGTAGAACAGTCCGAGTAACCCATGCTCTAGAAGCTGGCACTGCCTACGTGAATTGCTATGGTGACATCGAGGCTTCCTTGCCATTTGGAGGTTACAAGCAATCAGGTAATGGGCGGGAGTTGGGCGAGTATGCGTTGAATATGTATGTTTTTACTTCTTTTTTCATGGGTCCGCGCTGACTTTGGCTAAGGTACTCGGAAATCAAAGCCGTGCATGTGAACATCGGAATTACTTTGTAGGACAGGAAGAACCGAGACTGAATGAGATGCCCAGATTTTTTGTACCACCACAACCTGTATTTTTAGGGTGTGCTAACCGCCGATCGAAATGAATGAGAAAGTATGTTGACTTCGCGCTGTCAAACATAGAGATTCCCGTATATGCCGCTGGCTAATTAGCTGCTACGTTCGCTGTGCCTTGTTAAAATGCTTTGGGATTGTTCTCCCGAAGTGCAGCACGACCTTTAGGATGACATAAAGTGATAGCTCTCAGATAACAACTTTCGAAGAAAAAGGTCCATAGTTATGTACACGGTGTGCGGTGTAATAGCCTCAAGAAACTAATAAATGGTAGAAATATGTGTGCCATATTAGACAAGATTTCAATCAGTTCCCATCATTGCGGCACTACAGAATTCATTAAATTCAACGTTTTAGCAGAGAATAAAGACCGAACACTTACGCAAACTTGAACAGCAGTACCACCGCAAGATCCCGAGTTAACGTCGCCTCGGCAGGCGTAGCTACGAAGCAGAATGAGCAAACTGACGAATAAACCCGAGAACTGTACACACTTTTGACCACCATAGTGCAAGGCGGTGATTGTGATAGGCGCCGGCGAGCAGGAGAAAAGTGGTTCATCACAGACATTGGTCGTAATTGCTCCAGCTACCTGGTTGCAAGAATCGTCCACCACGGCGTCTAAGAAATTCATGTCAGTCCTGGCATAGAAGGGGGGTTGTAAGGTTACTTACAACCTTCTCTTCCGGTGCCTATGTCATATCCAAGGTCCATGACTCCGAAGCTGCAAAGATAAATCAGCATTGTGTGCAAATGGTCGTTACTTTGAGCGTACTTGTAACCGGGACAGATAGCTGCCACAGACGATGCCAAGAAGGCGACACCAACGAAGGTAGCAAGCTTGAATTGCATCTATGTCTGGTAAGAACCGCATTATGAATCAAAGTAGACGGGACCACTGACTTTGGGATGATAAATCGAGAAAATGTGCAAATGTGAGAAGAGAGGTAGTGCTGCTGACGCCGCTACTTTGAAACCTTCATGTCGAATCGCCTTTATACTCCCAACTGTTGAGCCACGGGTAAAATTCATTTCATACATGGGCGGCATTTCCGAAGAGTTTACGGTATCTCGATGCTGTTCGACGTGCGAAACATGTTTCGGCGATTCTTCCACAAGAACGAACACAACGGCAGTAGAACTGTATTTTGGAACCGATGTACTTGAACGAGCCTCACGAGACGAATACATTTTGTAATACGTTACGCATTTCCCTCACAGGAAATGAGGCAGTATTCTCAAATCAAATGAGTAGACCGTTCGAGAATCGGTACAGAGATCCACCACGCGTAAAAACCAGCCAGTCTGAGATCGAGATGGAATGGCTTAGGAGTGCCGCTTGGATCACAGGACTATAGTCCTGATTTTGAAAAAATGCATTGTTAGAGGATTAACCTCCGAGATCTGCAACACTAGTTCATCCTATAGCCAACAATACGAGTGAGACGCACCCATACCAGTTGCAGTGTTCCACCAGAAGGATTTGTGATACCTGATTTTTACCAATGGCAATACGAACCCTCGTTTCAGCGGCAGCAGATTCTAACGTCAGTTGGCCAGAGTGATTATGATTTATGAAGCGGTGTATCTGCGAGTCGTTTCCAAATACCAGTCCATATAGCAATGGTGTTTCGCAGACATGAGGCTGGAGGCTAGAAAAAAAGCGGTGCATCGGGAATTCCCGGGTCGGTCCGGACATTGACTAAAGGTGTAGCGCAGTCTTGCTCCAAGTCTGTGACTTACAATCTACCGTTCATGCACCAAACGAAATGACTCTTCAATAATACGTTTGATGACACTGTAGAAGGGCCAAAATGACTCCCTCAGGCAATAGTACTGCAGAAACAAATATTACTCCACAGTACACTGGTGACAGCGAGCATTGAGAACAAAAACAATCACTCGAAACATGATACTTAGCATTGGAAACGACATACACGACTACTGAGCTGTGTATTTACAACTACGACCGTCAGGCACTTTGATAAATGCGTATTTGCCACGATCATCAATGCCGTCAAAAGAATAGAATCCTTTACGCTCAAACTGGATAATTCTTTGCGTCTTGGTAACCAGATCTGCCACATTGGCATCAGCTATAGCTTCCTCCCGGAACTCGCTGACAGCAGGAACATAATCTTCCCAATTGTCTCCTTTTTCCAATTTCTTCTTCGTGATAAGGTGCCCGTAGTCGAGCAGAACGGCCTCTACAACAGAAACGGCGGGATTTGAGAGCCACGTAATCTTCTTATGCGTAGTGCGAAAATCTCCGTCCAGGTGGAGCTCCATAACCAGTGACACAACCTTCTCAGATGATGGATCGAGCGTTCGCTGACGCACAATAGCGTTACCCCAGTTCATGAGTGTGATCTAGTGTCTTATGTTAGTGAGCGTGGGCGACACCAAGCAAGTCGACCCACCTCTTCTTGTTCCTGGAAAGAACAAGCGTCTGCCTGTTCAAGTAAATATTGTACTTGAGTATATTGTTTGCTTTTCGCCAACTGATGGATTCTTCTTGTGTTTCGGAAGAGTACGACAGTATGGCTGCTCCGGACCTCCTTTGATGATGACAGAAACCCTGTGCTGGATGTCAAGACTGAGAGCGAGACTACTAGATGCAAACATACATGTCTTCCTTGACGATAGCCCAATGCCGTGGTGCAATCGGGTCAATTACCTTCTTATTCAATGACCATAGCGAGTCCCACTCGAGTAACAGAATTGCTTGTGATGGACCTTGTTGTAACATAAATTGACGCAATGCCTCTGCGGTGAGACCGCGGCGCTGCATTCCTGATTGTGGAGCTGTCAGCTTGCACATGACTTGAGCCGAATTCACACAACTAACCTCTTATAGTCGGGAACCTAGGATCGTCCCAACCGTGAACTAAACCTTTATCCACGAATTGCTGGAGTTTTCGTTTCGACAGGACTGTATGTACGAAATTTAGACGGCTGTCAGAGTAAACGCTTCAGAAGCAGTCCAGCATATTATCAAAGCATGTTTAGACCTAAAATCCCAAACATGCACAGAGCGAAGCCCTAGTGCATCGATCATCCAACGGTACTGAGAGTTGCGATCTCTGTACTCCGTACTCCGTAGCGTATGTGTTACGCCTTCGATAGAGTCTATGACAGGACAAGCGAAATCATAGGTCGGATACACACTCCACTTTCTTCTATAAAATGCTCTTTAGGTGAGATCGGGCTTAAAAGTGCTAATCAAAGGACTTGCCCAGTTCGATGGTGCGGAGTTGCATTATATCTGTATATGACCGGGTCACGCATTGCTTTGTTAGGGTTAGCCATGTCGATTTTGGCACGGATACACCAGTGCGTAACATCAGGAGACCCTTGGGTGATAGCTTCGAACCTGCTGAGATTATCTTCAACGCTGGTGTTCCGACGGGAGGACGGGATACCATGAAAACGATCGAACGCCATCTGGGTCAGTGGTCCGTGAGAGTTGGGGCTGCACGAACACGGTGGGGAGAGTAAATGCGTCGAATCTGTATCGTCTGCATATGCCTGACCGGAACGAATCAAGTCCACAGCAAGAGCATGTAGCTGGTCGAAATAGTCGGACGTGTGGGATACCTTGGTGGGAGAGACGCCTAATAAATGTAGATCCTCGATAATGGCCTGTTCGTATTCAGTCTATGAGGAGTGTCAAATCCAAGCCGAGGACCAAAGAATTAGACTACCTCACCTTTTCCTTGCTTGGATTAGTATCGTCAAAACGAACGAGAAATTGGCCATGGTACATGTTTGCGAAATATTGATTCAGAACTACGGCTTTCGCATGGCCGATATGAAGATAACCGCTGGGCTCTGGAGGAAAACGCGTTACGACTTGACCATCTATGGCGTGGGGGAGACCGAGCGCAAACCCAGAAGGAATCCTACTAGAACGCAGCTTTTGAGCCCGAGCGGTGGACAGGAGGGAGAGAGCTCTCTGTGTGACGGAAAGTGATTCTATATAAGAGAACCATCGCAGAAGGTGAGGATGGCCTCCATCTCTGAGCAAGCCCCGGCATTTTATATTTCCTGTGGAGTTTTCAGGAGTGACAGAAAGAAGATGGGCGCGAGCAGACCTCTAAGAGCCCCCCAGATTATCCAGTCAGATGTTGTAAGGGTATGCCCAGACAAGAATGTTTGAAACCACAGGCGATCATCGAGTGAGTCAAGAGTGGCTATAACGTCGGGATGGGTCGTTGCAGCAGCAGCGGCAGCAGCCAGGTCTAATGGATCCTGTGAGGAAATTTGTATCGTTCTGTATGTGAAAGGTAGTGGGCATTCACTGACCTTTGACTCATAGACTTCAGCAGCGCGAACCAAAGATCGAAATAGATCCGTGGCGTAGACACCGTTGATGCAGAATACCGGCTTACTAAAAGAGTCATCAAAAGTAATCGCAATTTCTGTGTTATGGGCTGCAAGTGCAAGATAACAGAAAGGAAACGGAGATGCTGTCGTCGCGAGGCAAAACTGCATAGCGGTAGGTTCAATACCAACTCGATCGATGAAATTTAATGACTCGGTATCTGAGTCATGAGGACTTACTACATCTGCCGCTCATATGATCAAGCTGCGATTAGAGCGTAGACTTCTATGCATCAATTTTGAACTAAGGAGGGCCCTAGTCATCTGCAGGTTCTCGGCGGTAATACACGACCAAGTCCACCGTCCAGCCTACAGCCACTGAGGTGAATCAAAGGGCTGCATCATCATGGACGTTGGAAGGGCTTTGCAAATTACTGCAAGTCAGCGTGAAGGAGAGCAGTATGACTTATGGTCAATGGCAGTAGAGAAAGGCAAATACGAGATGAAAATTCAGTGGGAATGAATCTGAAAATGTCCATCAAGTTCTAGAAGACAAAGGAGCTGGGATAAGAACGTGAACTTTGAGTGATACTTGAAGTTTACCTTTGGTCGACAGAAAATTACCCCTTGGTCCTTATGCCTTAAAACGCGATGCCGGCGAAATAATACATATAATATATGCTGCCAAGGCAAGGTTTTGCTCACATCAAATAAATTAGTGTCTCGGTTATGTCGCGGTCATTGAGTGGTTCGAGTATGTGGCTGTGCTGCTGACTTCCTCCCGTGATCTCCTTCGCCCATCATATACTTGCCTTCAGACTCTTCACGATGAAAAAGGGTCTTAGTGTGGTGTCACTTTCACTAAGCACCGGGGGAGCCAATTTAACGAGATAATGGGGAGCCCTATCTCTCGATACAACTTTCAGGCTATCCTATACGGCGTCTTAACGACAAAGGCTGGATATTAGCCTTCGATTGGTCCCTACCTTCAAGACAGTATGCGATGAGAAGCTAGAACGCAATGTGGATGCCGTTGATTTTACCGAGCAACCGAGGGAGGGGACACCATGGTATATCCCGTTCATTTTGAACTCAAGCTCATACCCCTTGGAGATATTTAAGTTATTGCACTCGCTCACTTGACCAACCTGTCAAAACTCTGAAATCCACACCTCGAGGCACATATTTTCCATCGTACCATTCCAAGTTACCGCCACTGGACATTCATAAACTGGCCGATACGATGGCGCGGTCGCTCAGCCCTCTTTTTCGCATTTTCATTACGAGATGTTACAAGCGCTGTAAGACGAGTGCTTCTATACAGTCAATGCCTTTCCTACACTTAGTTGGAGCGATAATCCGGCTGCTACAACGATTTAGACAGTGCCAAAACCAATAACTAATTCGGGCTCATTGCTGCATGTAACAGCGAGTGTTCCTCGTAGGTCCTTATCCAGGGTTCGCTACTTCTTGCGGATCTGCTTGAAGCTACTGTGTCACGCAATGATGAAATAAAATAGGATCCATCTTAAGTATCCCGAACGAAGCACATTCTGTACGCTTCAAGCTTATTTGACTTCACCCTCTCTTCGCTCTATCATTCTTGTATGTGATCCGAACTTCACGTACGGGATTAATGGGATTAAAACCTTGCGTAAGAACATACTATTACAGGAGTACATACACAAAATATTTTACATCTGAAAGCCTAACGCTTTTGCGATCTCGAACATGCAACGTGAATTCGGAGGTTGATCATGGGCATTAGACAATCATTCATACAGGCTGAGTCACCGGCTGCGTCGCTGGCTGCGTCGCCGGCTGTGTGGAAGTGGTAGGTTGCTGGGTGCTAGGTGCTGATTCCATCGTTCTCTCCTTGTTCGTTCCCGCAGCAGGCGCAGTTGAAGTCGGAGAGGGCTCTCCGGCAACGTAGGCGATTGTCGACATAACGAAGAGGATCGTCAATAGAGACCACCCAATCCAAGCAAAGGCAAGAATTGTCGTCAAAATATTACACTGCTTTGTACCGAGTGCGTTGGAGCACCAATTGTGGCCAGGAATCAGGCGGTTCTAATAAGGTCATGTGAGTAAAGGTCTCAGGTGTAAGCTGCCGTTACTTACGGTTGTGTCCACGGCACCGACAAGCCACAACACCCACAGGATGGCTAATATCAATAACTCGAAGCAAATCTGGGTACCGTGTCGACGGCTTGACGAGCGCGCGGCAAATATCATGACGGCCCTACAGCGGACCTGAATTAGCAAGACGCTTGGAAGAAAGATACAGTAGGCAGACTTACACGAACGGTACCCAGAGAATTGTGAGGATGGCACTGACCAATAACTCGACAACGATTCTATCTGATACTCGGATGAGATAGATTGACAGTAACCAAAAGAAAGCAAACGTACCGTAGCGTCGGAACTGACTTTTCGTGACATGAATACGGTACGATGTAAGGCCAAGAAGGACGACAGCCACCGCCCACTAACCAATCTTCAGTATGCAACGAAGAACAATGATTCGTTCACCTACGAGTAGCGTATACAGCGCCAAGCGGGGGAATGCAAGACTGTAATTGCGTGCCATTGGGGTAAGTGATTCTAAGCCCCACTCTTTTATAGGAAACAAGCCAGTCACTTGCGGGCGGCTACAGAACATGTCCGTGGCGCCTGACTATACATGACCTCACTCTATATATTCGATTTAAATGAAGGCTACCGGTATTTCAAGCAACTGAAACCTGGACTGTTGTCCCCAACGTCAGTCAGCAACTGAAGTTTACGAAGAAAGGAGTATACTGGCTTACAAGTTGCTTCAGGAAATACCCAGCTATGTGTGCCAAGTAGAGTCCTAGAGTGATTGCAAGTTCCGACAATCTTGATCGGCGCACACAATGATTAAGAGTCACGCCACAGCTGACGCACGATAATAGTAAATGAGACATGCTGAGAAAAGATTCCATCTCGGCAGCACGAGTACATTCTGGAGCTTCATTCACGAGGAAGGAAACCGTGGCTAGAAAACCAGAAACTAAACTGAGTAGGAAAAGAGAAAAGTTTTCCGGCAAGTGCCGAAGAATTCCGGGCCGAACGTTTCACTCTGTTTCACTGCCTATTTGACAACGTCGCCCAGGCTAACGTTGAACACTGACAATTTACGTGCTTGAAGATTTTTCGTACGTTGTATACGCTTCTCAGAAGCACGTAATAATGCCGAGTTTCTTGAGAAAGGGTGTTCAAAGATATAGTAGGTCCTCTGCTATACAGCCCATTCTGGTGTCTGTTCTTTTAGGCCTGGACCACCGTGCGGAGTCTTCTGACTTGTGATGAGTAGTTTGGACATGGTACTCCACTCAACCGTTGTGACTGATCTACTTGTACTGAAAGCCTTTTTTTTCGCGAAACGCCAGAGTTGTTCCAGACTTCAATTTCATTCTTGATCTCAATGCCTTGCGGTTTCTAAGCGTTCAACAACCGTGATTGGCATCAACTCTTTTCACGAAGAAAGAAACTTCGGTGATTTCATGAGTACCCTGATTCTGAGAACGCACAAAGAACGCTTCGCCCGAGCGCCCCGGGCTTTGTTGAGGATCATTCTGGCGCTTTTCATCTATCTGTTTTCCATAGCCGGGGGTGGATCTTGGTGATCAAACAGGGTTCTCTATACATCCTTGTGTCTGTTATTCTATCTGACGGGTACCGGTCTTGATATGAATTAATATCATAATCCTCGCGCCGCTCTGCACGACCTTCTGAACCCGATTTGCCAATGCTTACTTTCTTTGGCCTTGGAATGTTTATGTATGAGGAAGTGGTTACGCGGCTTAGTCTGTGATCGTAGCAATGGCCTTTGCGTATAACTTAGATGTTATTCACAAACACCCTTGCTCCTCCCCCTGATAGTCAATTGAGCTTCCCTCTTCAAACTCGGACATTCCACTTTAGCACAAACAACGACCATTGCCCACCTGGAGTACACGTTGTCTGCTAAGTTTTCTAAAAAGGACCCTCGCAATAATCACCTCCGATACAGCTCAGCTATATGAAGAAGGTCAACCTCAGATTGGAATCCTCCCTACTTGGACATGTGTATTTCCCACTAGAATCCAAGACAATCCCGTTCACAGTCGTCATCTCCGACGACAAATGGCCACGACTGCCGGCTAATTCCCAAATGAGATTGTGTTAGTCAAACGCCGTTGAAGCTCAGGGATCATGGTTGCCACGAAGACTTAAACGCAGGACCCTACCTGAGGGTGCGTAAAACATCAGTTCCCGTTGATCAAGTTACTGACCACAGTCAATGTGGATGGTTAAGCTCTATAGGCAATCGGATCAGCTGCCAGTTACTTATCGTGTATTACGAGAAGTTCTGATCGCTGGAAGTATGCACCCGGTGCGATCATTGGCGCCTCGTATATTGGTGAAAACGCCATCTTGTGAGTCATTTACCAATGGTTTCATTGACTAGCAAAGGATTTCCTTTTCGCCTTAAAATCGAATCTTCATTGCCTTGTTCGTAGACCATCAGCGTCACTTCGAAGTGTGCAAGTGGACGGAATTAGCGCTAGCAACACTGATGACCACTTTTTGATAAATTCCCAGGAACTTGTCAACAGTGACTCCACTTTGCATACATCGGCCTAACATATCGCCCGTTTCCTCGTCTTTCTGGGCGTTCATTATTCGTACTGTTATCCGGGAATCTTGCGGACAGCTAGCACCGCGGCAGCCGTAAAGATCCATCGCGAGGATAGGCTTTTCGGCATGTTGTGGCGAGAGCCAATCCACGAGGTTGAAGTTTAGTCTTCTTGCTTGGATAAATGCGCCCATGGGGTGAGTCTCTGTTCTTTACCCTTCTCCAATGTCTTCTGGCTTCATAGACACCTGGCCTATCTTAGAATACGCGGAAATGCAATATCTCGGTCATCATACTGCCCTTCCATCATCACTCACGAATTCCACGCTCTCGGAATTTTCTAGGACCTTAATTGATTCCGATTCTGTTCCTATTGTAAGTCGGTGGAGGAGGAAGATGGTGTGATGGTGTACTTACTATATACATCGTCAGTCTTCTCAAATGTTCGCACCCGGAGCGGCTGTTGGCATGTCTAATTTCATGCCCGATGTAACGGACTGTAGGCAGACCGAAACATTCATTCGTGGCAACAGCGTAGATCCCACGTATCATAGCTCTGCACCACAGGTGAGCGCGTACCGGCCTTTGCAACGGAAGCTTGACGTCAAAATTATTTAGGCCTTTCCGCCTTTCCACAGTTACGTTTCGGACGTAGAGCAATGTAATTCTTCCCAGGAAGCTGTTCCTCGGACTCATAGCTACGATTCTTTTCCACCGTCACTAGTGAGCATTTCGCGGCATGCATTGATGTTCATCTAATCCTCCTGGTCTCGACAATACCAGGATATCAAGGCTATATCAACTCAATTTAACGCCGATTTTAAGCTCAATGGCATTCTGGCGGATATGCAGCTCATATCTACGGATGGGGTTGCGTTCTACGTCCATCGTTATCGACTGATCGAGGCATCGTCAAATGGTTTTGGTTCCCTTCTGAATATCTACGAGTCCTGGATTCCTCGAGCCGTCCCTGAGCATTCAGAACAGCTGAACATCATCCTGCATGCCATATACGCAATCTCGTGCGCTCCGTTTCAGCCTAACATCGATACATTATTGACAGTAGTGTGCCTGCTTCCGAAATACGGCTTGCAGCCCAAAGACTACGTCGCGCCATCACTGCCGCTATTCAGTGATATCCTTTACCATATGCCGGTCTCGCCACTATTGACATATGTCATATCTTCGAACTATGACCTGATAGAGCTCGCAGCCATGGCATCGACGTATCTCCTCTCCCTGGATATCTCCTCCATGAGCGAAGAGCTGGTAGAATTTATTAATCCTGTATACCTGAAGCGTCTCTTCGACCTCCAGAGGACTCGCATTGATGCCCTGAAGCACCAGCTTGCCCTTCCGCCGAAATCCCACCCTGCGACACCTGAGTGCGATTTTATAGCTCAGAAGTCTTTGAACGGGGAGTGGGTACGCTCTACAGCGAATCTGATTTGGAACGCTCGAGCAGGTGCGCTACGTGCTGCTTTCTGTGACTGGAACTGATTCATGGCAGGCATGACGGCTGGCGAAATTGAAGAAATATTCCAGAAGCTTGACCAGAACACGCTTTGCAATTTGTGTAAGAGACGTCTTAAAGAACGAGTAAAGGCGATGGTCATCGAATGGTCGAAAGTAAAGGTATGGTTGCGGTTGTCATTGGAGCGTCTCGACAAACGTTGAAGTCCGATAACAGCGAACCATTTAGACTGCGTTGGTACCCTTAGGGTTTTTTTTTTTTTTTTGGGATGGTAGTGTCGGATCCATATTCGATGGTCGACTATCGGCGCTGTATGTTGTTCAGCATCAGCAGAAATGTATCATAATACCTGTAAATAATACGTTGAGAGCCACCGTAAATTATCGAGGACCGTCAGCCAGAGACACCGACCGTTGAGAGAAGAAAATGGGGGACGTCAGTGGACGGAGATCACGGGTCGACCCGCCGACCTTGTATGTTGACCATGACCCCCATATACATCGATGGGGACTAATCTCTGGCCTCTATCTCGAATAACCATCGCATCCCTGGAAGGCAACACTGGCATCCTCGATCCATGTTCGACCCTTTGAGCTGGATGGGCCCGACGACCGTCCCTCGGCCTCAGCGGCAACATACCTTGGAGATCCGGAGGAGGCGGAAGATGGCACAGGATACAGGCAGATTACTCTTCGGGTACTCGTGAGTAATCCCAGAAGTTGTTCATACAGAACCCTCAAGCTCATCTTGCCAAGAACGCGGCACATGCACAGAAAAATCGAACAAAAGGGTTGCGCGAGACAAACGACCAATCTACCTCCAGGTTCTGCAACTACCAATGGCCAGGATCGTCGCAGCCGTTTATGCTTATGCTGGCAGTTCAATCGACTGCGAAGGGAGAAATTCGTAGTGCAGAAGAATGAAGCGCCCAGTCTCAGGTCTTCGCACTGGAGCAACGTTCTCTCTGAATCGTAAAGCCCAATGCATCCAGTACATCACCGACTATCAGTCTTGCTTGTAGCCATGGAAGAAAACACGGCAAATGCTCGAGTTCCGCTACTAGGATAGGATAGTATGCCAACACCCCATCCCGCTCAGATCTCGATTTGTCACAGCATAGAATGGGATTTGGTGCTCCTGCAACGGCGTGAGTCAACGAATATCATATATAACGTCAGAGATCCATACTCACCATTTGTTGCAGAGTCAACTAAATCCACCGGCCATAAACCGCGTCTCATTTTGGGGAACACGTATGCAGAAAGGCCAGTTCGAAATTAAAACAAAAAGCACGGGTTTGGATAGGACCTCTGAAACCGATAACAGTGACACGTCGCCGAGACGATGGATAATCTTGATCTCAAAATGTCACTGGCCTCCGACGTTCAACTTGAGGGGATGGTCATTGTACAGATGTCAACACTGGCCTGATGCGTCTTTCTCCACGGTGATATCATCCGACTACTCCAAGATCTGGCGACGCATCGTTGAGACGATAGACGATAGACGATCTTCTGTTCTCGGCTAATCTCTAGGCTCAAACGCAAACTGAAAGGGAGGGTCAGTATACAAATGCTTTTTCTTAAGGTGTCAATGCTGACCTCGCATCTTTTTCCCTGTGAAGAAATTGCCTTGTCGCTCCAAATAAATAAAATGTGTCGCCTGGTGTCCTGAGATTTCTGGGAAGCCCAAAACGGACTCAAGGAGAGGGTAAGTATACGAATGCCTTATTACAAGATGTCGACACTTACATATCACATCTTTTCCCCCAGGAAGAACACTTCTCGTTCCAAGCCAATACACTGTCTCGTGTCCTGCGACCCCGGAACCCAAAATACCCAAAACGCTCCTTGAATTCTGGCTTTCTACGCTAGCAAGCTCCAAGTGGCAGCTCAAGCTGTCCAGCAGATCCTCTCCTCGTCATTCTGACGTTCCAATATAGACGCGTCGATACCAGTTTCTCCTATCCAGCACCATCTGCAGCTGCTGCTGCGTCGACAAAGTGGCTGCACCCAATTTCGGCAATGAATACTGCTATTGCCATAGACTATCGACCACCGCCTTTTCGAAGGGATTCAGCGAGATTTAGTGAATGGTCAAGGGTGTTTGTCTTCAGTCATTTCTCCGGTGGCAGGTGGTGGGCAAAGTTGGGTTTGAAATATCTCCCAGCGGGATCTCCTCTTTTCCGGCATAATCCGGGGGCGGGATCTCCTTTAACTCTTTTTCCTTGGTCTCTGTCATCCCGATTGTTGACTATGTGCCAGATCTGAAGACTACTATCAGCTGTGTATCAATTCACATCACGAATACCGTTGAATATAAAGCGATGTCTCATCGATGACACTTCTCTCTCTACTTTGCATTAAGGCTTGTCTAGCCTTCTGCAGGCAGACTCTCAAATCTCTTGACGGGCAGGCAGTCGATATTTCAAAGTTTATCACCTTGGCATGGTCGAGCAGCCGAAACTTTTCTGACTACAATATCATCGCCCACTAGGAAGATCGTCATCCGTACGGCGCACTGGGGATCCCCAGTGGTTGAACTAGGTTTAGAATGAAAAGACAAATGCAGCAGGGTAAGTTGCACGAATTATAGCATTGCCTATGATTTGACCATCTCTGACCTTGCTACGCAGCTGCAACACCCGAAACGACGTCCTGGAAAACTGCCAACGTGCATTTTCCTGAGCTCATTTTCGAGCATTAGTTTCCTTCTAACTGCCAACCACTGCCAACCATACATTCTGTGAAAATGTATCATGCGGGACGCGATCGTTATAATGACCAAGGTTGCGACGATGCTTATCTCGCAGTATACTTGGGGATAACATCTTTGTGCAGGTTTTCTCCACAAGTCCTACAAGTTGCGACAGTACTCGTTGATTACAAGGGATTTCACAACCCAGTCCGAGCTCACTCAGACAAGTTCCTGGCAGTTCTTTCAGTCTACAGGGCTCAGGCATATCCTCGGTTCCCTCCGAAAGGGCCTGGGCTCTAAGTCTCTACAACACTGGACAGCATCGATACTCTTCACTATGCCAAAGTTCGATACGACAACATTCTAATCGATGAGCCTGTAGAAGCTCTGCTTCATTAACGCACTAAATCAAGACGTTGCATCGCCTGCATGATGCCACCAAGTCCCGGCGCATTCGAGATATCAGAACACCGAGCTGACCTGCCTGAAAATGTACGTGAGCCGGTCATTCTTTATTTATAGTTTGTCGAGACCACTAACCTTCATAGATTCTAGACTGTACTTTCTTGTCTCTTGCAGAACGGCTACAACGTGCTCAACCATGAGGACGAGAACGGCGTTTTTCATGCTGAATGTAGACTTTACTAGTGTCAAACTCAACAGCATTCTGGGGTTGCTTCTGTACGTGAGTGGCACGAACCAGCTGAATTGCGGTCACTCCATCGTCAACCTACTCCTCCCGATGATGCTAAGCAACAGGTCCTTGATGATTATGCTTGCTGTGCCATCGGAACATGTGTCTAAACGTCGGGCTTAAATATGATCATCACACGGAGACAGTCCCGTCTTCCTTTCGGGTATTATTCTTCTCTGACAGCCTCCATTTGTTCTCTATATAGTGAAAGGAAATTTACAAAATCGTTGTTTCCACAAAGCGGCGGCCGTGGCGTGGGCGTTGGCTCGGAATTCATAACTCCTAGTATACGTAGCTATTTTTGCTAACATATACCAATGAGAACCGTTTCTGCTCAGCATAACTTCACCTACTCACTTGATGAGTTCAGTTATTATAACTTCCTTCTGCTCAAGATCCTAGCATACTCACGGATGCTCGTAAACGATGAGCGCTCTGTAGAGAACTTTCTGCTTGAAGAGATTCGGGTTTAAGGAGGAAACGCAATGTACACGATCTAGCATACAGAACAGGCGTTATGTTGACTGTGTTCCTAGTAGTAATACAAGCTTAGAATTACAATATCATACACATTCAGTATGCTACCTGGGACGTTAAACCTTCGGTCTCACGCTCCCAGCACCTATGCTTGCTGATCTCCAATGCAAATGCAGAAGCAAACGCCTTGCTCTCCTTCTTCCCCTTTACGAAGTCTCCCGTCGAATACAAGTCAGATTTACCGTTCCCGACCGTCACAACCCCATACGACACCACAACGTCATCATTACTGGAGAGCTTCATTCCCGGTACACCAAGTGCACTTCGGACGAAATCAGCGCCTATAATTGATCATCAGGATTCTTCACAATAATGAAGGTGCGGCGACTTACCATCCCCAATAGCACCAATCGCTTTACAGTGACCAAAGCTTTCCCTAATCCAATGTACAGTCCTCCCGACCTCTGACAGGATCTTCGCATGCTCGACGCCGGAGGGAACCAATACAGCGTCGAACAGCGTGGACCTCTGCCCTTCAAAGTGATGATCTACCATCATGCCTTCCGATTTCCCTCCCTTGGGGAATATGCGGCCCCGTCTGGGCCCGATGAGGAAAGGCAATGCACCAAGCTCGCGGATTGCCGCCTGCATGCCCTCCACATTGTGCTGGTCAAACCCATCTGCTACCAAGATCGCGATGCGGCGTGAGGCGATCGTTGGTGTCTTGGGGTCGTAGTACGTCTGCGAGAGCGCTGGAGAGGTCTTCCCTGGGTTCTCGCGTGCCGGGGAGTGAGGAGTGATACCACCAACATTTTTTGCAACGATCTTGGAGAGGTCGAAATCGATATTGTTGAGAATATTCGTGTAGGTCTCGTACACGACGGGGTCGTCGCAGTGGCTGAGCTCGAAGGAGAGGGCAGACACGAGGTGGGCTCGTTCGTGTGGAGTAAGAGTGTTGTAGAAGAGTTGGGCTTGGTTGAAGTGTTCCTGGAACTTGGCGCCTCGGACACGCTGCTTTATGCCAGCAACTTTTTGAGGGAACCTATAACGATTAAATTTGTAAGATGCTAAAGACCATCCGCGACGAGACCTACTCTGCATATCCTCCTTGAGCAGGAGGCACTGGCTGACCGATGGCGTGACGGTTTGGCCAGTAGTTGACATTACTCTTGACGATAGTGCTTTGATGCTTGCCATCGCGGTTATGGTTCATGACGGGGCACACCGGTTTGTTGATGGGGAGCTGAAAGTCCATTAGTCCCTATGAAACAACAACAACGACGGCAATACCTGTTCCCAATTCAGACCCAGCCTGGAGATTTGAGTGTCAAAATAAGAGAAGTTTCTGCCTTGCAACAGAGGATCATCGCTGAAACCAATACCGGGTACGACATGGGAGGTGCAAAAGGCGACCTGCTCCGTCTCTGGGAAGAACTCGTTTACGGTACGATCGAGTACGAGCTCGCCTATGGTCTGCAGGGGTACAAGTTCCTCCGGCCACACCTTAGTCGCATCAAGGATGTCAAATTCGAAGTTGTGTTCGTCACTCTCGGCGATAGTCTGGATGGCGAATGTCCATCTAGCCGGACACCCGCTTTCGATGGCTTCGTTTAGGTCTTTACGATGAAAATCTATAAAGGTGTAAGCAACACGCCAACAAGAGTATTATCTTATATTCATACCAGGATCTTGCCCACAAATCTTGAGCGCTTCGTCCCACACCAGGCTGTGCACACCGAGCTCAGGGATGAGATGAAATTTGACGAAGTGTCGTTCACCCTTCGCATTGAGAAGCGTGTAGGTGTTAACGCCGAAACCTTGCATCATGCGGAATGAACGAGGGATCCCTCGATCGGACATGACCCACATAACCATATGAGCAGCTGGAAACGTCGATGAGTCTACGAATACGGTTACAAATCGAAAGCTCACATTCGGGTTGCAAACCAACAAAATCCCAGAAATTGTTGTGTGCCGACTGGCCTTGAGGAACTTCGTTATGAGGCTCAGGCTTCACCGCATGTACGAAATCGGGGAACTTGATAGCATCTTGAATGAAAAAGACCGGGATGTCATTTCCGACGATATCCCAATTGCCTTCCTCCGTGTACATCTTGATGGCAAAACCGCGTATATCTCGAACGGTATCCTACCGACGAGTTTGAGTGTACTGCCAAAGGCAAGCAAGTGGCGAACGTACCGCGCTTCCCCGAGATCCTTGAACAGTACTGAACCGCACAAAAACAGAAGTCTTCCTAGAAGCATCCGTCAAAACGGGTGCGAAGGTGTACTTCGTTGCGCTGTCATCAAAGACCCTGAAGTGCCCATGGGCGCCTGCTCCGCGCGCATGCACTACGCGTTCAGGAATCCTCTCGTGGTCGAACCGGTGGATTTTCTCTCTTGCTATTTGGTCTTCTAATAACGACGGACCCCCGGTGATCTTGTCGGATATTTTCAACCTTCAAGGTTTACCCATAAGTAGGGGGGATTTCATAGAACATTCGCTGCAGCACGTACCAATTATCAGTGTCAGATATTTTCACTCCGTGGTCTGTAGTTAGCCCACTCCCAACAGAAGGTGTGATAGTATCGGACTCCAGACATTTGGTCTTGTCGGTCGATGTATTTCCTTGGACGAGACTTTTCGCTGCTGATGTGATAGAAGTCATCACGGAAGAGTACAGAGCGTTCCAGGACTTACCTAGTTTTTGAATTATATGTCTCCAGGCTGTTTCACGTCATTTTCCAAAACAAGGTCGTTAAATCGTAAGGAGTGACGAAGTAGTGAGACTGTAATCCACGAATCCATTATCCGGTGACCGATAGAGGTTCAACGACGTCAGTTTGGTGACTTTGTCTGAGCTTTGTATCATGGGCCATCTGGTTTTCACGAAGCACTAAAAATTTCTCTAGGTGTGTATAATGGTGTTAAGTAGTGCGTAAAAACTATCTGTGAGAATGGGGGAAGGGGAAAGAAGGAGAAGTTGAGAAGATCGGATGAAATTTCTGCCGGATCAGAGATCGGATCTATCCAAAAAAGGAGTACTGCTGCGGATCACATGACCCTGTCGCCAGCTATGGCTTCAGGCCTCAGGAATCAGAACTTTTCGAGGTTCTACATTCACCATCATATCTTCCTAGGCGAGCTGACGGCGTCCACGACCGTGAACCTCGAACTTTATCAAGCACTTCCTGCTATTCAGTCGAAGTGGTCATCCCGTCGTTTTGTTTCCCTGCCGATGATGACTAAACTTGGGCGGCTGGACGCGTCGACCATCACGAATCTAGGAGAAGAGATGCGTAACGAACTGGCTGTTAAGGAACAGTCCGTTGTCATTCTTCCTCGACGCGTCAATCTTCGCCGCAGTCGTCGGTCTGTCATGCCCTTCAACCAGTGGTGTATTTGCTCCTCTGCGGGTATTTATATATCAAGTGGAGACATTATAGTCGTGTATTTGGTAAAATGGTCTTGTAAGTTGTTTTTAATACTACTGAAATCCAGAGCGTTGATGTAGGCTGTTGAAGACTTTCCTGTGCCATCATACTTAGGCTAAGCCATGCTTGTGCGGTTGCAATTGGGTGTATGTCTACGCCCGCCGTTGGATATATGCGACCTATGAAAACATCCAACAACTGTATGGATTTCGACCGGCAGCGAAGGTGAGATCTGTGACACGACCGACGCGATTTGGCCTGCGGATATTTGTTGGCGATTGATTATTTCTGACCCTTCTTTGTAAGCCATCTAATACTATTGGGAAATGGCAGACGCCGATATCTCCTTCAGATGCTCCTCTGGCTACCCTGCTCAACCTGGCTTACGTGTTTACGATGTTGCGTAAGTGTTCAATATATACGCGCCAATCGTGTCTGATAGAATCCAGCAGAATGAGTCCAGCTTTCTGCGATGTAAGCGGGGCAAGTACTCATGCTTCACTATCCGTTCTAGTATTATCATGAAACGATGCTCTCTGTATGCGTTCTGCACAATATTCCTTCTGGTCCGTGAGCTTTTACCAAATATGTGCTATCGGAAAATCTCGATCAAAAGCTCATGTTTTCTCATGTCAATGCAACAGCAGATGTACGATTTGGAATAAACAAAATTTGACATCATTCACGCAACGATTACCTGCAGACGTCGACCTGTACGCTCTTTCCTTGCTCTGTGTATTGGGCATACTATTTCCTGTCCTCCACTTCGGGGAATTGTCATCGACAATTAGTAAAAGCCGCCGCAACCGTTATGTATAACTTTGAAGCTCAGCGATGGCACGAATTTCGTGCGGAGATTCTAGATCTCTGCTTAAGAGAGTTATTCTGACTTGTCGCTTTCACATGTTCCATGCGATGATATAGAGAGGTTGTCCGACGGTCTATCTGCTCTGTAGTTTTACACAGTATTTTCGATGAAGTCTTGGGATATGCCATTTACATCTGATACGAACAGGAATACCAGGGAAGAGGAAGGCAGGCCATCTAGAAATCAAACTCACGATAATGTGAGCTCGTGTACCACGCACTTGTTTCGGATAACGTATTGAACAGATCCCTTCCTTATAGTCCTCCGCGATCACGCCATCTTTGAAGCTCAAGTACAAGATGGAAACGACGAAGTACGAGCCAACACATACGACTCTGCAAGCCAGTATTGTAACTTATCCCAATTTCTATGCTGATAAGCGCACGGTAAGTTTCCATTTCAAGCGAACACCTCTGTCTAAGTGAACCAGATGTCGGACTGGGTGTATGACCCTTCATCCGTCCCCGACTCCATTCCTGATGTGGACGAATCTGGTCTGGCTGCCAATGTCCTTCTTGTCCCGGCTCCTGTAAGCGCAAATTTCCTTTCCCATCATTCCTATTGTCCGACAGCATTTCAGCCAGGCACAGGCGCCAACCTCCCGTCGGCTTCGTTCATGGCAAACTTTATTTCAGCCGACGTAGAGGAGTGTGCCTCATGGATTCAAGACGGCCCTCAGGTCAATGACCTTTTATTAGAATTCTATACCCCGCCACCCGTGAGCGATGTTTGGTGTATTCACATTATTGTTGTGCCAAATCTTGCAGCAGGCATACCAAGAAATTAACGCCATCTCAACCAGGTTCAACGCAGATTTCATGCACAACGGAATGCTCCCAGATACTCGGCTCGTCTCCTCCGACCTGGTTCTATTTCTCGCCCATCGTCACATGCTCGTCGATGCAACTACCAATCGATTTAATGCCCTCTTGGACAGTCTCGGGTCCTTTACTATCGTCCCGGAGACGTCTGATTTTCTCAATATCATCCTACACGCCATCTACGGACTTCCATGCTCCCAGTTCCAGCCCACTATTGACACGCTGATGACCGCAGTTTGCCTCCTCCCAAAGTACGGCTTACAGCCCAAGAAGTACATCCGACCATCGTCGCCGCTATTCAACGATATTCATTACCAAATGCCGCTCTCGCCACTTATGACATACGTTGTAGCGTCGAACTATGAGCTTGAAGAGCTTGCCGTCATGACGTCGGCTCATCTCCTGTCGTTAGATACATCTACCATCGGCGACGACATAGTAGAGTTCATCAATCCAGTATACCTCAAGCGCCTCTTTGACTTGCAGCAGAGGCGTGTCGATACGCTCAAGCGTCTTTTTGCTGTTCCTCCAAACCCACATCCTTCGACGCCTCACTGCAACTTTATAGCTCAAAAATCTTTGACTAGAGCGTGGGATCTGTATACTGCTCGTCTGCTGTGGGATGCTCGAGCAGGTGAGATACACGTTTTTCGTCCTTGATTTCAATCTGGATGCTCGGCAGATATGACTGTGGGCACCATTGAGCGTACGTACCGGACGCTTGACGACCACGTTGCATGCTTCGACTGCAAGTGTGCTCTTAGAGAGCGTGTCAAAGGTATCGTTATTGAATGGTCAGAGCAACAGGTAGGTCACTGCCTTTATTACAGAGTCCTCATCCATAAAACCGTCTCCCCCGTTACAGCGAACAATTTAGCTGATCGGTGTTTTCTGTTTTGTACGAGTCCAGTATCCATGGCTTATCAGGCGGAAACGTTTATCGACCGTAAACGTTGTCATGCGGCGACCTCGAGTCCTCGTTCCCATAAGTATCACTTGGCAAGTTTTTTCATCATCTGGGTTCCTTCTTCCCTACTACAATCCCCCCTTATGTACGAACGGGATAATATTTGGTTGGTAGAGCATATCTTTGGAATAGTTAGCGATTTATGTGCGAATAGGGATAAGTACGTACCGTCAAAACGGAAGCAAAAGATCCAGATATAACCGCTCATTACAAACTCTCGTCAAATTGGTAGCCGACTTCCAAGGACTGGGCGGAGAATGTTTGTCGTCAAGGAAACTAGCTAGGACCGAGTGAAGAGCTTCAAAATGGCACACAGCAATATCCATGAGTCGAAGCCAGGAGTAAAAGTTAAATTGAAAGGCCCGTCGCAGAAGGCCGGTCACGCGCAAAAGCCGTCAATCAACGCCAGCCTCGACTCTGGTTAAGCTCATCCCTTGCAGTGCCAGTCCAGAGATCGCCTTCCTCCACGGAATCCAATCAGAACTCCAGACGAGCACAATGGCAGCGAATGGCTCGACAATGCGGGAAATTCGTCAGAGGAAAGGCGCATACATTCAGAAAAGGAACAGCGAGCAATTCCAGGTACACTACCCAGTCTGTAGTACTAATGGCAGAGCTTTATGTCGTCCCCGACGTCGGTGGTAGCTCCCTGCTCAACTGGACCAGTAGACTCGAAGAGAGGTGGAAGAAGAGCAGTGACAGAAAACTGGAACGAAAGCAGGAGGCGACGTTGGTTTCGACCAAAACATTCTACTCACCAACATGGACCTCCGCAAAATACCGCCTTTATCGTCATTCCCGGCCGATACCAATCAGCTGTCTTACGGACCTTCAGCAGCTGCGCGCAGAGTGTACGGCGACAGCGGTATCTTCGGTAGCACGTAAGGGCTTGTTGATTCTACGGCACCATGATTGATAAAAGGGCGGGTATATCTGTGAGCAGCTAGATTTTCTGATGTGAAACTCGTCGAGACCGTTTTCTTCGACCGATATAGACTATTCCAACAGTAGCCATGCAGGAGACAGGCTGCTCGTCGAGATGAAAGAGGACCTCGTCAGTGATTGCGCATCTAACCAGCCAACTACCGCCTTTATCGTATTTCGTATTGACAACGCGCCTCGTCTTTCATCCGCCCATGCGGTAGTAGTACCTGGAAGACCCTACTACCAGCTTGGAACGTCGACAAGCCTTGACCACCTGGAATCTCGGACCCCTTCCAAGGGGTAGCAGTCACTCGTGACTAGGCGGGAGGATACCCCGGCGATGCCAACAACCCGTTCTCCAGAGTACGACAGAAGGATGGAATATGGTGGTCTCGTTTTGCACGCCCGGCCAAAAATGCCTGTGCTCAGCGACAGCAATCCTGTCTTGCATGCTTTACAACGAACACCTCCTTCAATGAGATTGGGGCACAAGACATCCGAGGTTCAAAACTTCCCGCTCCTATGACCCTGCACTCAGAGTCATAGCTGACTTCTTTCTCGATTCCAAGTCGCGCACGATATCTCTTCTCGAGCTCATTCCGCTGCCATTCAAATATTCACGTCGTAACGCTTGCAGCGTATCAGGCCCCCTTCTAAAGTATGAAAACCTTTCGTTCCCAGATCAATCAAACATACCTATCATTGCTCTGAATCCGAACGATGACACTCCGGGAATAATGCGCATATATGCGTGATGTTCTGCGACGACGTTGATCAGGATGTAAAAAGGTCAATGCGGCGTCTTTGCCGCACTGAAACCTACTGAGTTACATTCACTCAAAGGTTTCGCAGTGGGTGCGCTACGATATGATCTTGCCAGCTGCTTCATCCGAGATTCGGAACCCTGCCGTCTTGTATCGAAATTGGAGTTCTAAACTTCAAGTAGGGGAAGAGACCGGCTTGTATTGAACTTCATTATGAGTCGTGGATGAAGGGGGTACACGCTTCCGAAGGCCATCAGAGAGCATATGGATCATCCCGGGATCGTGAATACGCGAATGTCTTCATGATGTGTCATGTACGGTGCAATTTCAACGTAGAGCCTCAGGAGATAAATCGATGAAGCTTGAAGCTCAGTACTACAGCCTACAATCAAGGATTCAGGAGTGTGAGCTTCTCGCACTAAAATTAGCTGACCTTTTTCTGACTTTCCCTATCAAGACCACGTTCAACGCTGTACGCCACGCCTCTATGCCATTTTCCTCAGGTATCCAGTCCAATCTTAGATATTTCCGTTTCCACAGGAGACGACAATGCCTCCACGCATGGCCAATGTGATAGATCGTATGTATGAAAGGGTGTTTCTGCTTCTTTAAAATTGGAGTCGAGACAGGAACAGTCTGTTGATAAGCAGGTAGAGATCGTGCGAAACCATGAATTCCCTTGAAAATCATGGGCGACAAGAGATCAGAGACATGGAGGCAGGATGAAAGGCGTTTCTTGTGTGACGATAGTCACACATCAACGTCTGCCATTGGCAACATTGGCGACACGGACGACATCATCCTGAGCCCAGTAGGATTACCAGGCCATCAGTTTCGTCCTTTCCTATCGATGACGGAGAATCCAGAAGTGGTGCTGCTATGTTATTATGCACGTCCTTGAGCCGATGTCATGCAGAGGTCCCACGCAGAGACAGAAGCCGGGCGGAGTCGAATGTCATGGCCATGTAGCATAAGCGTGCCTTACGGTTCGTTTTCAGTGGCCTTGTTTCAGCAAGCTCCGCCACAGGCCGTCTTCGGCTAACCTCAGCGGGACTTCTGGACTGAAGATCGTCGTCGGTTAGGTATACGGGAGCGCAGCAGTGATGAGGAAGAGATTGTCAAGCAGATCAAGGCAGTATATGCCATTGTTTGTATCGTCGTCTCATCGCCTTGCCAGTGACCTGCCAGTACGATGCCAGCGTATAGTTTTCACTTACTTTTTGTCTACCGATTAACATCCACATCACTTAGATTTACTCCAATGGGCATGTAGAGGTGGTCTTAGGAAAGTCCATCAAGCAGTATGGCTGGGGAAAAATTGGTCGTAATGACAAAGGTCGCTTCATTTTTATTTTTTTATTCTGTTCCTTACGTAGAAACCAACTTAAAAGTGCAGGATCTGGCTAGACGGAGTTTTATTCGCCGGTAATGCGCAACATCCATGAACATATTTGTGGTCATCTGTCCGCGTCAGTCCCCAAGGCGTACGTGAACTGGTATAGACTCAAACACACGATATCTCCAGGTCGTTTTTACCGACTTGCTCCCTTGACAACACATTCTTCGCTTGTGTACAGAAAAGTTTTGGCTGTCTACAACCTGATGCCCTCCATTGCCACGAGTTCGACATAGAGAGCCTGTAAGAATACCGCACCTTCCTTCGATTCATCTGATGGGCTTATTAAACTCACGTTAGATGCATGATAAAAGTTTAGTATATCGGGATGTCAAGCTCTCGCGCCTAGCGACGTACGCTGATTTTCACCCCACATCATGGTTATGCCTGATCCCCGTTTTCTTGCCTGCCGTTTATGACATGGCTCAAGTCAGTACGTCTTATGGTGGCTTGTAACCGAACAAGACAATATATTGTATGAGTAGGTAAAAATGGATAAGTTTATACGTTCATACAGACGCCGGTGCTCTTCGACTCTTCCGCAACGTTCAGCATCAACTGGAGGACACCGAGACTCCTTACGCCATCCTAGAGATAGCTGGAATCGCGGTCTGTATGCCACAGCGTTGCTCAGCTACGGGGCGTCAGGTATCACAAATTACGAGTAGCGCTCCTCCTCTCGGTCTATCGATCTGAATTCAGACCAAAAGCCGCAGACTCTCTGCATTGAACCGAACATCAAGCTAATGCCTACGTATTAAATGTTGCGCTCGTCATCTTATGGATTAGCTTCGGTTGTTCATGCTTTTCCACGACCCCAGGAAAAAGGTGAAGCGATAAAATATCAACATCCACCGAAGAATAGTTGCCTAACAACCATTGTGACGGTGTACAAGGACCAACCGACGGTACGCGTTCCAGCCTCTCTTCTACTCAAGTTACGTCTCATTTGCTAACTCAGGGGTACGATGCAATCACATGCATTCTCCAGCCTTCAAATATTCGATTAAAACTATTTGTGGCAGAAGTTCTGAGTCATTGACCAGAGCGACGACAAAAACATCTCTCGTACGGTCTTTTTGAAGTTAAAATATTTTGTCTACTATCTTCCGCCGTCATTCGAGCTGGTACTATATTCATCTTCGTTTCGCTACGAAAGCCAAGCCAATCAAGTACAACGGATCGAATTCATTCCACTGCGGGAGACGACGTTCAAATACCAAATCATCGCTCAATATTCACACGTTGCTCGCTGCCTTGAACGATGGAGGTGATCGTGATCAAGGGTCAACAAAGGTTGCGATGTGAGCAAGTCCTTCTAACCTCTTCAGTGTTCTCCAATACTTGATCGTGAGCCTTCAGCTCCGTAACCAAACACAAGGGCGTTGTTACTATGGCCGGCTTTTACCATGTCGTGAAGTACACCCTTACGAGACGTCTGTAGAAGCGAGTCCCGCAAGTGAAGTCTAAAATGGACTTGGGTTTATCACTAAAACGAATAAGCATCCCAGACATATCCTCACATTACATGGGTACTATGCCGAGACTATTGAAGGATCAAATATCGTGCGTTACTTGCAAGGTCAATCTCGAGTCTCGACCAATACGAAAACACTTGAGAAAGCAACTGAATAATGAGGCTTAATCAAGACGGGTTCATCTTTTCGTCTTCGATTTCGATGCATCTGACATGTCACCAGTGCACAATTTGAACATTCGTCTCGCTTCAATCCTATCTATAACTTTAGTCTCAGATTGCAAAGTTGTAGATCACCGCAGTGATAGTAAGTACTAAGTAGTGCTTTACTTGAAGTATTAACTTGCTTCAATATTTAGGCCACGCCGTAGGGACCCGATAACACATTCTTTGGGTCGGACTGGAATTTGGTGAAAAAGTTGAGAAGATGGTAGCGGCATCATGCCGGTGCTGCTTATTAAGGAAACAGAAGTAGGAAAAGTACAGAAAATTCTAGTAAAATAGTATTTAGTATAAGAGTAGCTACTTTTGCAGAGCCACTAGCCAAGCTCAACTCTCGCATATGCGATACTAGAAGCGATCTCAGGCTTCATTCCCCGTTTTGCGACAGGTACGACGAGAATAGGTCTTTGAAGAGGACACCCTCGGCATTGGCTTGCCGGGCGATTACATGTTCAAGGGTACCTCGTCAGTACCGACAGATGCGCGGTATCACGTTGATTTAGTTATTCAAAGCTGGACCATTCGGGAGTTTGTGTATGCATAGAGCATATGCACCACTATATCAATGGTGACATCTAGTTGGGCGCCTTAGAACAATTGCCACTGAGCAGATTGAGGACGAGAACCAGAGAATCTAGTGTAGAAGCTCGAATTCATACGCGACTCAGTGGATCGAAGGGGGACGAACTCACTGGTACAGTCACGCTTCTTTATCATCTGCCACAATGTCAACTCCACCCACAGTCTAACCCATCATATGCATCCAGGTCGTCTATACAGCTTCTTACAATGGGCGACTGAGCTAGCTCGAGGACGTCGCTACACGTATACAGACCGATGGACCGACATCCCTTAGCGCTACCGTAGGTATCACCCCCTTGCTCAGAGTACCGGCTTTGGCTTGCATGTCGATACGAAGGCTAAGAAATCAAGAAATCTTTCAGCTTTCCTATGGCTGTTATCAACACCCTGGGGAAGGATTGCCGTCGAATGATCTTCTCTGAGACGTATTTTCGGCGGTGTGCATGATTATCAAGATCGGTGACGGCGACACTTAGAATGCGCGCCGTTCTATGAGCCATGGCAGTCCAGACCTGCAGTCTTCCGGAGGGATGTGAGTTAATTATCTATATTCTCTGAACAGTTACTGTACCTGCCATTTCAGAACTTGGCACCAGACGGCACCTCAAGAAGACCGCAGATGCGTGGTCTTCACCCCTTTTCCTAAATTATTGATAACGCTGTACATGAATTATGCACAGCTGAATGTCAGACGATATATCGTCTGGCTGGATTGATTGAACACCGTACCTTCATCTTAAGATGATAGGCTGACGGTTGGGAAGAGAGTCAAAAGTTCTAGTCTCGAAGAACCGAAGACAAACTGGTATGTCAAGACCTCGTTATCTCGAGAGTACAATAGTAACTCATACCTTCCAGGTTTTCCGAAAGATGAGTAACCAGTATGTGGCACTGGGTCTTTGATCTTTCAAGAACGACGTAAGTCCATGATCCGCTTTTGACGCCCTGTGTCCTGAGCATTGTTGTGGCAGTACCTTAAGCATCAGTGCTCAACGCCCCGCATCTTACTGAGGCCTGCATTAAGAGATTCAGCAAGTAGCTTGAACTGGTCTATGTCTAGCTCGGACGAAAGTTCTGGAAAGATCTTCGATGCTTGCGGCACCACACATGCACACCAGCTAGACCGAAGGCCGCTATTGGCAGGAGCAAGTAAAATATTCACGAAGCCCGAATTTTGTGCCCGTTTTTCTGCACCTTTGTACAATGAAGCCGATGTGGAGCCTCGCTGGCCAGTCTGTTCAGCGGAGACCGTCCCTATAATCCACTGGTGCCCTAAAAAGTTTAAGAAGTTCTTCATATTCAGCGTCGTACGCGAAAGGTAGCCGCACCCAGCTGTTGCTGGGACGAAAGCCCATACAAGTATCACCCCCGTCGCCGTCGACACTTCCACAATTCAATCGTAACAAGCCCTCCTTGCTTCCGAAACCGCTGGAAAGGTGCAAGAATGGAGAACGTGGTGGTACAATGCAAAGCACGAGGGCGTCTCATCACGTCCACTGCCGGTGTAATGTGGAGGCGGCGACTCTGAGAAAGTGCCGTTGTACGTATCCCAGGCATTCACGGTAAGAGCCCACAACAATATCCTCTTTGCCGGGGCAGCTTCCAGTCATGTCACGGCTCACATCACGAGAGGATACAAAAGATGCAGCAGCAGCTTTTCCAGGCCTCCCCCAGCCCACGATGTCCCTTCCAAGTACAGATATGTCCTACGGTCAGTCCCAAGCCACTCTAATGATCTCAGCTCACAAAATGCCTAAAGTACGCCTCGGATCGTCAGGATTGAAGGTGTCGAAGATAATCCTTGGTTGTACAGTATATGGGAGTTCCGATTGGTACAGCTGGGTGCAAGATGAAGAAGAGAGCATCAGGCAGATTAAGGCCGCGTATGTCGTCGTCGACCTCTTTTCCAATACTCATCTTACTCTCTGCCAGTTACGATATCGGAATCAACACCTTTGATACTGCCAATGTAAACTTTTTGTGTGTCCTCTTCACTAATCAAGGCTAACATGTGTTAGATTTACTCTAACGGACAATCCGAAGTTGTCTTAGGCAAAGCCATTAAGCAGCACAATATGCTGCGGGAGAAGATAGTTGTGATGACAAAGGTTAGTCATTTTTCTTTGAGTACTGTCACAAATGACATCTACGCAGGTTTTCCATCCGGTGACACGATCCATGAACGAGCGAATCCCTGGTCAGGCATCAGCGCTGGCCGATTCCAACGGATATGTGAACCAATATGGACTCAGCCGCAAGGTCTCCGCGAGCCTAATTTTTTTAAAATTACATATTCATCGAACCCTTCAGCACATATTTGATTCGGTCAAGAAGAGCCTGGATCGTTTGCAACTGGATTATATCGACGTTCTTCATTGCCATGAGTTCGACTCCCAGACCCCGATCCATGAAACGGTGAGAACCGCATTCATGCGAATTCTTCTGTTCATCGATCAACTGGACATGACTTCTTCAGATGCAAGCCCTTCATGACGTAGTAAACGCTGGTTATGTCCGATATATCGGAATATCGACTTGCCGCGCCTGGCAATGTACGTCGGTCCTCTCTCTCACGCTAATGTCACACCCTGATATCATCTCCTTCTCCTATACAGTCCATATCATGCAAAGTGCTTTTCCGCCCAAGAAGTCATTTTGAGAATGCTAACAACCTGCACAAATTTGTAGATTACGCACTCGTCCATCACCTGACACCATTCATCGCGGTTGAAACTGACTACAATATTCTCTATCGCGAGGACGAAAATGAATTGTTCCCCACTCTGAAGGTTTGTCCTGTGTACAGAACGGTACTAGCAGCTGACCTTTGCCTCAGCATTTCGGCGTCTCTTCCGTACCTTGGTCCACGCTTGCTCGTGGTACTTTGGCCCAACCTCTTTATTTTAATGACAGGTATACGCATCTTATGTACGCTATCTGATTTACTCACACGCACACCGAAGAACTACCGAAAACCACGCAGGGTGGCATAATAAGATTATCTCGAGGTGATTCATACCTCTATCTGGTTATCAGATTCACTCCTGACACCTCTTTCCACATCAGGGTGGAAGAAATTGCTATCCGAAGAAACATCACCATGACGCAAGTCGCCGTCGCATGGTCCCTTAGTCGAGAAAGTATAGTGAAATGTCGTTGTCTCTTCTAATAATCTACTGATTTCGATGCCTCAGGTGTTTGTGCCCTAGTCATTAATGCATCGTCCACCAACAAACTCTTGGACGCTGTTGGTGTGTTTGTCTTCCTCGCTTTCATCTCCCGGCAATAATGTGTTTGATAGACGGTTTGAACGTGGTGCTTACGGCCGACGAAGTACAGTATCTCGAAGAACCATATCGTCCTCAGAAGCTTCATTATTGAAGAAGTACGTAATGCTGTTTCTTAAACCTCCGGAATACATGTGGCTGCGATACGTAGGAAGGAACGGATTATAGATCATCATTTCCGTTCTATCCAGTGTCAATGACCGATGTACCCGCTCTTAAACTTTCCAGGAACCAAAACAGAGTACCAAGATTGTAACAGAAATCGCTTCGAAGGTTTCGAGTGATGATGTCATTGAGGTTGTGATAGACGCCCGGTGAGCTGCCAATCCTCTGGCGTAGGCGTGGGCGTTGGTAAAACTTGAAGATCCCAACGGCTGTTCGTCAGTAAACGGCGTCATCTGTGACAGTCCGGTATTATTTAACATGATGTAAATAGGTCATTGTTGCGGTGCCTTTATGCCACACTGAAAGCTATTGAGTTATACTCATTGAAAGGTTTGCTGGGTGATAGTGGGTACATTACGACACGATCCCGCCAGCTGCTTCATAGCCGTATATGAAAGGGTGCATGCTTCCAAAGACCATCAGGAGGCATACGAATCGTTCTCTATGAGAAACGCGAATACATGGCTCGTATGTCTAGATGGTGCAGTGTTACCATGTTACATGTACTGAGCAATTATACCACAGGGCCTCCCAGGAGAAGAAGCTTGAAGCCCAATATATCATATCCTATGATCACAATGACTGTATTAATGGAGATTCTGAAATGAAAGCAAAGTCGGTAACTATTGTGGAGCGATAATCATAACGCCCACGCAACGTTAAAAGTTTCAATTCTGTTCTTTCAATTAAAGTAGAGAGTTTCAGCGGTGACCGGACCCCCGGGCTTTTCACTACCTAGTACCTATGATGCTACACAAAAGAGTTCGAAAGCCCTTAGGTCGCTGAGGTTGGATATCTCAGCGTTATTCAGGTTCGTCACTCCAGGAAGATCAGTACTTACACTGTGGGAGGCCCCGTGGAAAGAAAAAAGTTTGTGCTTCTGTGAATGGTCGGAAAGGGCTTCTATTGCTTGCAGGTAGTAAAATCAGATGTCAGACCAGCCAAGGTCAGATGGAACGAGGCGCGGAGCTGTGTGACTGCTGAACGCTGAAACGAAGGGTGAAGTCATCAATCTATTCTTACCGGGTTTCTACAAAATAATGAGAGTCGATCGAACTTTTTTTCGGCTGCCCAATATAGTAATTCATAGATACCGGTTTTCTTTCAACAGCGACTCAACACCAAGAGCAACAGTAATGATAGAATAAATGGTTTAGAATTGATTCCCGAAGCAGTACACAATGTTCTGGTGTCATCAAGTCATGCAATGGAGCCTGCAGTGATGAAGAAAATACCGCTGATTTGGGATTTGACAGACCAGATTAGCGGATTCATGAGGATCACAAACCAAAGGCCCAGGTGGTGATATCAGAGCCTTTGATGGATAATTTGGAGAAATATAGCCCAGTTGTACGTCAGGAAGGTATAATTCGCAGTGCTTATGCATTTGGTGGAATCCAAGATGGGGAATTACTATATTGGGCAGCCAAAAAAAAAGTTCGATCGATTCTCATTATTTTGTAGAAACCCGGTAACATAGCTTCTACAAAACAAGACCCTCAGTATGCTTCTCCTTAATAGTCGCAAACTGGATTGCTGCACCATGACTCGGGCCGAGACGACGATGGAAAGATCAAACGCCTGTTCCACTGCCCAGCAAGTCGTCCAGAAAGATCATCGACCATGGATCACTGGGGTACGTAAAGAAAGTCAGGTACCCGCTTCTCATGAGCATTGAATACCTCTAAGCTCCTGAAAGCTATTCGACGATAAGAGTATGCCGGACCGAGATCTTGACTGCTAAACAGCAATCTAGTTCACCTGAAAACGGAAAAATGAAAATTGATTGGGTTTTCTGAAAAATATATATATATATATATATAAGGTTCAGCATTGTTCAGTGCTACCGCCAAATTTATCCACGAATAGATCTCAAAAGCTCCTGGAATCGACGAGCATCCGGGTACACCCGGCAGTGCTTGTGATTGCCGAAAAGGATTCGGCACGGCGCGCGTCAATTGATGAGTATTGTCACGGCGGCGTCAACAATCGTCAGAACTCTTGAGTCAGTACCGTGCCCATTCACTTAAAAAATCAGGGATACTTAAACAGCACGTAGAGTAGGGAAGGGGGTTCGACAACTGTTGGTCAGTCCATTCAAATCGATTCCCGCTTTGGATCCGTGCGTCGCAATGCCGGCGCCGGAGGACGGCCATCACTGAGTCGGATCCAGACTGCGTCTGTTAAACGCCGCCTTGTACACGACTGTCACTATAGCCGGGGCGTGTACCCATCTCCTGCTCCTTCAGTAAACGTGCACACCGTTTCCGGCCATCGTTCTTTTGTGAGTCATCGACTCAAGTGCGAAGGCAAAAAGCCTCTCTCATGACGGTCTCTTCACAGTCAAAAACTTTGGCTATCTTCTCCACTATCTTGCTGAGTAACTCGATGCATCTTCGTTTTCAGGAGACGTTAAAATAAGACAGCGAGTGACGTGACTATTAGTTGATATGGGCGATTGTAAGCGATGTCTCTTCTCCTTCATAAAGGACAACGGTTCTGATGTGAGGTTCTCCTAGTTGCTGATTATTGAGCACTAAGTTACCATAATTGATCGTGAAATTTCAGCTTCATAGCCAAATATACGGTTGTCGTTACTTATCACGCCAGACTACTATCACGACGAGAAGCCTTACGAGTCGTATATGGGCCTAGAACATCAGTGAACACCCTCAAGTGCAACCGCGCAGGCCGGAATGTCCTTACTAACAGAACTGAGCACATTCAAGTGTGCATTCTCGTCGGCATTTTCAGAGTGAGAGACGAACTTCTAAGCAACTCTACACCAAGACCTGCCACAACCTTATTCAAACTATCTCGGAACCGTCATGACGGTCGGAGGAAAGGCGAGTGAAATGCTACTGGATCATCATTCATCTCGCGCAGCTGAAGCTTGATGATAGAATTCTGCCCGATCTTGGTGGCGCAGCCCGAAAATGGTGTGCATCTGGGCAGATGAACTGTTTACCCGGGTGTTCACCTCAGGCTTGATCTTACCAAAGACCAACCTAAGATTTCAACGCACCTTTCAATTTCATTTTGGCCTTCGACCGGATCTTCTAACACTTTATCTCTTCTAGGAATCGAGTTAGGTGGTAATCTTTACCGAAGGCGATGCGTCGCGGAGTCTTGAATCTTGGCAGGCCTGCTGATTCTTACAATTTCTTCTGTTATACTCCATCTGCGAAGCAAGTTCATGAGGTCAACGTGCCTGCCTTCGCTGGTATCGTACCAGACTCAGCGACGAATGCTACCGCACCATGGGTCCGATATGCCAACTAAGTGCATACCCTGTTCATCATGCAATAACACGGCTAATAAGGAAAATCAGGTCGATCTGGCAGGTTGGCAACGCTAGCATATAACGGTCTTCTTCCGCTCATTCCGTAACAGAGACCACCAAAGCATGGCTTTCCAACAATTTTACGCCCTCTGACCTGTCATGGGAGTCGGTGCTGACTTACCCTGGTGAGTTTGCAACTCGCGATGGCGAGGTATGTTTTATATACAACATTCGGTTTCATGTCAGATACTAACTGTTCTATAGTTTTCCGAATTGTCGTCGAGCATTCCCCAGGATAACCTACCAGGACCTTCGTCCAACTTTTTCCAAGGCCCTTCCTCCGCCACGGTGAGAAATACGGTATTCGGTAGTGATGACCGCTGATTTGAATGTTCTCAAGGTGATCGTTAGGGCGATGGATGAATCTGTGCCTCAGCGTATGTCTACAGCGTTCCCTCAGCAGGAGGACACGGATGTCGTATTGGTTTCTTTCGACTCTGTTACTTTTCACGTTCATTCTCAGACTGTTCTCGGTGCATCAGACAACGCCTTTGGGTTTCTACTTCAACCCAGTAGTCAGGCTGAAGGCGATACCAGCGTTGTCCAAGTTGACGAGCATTCCGAGGTCTTGAACATCCTACTTCATGTTATCTACTCCATCTCGTGCATATCCTATCAGCCATCGTTCGATGTCCTCCAGACAGCGGTCGAGAGGATGAGACACTATGGCATGGCCACGATCGCACACATCCAACCATCGACGCCAATGTTCGACGTCCTTTCTTCGCACGCATCTGATAATGCGCTGCATCTCTACGCGCTGGCTGCGCACTTTGATCTATATGATCTGGCTGTCTTCGCATCGGCACATCTCCTCTCCCTCAGACTCTCCAGCCTGACAGAAGACATGGTCAAGCGGATTGGTGCGCCCTATCTGAAGCGTCTATTCTCACTTCACCTCGGTCGTAAAGAGGCGCTGAAGCAAGTTCTCATCGCTCCCCCGAGGCAGCACCACCCAACTTTGATGTGCAGCACTTATTTGCAAGAACAATTCGCTCTAGATTGGGTCCTCAACGTTGCACAGATTGTTTCGGATGCAACTCCCGGTACGTTTTCAAAATCCAATAGACTTGGGGGTTCTAAACCTAGCATTCCAGATATATCCTCGCATTACATGGTTGCTCTGCTCAGACCAATGAAGGACCAGACATCATGCGAAACCTGCAAGGCCAATTTATACGAAAGACTTGAGCAGCTAACTGAACAATGGGGCTCAATCAAGGTGGGTTAACTTTCACGTCTTTGATTTCAATATATTTGACTTTTCCAGCGCACAATCTGAATTCTTGTCTTTATGCAACTAGTCCTATTTCTTGGACTGAAGTTGCAACAAATTCATGACGGTCATGATACATAGACTTTATTCGCCTATGTTGGGTGTTTTATGGTACATGTTTCTTCCATCCAGTCTTTTAGGGCAGTTTCTCCTTATGGCCTGAACATTGTAGACTCAAGCCAGTCCACACCTCGGTTGATGACAGTCGATCAACTAGAGCGGATGCCCGAGTTGATCGATTATCATCACTTGGCAGTGAGACTGATTTGAGTCTATGAACATTGTACCACAATTTTTTGATATCATAAATCAACGTTTTTGTCTATGTGGCCAGACGGGATTCAAACAACGAGAATGAAAGCGTAAAGCAAGGGAACTCGGCAACAAAACATGTTATCGAAGGTCACATTGCAAGGCTCGATAACACCAGATTGATTCCTCAAGCAAAGGCCTCAGGCGGGACAGGTGCTCGGTAGTTTTGGTCCTTGAAGAACAGTCTCAGCAAGCCATTGCTGCGAGCGAGTATAAAACTACTCACCGACACCTCATTGAATCCATCCTGTACTGTTCTGAATCCGTCGAGCACGTTTGTGTATATGAAACGTTCATTCGGTTACTTGCTGGGAAGTTCGTGCACTTTCGAGACCACCAAAGAGACGAGGAAGGAGCAGACTTAGCAGACTCGCTGACAGCCCTGTCACGCCTCTTCAACGTCGACCACCACGACATCAACCACCAACAATCCGTCCGGCCCAGCAATCCAGGCCACTAATGCAGCCTTATCTAATGCGTATCTCTGCAAACTCGTGAATGTCACTGCACCTCACAGGGATAGTAGACCTTCGGAATGCTGGAAGCGTGCTTAGCGTGGAGGGCAAGGCTCACACTAATGTTGGGATCCTTGTAAGTTTGATACAACCCTCCAATGTGTAATCGTTGAATTCATCGTCTACAGGGACCCAACAGCAATATGACCATTGGATCGTCCAAGCTACCAGAGCGAGTCCGGCACCGTTAGAATTGTAGAACATAATCTTCGGTCCCCAGAGCGCCAAGGAACCAAGAATTTCTTTGACTGTCAGAGTGGTCATTGTCAAGACTATGGAAGAATCACCGTCGAACGATTCACTTTGAAACGTCTTTCCGCAGTGTGCATCGCGGCCAACCAAACGCTTTGAGGATCAGCACACGCGCCGGGTTACGGGGTCAGGACAGTCAGATGTGGAGCCCTTTGCTCTCAACACTTCAGGGAGTGTGGCAGAATCTTCACTGTCGTTTTATTCCCTTCAAGTCCTTAATTGCGTCGCATCATGAGTAAACCTTGTCGATCTTTTGGATTAGCCTCCTGCGGAGATATGGTGAGTGAATCGTCTATCTTCTCTAACCGGTGACCTTACCTGCCATTTCAGAGCTTGGCGCAAAACGGTAGTTCAAGAAGAGTGTATCCTTCAAAGCTGGGCGCTATACTATGATCTTGTGCACATTTGAGCATCGGGGGATATATTATGACTCGTCTGACTGGGTTGACGGAATATCGCGTCTTAAGATGATAGGCTAAAGATCGAGAACCTGTTCTCTAATGCCGGAAGCTCAAGATTTTTGAAGAAGAGAGGCCTAGCGGGTATGTCAGGCGCTACCTGCAGAGTATAGTAGTGACTCATACCTTTCAAGTTGGTTGCAAGTGGCATTTTGAAGCGTCAAGAACGACGTAGGTTCATGATATGCCTCTGATGCCCTGTGTACTGAGCAAAGCCCTTCAGGTATCAGCGCTCCATGCCCCACGCTTAGCCTACATTTTTGCTCGGATTTAGGTGCAATTCTACCCAAGCGAGCCGCCGCACAACGTACATACACCCTGGTTAGGCCGAATAACCCCTTTCTGAATAAGCTTGCGCTCCTTCTCCTCTTTCTCCTCCTGCTTGCCGTTGGAAGAAGCAAGTCGATACAAGTATCCGGGGTTTCGTCCTTTTTTCCGTTGTACGAATATGGAGCCTTGTTAGCCGGCTTGTGTCCTTCTGCAGAGACCATCTTCGCGTGCCCTAGGAATTCTAAGAAATTCCTTCTCACCCGCAGAAAGTAGACGCACCCCAGTTATCCTCAGGAGGCCTATTGCATTGTCATCTCGGTCATTGTTAACACTTCCCTGAGCTGCAATCCAATCGTATCGAGCCCTTCTTTCTTGTTATCCCCGGGGAGCTGCAAAAAGGGTAACGATCTAAGCCTGTGGTCGTCCCATCATTGAGGCGACAACTAGGGTGAAAGCTGTCCCAGGCACCAAGGTAACAGGATCCTTTCTACAGCTCTCCCTACTACAAGCAAGGGCGCTTCCAGTCATGTCACGGTTCACATCACGAGAGGATACAAAAGACGCACCTGCTGCTTTTCCTGGCCTCTCTCAGTCCACGATGTCCCTTCCAAGTACAGATATGTCCTACGGTCAGTCCCAAGCCACTCTAATGATCTCAGCTCACACAATGCCTCCAGTGCGCCTCGGATCGTCAGGATTGAAGGTATCGAAAATTATCCTCGGTTGCACGGTATATGGGAGTTCCGATTGGTACAGTTGGGTGCAAGATGAAGAAGAGAGCATCAAGCAGATCAAGGCCGCGTACGTCATTGTCCACGTCTTTTACCAATACTCATCTTACTCCCCGTCAGTTATGATATCGGAATCAACACCTTTGATACCGCCAATGTAAATACATTTATTTCACTTTTCACTAATCAACATTCGGTATGATGTTTCAGATATACTCTAACGGACAATCCGAAGTTGTATTAGGGAAGGCCATTAAACAACACAATATGCTGCGGGAGGAGATTGTTGTAATGACGAAGGTCGGCGATTTTTACTCCGTTTTCCCACGGGGATGACATCTGTGCAGGTTTTCCACCCAGTAACACGATCCATGAACGAACGGATCTCTGGTCGAGCAACAGCGCTGGCCGATTCCAACGGATATGTGAACCAATATGGACTCAGTCGCAAGGTCTCCACGAGCCTAATTTTCCTAGAATGATACATTCATCGAACCCTTCAGCACATATTTGATTCGGTTAAGAAGAGCCTGGACCGTCTGCAACTGGACTATATCGACGTTCTCCACTGCCATGAATTTGATTTCCAGACCCCGATCCATGAGACGGTGAGGACATGACGCGTTTTATTCGTCATAGACTCAATCTCAACTTCTTTAGATGCAAGCCCTTCATGATGTAGTAACAGCTGGTTACGTTCGATATATTGGAATATCGACTTGTCGCGCCTGGCAGTGTACATCTTTTTTCTCTCGCTCGTCAATGTTATGTCCTGACATCATCTCTTCGCGTGTACAGTCCTTGCCATGCAAAGTACTTTTCCCTTGAAGAAGTCATCATGAGAATACTAACGACCTGTATTTGGAGATTACGCGGTCGACAATCACTTGACACCATTCATCGCGGTGGAAAATGACTACAATCTTCTCTATCGCGAGGATGAAAATGAGTTGTTCCACGCCATGAAGGTTTGTCCCGCGTAAAGAATTGTTCTGGAGGCATCTGACATTTGCTATAGTATTACGGTGTTTCTTCCTTGCCTTGGTCCACGCTTGCTCGTGGCGCTGTCACCTTACCTCTGCATCAGCAGCCTACTCCACCTGCCAACGGGAGGTATGTGCGTCCCATAAAAACGTTATAAATCTACTCATTTACATCCACAGAACAAGGTGGAATGATACAGTCATCTTAAGGCGGGTGGTCATGCTTCTGTCTCGTTATCAGATTCATCCTCCTGACCCCTCTTTCCCCATCAGGGTTGAAGAAATTGCGAACCAGAGAAACATTACCATGACGCAAGTCGCCGTTGCATGGTCCATTAGTCGAGAAGGTTTATACAAAATAGATGTTGTTTAATCCACTGATGTCGATACCTCAGGTGTTTGTGCCCTAGTCATCAATGCATCGTCTACTGACAAACTTTTGGATGCGGTTGGTGCGTTTGTCCCGTTCAGTGTCGCCTCCATGCAATAATATATTTGATAGGCGGTTTGGATGTGGTGCTTACACCTAACGAAATACGATATCTGGAAGAACCTTATAGTCCACAAAAGGTTCATTATTGAAAAAGTGCATCATGCTGTCTCTCAGACCTCAGGATATACATGACTATGATACGTAGCTAAGAACGAAATTCTATGTTGCCACTCCCATCCTACAATGGCCGGCGGGTCGCTCTTATGCCCTCCAGGAACTCTCAAAACGAGGACTAAGAATGTCACATTAGCAACCACCCTCTTGTTGTAGACAACGGACCACATCACCGAGTAAGCAGCGGCGCAGTGGGTTAGCATCAAAGATGGCCACAACGCATACCTGTTTGCCGGATAAACCGCAACATCTGTAACACTGCTGCACCAACATGCATATTATATCCAGGGAGTGGAGGAAGCAAAAACTTCCACGAACGAGAACATCTTCCAAGCGGAAGAACATACATGTTGCGGAGCTGAAAATACGGAAATTAAATGACATTCAACATTAGGAGGTCCATGCAATGAAACCACGAGGACACGCTTAGGTTCAACTGGCACCCAGATTCGATCTTATTGAGATTCGTGCCTCCCATAGAGATTGTGTGTGACGAGGCGCTGAGTAAGTAAAGGTACCGATGTCTGACCGCATACATGACTTCATACACGACGTCAGGAGAACCTTCTGTATTCAAAAATGTCCAGTTTCTCCCCGCAGTAGCCTTAGAAGCATGATATATCACGCCCAAAGATCCCTGAAATCACAGGTGAACAGTACCGAACCTGATGTATTCGCTGTGAGGAACTCACAATTCACGAACCTAAAGGAACGTGTAGGTTATCTTTGATGAATCCCTGAAATAACCTGGGCCATACCAATAAGTTGCCACGAGGATTCTAGAGAATGTCAGTTCTGGAAATCGGAGACTATAATAATTCTACACGCACTTGTTTCTTCCAACTCAGCGTCAAGGTGAAGTACGCCGATCGCCACAATAACCACGCGGCGCGTCCAGATTCTGGGCTGCCAATGAAAAACTTGCCACCGTCACTATCCTTAGGACGGCCATAGATAGCGTTCCTGCAAATGGTGAAGATCAATCTCCGACCTTCGCCTCGTTTTCGCAATGCTGGGGATGTGCACCGCAACAGAGCCTCCCCGACTAGAAGGAAACTACAAACCAGTTCCCTATATATGCCAACATGCCTTTATTATAAAACTGGAACTCTTCGGGATGTTGCCGACCCCGTGCAATCCCATTGAGTTTTCTTGCAAGATAAGCGCCCTTTTGATAAGCCACTGAATGAGCGTATCTTAGCTACCATCAGAGACGACGAATGGAATCTGAACCTTGAGCAGTAGCGGGGAGATGGTTGTCTTCAATTATGGCCGCATCTCCGATAGCCCATACGTCAGGGTTAGGTGAATCATCGGACTCGATAATGTTGAGGTGATGGTCGGTAATCAGACTGGCAAAAGTCAAGAGTTTTTGTAAGAATTTGAAAACGTTACCTCCCGGTCTTGGGGTGTTTTTTGACCCCAGTGATGGATTCGATCAAAGGGTTTGTCGCCAAACCTGTGCTCCATACTAGGACTCCAAAGGGGACTATCAACAGCTTAGACGAAAAAGGCGTGTCAGTATGAGGTACGCACCCTCGCCTTTTTCTTTCAGAAATAATTTGTTCTGCATCAAGTTTACTATCAGCGCGAGCTCATCACAACGAAAAGAACCTAACCGATTCCACGCGTTCTACGTGATGATTCGTCCAAATATTGATTTTTTTCGCGGTGAAACCGGTCTTCGGTATATCTGCATCAGTGAACTTCAGGCTAACTTGAATCAAAACCGCGACTGAAGGCGTACTTCACTAGATCATGATCGAATGATCCTAGTATGCTGGGCGCGACGTCATACAGGTTAATTTGCGCCAACCGGGCGAGCTCAGGGTAATAGGTTCGCAGGTCTTCATTGATGAGGTCGTGGAGTTCTGCAGCTAATTCCACTCCCGTGGGACCACCGCCTTCATAGTTGCCAGTTCATCGATGAAAGAATATTAGGAAGCAAATAGCGAGCGTACCAACAATACAGAAATTGAGAAGCTTCCAGAGATCAGCATCTGTCACAACGGGTTGATGCGTCTGCTCGAAGCCTACCCTGTGATATGAGTAACATCAACGGCAGCCAAGAAATACAGACATTGCAAAACGCGCGCTCGGATTGCCCGAGCATCTTTTACATCCTTAAGGAAATGTGCGTGTTCTTTGACCCCCGGAATACCGAATGCTGTTGAAAGTAAGTAAGCATTTGATTTTACAAAATGTCCACTCACTTTGAGGATATGCCCAACGGCTATCACAAGTTTGTCATATTGAAGAGAGAAAGGCGTGTTGCAGCTGAACTGCGAGCACTCTTTTTCATCTACGATTGTTTGAGACGAGGAAGAAAATGAAACAGGAGTGGCGAGCATCTGCGGTGCCTTGTAAACATGTTGACTGATATAGCCATCCAGCCGACGCACGCATTCCAACATCTTGCTTTTGAAATATAAAATATGTGTCTTCTGTGAGCGATCGTCCCGCTTCTAAAAATCACAGACTTACCGATTCTGTCACACCACGCTTGATACGGTATCTGTTAATCAATTTCGTATCCCTTGAACGTTATGACATAGGATGACATGACTAACAACTCGAGGAGAAAAGTGCTGGACCTGCGGAGGAGCAGATCAACAAGGAGATCCGAGAAAAAGCGGGACAATTCGCTTACGGGCTCAACAACACACCGAAATTCCAATATCCCAACGGCAGGCACTGGCTAAGAGAGGTGTAAAGTTGAAGTAATTGTTCGGAGACACTGACAACGACGTCTGGAAGAATTAAATGGATTTTAGACAGCAGAAAATAAACTGTACCCCATTTTCTCCTGTCAATACTGTGTAGAACCTTGTAGCCTCCCCATCCAGAGCCAAGATGACGAGTCGATCCTTGCGCGATGTTGAGATAAGTCGAGACTGCAGCGAGAGCAAATGCGGGTAATATTTTCTACTAATAGAACCGAATTTAAGGGTTTGACACAGGGGCACTAGCATGGTAGGACAGAAGGCTCGCTTCTAGAGGTCAGGACGGGACGACGCTCCACAACAACTTGACTCTGAAATCACCTGATAGGTGACAATGACATGGTTGCATCATGAACAGCGCGCGGGGAATTAATATTATGCTGCTCGCCACCTCTCACCACTGACGTCAATGATGATCCACAGTCTAGCATAATCAGAAAGTACATACCCAACTTGAACTTGAACTACCATGTACCCAGTCATCTCGTCTGCACTCAAAAAAGGCGCAAAAGCACCAACTCGCGTGCTCTTGGGAACTGTCCGAAACACTAGGTTAGCCGGATCGCTTCCTATGGCTTGAAGGGTAGGTTCTAACCTTTCACTTCAGCTCGGTGCACGGCAACGATCCAGTGGTACGTGCCGTTTACTTCGCCTCACCAGAATTTTGGGAGTGACGACTCGAAAGCTTATCGAAAGAGAGAAGAAAAAGAGCTTATCGAAAAGCAGAATTCAGACGTCTGCTCCCGTCGATAGCGCAGAAGGATGGAACGAGTTCCTCGCAACTGACTCTGAAGTCTTTGTCAAAGTATGTTGTATCTGATGCCTATCCCGTCTGTACTGAGGCACAATAAATATATAGGCGGATCGCAACACCGGAGTTTCTATGGCAGACCTTCAGGAGAGAACAGTGACTCACATGCGTAGCGCCCGTCAAGAAGACGAGGAGCTTTTGGATCAGGATGGGACTGATGGTCTTCCCGACCACGCAGAAAAGTAGAAAGGAATTTTAATGACATGAGACTTTTTGCACCCGATAATACACGGCGCAGGAAGCCAATGATTTCATTCCATGTCCTTAATCTTACAAATGCTTTGAGGATTCAGATGTGGTGTTTAGGTCTCCATCTGCATGCCGGTATAATGAGAAACGGAAGGAGTGGTAACGCGATGAATCTCCGGGCTCACCTTCTTTTCACGGCCTCTCTCAACGCGCCCGGAATTGGAGATTTTTCCGCCGGCGTTCTGACCATTGCCTAGGAAAGATATAAGTGTTCTGAAGGGCTAATAAAAACAGCTTGTTACCTTCATAGGCAGAGCTACGTTGTCTGCTAGCTTGAGACAAGGTGGCTGCTTCGGTAGTATTACCATAGCCAGTCCCGGTGGACTCGATAGGGTCTAGATTCGTGTCATCTTGCAAGGCGAATGAAAATGGAAATTGCTTACCGCCCACCGGCATAGTATGGATAGCATCACGAGTGACTTGATGGCCATGCTCGTCTTGAAAGTTTCTAGGATTACTTCTGTAAGCTTGCTGCTGAGCTGAAGTCATCATCGTAGAGTCGACCATTGCAAATTTGTCTCGGAGACGCGGGAAGTAATATCTTATATTGATGTCCCGTGGACATGACGTTCAAGTCCTAATGGGAATCCATGACGCATAGGTTCGCAAAAAGATCTTGAACAAATCAGGCAAAAACCGGAAGACTCTTGTGATGAGCAAAGAAAATTGGCTTGAGAACCTCAATGTCGATGATCCATGGAAGAAAACCGATATGATCACTGGGCCACCAGCACAGAGAAAAGTACTTCAAAGCATACCGGATTTTGAGCAAGGAGGTTAAACCATTGTTGAACAAACCGGAAGCAGGAAAGAGCTATTGCCAATAAGCACAGCCACGGCATCGGTCCGTATTAACCGTTTTGGTACTTTTCTTTTTGAACTCTGTATTTGATTAACCGCCTCAAGTACGCTAACTACTAAGACGCGGTGGAGGGACAGGTCCTCAGGCACTCTCCTTCCCTCTTGACCCAGTCCCTCCTCTCATTCGTCTGATTTCCCCGGGTGATTCGACGTGCGGTGTGGAGTAGAGTAACGGACTTATACAGGTATTTTTGCACCCCAGTGATGGATTAATTGAGTTGAATCTGCATTTGGCCGTCCCTTTGGGTATGCTCTCGTGTTGCGGTGGATATGCGGCGACTATTCAGGCTCATCGATCATCCTCTGAGTCGTCTTCTTCCTCCCACCACTCTCTTTCCTCTTCCTCCTCCATTTCCGGGGCCTGTCTGGGGCTTCGCGTCTCCCCTGATCGAGTAAACGCCCCCGGATTCTCAATGAACTCGCCCAGCGCTGCGATCCCTTCTTTTGGTGCCAAGGATGTCCGGCAGGTACAGGGTCCTTGATACGTTTCGAAGTATTTCCCGTTGCATTTCATAGCGTGGGCATTCACAAATGATATGTTCGCGTGTCTGGAAGAGTTCGCCACAAGGGCAGTCAACGTTCTCACTTGGCATGAATTGTGCGTAGTACTCGCCTATGTATCCGTGTCCTGTTCTGCATTGTAGGACTCGGCCATAAACGTCCCTTTTCCCTGCGAGGTCCAAGAAGTTGTGTCGGCCTCAACGACGGCGGGAATCTGTTTGCCGTCGCATATCGTCCATGCTTAGGGCTGGCCTCTCATATTTTCTTCCATTCCGCCGCTGTCTTTGCTTTTGCTTCTCTTCTTGCATTGGCCCTTGTCCTGCCCATCGCGTCTGTTGACTTTTCTGCTCCCCTCTTTGCTAGGTAGTCCGCTCGCTCATTTCCTTGTATGTCCTTGTGTCCTGGACACCATGCGACTTCCACCGTATGAGATGGGTTGCTGTCGAGGAATTACCGTATTCGGCGGTGGAATACTATTGCGTATGCCTGTCCCGTCCTGGGCACGGAGTCGAATATCGCCTCAATGGCTGATGTGTTATCGGCAAAGAAGTGGAGGTGCTTCACTTCCTCGTCTTCCTTTGCGTGGTTCGTCGCTCTGGTTGCCCCCATTGCAAGTGCTGCCATCTCTCCGTCATAGACTTCGGCTTTCTCCCCCAGTCCCATGTTGAGCTCGAACGTCTGTGTCCTGTCTCTGTATCCCACGATTCCTGCTCCTACTCGGTTGCTCCCCCGTATGTCCCGCTGCGAACCATCCGTATAAACCAACAGGTGGTCTCGGGTTTGCAGCCGTCTGATGTAGTTGTTGTGTCACTGCAGTGGCTGGTGCGTTTTTGATGGTATAAAACGGGATTCTAAAAGGTTTCGATTTCAGCTTTAATTTTTACGCCCCCGTTTTGAGTACTGTAAAACGAAATGTTATCTCAATTCCTTTGTTCTATAGGAGGAAAGATTTTTCATACCGTTTTACAGACGGCCTTTTTGGGACTGACAAAGGCTTCACTAAAACGAAACCTTTTAAGGTTCCGTTTTTTACGATCTAAAATGAAACGGCCTCTGCTGTGTGTTGGTGCGCTGCTTCGTCTTTAGACAGGCCATTCGTCCCACTAATGATGAGCCTTTCCCCGTAGTCGTGTTTGGTGCGTCTCCATGGCGCAGCATGTTCCGAGAACGGATGTAGACGTTCGTCGTCGGGGTCTGTCAACGCTGCAATTTGTTGCAGCGGGGTCGTCTTTTTGAGCTCTGCAGCTGCCCTGGATGCTTGTGTGTCGGCAGGGGGGGGCGGATTGGTGGGGTTTCTACCTGCTCTCCATCTGTTGTCAAGCCCCTGGATGATTGGGTTGCGTGTACTTAGCTTGTTGAGTCTAATCGCTGAACGCCTTGAGCACTGGTCCAGGTGTAGGCGGATCGGGGGAATTGATGCTTCGATTTCTATGGCTTCGATTGGTGTAGTGCGAAATGCTGCGATCACTTTGCGCAAGGCTCGTCTTTGAACTCGCTCTAGCTCCTTCTCATGTGTTTTCTTCTCAGTCCACCATGCCGTTGATGCGTATGTCAAGATGGGGCGTGCACACGCTATGTATAGTTGGCCGTTTTGGTACTTGATTCAAAGTTTTATGAACTCGTGCTACGTTCCCAGTACTAATCAATCAACTTTTGTGTCTCTGTTAAGATGTCCCACAGGTTGGTGATGTGCCCGGATTGTGCAGAGATTGGCGTCTGGGTTACTACATATCTTCAAGCGCCCCTTGGTATTTTCATGTTCATGCGTTGTTTCGCGCTTATCACGCGTCTCTTCTACCGTCTTTAGAGAATGACTACACGACGCGATAACGATGATGGACTCAGACTTCTTATCCCCCGTCCCTCTACACAATCTGAAAATCGCTCGTAACTAGCTGTTAAGGATCGGGGTATTTCGAGCTAATACACAAGTTAATGAATACTCAAGTAAAACCCGAGTCATGAGCGAGGATGTCCGAAAGCCGAGTTCCAACCACCAAGAGGGATCTGTAAGGGTGCTAACAAGCGCTAGGCGTAGTTAACGGGGCGTCAGCAAGCGCTAGGCGTAACTGACAGGGTTTCCGAAAAGCGCTAGGCGTAGTCGGGAAGCAGTTGATTGGCAAGCGCTTGGCGTAACCGATCAGAAATGCTTAGATCACACAGTTAAGTGGACTTTGAAGATGAGTAAATTAGCTTAAGAGATCCTAATACAACAGTAAAGACAATATTTATATACTACTAGTAAGGCAGTGAGTCATTATAATTCTACAATGTTCCGTAGTATTCTAGTATCAGCAAGAAGAATAGAGAAAGTAAGAGAAAATAAGAGAAAATACCGGTAGGCCGAGGTCAAGGCCGAGAAGGCCGAGAGCAGGCATGTGTTGACTCGTGCTCAAGTTGGAAAAGACCCCGACATCCATAACACTAGCGCCACAGCGTGAAAGCATTGTATTAGTATTTTTCAGGTAGAAAGATGTTAGATGGCTCCGGCAGCACATTCCATCAATTAAATGGTTCGCTACAGAGAGGCCCTGTCAATATAATTCTTGAACGATAGAAAAAAGGGCATACCTTCATCTCTGACCATTCGAGAATGATACTTTTTAGGCGAGCCTTTAAGGCAGCCTTTGCATTCGTCGCATGAAAGGTACCTATCTGCGAAGGCCCGAAACACATTCTCAATCCTGCTAGCCGTAATTCCTTGAAACACATCGCTATGAGTTCGAGATCGACGGGAAGCATATAGCAACAAACCAGCATTAGCACTGCACCCCAAATATGCTGCACACAACGCCCACGCCCGAGTCAAAGACTTCTGAGCTATGAAGTCACACGTCGGAGTAGCGGAGTGGTGGGCCGGGGGTATAGACAGCGCACGCTTTAATGTATTGACACGAGTTGTTTGGAGGTCAAAGAGGCGCTTGAGATATACAGGATTTATGAGTTGCGCCATCTCAGTGCTCATCGTGCCAATTTTGAAGGAAAGTAGATGACTTGATGCGGCGGTTGCAAGTTCCTCGAGACCATAATTCGAGGCAACGACGTAAACTTCTAGTGGTGAGAGCGGCATCTGGAAACGAATAACGTCGAAGAGCGGCGATGAAGGTGAGACAAAAGCTTTGGGTTCCAGGCCGTATTTAGGAAAGAGGCGGACAGCAGTTATGAGATGATCGATGGTGTGTCGAAATTGAGAGCATGATATACCGTATATCGCGTGCAAAATGATATTGAGCATTTCAGAAGTCTCCTGGACGGAAACGCAAGGCGTGTGATGTTCCAAGAGTTTGTTAAATGCATTCGTAGATGCAATGATGATTTCGCGATAATGAACTTCGAAGAGAACAGAATCTGACGAAACCAGCTGGATGTCTGGAAGGTAGTTATGATGTTTGAAATTTTTATTGAATTTAGTCGAGATAGCCTTCACGTCCGCGCTGGCTTGCTTTGGCTGTAACGAAGGGGTAAAGGGGTAAATCGATATCGCTACGAGGTAATAGATGTACTCACGGGAAATGAGATCGTCTCGGGGTAACTGTATTGAAACGTTACCCCAGTCCCCGCCTTATCGCAACCTTCCAACCAAACGGTAGCAGGTACAGTCATGTTATTTTCACCCACTAGCCCATTGGACTGAAGGTCTATTCCCGCCATGCTGTATTCTCCACTAGGCAGAAGACCTGGCTCGTTAGCATTTGACTCCTGGGAGAAGTGGTGGGTATTTTTACCGGAGAGCCGATACGGGGGTCATCCCACCTGGAAGGCCTTGTAGGGCTGTCTGGGTTGTTCCACATTCTTCTACGTCGAATGGAGTATTGAACATGGTCAATATGGCATCCGTGGCATCGTTTGGATCAACCATCTGCTATACGAGAGTGAGGACGTTGCTCACCACAATAAAGTAAAAAGCACTCACGAAATTGCCTGCAGCAAGAGGTCTCGTACCGAAGTTGTCGTTTCGGAGGGACAACTGGACATCGTCCAACCTTTGGAGCTCTCCCGCCACCCGGAAAGTGGTACTCGAAGTGCTGAGAGTAGATGCTCGCGTATGGTCTGGTATCTATAGCAATAGCCTGCTTAGAGGGACAAGTAGCAACAAAAACGATCACTCACGAAAGTAGAGGAGGGTGTCATGATATTTGGAAGAGCCGCGTTAGTACGATATTCCGCCGCCTCCGATCCAAAGTTGAAGATAGATGGGGGTATGAAAGGCAGAGGCTGCGCCTTGAATCAACTTGAATACCTTGGTGGGGAAAAACAAAACCAGAAGAGCGTGCTTACTGAAGGAGCTATAATCATATTTGTACTTAAAGGTGTAGGAAGATAATGCTCCTGAGACAAAACAGGTCTGGCTTTCTGGTGATTGGAAGTCTTTGTAGCACCCGATATCACGGTCATATTTTTCGAGTTCATGGAGGCGACACGGGGGTGAAGATGAGATGACGATCCTTAAGAAGGTCCCTTTTATCTGGAGATATGAAGCTGTTCCTATTGGAGCTTTGATCTAAGCTCCATGCCGTGCCGGAATCCTACTATTTTCTGCTCGGGCGTATTCACATCGAGGCCTTCGTGTTTCTAGAGCGATGTTATCAAACGTCATGATCCGGATTTAGCAGAGATGCTGATGTCAGTGAGGAGAAACGAGAGGGATGCAAGTTGTCTCGAGGTCGGACGAACTGTGAAAACCTGCGCGTCCGAGTCAGCAAAACTCTCAGGGAGCTATATGATATCACTGGTGCTGTCAATCCAATGATCCACTCAATATACTTGAGGTAGTGCCCAGTGGGGCGGCAGTTCTTGACAGTGGGAAGAAGATAAAAAAAGCTGTCGTAACAACGGGCTTCGGAGATGTCGATGGCACCATAAGGTCCAGTTGTCATCCGCAATGGCCAGTAGTGACGCAGGTCAAGTCCTCTCGCTAGATGATTTTCTCTGTTCAAAAATTACGTCTAGAATTAGACGCTTCAACAAGCTGCATCCTAAGTTTGTGGTAGTTGATGCTAGGTGATAGATCATAAAATATCTGTGAGGCCCGACGTGATCCTATGGAGAGAAGGATAGACCTGCTTTGATACTCCTGGCAAACTCCTCACACTGCGACCACCCAAACAACGTCAGAGTCTTTAGCCTTGGAAATAGCACGATCGACTCTATAATCCGCTGCATAATCACACTCTTGTTCCTCGCAGTCAACGACGAATCAATATACAAGGTTGTAATCCCGGTGAGGAGGTGCTCATATCTTGGAGTTACACTTAGCCACTCCTCCGAGGTGTTCAAATCCAAGAGGGGAACATCGAGAGTGGTTATAGTGCCATGGAGGGCGATGTTCCGGAAAAGTGTCTGCACAGTACTCGGGGGCGGCAGTGTGAGAGGGAACAGGCTGGCCGAACCATAGCAGGTCACGCTGTGAATCTGGAGCATGGAATCGAGCGAAGATAGTAATTGAGACAGACAATCTGCCGACGAGCTGAGAGATTTTAGCTCAGGAAGGGAACCCGGGGGAAGGGAGGCATCGTCGCAGGTCACTCTGAGCATAAGATTGTTGATGGTAGGATGGCGGGATAAAAAGGGAGTGATATCAGTGAGATGAAGATCAGGGACACCGAATGACAAGTTTTTGCAAGGATGGAAGGAAGAGGGAGGGCAGCAATGCGCGAACGTCAACGTTTACCAGCGAGACTTCTGTGAGGGGTGACAGATTCATCGTGCTGATGGTCCAGTCACGGAAAAAGTCTGCGGACATGAAATGAGCGCGGGAGATAGAGATATCTTTGAGCGTGTTGACGATGGGGCCATCGAACTTGGCACCTTCGGCATACTCGACTTGGGGTGCGTTGTTGATGTCGAATGAATGGCACTGCACGCTGTGTAAGTGACGAAGGAGGCCAGAGATCGCCGCACCACATTCAATGGGGGAATATGCGGCTGGTGGCTGGAAGAGCGTTGGCCACCCAGGAAAGTGTAAAAATACAGAGTGCAGCTCTCTCTCCGTCTTGAAAAGCCTCGTTACCTGCTCCATCTCCTTGGCACACTCTCCCAGCGAGAATTGGCAGGAGAATAAATCTACATGATCTTTCATCGAGAACGCAAGCCGGAGAGCAGGGATGCTGCTGAATGACAGACCGGAGCTCCCAAACCGCATAATGATGGACGATAGTCCAGAAAAATACGTATTATGCGGGAAAAGGATTTGCGCAAGTGCTAGGGAATTGATTCTTTTACACAAGCAAGAAACGGCAATGAGGCTGGAGGTGTCAAGGTCTTGAAAAATGAGAAGTAGGAGTTCATTTGGGAGATGGTTGAGGGTGGTAGAGGGGGGCATCTCTGGTAATCTGCCTGCTACTATCAATGAAGCGTAAAGCCTTCAAATTATCCCCAAGCGTCCCAGGTGCTATGCGAGATAAATGCTGAAGAAATCCACTGAAGACGAGCAGGAGTAGGTCTGAACACAAGAGAAAAATGATCGGGGCCGGTCAGGCCGAGACTAAACTCGGGCCGATAACTCCGAGTCGAACTCCGGCCTACTCCGACAGCGCACAAAAAAGACCTCAGGGCTCTCAGGTCGCCCAGTCGGACTCATTGATTACCACCCCCAGGTGGCCATCCGGCCCTAGCTTCCAAAGCGTCTATGGAAGCTCACAATTCAGCCTTAATACCTTATCTTCATAAATTATAATACGCCACCCCCATTACTTAGTCCGATTAATGCCATGAGGTGTTCAACCTACCTTCTCAGTTCTCCTGTACCTGCTTGGTACAGAAAACATCATACTTAGGCATGAATACATGACAAGGAATGCTCTCCAAGGTAAAATCAAAGGGATGATTCATGACGGCCTAATTAATTTCGCAAATAGTCATCATTATCCATCAATGTATATTAAGTTTCGTACCGCCACGGTTTGAGGGTGATTTCTCACATAACCAGCATTAGAACATTGAAAATTGAACGTCACATATTTTTTCGAACGGAGGATGATATATAACACTTAGTATGAATTCGACGTTCGTACGAGATGTACTCAGACCAACCTGCCTTGCTTTTTCCAATAACCGCCACTTTGTTTCGATTCTGCAAAGCATTAACCGCAGAAATCCCACCGTCTACTAAGGACTTATAGAAGGAATCAGACAAACGAAACCACGAGATCTACAACACAATACTTTCACCCGTTAACGGGCCAGAAGCTCCAGAAAGGAGGAACCGGACATCTATGACCTGAGAGCCGAGACGCGTCCGACCTTACTATCTACGTTGTTTGAATTTGGAGGACGCTATGTCTATTGCACTTAGATTTGCTCGTAATTGATATCAATCATTGTGTTCGTCAATGATGAGAACAGATTTCATGAATCTGCAACCCATATTATAAATGTTAGCATCTACAACATAACCGAATGTCGTACTCAATAGGGTTCTCGGTAGATGGTATGATAGATATTAGATCTATCTATATCTAAAAATGTTTCCACGACATAGAATTCTACCTACTCGTCTTCATGAAGTGAACATTAAGCAGAGAAAGACGTTGAAGGAATATATTTTCCTCCGCCTTTCGAGAAGATATCCTACAAAATGCCCGATCAGTCTTGCGTCCAAGGCTCAGTGGCAATAAGATATTGAGTACCTTGATAATACCCTTAAATATCATGGTCAAAGCTTCCCGACTCTCCCACAACGGGTACAGAACCACAGCGAAGGCGGATAAGAAAGTCCAAATGATCCCGATAACAATCCACGCTGTCAACCCCGCGGTTCCATATATCGTCGAAGCGAAAAAGAGTGGTAGCGGTACTATTATAATCAAGATCAGCAGCTTCATTGAATGTGTGAGTTTTGGGCACGAGGACACACAAAGGACAAAGGCCTCACCAACACGACTGACGACCAGGTGGCGAAATTAAACGCTTTCTTTAATGCCTCCGGGTCAAGGTCTTCGTCCTCAACACAAGCCTCGTGTGTCGAAGAGGATACACCTGGTGACTTCTCCTTGTGATCCAGATCGTCGCAAGTAACTTCACCCTTTGATTTCGAGATACCCGAGATGCTTTCAGGCCGATTAAGCGAACGAGTAATCTCGAAGTCAAAGTTTTCAGGCCACTATTTGGTTAGATTAGACGATGTGGAACCGGGAGAAGTGAATGAAGCCTACAATCAGAGAGGACACAGTTGCTATAATGCCTCCGACACCAATAGATGCTAAATTTCCAGCTAGCATCTCATAATCGCCTGTTGAAATGGAGTGAGTTTAATGAGAAATGAATCGGACAATTCACATACCTCCGCTGGTCTAATATTGCTTAAACATTAGGACGAGGCGCCATGGAATAGAAAAGGAAGACTCACGGTGACGTTAATAACACCGCCATTGAGGCATGTAGTTGTTACAAGCCATGCAATGATACCAGCGGCAAACCCAGCCATCGCACCAGCTATGCAACCCCACTTATTGGCCTTCTTCCATGTGATACAAAGAGCGATGGGAACTACACCCGAACCAAGGATAACCCCCATGAAGGTCTAATGATCATTAATATCGATTCTAATAGCGAAACAAAAGGCGCACGTAAAGCCATCCCATAGAAACACCGATGTAATAGAAAATGAGTCCGGCCAATCCCATGATGACTGCATACACAGCTACCATTAAATGGCCTATCCTCAGAATCTGCTGCTCCGTCGCTCTGGGGTTGATATATTTCTACGGTGGATATTAACGATGCATATGGCAACCAAAAGTCAGCAACGGACCTTATACACGTCGTAAGTTAAGAGAGATGAGACCGCTATAAGTTCGGCTGAAGTGGCCGACGTGACAGCAAGGAAAAGAAGGACCAGTAGAGCCGCAGCGCCCGACTTTCCAAGTAGAGCTGAAGCTGCAGCTGCAGCCGGTAGACCGGCAGAAACGTCTGCCGCTGTTAGAACTTTCATATCTGGATCGCCGGTCAAAGCGACCGCTGAGAGACCCAGCGTTGTAGCCAAAGTGAAAGGAATAGCAAACCTACAAATATCTCATAAAAAAAACTTGAAATATTCTTAGGTTGATGGCGAACACTGACCAAGCCAGTCCTCCCAACAGGTAAGCCTTCACGGTACTCGCAGGTCTGCTAGCAATGGCACGTTGCCAATACGCCTGATCCTGGAACACGGTTGCAAAATTACCTATGATGTTGATGACACCAAAGATGAGCCCGTTCTTTGACCTCAAAGTCACGTAGGATCCATGAGCATTCCCTGAGACGGGATGCGACGCGGCTGCTGAGGTGAGAAGCTCGTACATCTTCGCCGGGCTTCCGATTTTGTCACTCGTTGCATAGACGGTGAAGACGAACGTCTGGGAAACGATTCAGCCACGGAAACAAACAGCGCGAATCCAATGAAGAAGACTGCCATACCAGGATTATAGCAAAGAGGACAGTGGTATGGGTGCTAAAGGATAATTAGATGCGTGTGTCGGGTAACCATAACGAGACGCGTACTAATCACATAAGAGCGTTGATCGCATTCCTCCGACAACGACATAGATTGCCACACCAAGGGGGATCAAGAAGCAAGCCTAATGACGTTGTCAGTGCGTGGTTTTTTACGTGTAGAGTTCCAACCGCTTACGGCGAGAGTGCTCATGCCAGTCAGATCAGTGACAGTAGCGCTTCCACCGAGAATGAGCATAGGAGCTCACGATGACATTCGTAGCTAACCTATAGAACCGTATGAGTGAGCATACAAGTCGGCGAGAGAATCTACGGAGAATACCCGAAGAACATAAAGACAAGGTGAGCCGTCTTTCCCCATCGAGCACCCACAATCTCAAGCCATGTGTGGGCGTACGGCGCGTTCAGCTTAAGTTTGGCCGCCAACTATGTGGAAATGAAATGACGGATTATGAATGGGGCCCGGTAAGAAAAACACCGGAATTACTTACCATCGCAAACAGAAGAACTTGGATTGTTGCCCCGGCTGCGCAACATATTGCCAGTTAGCAAACCATTACTTACTGCCAGATCATGGAACGTTGAAGTTACTGACAAGCATACCAATACGGACCACTAATGCCTACGCCGAAGTCAACATTTGGCAGCGATCAGGGCCAACACTTTCGTACCATATTTATACGCCACTGCCGAACTTTGAAGCTACAGAGAACATCAGAGTCAAAACTAACCCTACAAGGATCATAGGTACGTACCAAGGTCGCCGCCCACGTCCACTAAAAAAGCCGATTCACACGACAGTCATCTTCGGAATCTGCACTGAAGTAACGGTCGCACGTACAGCAGAAACGATACCCGACGCTATCAACCCCGGTTTCACGCTTCGTGAAGCACTACTGAACTCTTCCGAGTTCTTCGGAGAAAAAGCGGTGTACCGGGCTTGAATTGCGGTCAACCCGACCATGAATGCGCTGAAAAACAGGCCTATGCCTGTTTTTCCACGTCTTGTCATTACTGCACCTCGAAGAGTATACTGAGATAATGCCTACCGACAACCACTAAGAAGCAGAAGTTCGTGAGAACAGGAAGGTGTAATTCTCATAGAGGTAGTACTCACCTCCATAGCCGGCTCCTTGTGGTAACACTTGTGCTCCATCCGACATTGTGTGCGACAAGTACCGGCGGAGAAGTTGAGAATTAAGTGTAGTACCATGCTTATCTTTGCCTCTTCGATAAGCCGATAACGTTCAATTCAAAGTGTCGAGGCGCCGTGTGATCCATATGGTCTTCTTATTGATAGAGTCCGTTTAGTCGCCGTGGCCCGTAACCAAAACTAGATCGTCGCCGGGATTCCCCTTTCGGCCCGGCACTCCGACATGAAGGGGCAATGGCTGAAGGATGGATATTCCGTAGTACCCCAGAACGTTGTTTAACATCGCATAACGCGGAGAAACATGAATATACGTCCGACTAGGGCGAAGTTCTATTTCTCCGTTGAAAATCCGATGAAATTATTTCAGCAGAGATATGAATAAGGCGGGTCTCCGGTGGTCCGACTAAGTTTATTTGTGAATTCCAGGAATGCAAATCCATGACCCCTCAAGTTCCGCTAGAATGAATATATAGGGACAATAATGAATAGATGACTCCCACTGCTGTTTCATAACTAGTCTCTATCACGGCATAGACTGTTTTTCAATATTTGTCGTTCACGCAGGCTGAAGACAGGCCTAGACAGGCCTATGCCTGGACCTCAAGCTTAGCCTGAAAAGCAGGACCGAGGCCGAGCGGTGAAGAGTCTCAGTCAGGACTGAGGACAGAAGTTCACAGAACCCTGTCATTAAGCACGTGACCGTGATTTCGTGATTGTGGGAATTATATCCTTCTTTGAGAATTGTGCTGACCAGAACGTGCTTCGACCATGGCTTCCTACGTTATTTCATCGCGGGCCTACTTCAAGATATTCTTTCATGCTGCCAAGCATCCTCATCAACCCAGTTAACGGCGTATTGGTCGGCAAGGAGGAGGCAGGAACCGTAACCATCGTCGATATCATCCCGCTTCTACACCACTGGACAAGTCTAAGCCCTATGATGGAGATTGGCCTAGGATTTGGTACGTTTGTCGGTCTCTGTATCTCTGTATTCATCTGACTTTGAGCTAAAAGGCAGGAAGGACCTGCAGAATCCATGCATATGAAGCTGGTTGGGTACTACCAAGCATCTGAACGGATAGATGATACCGCGTTGGCCCCAGTCGGTGGAAAGATTGCTTCAAAGGTGAAGGAAGGATTCGGCGCGGCTGTTGCCTTCGTGGTGTGTGTTTAGCTCGTGACCGACATCGCCTTCTCAGTGGTGACATATAGATTGACGGCAACAAGCTGGGCACAGGCGATGCTGCCCTCGTCGTGCGTACCATTCAGTTCAGATTACGGACACCGTCGTAACCGATTCTTGTAAAGCCTTACGTCTCCCAAGGATCGTCTTGGCGGTGTAACACTACAACGCCTGCGGATTTTGCGCCCGGTTCTGTATTTCAGCTAGCTTCAGCCGATTTACCTGCTCGAGCGGTCAAACTCGTCCAGGAAAAGCGCTTGCATCAGAAGTTTGGCGATTTCGATGACCATCTTGAGGATGTGACCATAGGTACGTGTGCTCGACTGACAGTGATTGTCGTGGTTGACCTTGCTGGTAGATTGGCTGAAAAACAAGGATTGCCTACCTCCCGATGTTTTGTAGGCAGTATCAAGCTCGTCCTGCTGTTGTATCATATTCATGGGGGCCCTGATTGTGACAATGGATATGGTGGCGCTGGATGGCTTCCTCTGGTCCAGGTCAGCTACCCGTGCTTTGCCCACGAGTCGCTCTCCCCAGTCCCTTTCTCATCTTCAAAGTACTCCCGATGCGACAAGATCACCTTTTTCTTGTGTCTGTCCCCATGGTGCTATTGTCTACTTTCTGTGTAAATCCTCCGTCCTTGAAATCAGCATATATCACTACTGTTCCTGAGCTTCGCAGATACCGCAGCAGTTAAGCACCCTCCCAAGAAACGGACGCCTCCGGCCATTGCAATGGTCAGGTGAAATTTCGCGTATGCCATTGCCATCGCATCCTGGTTCATCTCGTTCACTAACGTTTAGATCCCACTGATGCCAAGAAGTGCCGTCATTTCCTCTACTACTCACTATAACCACAGGAATGAAGCCCATGAGTTTTTCCTTGAAACACTTTTTTGGATTCAGAAGTAGCGGTTACATATGTCGTGCGGACTATGTCGTATGTCTATATCCACTTCGATGTTGCACTTGCTTATTATTTGTTTGACAATAGAGATGCCACAGCCACGCACATCCTTAGACTAGACTCGTCGAGAGACGTCACCCGGCCATTTCACTGTACAGCGGGATGCAGGCTACTAGGGGAATTCCGTCTGTTCTCCACGGTGATACTCGGCCTGCCACTTAGGCTTCGCAGCCTGCAAATCGGCATAACTATCCACCTACTGCTGGGACTCTTGTCCACGGGTTTATGTTTGACATCCGCTGTCAGGCTTGTGAATTCTGTACTGTACCGGTTTACCTATATGAAGCTGTGCGATAGAGTCACATTCACCATACGACGTCCTTCGACTCCATGACAGGCGTGCCAAGATGTCGATAGTTCCTCAATTTGATCAGTTCTTCCGCGGGACTGAGGAGCCGTAAAAGATTTATGGGGTTTTGTCTAGTCCCTTGCCTCTCTCAGAGCGGAATGTGACTGAGGGCGTCGCTAGAATATCCTGCTGAGCGTACTGAGACTTACTTACTGGACTTACCCCACAGTGGGCAGCCTTCATGCTTTGAGAACTTCCCGTGCCTTGGCAAGAAGCAGAGTTCGTCCCTGATACGTACACTTGCCAAAATAAGCATTCATAGCCTTTGTTGGGTGGACAAGTCTGATTCCTTGCCATGGAAGCAGCGTCGTGACGAACTCAGCCTCCTTGACGGGCGCCCAGTCCAAGGACGGGCTTAGTGCCTTTCGCCCACCTCTGACCCGCGGCCCTACGTGTTCTTAAGCTTCAGGTCTTTTTCTGTCTCTGAAAAACACAGATACAACACTGAAACCGGGTGTATCCATCTCCTTTCCGTCATTGATCGTAGCAATTTCATTTTTCAGGCCAGCGGGCGGGATGGCAACTGCACCAGCACCTCTTGATATATTGTCCATGTGCGCTTGACTTATTCCACTCTTTTGCACTACACCATGGGTCTCGAAGATTCTGACATCTATCCTTTTTCAGCGAGTTGACACTATTGGCCACAGGGGTTTCAGTGTACCCGATCCGTAAGCTGCGTCTTAGATACTCTAGTACGGCGTTAACGAAGGTTTCGTCCAGTTTTGCACCCAGACAATCACCTCGAGGGACCTTCGTCAACGCTGTGCTCGCCACTGCACTATTCCGATGCTGGCACATTCTGATATTCTTCTCTGCATGGGGAACGCTTATCACCATCCTCAATCACCAGGGCCATGAGCTTTACTTTACGGCGACGCTCCTCACTGTGTTGGTCTATTATAACACACTGCTTGATCCGACGGACCATAACTTATGTCCAATCCATAGGGTCGGTACCGTGCTTGGTTTCGTCATATCTTATCGTACAACTTCGTCGTTCGAGCGGTATAACGAGGGTCGGCGGTTATGGTCACAAATTATTTTGGCGAGTCGGACTTTTGCTCGAACGGTGTGGTTCCATATACCAGGTGCCTATCAGCTGTTTCTCGTTTCGGACTTTCTTCAACTCTTTGATAACAGATCCGCCTGCGACGGAATCTGCTTCTGCAGAGGAGCTCAAGGCACGAGCGATGGTAGAGAAAAAGACCGTCATCAATTTACTCGAGGCATATGCTGTGGCAATCAAGCATTACTTGCGTGGGGAAGATGGTATTTATTACAAGTACGTCTATTTTAGTCGCGTTTCTTCATGTCTAAGTATTTTTGAACACCAGGGACCTGTACTACCTTGTCAAGTTTCTTCCCGCCTATGCGCTTCCTCCAGGCATACCCTCTCATCCGGACCAGAAGCAGATGGATGAAGGGACATTCGCTCGCTCCGACGGATTCTCCCGTACAACCGACGGCCAACGGCAATCGCCAGTCTTTAGATCGTCCTTCCGGTGGCAACCTGCTGCATCACAGAACCTCGGTATCCTCCGCGTCGGCTCCAGCAGGTCTACCCCTACCAGCGACAAGCCCGATCTCCAAGAAGCCCGTATTCTTGGAGCATTGGAGGAGCCCAGAGCCCAAGGGACGTCACGCGGACCCGCACAAAGATAAGATGATATTGAACAAGGCCGACGAAGCTTACCTACTACCAGCTAGTATGCCTCCAAAATACCACTTGTTCGATCTGTTCCCGTTCTCGTTATTCATCCAGCTTCTCACCAAGCGGGGTAAAGAAATCAAGGGCAAGAAGGCAGCCAGGATAAGGGCTAAGATGAGGGACAGAGGACGTCTCGCACAATCTGCCGCTAGAAATATCCCTGTATCTCGTAAGCATCGCCGATGACCATGCCAGCTGAACATCACAACTGACAAACCGTTCAGAGTTCATATATATCAGCGCTCCAAAAACGGAAAACGATGGACGTACCTACGACAAGTGAATATCTATCTATCTGTTTATTTCTGGGAGCTTTTGGTTGACATGTGCATACGACAGACACACTGCTGGCGGCGCTCAATCAGCTTGTTGACAGTCTCACCGGTCTCGAACGTATTCTCACGACACCTATCCCTTTCTCGTCAGTACATTATGTCCCATGATGATATTTCCCTCATGTCGCTTAACTGAATTTAATTCAGTTACTCCATTCACCTCTGGGTGGTAACAATCCTGTATAATTTGTGTTTGGTGAGATCCGCTCGCTTTGCGTAGGAGCTTGACTTAACGCCGCCACCTCTATAGCCATTCCAGATCTGGCAACCCTTGGGGTGGATCACCATTCCAGCCTGTTCGATTCTGGTACGTCCTTTCCACTCACATCACATCAACATGTGATGTACTATGACCTCGACCTCGGCCTCATATTCACTTTAGAGCTTTATATTCTTCGGGTTCCTGGTGGCTGGGGAAGAAATAGAGAGTAAGTGTGGGGTTTCGACTATACTATGATAAGTTGGACTGAAGTACTATTTTGATCAGATCCCTTCGGGTATGACAAGAACGACCTGGTAACCACTAGCCTCTCTGGATGAAACGCACCCATCACTTACTGCGCCTCCACAGAACATGGATCATTTCACTTCGAATATCATCCGTTAGCACCCGTTCCACCACCCCATGGGCATCCGAAGAGACTAATTCTACTCTTTATAGGCAATGAACTCAGGGCCATTACCTCGGCGGCGGCGCCAGATCCTGCTCGCTGGGCTTTCGCTCCAGAAAACGATCTGCTGTTTGCCACGAATTATGACAAGGACGAGCGGGTATCACCGGAGGAGTGGGCACGAAGAGGGTCTACACAGATGCAGGCTGCTGCAAGTTTTATCTAACGATATATCCTTTGGGCACTGGCGCTTTTTAAACATGGACCCGGCCCGCAGACAAAAGTGATCCTGGAGGACAAGATGGATGCTCTCCGGACAATTATCAAAAATTAACGTTCTTTGCTACGTTGGACTTTTAAATCTTCACGCTATATATATATAGATGTATCCACATCATCTACCTCACTTGCATATTTTATAGAGTACCTACAATGTCATCACATGTTTTTGTTGAAGAGGACTCGAGCCGGCGGTATTGTTATCCCGAAATGGTAATCAACCTCTGACTCGGTAAATTTTGTTATGAGGCTTAGTTGTCGTCTTCCATCTATCCGATTTCTGCCATCGTACACCCGTCGTATTCATCACGTTCATCGCAACAATTCTGAAATGTCGACGGTGAACAAGAGTGCCCATCCATTCGACAAGGCGCAGCTGGAGGCTCTGTTGAGCAGGAGATTTTTCTACGCGCCTGCATTTGAGATCTACGGTGGTGCGTGACCTGCGATACTACTGAATATATGCGGTTCTGAAGATTCCTTGTAGGCGTTGCTGGATTGTATGACTATGGCCCGCCTGGCTCGGCTCTGCAAGCGAACATAATCTCTGAATGGCGGAAACACTTCATCGTAGAGGAATCGATGCTCGAACTGGATACTACCATTATGACCCCTGCTCCTGTCTTCGAGACTTCTGGCCATGTGGCACGATTTGCAGATTGGATGGTGAAGGACACGAAAACGGGCGATGTACTTCGAGCGGATCATTTGGTGAAAAATGTTCTGTCAGCGCGACTTGCAGACGACAAAGAAGTTAGACTGGGTGCACAGCAACCCGTAGATCCTGCGGCTGCAAAAAAGAAGAAAAAAGACAAGACGCCGCCTAAGGTTGCCTTGGATCCTGCCGTTGCGAAGGAATACGAAGTGATTTTGGCTCAGGTCTGTTTGTATTGTCATATTGGCCCAGCAAGCGAACTAACTAACAAATCTGGAGACAGCTAGACAACTATTCTGGTCCAGAACTGGGTGAATTGTGCAAAAAATATAACATACGAAATCCTGACACGGACAACGAGGTTGGCGAGCCTCAGCTGTTCAACTTGATGTTCGCGAGCAGTATCGGCCCGACCGGCCAGCATCCTGGGTACGTCTAGCCCCTCCCTCCAAATGTTCTTTCTCCATCTCATCTCTTTCTCGTTCCAGCTACCTTCGGCCAGAAACAGCCCAGGGCCATTTCCTCAATTTCTCCCGTCTCTACGACTTCAACAATGGCCGTGTCCCCTTCGCCTCTGCACAGATTGGTCGATCTTTCCGTAACGAAATCTCACCACGCGCTGGTCTTCTTCGTGTCCGAGAATTCACTATGGCCGAGATCGAGCACTATGTGGATCCTGAGGACAAAAGTCATGTTCGGTTCAAAGAGGTCCGCGATGTTATTCTTGTCCTCCTTGATCGTCATGTGCAGGCGAGCGGTAGCACTCGGGTGGTCGACATGACTGTAGGCGAGGCTGTGGACAAGGGAATCATCGCTAACGAGACTCTGGGATACTTCATGGCACGTATCTATCAATTCCTACTCAAGATCGGTATCAACCGCTCGCGGCTGCGGTTTAGGCAGCATATGGGCAATGAGATGGCTCACTACGCCACCGACTGTTGGGATGCAGAGATCGAGAACTCGACTGGCTGGACAGAATGTGTGGGATGTGCAGATCGAGCCGCATATGATTTGTCAGTGCACTCGAAGAAGACTGGACACCCGCTCGTTGTACGGCAGTACCTCAAAGAGCCGATCGTTACGGAGAAGCTTGTTGGTGACCTGAACAAAAAACTGGTTGGCAAGTCGTTCAAGCAGGATGCCGGCGTCCTGACGAAACACATCGAGTCCCTTGACGAGTCGGAGCTCCTCAAGTTGAAAGAAGATCTATCTAAAGGGTAACAAAATTATATTCCCTGTTCCGTTCAATTGAATATTTTCTCACGTTTATTGCGATTTAGTAACGTCAAGATTGAAACTTCGGAAGGGATGTCGTTTGAGCTGTCTCCGGAGTTTTTAAGCATCGAGAGAAAGACCTTCAAGCAGAGCAGTAAGTACCGATTACCGGAACTTTCCGTTGATACTGATTGGATCATTATCAGTTCGTGAATACACTCCGAACGTCATTGAACCTTCCTTTGGTCTCGGGCGTATCCTATACACTTTGCTGGAACACAACTTTTGGAGCAGAGAACAGGATAAGGAGCGAGGGGTACGCATCATTATGCATTAATTGAAAGGAACGTTCATCTGACAACTCTTCGATAATGAATGCAGGTACTATCGCTTCCTGCTCTGGTAGCACCGACCAAGGTCCTTATCGTTCCCCTAAGTTCCCGGGAGGAATTCGATCCCATAGTTGCAGAAATCTGTACGTCTAACGATGACTATTGCTCAGGATGAGGTGATACTGACCCCTTCGCTCCCATGACAGCTGCTAAATTGCGTAGGGCGGGTGTATTCTCTCGTGTCGATGACTCTAATGTATCCATCGGACGTCGTTACGCACGAAATGACGAACTCGGAACACCCTATGGAATCACTGTTGATTTTGCCTGTGAGTATTCTCGCTACGTCATTTTTTCCGATTGGGAAAATCATCCCTAATGGTATGTCAAAACAGCCGTGCAAAATAGGACCGTAACGTTGCGGTGAGTTCCCCGTCTCCTTCTTTTCGATTTCAGGTACTGATTAACCTGTCCATCTGCCTTTGCAATGTTATTCAGCGAGAGAGATACCATGGATCAGAGAATTGGTTCCATCGACGAGGTGATTGCGGCAGTTACGGATTTGGTAGAGGGGAGTATCGAGTGGCCTGAGGCTTGCCAGAAATTACCTGCTTACGATGGCGTGCAAGCCGTCGATTAATGAATGAACGTACTACGACGTTCGAGGAGTAAATGTATTGTTAATGTAGAGAGCTAATAGAACTGACGATCTCGGGCGGCAGGCTATACTTGGTGACGAAAACCCGGGGGGAACGGCTATCCGGTGTGGCAGGTTAAGTTCAAGTTGTTGATGATCAAGGGTGATTCCCGAGGAGCTACTAAAGTACGCGGGGGGGATGCCAAAGCAACCATGCAATATGCTTATTAGCCTGCCATAGGGATAAGTGCTTGCGTAATGCGGGCGGGAAGGGTTTTTGTATTATGATTACAGGTCAACAGACAGGGCCTACTATTCATAGGATGCAACCCGTGAACTGAGTATCATCCCGCTGGTCGGATCTATGTTGAATAGATCGAGAGGAAGAGACCAATGTTTATTTTCGGTATCGGGGCTAGAAGAGACGGGGAAGTTCACTACGGGAAGAACAGAAGGGATGAAACAGGGAAGGAAGGAAGAAGACTGGATATGTTGGGAAGAGAAGGGCAATAGAGTGGGGTCACAACATGTTTTAGTGCTTGCGAGGTAAAGCCTGCCTGCTACGAGAGAGGAAGTTGAGATGCCTGTGCTCGGCGGGGTAGTTTTGACGTATACACGTAGGATAGACGGTGCGTGGGATGAATGTTCTACATTATTTAGTTTGATAACAGTGATCACTTCCATGCGACCTAAGCCCTGAAGGCGTCGGATTCACAGTGGCAAATCCGTTCAGAGATAGTCCGTGTAAGTAATTCCTGCTTGTGGCTGGATACATAATCTGTCTTATCAGCGAGGGTAGTGTAATAAGCGCAATGTACCTGCACATCGTACGTCAGATAGAGCGTAGCCTCTTGTTGTGGTATCAGATTCAACAGTGAGGGCGACACGTGTGTGAGAGACCGCAGCGAGCGCGCTAAACTCATGACGGTCAGATGACAGGCGGCCCGGCGGAAATCAATTGTCGCCCTCAGCTCGGCAGAAATCGCAACCGTCTGGTCCGGGACAGCGCGACCGAGTACGCAGGGCTGCCCTTGTGCGAACCTCGGCCGGGGGGGAGGAGGAAGGGGGAGGCACCAAGACAAAGGCTGAGCATATCACAGAAAGAGGGTATTTCATCGATGGGTGCGATAGCATGTTTGGCGTATGTTTCTTTGAAAGAGAGGGACAAAGGGCAGTGAGCACGTTGAGGGACCAAGGAACGAGGCGCGAGATATGGACAGGGTTTAGGGACCAGGTTAATGAAACTCCGAGAAAAATCCTGTTTGTACGCCCATTTCCAAGGACGTGAGTAAGTAACGAAAGGGAAAAGATTAACAGAAAGATGGCCGGCAAAGTGGCCTTAGGAATAGCCCTACAAACGGTGATGCAGGGAAATTATTCGCAAGAGTTGATTAATCTTTGGTTGCCGCGTTTTTCAGGGAACCCCAGAAGATTGCAGCGTGGCCCTTGTGTCTGACAAATTACAAAAAGGAAATTGAATTTTTTTTCAGAAAAAGAGAATAGCCGGCAGGAAGCCGGGTTTTATCGAAACAGAAACGGGACGGCATGAGAACGAACGAGATCTGGGATGATCCTTTGTGAATCTCGCGTCGCCGACACATGGCTTCCAAGAAGGCACAACTACCGGAGAAGAGAGGTAACTCGATGAAAATAAATATAATATTAAAATAAGGTGTGATGTCCGGCTCCGGCCTACGTGCCGGATGCAGCATATGAGATAATTTAAAATAGATATAAGAGCGCAAGGTTTTGCCGCTCATTTTCTTTCCTCCAGCCCAAGTACCTGCGCCTGCGCACCGTTTTCTCTTTCTCTCCCCCTCACTCGCAGGTCCCTTCGTTATCCCCCCTTTGCTTTCGTTGTCGTCGTATTCTCCATTATGTCTTCCCGCGACGCGTCCAAGGGTGTTCCGTCAAACCTCCTGGCTTTCCCCAGCCTGTCTTCGTCTCTCCATGCTCTGCCACAGGCCACCAGCATGAATGGTGTCTCCCTACACCCTAACATGTATAGCCAACCTGCCAGCGAGGCAAAGGTCCGTTTATTGTGTTGGCTCATTGGCGGCGCAAGTGGCTGATCATGTTATTGTCTCCAGCTACAAAAGGCCTTGTCGAACAAGGCAGCCCACCCTTCCCAAAACCCTGCTATGGCCCCGTACATGCGACCCGTGAGTATAGTTTATTTATCTGTGGTCCTCTGACAATGTGCTGACCCTTTATGTCAGGCCACTCCATCGTCACATTGCGATTCCTCACCTCTCATGATGCGGAAGCCGGTACGTTTTCTCTTTACCCTCGGAACGCGTAGGATTCTGATATTGGCGCCGATACAGCAAAAATCAAAATGAACGCGTCGTTCAATCATCTTTCTTCCCTCTGGTCTTTTGGTGTTCATTTAGAACCTACAGGGACTCTGTAGACCCCCCTCTCTTGGCTGTTTGCTAGTCTTCAGCTATATGTTGCATTTTGCTTTCGTCGGGCTTTCGTTTGCATCACATCACATCACATAGAACATCATGCATCCTTCATCCATCATCTTCATCGACTTCATTTTTTCTCACTTATCTTGGGCTTTTGTGCATTTCTACCTTACTCTATAATTTGGATATTATAGTATAGACACCTTCGGGTCCTGCTGCAATTGTATGGGTACTGCGTGCTTCTTCGGAACTATTTGTCGGTCTTTTGACATGACCGTGAACATTCGAACTGTAATATGAGTTGAATATTGAATATTCATCCATGTTCGCGGGTGATGTTACGTCATTATATTGAAGAGGATTTATTGAATGACTCGGGTCGCCGCGTTTTCTACCCTAGATCTCCCCGTCACTGACTTGGACGATAGCATCTCTATTATCTCTCTATCTTGCCTCTTCTATCGCAACCTGTAGTCGAAGCATGCTTTCCCAGTTTTATGTTTCGGTTCCGCTAACCTATCTCTACCCCCGCTCAAAAAAATTCCGAATATTCACATGGCCCTCATCATCAGCTAGTATGTTACATGTTCGCCCTCTTCGATCCTGAACATGCAAGATAAGGGAAGATAATACTCGCCCATCATTCACTTGGTAGCCGAAATGTGTCGGTGTTCAGCGACCGACTGAATAGCTTGCGTCATCATCCGAACCGGCGGCGTAGCTGCATCCCCGTTCACGAAAGACTTGGGGGACGAAACAACATACATAAGTGTAAGTACATGTACCGGGTACCGTGGTGACGCAGGTGACTAAGTCTTATAATACATAAGTGACCTGGCCACTGTCCGGTCCCGAGTTCCGTGCAGACAATCTATCTCCTGCAGGTACGAAGATGAGACGCATGTTCACGTCTTGGCTATAACCAACAAATACCTCTTTCGAAATCCAATATATTCAATATCAATGGACTTAATTGACACCGCCTATTGACCTCTTCGTCGGTTCTGTATGATATCACGGACACCTTCTCATCTTCGCGCAAGGACAGCTTTCGTTATACGTCCTCTCTATTGACGTCGACAATGTCGACAACTGCTCCCGGCCGACGCCTTCGCTCGGATGTACCCGTACACTGAGCCCAACGATCCGCTGTTTAATTATCTTTTTTTCCCAGTCCTGGATGATGCGCACTGACAGACATACCTGAAGGAGAACCTGTCCGGATGCTTCCGTCGGGACGGTCATATGTAACCCCATCACCCTGTCCAGGTTACTCAGCCCCGGATATAAGTCTGTACTATCTGCCTCCGCGATAACATACACGTAATGCCCACCTGGCGTCTATTGATCGTATAAGCTCCTCCTCCTTATCGAGGGGGGTAGGGCACTTATTACCTTGCGGTGTTCATGATCACCAGTCCCAAGTCGGGTATATCAGCCCTCCCATTTATTTGCCAGTTTCTCTTCTCGTGTTCAATGGAAAACGTGTTCGATGCATTGCATTGCCGCGGGGTGACTCGTTACTTGAACAGATTGGCTCGGGTGCCTTGCTTGAAATTGAGGGGTTCCGAGTCGTCGTCACGCGTGTGTTCACAAAGAAATCCCTTCCCGATCCACCACTCTGGTGGGTGGGTCTCTCAGAATGGCATGGGAACTATAACCTCTGCGCAGCATGGTGAATGAGTGGATTAGTGAGAAATTCACTGGCAGGCAGGCTTCGGGTAATATATATTGTAATCCGCCAATCCTTTGGGTCTTTAGGTACCGTTTCTCTCGCACCAGTTTGAATTGAGAGCCCTTGGTTGGTTGGGTGCCCAGGAATCTCCGTGCCCCAAAAACACAAAAGTATTGTGTGCGTGTAGGCCTTCCAGCCATAAGCGCGGAGAGAAGAGGACTGCATGTCAACCTCAGGCCCTGTAGCTTATCCGACGCGGGGGCCCACCTTCATTTGACATCGTGAGTTATCTTATCTACATCGGGAGAGCGATGATCTGTCGATCGTTTGGAGTGGGACGATCGGCGAAATGATCATCGTAGGAATCGTGCCAACGTCAAGTGCTCGTATTCGAGATCCGTATTCAGTACCGGGAAGGCTACTCACTCTCCATACGATACGAGGGCAACAAGATAATTGGGGCGGAATCTTCTTTATTCAAGTGACTCATTCTGCGTTAACCCTTGTAGTATAATGCGCGCAGCATCTTCCATTACAAGCGCAGCTAACCAACAAGGTGTAGGGCAATATCTAAATGAATAACCCCAACCACTCCATAGTATCATACGTCGGCAGATGAATAAACAACCCTTAGATTATAGATAAGCATCTTCATTTAAGCACACGGCCACCGACAAAGGTACCTTTTGGTACAACCTGCGGCATCCACTGACGCGTTGTCAAGTAACTTTCATCACCTCGAAGTTTAACCTTGGAATGCGCCACCGCTTACTTGCGAATTGACCGAGCACGCCAACCTCGCGAAAAAAACAGTAATACATCGAAGCCCAACTACAAACCGCGGAGAAAAGCCAGTTAGGACGCGGAAATTAATTCACGACGAGGTTTCTTCGCCTTGTGCAGATCCTTGGCCTTGGACTTCGAATATGCATGGTTGATAACTCGTACGAGGCAAGATTTGGGTGGGATCGCGCCGACCTGTGGGCGCTATTACCTATGAGTTAGTTTCAAGTTGAAGGCGGTCTTCTTCGATACGCATTCATTCGTATGTGAATGGCACGTTTGGATGGTACGAAGGAGCAACGCTTCGAAGTTGATGAAAAGACGTGCCTTCGGGTAGTCCCTAAGTAAGAAGAGAAGGGAAACAGGTGGATTCCGAGGACTCGAAGATGGTGCAAAGCACCGTGAACGTGGTGAGCCATCTAGCGCTATGGCAAGGATCGAGTGAGAGGGTGCATCTAGGACTCAGGGCGAAAGAATACCGGGAGTCACCAAGAAGGAGCTAGCACTGATCGTCCCCTCATAGCTAGCGCCGGAGAACTGCAAGTAGTGTCAACCTACAGATCCAAGAAGGCGCAGTCAACCGTACAGAGGAACATTGAAAAAAACCCGGATCAGCTTCAGCGGATCACGGTTAAACCGCCACATTCAGATAGGGATTCGCAATCTTTCAATGTTTTGTTGAACGTGGACGGAAATGAAACCCCCCTCGAGGGATAGACGAGATTTACATGCTGGCTATCGTCAGGTATGGCGTCATTACAGGCCCCCTTGCTAATTGAATGAAGAAAACGTGTTTTCTGCGTGATCTGATAGAGAATGTAGATCATCATTTAATGAGAAGCTCTAAGGTTTGGGCTGCATGTTAGTAATGATGCAATGGATTACAGGACGCATAATTGCGCACCATCGATATAAGTAAGCCTTCATAGATCCATGGTTTCGGGAGATACAGAGGGCCTGAGTCTCACTAAAAATGGGACCCAAGATTGTGGGGACACTTTGCGAGATATGAACTTTGATTACAAGGGGACCCCACGATATACAGATAGAATTAGATAAACGAAGACGCGGCTGTGTCAGCCCCATGCTGCTGTAGTGCTGCAAGATATGAGCGCGATTCTAGTTAAATGAATGGGTACTGACCTATAGTTAACAATCAGATGTCCGTCAGTAGCGAATGACTGGATATCCTTGATTAGCGCATTGGGAGTCTGACAAAGGCGAGAGAAAATCGCACCTTGTATAGATTGGAAACAGTATCATCCGGTGCTGGAGAGAATGCGAGGTTGATATACGTATGCTATAGGTCGGTCGTTCAGCCTTTCAAGCTCGATCCAGTACAATCGTTCACACACCAACGGCTCTCCTGCCTTCCATGCCAATTCCTTCCTTAAAAACTGTATAACAGCCTGGAACCTATTTGACGACGTGATTTTGAAGAAGTTCTGCTTCATAATTGGGGCATTTCCGACAGCCTTGAAGCGCACAATCACTATATTTTCCCTGCGTAAAACGACATTCATCCGGGACGAGGGCTACGACGCACCTTTCTCTCCGTCCTTTTTCTTATACGTCTGCAGTGCCTTGAGGGCCTCGCTTGCAGATTCTGAAGGGCCTTCTGGGTTCGCCCATGACGGTAATGGCCGGTCTGGTGAATCGGAGGACATGGCTTCATGTGTCACGCCATGTCACGCCTCGTCGCGGATGGTTACGCCTATTTTTGGACTTGATCATTTCGAATTCCCACCTATCCTCCCCTTTCATGAATTCGACGCACGGAAATCATAGCAGCCAGACAAATATGATCCCCGCTCTTTCATCTGTCGAACAAGCTTATTGGCATGGTCACCACTGCAGGGACGAGTTCTAAAGTTCAAATTCCGCATCATACGCATGTTTCCAGAGTATGTATACGTTTTAGTTAAATAAACAATTCTCGCGAATAATTTGTACATGATTTATATGAAATTCCCAGTTATCAGATTTACGTTTATGCGTCTCATCTGTACAAGTTGACAATGACACGGGTGAGTCAATCATTGCAACACGTGTAGGAAATGAACTGACTTACGGATTCCTTATGTTGTTTTTAGAACTTTCCACCGCTCAACTTGGAGAAGCCCTCGCGGAGACCGTCACCGACTTTGTTCGCCGTGTCCGAGTCCTGCGTAGTGATGAGTACCGTGTCCGTCAGGGCTGGGAAAACGGGGACCTACAAGGTTGTAACCAGCTTTCTGCGCGGCATACGATACCCCTTTGTCTACCCAGTCATTTCCACCGGTAGTACCGCTCTGGTTAGAGGATGACTTGTTGCCGGACGAGCCGTACGAGTTGTCGTTGTCGTTGCCGGAGCCGTAGGAGGTGTCTTTGTTGCCGGACCCATACGAGCTATCCTTGTTGCCGGAGCCGTACGAACTAGCGGTGTTACCCGACCCATACGAGCTGTCCTTGTTACCCGACCCATATGAATCATCCTTGCCGCTCGACCCGTACGAACTGGTGTTGTTCCCGGAACCATACGAATCGTTGCCAGAGGACTTGGATCCGTACGAATCATTGTTACCGGACCCATACGAGTCAGAGCGGTCGTTCCCTCCGGAGGTATTGGTGGTGGTGGAACGATCGTTGCTCGACCCATAGCTGTCGCTGCCTCCATATCCTCCGCTCTCACCACGCTTAGCGCCTCCCGACCCATAACTATCGTCGTTGGAGCCGCGGTTGCTCGAACCGTAGCTGTCATCGTTGGAACCACGGTTGCCCGACCCGTACGAATCGTCATTCCGCGATCCTCCATAGCCAGAGTCGTTGCCGCCGGCGGTGGTAGAGGAGCCGTATGAGTCCGATTTGGTAGACCCGTAGGTGTCGTTGGAGGAAGAGTTGTTGTTACGACTGCCGTACGAGTCAGAATCGTTGTTGGAGGAAGTGTTTCGGGAATCAGATTTGGACGACCCGTAGGCGTCGTTGGAGGAGGTATTACGGGAACCGTACGTGTCTGTGTTACCAGACCCGTAGGAATCGTTGTTGGATGAGGTATTACGGGAACCGTACGTGTCCGTGTTACCAGACCCGTACGAGTTGTCGTTGTTGGATCGGTTATTGTTTCCAGAACCGTACGAGTCGTTGTTTCCGGACCCGTAGGAGTTGTCGTTATCGTTGTTGTAAGACATGGTAGCGGGGTGTGAAGAACAAGGTGGGTGTTTGTTATGTGAGGTTGCTCCTCTTTACTGATGAACGTGTACGCCACTGGTTTTATAGCCCCATGCTTTAGGGGTGACCTGACATCATGACGGGGAGTTTAGTGCACCGAAATGTCAGGTATCAGGTGCTGTTCGCGGCATCTCTTCCCCCCAAGAACCCTTGTTCTTCATCGTTTAGGCGTCGATGATAGACGGCTGGCATACACAGCCCAGCGCCCAAGCTAGATGCAGGACAGTATCCGTTGCAGTGAACGAACGTTCATTGGCCTCTCAACATTTCATCTGTCACGGGTCGGAGTGTGCCTTCGGACCAGTCATGACGCGATCGACCTCGAGGTGATGGCAAGAATACTTGATGGCGATGAGAATAGGCGATGCAGTATGGCGCAATGAAGAGCAATTTAATTTTGCCACTACGAGTCATCCAGCAGCGCTCAACGTTCACTTTCGACATCCGATTCCCAGTGCCTCTCAGTTGACCTTGAGTCGAAAAGCATACTACTCTCGCTCATTGGACGATACTTATACATTTACCCAGCCATGCTTCTAGTAAACTTCCTACTTCGCATCAGCAACAACGCCGCAAGCCTTGCACCGCCTTATGTCTTCGCTGCTCATCCACTTCTGGATGACTGGCTTCAGCTGAGTTCCCAGATCCGTAACGTGGAACGATTCCTCGTAAATGATTGTTGGCTCCTCGTGCTGGCCTTTTTCACAGTACCAGCGCAGGCGATCTGTACGGATCCCATCAGACAGGAAGTAGATGCGGGTTTAAGCTGAGAAGGTCTACCAAGTGATTCAGTAGGTCGTTCGCGTTCTATTACGAGTCCTATGGTGTCGGTGAATCGAACAGGATTATGTGGTGTGTTGGCTGGGGTTAATGAGATAGGGATGTGCTCCGCGGGTCTGAATGACGCACCAGGAAGAAGGAACATCTCCCCCTCTTCGATTCTGATGTCTCTAAATTTGCCTTCGTCTACTACTCGTAGTAGCATACCCCCTTTATGCTGATAAAACCACTCCTATGCAAATGAATAAGAGGATATTTAATTCCCACATGCCTCGTACCTCAGTTTCATTAACATGATAATCTTTCCTCTCATTGGGGCCACCAACAGTCATGATAATGAAATCCCCGCCCCTGTAAATACAAAAGTTGTTGACGGGTGGCTGAAGTAAATGACCATTATTCTCCAGCCATTTTGGAAAGTTAATGGGGGGCGCAAGAGGCATGATGGACGTGTAAGACTCAGTCTCGCAATCTGGACTGTTTATCTGCCGCCGCCGGCAGCGGGAAGGGTCGGCCCGACCCTAAAGTCACGTGTATTTAAATCAAAACCACGGGACCGAAAACACGTGCTCCGGGCATGCCGGTCCGATGTCACTCCACGCCTGAAGTGGAAGAAGGCCCTCGCCTTTTTTTCTGAATCAACCCAAAATCTGCGCGGCCTTGGGCCTTTTCCCTTGCTCTTGCCTTGATACCGTGAGATTTGTTCTCTTTCATTGTCAGACTATATTCTGAGTGATTTTACCAGCAGATATTCACCGGCTCGAGCCTATGGTGGCTACTGCATCCGCCGCTGCGGCTTCACTTGCAAATGAGGAAAAGAAACGGAAACAGACGATGGAGAGAGCAAAGGCGACCCATGTACGTTATCATTAGTTTCTTGACTTGCAGGCAGCTAAAATCCGCTCGGAAAGCTCTCGAGACAGCTCCAGATGAGGTTACAGTATGCGAAGCTCAAGGTTGAGCATGGCTGGGTGCGGCAGAACCCTCCTTCTCAAGTCTTCTGACAACTGAACTTCTCAAATTCCAGACAAAACAAACTCTCAACGAAGTCGAAAACCTCTACTTCCACCATTCACATGTTCGAGGGCCCAGACCAGTGCCAACCAACGAACCGACTTTGATACTCAGTGATACCCCTTCTCCTCGCCAGTCTTCCTTGTCATACAGGTCCAATATCTCCCGGACGTCGACGCTGGTTGATCTCGACCTTCCGACAGATAACGAGGTCGAGACGACCCCAGACCCCATGCAGGCATCATCAGTAAACTCCTCGTTTACACCACCACCCCCCCCAGCTGTTGCGCCGCTACAGCCGTCGCCGTTTCCTCCTGATAGCACCTTGTCCAGGCCTAGGACGCAGTCTCCCCCCTCTCGATCACCCGTGCCTACAGGCAAGACACAAACAGTCAGTTTTCCTTATCTCCAGAGCTCAAAATGCTGATCCTGTGCTAGAAACCATGGCCATCTCCCACGCTCACACCTAAAAGGCAGCCAGCAAAATTATTGTCGGCGCCAGATATTTATGGGAAGGGTCAACAAGCGGGACCTGCGTTGACTTATGATTCTTTCTGGTCGAAGCACACGTCCGTACCGCATTATCGCAGTCTGGGCAGCTTGTCGTCGAGGGGAAGTGTAAGCGATGTCATGAACGATGTCGGATGAGCAGCGCCAGGAAGACTTGGCAGTTAATGTGGGCTTAACAATATATATAATTATACCACGCCGATATCATTATTTGCTTTCGAATTGCATTTTCAGTGTATCACTTTCAGAACTTCCTCCACTCGGGAGGTTGATGCTTCGATGCTCGAGTTCGTAGAAAATAATGGTTTGTTGCATGTCTCAGATGGTTTTCTCTGGTTATACTTGGCAAAAACAGCAACGTCGCCACTTGAATACTTATCGATTGTCTATCACAGGGGTCCCAGTGAGATTTCGAGAGCTTGAGCGAAAACAGAATGTTGAAACTGGCGCATCTCGATCCCCTCGACGAGGCTTGTTCTCCCAAGTACTTTGTGATTTCCTTTAATTGATATTTGGTGTTGCACTTTCCCGGTGATCGCCATCCCTCGACGCCTCAAACAACGCATCGGTGACTTACCACACTCGTGGACCCGAAAGCCGGGTCTTTGATGATAATCTTCAGGGGAAAAGAACACAAACCATCTCTGATCGGAACAGAAGGAAGGAGATTTCGGTCTCGGATGTGAGCCCCCGCTTTATCTTGGATGAGGTCTTCATGTCCAACTTTGGGTACTTCTTGCTCTCTTGTTCGCGGGATTTGTTCCTGGTGGCGATTCTTACATGGCCCTTAAAACCGAAATGTTTCATTGCGACATTCTAGGAGTCACCAAAAGAGTGCATACGTCTCTACTCCGCGAAATGGTCTGCTGAAACCGGCGTTCAACGTCGTTGTACTGTACGATCGGCGGAGACGGCGTACCTATCATAAAAATTTAATCAGAAATCCTCAATGTCGTCACTTTCCAACCACCCTCCTTTACGCGACGCTGTCTCGTCTTCCCTGTTGAGAAATACATCATCCTCGACCTCTCGGCCATCCGCCTCCGCTTCCCCCAATTGCTCCGCAGCGCCTTCCATTGCTCTTACGAACATCATGTTGCTGAACGACCGGTGGCCCGGAGGGCCTTTGATCACCGTGACATAGTGCGAAGCATCCCGAGCCTTTAGAACACCTCCCAGTTCTATCGGAACGTCTGTCTTGCTCCACCCGCCAGTACGCCAGCCGGCATCTTCCTGTAAAACCATTTAGTCAGTTTAGTAATGTGAGCGTATACGGGTATCACCGACCACGGCAGCAACCTTCTCAACAAGCCACCGACGAACATCTCTCACGCCTTCCCATCCGTCCTTCTCCTTGTTCAGGTAATCGAAGAATTCAGGCTTGAATATCTTCTGTGAGCGACGTTCGACTGGCGTAGGTAGTGAGTGTAATGTCCCTAGTGTCAGCAGGTGGAATCGGTGTGGGTTGGCTTGATACCACTGTTGCAGAGTCAGCAAGAAGGCTTGGCGGGTAAAAAGATTAGCAGACTGACAGCTTCGCCCCCACTGGAATCGACCCAACTAAGGTTATCGGCAATACCATCGCACTCATCCACGTCGTTACAAAACTGTGTGTAGTTTTGGTGCAAGTAGAGTGAATATAGCGAAGAGTCGATGGGAGAGTCCGAATATAGGATCTGACGGGAAAAGTGAGTTGATAATGGTATGAACATGGAAAAATGAGAGGAAGACATACATCGACATTGACACGACTCGTCCGTCGTTGATGCTCTGAAAGGAAAGAAGGTAGATCGGGAGGATCCTTCAGGGATTCATCAAGGGCTTTCTCTTTTTCTATATCTCTCTTGCTCGCAGAAAGCGCAGGAGGGTCACCCTTGCCTAATTCGAGTGTCAGAAAAAGCGCCCCGTTCTGAAAACTGGTAGACATACGTTTATTGTAAAAAACCTTTCCAATAAGATGGAACAAAGCCAAGCTCTGCTCCCGTCTCGTCACAGATTCCATTATCACCATTGCCTCCCTTGATTTACCCTTCTTGCGTCCCTTCTGGCCAATACTAGAAAATTGAAGAGCATTTACTGCACTTCGAATATCGCCATTGGCGCTGTCAACGATAATATCTAGTATGTGCTTTGACGGTCGCACAGAATTTCCTCCCCTAGCGGTCGAGAAGTGACGGTCAAGCAGAGCCTGTAAAGCCTTCCGCAAAAACGTCGGGGCAATTGGATTGAATCTACTCGAGAGCGTCAGCGATCGAAATAGAAGGAAAAGTCGTTAGAGGCTTTACCGTATCTGAGTAACATATGGACCGTTCAGCATATCCTTAGGAAGGACGGTTCGGACGTCGATAACACTATCTTGTTCCCGATATGTAGACCCAGCGGAAAGGCGTTCATCGCTTGCCTCTCCCCGCATTCCGGTGTCACTGACTATAATAACGATAGGAACTGGATTTGGGCTAGGATCAACGACAAGAGACTGAAGCGCTGCGTGAAACCGGTCTTTGGTGCCATTGTGGAGGAGATTAGGAAGGTCTTCCAGAAGAATGATACGCCGTTTGTTGCTGTTAGTATTGGTTTGAGTAAGTGTCGTGGAAGAAGATGCCGCCTGAGACGAAGAGACCAATGGCGCAGGATCACGGAAGAGATTGTTACAGGTCGACGCACGAGCGAGGAAACTCTCAAATTTAGAGAACAGGGCTTCGCGGTCTGGGTCATTTTCTGGAAACGGCTGTCCCGATACTGTATCTGAAGAAATAGTCAGAATCAAAACCCAAAGCATTCGCCCCTCGCACTGCGGCAATAGCTACATAGACGCCCTGGGGCCACCTGGAGTTTTTCTGGAGCATATCTTGAAACTTAACGCTGATCGGTCAATCATGATATGCTCAAGGTATACTCCAGGAGACCGCACTGGTCTTATGTTCTCATCACCGCAGTGTCGACGTACCTATCGCAGCGTTTTCTCCAATAGAGTTTCTCCACTCCAGTATCTCAAAATCCATCTCACGTGCCAAAATCCGCATAGTCGTGGTCTTCGCAGTTCCAGCAGGACCAGTCAGAGCTAGGATACGCTGGAAATTCCGTTCAACAAAGTAGGAGTGATGAGAATAAATAAGATACTCGGTATTTCCTGAGCTTCCCAGAAGGGCCACCTTCAAAGGCTTCTGCAAGCCAACGTCGCACATCTTCGACCTTTTTCACATGGACGGCAAGTTCGGCCTTGCGTATATGATAAGTTGATTGCGGAAGAAAAAGCTAAACGAACGATATACTTCTGTAGTAGGCTCATACAGGTCCACCCATAGCTGGCTATCTTTGTACGATTTGAACAAGGTATAATATCAAATCCTGAAACAGGGACGTACCTTCACCCTGTGCTTGACTTTCATGGATGCCATCTCGCACAGTAGCCTGAGTAGGCGTCTTCTCTTTCTCTTTTCCTTTCGATGATGGATTCGGCTGCGACGAAGGCAGATTGACGAACTGTGATTTACCACTGTGAGCCAATGAAGAGAGCTGAGCGAACGGAAGAGCTGGACGAACCGCCGTTAAAGGGTTAATTCGCTTTGCAGATGATGGTACCGCTTCAAGCTTGAGTGTATTCACTTTCGTGGTAGACCTTGAGGATTTTCTCAACAACGATTCTGACTGGGACGACTGGGACGCCTTGGGTGCCATGGCGGTAAAGGATAAAGAAGTTATTAGGTAGAAGTCGAATTTCAAAATCTATCACCATCACGTGATGATGTGTCATACGTCAACGGCAAACGCGTCTGGACTCTCAGTGAGAGTCTCAGTCAGTGCTCACTGACAGGCTGGACCACGCCCGGGAGACATAGTGATTACTCCTCTGGCGCGCTCTATTCTCTTCGTTCTCTTCAGCTTACCACCACACAAGACAATGGAGGTATTCAAAGCTTCAAACCTCGGAGCCAGACAACTATCAAGATGAACTAGGTGTCCCGTGTCGGCTGGTTCCTCCTTCTCGAGCTTCTGGCCCGTTATCGGGTGAAATTATTATGGTAGATCTCGTTGTTTTGTTTGTATGACTCCTATAAGTCCTTAAGATTTCTGCGGTTAACGCTATACAGACGATACAAAGTGGCGGTTATTAGAAAAAGCAAGGCGGATTGGTCCGAGTACATCTCGTACGAAATCATACTAATTGTTATATAGCACCCTTTGTTCGAAATGATAGATGATGTTCAATGTTCAATGTGATAGCGCTGGTTATGTGAGAAATCACCCTCAAACCGTGCCGGTGCAAAACTTAATAGACTATCGATGGATAATGATGACTCTCCGCGAAATTGATTGGACCGTCTGCCGCATTAATTATCCCATTGATTTTACCTTGAACAGCGTTCTTTGACACATATTCATGCGTAGGTATGATTTTTGGGTATCAAGGCAGGTACGAGAGAACTGTGGAGAAGGTAGGTTGAACACTTCATGGCATTGCCATCGGACTAAGTAATGGTGGGGGGGTATTATTGAAGATAAGGGCTGATATTAAGGTTGAAATGTGAGCTCTCATAGACGATTTCGAAGTTAGGGTGGTAATCAATGAGTCTCGTGCTGGCGGAGTAGGCTGTATTCGACTCGGAGTTGTCGGCCCGAGTTAGGTCTCGGTCTGACCGGCCCCGATTATTTTTCTTTTGTCCACTACTCCCGCTCGTCTTCAGTGAATTTCTACAGCATCTATGTCGCATACCACCTGAGAGTGCTGGGGGATATTCAAAGGCTTCATGCTTCATTGATACCAGCACGCAGATCGCCAAATGTTGTATTTGGACTGTATCAGACATGCTTGTAGACCTCTCTCGGTACTCTGAGAGTTGCCACTTCACTATTATACTAAATACCCTATTTTTCTCCTCTTACCAATTCTACTCAGCATGCAGGATCGGATTCCAGATTATCTCGCATTTCAAGAGATCTCCCTCTACCACCTACTCTCCAAATGCCTCTCATTTTCAAGCCTTTTCTTCATTGCCTGTTCTGCGTGTAAACGAATTAATACCATAGCAATTGCCCAATCACCTCTTCCCCCTTGATTGTCCCCTTTTTCCGGACTATTGTCCACCAGTATGGCGGTTTGGAGGCTCCGGTTTTGTAAATTCAGAAGCAGCCATCCCTGCTCTCCGGCTCGCATTCTCGATGAAAGATCATGTAGATTTATTATCCTGCCGATTCTCGCTGGGAGAGTGTGCCAAGGAGATGGAGCAGGTAACGAGGCTTTTCAAGACGGAGAGAGAGTTGCACTCTGTATTTTTACACTTTCCTGGATGGCCAACGCTCTTCCAGCCACCAGCCGCATATTCCCCCATTGAATGTGGTGCGGCGATCTCTGGTCTCTTTCGTCACTTCCACAGCGTGAAGTGTCATTCACTCGACATCAACGACGCACCCCAAGTCGAGTATGCCGAAGGGACCAAGTTTGATGGCCCCATCGTCAACACACTCAAAGATATCTCTATCTCTCACGCTCAGTTCATGCTGAAAGAGTTTTTCCATGACTGGACCATCAGCACGATGAATTTGTCACCCCTCACAAAAGTCTCGCTGGTAAACGTAGACGTTCGCACTTTGCTTCCCTCCCTCTTCCTTCCATCCTTGCAAAAACTTGTCGTCCGGTGTCCTGATCTTCATCTCACTGACATTATGCCCTTTTTATCCCGCCATCCCACCATCAACAATCTTACGCTCAGAGTGACCTGCGATGATGCCTCCCTTCCCCCGGGTTCCCTTCCCGAGCTAAAATCTCTCACCTCGTCGGCAGATTGTCTGTCTCAATTACTATCTTCGCTTGATTCCATGCTCCAGATTCACAGCGTGATCTGCTACGGCTCGGTCAGTCTTTTCCCTATCATACCGCCGCCCCCGAGTACCGTGCAGACGCTTTTCCAGAACATCGCCCTCCATGGCACTATAACCACTCTCGATGTTCCCCTCTCGGATTTGAACACTTCGGAGGAGTGGCTAAGTGTGACTCCAAGATATGAGCACCTCCTCACGGGGATTACAACCTTGTATGTCGAATCGTCATCGACTGCGAGGAAGGAGAGTACGGTGAGGCAGCGGATTATAGAGTCGATCGTGCTATTTCCAAGGGTAGAGACTCTGACGTTGTTTGGGTGGCCGCAGCGTGAGGAGTTTGCCAGGAGTATAAAAGCGGTCTATCCCTCTCTCCACAGGATCACGTCGGGCCTCACAGATATTTTATGATCTATCACTTAGCATTAACTACCACAGACTTAGGATGCAGCCTGTTAGAACATCCAATTCTAGACGTACTGATACTGATGAGGTCGTCAAACGCGAAACATCCCCTTTGCGCACAAATGATTAGTACTGGGAACGGAACACGAGTTCATAAACATTTGAAACAAGTGGCAAAACGGTTTGTAATACGGACTGGGAGAGGTCGATGTCGTGGCTGTGCTTATCTAACTTATCAAAGGCTCTTTCCTTCTGGTTTGTTCAGTCATGGTTCAACCTGCGAATTATCGACGAAGGCCCTTGCTTCGCCTTGCTCCAATCCGATATGCTTTGAAGTACTTTTGTCTGTGCTGGTGGTCCCTTCAGTGATCGTCATATCTGTTTTCTTGTGGATCATCGACATTGAGGTTCTCAGGCCGATTTTCTTACCAGCATTTCACCGATTTGTTCAAGATCTTTTTCGATGGCCGTCATTGATTCCCATTAGGACTTGAACGTCATGTCCACGGGACATCAATATAAGACATTACTTCCCGCGTCTCCGAGACAAAGTTGTAATGGTCGACTCTACGATGATGACTTCAGCTCAACAGCAAGCTTACAGAAGTAATCCTAGAAACTTTCAAGACGAGCATGGCCATCAAGTCACTCGTGATGCTATCCGTACTATGCCGGTGGGGGGTAAGCAATCTCCATTTTCATTCGCTTCGCAAGATGACACGAACCTAGACCCTATCGAGTCCACCGGGACTGGCTATGGTAATACTACCGAAGCAGCCACCTTGTCTCAAGCTGGCAGACAAAGTAGCTCTGACTATGAGGGTAACGAGTCATTTTTATCTATCCCTTCAGAACACCTATATCTTTCCTAGGCAATGGTCAGAACGCCGGCGGAAAAATCTCCAATTCCGGGCGCGTTGAGAGGCCGTGAAAAAAAGGTGAGCATGGGGACTCATCGCATTACCACAAGTTCCGTTTCTCATCGTATCGGCATGTAGATGGAGACCTAAACACCACATCTGAATCCTCGAAGCTTTTGTATGAATTAGGGGCATGGAATGAAACCATTGGCTTCCTGCACCGGGGTGCAAAAAGTCTGATGTCATTAAAATTCCTTTCTACTTTTCTGCGTGGTCGGGAAGACCATCAGTCCCATCCTGATCCAAAAGCTCCTCGTCTTCTTGACGGGCGCTACGCATGTGCGTTACTGTTCTCTCCTGAAGATCTGCCATGGAAACTCCGGTGTTGCGATGTTTATTGTGCCTCAATACAGACGGGATAGGCATCGGATACAACATACCTTGACAAACACTTCATAGTCAGTTTCGAGGAATTCGTTCTATCCCTCTACGCTATCAACGGGAGCAGAGGTCTGAAACATGCTTTTCGATAAGCTCTTCTTCTTCTCTCTTTCGTTAACCTTTCGAATCGTCACTGCCAAAATTCTGGTGAGGCGAAGTAAACGGTACGTACCACTGGATGGTTGCCGTGCGCCTAGCTGAAGTGAAAGGTTAGAACCTACCCTTCTGGCTATAGGAAGTGATCTGGCTAACCTAGATTTTCGGGTAGTTCCCAAGAGCACGCGAGTTGGTGCTTTTGCACCTTTCTTGAGTGTAGACGAGAAGACTGGGTACATGGTAGTTCAAGTTCAATATGTACTTTCTGATTATGTTGGACTGTGGATCATCGTTGACGTCAGTGGTGAGAGGTGGGTCCTTCATCACTGCATAATGACCGATTACCTATATTCTGAAGGTCAGATTCCAGCTTATGTCTCCCTAACAAGCTGTACCTTCATTCGCAAGGGCCCTAAGAATGTATATCTACGGTGCAAGGGAAGGTAATGATACATAGCTTGTCAAGCCATCTGTAAAACTTACGGGGTGAGCTTCTCGTCATGCCAGTCAAGTGTGAATCCTTTCTATTCACTGAGAATGGGCGTACATGATGGCGTAAAGAAATGAGGCTAGCTAGTCACCGTGCTACAGCTATGCTAAAGGAACCGGTCCGTTGTTGCAGTTTCAGACGTAGATGTTATGGCGAGGACATTGAGCTCGCACTACCACACCGTTACAGCATCTCATTCACCAACTACCTTTCGAGATACTTTGGCTTCGCCTTCTCGACCAGGGTCTCCACCGGTATATGATTACTGATCTCGCTATCCGGCTCTCCGAAATTCACTACCTCAAAATCTACCATCACCATCTGCATATCCTCACAGTCTGCCTCAGATAGCAATGGACATCCCTCCGTCGAGCAAAATGGTGCATCACGGCACCTAGCACATCGCAAGATCATGTTCCTAGGCTGCATGTCGTTCTGCACCACCCCCAATGCACAAATGCCGAAATGTAGACGGAGAACCGCGTCGATGAGGGCGTTTTTGTGTAAGCTACACAGCATCTCCGCCTTTTCCTGGGGAACAAGATCTCGTAAATCCCTGCCATGGATGTACTCCAACAGTAAGACATTGACAGTTCTCTCGCCCTGAGTAGGTAGGGGTGCTACAAAATGCCCGTAGAAACGTGGGATTTTCGTTCCCTGAAGATGCCTTAAACGTCGATATGCCTCTGTCTCCCGTGAGACGGTTAAGTCGCGGAGGGCAAATGGATCAAAGAACTCTGCCTCTCCCGAGTCAAAATAAACGGGATCGTATATTTTTGCGACTATGGTTGGCGGGTATCTGGTGTTTGGCGATGAATCCTGGACATGTGCTGTCCAGACGTGGGGAATACGTCGAGTGCTGGAAAGGAGCCGTTTGTCGAGGATAATGGAGACATTGGCGGGTATGGAAGGAATGGGAACTCGACGAGCTATGAAGGTATTCAGGCGATCTTCAATCCGAATCATGCGCAGCGCATCCTTCTGGTAGGAACACCGTTCATTCGCAGGACGTTCAGGCGGCGCATGAGAATACAGCTGCAAGGAGGCCCCGGCGTAGTACGTGCTCTTTAGGCTAGGGACTTCCGTTGAGGTCGACATCTTGGTAGTCATGACTCATCGATTACGACCAGCGCCTTGAAATTCTGCAAACGAGCGCAACGAAGTGTATGATCATGACTCGGCGGACGACAAGTACGACAAAGTCAGCTGTAAATTCTTATGTCATACCATTTAGTATTTTGGACTCTGTTTCAGGTTCCTATTCTCCTATTCCTGACATCGACAGGGCTTGTCTTCCTCGAATTCCACCCATCGGCGAGACCTGCAACGGAGATATAACCTGTTGCAAGCTCACGCCAAAACACAGATACCTTCCAGAGGATGATCCGTCATATCAGTTTATTAGTGGAAGGCTGCCCGTCTTGAGGACCTTCGAAAGTGAAGACAAAAATTAATCGTATAAGATTCCCAGCTCTACAGAGCAGGTTTCAAGGTGTGAGATAACAACACATTCAGAAGCGGCGACGAACGAGAACGAAGTCCAGGATACTGCATGAGAATCGAAAAAAGGAAGAAAGGAAAAGAAATTGCAATGCATAGAATCCATAGATGTTGAACGAATACGAACAATGACAACATCCCAGAACCAACCAAATAATAATAAGTTAGGGAGAATATTCGGGTCCTTGAGAATCGATCGTGGCGGCCGCTTCCAACACAGACGTAGAGCTCCCAGGCGCTCCAGCAGAGTCGTTAGCTTGAGATTCTCCGAACTTGATACGCCTTCCCGCACCAGGTATCTGCAGGCCACGTAAGATGCTGGAGCTGCGACTGCGAGTTCTCGCATGATTCGGTCCGCCGTGAGCACCGAAAGGTAGCCCTAGAATCGTCTCAGACCGTTTCCTAGGCAGGGCGCTGTCCAAGTGTGCATTCGAGGTCCGCCTGAGCGTCGAGCGCGGCACGTTAGGTGACGGAAGACTGGGCCTTGTAGGTAAAGGAGGTACCGGAGACGTTGAAGTTGACGAAGGTGTGAATAGCTGCGCAAGAGAGGCCCTTCGGGCCAGAGGCTTGCGCGTGGCTACGGGCGACGGATGGGATTGACGTGATGGCGGAGAGGGAGAAAGCTGAGCATGCGACGCATGATGCGAAAGAGACCGAGGGACGACAGGTGAAGATGGCGTTCGACGCGTAACAGACGGAGGTATCGGAGAAGATCGTGCTGAAGGAGTGTTTGAATCGTATGTGTTACGTATGGGAATCATGGTGGGAGGAGCGACTTGTCCTGTTTGCGAGAGGTTTGCAAAGGAGGACCGACGGCTCAACGATAAACGAGGATGACGGGGAGACATTGGTGAAGGGGGTGGTGGAAGTCGAGTGCCTGAGGCCGGAGCCGATGGGTGCGGTTGAGAATGAACGGACCGTCCTGTCATCGGAGATATTGACTGAGCATGACGCGGCGACTTTGAGACGGGAGAGGGGGACGACGGTACTATAGATAATGGCGAAGGTTTTTTCTTCTTCAATGTGGCTGGCCCTGTCAAATTCGGCGCTTGCTTGAGTTGGGTGGCTTTACTTGACCCACCGAACCCAACGCGCCGGCCCAAGCCTCGTATGAACCCACCACCGAATCGCGCCCTGGCTTCCTCAAACGACGGCAATTCTGTGCGTGAACCGAAAGTTGGGGTTCCACATCTGGAGCTGGCTCGTTCCATGACCTCTCTTTCCCCGGCTCCGACATCTGTAATGCCCTGCATAGAGGATCCGCACCCGAGGTCCGGTTTTCTTGCATCAAGGAAGGCAGATCCACTACCTGATCGAGCTCTCTGCTGAAGAATGGACGTTGGGACGGCGATGATGTGTCCGAAAAGAGATCCAGGAGCCTTGGTCAGTTTTGTCACCTTCCACCCGGCCGAAGCTGCAAGTGATACGATTTCGCGAAGAGTGCGCTCTTGTCCATTGAACACAGATTGCATCTGATATGAAGGCCAAAATGAGCGTTTTGCATAATAATCCATAGAAATCGACGAACCGTTAGATCCATCCAGTAAGCATGTGCGCTAGCTTTGCCCAAGTTGGGTAACAGAGGGGCAGGAGCTAATGTGGTCTCTGCACCGATGACGCCACTATCCCCCTTGGAGCTGAAATCATCTTCACAAGCCAACGGAAGAACAAAATCCGCGATCACAAGCTTTGTATCATCAGCTGCAGCTTCCCGGAGACGCAGTAAAATGCGCTGAGCAAACGAGTCGGGCCAGTCATGCAGGATAACCCGTAGAAAGTACACAGCAGCATTTTTGACGGGTTGAGGTGTGAAGAAGTCGTGAACTGATAGCATATATGAAGTTTTTCAGCGCGTGAAGGCGAAAACAACCCTGACCGTACCTTGAAATTGGGCAATATCCGGATCCAGGAGTTCAGGGCATTTGCTTCTCCATTGCCGCTCTCCCATCTCAACGACAATTGGTCGATCCTGAATGATAAACTTTAGCCCAATACTATCCTCATCGGCGGGATTCGAGAATGCATGCGCGAGGAACATGCTAGTGGAACCAATACCACCGCCGACGTCTACCACGATGCTCCCTCGGGGAAGAGCATGCCAATCAAACCCTACAGAAACACAGATCAGTTTCCCGTTAATACAAGCGGAGACGGGCACACCATTTAATACCGCTCCAGGGACCTCCCACGAATCAGTCCCGGTCATTGCCGCCCCAAACCTTTCTAGTCGGTACCGGTTCGAATTCAATAGCGAATTTACGTTTGACGGTTTAAGACCCCGGCGGTTCTCGACAATTGCCGCGTCCTCGGATCCCGGCAACATCCCCGATACACGCTCAGGCCCGTTAACGCGACCGCCTTTGATTCCTTCGCCCTCGAGCCATCCAAAAAATCCTACACCCTCACATCCAAAAGCAAAATTGAAAGGTGCGTGGGTTGGTTCATTGGTGTTTTTGTGGGCATCGGAAGAATAAAGATAAGCTTCAGTGATGTACGCAGAAGACTTGAATAGTTCGTCAGTGCTAAGAAAGGATTGAATCTTAAGCGAGCTTATAGGAGAGACTCGACATCTACCTTAACCCAACAAACGCCGCAATCCCATTTGTGTCACGAAATTTTGCTTCAGGACTGTCGCGGGATTTAACAAAGGCGTTACAAGCGAACAACACTGACTGCACCTAGACGTTACTTCTTGGGTTGATTTGCCTGTATCCACCAAAGACGAAATCCGGTTGTTGGCAAATACATCAGGAGCAACTTCGCGGAGGATATGATGTGTTGCGAGGAGGCGCAAAATGTGAGCTGAAGGCGAAAGAGATATGAGCTCCGTGTCATAAAAAGCAATCGCGAGGTCATACCTAGTTTCCTCTTCTCGATGCCATTCTTCTCGGCTATCATCGTAACGTGTAAGCCATTAGGACCAGCTTCTCTGAGGATCTCTACCGTATTTGACGCTTCCAATAGCCTCAAACATGCCGGTAAATGATACTAGAGAGACCAAGCATTAGCACTTGCCGACAACAACCGGTGGAGCATGAGGGCCAGGTACAGGGACAAACGGAACTGACGAGCACTGACAGCTGCCAGGACGAAGAAGCCGGCACAAGACCGGAAGGAAAGGGCAAGGATAGGGAAAACGGAGAGAGGAGAAATGTACTCACTACCATCGAAGCGTCGCACAGCGACAAAAAGGGTGTCTGGACTGTCGCAGTCATTTGCCCAGCAGCAGCAATGATTCTGTTGATGGCTTGCATAACCGTAGGATGAGACGTCAGGACTTCAGAAGGTGAGGTTGGGTCGCAAGGTAGATCCAAGGCAGGAAAATCGAGGGTGGGCGGCGAAGGCGTGTGAGGACGGTGATGAGGAAACGGGCGCCCTGTAGCTGTTGCAATGGATGGCGAAGGCGGCGGCGACGCGTAACCATGATCAAGGGCGAAAGATGAACTCTTTTCTTTTGTCGTCGTCGTCGATGGCGATATGAAGTCCGGTGCTGGGGATTTTCCCGGTGTCGATAGGCCTTCTCCATGGGCACTGGCTTCCTTGTAAACGCGCTCGATGTCGTCGAGCGCACCGCCGATGATTGCGTGCAGCTCGTGCAGGATAGCGAAGGTCATGGTGATGGTGGTCGTACAGAGGAAAGAGACAACCCGATCGCAGTTGATTTGCTAACAGGCGCTATTGCACGTCACTCTAGATATAGAAGACTTTTTAGACATTTTATTTTGCAGGTGCCTCATGAAGAATCGGTCCAAATCGAGTAATTACCAGACGCGTCAAGAAGCCGGCGCAGATCCCTTTATGCATTTTTGACCATACTAGCCGTCACAGGATCAGGCCTCTCGGAACGCCGGCACGATTCCAATGTGCATACGGAGATTATGCAGCTCATGCCCAACAATTCGACAGCTGTACTGTCAAAAAAGGTGTACTGGTGACCATTGAGATTGCATTTTTTTTCAGACGTTGTTCGGCTTTCAATTTCAGTTTTTGGTTCCCGGAACCGTCAGAGACCTAGCAAGTAAAGTCAAAGACAGAAACCTAAAGATTTCTCCCGCGGAACTGCACTACTAAATGCATGAAATCCTCGGGTTCTAGTTGAAAAATAAGGTCTCGGATCCGACAGCAGCATTAAAAAATAAAACATCGAGTAATTGAGTGGCGTAGTCAGTGAAAGAAAGCAAGATTGAAAGCGCAGCGCTCATGAAACAGATCGGAAACCAAGGTGGAGAGTATCACTTGTAGAAGGATGATCTAGTCCTCCAAGCACCACCAGCATCAAGATGAAGGGTCGTTGCATACTATGAGCAATATGTCCGACAAGCTTTTCAAGTTCAGTATAGCTAGTCTCTTGTTGAAACGCCCGCGACTTTCGCATCGGGTAACAATTCTTGTCAATTAGTATACGTTAAACCGCAACCCAGAAGAACAGTGGAAGGCTCCATGGCCGGAATTTCCACAACCCAAGCGTTCGTGATGGCATGTTATCGGAAAGTATACCAGTAAGAACTTAATAGACTCAGGTGATTGAAGGCGGAAGCCCACGTCGACTGTTCAGATTACTAGTGCATAAGCCGTCGGAATACTCGGAAGGATCCTCTGAAAGGGTCGGCTAAGAGAGCAACCTTTTTATCTCGTTGAAAGTCACGGAACATGATAAAGGCTTCTGCGTGCAAGGTGGAAAGATGGAATGGAATGAACAAGCTGTCAGAAAGTGTAGCTAGCAAACGGTTGAAAGGGGCCTTGGGCAACCTCCAACGTGGGGGCACAAACGCGGCTAAGGAGTCTTGAGGAAAGGGCATGCTATATGGTCGGAGATAGAATCGGCATTGTCGGCCGGCATTCCGGCATATGACAGCATTAAGCTTGCTACCTGACGCTGAATTGGAAATTCTCGCCGCCGTACCTTGGTACTCATTAGTGTGTTAGTACACAGTTTCTGTGGGTCTCTGTCTGCCTCTGTATGCTGTCCCAGCTCCTTCACTTGTCATGGCTATACCTTGTTGTAATATCGACGGCCAGCGTTGTACTTACTCACTTTCTCCCATATGATCTCCCGAGTCCCGTTATCTGACTCAATACCCATCTCTTCGGGGTCTTATTGTGGTCTTGACTCTTCTCCAGCTTGCTGCTTGCCTCATGCCACCAAGTTCGATGCAGGTTTGATTTAGGGGACCCCACTTTGATTCAACCCTCTCCATCTCGTGCTTGCCGACAAAATTGCTGCATTCCATCTGTCTCTTTATCCTCCAATATCATCGGCTTGAACTTGACCTGGAATAGCTTCTTTCATACCTCGAGTCTATATTCATATTGTTCGACCTGAAGATCTTTGATAATGGACGCGAGGGAAAATGCGAGCTGGTGCGGGTCGGCGGCGTAGCTGCCACCGAACGAACCTTTCCCCCAAGTTAGATGCACTTGCTACGTGCTTACACTGAACGAATACTGTGCATTGATGGGTGGATATAGTGTGAATGAACGCCTTTTTCGTGTATGTTTGTATCGATATTGTTGGCTAGGCTCATCACGGATCTGTGGACTGAAAGGAGATTGGCAGGACCGGAAGGAACGCCACCCATTAAGGTGGCTAATCACAGTCTAATAGGGTCTCTACAAGCCGCGAAGTGGTGCGCCATGGGGCTTTTATCCTTTAACAAGTTGAACACGTAGGACGATTACGGGCGCTCCGTAGTTCTCCGGATGTGGGTCCGGAAAAATCTGAAACTCAAATTCTCAATTATGTTGACTGAACTACATTCCTCAATTTTGGGAGCCGGGTAATAGATACTCTTCTTATGAACCATGGAACATCGAGAGTACCACTATACAACTACGACCCCCAAGGTCCTTCAAACTACGAATCAAATTAGCATCAGAAGGTTAAAATTTATTAAATAGCCAAACAGGAACTCACCATTGATCCCCACTTTCCTCAAACCATATATTAATGTGGCCAAAAGGAGTCGCTTGTGGGTCATCGTCTGCCCGTTGGAAAAGTAGTACTTAACGGGGTCCGTTAGGTCGTTCCATCGAGCGTTGTTGTGCCCAGGTGTAAAATCGAGAACGATCATGTTCTGATAGTTGCAAAGGACGACGAGGCCACATTGAGAGCTGTATTTACTGGCTTGCTTGGAGATGATAGCGGCATTGTCTCTCAAGGCGGTTTGGACACCCGCGGGAATGCTGTTGATGATCTGCTGGGCAGTTCGGTTCGGTCTGACGAGCGCAAACTCTGTCCAGTCGTTGTCCCGAAGTGAGTCTCTGATTAGATGAAGCTTTAGTTCTATTTGAGCATATGGCGAAGGGGCAGACATACGTGTGTTTGTACTCGACGATCAAAATGGTACGGCCATTGACTACGTACTTGATATCTGGGCGGGACGTGCCAGTAGTGGACTGCCCAAGGCATTCAACAGCTGCAGGATTGATGTGGAGGCGATTGATCAAGAGATCCTCAATGATGAGGTTAACATCGTGGAGGAGGTAAATTGCGGCAGCCCGTTCGATATCTCCCTCAGTAGCGAGATTATGGCTCCGCTCGGTGGTGATTGGCAGAACTTGAATCTGTAGTGAGTGCAGGAGGGTGGGCGATTGAAGACAATTAGTGAAGGCGTCTCCGGGGAAAGGCACGAGTGTCTTCGGAGCTCGAGCGATGCTCGTGGAGTGCCCGCTAGTTTGAACTACAGAGTATGGTCCTGGAGTGCTGCCACGAATGGGTGGAAGAGCGAGGTTGATGGCTTGAGTACCGGATGGCATCGTATAGCTGGGATTGTAATGAGTTGTGGAAACGAGAGCTTATATAAATATGGCGATAGCGAGCACCAAAGTATTGGTCCCTTGTTCTGCATGAGCGAAGTTACAAATCAGGCGGTCCAGGCGGTCCAATGTGATGTCATTTCGAATGAACATCTCGGAGGTAGGGGTGGTGCGCAAATACATTCACTGTGTTTGAGCCTAAAATATTGCATTGTAGGGCGTAAGATTCACAGCTGACTTTGTCACGCGGTATAGCTGGATCAAGGCTGGTCGTTTCCATGCAGGATGTAACCGATGATCCCCGATCACAAATGACCAACAAACTTGGCAAGAACCACCAAGATGTCAACCTCAGCGGGAGTCCCAAGTCTAGAGAGCACGTACTTCGCCGGCGCCTCCCTACAGTTGTATTCTCACCCGCCGCCTGACTGTCCTGCGGATGAATGGTGCTCCTACGGGAAAGATGCGCTGGTCATGACCCGGATTGAGGATCGCCTGAATGCTTCCATAGCTCGTCGAGTTCCCATTCCTTCCATACCCACCCATGTCTCCATCATCCTCAATAAGCGGCTCGTCTCCAGCACTCGACGTATTCCCCATGTCTGGACAGCACACATCCAGGATTCATCATCCGACGTCAGATACCCGTTAACCATGGTCGCAAAAATATATGACCCAGTTTATTTTGACTCTGAAGAGGCAGAATACATCGATCCTTTCGCCCTCCACGACTTGACCGTCTCACGGGAGACAGAAGCATATCGACGTTTAGAGTACCTTCAGGGAGCGAAGGTCCCACGTTGTTACGGGCACTTTGTAGCTCCCCTAACCGCTCAGTGCGATAGGTCTGTCAACGTCGTGTTGTTGGAGTACATCCATGGGAGGAACATATTAGACCTTGTTCCTCGGGAGTTAGTGGAGACGCTGTGTAGCACACACAAGGACGCCCTCATCGATGCGGCCCTCCGGCTTTATTTCGAAATCTATGCATGTGGAGTGGTGCAGGCAGACATGCAACCTAGGAACGTGATGTTGCGTTGTGCTAAGCACGAGAATGCGCCTTTTTGCTCGACAGAAGGATGCCCATTGTTCTCTGAGATGGATTGTGAGGATATACAGATGGTGATGGTGGATTTTGAGGACGTAGAATTCCGAGAGCCGGATAGCGACTTCAGCGATCCTATAACGCAAGAGAACCATGTCGAGAAGGTCAAGCCAATTTATCTGGAGAAGTGGTTGATGAATGAGATGGCTTGAACAGGTATTTTTCTTTACCTCTTCTTGTACCGTAGATATACGTTCATGCAAAGTACTGATATTTCAGCCATGATGGAGGTATGGCGTGTCAGGGACTCTTCAGTGTCCGGCGGAATCGACGCTCGAGATGTTCACTTTTGTCTATTTCGTCCGAATCCTCGTGCAGTCCATACATGACGCTAAGCTGAAGAAAACGAAGAGAGCTGGAGGCGACAGAGTGCGCTTATACAATCATTGCAGATGGTCAATGGTCATTGGTCAAGAATCTAAAAGACGATTTTGCACGTGACACGTGATTAATCGCTAAATTAAAAATTAAAAATTGCAATTTGTCAAGCAACTTTTTGTTCTCGAAGGTCCATCTTGTTTCCCACTCTGACTTGATAACAGCTGAAGCGCTGATACGATACACGCCAGCTCGTCAAGCATTGCTATCCTTTGTTTTCTTACAGAGTCAGTCAGCGTAAATTCGAAAAGAGCAGGAAACTTGACTCGTAAGGCGATGTCACCCTCCGTTCATGCACTGGTTAACGATGACACCAATCGCAGCATAGTCAACATGACCCAAATATACCGTCGAAAAATTTCTGTCGAGGCTTTTCCTTCCGTCACCCTCAACAACCTTCCGAATGAACTTCTGCTTCTCATTTTCCAGGACCTCGATCCTTCTAGCCTCATTAGCGTCTCCTGCTTGTGTCGGCGAATCAATGCTGTAGCCCTGACACACCTCCTCTTCCCCAAGATGGACTACAGTGATGCCCTGGTCCAGCTTCGCGCCAACAGTCTCAGTTTCGGCCTCTCCACTGGTTTGCCGTTCGACAGCATTGCCGGTGTCCGGCTCTCTTTCTCCATGAAGCACCCCATAGAGTTCTTCTCCTGCCACTTCTCTACTACAGACTGTATTAGAGAAATGGAGCAGGTCGAAAGACTTTTTGAAACGGGGAGGGTCATGGAGTGCGTCGATTTTCGGTTCCCCCGAGGGTCATTGTTCTTCCCAGATGAGGACGCGTCTCCACCTGGATGCGATGTAAACAGTCCGGCAGTCGACCGCCTTTTTCGGCACCTACATCGTACGAAATGCCGTTCGTTTGGGACGTATGACGTCCTGCCAGTCAAATACGACGACGAAGCCAGGTTTGGCGGCCCAGTCATCAGCACACTCAAATTCATTACCATCTCTCGTTCCCCATTCTTGCTCACCGACTTTTTCCGCGAGTGGACCATCAGTACGATGAATCTGTCTCCTCTCAGGGATGTCACACTGGAAGACGTCGACATCGAAACGTTGTTGCCCTTACTTTCCTTACCCTCTCTCCAAAAACTCGACATACGGTGCCTCGATCTCCCATTGAGTGACATTACACCTTTCCTCGCACGCCACCCCACGATTGAAAGCTTGATGCTCCGCGTTTTCTTCGACGACGCATATCTCCCTCCTGGTTCGCTATCTCAACTGAAAGACTTTAGTTCGACGGCCGATTGTCTTTCTCAGTTACTCTCTTCCCCTGGATCCATGCCTCAACTTCAAAGTGTAACCTGCTACATCTCAACGTCGTTCATGCCTCCATCACCCTTACCTACCGACGCGATACAGACACTCTTCCAAAACGTTGCCCTACATGGCACCGTCACCACCCTCGACGTACCCCTCTCGGACCTGAACACCTCAGAGGAATGGCTGAGCATGAATCCGAGATTTGAGCCCCTCCTTACAGCGGTCGACAGCTTGTACGTCACTTTGTCGATGAATGTGAGAGACGAGAGTACGGTGAAACAGCGGATGATAGAGTCGATCGTGCTGTTTCCAAAGTTGAAGACTCTGACGTTGTTTGGGTGGGCGCAGTGCGAAGAGTTTGCCAGTAATATAAAGGCGGCCTATCCTGGTCTCCAGAGGATCTTTTCAGGCCTTACGGATATCTCACAATCTATCATCGTTTAGGATGCAGCTTACCAGTCGATGTCCAATTTTACACACGAGCTAAGATGTATATTTAGAGTTCCTATGGACCATCTAATACATACAACGGTGTCACCATAAGCGCGTTATGTACATATGCTTGTAATCGGCGACATTTCGGCCCACTGAGGGTAAAGCGCACAGAGCATAGGACTCAGATAATGCCGCTCAAATGCGACCGCCATCAAATACTAGTATTGACTATTCACCTCGTGACCGATACGCATACTCTTCTAAGCAGCACTTCTACCATCCAGACAAATCTAGGAAACCCTGTCCCTGTCATCCTACTTCCATATTGCGACATATGTTTGTTTTTCCACAATCTTCAAACGGAGTTGGTAATATTGTTGAATTTTCCCCCTCCCTGCATATATCATCTTGCCCTTCCACATTCGACAGAAACTACGAGCTTATATTGAGTTTATACCTATAGTGCTTAGTAGAGGCAACGAAGTAATGATTGTGGTCGAAGACAACGTGTGACATGGCAAACTGGCCGGGGTGCGGTTGGATCAAAGACAGCGTGTGACAAGGAAGCCATGACTGTTGAAGAACTTTTGCAGAGTTGTGTTGATACTTCATTGACGATATTGGGAGACTGCAACATGTGTTACGACGAGTAATGGCAGTGATAGTATAGAATGTATACCGGTCACTTATTCGGTTATTACAACAAATAAAAACAAAGTACCTGCACCAGATTTTCAGGCCAATTTTGTTAACGATTCAGACTTTATGCTGGATGAAGACCGTCAGTGCAAATGATAGAGAAAGCTGATATATTCATTAGCTCGTGAGGATGCCGAGTTTGGTGTAGTGTTGCCGCGACTCGGCTCAAAGTGACTTAGCCGATAAGCCGAGTCCATTTAAGCCGAGTTTGAGCCCACCTTAATGGAGTCGGCTCAAGCTCGGCTCAAGTCGGCTTAGCCTGAGTGTTTCCAAATATGGGCATGCATCCTCGCGCACTTCGCTACTGTCCTTTCTCTGTTCATATTTTCGCGTCTTTCAGTGTAGTATTTAATTGAAATCATAATCTGATGCTTTTGAATGTATTTGGTGTCCTCCAAGGCTAATTGTTATTGCCGACTGTTTACCTGTCCTCAACTCTAAGCTAAAAATTTCAAACAGGCTTCGAAGTAGTTACCAAGTAGAAAACCTTAAATAGTGCAGCAAATATTGCCAGGTAAGTGCGTTTTTACACTTATTGACTAGTCTTGAGACTCTCTGATGCTCGGAGGCTTGTCTAACCAAGTCATGTTTCAATGATTCAGCTATACCAATATCTGAGTAATTTAGGTCCATTCAAGGCTTCTAAGACTTCCTTTGTTGCAGTTTCCAAGTCTTTGCTACAACTACAACAAAGTCATCTCAATTGGCTGCTCTGGCTCTTTCCCCAGTCCTCTCATGTGAAGATTCTGTAGAATTTATTAATATTGCTCAATTAGATTAATGCATCAAATATAGGGCAAACTTGACCCTCACAAAGGTTGTATTCACTCACCAACCAAGTTAGGTATTGATTTCAGAAAGAATGTTGGCCGTCATCGAGCAATAGCATCTTTCGCACTTCTGATTTCCTTATTTGGTTTGAGTCGGGACTCAAGCCGACTCACGGCAGCTTGAGCCGACTCGACTAATTAGAATTACCAAAGTCGGTATGAGCCTAGCCGAGTCGAGTCTAGCCGAGTCACGGCAACACTAGTTTGGTGAACAAGTGATCTGGGGTTCAGGGTCAATACAGGCCCCGGGAAGCTCCCGCCAAGGTTTGTCCGGCAACAACCTTTGGTTTTTGGCCTCAAATATGCAAAGATTGGCACCTAAAATATGCTAACTCGGACAAGGCTTCTGCCGGTCCGTCCATGCCGGACAGCGCCGCGGGCCAAATCAGGCCAAATTTTGGCGTCCTTCGCCTTGCATTTTCCGGATGAAATTTCAATGTCACTTCCATCCATCCTTCAGACTTGCTTCAGACCCCGATAAGTCTTCGCTATGTGCTTCTCAAACTACAGGGATTCTGCCAGGTGCCATTCCTCTAGGCCCCAGAGGCCCTAAAATATGCTAACTACGGACAAGGGTTTCAAAATTTGGGTCTGAAATATGCTATCT